TACCTACCTACGTATGTGCCTAACAAATGCGAGTAAGATCCATAGGTAATCAGCTCACAACTCCACGCAGAAAGCTTTTTTTAACGTGTGGGAGCGGGTGTGTTTTCCGTGCCTGCAACGAGGGGCATTGGGGCGATCCATATCATGGCTAGAACGTCAGGTTCATTCCTAAAATGCATGGAGCGGTTCTAGAATCTTTTTCTTCTTCAAAACACCACCAACCGCCACCCGCCGCTATTGCCGGGTGCCGATTATGGCTCTTCGGCCATACCTACTTTAAAGTCGATCGGCACGTAGCTGTCGCTTAAGGGGCTGCGGGATGACGCGGTGGGTGTTTGGATAAGTAGGTAGGTAGGTAAGCAGACCGCCTTTCCCCCTTTTTGCATCTCTTGTAGAAAGCGTACCTACCTAGTAGGTAAAGTTAGAGGATGGGATGAAAGGGTTTACTCCACCTCAGTGCCTAGATAGGTACTTAACTAGATAGGTGCGTATGGTGACTTGGTTCACGGAATACATAAATTTCGATCCACGTTGAACCTCCTGTATGTTCTAGTGGTAGGTTTACTTAGATGTTACATATTTGTCTGTCTAGCACTTATCGAGTTACCTAGGCAGGCAAGTATACACCTCCGTCAAAGCAAGAAAGCATATGAAATGTTCATCGTTCAACCAAGATGTGCTCGCTTACGCACCTATGTACTAGGTAGCTTCACTTTAGAAATCTAGTATTGGAAAAGGGGATGATAGACTGCCTAAGACAGTACCGACAAATCGCACCCACCTGGGGACCTACCTTGATACAATAACAGCACTGCAACTACCTGGATACAAATTCTATGAGGTTACATCCGAATGGATGATGGTTTAATTTTATACCGCAGATATATAAGACATAGTTGCGAGGTTGGATACTCACAACTAGCCATGGCGTTACTTACCTAGGTACTTTTGGGTACAACTTATAAGACTTCTCAACGTTGCGCCTTGTGGAACAACAACTTTTGTTCAGGAGCCGACTTGCTTCAAGCTCTTTTTTCTTGATTAACGTTCCTTTGTGAATAAAGGGTCATGCTAGATCCGTATTGTTGTACAGATTGTTGTTTTTACAGAAGATAGATTGCCTTTTGACATGTGGTAGGTGGACTTAGAAACGTACATTGTGATCCTTTGGTTAATGTACATATACCTAGGTACGTATTATTTACGAACGGTATCCTGACCTAGGTAAGGCGTTCGCTGGGGAATAGCCTCAGTTTTATGGGTTAGCAGTACAGGTACGGTATAGGTTGTGTGTTGGATTGGCAGCTCCAGCTAGGTTACCTACCACTTGTCAAAAAACCAGCAATCTGCAAAACAACAACAATCTGTACAGCAATCTGCATTATCTAGCATGACTCTCTTCTAAAAGTAGGTACCTACTGTAGGTAGCGTACCCTACCTACCTACCTACCTACTGTTGCAGGTGCCTTAGGCACCCTTAGCCATATGGCCCTTATGGCCATATATATTGGCACTCCGCCATCCGTAGTTGGGAATAAAGCAAGCTTTCTTCCTTTCCTCTTTCTTCTTCTTGGTTGCAGATGTACTGCAACACCTACCTACCTACCTACGCATCTCCCATCCTCTCGCCATCGCGACACCCCTCCTCAATCGCCGGGCTCACCGCCCGCCCAATCGCCCGATCGCGATCCCGATGCCACCTGCAAAACGCGACCCACCCCTCCTCATCCTCCCGCCTCCGCTCCTCCGCCTTGGCCTCCTCGTTCCTCGCCATCAGCCCCTCCGCCCGCCCCCGCTCCGCCGCCAGCTCCTGCGCGAGCTCCTCGTGCACGCCTCCTTCTAGCCGAGCGGCCTGCTCCGCGAGCCACTGGTGCGCGTTGCGGAGGATCTCCTCGTCGAAGAAGTCGAGGGAGACGCCGCGCGCGAGCTGGGGCTCGAGGGCGGCGAGGCGCGTGCGCGTCGCGGGGAGCTGGGAGGTCAGGGTGGCGATGTCTTGGGCGGTTTTGAGCCTGGTGGGTAAGGGTTCTTGTTTGGAGGAGGAGGAGGTCTTTTTGAAGGGGTTGGTGAAGGATGGGGACATTTTTTGTTTCGAACTTCTGCTTGTTCGTTGTTGTGTGCCTGACGTTTGTAAAGCTTGGGGGTTGGGGAGGTAGGTAGGTATCCAATACTGAAATGCTCGTGCAAGGTTTCCAAGGTTTCCAAGCTTGCTGTGTGTACTGATCTAGGTAGTGGAATATGGAATTTGAAAGAGAGAGATGAAGAGAAGACGGCTGGATTGGAGCCTGTTTATATAGCGGCTTCAAGGTTGAGGGTGGCGTCACGAGATAAATAGCCTTTGTGTCACAGGGCGGAACGTAGAAGACGCAGAACAACATCGTTGATGTCTCCCGGAGACTATGAAAGCTGCCTACATATACACATAAGTTGTCTTTGTTCCATGTGAACCCCAGGTAGACCCTTGACATATTGGTAGCATGTATATAGGTCCTACAGCCCTAGCCTACATGACTTGTATTTGATTCACGGTTCGCCTCATCTTCAAAGCTACGCCTGTGCCCGTGCCTGAGTGCTATTGTGGTCTGAGCATTGATGATGAGGTGCGAAAAGCCCCGAGTATGCCAGACAGCGCACATGCGATAGATTCCTGTGATATTCATAAACAACTTGAAATCACAACTCACACATGGGTCAGGCAGCTCTTACAGCGTGCTTCCCAACCGATGCCTGGAATCGATCCCAGTTAAGACCACCCCCGACCTCACAGCCTACGCTCTCGACCGAACCGATCAAGTCCTTTATCACCACCTGTTCTGTTCGTCTTGCATTTTTGATCACTGCGCCACATAAAGCAAGTTCACGAGTGATACAACCTTTATCATAGGAACATGAGGTGCAGCAAGGTCGTAGGTTTGAGACGGAAGCGATGGCAAAGCCTGACTGTGACTCTCCCGAAGCGGGCTTGCCGTCGAGCGATCCACCTCTGGCGGACACTCTGAGCGGACATCCTGGATGTCGGTGGACGACTCATTCTCGTTCGCCATCACCACGGCCTGCTGGTCCTCGGCATCTTGTCCCCCCCCTTCCTCCGCCGCGGTTGGTACATGATGAACCGAGGAGCTGCAATCCTTGTCACATGCTTCGCATCGGCACCGGTACCGTTATGAGCCGCCAAACTCCGGAAAAGCCGTTTCAAAAAGTCGGTGGTGTCTTTGCCGCGGGTGGCGACGAGCCAGCCCAGATGTGGCCCCCACGTTCCCGTGACACAACCGTGACAGGCGGGTTTTGAAAAACGTGGGAGAATATCGCGGTGCAGGGTCCCGTGTCAAAGAGACAGACTGCACGCGGGAAAGCATTTTCGTCGATGCGGGGTGTCCCTGAGTTAGTGTATGGTGGTGGGAAAGGGGGTTTTAAAAATGCATGATACAGGTGAAGATGTCGAATATGATTTCCAGACGATCCGGGGGTTTCGATAAGTCTAAAGTTTGATAGTTTTTCTGTCTAACATAAAGAGCAAAATCTATCTTTCGAGAGATCTCTATCAACTTGTTAGTCTCACATCGCTGTCAGTTGAGTGAATTTCAAGCTAATGGGAAGCATGCCTACAACCAGATTCTGGATCACGTAATTGATAGAATACTTGCTTGATAACTATTCTCAAGCTCTAAAGTTCCGTTAAGTAAGTCTGTTGATTTTCCGGCCCTGTGAGAGTTGTTGTGTGTATCTTCGATAGACGGCGTCTAGCACTCATTTGATCGTGAACCTGGGTGGCGTAGTAGGTAGCACAAGTGCTGAACACCTATGTACCTCTGCTCATAAGACCGCGATCTACGAACTCTTGAACTCTCCTATTCGAAACTTCGCGCCTGTCGCTGAGCCCAAAATTCTCATAGCTATCGGGGCTTATGATATGATCTAGTTCGACTTCCCATTGTTGTGGTGATCATCAACTGGGTGATGGATGAGACTTCAAAGAAGACTCACAATGATGCCGAATGACTCAGGTCTAGGTATTCAATGTCAAAGGCTATACCCATCAGCTTATTATTGTGGGAAAAGGAGTATAATAGGCGTCCATATATGGGGCCGTGGTGGTTGTGGCTGTGTGCTCCTACGTTGCGGCAGTGGGAAACAAAAGATGGGGCATCGATGGTGATGATCGACATTACATATATATCATTGCCTAGAACTGGAACGTGGGGATAGTATTACTGTTACCCACTTCCCAAAGTCCTATATTGACAAAGATCCCTATGGCTCCTCTTCGGAGTATACGCATGCCTACTAGGTAAGCCAGAAGTTTGAAAGGGTTAAGCTCAACACTATAAACTTCTTGTTGTAGTCCTATGTCTTGACCCTAGCAGTCCTGACTAAGAGTCTGTATGTTTTTCGGCCGTAGGTGTTACGCTATACTCGGTGAAAGCATACCTAAGCGGCGGCGAAAGAGAGAAAGGGGGATGGATGATGGAAAAGGGGGGGGTGGGCAAAGAAACATTCAACGCAATGTACCTAGACATTCACTTTCAAAAAAGAAAAACACGCACTTGACTGTCGATTTTTATTGTTGTTAGTTACATTATAAACTCAGTGGCATCGCTAACTGCCCTACTACCTAATAAAAAGGAAAGTTGTAAACTTTTACAAATGCAAAGATTTTATACGCCCAGGAGTCCTTTGACTCACCCTGATTCAAACCCTTTTCCCCGAACCCGATGGGAACCAGCCCCATCCCATGATAGATATAGCCATACACGACAAGAAATAATGCACCCCTCTACCTCTCTACCTCTACGTACCTGCCTAGGCACCTAAGCATGTCCCTTCTAATATTATATTATACGAGAAGCCGCGACTGAAATCCCCCCCTCCCTCCCCCATCAGCTGATGCTATTTCGATCGACCCTCGTCTTCTTTGGCCCCCTTATGCACTCTTGTACTTCCCTGGATCAAAAAAGAACCCCCCCCCCCCTTCCCCCGTCATCGATTAATGCACTCCCACTCGTTCACCTCCCAATCCAATAAGTCGGCATAACCCCCTGCCGCACGATCGCCTCCGCGATCTGCGCATCCGTCATCGCCTCCTGGCCATTGATCGCGAACCACGGCGAGTCGGGCATGACGTAGTACGCCTGGCCGACCGGGACGTCGGCCCTCGACGCGACGACGATGCCCGGCTCGTCCGCGCGCATGCACCCGATCTGCGCCCACAGCGCGGCCCTCTGCGCGGCGCCCAGGCTCCTCGCGACGTAGAAGACGGGCGTGTACGCGCGGTCGGAGCGCGCCGTGAACTTGGCGCGGAAGCTCGGCGTCCCGTCGTGCGGCCGCAGCTGCTTGCCCGCCAGCGTGAAGTAGCCGGCGCAGTGGGTGCAGGGCTCGCCGCGGCGCAGCAGCATCGCGTCCACGATGGGGTAGGAGCCGGGGGAGTCGAAGGCCTGGAAGTACGAGAGCAGCATGTTCTCCTCGGCGTGCGGGTCCGAGCCGCCGTCCCCGGCCCCCGGGAGCGCGGTCCACAGGTCCGGCTCGCCGTCCGCGAAGAGCAGGGCGGCGGAGAGGTCGACGGCGTCGCTGGCGGTGGATGGGGAGGCGGCGGAGGCGGCGGAGGAGCTGCGGATGCCGCTGCGCACGAACTGGTACTGCGCGCTGATGAGCCCGAGCTGCGCGTAGCTGATGCGCATGATCTGCCCGCTGGCGTTCTTGATGCGGAAGCTGGGGAGCTCGATGTAGATAAATTGGGGGGGCGACATCGTGGGTGGTGAGGGTGTATTATTGTGTATGTATATATATACCGCGTATTACTCGTTTGTATTATAAAGTCCGAGGAGAGCGGGGGAGAGGCGGGATATAAGATGGACGATATGATAAACGAATGTGGTGGGAAAGAAGAGGAAGATATAGACTTTCCTAATGCAATGCAATGCTGGATATGCTGGATGCTGAATAGATACTAGAGCAGAGCAGAGCAGACCTTTCCTTGACGACGTAGAGGTTGGTGATATATAAGATACATGAAGTTTAGTCATACCCAGCGCGTATGTATATCTTTATGTAATAGGCGATTCGTTTCCATATCCCGAGGGGGGGAACAAATTTCCCGAATGGTGTCGTGCTTTCTTTTTTCTCTTTCTTACCAACAATGGACATTCATATTTTGAAAATGTAAGGCGTATGACGGAACATGGCGTGCATTTGATGACTCCCAGCTCACCATCTGACCTCGTATGGATACGAACAAAGACTAATCCTGCACGGGAGACGGCAGGAATAGGCTTGTGTGTCGGAGATAGAGGATCTCATCAAGAAGAAGGGGAGCCAGTAAAAGTGAAGCGATACCTATTGTGATTATAGGCTATTCCGGGGTAGAGTTGGTCAATGTAGTGTTCATGTAGTATTCCATGTAAGTCTCCAGGAGAGGCTCCTCAGATCTCCCCGATCTTCAGAATGTTTCATGAGACACGCTACCTCGTGCATACCCGGCCCGTTTCAGCTACTTTTGGTTGCCGGAACTTTACATGGGTGAGCTAGGCAAGCTACGTGTTATCATAGCTTCTTACTAGGGAAGTGCTTAGTGAGGGTAACGACACCCGGAGAAACGTGCCATGTGGGATGTAAGCCGTAGGGCTGACCCGACAGTTTGGTAATATTATGTACGTACACAGGCCGTCTGATCTTTTGTCTATGGCCCTGAACCTTCATCCAGTCGTACTCTCCACGAACCGCTGATGCATTGCTGCCTTCCTATAGTTTGGCAAACATCAAGCTTCAGGATCATAAGGATTTCGATGCTGGAATGGCGTGTACTAAACTACCTAGCTTAGTAGGTATTATCTCATCGTAAATACCCAACGTCCAAGTAGCTAGTAGCGATGAGCTCCTTCAACACGAGATATGCTAGGTGGATCCGTGACTGCCAATGGGTCCTCTATACATCCATGATACCTACGTAGTAGCAGTAGCCGTGGTAGTAACGGTAGTAGTGACGGTAGTAGGTAGTAGCAGTGGTGGTAGTAGTAGTAGTAGCAGTAGACTGACTACAATCTTCGGCTTTTACTGAAACACCCCACAGTCCAACTTCCTTAGCAGACGGCCCCAACCGTACCACAATCCTCGTTATTACCTACCGAAAGTCCTAAGTTGCTGGGTAGTTCGGCGAGTAATGGGAACTAACATAACCATCTCGTGTCTAAATTTGGGCTGGTAGCTTGGGTTACTTTTTGACAGACCATTTCTTGGCAACGTTATGTTCGGTTGTGGCAGCGTGGGTGACATGATCTGCAAATATATGCGGCGGGTACTACTAGGCAAGTACCTATATGCATGGACATGGAAGATCAAAGTGTTCGGACTAATCTTTTAAGTAGGGCCATACTAAATCGTGTTCCTGAGCTTAGCACCAGACGGATCAGAGAACGACCCTGCTCGTCGTATAAAATGCTTCGAATGTTGCTAGGGCCCCAGGTACATACATACTTATATACCTGACTACTACTAGTAGTACATAGTTATATGTATTCGTACAATACATACAACAATACATACGTACCGTATGTATATAGCCCTGCATAGACGGGAATAAAAAAGGGGAGTCTAAGAACTCTATTGTCTCGTCATTAGACCCCCCACTCCTGTCTTCCACTATCCCACTTGCTTTTGTACGAGAACCACGGATTTGACGATGATGGGGAGACCCTTGTGGTGTTTTTATTGTTGCATCTTATTGCACCTACTTTAAGATCTTAATGATTAATACCCATTTTCTATCAAAACTCGAGCCAAGCACTCACAAAGTTACCCATTAAGCCCAGTAATCCCGAGTAATCCAGTAGGCAAATAAGGGGCAAGAGGCCTCTCGCTTACCTGCCAACCTACCTACTGGGTAAGTACCTGGATCATCAGTTATAGAATCTTGGGTCGTTATAGACCATTAAATAGCATCAGACACAATCTGAACGATTTAATAGGGTCTTCGTATTATTAGCTAACCTCAGCCCCAGCCCCAATCCATTTCTATATTCATATTTATGCTAGGCCTGGTTAGTGCTACTTATGCAGGTATGTAACCAAGTAGTAACTAAGTACACCTAGGTATATCCCAAGTTAGGTATTCCCCAGCCTCAAGCTTGGTCTTATTAGCCAAAGTCTATTAGTCCCCGTCCTATTTTGTCATTGGTTTATTTACCAAAGTAGAACCGGGTTGTTCTTAATTGGGTAGATTTGATTGGCTTATTACCTATCTAATTGGCTGCGGCCAATGGCGCATGCAAATGTGCATGCATTCCCCTGCGGCGAAGTGTATTGCCGGTGAACAGACCAAATTAGGTTAGAGCCTTGTTTACCTGTAGCCTTAATATGTAGCCCTAATATGCATGCACTTCTAACTTCTAACCGGTTTAACGGTTTAAAGGTCGAGACAGTTGAATAGAATAAGAATATTTTTACAAGCCTCTATTCTTAATCATTGTTTTCCATTTCACCTTCTTTTTCATCCTTTTTTCCATCATCGTTCGTGGTTTTGCTAATCATCAATCATCCCAACTCTACAGCCGCATCGCGTGCATCGTCCTATGTCATAACTGTGGATCTTATATGCAAGGTTATAGGCCTCCAACGTCTGTGCTACCAACTACCCCTAGTATCTACCTAGGTACATGGATTCTGTGAATTTCTATCCCAAGGCCCAAGTCCAAGTCCTAATATTGCGCCCACTATTATTATATCAACTCCTCCAGATACCGGTGACCCTCCTACTCCCAGGTTACACTTACAGACACATCCTCAGCACCTACCTTTTGTTTTTCTTAAATGCATTATTCTTTTTTTATTCTATCCTTCCTTGAATGAGTACCCGTAAGCTGATGAGACCGCTTACTGACCGAAGCCACAAAATCATGCGTTCAAAAAAGCAACACGGGGTCGTTGACCTTTGCTATTAGCTTCACTATCTTAAGAGAAATCCATCCCATCCACTGATGTTTTCCGGCTATGCTTCCCCGTGAGCAACTCCGACAATGTTCGGTGTGTTTAGGATGCCGAGGACTCATCCAAGGTCCGATTTCTATCCCCATCTTAGAGGATATCTGAGGTGATCAGTAGCGAAGGCCGCGGATACGAGCTGTTCAGCTCGTAGCGATGTTACGTTCTTGTGCATGTTTAAACATTTAGACAGGGCTAGCGTCTACTTCACGAGAGCCTCTCCCGAAAAACTGCAAGCCATGGATGGCACGTAGCAGTATCGGGTCCCTGCACGCATGTATGGCGCTTAGTAGCGTGAGAAGTGGAGCTGACGCTAGCCTAGGCCATGGGGTGAAGCGATCTCGTTTTCAAGATATTAGCGCCTACACGACATCATTCATCGCCTAAATACTACCTACCTAGCCTTACTTACACCGTAGACACCTCGGTATGCTTAGATGGGCGCCAAACGACTTCTAAACTTCTAGACCTCTTCAGAGTACGGCTCTCTCTTCCATTAATACTCTAGCGTTACCAGGAAGGGAAGATACTGGCCAGATACCGTACTAGGTGGGTACTACCTACGTAGGCAGTTCGAGAGAAACGACTATCTATCCAAGAGAAAGAGCCTTTACGTTTAAGGATACAGCTTTGTCACAAACGTTTATATGGCTAAATACATTCTCTCTTCATGGAGTAAACGTTTTATTACTTTAATTCCCTAATTATTGCTTGTGGCCGGGTTTGCAGCTTATAGTGGATGCGAAACCGAACGGGCACAAAGGGGTAGGCTAGTAGGAAGCTTGGATTTCTAGCTACCTAAAAAGATGACCAAGTGCCATGGCCTGGAACAGCACTACATTTAAGGATACAGCGAAAATATTGCTAGTTTACTCAGCGGCATAGGCTAGTTACGTCTGGAGAATTGTACCGAGGCTGCCGAGGTACTTTGTTTACCTATCAACCCACTTCAAATTCACCAGATCCAGCTGAATTATAGGCCCCTTTTTCACCAACGTCGTAAGAAGATCATACCGTACATCACACCGTCCTAGGTATACCACATTCCACGGCCTTTTTGCAGCTAACTCCAATCCCGTACCCTCGTTCATGCGGTTGTCGGCCCGGAGCGCATCTCGGATTTCCTTTCTGGAAGATACTCGACCGTATATTGCACTGTCTTTTGTATCTGTAGTCCCTTGTCATCCTCCAGTGCGTACTCTTCTGGGCTGGGTTCGCTGGTTTGATTGGTGCTGTCTTGCCCAGTACCAGCACTATTCATCCGCGTCCAATTGCCTTGTTCCGGTCCCCAGTAATTTCTGTTGTTGCTACCCGTATTAAGCTTTGAGAGGTTACTGGCGGTGTAAGCACTTCTCTTGTCGGACCGTTCTCTCGAGTTGACGTAATGTGATGGCATCAGCCTCGGGAACCATTTGACTATTAGTGGTCGAATTTGAGGAAGGCAGGCACAAACGATAGCGACGTTCATCTCAATGATAGTCCACATTGTAGATGCTATATCGTAAAGCGGATCGGGACTCGTAGCCTGGAGGTCAATAGTTGTAACTCTCAAGCAGGAAGTGATCACCACGCTATCATTATTATCAACAAAATAAACACATAACAGGAATTGCTAGGAGGACCACCTACAAGGCTCCGAGAGCGAAAACCATGATCAGTGCGGCCTTTTGAACCCTGGGAACTTGCAACGCATAGACAAGTGGCATCGGGAGTGTCAGGATAATGACGTCGGTTGTAATAGAGAAGCCGGCGTTAGCATACCAGAATTTTCCATTATTAATACATGTGCCCTTCATAGACTTGTTGAAAGCCTTCGTAACGGGGGTGCATTGGAAAATAGTGGCTGTGACAGATGCAATGCAATACATGACTATGATCATTAACATAAAGCGGCACGCCCATCTAAGCCATTTGGTGGGGCCGAATATCCTGAGGTACAACAATAAAATGGACGCCTTGGTTGAGTTGATGCTGGCTTTGTATGTTACCTGGCACAGGTAGAAATACTACGCTCGAGATCTAGTTAGTGAGACCGAGCTCCGAACACACGAAGTAGAAAAGCAACAACAGAAGACGAACCTTGAAGGCCTGGTACTTGTCATCCGGCGACAAGGTAGCGGCGTGTCTACCATAGCCGAAGTGACAGGCTGCGAGCATTATTGCACCCGAGACCAGCGCAAATGCCTAGTAATTGAATCATCAGCCTATTGGGGCTACCCATATATCATCATGATGCTTCGACTTACGAGAGATAGCAGAATCGTATAATCATCCGCGCCCAACTTTCCTCCGGTTCCTATTCGAGCCCAGATTCTTGTGAAAACGATGATAGGGCAGACGGCTAGGAAGACGGCCACGGGAATATACACCGTCGCGGCATTCGTCTCGGAGTACACAAACTCCCCACCTGGCGAATCAGCTCTTGGGAGCATCAACATGTTGGTTGACTGCGAATGAGCGGTCTATCTTCGTACTCGGCTGACGACGACAGACTGAAGTCAGGCCTTCCAAATCAGGTGTGTATTTTACTACATCAATAGAATTACCATACTAATACTTGTCCCAGGCAGGTTTAAGTAAAGAAGATAGAGGTAAAGATGTCTAGTTTTATGAAATGCCGAACATGAAGCTCTCGAGTGACTATTTCACAGACTATGGCTGAATCTGGGGTCGTCAAGGGGGTATAGATGGCCGGCCAGCAGTGACAATGTGAACTGCCACCTTTACAAACGAGACATAAGGGATGAGAAGAGGAGAGGAGAGAAGCTGGGGAGGGTTGGGCCGGGTCTAATTGCCAAATTGTGTGCGTGTTGTACTCAGTTGCCTCCTAGTTTCCTAAACTGTGAAATACCAAAGGAAATCGCATCGGAAGGTATACCAAGTACCTAACCTAAGCAACTATAAGTCAACATGGATTTTCGGTTTCTGGTAGTTACGATCCCTTAATCGCTAGCAACAAGCTCTAAATGGAATTTGGTGTGACGTCGATGGTGTCAATGCCCACGATTCAGTCCCCATAATCCGAGAAGAAAGCTCCTTCCGCTGGTAGATAGAATAGTTGGACTGGCAAGAAAGGTCCAACTTTAACTTTGTGTTGGTGGATTCGATAGATCAGGCACTTCGACCCAAGACGTAATGATTCAAATTTCAATGTTCTAGCATGCAATAGCAACCTGATTTTTATTTTCGACAAGTAGCAATTGCCTTATGATGTTCCAAGATTACTTTTTGTCAAATTAGTATTCCCGGGGTTAAATGTACCTGCCTACTAGGCACCAAATGAGGGAGCATATGAAGAAGGAAGGGACTTTCAAAACATTGTTCCCTTTTCCTTCCAATTCTGCCCAAGTTCACTTTCTTCCCCAGATTTTGACCGAGACATGTACATAATAGCCTCGAGATCAATACCCGTTTCCGAAAAACCTCAAACCAGTCACCAACATCAATCCATACATATCCCTTTCCGTACCTAGGTACTATTCTCAAACTTACGAACCGAGACAAATATCACAGACAGTGGAACATGACACCGGTAGTCATTTTCCCTGTGCCACAACAAGACGTTATCGAAGGAGAAGAAGAAAGCCTCGACAACTATTGACTGCATTTAATAGGTTTTTATGATTGGTAACCCCCTTCCCCCCCAGAAATCACACTATCTTACTCAATTTCAAATCGTACACATTACACATACACTTGCTAATGAAGAACAGCCGAGCCAAATGAGGTCTATCATGTTCAAATGAACGAGCCTTTTTGTAACACGGAATATTCACCGCCATAGCTGTGAAATCGTCGGTTCTAAATCTGAATGGTTATTGTCTTTTGAAATTCGGGCTTGCAAGATCTTTGCCTTTTGCCGGCGTTATATTGTGTGGCGAATTATCAAAAGCGGCTATTGGTAAGACAAGCCCGAAAGGTGAGACAGTATCTTGCAATTTCGCAATTGCATACGACGACCCGTAAAGTTAGGTATGCATTTTATCCCCAAGTGTTCAAAATCTTGCTTTTGTGTTGCGCCTCCTCCAAGTCAGGAACTGATTTCACTTGGCTGCTTCTGTGTGGCTTGCTGTTCTATTCCTCTTCTATTTATTACTTCCGTGTGGTGACGATAATTACTATTGGGTATCCATGCCCCTAACCGTCGATAGGTATGAGGTACATGAATTATAACATAAAAGTAGAGAGTCTATCGAAGGTAGAGCTGAGCTGGTGGAGTTGGGTATAGTTTGCTGATGCTACATAGTAGTATGTAGGTGGCGGTAAATGGTCCGTCTTATTTACCTAATCAAGGGGTAGAACCGGTCCATCGCCTCCGAGAAAGGGATGCCTACCTTCCATACCTCGGGCTCTCCATGCCCGAATCTGGCGCAGATACGGCAATCTTGCCGACCTATCGATTATGCTTATGTCGTGCAAGTCGGCCCCAGCAAGTTTTGGGCGACTTCAATCTACCAAGATAATTAATGGTGATACTGCATGAGTGCTGCATGGGATATCTCTGCGGCTTGTTACTCCATACTCAATGCAGTGCCATCTCGCCTGAGACGTCATAGGCTGGTTCTGGATATCATATACATATCCCCCCATGAGCTAGGTACTGATTAGCTGTTGACAACCTTGGAACAATATGCTATTAGATACCTAGTATATACACCCTCCACGTGCGAGTGAAAGGTGCCTGCTTGAACGTTTCACTCATAAGATCTCATCGTTTACCCATAGAACTTTCCGGGCTTCTGGGAACTATAAGGTTGACCCTTTTTTGTCCCCGGAGATCGGGAAATACCTCTGTGAAATGGCCAGAAGGGCGCGGCGAATTGTTAAGTATGGCATGTAGAGATGGGGCTACCACCGTTCTAATTGCCGGAACGGCGACCGTTTTTGTGCCCCGACAAGTGCCTAGAAACAGGTTGTCACCATGCGACGGAATGTCTTGCGATCTAATTCCAAAAAAGGGATCGAGAGGCAAGAAGGCTAGCGAGGCCGCCTCCATAACTCATGACGGTGTTGTATTATGTCCATAACCTAGTCGAGATGTACAGCAATGAAAAAGGACCAGTACTAGCCACCGGCTAGTTGCCTCTCCTTTTTCAGGGGGGCATGCTATATGCAACCTACCTACCTCGGTCGTAAGTATGCCTCTTTCTCGACTCTCTTCCTCTCCCCTTAGGTACTTTCTTTGTCGTTGTCCACCCGAGAACTTACGAGATTGACTAGATAAAAGTCGATCACACTTTTCACTTACCATAAATCGTTTTATTTCAATTTGGTAATTTTGTTCAATTGTCTGATCTTGACACTTCACCACCAATGACCACCCCTCCGATCTGCGTCGGTGTCACTCTTGTCACTCTTGTCTCTCTTTTCCCCCTCCCCCCTCCCCTGTCTCCCACCCAGCCAATTTAGAGCTACGACCGACTCAACACTTTCAACTTTATGGTTCCATATCCACAGTTCGATTCCTCATACAATACTTCGATTGCCGGGTATGGATTTGCCGTCGAATGCCCCCGAAGAGGAGCTTGCGCGTGAGGCCACAATGCCTACCCACACCACCGTCGTCGTCATGCCCGAGGGTAAGGAGCCTGAGGCCGGTGGCGCTTCCCCCGGTATGATCGATGCCGACGCGGAGAGACGGCTTGTCCGCAAGATTGACCTCCGAGTTTGGCCTATTCTCTTCGTCGTCTACATGATGTCTTTCCTCGATCGTATCAACATAAGCAACGCCCGAATCCAGGGTATGACCGAGGAACTTGGTCTGTATGGTGACAGATTCAACGTTGCTCTTTTCGTGAGTGACCCTCGCTGATGAACTTCATGACGACCTTCAAAACTATGGCGCTTACACACTGCAGGTGTATTTCGTCCCATACATCCTCTTCGAAGTCCCCAGCAACATGGTCTTCCGCAAGCTGAACCCAGCGTATTACCTATCGTTTCTCATGTTCAGCTGGTCGATCATCAATATGTGTATGGGATTTGTGACTAGTTATGAGGGGCTCGTGGTGCTGCGTTTCTTTCTTGGCGCGTTCGAGGCCGGTGTCATGCCCGGAATTGTTTACTTGACGTCCATGTATTACAAGCGCCACGAGTTTCAGACACGCATGAGTTTCTTCTTTTGTTCTACTGTGATCGGTGGTGCCTTTGGAGGGGTATGTGGTTTTCTCATCTACTTACCGGCCCAAGTCATCTTCTGCCCCTTGTCTCGTACCTGCATCCCATCCTTGCTTCTCCCCTTCCGAGTGCCTACGTATCCACAGTCCCTGCATAACCCCCGGATTTTATTACTGCAACTAAACTATTTCCCTCTAGCTTCTTGCGTACGCGATCGCTTCCCTAGACGGCCAACACCACCTAGCTGGCTGGCGTTGGATTTTCATCATCGAAGGCACCATCACCACCCTCGTCGCCGTAGTCTCCTTTTTCCTGATCGCTGACTGGCCCGAGCACTGCCGGTTCCTGACCCCACAAGAGAAACAGCTTCTCCAACTGCGCCTCGCAGACGACAGCGCCGGCTCCGATTCCGGATCGGCGGCGCGCATGGACACACTGAACGCATACGCATACCGTCGCATCCTGACCGACTGGAAGATCTGGCTCAGCGCCATCGTTTACATGGGCGTCGGGATTACGGGGTACGCGACCACTTTCTTCTTGCCGACGATCTTGCGCGAGTTTGGCTGGACCGCACGCGCCGCGCAAGTCCACACCATCCCCGTGTACGCGGCGGCGGCTGTCGGCATGGTGACCGTGGCGTACTTATCCGACCGCCTGCGACACCGGTACGCGTTCGTGATGCTGAGCTGCGTCGTCTGCACCATCGGCTACGGAATGCTGCTCGGCCAGGGCCAAGGAAGCGAGGGGTTGTCCAGCGCAGCCAAGTACGGCGCCGTGTTCCTCGTCGCAGTCGGCGGCTTCGTCGGCACCCCGATTGCCCTCGCCTGGCTCGCCAACAACGTCGCCGGCCACTGGAAACGCTCCTTCTCCTCCGCCATCCAGGTCGCCCTCGGCAACATCGCCGGCATCGTCGCCGCCCTCATCTTCCGCGAGGACCAGGCCCCCCGCTACCAGACCGGCTACGGCACCTGCGTCGCCATGGTATGGCTCGGCGCCGTCGCCGCCACGCTACTGTTCACCGGCATGCGCATCGAGAATAAGCTGCGTGATGCCGGCAGGAGAGACGACCGTTTGGCCCGTCCTAAGGAGGAGGTGGATAATATGGGAGACTACCATCCTGCGTTTCGGTTTACGTTGTAGGTAGTAAAAGTGGCGAAGGGTCAACGCGATCGATGTACGTATTATGGGTTACGGGAGGTTTGCATACCTAGGTACTACTAGGTAGCTAGGGACCAGGGCATTTATGAGTTCATTCCTTCATTTGCTCGCCTTGTTCCGTCGTTTGCATTGATGATGAATCATTAAGACAAGACTGTGTGTGCTGAGTGGAGTGTCCGATGCGATGGATAAAGGAAATGACTAACCTAAGGTTGTCAATTTGCAGCAAACGACTCGGGACAGTGCCTACCTAGTACTATGTACTAGGTCTTACCTGGGATATGATTTCGTTGTTACGTGACGGGTTACATAGGTAACTGCTCACGCGAGACCGGATGAAAACGACCATTAATTTCAATGTTTTTACTTCTTGAATTGATCATTGTGCCCTAGACTGTCATACATGTATCGATACAATTCTACAGTCCACCCCTTACCCTCCCCACGCGAGTCCCCTCCAGCCCAGCCCTAGCCCCGATGTGCTGCGTAATCACTTCCTTTTGCTAAGAGGAAATGGTCCTGGACGGCATCATCGCCTTTCCCGTGCCCAAATCATTCCATTCGTTATCTCTTCAATCGTAGGGGTTCCTTCTTCCTCTTTAGTCGATCCAGCGAATCTTCTGTTAACGAGAAGCGTGATACTATCCAGCCTCCTTCCTTTACTTCCTTTCCTCCCCATCTTTGCAAAGGCTGGCCGCAACGACTGGCGTAGGGAAACCCATTTTTCAGCGCATTTGTATTGCCCAAATTTGTGAAAAGAAAAAAATTTGAAAACTGAAAGGGAGAAAAATGCCAATGGGATCAAATGATCCGGGTATATGCCATGTTTCGAAAGAGTGAGAAAGAAATAAGACAGACTTTGGAGACCACCTCGACGAAAATACTAAAACATCGTAGTGACCATGTATTTGCGTATTGATTAGCTTGCAGTTTCGATCCACTCGTTTGCCATGAGCATCCAAAACTGATGGCTTCAAGGTAAATCAAGTTTTAGGATGTTAGCATGAGATTCTATAGCTCGTCTTTGAGATGTTTTGCCTTCTCAGTGGCGGCATCGACAACAGAGCTAGCCGTATTACCGGCCTCGCCGGCAGCGCTGACCGCCGTAGCGGATGCGGCACTGGCAAAACTGGATGCTGAAGAGAGGCCAGTTGAATATGCACCGACAAGACGCGAGTATACGGACTCGGTGAAAGGTGGTTCTTTACCCGCGACGAGTTCGGAAACTAGAGAGCTCACGATCGAGAATTGAGATGCAGCGGCATCATTAGCTGCGCCAGCATAATCTCCAGCTAGAGCTGTCGCGGACGAGACCTGACTTCCTGCTGCGTCTGTGGCTGATGCAGCATAGTCAGTGGCAGCAGTATAAATATTCTCGTACCACGGTGTAGGCGTAGGGGCGCTGTAAACCTGCGAACTGACGCGACTTAAAAGAGCGTCCCAGTTCTCCCCGATATATTCGCTCGCATGAGAAGCTAGATCACCGACCGAACCTGCAATAGATTCTGCTCCCTCGCTAGCGACAGAAGCGGCCGAGGCAACTGATTCGCCAGCTACAGACGCGACGGATGAAGCTGATTCCTGTACATTGGTTGGGGTCGGCGCCGCGGTCAATGAGCTCACAGCTGTCGATGCAGCAGACAAAAACTCAGAATATCGAGCATGAGCGATACCTACACCAGCATAGTAATTGTGCTTGGCCTGATCCAGTACCTTCTCGGCACTCTTTTCCACGCCTTCTAAATAGCTACTAGGAGTCGGCTCAGAGGCACCAATTGCGACCTTGGCGGATTCATAATGTTGTGATGCCCATTCAAGTGAGTCATCTAGGTTTCGTTGGGCAATGGATTGGACCCGTTCCCAATCCAGCGATGGCACAGTTGGTACACCTGGAACCCACTTAGCGGTAGGGGTGCCGTATATTCCTTCCGATGCTGCTGTCATCGCAGCATTCAGCCTCGAGTTCGCGGTCGCAACAGCACCAAAGTATGCATTCGACACTGAACTTAACATCTCTTCATGGATTGGCTTTGGTTCTCCATGGATCTGAGCGGAAACGATAGACATAGCTCGTGAGTAGTGATCCGCAGCCCCGGCGAGGGCAGCGGTGTACGCGGACTGGGCAGCGGAGGTGATGCTAGCAGGGACGTCAGACTGTACCACGGATGCAGCACTGGAAGCAGATGAGACAATGTCCTCGTCAAGAATAGGTTGCCGAGAAGGAACAGATTGAGCTGCAGCTCCAAATAGGGCTGACTTGACTGTGGTTGTTGGGATACCTTCGACAGGTATAGTCGGGTCACTAGGCTCTTCAATAATGGTCTCCTGAACCTGCTCCGGGCCATCGATGAGGTCTGAGGATTGTAGTGTCTCATCAGAGTTGGCGAGGTTGGTAGTTTCCGATGTGTAGTCATTAGCATTGTCGACCGGGTTAGACTCTGCGCTGGCAAGAGAAAGTGACACCGTAACCGTCTCGGAATCAGTAGAAAGTACTGGTTCACTGACTCCTTCATCGGCAGACCCAAGGCTGCTCTCAGCCTCCCTAGGAACGGTGGAGGTCATCGACGCACTACTTTGAGCTTCACTCTGAGCCTTTCTAGCAACATTTATTGCCGCCAACTCAGTCATCTCAGTGTCGAAACTTTCACTGGAGTCGCCCGCTATCGCTTTCCACGTGGCGACCTGCTTTAATCGTCCTAATTCTTCGGCGGCGGCCTGTGCAATACTCATACCCTCATCTTCGATCTCAGCACCTATTTTTTGTGCCTCAAGAAGTCCAGGGTGCGTAGTGATAAGCTGTTTAAACTCGACCGTCCACTCATCGAAGCGTGCCTTCAACTCATGATATTTCTTCCAATCATTGTACGTAACACCGTCCATCCATGCCCATTTCATGCCAATCTTCTGTAGAGCGAGATCACGGGTCTTCTGGAGAATAGTGTAATGTTCTTGAGCAGCCTTGGTAACAGCGATTTCGGCCTCCTGTTCATATGTCTGTCGCCAAGTGCGGATATCGTGGGCTTTGTCCCTGATAACTAGACCAGCAGCCCGGATAGCGGTGGCCAGCTCTTCGTCTCTCTTAGTAGGGTCGTCACCGTATTCCTTGATGATGGACACGATAGACTTTTTCAACCCCTCAAGCTCGGCGGTGGCAGATTCTTCAAGTTGTTTTAGGAGAGCTTTGCCCATTCCCTCGGCCTGTCTTTGGATCATGCGGCTGGCAATCTCAGTAACACGCTCTTCAATCTCCGTTGCACCCTCCTCAGCGGCCTTTGTGAACTTTCCTTCCCAAAGTTCAAGATCCTCAACAACAGTCTTAGCAGCGGCCTCGCGCACCTCCTGTGGTGTACGATTCTTTGTCTGTTCAACCTTGATATCCGCCGTAGATTCATCAGCTCCAAAGTGCTCTGTTTCGCCCATAGGAAGCTCAGACTCAAACTTGGTAGGACTTTTAGCAACTGCTGTAGCCGATGAAGAGGTGGACGTCGTCGCCTTCATAAAGGTGGACTTAGAGGCAGAGCTAATTAAACATTAGCAAATTGTAAGCTTGAAAAAAAGAATTAAGAACAAGCGTGAAAACAACTTACAAATTCCCTTCTTCATTAGCTGATTTTGCCTTTTTCTCATTATACCTACCTAATCGTTCGCCAATGCGCACAAGCTGCGGCTCAACTTTCATGACATACACATCACGCAAATGGGGCCAAACGGTGGAGTCAAGAAAGGCGACAGTCTTATGCCAAGTCCATACGGCTGAGGGAACGGCGGTATTGGCAGTGAACGAGTAAGCAACATCGTACCCTCTAGCCGCGTATGGCTGTACGACCAAGTAGGCCGGGAACAGGAACTCATGGTATGTCTGCAGCGCATTTGTCCGTGCAATATCGTAGTAGGGTGACACAGCGTTAGAGACGCTCTCGACGTGAGGCGCAACAGCTTGATCATATTGAGCCTTGACCAGTGCTTGGTACGTATTTAGCTGGGGTTGAACAATCTTCTCCCATTTAGCCTTGCTAAAAGCTTGAGCCTGTGCAACTCGTGGGCCACCATACTTGACAGCATAGGCTTGAGTAGGTGTGATAAGAATACGATCGACCTTTTCGTAGTATGGCTTTGCCATATCAATATATGGGGCGGCATAGGCATCGTAGTAAGGAGTGACGTGTGGCAACGCCGCTGATTTGACTTCAAAGTATGGTTTGCAGATCCTGGGTGTTGCATCGGTGCACTCTTCGATAGTAGAAGGACAGCGGACAAGGAGAGTAAAGATAGAGTACCATGTTAGTAACCTGTAATATAACCACACATTAGTTCCGGAGCAGCTATGATACTACTGCATAGTACGTGGGTATTTGAACAAGTATGCTATATCATATCTTGCATATCTTGTCATTCTGTGCCTCTCCCCAATACATACCTTGCGACGATATTGAAGCTCCAAGCAAAAAAGCTCCTCCTCTTCGGCTTGGTAGCCCTCTGCCTGGGAGCTGTGCTGTGGCCGTTGATGTTTTTAGTTCCATTCACCCCATTAGCTCCTCTGGGCCCTTTAACAATTCCATTCGAATTAGACTTGGACTTTTCGTCCGTTGGGACAGCCATAATGACACTCTTAATTGAGGTTGATAACAGTATCTAATATGATTCTCATCAAGGTATCGTGGAAATATAGACAGACGTATGTAAATTTGGACACGTTGCCACCGAAAACAACGGAGGGTTCGGAAGCGATGAGAGAATGAGACGCGATTAGGCGAAACCGACCGGGGTCCAACTGGCAAGGGAGATGAAGGGAAAAAAAAGATAGTTATCGAGTCCAAGCTGTTCACCAAATTTTGTCAGCATGGAGATGGACACCTAACTACTACTTGAGTGGTAGACGATGTAGGTCAGATTATGGCGAATATGCGAGTAAGTAGTGGATTAACAATCTAGAACTAAAGAGGAGGTAAAGAGTTGATGTAATTGTTGCAAAAATTCAGTGGGAAAAATAATAGAATGAGCAAAATGAGTACATTAGTGTAGATAGGTGGAAAGCGGGTACTGTCAACGGTGTTAGGAGCTTTGACGATTTGACGATGGGCTCGGATGGGTTTTGCGACAGTCTGGGACTAGGGGGAGAAGGGAAGGGGGAGCTAAGGTTGCTGTTTCGACTCCTTGCAAGTTACAACTGTGAAGTTGCAAGTTACCTAATAGAACATTGAAGCTAAATGATACAAGGGGCACAAGGGACGAAAGGGACGATACAACGAAAATTTCAAGAATGAGGTTATTGATTATTTTTATCCCTTTCCTCTACCACTTAAAAAAGTGATGATCGCATAAGTTGTTTTTGAAAAGGGAAAATAACAGGGAAAGGAAAGAGGTGAACGGTGAGCTGTTAGACGGTGGGATGATGGTGAACTGAACGGTGGTGATTGGATGATAACTAAGTGATAAGAAGTGTAGATAGTGAACACCCCTGTAGATATGACGAAACAGCCTTGAGATAACTAACTACCATGTATTAAGTACTACTACTAGTAGGTACTACATGTAGGTAGTTAGTAGTTACATGGTATCACGGTATCCGTGAAAGAGCCATCGGCAATTACTATAAAAGGCATGTAACGTATTGAGTTTAATTGGTGAAGATTGAAGGGGTTTTTAAACATTGAAGTTGCATATATGGATGGATGTACATAGGTAGAAGATCCTACTCACAATATAGTAATAGTAATACCAGGAAGCCTTATGCTGTAGCTCTTGTGAACTCCTAATTCCTTAATATTAGTCGCACAAAAAGAGGCGAGATAGTTATTGACAGTAATGTATAATGTAGGTTAGGTAGGTAGGTAGGTAGGTAAGCAAACAGACATTTTGCATCAGGAAACCGTCCTTTCATAGGCAGTCCACTGTGGAAATAGTTGGTAGTAAAAACAAGTCTTCGCTCATTTCAGCTCACAGGTTCTTGTCACTTATGACGCTTAGTCCCATCTCACCCGTTCTCGAAGCTGCAGATAGGTTATCTGGTCACTTTCCGATACCTACATCATCTAGCGTGTGCCACAAGATGTGTTGAAGACGTCATAGGACGGTTGGCCGACAACAGTTGAAGACTTGAAGTGCATACATAATAACTACACTAATACCTCAGTTCTCGATACACGAATCCATTCAAGTTACATAAGTACAAGTTTTTTACTAATACCTATCAAAGTCTACTTAGCGCTCCATTTTTCAACCCTGGACACCAACATTTGAACCCAAACTACCGGAATTTCAGATGGAGGATCGATATGTCTGGTAGCCTTATACATGCAACTAGAGCAGAATAATAAATGCCTGCAAACATACATGTATGTAGTTCCTAAGGCTAGGTAGGGTAGGTAAAGTGCATCAACGTTGAATATTGGCATGATCAAATGGTCATGCGTGTGTACCTAATCATGTTGCTGTTACTCTTGCAAGGCATACTAATTTTTTTTTATATAATATCTAGGTACCAAGCTTTGGAAACTGGGAACCGACATCTGGAAATATTCAATGATCAAATGTTATATCTGCCTAACTAGGTATCTGGTATCTAAGGTAAGCTGGGCTCAACAAAGGAATTCGGCGAGTCCAATTTGCCATCAAACTTTACAGTCAGTACCTACATGTACTTCGTAGTCATGAATCTACTATACTGGCTTCAATTCGACATGAATATAAACTATGGGCAGGTAACTTGGAATGCTTGCATTGCCCAATAAAAGTCAAAGGTAATTAATAGTATGATACATGACTTATCATGGACGTTCTAATCAATCCAATCAGTCTCATCTTTATATGTAGTAGTTATGGATTAATAGTAAGTAGTCAATGTATCCGTTTTCATACATACTACTTATATGTATGTACTCAAGTTGTCATCGGCTCGATTATTTCCGAGAGAGCCTTATGAATCCAGGGTGCTAATTATATGTAGTACATACATAACTATGATGCATGTAACTATGTACAGTATCATGTAGAAAGCGCTACTACCATGGATGGTACTGCCATAATTAGTACCTACAAGGCATTGTTACCACCAATCTAGACCCCGGTAAGCACCTGGGCAACATTGAAAGGCCCCTCCAGCACAGCACCAGCTGAGTAATCGTTAGTTACCGAAAGCAACACTAGAACATTGAACTTCAATGTTCATCACACCCAAGCTAAACTTTACTTTACCAACTACTTCTAGTTAGCTACTACCTAAGGTTGCGCGGTCACATCGTCGAGCCTAGCCATCACCACCTACTTTGCCGAATAATCATAGCAAAACTCGCATCGCTATTAGACGTTTCTACCTACCTACCTAAGTACCTACCTAGGCACTTACCTATTTCCTAGTATAAAGTGTCTCGCTATTAGACTTCGTGGCTTTTCAACGGCATCGACAACGTCCTAAACCAAAAACCAACCTCAGGCATCTTCCACTTTATTCCACGTCACAGATAATCCTTTTTTTGCTTGCACTTCGGTATAGCTGGCATAGCAAACAATCTTGATGTCTGCATGTGTCAACTATCAGCAAATTCAAAATATTTAATACCTCACTTGCCGCTTATTCTTTGTTACTACTCACAACAGTTACGATAGTCTCATGGTCTAAGTCCCAATAGGAGCAGCCCTTAGGGCACGACTTCCAGTCTTCACTATCCACTCCAACTTTGCCTCGTCGTTATGGACGATTGGCTGCCAAACCCCGCCGAATTTCCCAACACCGTTGAGCGACGCCATCTGTCTACGACACAATCCAATACCATGGCCGAGCAACCCGCCGCGAACGTGCAGTCTCTGGGCAACGATGCCCTTGCCGACCCCGATACTTGTCGGATATGTCGAGGTGAGGGCACTGCCGACGAGCCGCTCTTCTACCCATGTAAATGCAGTGGCAGTATCAAATACGTTCACCAAGATTGTTTGATGGAATGGCTATCGCATTCGCAGAAGAAACATTGCGAACTCTGCAAAACACCCTTCCGCTTCACGAAACTCTATTCTCCCGATATGCCGAAACGTTTGCCTTTCCATATCTTCGTCACTCACATGGCCAAATATATATTCCGAAATGTGCTTGTTTGGATGAGGGCTCTTCTGGTCATTAGCGTATGGCTAGGATGGCTTCCCTACCTCATGCGCTCGGTCTGGTCTTTCCTGTTCTGGATCAGTGACGAGGGCTTTGGTTCTAGCCCACCGCTCTTCGATGGCCGGAATGCCACTTCTATCGGACGAGGCGATTTATCTTCATTCTCCGTCACTGGCACAACTACTTGTGCATCCACCCCCTTGTTGGCCGCTACCACCACCGCCGCTAGCATTGGGAGCATTATTGACCAGATTCCCGTGTCTAATCTGCTGAAGGCTATTTCGAAGCCTCTGAACACACCACCCCCATCTTGGCTTACTGCGCTCCTAGGTCTTTCCCCCGTTCCCGAGAAATCATCCCCAGGTTTTAAAGATCTACTTAATGTGACACGGTTCGATCATATTACCATCTCGCCTGTTGCTGGCCGTCCATCCTCTTTATTGAGTGATGTTGCCATCTTGAAGAACTTTACACGCCACCCTGCTATCAACCGCACCGTTATCGCCGTACTCGAGGGCCAGATCATTACCTTGTTGGTCATTGTGTGCTTCATTTTGATCATACTGGTTAGAGATTATGTTGTCCAGCAGCAACCGGAGATCAACATGCGTGCGGCTTTCGCAGCAGCAGAAAATGAACAAGCCCCTCTCGCTGCGGCTCTCAATGACTTTGTGCTCCGTAATCCGGACCCGGCGGACGATTCCGATGACTCCGATGACGATTCTAGCGTTTCTGGCGTTTCCAGGGGTGAGTTGATCGGTGGCCGGAACATCGAGCAGGGTGAAATACATCAAACAGGCAGTGCACCAGACGTTGTTGATACACAGGAGTTTCAACAAGTAGTTGCCGAGTTCCGCCGGCGAAGGGGGATGCGACCCAATGCCGAGGCTCAACAGGGGAGTTGGCACCTAGATCACGATCCCTCTGAGCAAGATCAAGAACCGCAACCTAATTCGTCCACGCAGCAAACTTTGCTTAATCAAACACTCTCGAATGCTTTCAATGGGGAAGCCAGCTCGGGTGATAACGACCCCAATTCAAAAAGTACGGTAACAGAATATCTACGCATCTACCGAGAAGCTGGGGGGGACCAGAAGAAAATCCTTCAAATCATTCGAGATGAGGGCCTTGAGGACCGCATGCGATATTGGATTCGCATCACTCAGACGATGGGGACTGCTCCAAGACTCGTCGATGCGAACAACCCAGATCGACGAGATAGCATCGGAGGCTCCACAACACATCGACACGAGCATCGCCCAGATGAATCCTCCGAGGAATCGGAGTCGCTTATGGCCAACAGAACTAGTAGCGATACCTCAAGTTGGACATGGGCTGAGACTGATGATGGAGACGGCACCACGAGCCAGAGTCATCGCGATAAAGGGAAAAGTAAGGCCATCGAATCCCACATGGAAGAAGGTACCTCTTGGCAATCTTGGGGGGGCGAATTCGGTGATATTCACCCGCATTCATCTAGTAGAAACAATCATGGAGACGACAACGACAACGATAGCAATGATGCCCCGTCACCCTTCTTGTTAGCTTCGACAAGACCTCGATCCGCTTCAGATGGCCCCCAAGGTCCTAAAGGAATTAATGCGCTTGCAAATAATAACTGGTCTTTCTCCAACGTTCCATCTGACCCACTAGATGTTCCTCGTGGCGTAAACTTGAATAGTTCTTCCCCAGCCGGGGCCGCTTCAGCCTTTAGCCCTACACCTCATCCTACAGAATGGCAACGTCAATTTGATATCGAAGAATCAAGGCCAAATACACCCAACAGGCACGAAGCGCAAAATCTCGGGCAGTTGGATACAAATACGCAAGCCGATTTTGGAATGCCACCTAATGCTGACAATAGAGTGGGTGGCGAGGGCGGAGAAGCGCTTGCGGGAGATATCCCGGCCGAATACCGTGCTGTTGCTGTCGGAAATGCTCAGGAGACAGTAGCACGACAACCGGGCGGCATCGTGGATCGTGTAGCTGACTTCATGTGGGGCGATTTCGAAGTTGGGCAACCAGATGGCATAGAACCTGAAGAGGCCGTGGACATATTCGGTGACAACCAGAACGCCCCTTTCTTCGATAACGATCGCGAAGAAGAAAGAGAAGAGGAGGTCGAGATGGCACCCGACGTTGTTGAAGCTGCTGTCGCCGCCGGTCTTGATCCAGAAGCAGTCGAAGATGCCGAAGATTTTGAAGGGATCATGGAGCTTATCGGCATGCGTGGTCCTGTCGCAGGTTTATTTCAAAATGCGATCTTCTGTGCGTTTCTCGTGTCCATCTCTATATTCTTTTGCGTTTTTGTTCCATACAATGTTGGCCGTGTGTCAGTCTGGGTCGTCGCGAATCCTACTCGCCTACTCCGTATAGTTTTCAGCATTTCCAAGTTCGTCCAGGACGCTGTTCTATTAGCCGTTGGTTATACCTCTAGCTTTGCTTTCGCCCTTATTGAAGCGTTTAGAATACTCTTCAAAATCGAGCAGGGGAAACAATTAGTACACACTATAAGGATCGATACTACGCATATTGCCACAGGCGCTCTCGACAGGATTGTCGCCAGCTTTCTCTCCGAAATGCCCCTGTTATCAGTTAGCGAGGTACGAAACTTCTCAGCCATCAGCCATGAAGCCCTCGTGGTGGTGAAGAGCGATATCCATTACTCTCTCTCATCTATTGGACACATCTTTTCATACTTTTTCGGGGGTGACTATTGGAACAAATGGGTCTCGGCCAAGTCTTTCGTTTCTGTCGCCGGTCCAGCTATGATCCAGTTCCTTAATTCGATTCCTGCCCTTGCCGTTCAACCTGGATCGTGGATGTTGAACCTTAGTCTTTCTGGTTCACCTTCGTTGCCGAATGCCGGCCTAGCCTACTGGGACGCGAATGACAGAACATGGGCTATTCTGATTGGTTACATGTCTCTCTGCATCATGGCTGGGCTTTACCTCGCGAGGGGGACGCCCCTTTCCACGGGGCAGACCGCTCAGGAGTGGGAAGCCTCGATAATCGATGTCTTGAACCAGGCTAGCGGTGTCATGAAGGTGATTTTAATCATCAGCATAGAAATGCTAATATTCCCGCTGTATTGTGGACTGTTGCTGGACTTTGCACTGCTTCCACTCTTCGAGGGTACCAGTGTGAGGTCCCGTTTACTGTTCACATATAACTTTCCCCTTACCTCGATCTTCGTACACTGGTTTGTGGGCACAGGTTACATGTTTCACTTTGCCCTGTTTGTTTCGATGTGCCGAAAGATCATGAGGAAAGGCGTGCTGTGTAAGTATTACCCTATCGGTTCTTTTCACGGCTGTGTACTGGGAAGCATTGCTAATTCGCCTACAGATTTTATTAGAGACCCAGACGATCCCGAATTCCACCCAGTGCGCGACGTTCTTGAACGCCACGTAACTATGCAACTCCGTAAGATATTGTTTTCGGCATTCGTCTACGGCGCACTCGTCGTGATATGTCTTGGGGGAGTTGTGTGGGGATTGTCTCTGGCTTTGCCCAACGTCCTGCCAATCCACTATTCATCTAATGAGCCAGTTCTCGAATTCCCCATAGACCTTCTCTTCTACAACTTCTTAATGCCTCTAGCCGTCAGATTCTTTAAGCCGAGCGACGGACTGCATGCAATGTACACGTGGTGGTTCCGCACATGCGCAAGAACTCTACGGATAACATGGTTCTTGTTCGGTGAACGACGCATTGACGAGGAAGGTACATTAGTCCTACGCAAGGAATCTCCTCATCAAAACCAACCCTGGTGGTGTCGGTTTTTCCTTGAGGTTAACGATGAGAATCAAGTCGTACCAAAGACGTGGGAAGATACTTTTAAGGAGGGCAAGTCGAAGCCTCTGTCGAGAATTTCTACCGAGGAGATGGTTCTTCACAGCTCGAACAAGAAGAGCCTCGTTGAATCAGGGCAGTTGATTCCAAATGGGCGCTTCGTACGATCCCCGGCATCCGATCAGGTCAAGATCCCTAAAGGTCAGTCCGTGTTTCTCGACGTATCGGAAAATAATCAAAGAAAGGACGGCAAAGAAGATCGACCGGAGGCAGACCTATATTCTGGTGTCCACTACCAGTTCGTGTACGTCCCGCCTTGGTTCCGCGTCCGCATCTTTCTTTTCATACTCTTTATATGGATGTTCGCTGCCGTCACTGGAGTTGGCTTCACGATCGTGCCGCTGGTGTTTGGTCGCCGCATGTTCAAGGTCCTGATCCCTTCGCACATACGAACAAACGACATCTATGCATTTAGCATCGGCATCTACATCCTCGGCTCCGTCGGCTATTTTATCTTCCACCTACGAGCTATGCTCGGTAAGGTGAGACACTGGATGGCCTCTGCGTTAGATTCAATGGTAGATCGCCATGCTCTTCGGCGTGTTCTTCAATTTGCAACCCACGCATGCCAATTAGTATACACCTATGTAGTTCTACTCATAGTCTTCCCCCTCCTCATAACGCTATTAGTGGAGCTTTACCTGCTCATGCCGCTACATACGTACGTATACCTTGGAGCAACGGATACCACTAGGCGGCTTGAGGGGTTCCGAGAAGGCCATACCATTCGCGTCATACAGGCTTGGACCTTGGGAATCCTCTATCTTAAGCTCAGCTCTCGGGCCTTGACTCTGTACGGAGGCAGGCCTGCACACGCCGTCCGCGCTGTACTGCGTCGCGGCTGGCTAGACCCCGATGTCGGCGTGCTTACTCGCGCGTTTGTGATCCCCGGAGTGTTAGTGTCGTTCGTCATGATCGCCGCGCCTCCCATGATAGCATGGACAGTTTTGAACCGCGGCATCGAGACCAGCACCGAAATCACTCACGAGATGCGTGTCTTAACATTCCGCCTCGCCTACCCGCTCATGGCCGTCGTCTGGGCCGGGCTCCTGATGACGCGCAGGATGCTACGCGTATTTCAGGGATGGCAGGTCCGCATTCGTGACGAGGCGTACCTCATGGGCGAACGTCTTCACAATTTTGGTGGCACGGCTTCTAAAGTCACGAATTGGAGGGCTAGCTCGAGGCTATAAGAATTAAGATGAATAGAAGAAAGAATAGGTGCAAGCTACAGCAGGATGGATCATGAATGATCGAACGGTTAGGTAGCGGATGCAACTATAAATTAAGTAACGTACCGACGCTATGAATTGATTGTATTGAATTATTATGAATTGGGTATTTTTCCCCTGATTATTGGTGTTCATTCTGTTTCGTGAATCCGTAGTAGGTATTGTCATTGTGTGGGGTTGCGTAGATGTATACAGCTATACAAAACTGGGAGCACAAAAGAACTTGCCGCTGCTACACACCTATTTGCCGTTGCTAACCCACCTGCTTATATCGTACGATTCCAAGAGACAGCTGGAAGAGGGGACAAGGGGTTAAGGGGGGGTAAGAGGTAAGTTGTAAGTTGTATTCCTGAGGAGGAAGATGCCTAGGTTAGATAACATGTGGATGGTTCGTGATAGGTAAATAACTGTATAACATACCTAGTACCTACTTACCTATGTACATAGGTATCTACTTCCATTGATCAATTATCTCGAACTATGTAGGTACATAGCTTCTTCTTCTTCTTCTTCTCCCTTTTATACCTACCTAACCTACAAACATACATGTCCCCAACATTACCTAGGTACAATTATTCTCTGGACCACCTTAATAAATGCATGTGGCTTTTACGTATTGCACATATATACATACCTAACCTAGGTACCTACCTACCTACCTACCTAATGTGCGGCGTGCGCTGCCGAAGATGTTAACTAGGTACCTAACTACCTAGGTAGACTGGAAGGATGCCGAAAATTTTATACCGCTCTCACATTCGTACCTAGCCTGACCTAGCCTAACCTATGTAGTACTAGGATAGGTACATAGTTAATTCGCCAGCGGGCAGCGTTGCCTTGCAGATAGATAGATAGATAGATAGATAGATAGATAGATAGATAGATAGATAGATAGATGTGTGTGTGTGTGTGCCTTTTTTTAGATGTACATATGTAGGACTTTGGTCCGTAATTGTCTACAAACACCACCACGCATAGGTAGGTAAGTATGTTGCACACAAACACCCAACAGACAGACAGACAGACAGACAGACAGACACACACCACACAGGACCCAAGCCCCCTATTTACCTATCATCTACCTACCTACCTACCTATCTACAGAACGAGTTGAAATGAAGGACGTACATATGTAGGGCTTAGAGTTAGTTAGTTACATGGATCCCTCTCGGCTACCTACTCATTCGATGCACCTACCAAGTCATGTATTGTACCTCGGTGCGGTTATAGAAAAGAAAGGCCATACATACTTCTCACCTCTCCTTTCCCTCTGGTCTTTTCATGTCTGTTCCCCCACATCCATCCCTATCCCGTGCTTCTACTTACCTACCTACCTACCTTCCTTGCATCAAGGCCATATCATCAAAAGGGGTTATAACAAATGCACGATGAGAAGGGAAGAGTGAATGAAGATGATTTTTTTAATTAAACAAAAACGCCTAAATGGAATTATTCATCCCTACGTTTCACTTCCGCCAGACGTCTGGCGCGAATCTCCCCGATATCTCATGACGAATGAAATGCATCAAGAGCCGACTCGCTAACCCGTTCGTCTCGACTTGACTCAACATGACTCCACGCTCTAACCGCCAGCGACTTATTGATAGTCATGCGCCTCCTTGATTCGCCTCGCTGATGTATGATTTTATGTTTATGCTTCATGGTATATATATACAAGTAGGATATTGACCCCCTCAGCCGTCGATCAGCAGCAGTGGCAGCAACGAGCAAAGTTCCTTCCCCAAGGGATTACCTGTTTCCTCTGAGCAGCAATAGCAAAAAATATGCTTCGGTCAGATCGGTCAAAACAACATCCGCTTATTTAGGTTGTTGGTGTGTTGGAGTGGGAGACGCCGGTATGGGCATCGAGGCAATTGTGTTCAAGTTCTGCAGGCGATGATGCAGATGATGGTGGGAGATACCTTCCTCGCTGTCACTCGCTTCTTCCAGTGACTTACGAGTACGATCGATACTATTCCGTCTACTAGCATTTCGGCTAGCCTGTCGACTCTGGCGACGACTCGCAGCTTGTTGGCTAGAGTAGTACGAGTTGTGACGAGACGCCGATATACGATCACCGGGACGCTTTTGCATCATTTCGGCTGTTGGGGTTGGAGCAGTGGTGGGTCGGGAGTGGGTGTGGGCTGTTGCTGGTCGATCTCCTGCTGTCGATGTGCGATGAAGATGGGCACCACCAAGGTCTGCGTTACCCTGGGCTAGACTTTGCGCAAAAGGTGACCGTTTTCGGAGCACTGGGCCCTTCCAGTACACGACGTATACGGCGATCACTAGGACGAATGCGATACAGAATAGAATAGTCGAGGCATACTCCAAGTTCTTTCCCTTTTCAGCACCGATGTTGGTGTAAAAGGGAGTTGCCGGAATGGTGAGCACACCAGCCAAAAAGTCACGAGCCCAACCATTTCCACCCGTTGCCGAGGCTGAATACGGACCGTACGCACAGATCATGTAATCAATAGTCGCCATGTAAATTGCGTAGTTAGCAATACCGATGATGCAGGTTCCAAACATGGTGCCAATCCAGTGGAGCGGCGGGCCGCTGCTTGTCCAGGCGAATATAATGAGACCGATGGGTAGGCAAGGAGCTAACCAGAGAAGCAAAGACATTCGAGATTCGTACTGGACATGCTCGTCTTCGGGGTACTTCTCACGACGGCGTTGGTTTCGCTTGAAGGCGGGCAGGAAAAGAAGCCAAGCAAGGATATAGCCGACGCCAATGGGAACAAATGCGAGCCCGATCTCGTAGGCATTGAAACCCCATTGGTTGTAGACGAGTGCAAGAGACTGGATCTGCATGAAGATTAAAGCATCCGAGAATCCTGAGAGCAGCGATAGCGAAAGGACAATGGGTTCGGTAAGGAACATTCGGAAGGGGCGTAGCCACGTGTGGATCAGCTCATTGAACGTGAATCGTGCCCAGAAAGATTCTATCTCGTCGGGGCCCCAGATGTTAGTATCTACCCCTGTCTTTCTGCGCTTCTTGGCGATGTTGTTCATCATAATGGTGGTACGGGTCTCTGGTACGGTGAACAAGTGAAGTAGCTGCACGGTGCCGCCGAAGATCAGCTGAATCCAGGTGCACCACTTCCAGGCTTCGTGGACTGGCACGAAGTATTCGACGAAACCACCGACAATTGGGCCAAGAATAGATCCACCGACGGACGAAAAGACGCTTAAACAAAGTATTAGTTTGATCAGATCACATTTTGGTCCCGTGTCCATTCACTGTACGGGTACGTTAAGAATAGGGAGAGATCATATTACTCACATATAGGCCACAGCATACTGCTGTCTGTCACTCTCGAACATGTCAGCTACCATACCAAGCGTCACACTTCCTCCGGCAGTGGCGAGACCACCAAGGGCCCTGCCTGCTAGCAAGCAGCCGAAGTTGGGAGCTAGAGCGACAGGTAGGGTGAAAATGTTGACGAAAAACAGAGAAGCCTGCAAAACCGGTTTACGGCCAATCTCTTCAGACCATGGAGCCCATAATTCACAGCCAAAGGCATAGGTGACGAGGAAGATGGCGGCACCAAGACGGGCAGCCTGCTCGCTTACGTTGAATTCCTCTGCGATTCCCTTCAGGCCATTGGAGTAAAGCGATGTGTTAAAGTTCATCGAAGTTTGGACCAGGAAGATGACGGTGAGAATCCACCACTTCTTCCACTTGGGGAAAGAGAATCCGAGTTCGCCCTCACAGTCCTCTTCCTTGAGCTCACGTTTGCCCGTCTCGGCCTTGATCCTCTCCTTTTCAGCCGTTCTGCCAGCGATAGTAGGGTCGATGGCACCCATAGCAGCATTGCCCACAGTCTCCTCGGAACTGTAGGTCGGACGCTCCTCGGTAGGCCCAAACGTGCTGGGCCACTCTTTGGAAGCCATGGTGGTCGGGACAAGTAGTAACGCGGAGAGTCAAGGGATGGGTGGAACAACAGGCCTGTTTACTGGAATATGATGATGTCTAGGCAAGACAATTGGACTAAGACCACCCAGTCCAAGAGGAAGGGAGGAAAGGAAAGGGGGGAGGACGACGTAATAAACAAAATTGGACCGACAAGCCCTTGGAATGGACCTGGGGTAATATGATGTGGGTGGCTTGTGAAGTGGGTTTCGAGTCTAAGACAAAAGACTGGTGGTAACAAAGTTGGAAAGTATTTGCCTCCGGTCTGGGGATAGTCTCCAGTTATATAGGGTGAGATGACGGCGAGCTGGACCGAGGAGCTTATAAATGGTAACCGCGAGAAAAGACGGTGCTGACTGCACAGACTATACAAACTATATACAAGCTACAAACTAATACCAGGCACTGGTAACCGAGTAACCAAAAAAGAAAGCTAGTGAATCTTAAGAGGAATAAGACAAGAAGAGCCCGACCGAACCGTTGGACAGAAAAAAGTGGAAAGTCATCAGGGACATCGGAACCAGTCCAGTGACAAGACGAGTTTTTGGGATGCAATGGATGCAATAGATGTCAGCTAGTCGGTCAGTCCACATTATGGGCATACAGTACACTATGGATACCCCTACTTGGGGAGCTACCTACATGTACATACATGCTAGGTAATTGATGTGTGTACGACAAGACAGCATATACTAGCATATACAGATTATGTATTCTTCATGTATGAGTATGCACTTTCATGCAACTTGCAATGTGAATATGTAGGTACTGATCGAACTATCACGGCCAGTACGATATGTACAGTTACATGGTTCTAGGTAGACAGGTTGAGGCAAGAATCTAATAACCCCTGTTCGTTTTCTTTCCGGACGTACATGCATAGTACATGGCGATGCCGGGACTACCCTACGGATTGCAACCAGGAATCCTTCAACTTGGAGAAGTCTCTGGGGTTCTTTGGGGGGAAACGGATTGGCATGTAATCTGTATTCTGTGTTGGACAATCGGATAGAAGGGGAATGGAATTAGGCTTCTAAGAAGGAATAGGCAGTTCAGAATGGTCCTCCAACCCGCCCTCACAGACATGACGACAGTATGATTGTAGGTTGGGCTTTCGGTGGCTATCTCGGCCAGCAGAGCTAGGTTCATACCTAGTAGTGTGTGTATTTGATGAAATCGGGTGAAATCCCACCAGACAACGACATATTTGTGACATGGTAAGGAAGTCTGGGTAGGGAGGATTTGGCAGATCCGGGGCTCCCCTTGGGGTTGAACCGGATGCAGGATTTCCAGTCAGACGACCCCCATGTATCCATGCAGCCTGCCCATGGGCACGATATTTTTCTCAATTTTTTATTCTGGGGAATGCGGGAAATAATAGAATTGTTTTATTCATTAAAATGTGGAACACGGGGTGGAATATTCCAGGTACATGCCTAGCACTGTAAAAAAAATAAAGGAAAAAGGAATTCTAAAAAAAAGGCTTGAAGGATGACACCTGGAGTGATAAGGAAATATTTACCTAACATTAACATTACTTACCTTCACGTGGAGTTCTGTTAAAAAGGCCGAGCGCGTTGTGCGAGGTGAAAAGTGCTTTGTTGACAGTAACTATGTAGTAGTATGTATGTAGAGTAGTAAGATGAGATGAGAAAAAAACAAACTGAAGATGACGGTGATGACGATAGAGAACTAGTACCTACTAAGCTCTAAGCACGGAGCCTCAGAGAAAGGCTTATAAGATGATGTCATTTGGTGGGACTCGCTAGGTAATATCGCTACTAAATACGTAGATAAGGTACATGGCTACTGTGAGAAGACTTCACTCATTGATGTTATTGGATTCGATATTCATTGTCTTTTTTGGGGAAACTCTTAACATTGAAAGCTTCAATGTTCATATGATGAAGGGTCCTTCTCTCGCTTGACACCCTCCTTTTATCCCATGTGGATGTCAACTACGTCGAACTTACTACCTTCTATACTTACCGTGACCGCCTGTCTATTTCTTTGTGACCATGATGCAAGGTTATGATGTAGTTACTTTAGCTTTCATCAGCTGGGTCTAGCTACCTTATACCACCTTATTTTTGCCATATGGCATATTACTCTACCCCCCGACTTTAACATGCAGTATCACTTGGATATAACAAGGCCAATTACCCTCATTGCGTTTCAATTTCTCTGGTCTGGCCTGTCTGAACCCGACAACCGCGCATAGCCCCATTAAAAAGCCTGGGCTGGTTGGGTTGCACGCAACACCGCGAAAAAAAACACCGCAAACTTCCGTGACACCGCCCGCACTTTGGTGGCTGATTGGGAGGTATCACACTCCACACTCACACCCACACGGCGCAGCCAACCTGCACGGTGCACCGGGCTTGCTACGAGAACACTTCCAAGGGGGGACCAGACATTGGGCTGCTCTGCGGAGCTCGCTACCGTATCTCGGTAACCAATTCAAATGCGGGAGGCTTTTGGTACTCATGTAGAGGTTTCTAAGGGTTGTAGTCTACTTGTAGATGATTAGACGAAATAACATGTTTGCTACCCAACCTCAAATTGCTAACTGAATTAAACGTGGGGTTTGAATGGGGGTTGAGCGGATGCTAATCCCCAGAATGGGATGCCGGTGGCATCCATCTCTTCCTTTGACGTTCAGGGCTAGGCATGCATGGGCTACCGAAAAGCATTGACCTTTGGCATCTGTAGCCGCTCGAGCTAGGTGTGCCAAGGTGAGAGAGTCCGCCAAAGTCATATGGATTATGATAGTTCCATAGTAACTACTCCGTACTTACCTGCCTTCAAGCTTGTACTAGTTAGTCAATATGGTGTGCATTAACTACCTAACTTCATTTGGGGTTCCGGAATGTGATATAGGTCGACGCAGCTAATACGGACGATGTTAAGAAATAGAAATAACGAAAAGTACAGAGATTGCGGCGAAAAACAACATCGAAATCCTCGAGTCTGAGTGCGCTAAGTACGTTTGTAACCTAGCGTTTGCGAAACATTACCAGATACGTCATTACACACAGGACATTGAAGTACATATGGCAACTTGACAAGTTACATATGAAAGTCCAGGGTTACCCTTCTCTCGGCCCTTGCTCTGCACGTTTTAACCCTATTCTAGTTTAGCATGCCGTGTAGAGGAAAGCGACTCCCGGCGCTTTGTTTGCTTGGCTTCCTGCGATAGGGTGATGAGGCGCGCCTCCTTCTATTTGATTTTTTTTTCTTTTCTTTTTCTTTTCAATGTTCAGTCACCACTCGCCACAAATTAGCTTTAAAGATAAAGGGGCACGTGAATACATAGCGTAGTAGGCATAATGGGTATGAAGGTTTATAGGAACGTTAGATCATGCCACCCCCGCAATCTTACATAGTATGATGACGATTATCTTCCAACTTATAGAAGATAGGATAGTATAGTAGGCAGTTACTACCTACCTAAGAGGAAGTTATCGAACTATCTATCACGTTGTACGTTGGATGGACATTCATGAAACTAGTCGTATCGGAAACTGAGCACCTAGGTATCATTAACATAGTGCTGTCGGGTCAAGTCAAGCTTTATCGTAGTGCCTTGGAGGTCCTTAGCGCCAATATCCCAAGCCGTCAGCCATACAAGGATACGTATTGTACTATGTACATAACTAGTATGAATACCTATGTAACTAGTAGCCCGTCGGTGCCTATTTACGTCTTTCTGGACCTGGGAGGAATAACATTGAAGTCTGGACTTCTTCTAATTACTACCTACTCTTTTTCATTAATCCCATAAAATCCATCATCCTACATAATCCCACCAGGAACCAATTACCAAAAAAAAAAAATACCATATAAAGATATTGTTACGGCAAAGTAACTAACCTAGTCTGCTAGTCCCAGCACGCTACTCTACTAGCCTCTAGGTACTCTAGCATTGCAAGAATGATTATCCTTGCCTCTTAAACATATCGGTCATTTATATTTAGACATACAAGGCACACGGCAGATGGCTCCATCTATGGATGCAATTCGGTCCGTATGTTCTGTTAGTCTCTTCGATCACCACACTAAAATCGAGCAATCCATGACAACACTTAGGTAATGGATCTTTTTGCAACCTGGCAACGCCATGCCATGTGCTGTGTTTGTGGCAATATTGAAGGATATATTTCGGTCTCTTGAGTCGGTGTCTAGGAAGTAACTGATATTATTATGTGTCCTTTTATTATTATACATACCTCACCGTTGAAGGGTTTCTTACTTAGATGTATGCAATGCACTACTGTATGGAATGCACTACATATGTATGTATAGTCTAATGCTCCAAGTTCAATGTTTGATTCATCTGCTTATGTATCTGCTTCTATGCAGTACTTACCTACACTACGACATACTGATTAGTATACATACTAGGTACATATGTAAGCGCAAATCTTGAAATTTTCCATGTTTGAAGTTACATGTAGTACGACACAACATTGAACTTGAAGCCTTACGGATAGTTACCTAGTAGCCACTTTACTGTCAAAGTACTAACCTAGGTACATAGTAGCGCCATTCAAAAAAATATGCTAACCCACATGCAGGCAGCTACGCTAGTAGGTAGGTCATCTACTTCCGTGAACTATAGAATTAGTGCGTACCTGCCTACATATGTAGCTTCAATGTCCATCGACGGCGCGTGGGGGTTAATTCTGCATTGTCCCGTACATAGTTCATCTCCTCTTCCTCCTTGGTATTCGTTACATTACTGCGACTACTAGTTATCTGGCGTCTGAAAACTGAAATAAATGCCAGGCCAGAATAGACCAGACTAGACCAGACCAAACTTCCGAGGCCGAAAGCAACATTGAACGATGAAGGGGCTAGACCGTCAACGACCGGAACTCCAAATCGCATCGTAGATTAGGGAACACAAAGTACAGAGACATCGTTCATCGTCTCCGGCGATAATCTACGATCATGTTTCATAGATCGCAGTGAGAAATGCACGCTTGCTGTTTGAAACAACATAGGGGCAAACATGGCGGTGGTCTATCGCAGTCCACTCTCTCCACACTCCGATGTTCCAGGAGGCTTGCGATATTCCCATCCGTGGTTGCATTCGGTTTTATGTCTACATTCATGTGACACCTTACACGTTCTGTTCTCCGCAACGTATGCGCGCCTCTCAATGACCGGCTTCCCCATGGGGTTCGAGTTACCTTTCGTTCCTTTAACCGTGTATAGGTGGTAGATGGCCGTTCCAGGCCCTTTAAGTTGATATAATATCTCTTATATGATAGAAAGATATCAAAGTCTAGTTCGATCGGCAGGCAAGTACCCCATCTTCAGCCGCATTCAGTACCATGCCGGTGAGTCGTCTTGAGACGCAATATCGACCTCTTTTCCATTGTCAGATATCACTAACGTACGCACAACATAGGTACATACATATGTATACCGGCGGCTTACGCCCCTCACGCCCGGTCAGCCAAATGGGAAAAGGGATGGTTTTTTTTTTTTCTTTTTCTTTTCCAAGCTAGTGCAGATGCAGAACAGAGACACGTACCTACCAAGCGTAGGTACCTACCTATGTATGCAGTATGCGGGAAGCTAGCCGTCAGCAAGGACGAGGGTCAAACAACTGCGGCTGTCATAGGGTCGCCTGTGATAATCGCTGACAATGCTGCACCTCCTCACTTTTAGCCCAAACTGAAAGTCAGGTTTGCCAAGCAACATACTCATCACACAGTTTAGCTGGTGTTCGGGGAGATCATAGCCCTAGCCTAGGTTTATCACCATCACCTCTGACTAAATGCCGGCCGCAACACGTATGGTCGGCGTGGACGGGAATAGACACCTCGTTTACAAGAAATGTTACTTCCGGGCTGCTGCCCAACCTACAACACCAAGAAACGGGAGTGTAAACTTGAAGTCGGCCAGCGCCGATGATAAGACGACACCTACATACAAATTGATAGTGGCCATATAAAGAGAATCGCGGCATATCGATGATATGTATTGAAGACAAATCTAGACCGCAATGTTGCGGGCTTGTCAGGTTATCTCACGCAGATTTCATTTGTTATCTGCCATAGCTTCAAATTGTGCGGAGAGTAAGCTGACTCGATGAACCATCTTGCTTAGCATCAATGTGAGGTCTGGTTCTACGCGATATCCCTTAGGCACAGGTCAGAAAGGTGCAACAGAATAGATTTATCAAGCTGTGCCGCAGTCTCGCGCAGAATGCGCCGATTTAACAAACTCGGCAATAATCCCGATTGGAACCGCTTCAGGCCCTTGCCGGTGCTGTCAACAATAGGAAAAATCACACCAATGCAATGCTTCAGGGATTTTCATTGTCTGCCCTGGTCCTTTCAGCGGTACTTTAAACCAATGGACTGGAATGCCGTGCTTGCCTACCAATAGTAATCCTGGAGCCATCGTCGTAAAACCAAACACCATGTTTCGAGAATCCCCATTCGAAGTGCTTCTGTCACACGGTGTCAAAACTTATTATTCATCGGTAAACCAAGTTTTTTATAAAAATATGTCGCTATACATGGCTCTTTCGTGTTCAACAAACGTCTAAACTTACCCATCCCGGAAGCAACGGACAGTTTCTGTTAAGTGAACGTACATAAAACTTAAGGAGCATCAATGACCTTGGTCTTATGGTTGTAACCTTGCCCGAGAAGTAAGTTCACCACACCAGTGAAAGTTAACTTTACATCGAATGTTCTAATTCTGGGGTGCTTCCCGTGTACAAGATAGTCGAAAAACTTCCACTACACCACATAGAAGTTGCAACCACCCGTATTCAAGGGTCTTGTTGCCATGCAATATCATCCTTCCCATATACCTCCAACTCGAAGCTTGCCCCTCTGCAAGCAAGCAAGGGACGCGCAAGGAAGATCCTCAACAAGGGATATCCTCGACGTCCAAGGATATGTGCATACTCTCCCGTATGACATGCAGCTAATTCGGATTATTTCGGAGACGTAGTGTTGATAGTCAAATCTGGGCTGGCCTAATGCCGGTAGACAACACTAGACAGGTTACCCTTACTTACTATCTTGTTTTTTGGGGACGACCTCGAGCACATTAGTATTGCTAAGAATTTTCTAGAATTCCAGGCTAACAATGCTCGCGTTGGTAGACCAAAGTGGATGGATACCACTCCAAACTCATAGACATAGGTCTTGGCAGTCAAAAATGCCTCGTGCTGGAGCATGAGTGCGGTATCCGAACATCGGATCTTCTCCAGTGTTGACCTTTTGAGCAACCATCGAGATGCCGAATGCTGTCGCCATCATATCCGAGGGAACGCCACATAAAGCGTGTAAGGCGGCAGAGCGGAGGAGAGGCATCTTTCAGTTTCCTTCTATAGGCATCCAGAAACCTGGGACGGCAAGGTGGGTGACAGCTAATGTTACTAACACCAAGCTCGCCATTGCCGGTATGATTTGAGATATCTCCCAAGTTAGCCAGGATCAACAACTTTGTCGCCAACCTTAGCGCCGGATGCCCGAGGAGATGGAGCATTGGGACCGTTGGAAACAACATTGATGGAGGTCAGCTTTTCAGGCCGCTAAATTATGACTCGGTGTAGAATTAGGTATCGAAATCATATTTGCTTCATTCCACCTCCCACATTATTAGTTGTTTCTTTGTTTCTGATTAAAAAGCACGCATAATTTGATTACTAGCTTGCTAGCTGTTCAAGTATCCGTCGACCCCTGACGGTTAAGAACTTCTGAATCGATAGATCCAGATCCGTAGTCTGTGCTACTTTCGGCACCTGCGTTTGACGGGTCAGCGGATACGAAATGGATCTTGGTATGTTGGCCAGCACCGCTCGGTATCCGGTCAGCAAACCATTGCTTGTATGCGGTTTTGCATTCTGCAAAGGGCAGGCCGTCCTCGGGCACCTCGACAAAGGTGTTGTTGGGTCCCGGGACGAAGTGGCGGGCAGGCAACACCTCCACCTCGAATATTGGCTGGATTCTATGGTATATGTCGTAGTTGTGGATGTCGCGGTAGATCTTCTCCTCCACGACCTCATGTTCGGATGGACGAACAGTTTCGTGAGTGACAGCTACAAGGGGTTCATCAGCTAGTTTCGCCAGCGCTTTGGCGGGAGGATATCACTACTAACCTGGGGCATGAGATGTCGTCTGCTCGGTCTCTACCGTGGTGTCAATACCAGATGCAACATTCTTGTCTTTTGCAGACTTGTACGATTCCTCGACGTTGTCCCCCTTCCCCTCCTCGGCCAAGCCGCCATTCGGTTGGCCATTCGGTATATCCTTGGATATCTCTGCTGCTTCTTTATTCTGCATCTCCAAAAGCTTCTGTCTTCTCTTGAGCACGCTTGTGGGTACGTATATACCCTCAGTTTGTACCTGGGCGTCTGTGCGGTGAGTTGTAGGGGCAGCTCTTGTTGGATGTGGTACGCTCGCTTCGTTTGGCTCATGGATAGTATGAAGTGAGCTTTTAACAGACTTTTGCGGGTCTCTGGCACTGGCATCCGCGATTGTGGATTGGCTGGGGCTAGAACTGTTCGTAGGCACATGCGAGTTGCCGGTATGTTTTGTACTATTTTCATTATGTCTCACGCCGTTCGTTTCGGCGTGGCTGCTAGACTGTTCACCTGTCGTGGGCCCATTGGAAGAGTCTAGATCTTCTGGGTCGTGAAATGGCCGATCTTGCTTCGTATCCTCATCGTGGCTTCGTTTGTGACTGTGAAGGACAGCTTTCAGTTTCCGCATAATGCCAATTATGATACTCTGAACAGCGTGTAGATTCTGGAGGAAGCAAGTAGTAGAAGAGACAGACGAATGCCTACGTAAAAGGTCGCACCCACTCTGACATTAACAAGCCCCGGAATTTACGCAATGGTGGGAGCTACTTGAAGCTCTCAATTTACATCCATGGATAGCTGTTATGGAGCTTTTTTGGTAGTGCTATGCAAGTAAGTGTATGACGTTGACGAACTCTTAACAATGCCCTTCAAATTTTGTCATGGTGTCTCATCATCTTTTACAGTAAGAGACATGTCATGAATAAATCATGCTTATGGGTTTCAGCTGGATCCGGCCGGCAATCCATACCTAGCCGGCTTTTGTTTTCGCATAACAGATAATCTTGACACGGGGTAACCCAGCTGATGTTGTAGGAACGTTGCTGTGGACATCTGGAATGCATCGCATACCTCTGCCATTAGTACCTAGGCAGCTACTAGGCAAGCTTGGAAATGAGCTTGTCAATGATAAAGAGCTATTCAAACTATGGGCGCTTTGGTTCACATGATATCATCATTGCTCCAGTCGATTGTCTGAAAGTGTCTAAACGACTCAGTTTAACATCATTAATGCATTCTCGAGTCAATTCCCCCCTTTTCTTCAGCCCGATTCGCTACTCTTGGCATTGACTCTTGTCCAGTAGTAGCACTGCATCTTAGTATCTTTAGTCTTTTGACCTGGCCGCAACGTGGGAGATAGAAAGACAGGAAACACACTTGATGCAGCATGTCATTCCTACCGGATATATTCCATTCATTACCAAATAGCTTGCGATAGCAGCCAAGGTCTTGACGTATACTCCTCTACTGCGAGTCCGCATCCGTCGCCATGCCTTGGTCGGAGTGGGATAACAAAACAAAAACTTGTAATGTCTATTACGTCGTCTCTTCATCAACTGATATATAAGAGCATCTTCGTTCATGTGACGGAATTGTGTTGTCACGACCCATTGATAACGCCCCATTATTGGAATCTATATCATTTTCCTGTGCACCACACAATCTCTAAACTCTTTTATCACCTATCAACATTTTTATAATCATCATCCAATATGAACAAGACAAAGGACGCAATCCGTGATTTCATAGGCAAGAGCGGCCAGCATGACACCACGGTGCATGAGTCGGTCTCGCCAGCCATCAAGAAGGAGACCGTGAAGCAGACGGAGCACGAGGACGTCAACACGGCCATCAACAAGGAGATCCACCAGGATCACTACCACCGCACAATCCAACCTGTGCACGACAAGGAGGTCCTCCCAGAGCAGCACGAGCACCGCGTGGGCGCTGTCCAGCATCGGGACCATGATCATCGAGACCACGAAGCCACCAAGCGGGCCTTGGCAAAGGAGAATGAGCAGTTCAAAGACGAGCGGGTGATTGAGGGTAAAACCCACACACAAAGCCATGGGGCTGCGGTTGAGGGCGAGCATATTCATCAGTGAGCCTCATTCCCATGCATGTCTAGTAGCTCTACATTATTGACACATCTTCACAGCCACGTCCACGAAACCGTGCAACCCGTGATTCACAAGGAGACCATCCAGCCCAACGTCGTGCACACGACCGTCCCCATCCACGAGACGCACCACAACCCCGCCCAGCACCACTCGACCTCCGCCCTGCCCGCCATGAGCATGCACGAGTTCGAGCAGCAGGGCAGCGCCATAGGCGGCAGCAAAGAGCGCTTCGACGCCTTCGAAGGCGAGCCCAAGACCATCCGCGGCAGCCTCCAGAACCTCGCTGACAACAAGAATCAAGGGCTCAAGAACCCCCCCGAGGGCGTCTTCCACGGCGACTACGACCCGTTGGATGGCGGGAGCGGGCATCACCAGCACCAGTCGAGCGGTGGCGTGGGGGGCGCGCACACTCATGGCAATGGCAGCAAGTCCGGCAGCGGCGGCATCAGCGACAAGATCGTGGGCACGGCGTCGGGCGGCTCCGGCGCGAATGCGCAGCGGGAGCAGCGGCTAGCGGGTCAGCAGACGCAGACGCAGACGCAGCAGTTTGGCAGCAGCAGCAGCGGCGGTGGGGGGCTGCGAGATACTACGGCGTCGAACACCCGTCATGATGCTGGCTATGGGGAGTCGACAGCGTCGAAGCAGAAGAGCAACCCGAGCTTGCTGGATAAGCTGAACCCGATGGTCGACTCGAATGGTGATGGGAAGTCGGGGTTTATGAAATGAGTCTGAGATAATATGAGACATGGTGAGGGGGATAAGGTGGGTGGTATGACGCGGAATCTCTAGTGTAGTGTTTTCCCGTACCATGATGGTAATAATTAAAACCCTTGATGTTTGCTATATTTTTGCTTTTTTCCATTCATTCATTGATTGCTTACCCAGCAATGAAATTTTGATCTTTTTGGTATGTACGTAGTAGGTGTATATCGTAACTCTGACCTGAGAGAATACACAGCCACGGCAAAAGGTGAGTGATTAGTGTAGTCTTTCTCATTACCTACACAGTTACCTGCCCTTAGTCTATGTCAGCATACCGATATAACCCCTGAATTGCAGCTGGTAATAGAGCACCCACCTACTGCTGGCCTAGGCACTTAGGCAGGCACACAGGGAATGATCGTTTCGTCGCAATTCACGTACAATCATCATGAATGGGATAGGCTACGACGAAGCCTGTATCAAAGGTTAAACTCATTTTAAGACTTCCAATAATACTACTCGAGAGGAGAAATGGATGAACATGTGGAGAATGCCCTTCGGTTCCGGAGGTCTGGACCGCTGACGGTGAAGGGAGGGGAGGAAACCGGGGAAAGATGGATGCTCAGGTTTAAATTGCCAAGCAACTGGAAGTACACGGACGTTGGCCATGGTAACTACTTTTAGCTGCCAATTGATGGATCGGTTGGATCCCGAATCTACCGTACCACTGGAGCCGTCGCTTAGGCTGGAAACTCTCTGGCTGGGTTGCCTCATTTTAGTGTACCCACGAACCGAACCGAGCCGAAGATCTTAAGTTACTTGCCCTAAACGCGTCGATGCCTGCTTACATCGTCATCTCATCGCTCGCTGAGATTGGTCCTAACTGCCTAGGCAGCGATGGTGATAGGCTTATTAAACGGAGTCTCGACGCGACTTTATGTACAATTTATGATGGTCGGTTGTAATCTTCCAAGGTTCCAAGGGTCCGAGGTTTCCTCCACAACATTGCACAACACTTAACAGGTAACTGACTGCCTACTATCCCATCCTCCTCGCGTAGAGGTAGACTACCGTGTAAATCGTGGCTGCGGCTGAATCTTGGCGTCCACCAATCTCATCTCTCCCTGGAGCCAAAAAAAAAAAGAAAAAGGCAATAAGTTGGAATGGGGGGTCCCAGGCCCTCCTGGTCTTCTGGCCCCCTGTCTATTAATGGATCTAGTCTAGCCGCTTTTAAGATAGCGCGGTACATTGGAAAGAAAGAGATAAATTTCTACAATCTAATTGGTTAAAAAAGCTCCAACTGCCATTCTGAGCATAGCTCCTCAAATCCAGCCAATTGAACCATCCCACTGTTCCCCTTTGGGTTTAGCTTTTTCTGATTTCGGTCCTAGTGCAAATAATATGCTTAATTCGGACAAACGTCTCATTTGGATCCGGATAAATCTTGGCTTGCTTAAGAGGCTTAAGCCTTTCCACTAGCCGTTTTAAGCTAATACATCTAGCTTCAAATAGCCAATCGGATCAAGAGTTGATCCACTGCTTTACCTGCTTTTTCGAAAAGCAGCCTTTTGATTGGATCGTTAGCTTCAATCGGAAAAACCGTTTGAGCCGCTTCAAGTATGTCACGTGACTTACGAGGGGTTTGCGTCCAATCAAAAGGCTCGATTTGGATCAGCTGAAGCAGTTGTTGATTTGTCCTTGTATGGTGTTTCGTGTGTACATGTAGCTAATGTTGCAAGATATTGTAACAAAAATCAAATAATATGATTGATCAGCTGATGAGGTGATGAGATTTGATTGGCTGAATAAAAAAAAAAACAATTAAAAATGTAATAGTGGAAGTACATGAACACATAAATTAAAAAGCGGAACCTTTGTTGAACCGCGCACTTTTATTGGCTTTTAAAAGACGCTACTTTACAGGGGGCCGAAGGACTTGGAGGGCCTGGGACCCCCCATTCCAACTTAGTTGTACCTCTTGAACGGTACCGACCGCGGCACTAATCCGCCTCGCTACGAGCTGTGCTAATAATAAGAGGCGGGACGGTTCGTTCGTCCCTACAGCAGGGCTGCCAGGTCCGGGCGCTTCTGTTATTTACTGGGTATGTATCGAATATTACCTAGGTACTTAATCTGAGTTTCGATCTCAGGGGTTGTTTACGACGACATGTTAGTAGGATAGGGGGGTGGACTACATTCATAGAAAGTGATTCAATTAATGCTACGTGTAGAGCAAAGTATGTAGGTGTATTTAGGAATCATAAACAATAGATAGGTATTAATACAATACTAGTACAATCTTCAAAATCTAAGTAATAATAACATCAAGAAAAGTAGTACGGCGTAGCATAGTGCAGCTAGATAGGTACCTATTCTTAGAACGTATGTGAATTATGTTAATTTTCTTTTTCAAATCTCAGTATGAAACATGCCTGATCCTCCATCCGATGTAGATATTTCCTATCTACTAGTTATACATCAACTTCTTTCTGCACGATGACCGCTGCCGGTGCCTTCTGAGGGTCACTCAGCAGCGAATCCTGACTGTCGTTGTTTTGCGGATTTCGACTACCTCGAGGATCCGGTCGAACTTGGCTCAAATTTTTCGATTGGTTTTCTAACTGTATATTCGTACGCGTTCTTGAGGACTGTGAGTTCATCGTGGTCTTTAGCTTGTTGAAACAAAGGCCCGGGGCTTTGCGGAGGGGCGGGAGCGATGCTGCGATGAATGCGAGAGCGCCTTCGATAATACACCATAGTAGAATGTTGGCCTCGCCCCCTGCACACCGATCACAGTTAGTCGTCAAAGCTCACAAAGAACCTTCCGGATATAATAGTGTAAAAATGAAGTGACGGGCAAAGGGAGGGAAAGGGTCGTCTTACAAAGGCGATCTTTTTCGGCAGTGTAGTATTTCAAGTACGGCATTCGCCCAATGCTAGCTAAGCTGGCAAAGATGCCCAAGCCGAGGGTGATCATAAGCGGCACCTTCTGGTGCGGCCTAATCTGGAGCTTGCGAACAAGGAGGATGGGAATGATGGCACAAGTCCAGTCCGTCAAGACTGTGATAACGGATACAGCATAGCTAAGTATCGCGATGATGGTGTAATCCCCACAGGATCCTAACGAGGGATCCCACTGAGCTGCAAGCGGCTTGCATAGTGTGATGACCACCACGCCTGGAACAACACACCCAACAATGGTTGCAATGATTACGCACCAGAGTGGATAACGATATCGCTTGTCTGGCGAGATTCGCAACATGAAAACCGCAATGGAAGCTTTGACCAGAATCGTAAAGCCCGCTTCAGATAGCTGAAAGAAAAATACGAGCTCGAGGGCAAGTGATTTTTGCTCCGCGTTGAGCTTGCCGTCGCGTGATCCGATTCCATAATAGGCCCCTACGATGGTAAAGACACACGCTGCAATGAAAAATAGCTGTTACGTGGAAAAGAAAAAGAAGAAAAGTCAGTAAATGCTGGCTTATACTTCGTCGTGTGCCTATTATGTAGGCAGGTACCCGTAGGAATGAGATATATGAAGACGTACCAACCCCAAGCAAATCAACCAGTCATCTTTCCCCCAGCCATTCGGTTCTATCCTCGACGCCCGGAGCCAATATCGGAACCATATTCGAAAAGTGACGATGATGGTGGTTAATATCCCCAAGGCCCAAGTGAAGCCGATTAAGATCTGTCCCCGTGTCTCCGGTTCGATTGTCGCTGGTGCCATTTTGTTTCAACTTAGCCCTGGGACGAAGATATTCCAAACTTGACTTGGACTCGAGAACAGAACTATACACCTGCATCGTAGAACTTCACGAAATTACCTAGGCAATTGCTTTTTATTGTGCGACCTTCACATATTAATGTAGACTTCCACATGCCACCCTTTGCCCATTGCGTTCTACAACCGTACGGAAGCACCAGCCGATATTCCTGGGTCTGGGGTAGCACGGTGGACGGTTCACTCCGTTGCGGTTTATGGCTCAAGGCAGCATCCTGTAGGGCCAGTCATCCTGCCCAGAAGCCGGGGTGGTGGTACTGGCATAGAAAGTCTCAGTACACTACCTATGTAGGTAAGGTCTCTCTGCAACCCTGCCCAGGTGGTGCTGGGACTGATGTAATCCAATTAGATCATCTCAAATGCCAATTCGTAATTCTGCACGGCTGTGTAGAGTTGGAGAGCTTCATTCTCACTGTGTGATAACGAGGCAGCAACTTTTTCGAACGTTAACCAAATTATAGGAATTCATGTTTTATGAAGAAGGGTCGTGCTTTGAATTGGAATAGGGGGTCTAAAGCTCTCCCTTGTAGCAAATCTGCAATACGACAAGCCACATAAACTGGTACAAGAGGCCTCGCTCAAGACTTGTACTGCACGAGCTACTCTCTTGCCTGGTCACATTATACTTTTCTGCGTCCAACCACTATGGATGTCGTCGTTTGCGCCAGCATTGCCGCCATCGAGTGGTTGGTCCTTCTCGTTCTCGGCGGCGTCTTCCAGCTTGGCTACGCTACGCCGAAGACGGCACTAATCCTTTTCTCGCTTCAATACGGGCTCATCAAATTTTACCGAGTATTTCTTTACCATCGTTATGTTTCCCCGTTTCGACACCTTCCCGGCCCGACCGTAAGCTCCAGTCTAGGCACATGCGGCAATGATCGCGCAATGGCTAACAATAAACCACTTGTAGAATAACCACTTCTTTTTCGGCCAAGCCATCAACTTCATCAAGTGCAAGTCACCGCCAGAGTTGTATCTCAATTGGATGAAAGAATTCCCCGAAGCACCCGTTATTAGATATCTGACATTCGCAAACACGGAAGTGCTGGTAAGTGGCGCACTGCAAGCCCCTCAGTCTGTCTGACGCCTTCCCTAGTAACCCTATAACTAATAGGGGTTCCCAACACACGTATGCTGCTAACATCTCCCAGGTATGCAACAGTCTAAACGCCTTCAAGGACGTATTACAAACCAGGTGCTACGCTTTCCACAAGCCGGTAAGATGGCGACGCATGATGGTAGAGATCACTGGCAAGGGTGTTCTATCACTGGAGGGCGAGGAGCACCGCCAACACCGGAAGATGTTGACGGGCGCATTCTCGACACCTAATGTCAGGAAGCTCGATCCCGTCTTTCGATACAAGACAAAGGAGCTCGGCGACGTCCTTGACAGCGCCATAGGAACCGGAGACTCTACAGTGATCGACTGCACAGAGGTTTTCTCCAAAGCAACTCTCGACATTATTGGCATTACCGTACTGGGTGTCGAACTCACCAACTTGAAGTCAATCAGCACAAAAGACCAGAAGAGGGACAAGGGGAAGCGGTACAAGGCAAAGAAAGACTACACATTCCATGAAGCGTATGAGGTCATCTTTTCTCAGAGCTTGATCGGGAAAATCCTGTTCTTCGCCAATGCTTTTGTTCCTACCCGATGGTTGCCCCTGGAGGCTAACCGCGAATTCGCATTTGCCACCAATTGGCTGAGAGAAGTACTCTTGGAACTGATTCGTGAGCGGCACAATAAAATTGATCAGGCTAGACTGTCGGGCAAGTACGAAAGTGTCAAGAAGGACTCGCGGGATTTGTTAAGTTACATTATCGAAGAGAGTATGCCCGGAGGGCCTGCCGAGAATATCGCAGAAGAAAACTTCTTAGGACACGTATGTAAATCCATCTACGGGGTTGGCAACTCGCTTTAGTTCATGATATGGTGACTAATTTATACCGGTAATCTAGTTGCTTCAATTTATGGCGGCCGGCCATGCAACGAGTGCCGACACGCTCACATGGAGTCTGTATACGATGGCTACAAATCAAGAGATCCAGAAACAAGTCCGCGATGAGATAGCCGATCTCGCTATTAGAAAACCAGACATGCCCTTTTCGGATATAGATAACCTTCCTTACCTCAACAATTTTATCAAGGAGGTTCTTCGTCTATACGCCCCTTGTGAGTCTTACGCCATTTAGCCGCGTTACTGAGAATCACCACTAACCTCAGTACTTAGCAACTTCTCATCACCGCGAGGCAGGTGAAGATATGGTTATCGATGGTGTATTCGTCCCCAAGGGGACCACCTTCGACATCATACCAGCCATGCCCATGCTTAATCCAGCCATCTGGGGCGACAACGCAGAGGAAGCGGACCCGACACGATGGGATCGCTTGACTCCCGACCAAGCCTCGCCCTTTGCCTTCGAGGCCTTCTCCAATGGGCCGCGCATGTGCATTGGCAAGATATACGCCATGATGGAAATCAAAATCATCCTCGTCGAGTTAGTTCAGCGGTTCCGCTTCTTCAGCGTCGACAAGCCGTTCACAATTGAGAATCCCGGATTCGCGCTGCGCCCTAACGGGCTAGAGGTTCGGTTGGAAAGAGTTAACGCATGATCACTGGCATATGATGTACCTACTTCGTACCTGTTGCAGGTGCCTGAGGAGCCATTTGCCTTAGAGGCCATGGCTCCACTAGGCCTGCCATATATTGGCACCCCGCCATCGTAGCCTGGAATAAACCAAGCTTTCTTCTATCCTCCTTCCGTTTGGTTGCAACCCACCCTGCAACAGTGCCTCATGTGTAGCAAGACGGGGGGAGAGTTTTCGGGCTATTAAGTACCTGTCTCGTACATGCGAGGATGTCACAATAGGAAACAAGGGACCCTACTACTTGTATACGAGGTTGGCTTGGAAAAGTAGGTAGGGAGTCAGGGAAGTTATAGGGATAGTAATAGGGGTCTCACAACGAAACGAGAGAATTATAAGATATAAGATATTATTATCAAGTTTGAAAGAAAGTCAACAATAAGCAACAGTTACACCCTACATACCTACTACCTAAATAAGCTACCAAATTAATTCAAGATTCACGCGGTTCTGAATGCTTTGTTTCGTTTTTATTGTTAGCCTTGGAACTTATGGATTTATGATATGTCTCTACCCACCTAACCTAGGTAAATATACCAGCTGTTTCTCAAGAACTTGAGTTGATTTCTCTTAAACTACCCAAACTGCCTAGGTGCCTAGCGAAGGAGGTGTTGGATACAGGTTAAAAGGTGTACCCAATTACTGTATTTAAACAACTCCTTTGAGATTGCATTATTCACCCTCTTCCGTTTCCGGCTGTGCCAATCAATGAAAGCATTTATTTCCGGCCATTATTCTCTACTAATCACATTCCTTTATCCATTGTACACATTTAAGTTTTGTTCTCTAACACATATGGCATTGTAGCATCAAGTAGGTTTATGTAGGAAATAATATAAGGAATATCATGTTTCGTAACTGATCTCCCAAGTAGACAAGAAAATATACGGAATAGTCCTTCATAGCTAAGTAAACATGAATCACCAGGGTAAAGTGTCCCAGTATCCGGCACAGCCGGGCCCATCACAACCCCCTCCGGCACAAGCGGGCCCATCACAACCGCCTCCGGCACAAGCGGGCCCATCACAACCCCCTCCAGCGCAAGCAGGGCCATCACAATTCCCACTACCTCCAGGACTCCAAATACCTCCAGGATTCCAGCAACTACCGCCAGGAACCCCATTACCGCCGGGACTAGAATTACTCCCAGGGGCCTACATACCAGGACAAATGAAACAGCCAACAAATCAGCCAGCAAATCAGCCAGCAAATCAGCCAGCAAATCAGCCAGCAAATCAGCCAGCAAATCAGCCAGCAAATCCCGAAACATTTGTCGGACCTGGGACACCATCCCACGAGTACGGAACAGCGGACACCTCACCAGGAGGAGGCTTTTTGAATATGGTGTACGATCCGATCGCAGGCGTACCAGTGCCAATCAAAGGGCTAAAATATCCCAATGTACTACCTCCCAATCCACAACTTCCCAATCTAGTATTTCCCCAAGTACCGCTTCCTGGACCATCCCAAATGCCACAACTTCCCAATGCATCAAATGCTGGACCATCCCAAGTGCCACCAGTTCCTGATGCACCAGTTTTTGGACCAGCCCAAGTGGCAAAGTTACGAGATTTCGAACGAATCCCGTTACCGACTAAGCCCTCCGGCTTCGTTGAATACTATCGGCATCTCAATTACCTCTTCTCTGCATATCGAGAGACATTCGAAAATCAAACCGACCTTCATGGCATCAAGCCTCCGCGGGATGTGTGGCTGAACCACCCGTTTCCTTTGGCAGGCAACAACAATGTTCGAGATTACTATGACAAGGTGGTCCGTGTGCCATGGTCGCGGCAACTGCCAATGGGCCACTACAGATATGGCCGTCCTCATCGGCGGGATATGAATTGGGACCGCCCAGGTCGACGCGATCCGAAAAACGCGGATAAGTTAAGGCACAGATGGTATCAAACGCGGGAGTTTTTCCGTGATGAGCAGCCTCCAACATTCAAGGTCATCAAGGTGTTAGGGTACGGGGGGAATGGTATTGTGATGAAGGTAGAGCATCGCCTGAATATGTTCTTCCCACCCCGAGAGCTCATATTCAAGATCAGTCTGAGAAGCTGGGAGGACGAGCACCTCCGAGATGAGATCAGAATCATGAGGGTAAGTAAAAGACACCTATACTGAAGTACCGTGGGAGAGACATGCTAATAGGTGGGGGGTTTTCGTAGAAACTGCGTCGATCGGCCCATACCATGCAGTGGATCGACCCAAGAGAGTTGAGTATGAGAGAGGAAAGGCCAATACCGTATGACGGGATAAACGATGTAGATTCGAGTGACGAAGACTTGGACAACAACCCCGACGAGGACGATGACACAGCTAGTATTCCAGATGAGCCTCCGCCACCACGCCCCACGAGGAGGGAGAGAATGGAAAATGACCCCATCGGGTTTCAAGAAAAGATAGATTTGCACGACGACTTGATGCAGGAGCGACGTGCTAGTCGTCGAGAGAGAAGGGAAAACAATAGTGCATTGTGGGGTGACATTAGCACTGTACCTTACAGACCCCCAGCGGCATATGACCCAGATGACGCCTTCCACAAGGACTACATCATTTCCGATTTCATGTCAAACGGAGACTTGGCGTCGCTCATCTGGAGGCTCCTCGATCAAAACGAAACAACCATCCCAAATCGTGTCCTGTGGTCTTTCTGGCTTTGCCGTAAGTTAAGGATAGCCCCTTTTTACTCTTGGTGGTTATATAAATAGAGCGCAGCTGCTAACCAACTTGAAAAATATCAGTGCTTAAGGCTTGTGTTGCCATGGAGTAAGAGCTTATTTTCTTCTTCCTTCTTACCCCCTCCCTTTTTACTAAGAAAAAGAGAAAAAAAAAGAACTCTTGTCCGTTCCAGGTCTGGTATTAATGGATTATTACAGATATCCCCCTAAAAAGTTCCACCCCGAAAGACGTAACTTGGTGGGCGATCTTTCTGAAGCTGTTCCACCTGCCAGTCGCAGGTGGGCAGGTGAGCGGCTGGTTCATTTCGATATTGATCCAAAAAATAGTAAGTCGAGACATATCCACTCTCATGCCTCCAGTCTTGTTGTAAATCGGATATAAATGCTTACCTCAACAAACCGCCAGTTCTTATAGGGCACCTGGACCATGCAGATGGTGAACATAGCTTGATCCCCTGTTTAAAGGTTCGTCAACTCAACTCAACTCAACCCAAATCGAATCTTTGAACGTATATGCTTACAGTGGTAAATAACCTAGTTATCGGATTTTGGACTCACCCACAAGATAAAACCAAACAAGTCCAAGTAAGCAGATCATGACCTAACATGGCTACCCTTATATCCTCACGTCTTATCTTACTTATTGAAATATAGTGAATATTATGCCTACAAGCGTGACTGGGGAAAATATGCCTTTTATGCCCCCGAACAATTTGGACGCGACTGGGACTATATCGCACCCGGGGACGAAAGGGGCCCCGAGCTATCGGAGTCAAGGGTCGCCGGGCACTACGGAGTGTGGACAAACTTATGGGGGATTGCACTTGTACGTACCTAACCTGCCCAAACAACGCAAAAGAGAAGAAAAGAAACCCCTTAAAAAAGGAGAAAGGAATATTAGCTAACACGGACGGCAGACTATGTGGGTGCTCATAACCAAAAGGATGCCTCCCGTACCACCGCAGATATCTCGGTTCAATATGCTTGAGCCCGACGCACCCCCCAACTATGGCATATTCCTCGACCACCCCATGAGTCATTATGTCGACCTGGACTTGCGCAACGCGATCACGTCGTGCATGAAACACAGGCCCGAAGACCGGCCCGACATCGCCGACCTAGTGCGTCAGGCGCAGGTTGGCACGGCCCGGGCGTACGAGGGCGAGACTGACGACATGATTCGAGGCTGGGTTCGAAAATTGGTATGTTGATAACTTAAAGTAGATCCTTAAAACTTGGGGGTCCGTATCGCTAACTGTGTGCAGTACGTCCAAAAAAAGACTTGTGGAAATCTTCTTTCTTCTCGCCTCCCCTTTCATTTAACGTAGCTAACACCCCTGAATAGCATTTACGAGGGAGCCCCCCCGCGCACCCTTCCGCGTGCCACCTGGCCCACGTTCACCGCACACGGCGCGTACCCCATCCCACAGCCCGGAGAACCCGGCTTGTACTACGGCCCGCCGCAACCCGGACAACCCGGCGCGTCGCAGCCCCCTCCCGCAGTGGCCGGCCCATCCGGCACCCAGAACCAGCCCACCGTGTCGCAGCCGCCTCCCGCAGTGCCCGGGCCGTCCGGCACCCAGAACCAGCCCGAAGTGTCTACTGGTCTGAGCGGAGGCTTTATGAACGTGAGCCTCGGCGACTCCTCCCCCGGCGAGTATCTCATCAGGGATGACCCGGTCCCGCCTAGTCTCTGGCCGGAGCCCTCTAACATCGTGCCGGCGGAACCGAGTCGTTTCCATGTAGGGCTGAGGGGGTTGCAGATGAGGATGCGGGCGAAAGCTAGGTCGTTGAGGAAACGTGAGTTTTCCCCTTCTTCTTTCGTTTCTTTCTTTTTTTCTTTCTTTCTTTTTTTTTTTTTGTATTTTCTTCTTCTCGCCTACTTGATGGATGCAGGTGCGGATATCTTGAAGCGAAAGTTACCCTTGGTGTAGGGAGGGCAATAGTTGCTGCTTTCAACACCCTTGTCGATGTCGTTGCTGACGAAGCTATGCAGAGTTCCGAAGGAGGCTCAATCATTCATAGTACTCAGATACTATTGAAGATCTAGGTTAGGTAATGTGATAGGTAGGCAACATCTGTTTCGATATAGGGGGAAGGTGGTGAACTGAGCTAGTGGTAACATGGCCAGTATATAGCCAGGGGTATCTGTTTAAAATCGGGATCGGAAAGGGGTAGATTTGGCTTGTAATATTAGGTTCTGGCATGATTTTATAACGTTGTTTAATAGATATATACTTACCTCGCAGTCGACACGCCTGAGATGAGAATATAATTGGGTTTAATGAGGTGTACTGATAGAATGGTCTAACCCAAAAGCTAAAGAAATATCGTAGGATTTGGTGCCCTTACCCAGTATCTACCAGGTATATAAGCTGAGGTCTGAAAGTCCCCTAACCTCAAATACTTCAAAGATCATCGTATACTACGACCAACCATCTCGATTACACTTGTGGGGGTTGTGCACTATAACTGGGTTGCTGCAAGTCTCAATCCGCCACGAATCAGATCTCATGCAGTGTTGTCAATGACGGAGTACTATACATCACATCCACGCCTCTTGTTAGACATCCATATATGGGCCAAGTGTGGGGCTTCACACCTTTGACCCCCTTTAGTAGTTAGGGACTTTGTGTATGCGTGCCCCTATACTGCATGGACACTCTGTACGGCGTTTTGGCTGGCCTAAAAAGACCCTGTCATCCCTCATGTGCCCATCACAACACCCAACCTGATCACCTTTCTTGCTGAACGCAACGATGTCGAGCTCTGCAACGTCTGCGCGCGCCATTTTGAGTGCGGCCCTCCCTGGCCAGGTCACTACGCCCAATGACCCCCGATACAAAGCCGAGCAAGAAGTTCCGTGGTGAGTCGAAACACTCGAAAGTCGAAGTTGCAAGAACTCGTGAACCACCGGTCCCTGCCTACTAATGCCCTCCTCACACCCAGGTCCCCAACATGCTGGCACCCAGCCGCGTGCTTCGTGCATCCCCGCACGCCCGCCGAAGTCTCTCTGGTACTGAAGACCGTGCGAGAGACAAGGTCCAAATTCGCCGTCCGCGGCGCGGGCCACAACTGCAACCGCAACGTTGCCGGCGTCGACGCGGGGGTCGTGATTGACACGCGCGAGCTGAACGCGGTGTCCTTCGACAAGGCGAGCGGTGTCGCGAAGGTAGGGGCTGGGTGTAGGTGGAGCCAGGTGTACGCTGTGCTTGAGGAGCATGGCGTCACGGTTACGGGGGGGCGCCAGAGGGATGTGGGTGTGGGGGGGTATTTGCTTGGAGGTTTGTTTGGACGAGTTCTCTATTCGGCTTGGTGATGGTAAAGGCTGACTAAACGGGATAGGAGGCCTTGCTGCTTTCTCAAACCTCTATGGCTTGGCGGTTGATCGCGTTGTGAATTTTGAAGTATGTGGCTGGATCACCTGCGATAATAATTTGGTTATGGATACTTATAGCTCTCCCTGCCAAAGGTGGTTCTTGCAGATTCGACGATAGTGAACGCCAACCAGGAGGACAATCCAGACCTCTTCCGTGCCCTCAAAGGCGGCGGGACCAACTTTGGTGGGCTTTCACCATACTAGGTACCGTCTGTCAAGCTCTACCTAATCATTGACACTACTAGGCATCGTGACCCGATTCGACATCAAAACATACGAGCTCAGAGCCCAATACACCTTGAACCTCTACGACCCGTCCGACTACGAAAACCTCTTTCGCGCGGCCATCGAAGCACAGGAAGCCATGGAAACCGACCCCAAGCACGGCATGTTCCTCGCCTTCTACCGCGAAATGGCGTTTGCGGGACTCTTATACGCCGACTGGGTCTCCGAGACGCCGAAAGGGTACCGGTCCTTCTTCGACACCAACAGCTTGAAAACTTCCCTCGCGCCGACTACGAACGGTACCCAGAAGTCGCTCGTGGATACTATTGGCCCTGCCAGCCAGCTTAGGTGAAGCTTCGCCATAGGTACGCTTGATTTGAAAATGAACCGCCCTAATTGACGAGGAGTTAGACGCCAATGCTACACCGCGAGCACCAAAGTATCTTACGACCTCTACCTCGCCGCGCACAGGCTCTGGCTGGATAAACTGAATAAGTATCCCGAGGCTGGAAACTTGTTCTACGCGTTCCAGCCAATCTCGAGCTCTGTTTCGAAGATAGGAAAGGCTCGGGGAGGGAATGCAATAGGGATTGAGGAGGTGGCACAGACTTGTGAGTAGCCAGCCGTTCCGATGACTCTGACGGGTAACTAGTACCTACTAGGTAGGTTCTATTTAACTGAACGCCTCTCTTCCAGGGTGGGCCTTCTGCGCCGAGTGGTCCGACGAGGCGAACGACGCGGTCGGCGCGCAGGCCGTGAACGAGTTGGGCTCGGAGTTCGAAGCGCTCGCCAGAGAGCAAGGGCAGCTGCTTGACTTTCTGTTTATGAACGACGCCTCGGCTGCACAGAACGTGTTGGGGGGCTATGGCGCGGAGAATGCGAAGAGGTTGCGGGAGACGGCGAAGAAGTACGATCCGGAGGAGGTCTTCCAGAAGCTGCAGAATGATGGCTTTCTTATACGGAAATTGCTATTGGAGTGAGTTCATCTGATGGATGCTGAGGGTTGAAGTTCCGTGTCGCACACCTGGTCTATTAAATAATTGCCAATATGATAAATTATTGTCAAGTTGGGAACGATCTCAAACGATTTGTTGTTGCTAACCATTTGTTGCGGGATATGATTTGGCTATTTTTGATTCATAGGTAGGCAACGGCGTTCATGTCACAATGCATCATAGCATAAAATGCAACGATAGGAGAATACCAACAAAATAGGTAGAAAATCTAAGCAATTGATTCTATAACAAGTCAACTTAGGAGGTACCAGCTATGGCACTCAAGACAACAGAAACATCAAAACATCGCTTCACCCCTTTTCCAACACTACTAGGTATCTAACCCCCCCCCCCTCACGCGAAGTAAAACACATCAAACTCATCAAACTCATCAACCCATCAATCCATGCATCCCTCAATCAATCACAGCTTCTCCAACCTCCTCTTCCTCAAGATCTCCTCCCCAAAGCGCGCCATCTCATACTTCTTAACCTTGCCACTCCCCGTCAGCGGCACCGTCGCCGGGACTCCATCCTCACCCAGCCAAAAGATATGCGTCGGCGCCTTGTGCCGCCCCAGCTTCTGCTGCACCCACTCGCGGACCTGCTGATCGCTCAACCTCCCCCCCTCCGCGGGCGCCAACTCCAAAAACGCCCCCACCACCTCCCCGTAATGCGCATCTTTCAACCCCGTGACAATCGCCGTCGCAATCTTCTTGTTCTCGCGCAGCCTCTCCTCGATCTCGAGCGGGTAGATGTTCTCGCCCCCCCTGATTATGATATCCTTGAAGCGCCCCGTGATGGAGCAGTAGCCCCTCTCGTCGAACACGGCCTCGTCGCCGGTGTGCAGCCACACCACGCCATCGACGGGGTCGCGCACCATCACCTCGGCGGTCTTCTCCGAGTTGTTCCAGTACCCCGCCTGCAGCTGGTACCCGGCGATGCACAGCTCGCCCTTGCTGCCGATGGGGACGATGTTGCCCTCGTGGTCGACGATCTTGGCGCGCGCGTGCGGCATCAGGGTGCCCACGGTCGTGAGGCGCGCCTCCATCTCGTCGTCGGTGAAGGCGTTGAAGCACGTCGGGCTCGCCTCCGTCAGCCCGTAGCTGCTCGTGAACTCGGTCATCCCGAAGCGCTGCACCAGCAGCTCCATCAGGTACCTCGGCACCGGGGCCCCGGCGATAATGCCCGTGCGCAGGTTCTCGCAGCTGAAGCCGGGCGGCGGCGCGAGGCTGAAGAGGGTGTCGAACATGGCGGGGACGCCGTGGACGGCGGTGCAGCGCTCGTCGGAGATGGCGCGCAGGATGGCGGGCGCGTCGAAGGTCTCTTCGGGGTAGACGATCTTGGCGCCGTGCGTGATGACGGCCATCATCCCCAGCACGAGGCCGAAGCAGTGGAACATGGGGGGCGGGCAGCAGAGGATGTCGTCCGGGGTGAGGCGCATGCGGTCGCCGATGAAGCGCGCGTTGTTGAGCACGCTGTGGTGCGTCAGCATCGCCGCCTTCGGCATCCCCGTCGTCCCGCTCGTGAACTGCAGGTTGCACACGTTGTGCGCGAGCACGCGCTTGCCGAGCCGGTGCAGCTGGTTGTTGTCGATGCTGCGCCCTTGCTTGAGGAGGTCCGCGTACGTCGGGTAGGAGCTCGAGTCGCCTCGTAGTATGACGACCGCGGGATTTTGCCCGCCCTTGGCGAGCTCGGCGAGCAGGTTGGTGTTCTCCATCCGACCGATCTTCTTGGTGGTGAAGAATACCTTGCAGTCTGGCAGCGAGTCGGGTTAGTAGGTGCTACGTAGGTATTTTACGTATTTTCTACACGGCTTGGGATGGTAGGTAGCTCACCAGTGAACTTCAGTGCATGTACTGCTTCTGGTGGCGTGTAGGTGTTGTTCAGTATGACCACTATACCACCAATTCGCGAGACCGCAAAGAAAACCGAAGCGTACTGTTCACAGTTGCCCGCCATGATACCAACTCGGTCACCCACACCGATCCCCAGTGACAGCAGCCCCTTGGCCAATTGGGAGCTCTGGTAGTTGAGTTCATTGTACGTCCACCGCGCACCCGTCCACGGCGTGACTATGCACTCCTGATTGCCGTGTTGTTGGCATTGTAGGTCTAGCAGCTCGCCCAGCGTCAGGTCTACTAGCGGGGGATCTGTTGGGCCTTCTAAATAGGATAACCTCTCCCTCTGAAATTGAGGATTTGATGTGGAGAAGACGGCCGACGACTGTGTAGCCATTTTGGGAGGTTGAATATTAGATATTAGGGAAAAGGGGGAGGTATGACTTGTCTATTCAAGAGCAACAAATCCTTTCTTTCTTTTGAGATCTTCAACTATTACATAGCAAGTAGGCGCTTACCTAGGTATGTATGTGAACGTAGGACTCGGCATCTATTTTCTAGAATTTACAGATACCCATGCTTAGTGGATGTCCCACGGAATAGTACGTAAAGTGCCTAGCTAGGCCACATGTGAAGAGATCGATCCCCACATGGATGCAACCTCTGTTAAAGGTCAAGTTTGAGGGCGGCTCCGCAGAGTCGGGAAACCACGTTGATGGCCTTGGGCCAAGGCTTGGATACCAACATTACCTTAAGAACACGTTAAACACCGATGAGCCGAGCTGTGTTTACTGGAAGTCTTGAAAGTGGGACATTTGGTGATTGAGCCTAGGAATATTGCATGCTATTACTTCGCTCATGTCCAATGCTCGAGAGACTGTCGATGGAGACGCGTATTATCGGTATTAACTTACGTAAAATAGCTCAAATTCCCAGCTGAAGAGCTGGTCAAGTAGAATGAGCTAACCTAGGCAACATAGTGCCATAGTCGCCTTGAAAATTTCATCCTTGTAATGACGGCATACCAGGTATGTATGTCCAGGTGTATACTGATGTATGGTAGGCTATGTAGGTAGTGTAGGTAGACATACATACATAGTAGTAAGAGGGTATGTCCGGCCTATCCATCAACCCCGTTGGCAGGGCCAGGCCATGAAGTGGATCTATTAATGGCGTATGGTAAAAAAAAAGGGGGGGGGGGGGAGATTGAAGAAAAAATCTAATCATCGGATCTGATAAGATTAAAACAGGGAAATCATTTTGCTCCTGGCAACTTTTTCATCGTATTATCTATGCGAGATCGGAGCGCACAAAACTGCCGCTTTTGCATAGTACGTTTATTACCTAGGTACCTATGCTGTTCATTCGTGTTCGTGTAGTCGTGTAGTTCGCGTAGTGGAACAGAGCATCAGCCTCCAAGATACAACCGCCGTTTCATACATACCTGTCAATACCTACATAATGGATACCCTTTCGTATGTATTAAGTTATATATAGTAATTCTACCTACCCTAGGTATGTATGTTCTTGTCAGTATTGTACAATGCGAATTGAAGTGGTAAACATAACTAGTTAGTTAGTACATACATAGGTAGTAAACAAGGCATGTATTACGAAGTATATCTTCCAAGTAGTACATGTGAACTGCATGCCATGAATGGATCCATACCACTTGGCGTAGCATTCACTACACCAGCTCTAGCTAGTGGGTGTAGGCCTAGGTACTAAACGACAGCTACCTATAACTAGGTACAATACCTAACTCATTCAGCCCAAACTGTCAAGTTAGCACCGAAGCCTTACTATTAAATAACAGGAATGATCCAAATTGCATCAACTCATGTAGGCACTATGTATGGAGTTAGTACATAGTAGTACATAGTGCATAGTGGACAGCTGAAAGTCTTGGTTTTCCAAATGTCTTATGTATAGTATGTAAATGCCCTATGATGTATTTAACATGTACAATACAATACCTGGGTATGCATCCATGCGACGTCGCTTTACTATGTAAATCTCCAAAGTCTAGTTATGTGGTAGGCATTATGTAGGTTGCCGTTACCCAACCAATCAAATCAAACACACCATCTAATATATCATAAATCATAGCACAGTCCCCTTGACCTGCTGGGACTGGCTGACTCTGACGTCTCTCCATATGCACACTGCAACGATCTCAAATAGGGATATGAGAGTGCCCGTAATGCACATGCGGGCTTGGGCCTTGCCGTATGCGGCAATGATGGCGTTGCGCACCACGCTACCCACGGGATAGCTTAGCTGCTTCTTTAGATCCGACCCGATAAGATCCAGCTCATCGGGAGAGAGGTCAGGCAAGAGCCTGGTCAGCTCTTGTGGAAGCGTACTGTTCCATATCGCGCCACTCAACGAATTGCCGATAGCTGATCCAACATAGTAAGAAAGTCCCAAGAGAGCCACGACAGAGGCTAGCTCTGTGTGTTTCGCAACAGACATCACCGCCATCTGGTCGCACAACACGAGCGTGCTACCACCGATAGTGATAAGGATCTGGCACATGAGAACCCAGGCAATGTTCGTGTCCGGTTTGCGAAAGATCAGCATCAAAGCCCCGCCAATTATGTGAACTGGCAAGGCAGTCAATGCGAGCCACTTAAACCGATCTGTCCGTCGGATTAGGTACCCCACGACTACCGACCAGATGCAAGAGCCCAGGCCGTAGATGTGGCCAATGTAGCCTGCCTGGGTGACAGTCAAGTTATGTACAACCTGCAGATACGACGTGTAGTAACCATCCCATGCGAAGTAGGCTATAAAGATGGTGACGGACAACAAGCAAGCTCCCGCGACGTTGCGCGAGCATAGGAGTGAGAATCGTATAAAGGGTCGCTTGGCCGTCCGCTCGTGAACACCAAACGCGACAATGAAGAACACCCCAAAAATGGGGGTGATGGCGATCCAATTATTAACCGAGGCACCCTTTAAGGAAAACGGCACCAAAATCAAAGTCAAACCCGCTGCGGCAAAAAACATGCCCAGCGCTACTAACATGTTAGTTCCAGGTTGCCATGGACCTTGGCATGGATGATAGTGGTCACGTACCGTCATGGTCAATCAAGGCTTGGCGAAATTTCCCTATGGTCCATGGGCTACTCCTGGCAGATTTACGAAGAATGCCTAATAATCTCGCCTTGCGGGCATTGACGGCTAGGATGGTAAGTATGGGCACTGAAAGTACCATGAACAACGCCGCAGAGAACGCGAATGCCCATCTCCAAGAACTGTCTTCGAGAAAGCGGGTGGCTACTATTGGGCCGATGAACGTGGTAATGAGGGTGGGCGACGAGTTGAACGCAAACGCGAGAACTCGATCCTTCAACGACGACGTGTCTGCGATGATGATATCGAGGATGTAAGTGAAACCGCTGATACCGACTTGATAGATGACTTCGGCGGCCGCATAAGTCTGGACATCCTGGCAAGCGGCCATTAGCACGAGACCAACGGTCGTAAGCGCGATCATAGACGCAAGACCCTGCGGGCGGCCCCAGGAATCGATCATCTTGGCTATTGGAAGCTTTAAAATGCCACTCATTATGGACGCTACTATCCCGATAGTAGGAATTAGAGAGTGCGATCTGAATTCGCTGACGACATAGGGTTGGAGGTTTGACATAATCTGCCATTGCAGCGTATTCGCGAACGAGCATAAGAAAATGCTACAGCGAACGACAACAGGTTAGCGATTACAAAAACAAAAGCAAACGCAGCCTAACCCGACCCAACCCAACGTAAATGCCTCGCTCGGTCGACGTTGAGGTTTGCGTTATTTATTAGGTACTAAGGTATGCCGCGATGGCGACTCACAAAGAGTATGCCCATATCAGCGCAGTTCTCGACCAAACTTGGTTGATAGCGTCGGCTTGTTTGATGCCATCTTGACCAATGTTGGCTTCTTCATCTTCAGAGTTGGTGGAATCTACCGCGTCGTCCTTGGTAGAGGTAGATCCATACGAATCTCTCCGCACAAGATTTCCATCGTCGCTACTCGATTCCCGCCCAAGTAACGGCTCCTGGCTGGTGACGTTGTCTTCCATATTGACCGAGGGAGGAATACGTCGATGTAGATTCGACATGCCAACCCGGGAAGGAAGGAAAAGGGAGGGTAGCAATGGTGGGAAAGGTGTGTATATGATCTTGATAGATAGGTATGTATGTAGGTATTATGTATCCGATGTATTCCAATAAGAGTCAACTGCCATGTGGTTGATCTAGTATTCTAGGTTAGGCAGAAGGAGTACCTGGGCCTACCATCCATCAGGCCACCCTGTCAGCCGATAGGATTTTCAGGGACTCACGAATTACCCTGGGTACATTGGACTAAATAGGGCAGACGCGGGAAAATATATAAATACCGAGGTACCTCCCTTGGATATATATGAGAATAACAGAATAACAGAATAACAGTGAATAATAATTAAGAGGCACGGAGATTTATTCGCGCAGAGACTTTGACCCAGCGGGGGCTTAGACAAACTGACACAGAGGGTCTGCGGTATTGCGCATACGACACGAAACGAAATACATGTAACTACCCAGTGATTGTCTTCACTTTAATGTTGAGAGACATTTTGACGTGATACAGGGCAGATAGAAAATACCAGCTGATTGAAACGAGTGACACAAGGCGATCAAATTCAATGTTAGATGTTAGGTCACTTAGGTGCCGACGGGCCCGTACCGAAGGAAGGCAAAAGTAGGGTATAACTAGTTACAATTATTTACAAGAAAACCGTTATGAATATTTCGGGCGTAAATGCACTAATCTAGGTAGACAGGGCACTATGTAACACCCTAACATCAAACTAGACAGAATCCAGTGCCTACCCGAGCTGCTTCCAGGGCTACAGCGCGTAGCACCTACCCTTCTACCTACTAGCTGTAGCTGCTTTACCCGATCATATGGGATGAATGTACTACAATGTACAATACAACTTGAATACATAACGCTGTCTTGAAACGCCCACGCCCACACCCCCTAACGAAATAATGCGCTGTTCCATTGTGGATCATGGGGATCCATCACATTCCAAGGTTTCTCTTTAGTCAACTTTTTAGTGCCATCAGATAAAGTCAAGTCACCAATTCACACAAAGCAGGTTCAGACCGTTCCTCAGCCAATCTCGGCTTGGCGTCGAAAAATAATCTTATCAGATGCTGCATGCCAAGCCAGCCTAAAATGCTCCTCCTCCTCCTCCCCTACTCGGTTTAGCTACACATAATGCTCCCCCGTTCCTCGGAGCTCGTACATTAAAATGCACATGTATGCATACAATTCAATGGAATAATATAGTATTATTACATACATACATAATTAACCTAGTATAACCTAGTATAATTGATGTTACATCATGAAAATTTGTGTATTAGTACGCGATGCCAACCCGCCGAAACGAGAAGGTCTTCCCCTTCTAAGAACCGGCCGATGGCCTTGGTTGTGGGAACTCCGTCCAGTATACCTGGTAGTTTATATGGCTCTAATGGCTGCTAGCTATGTAAGCTATAGGTCTAACCCCGTTTTCCCATCATGGGTAATAATGTTGTATTGCTAAAAAAAAAACTGCTGCGGGACGTAAAATGCTTCCGGGTGCCGGCGAGAACGCAATAGTAAAAATAAATAATAATGGGACTGGCTGGCTTCTCCGGGGTCTAGGTTGAGTTGAGAAGAAATGATGGAATAAAAAAAGAAAATTCTAAACTAAACAAAACTCTGGTGATTCAAGATCCCGAATGTGTTGTGTATTCTCCCACTTTCACAACCATCACGAACGTCAAGATGGGTTCGAATCTTGACTCGGGTGCTGCCATTGACACCATTGCTCCTACCGACAACTCAAAGGAGAATGGGGACGGCAAAGTCTCAATTCTAAAGAGAGTAAGAACCAAATTGACAAATGTAAATTCATTCATCCATCCATCCATCCATCCACCCAAACTAAACGTTCCATAAGCTAATTGATCTCTCAAAGGGCTCACGGGGTCTCTTTCGATACTTTCGGCTCCTTACCTCCGCCGAACCAACGAAAGTAGACATTATACTACTAATAGTCGGCACCATCTCCTCCATCGCCGCCGGTATACCGTTCCCGCTACTTGGAATTCTCTTCGGACAGTTGCTAGATGACCTCAACTCAGCAACATGTGCCGCCGAAGATGCCGTCTCGCCCGCCGAGTACCAGGCTTCTGTCAACGAGAAGGTTTTGTTGGTCATGGCTTGCGCTCTTGCACAGTTTGCTCTCATTTACATCTACATTGTATGCTTTAACTTGTTCGGCGAACGGCTTGCCCACAGATTGCGGGAACGGTACTTTCGCTCCCTCCTCCGCCAGGAGGTGTCGTTCTTCGATAAGATGCCTGCTGGAGAAGTCTCTTCACGGCTGAGCGCCGACATCAATATCATAAAAAGCGGAACATCCGAGAAAGTAGGCGTCTATCTAGGCTCCTACTCTATGTTCATCACCTCCTACATCGTCGCCTTTGTCAAGGACGCTAAGCTCGCCGGCATCTTGGTCTCCCTCGTCCCTGCGTTTATGATGATGTCCCTTATTGGTGGCCATTTTATTGGAAAATACTCCACCTTGGCGTCTGGACATATCGCATCCGCATCATCCATTGCCCTCGAGAGCTTGTCCAATGTGATGGTCGTACACGCGTTCCGTGCCAACGACCGCCTTGAGGACAGATTCTCTAAGAAACTCCTCGCTGCCAAGAATGACGGGGTGAAGAAAGCCGTAGCGACAGCTTTACAATCCGGACTACTCTACTTCATAGCCTTCTCAGCTAGTGGATTAGCGTACTGGCAGGGAAGTCGGACTATTGCTGATGTTGTCGGCGGCCGTGCTGAAGGAGTGACGATTGGTACAACGTACACAATCATCTTCCTTCTTGTCGATGGTAAGTTCATTACACAGATCCATGATCATTAAAACTCACTAATTATTTAGCTTCCATTGTGATCAGCCAAATTTCACCATATTTGCAAATTTTCGGCTCTGCAACGGCAGCGTTAGAGAAATTGCAGGCAGATATGGATCGCCGCTCTAAAATCGACGGCACGGTTGATCCCGAGGGCAATGATTTCGAATCATTCACAGGTGATGTTAGACTCGAGAACGTGGACTTCACCTACCCGTCTCGACCTGACGTGCCTGTGATCCAAGATATCTCACTGCATCTTCCAGCGGGACAACAGACCGCAATCGTTGGTCTGTCCGGTAGCGGTAAGTCTACGATTGCTGGGTTACTCACTCGCCTATATGATCCTGATCAAGGTTCTCTTTACATCGACAACCGCAATATTCGCGACGTGAACGTGCGCCAACTACGGAGCTTCATTGGCCTCGTTCAACAAGACCCTCTGCTTTTGGATCGATCCGTCTTGGAGAATATAGCTCTTGGGTTGATTAACTCTCCACGACCTGAACACGTACATTTACAACCTGTCCTCCTTAGCACACAACTCTCTGAGCTGGCAGCAGCAATAAGATCCGGGCAAGATATCACGACGGTGGCAGAGTCTTATGGCGCCGCGGCACTGGAAATTGTGAGACTGGTTCAACACGCAGCGAACCTTGCCGACGCCGAGGTGTTCCTAAAAAACTTGGAGTATGGGCTTGGCACTGTTGTTGGTCCTAATGGTGACTTGCTAAGCGGCGGGCAAAAACAACGAGTAGCGCTTGCAAGAGCGTTAGTGAAAGACCCCAAGATTCTCGTCTTAGACGAGGCAACTTCATCCCTGGATTCTGCTAGCGAACAGCGCATTCAAAGCGCTATTGAGAAAGCGTCCCAAGGCAGAACAGTCATATCGATCGCACATCGTCTAGCAACAGTGAAGAATGCTGACAAAATTGTCGTCATGCGGGGCGGGAAAATCATGGAGCAAGGCAGCCACGTTGATCTCATCGCAAAGGACGGAGATTATGCCGCCCTTGTCCGACTACAAAGTGTAGGCTCCGAATCGTCAAGTGTCAGTACTGCAAAAGGAAGCACAATGAAGGAGCTGGAAATCGACATGGAGAAAGTATCTCGAACACTTACAGTTGCTGATGAGAAGGCTTGCGAAGAAACTGATTTATCGGCTGATAAGGAAGTAGAAAGCGACAAAGAATCGACAGAACGCTCAAGGCCAACCTGGGCTACGATCAAGAGCATGGGCACGGTAACTCGACCTCATCTACTCTGGCTGTTTGTTGCCTTATTCGCATCCCTCGTCGTAGGTGGAACTTACTCCGGTTCGGCTGTAATTTTTGGACACACCATCGGTGCTTTGAGCCCGTGCAATACTGAGGATGCTATTCGAGCGGCTGGAAGTTTCTTTGGTCTGATGTTCTTCGTACTCGCCATAGCAGAGTTTTTCGCCAACGGGATCAGCTGGTCAGCATTTGGCTGGATTGCGCAAAAGGTCCTATACACGATCAGAGTTCTTTCTTTCCGCTCGCTATTTGAACAAGACTTGCAATGGCACCAATCTGAGGGCCGAACGCCGTCAATGTTGCTGTCCTACATCACAAGCGACTCGGCCGCTGTAGAAGGTCTGACAGGATCAATAATAGGGACTATCTTCTCTATCGCCGTCAATTTTGTCGTGGCAGTTGTTCTTACACTCGTTATCGCCTGGAAGATCGCTATCGTCTGTCTCGCAACAGTACCACTCATGCTAGGCTCGGGAATAATGCAGATGCGCATCCTTTCGCGTTTTGCAGAGCGTCACGAGAAAGCCTTTTCGAGATCCGTGGGTATCACCGTCGAGGCTGTAACTTCGATCAAGACGGTTGCCGCGCTGTCATTAGAACACGAAGTGCTCCAAACGTATCGCCGATCGCTCTCAGCCCCGCGCAATGAGATGACGCGCTCGAGCTTATATGCAAACCTCTTCCTGGCGATTGCCTATAGTATATCGAACTTGATCTATGCATTCATTTACTGGTGGGGTGCAAAACAGATAATTGACAGCCATTATACGCAAGTTCAATTCTTCATTGTCTTGGTTGCACTCCTAGTGAGTGCTCAGCTCTGGGGTCAGCTCTTTACGCTCGCCCCTGAAGTGACGAGGGCAGGTAGATCAGTGGGGAAGATTTTCGACCTCATTGATTTAGGCTCATCTAAGACCTTATCAACGAAGCGGCTAGATTCAAATGACCCCGAGGCAGCCATTGAGTCTAAGACGGCTCCAACACCAAACCTTGGGGGGCTCGCAGTAAGCTTCAAGGATGTCAAATTCTCCTACCCAGCGCGACCAAACCGGCAAGTATTGAAAGGTCTAGACATCGAAATTCGTCCTGGGCAATTCTGTGCACTAGTCGGACCTAGCGGTGCCGGAAAATCAACCGTTATCTCACTACTAGAGCGCATGTACAGCGTCGGATCAGGGTCGATCGAAGTTGATAGTGTCAATATCTCCGCTAAGAAGGAGCCCATTTTCCGGGATGACATAGGACTTGTGCCTCAAGATAGTATTCTCTTCGACGGTAGCATTCGGTTCAACGTCGCCCTAGGAGGTCGTCCAGGTATTGAACCATCGGATGCCGATATTGAGGAGGCGTGTAAATTGGCCAACATCCACGAAACCATAGTAAGCCTCCCCAATGGTTATGACACGGAGTGCGGGCCTAGCGGGGGGCAGCTGTCAGGTGGACAAAAGCAGCGCCTCTCGATTGCACGTGCATTGGTGCGTAAACCACGACTTCTCCTGTTAGATGAATCAACTAGTGCTCTGGATGCAGAATCTGAGAGACTACTGCAAGATGGACTGGATAAGGCAACGAGGGGTATAACGGTGGTAGCTATAGCACATCGGCTACACACTATCCGTCGGGCGGACGCAATTTTCATGATTGAGGATGGTCGTTGCGTGGAAAAAGGTACACACGAAGAGTTATTGGTTCGCAGCGAAAGCTATCGCGTTAATGTTCTGCACCAGACTTTGGACGGTTGATGATTGGGGCGATGAATGAGGATCAGTGCCGAATTCTTACATAGAAATGCACATTTGTATCATTGTAACGATTTGTTTACTTAGTACATAGAATAACATTAGATTCTGTACATACCTAACCTGCCTACGGTATATATATATGCCTAGGTATTGATGTATATGCATGTTAATGGAAGAGCTTAATATATATCTCAAGTTAATTCCGAGTATACCACACGAGTGAGATGAGTTCAAGTCATGAGAGGATCGTCAGGTACGTGAGAGAATAATTTCTAAGGTTCGAGTTAGATTAGGTACCTAGGTAGGTACTACAGTAGACGGAAATATTAGGTATTCTTGGTATTCTTGGTATACATAATAATCTAACAACGTGTGTGCATCGAACTTGTGCTGTCGCTTCCTGAGCAAATTTTTAACTATCGTGTAACTTGAAGTCCTAAGTCCTTGTTTCCCTGAAACATTATCTCTAATCTCCATTTCTCACAAGTAGGCATTCTATGTGGGTCGTACCTCCCTACTAAATAAGCTCAATAAGCTCTTCAAGACTACAGGAAGCACATGATGCAATTACCACTTCCATTCCACCGGACAACGCCAAACTGGAGAGCTGAGAGGGAAGCTACTGTACACTCCAGCAGAAATTACTATGTAGGTAGAAGCCAGCGCAGGACCCGCCCCCGCCTCGAGATTGTGGGCTGACTTTCCTTGTTCCCTGTCATCATTCCATTCGTGCGGAATGGAATCGTACCACCACACAACCTACTTAGGTAAGTACCTATACGAATGACCAAAAAAAGAAGAGATAAAAAAAACAAAAAGAGAAAGAATAAGAGAATGGAGAAATGGAAAAAGAGCATGGAAGGATAAGAGGATTCTACACCACATACACTGCATGTACATATGTATCTCCACTACTACTACACATGTAACTCCAATTCGAAATATGTAGACAACATCCAAAGAGAGTATAGTCGATACAACGCTCTCCGCGTTTGAAGTCATAGATGCGCATCGTACACTAAAACTTGGCATCAAGATGCATATAAATTCATGAATTCTACATGCAAGTATTTCCAACGGCGGAGTTCCGCGCGGCCGGAGGAATACAGCTTATGCAGGCTTAGGTAGGTACGTAGTAGGGTCCAGATTTGGTAATCTCCAGGAGTCCAGGGCTCCAGGGTTCTTAGGTATGTAGGTAGGGGCCGTAGGGCATGTCAGCACCTGAACCACGTGACACAGGCGGTAAATTCTAACTATAATCATTAATTTCGTATCGCTAATGATGGAAAGGGCCGTTTCTCTCGTTACAAAATGCACTCCTTGGCAAAAATAACAGCGGTTTTGCCCGTTTGGCTCCGGTCGGGCATCCGATCCGCCTAACTTAACATCAAAGAAGCGCCTGACATTTACCAGATCTCTAGCAGTCTACCAAGGGATCTAGGCTACCTAGATTTTAAGTCGCTCGGCCTCCTCCGTACATAGTACATATCCGCCTGCAGTAGCCTACGCCTTAGCAAAAACTCTACTCAGGATCGTCCGGCAGCATGGATGCAATTTTCCTATGCAACTTGTAACACCAATTGGCCCCGGTGTATTCAATGGATTGCATCCATATAGACGTCGTGAGAGGGGTAAGGTGACGTTATGCAATGTCATCCCAAGGGCATGTCTCCGGGCGGCCGCGAGCTTGGGCTTGTTTGCGATTTTCGAAAACGAGAACAGCCTTGACTCTATTCGATGGAGATATCGGTGTCACGTAAGCCTACTAAGAGGTAGTAATAGATACCTCCGTATATGTTCAAGTAGGTATATATAATGATGGTCTTCGCTTCAAACCTTCTCGATCATCCCATCATTCATTATTCAATCACTCAATCCAATCTCATATATTTTAAGACAAGATTATTATATTAAGTTTGAACATTCCATTCTTATCAACTATCAAATTACCAACAGCAACCATGAGTTCTACAGAAGTTCCCAAGGAGCAATGGGCCCAGGTCATCGAAAAGACTGGCGGACGTGAGTAGCCTCCTTCATTTCAACCATCATGACCTACACATTCTGTCTCTATCATGATGAGAGCTACTCTGAGGGCATTTACTGACATCAATTATAGCCGTCAACTACAAAAAGATTCCCGTTCCTACCCCGGGATCTGATGAGGTACTTATCAACATCAAATACTCTGGTGTTTGCCACACGGACTTGCACGCCATGAACGGAGACTGGCCGCTTCCCACCAAGATGCCCTTGGTCGGTGGACATGAAGGTGCAGGTATCGTCGTCGCACGTGGTGACCTCGTCAAGGACGTCGAATTAGGAGACTATGTCGGTATCAAGTGGCTGAATGGCTCGTGTCTGAGCTGTTCATACTGCCAGCAGGCAGACGAGTCCCTCTGCCCCGACGCATTATTATCTGGCTACACTGTGGACGGTTCCTTCCAGCAATATGCCATCGGTAAGGCAGCCCACGTCGCGAGAATTCCGAAAGAATGTAGTCTCGAGGCTGTCTCGCCCATCTTGTGCGCCGGTTTGACCGTGTACAAGGCGCTGAAGGAGTCCGGCGCAAGACCCGGTCAGCAAGTAGCTATCGTCGGTGCTGGTGGTGGCCTCGGTAGCTTAGCTATCCAATACGCCAAGGCCATGGGTATTCACACGATTTCCATTGATGGTGGTGAAGAGAAGGGTCAAATGTGCAGGGAGCTTGGTTCCGAAGATTACATTGACTTCACCACGACCAAGAATGTTGTACAGGCCGTTAAGAACGCAACCCCTGACGGCTTTGGCCCACAAGCCGTCATCGTACTTGCTGTCAGCGAAGGCCCCTTCCAACAAGCCAGCGAGTACGTCCGCAGCCACGGAACGATCGTCTGTGTTGGTCTTCCCGCCAACGCATACCTGAAGGCACCAGTCTTCGACACCGTTGTTCGCATGATCCAGATCAAGGGCAGCTACGTCGGAAACCGTAGGGATACGGCCGAGGCCATTGACTTCTTCAGGAGAGGACTCATCAAGGCCCCGTACAAGGTTGTCGGTCTCAGCAAGTTACAAGAAGTGTTCGACTTGATGAAGGCCGGTAAGATCGCGGGTCGGTATGTTGTCGACACCAGCAAATAGACAAAAGAGATTTTTGGAGTTCGGGCAGGTTGAGGAATACCACAACGTGTTATTTTTCTATTTATTGTATATAAGATGGTTTTTCTTGGTCATGGACGGATCTAAAGGAGAAAACGACTGAACGAATTTACACTCACATACTTACCTATGCATATATAAAATATCATATTACTAGTAGATGCTATGGAAAAATCAAAGTTACTCATTTTTCGTTATGATCTAATTTTTGAGAATGAGGCATTCCGAAACAAAGAGGTTGTCATCCTCGCCAGCCCGTGAAACTAAACATTGAACGCAATAGTTTTCCTAACGCGCCAGTATTTTTACTCACCTTCGACATAATTCCCTTCGCAGGAAATGTCCCGCCTAGCCGTAGTCACCGGCAAACAACCTTTTGAGAGCAAGCGCACACCGGAATAACAGGCTTGACCCGCATCAGTCCGCATGGGCGGGGTTAATTGCTATGGTAACCCGGTCTTACATTTCGCTGTTTATTTCACTACGAGGGTGAGATCAAGAAGTATTGCTATAATCGAATTAAGATTCTCGTGTCTCTTTCAAATGAATGTTCTGTACCTACATGTAGGTACCTAGTCAGTCCCCCCTTTTTCATTTCCTTTGGTCTGTGCGTCAGGGGCCCATTAAAGAATCGGAAGTGGTACGATCATAGGTACTACGATGACTAGCAGCAGGCAAAGAAGGATCTTATATGTAAACAATACTCGCCACACATATCTATATATGCTTGATAGAGCAATAATATACCTAGTATCATACCATAGTTGTTATCCACACCGCCAAAGGCAGGTGCTCACGCTTTACGTTCTCAGCAGGGCACATAGTCTAGTCTGGTCTTACGATAAAGCACTCGAGTATTCCTCTTTTCGGCTCTATCGCGTGAGGAGTGTTACTCATCCTAAAATTCTACGTTGATTAAACCCCGCTTTGGGTTCATAATGGTGATAATGCTCAAGATTCTGCCAGTGGCTATGACGTGTATACTACAGACCTTTGTGCACAGCCTTCTTACATCCTACCTACACTACCTAGATAATGAATTTCCGATCCCCAATCCCTAAGAGATAGAGGATCACCCACGCCGCTATAGTTGCCTTCGTTGCTAATGGGGTTCATACCTAATCAGCAGACTCTCTCGTCAGCAAAGTGAAAGGAGTAAATTGACTGTCTACTATATCGACCTGAGAATGCTCTGGTGGTATCATTCGTCGTACAGTTCCTTCTCGCAAGAGGCTATCGTGGACATCACTATCGGCCCTTCGCTCTCCTAGCAACGCAGGTAGTAGGATTATGCTTCATTTATTACGTGGTTCCTGGGAGGAGCCAGCGCGCACCCTAGTCACCTTCCTAGGCACTTCACCGTTGCTTAAGAGGCGTAGCATGGTATAACTCCCATCTCGTCCTACTCAGGTACCATCATCCCTCTAACATGCACTTGAGATTAGTTATGTACATAGGTACTCGCCCCAGTACCAAGGATAAACCCGGGGATTGGGTAATGGTGTAGCATATATGCATTTGAGAGGAGATCACTCAAGGTGCTTGGTACAGTTTAATTGAGCCGCGTATTGTGGGTAGCCGCTCGTTAGTAACCGTGTTGCAACTTGCAGCACTCGGCCGGTATAGGAGATCAGATCCTCTAAGATGGATCTTCAGCTAGGAAGTAATTTAGGTGCAGCAGCCATGTGCCACCCTTGACGAATCCATGTAACTATCATGACAACGCCTTCTACACTTATACATGAGTACCTATTTGGATCGTACGGTCCCCCACACTGTTACCAGACTTTTCCATTGTGTGGCTTTCTATCGAATAGGCTTCACAATGACCCCGGTAGGTACACTGTATCTGGCACTTGTATATTCGAAACCTATTCGGTAGGTACCTATACATACTAGGTACCATTTGATTCATATGTTTCTATCAATCTTCAGATGAGCATCCCAGAATTCATAAGTTAGTACTAGGTATTGATAATATAACTGACTTATCGTCCCCTCCATTACAAGACGGCTTTTATTCTGTAGAGTACCTAAGAGGCACAGATACACTCCTTCGTCATTGCCCATACAGCACCTTCTTTCTCTGTCATTCCTCGTATGTCGCTAACCGTAAATAGGTAGGTGAGATGAGAGAGATGCGTGGGACGTCCGTATTCCTTGGCGGACCTTTTTACATGCATTGCCATCCTTCGAGACCCGAACATCTAACCCAAGGTTACATTATTTAGTCTTGAAGCATCTAATGCACTGGTTCTCTAGATACATACCTTACTAATCCAGGGGTAGCTTGATAATTAAGTAATCTAGAATGGGAGAGACTTGTAAGGGTATTATATGCTTATATTGCTTACCTGGCACATACCTATCCTATATAGGTAGGTATTCCATCATTTTACAACACTCTGATCTCTTTCTTTGCGGGGTTGTCCCACCTCCTGTCAGACGAAGAGTAACATGGAGATATGCGGAGTAGAGCTTATAAGTCACGTTACCTCCCTGAGCCGGCACACCTGCCTTATGGCTTATCTGATTATGAAGGATGAGTACCAACCTAGTATCCATTTAGTACGTATGTAGATGCTGACTTAACCAAGTACTTACCTAATATCGTATCTCCAAGGCTAAAATATTCGGAATAACCTCAAACTCATAACCTGCTGACATATAGCTATACCCTCAGTATTTAGCAGTTGATGTAACCAATGATGGCATTTAACTACTCATCATGGTCAGGTATATTTCATTTGACCTTTAAATGGACTATGAACACAATATCACTCAGGGGGTTTTCAACCCCACCGACATGGTCTTCGTACTAAACCCAAAATAAACAAAATTTTCGCAATGTATAGCAGCCTAGCCTCATCAGCAAAAGACATGGAAGGCTTAGCATACCCAGAAAAGCTTTTTAAGTAGGTATAAATTAATAGCTTAACCTTGCAAAGTACGAGATATTTATACATTCAGCCAATGAGAAGCTGGACAATCCATCGAACTGATAACGTGGAGGCTCTGTGCCGCTCATTAAGATGGGATACAGGATCATCGCGCAGCCTCCTCATCCTTGGACTCATGGCTAGTATATAAGATTATACTACTCTGATGTAGATCCATCCGAATCGCAATCAGACAAATGTACCCACCTCCCCGTTTAGATGATTCCTTCTTCAGATCCAACGGTGTCGTGCTCTACCATACATACCTAGTAGTATCATACAGGAGCGGCTTTTGACGATAAGGCCATTTCATATTATGTACAATTTACTGCTTTACACGTGCAGCTACCTAGTAGCTAAGCTACAAAGGTGGATCGAGGAATCCATCGTCTGTATGATGTTATCAACCCTACAGGAAGTCGTTTCGGTTACATTGATGCCGAAATATAATTAGTAGATACATATATCTGTCTCATGTCCCTGTCTTTCTTTCGATCGTGACCGAACACCACCAACCATTCATTCGCTCACACACAAGCGCATTAGAGACAAGATGCATTTCGCACAAGCCCTTTCAGTCGCCACCATGCTGAGCATGAGCGCGCACTCCCATCCTTCTTACAATATACCTATGAATGACAAGGAGCTTCTTCGGAAAGCAAATTATCCTGTAGAGAATCCCACAACACCTCGGACAGATACTTCTTCTTCTACAACATCTTCTACCAAGATTGGCTATCCTGCAACTATCATACCCCCTTCCCACACTAACTCAAACTCCAATCATAATGGTGCCACCGACAAGGCAACTTCCAGCACAACTTACAAGGCCACTTCCCCTGTTATCTCCATAAATACGTCTAAGATCACAGCCTCGGATATTACAATAGTTACTCGTCAAACTACATTCGTAACCACCAACTGCACGACCACTTCCAGCACAACTTCCAAGATCATTTCCACGGACAAGTCCAAGGCCTCTTCCAAGGCGACCTCTAAGATCATCGTTCCCACTTACCAAACTACTGCTACTACCTCCCAGTCCACTTATAAAATTATACCCAGCAGCACGTCCAGCGTCTCTTCCAAAACCAGCTCTAAGACCACTGTGGCTATTCCCAAAAGCACATTCCAAACCAGCACTAAGGCCAGCTCCAACACCGACTTTAAAACCACTTCTAAAGCTACTCCTACGACTACTTCAAAGGTCATTCCCACGACCACTTCCAAGACTACTTCCACAACCACTTCTAAGGCTACCCCTCCTACTACCACTTCTAAGACCACGTCAAAGGTCGTTTCCATAACCACTTCCAAAGCTAATCCCACGACCACTTCTAAAGCAACTTCCAAGGCCAGCACTAACACCAGCTCTAAAACTACCTCTAATACTACTTCTAAGACTACTTCCAAAGCTACTTCTACGACCACTTCAAAGGTCACTTCCAAGACCACTTCTAAAGCCGCCCCTAGTACTACTTCTAAGATCACTTCCAAGGAAAGCAGCTCCAAAAGCAGCACAACTTCGGCCAAGGCCACTGCCACTGCCACTCCTAAGCTAAGCCTGTCAAACAAGGAAATATGTGCAAAGGTGACGAACCAGGATAAAGACACATGGGATAAGAGCAAGGCAACTCAGTACATGACCGGCTGGTTCCTCGACCGCAATGGCAAAATGGGTGCGTATTTTTTGTTCCGACTCTTCCTACTTAGTACACGCAAAGACACCCCCCTATTAACATATCCATCAGATGATTGGCTGCAACAAATGCACATGAATGCCACTGCCAAGTCTGGCGTCTCGACTGGTGTTTTGGACTGCACCATGCTGCATTCCGAGAATTGCTCGCCCGTTGGCGACGGTGACTGCGACAACTATGATCCCGCATCCTGTACGCTCCAGCCCCTTCCCCCTTTTCGAGATATTACGTAATCGGAATTTTTAACGATGTCAAAATAGTTGCCCTTATCCAGACCCAGGCCGTGAATCTGTACGGCATCCTACAGGCGATGGACATCGCAAGCATAAAAAACACTCTGCTGGAGATGCTCAACCTCGATAAACTTATCAGCCAGTTCGTCCCTGACTCGACGCTGCTGGATCGGAAGAAGAAATTCTCTCTTGCATCTGTAAGTGAACACTAGCTTTTTCTTTCCCTTTTCATCGAAGGTCACCATTACTAACAAGTTTTATTAGTCTATCATCGGTCTCTTGGGTGCCATGCTAGCCTTCATCGGAACCATCACTCTCCCGTTTTTCGCCGGCGCAGCCGTCGTCCTCGTAGGGACGCTGACAAAGGGGGCTCTGGCAACAGCCGGGTTCAGCACAACTGTCTCCGTTATTGGAGGGTCTCTCTGTATGTACCCTACTCACCTTTCCGCTTCTCTCGCGCCAACTTTCCTCGCATACATTTATTAACATGACGGCTCTGCAGTTACGGCCGGTACTGCTATCTCGGACAACACCATTGACCCAGATAAGTTGAAGATGGGCCTCGAGCAGGAACTGAGCAATTTCTTCGAGCGAATCAGCGAGAACATTGAGGGACTCACGGCCAAGATCTTTGGTGGCAAGCCGGAGAAAGACGTCAGCATCATGGACTTTGTGGCCAACATCGACAGCTGGTATGGCCGGTTCAAGGATGGCGCTCGCGATTTTACGGCGCTCACGTACCTGTGAGTGATTACCGGGCCCGATGATAACGGCAATTGCTATGTAGAAAACTAACAAGCTTGACCAGATTCCAAGAAAATTGGTTCGCCAAACAGGAAGACGCTTCCAAAGTCATCAAGCCCATGTTTGAGGCAGGCTTCAAAGGCTTCGTGAGTTATTCTCTCCCCTTTCTTTTCTCTCTTTTCGCACAAATCCTCGGATTATTCGTTGGAATAAAGAAAGCTAATGAAACACCTGCGCCAATCATAGAGGGCTTATTTGATCGGCTACATCTTCAGCGCCCGCCATCTCTACGTCATGCACTACGTGAGTAAACCCCCTTAAACTCCCAGCAACATGGATATCATCATGATGATATTAACCAACTTCTTTAGACGGACCTTGACGAGAAGAGCTGCAACGACTCCTACCAAGGGGCTTCCAGATACGTTGACAAGGTAAGCAATCCCCTCCCTCCGTCCCTCCCTCCCCCCACTTTTCCCAAATAAAGCTAACATGTTCGCTTTCCTCTCCCCCCCTCCAGGGCTGCTTCGTCCTCAAAGTCGGCGGCCTGGACGGCAAGCTCAGGCACAAGAAGGTGGCGGACAAGGACGACAACGCGTGGGGGGAGGTCTCCCGGGCCGAGAAGGAGTACAGCGTCGACATCCCGAACTTCTTCCGCAACGTGCGCGACTGCGACAACAACTCCGAGCAGATGCAGCAGAAGAAGGAGTACTCGGCGGCGGACATCGGCAAGATGGGGCCGTGCTTCTTCCCCGTCGCGTACGTGAAGGCGGACAAGCCGGGCAGCTGGCGCGCGGCCGACCAGGGCTACACGGACGTGCTGAGCTCGCTGTTCGTCGAGTGGCCGATGCGCGAGGATGAGGTTGTGGTCATGGTCGGTGCGAGCTAGTTGGTGGGGGGGGGACGAGTGCAGAGGTGCGGGTGGGTGTAGAATAAAGAAAACAAAGAAAAAAAATAAAAAAATATCGTTGTTACTATTTATCTACCCAAGCTTACTCAGGTAGTTGTCCTCATCTCGCAATGGTCGAGTGAGGGATTGCTACTAATAGGTACCTGACCAGTTGTGGTGGCACAGAAGTGAAGGTGGTCACGTGCCACCCCCTGAGCCAGCACAACTAGTTACAGTACAGTATGTGTAACCATCCATGATAATGCCGCGACAGCAATGGGAGTTACCCTAGAAGGGTTAATGGGCATGAGCTTTGATTGACTTGGTTGCATGTGTGCTATGCTTGTATACGGTTAGGTACATGCTGGAGCTTGACATTGCTGGAATACATAGTACTCAGTATTTTTATCAACATTAGGTACCTGATTTCTGGGTAAGTTGGAAAGTGGAATCCTGTCACGGCATAATAAACCCACAAAGAGACTTTTTTTTTTTCGTAGTTTTTCATTCATTCATTTTTTTTTTTTTTTTTCATTGATTGCGGTAGGTACTCTGTGGACCCGACCACCTTGAGCTCTAGGGCGGCAACCTTGCCTTAGGTACCTGTTCTTCAAAACGCCCATGGGATGATAGCACCCCCCATAGGTCTAGGCGTCGCAGCTCGGTGGATGATCGACTCATCCCTGTCTTGCAGCGGGACCGCACGAGACAATGCCATGAAACTGCTCGTGTCTGGGTGGGACCTCGCACTCCAGTACAAGCTCTGCTGCTGGTTCGAGCCGCAGGTGTAAAGAGAGCGCTCATCTGACGATGACGATTGAGATGAACCGCTGCTCTCAAGGGTATTGTGTACTGCCTCCGGGGCTTTTTCTCCCCGTATTGCCTTCCTCCAGTGACTTCTCTGCACCTTTCGGTAGATTCGTGAGCTGAGGATGATCGAGTCGAAGTCGAACTTGCTGCTGAAGAGATGCGTGTCGTGCGAGTCGAAGCTGGATCGGTCGTCCTGTCCGGCGATGGAGGAGGAGTGGTCTTTGGCCACGTTCAGCGTGAGCTGGCTCTCGTGGCACTCGAGGATATCTTGTTGTTGCGCCCAGGTTTGACTAGTTATTGACAGTATTAGAAGACGGAACTTGTTATACACGCGGTAGAGAGTCTTTAATTTACCATTGAATAGCTTGTAATAGGAGGCTGAGCGCATTTACTTGCCGATCGAGCATTGTGGACAAGTAAGACATCTCTCTCTCGCTCCACAGAAAAGAGATCCTGAGTTTTGTCGCCACCAACAAAGGGAGGCCATCGTCTAAGCGATCTATTTCTCGCTGCAAATTCTCCATCAACGGTTCAAAGCTTTCCATGGCACTCTGGACCTGGAGAGCCAGCTGCTGATACCTCGGGCTGCGGCTTAGGTCTGGTGAATGGAACAACTTGAGTTGGCCCAGGGCAGAGTGCACTATGGAGAGCTGGCTTATCATAGTGAACAACAGCACCGGGGCGTCCTGGTACTTGGCACTGATGGAGCGGAGTTTTGTGATGCATTTCAAGACCACATCGCCCAGAGCGATGACGGTGCTCAGGATTTGAAGTATCGAAATAGGGTCCATGCCGCAGACATCGGTCAACAACCAGTCGGTTCCTCTCAGCCGAAATTGAGAATGATACTTCTGACCTAGGTCACGCACGGCATTCACTTTTATCAACCCAAGACACTGGCTAGCTATCAAGTAGGCTGCGCTCGACCTTGGGCTCCAACGCTTGATGTCGCGTCTTGCGCTACATCAAAGTGCAGCTCTAGCTGAGCGGCTGAAACAACGGTAAGGTAGGTAATGCTGACATGCAGGATGGAGAATTGCGTAAGGCTGCTGAGAATTATATCATCGAATGAAGGAACGGTCCGAGTCCCGGTTTTTTACATGTCAAAAAAAAAGGTCGGAGACCTCTTTTCGTCCCCTGCCTTGAAGGTATAGTTAAGGAATGTGATATAAACAAGAGGTGTCCCAGCGGGGTGGAAATTTGTCCTAGTTTTAATAGAAAATCAGCAGCCATTCCTGGACGAACCAGGGAGGAACTACTGTTTAGAAGTCTAGGCTTGTTCAGACTCTAGTATACCTATCGTAAAGTGACGACTCACTCTTCTCACCTTGGTATACTAGACGTTGAGGCTTTTATGTCGACTACTTGCCTTCATACGTAGTATTTACCTCCCTACCTACTACTCAGTATGTACATATTTAGTAACAGACATCGATGCTTACAGGTACCGAGTCGGAGTATCCGGCATATTCATGGGGTAAAGTGATCGCCTTGTATCATCTCAAGGTGCAGATGATATTCAGCCTTAAGGAAAGTGCAATAACGGTTCTCGGCACGCGACTAGCAACAACATGGAAATATACCAGCATCATTACCGCATTGCTTACCTCCTTTGGGAAAAAAAAAAACCCCCTGTCATCCTAATTCAGTACGTAGGCAGTGTGGAGGAGTACAGGAATACAGAATATATATCTCTCATAAAAAAGTTCTATCTACCTAAGTTGTCTTTTTAAAACGGCACAAGTCCTAGAAAACCCTGAACATTTTACTCTAATAAGAAATCGGAAAGAGAGAGAGAGGGAGAGAGGCGACCATCCATCCATCCACTCAAACAAAGCAAACCTAGGTACCTTCCTACCTAAACCAGATTCAATACCTAATTCACCGAACCATCTTACTTGCATGACACGGTGAGCACCCCCCCCCAAAAAAGGAGAAGAAGAAAAAGAAGAAAAGAAAAAAAAGCTCCCAACGGAGTTTCTTTTATGTTCCCTTTTCCCTTAGAACTTCTGGACAACCGGCGTCAGGTACACGTTTAGCGGCGGCTTTTCCCACACGATGTACGCCTTCTGCCCCTTGAGCCAGTCGCGGCTGTCCTCCGCGATCCTCAGGTCGAAGTTGTAGACGACCTTGGCGAGGATGAGGCGCATCTCTGCGTAGGCCAGACTACAGCACAAAGTTAGTTAGTACAGGTTCCCATCTTCAATTTTCCTTATTGTAGGTAAGGGAGGAATAGACGTACTTCTTGCCAATACAGTTGCGCGGCCCGAAACTGAACGGCTGCATGGCCTCGAACTTGTCATCCTTGTACTTCGGGTCGCCCGTCCAGCGCTCAGGCACATATTCCTCCGGGTCTTTCCAGTAAAGCGGGTTCTTGTTGATTGGCCATTGGAATATCGAGACGGCAGTCTAGTGTTTTTGCACGTTAGCCTTTTTTTCTTTCTTCTTTTTCATTGGACAGGACAAGTAGTGAAACGCGGAAGATGGAGATGATGATGATGATGATCATGGACGGATGATGGAGTGGAATGGACTTACCCCCTCAGGCACATATTTCCCAAGAAGAGTCACGCCGCCCTTGGGCGACTCTCGCGGCAGATCACCCGCCACGGGAGGGTAACACCTGAACGACTCGTTCAGACACGCAAGCATACTATTAACGCAAATCGTCAGATTAGCAAAGCCAAATTCCCAAAGTCAACTTATCCTAAGCCCTCGAAAGGCAGTGGTTACTCACTAAGTCAAAGACCCAACCGAAATCAAGTTAATCTCCTCGTCGCTCTTGAACGTAGACCTGACCTCCGCGACTAGCTTCGCCAGCTTATCGGGGTGCGTCGTGAGCAGCCAGGTGACGCCGCAGAGGACGGTGGCCGTGGTCTCGGACCCGGCGATGATGAGCAGGTTCGCGTTCTCGGCCAACCGGTCCGGACCAAGATAGCTCTCGTCCTTCTTCTTGATGAGGGCCTCGATGAGGTCGTCGCGCTCGACGCCGAGGTTGACGCGGTCGTTGAGCTTGTGGCGCACGAGCTCCATGTTCTCGTGGTCCTTCATCAGGCCGGACCTGTACAGCTGCAAGACGACGGACTGCAGGCCCAGGTGGTTCATGGCGCGGACAAAGGCGCCCTCGCGGATGGTCTCGGTGATGATCTCGATCCAGGGGTGGTAGGAGGCGTTGCGCAAGGAGCCGAAGGGGGAGCCGAAGCCGAGGTCGCCGATGATGTCGAAGGTCGTCCAGTTGTACCAGTTCTTCATGTTCAGCGCCACCTTGCCATTCTCGCAGTACTTGTGCAGCTGCCGGATCAGCAGGTTCGCGTACTCGTCGATGAGGGGCGCCTGCGCGCGCATCGCCTTCTCCGAGAAGCCGGCCGAGAGCTGGCGCCGCAGGATGCCGTGCTCCTCGCGGTTCGCGGTGAGCACCGTTCTGGGGCGGTCATTGACCGAGATGTTGAAGCCTGTAGATTTAACCGGTTAATTAAGGGGATAGGTAGGTACGCACGCAATTCACTGTGTAGTGTGGTCACATTATAGGAAGTCCATCAAACATAGCATATTAGGTAGGTACCTATGCTTAGGGGAAAATGGAAACGACCGGTAGGATATAGGGGGCTGGCATACCTTCGTGTTTAGCTAATTCCGGGTGACCGCCGGTTCGGTGGCCGTAGATCTCTTTCCACGCATCCACATCATTGAATGCGAGTTCCACAGGCGAGAGGCGCACAATGGGCCCATATTTGGCATGCAAATCAGCTACTATGAAGTGTATATCGCCTCTGGCGAGATGATATGCGCGGGGAAGGCTAGTGATACGCCATAAGATGGGCCCGGGAAATGCACGTAATGGATGCAGGTAAAGTCTGTAAAAGATTACACTGGTGATATATAAAAACACCTGGTGATGGTGGCAGCACTTGGTAAGCGGCTATCCTTAAAGGTAACTCGAGAGATATTGGAACAGAGGGAGGACAACTTACAGCGGCAAAGGCTATCGATGTGATGCCATATGTATTGCCTGCTAGTTGAATAGTTAAGGCCATGATTGCTGTCTAAGCAAGAAGAAGTCTATCGTGAGATGATTTTCTGTTCTGCTCAGAGTGGAAGGTGTCACAGTACCGAACTATATACTCTATCATATTCTGCATGTCGGGGAATATATACAGATCTATATACTGACTCTGTACGTATTAGATAGATAAGCATACATGATTCATAATCTCTCATACAGCCAAGAACAGGCTTTCGCAATGGCATCTCCACGAGATAGGGCTGCTGCTCCTATCACAACACAGCGCAACCTTGACGATGCACAACACCATCATTGTTACGCAGGCATCGTATCTAACACCTTCTCGGAGACTACGGAGACTACACGAACATACGAATTTGCCATCATCTTCGTCCTAGCTAGCCCCCCTCATGCAGCCATCTCGTGCCTTAGTTTGCCCTCGTGAAAAACCTGGAAAACATCGAGGCCTGGCATGGGGTTGTTTCCAGATCCCTTCTTCGTGTGAGTAATGGCGACACTGCCCCTCCTTTGTGTGGGCTTACTGGATGCTTGCTTTCGTCTTGTGCCTATACGATTTAAATTCCAAGGTTATCATATATCTTGGCTACTGCAGGTACCTACTCGTTGAAACTGCTTATGTCATCGATCTCTGTAGACAAGTACTAGGTATACTAGGCGTGTTCGGGCGTGTTGCTGGGGATATATTTGTAAAACATGTGAAAATTGAAGATGTCCTGGAGTCGGGGGATGCGTGGTATATCGTTAAGAAAAAGTGAGTCCCCGGAAGAGCGCCGGGTGGGAACTGTCGTATTCGGCATGAGCCTTGAATAAGTGTCGGTCGAAACTGTCAAGCAGCCAATGATGAGTGTGGAGTTGTTGACCAATGCGTGTGGGCTGGACTCTGCCAATGCCATGCGGCTATGCCGGCTACAATCTGGTCCAGGCCCCTGCCGGTAGATCACCCGCAGTCTTATGATAGGGTACAAGGTTCTTCCACGACTATCATAGCGTGCCGGCCGGGATAATATCCGGGGTTTATACTCAAGATGCCTAGTTGCGGCCGGTTTCAGTTGATACATTAGCGCCTTACTACAGCAAATGTGAGGCAATATCAAGTGAATTCCTATACATCCCTACTAGATACCTACGTAAGTAATTCAATTCGGCCGAGTCCACCATTCTTTCGACTCACTTTCTCTCACTTTTTCTTTCCAAGTTTCCAAGGTAAGTGATGCTACCCAAACGCCTCGACGGATAGTTGGAAGGGCCCGAATTAGTTCCCGGTAACCCGTCTACCTACAAGAGCCTGAGCCTGAGTTTGTCTCAGCCTAAAATCATGTGATTTGGTAGATGATCGAAAATGGAGTACATAGACCTCGAGTTCACGTGATACCCTTGCTACTGGATAGATAGGGCGTACATACTAGGCGTACATACTACATACATAGGCCCGGCTATAATATCTCTAACAGGAATCACAATCTATAATCCTACCGAGTGACTACCTAGGTTAGGTATGTAACGGCAACCCTGGTAGATGGCTCTATCACTACATACTACCTAGTGCCTACCTGCCTGGGCATCAAGACGCTCTCGTGGGCTTTGACGATAGATTATCCCGCCTTCCTACCACGTGATAATGAACTTCCCGGGGTAGAATCAGGGGTTACATTCCTACGTAGATGCATAGAACTTATTACGATCGTATAACATATCACAAGGTAGCATAGATACGATCGTATAAGAATATGACAATGTAAAGGTAATCAATAATGAGTAATCAAACATACGTAATTTGTGGTAGCTAGTCAGGACATGTATACAATGGTTCCCCAGTAGAGTATACAGCATGAGGTATTGCTATATTAATCTAGAACTCCTTGGATGAACGCCCAACTCCACGTGGAAATGTTCCGAGAATACCCGATGTGCGATCCGCAAACAGTGCATGAGCTTTAGAGGCAAAAGTTGATGTGACAATAACGACTAGGTGTCGATCACTTTACACCCTGCAAGATTATGCAGCCGCCCTGCCCTACGCTAAGCTTTTGTGCATCGTCGTCACTTTTCTCCGTTAAGTCCGCTAGACACTTCTCTGCCAAGGACCTGAGACCTGCCTACTATGTAGGTATGGACTAGGCTATGCCTTAACCCTCACCCCAGTGGCAGAAATGACGCCCTTGTCACCTGAGCTATTCGTATCCTCGGACGCTTCTGAAATTCCGCCGTCTGGCAGAGGCATCAGGAGCTTCCCAGCATCATAGCCAACAGACTTCACGATCCCTAGACCTTTCGTCCGTCCTTCCCGAAATAATAGTCGGTCGCCGGGTGCTAAGTATTCTGGACGTTGCACAAATCTGAACGCTACAATGGCGCGATCTCCCGTTCGTATAAACGGGCGATCCACGTCGATGATAGAGCACGTTTGAGAGACTGGCCCTACGTGAAGCATCGCCTGATACTTCGTCTTAATAGTAGTTGCGTGAGAGAGAATGAGAACCTCTGCGACAAATTCGCGGTAGACCTTTGGCAGTGGCTGCCCCTCAATTTTCGGTAGGACTACCATACCTTTCCTCACATCTTTTCGCCGGATTTTCTTTAACGCAAAACTAGCAGATTGACCAGCCGATGCGGCAGGTACGCCGATGCGTTTTCGCTCAATCGATCGAATGCTCGTTTGAGTGAATTGGCCAAGTGAATCGGGGCCGATGAGCACACTGTCGCCAGCATGTATCACACCCGACTTAATAATGCCACTCACAACAGTACCGACGAAAGGTACGGAGAAGGTATCATTAACATGAAACTCGAACGGCGCGTCGCTATCATAGCGACCGTGGTGCGGAAGGATGTTGAGAAATGTCCGGACGAGGTCGAGGTTTTGGCCAGTGACATTGGATACTTGAAAAATGGGACACAACCGCTGGCTCACAAACTGAGTTGCGGTGTTAACACATTCTTCACGGTTGTTGATAAATATGGGCATTTTTCGTGCTGCCGGGGATTTCAGGATTTTGGTGATTTGTTGAATAGTCTGCTCCAGGATATTTGGAGGGCAAATATCGATTTTGGTCACTACCACCATGATGGGAACATTCAGAGCTAAGGCAATACCAAGGTGTTCTTTGCTCATGCCGATCAGTCCGTTATTGGCTGCAACCATAAGCAGACAGTAATTAGGACTGCTAGACAGCAGACCGAAGACGGTAGTACGCAGGTAGCGTTCGTGGCCGGCCAAATCAGTGAAGGTGATGACTTTGGCGCTGCGTTTCCCGATTTCTTCCCACGAGAGTTTCCCTGTTACATTGTAAGGAGACTGGGTATGGTACGGTGAATCGAATTTACTTACTTCCAGGGGTATCAGACGCGATGACATGCCCTGTTGTATCGAAGCCCATGATTTCCATTCCGACGGAGCTGGTTCGTCCAGTTTCAATCTCGTGCTTATGACGAAACAGATTCACACGGGCTTTCCCTCGTCCATCATCGAGATCGCCCTTAACCAAAACCCCGAGCATGGAGCTTTTTCCAGCATCAACTTATCCAAGGTTCAGTATGATGGTCTTGCGAAATTGACGTGGAGTTGACTCACCATTGCCAACCACAGCTATCCTAGTCTCGATGACCTCCTCGATTGTAGAAGGGGCTTGTCGTATTAATATTTTGCCAGTGCAATCGGTATCCCTTTTTTGGTTCCCTGACGTTGTCGTTGTTGCCGTTGCCGTAGACTCGGCCTCGACCTCACCGCCTACATTTTTGGTGAGCAGGATGTCGCAATCGCCTCGGACGCTTTTGACCGTCTCTTTCAAGCGCTTCAATGAAATATCCCACTCGTCACGAGTAAGACACATTGATTCGCCATTATTTTCAAATCCTAGGTCAAAGACAGCTTCGCCGTGACCCTCCAGAAGTCGCTCGTTAATATGCTCAGTAAGCTTCTGCTGGGCAATCGCATCATCGGCCGGGGCCAAAAGAAGGGCGCGTAGGGGTATAGTAGGCTCGGAGTCGCCTAGGTTGAGTGAGTCAAGAATATCAAGCTCTTCGTGGTGTTGGACTGGGTCGGTCCCCGTTGTCGCGGCGGTTGGTTTGAGACTTGGATAGCGCAGTGCCTGTTGCTTCTCTACATACTCGGCAAAGTCGCCCAGTGCCTAAGAAGTAAAGTCAAGTATATTAGAACAAATAGGCTAATTGATAAGACAACGGCAACAATTTCAGATAGTTTTATCGTACAGCTTCACCTTTCCGCCGTTCATGCGGCATCTGTTTTGCGCCTTTGGTAGTCATGTTGGATGCTGGAGCATCAATGTTTGTGTTTGTGAGGTAGATATTCGAACGATCATCGAAGGTACTAATATGGAGGATGGAATTGATGCCAATGTGTAGATAGACATATATCTAGGTTAGGCAAGTAGTAGTTTTGTGTGTAAAGAGTACGAAGTTTTAATTTCCAACGTTTGATGAAGAATGAAGATAAGTTACAGCAAATAAAATAAAATAAGAGTCAAAGTTTGGATCGAGTCATACTTGATTCAGGAAGTCTCGAGTCTGTCTTTGAGAGCACCAAAAGTATGAGTAACTCGGGCAAGCTCGGAGCAATCACGCGAAGAACAACCGTCGTCAGATGTGCTTAACCAGCTAACCTGTCTAGGTTAGGTACTGGGTAGCTATCCAGCCTAGTATGATCCGTAGATCAATCAAATCGCGAGTATCTTACCCCGGACACCCCACCTAAAACCAGTAAATAGGGGCCTATTCTTCAGCACTGCCAACCCTACTAAGTTAGTACTAACAGCCCTATCGTAGCTATGTAGTACTAGGTACTGTGATTACGGCTTAAAGATTACGCCGTAACTTCGTAGAGCGCCCCTCCACAAGTACCTAGATATCTAAGTGCACACCCTAGGGGTACCTACATCTACATAACTACATGTGCGTACTCACTACTTAGTATCTTGTAGTGCATAGATATATATCTATAGTAAGCTGTACATGTATAGTAGGTACATAGTACTCTTCACACCTTCACTTACTTACAGCCACCACCTTTGACCTTCAATGTTCGCTGATAAGTTATGGAGGGAATTCAGCCGCATCGGTGTTCGGGGAGCATCACACCCCCAGGACATTTATCACTGGAAGGCTTGAGCAAGGCAATGTTACATCTTGCATTGTAGTAATAGTTTCCTCTGCGGCCATAATGGGGAGATCAATTCATTAGTTGATAATCCCTAAGCCTCACGCTTGCTTGTCCTCCCAGGCGACTTGGTAGCCCTGGATGATTGCCGAGTTCAGTACTTCTATATATTCGATGCCTATATTTGATGCTTATATTTAATGCCTACCTAAGAGATAATGTCTCATAACACGAACTTGAGTATTTCTGGAAATACGGCGCAATGCAATGCGCGCCAGCTCTTTTCGCTCCTGCAGGTCGGTACGATCCGTACGATTAATCTTTTTAGTGATGGACTAGGCAAATCAGAAATTGCCGACTTCCTAGAACTGGAAGAGAATAAAAAATTCAACCTTCCAGAGACGCACGGTTCGTGTGTATTTAGTTCAGTAGCTGTTATCGATTTCCTTTTTGCTGACTTGAAACAGAATATTTGCGCAAGAAGAGGCTTCAGGCCCGTGTGATCGACAGCAAACCATCATCATGTCAACACAATGGGCTATGTTGGCTTGGTCTTAATAGGGTCAAGGATGAAATAGATAATCTCAAAACACACGAACGTGGACCGTCAGTTCTAGGTCAACTAATTCCCGAGGACTTTTCTACTGTTAAGCAATGGATGGGGTCGAAAGACTACCAGATCTTGTTAGTAGTAAGCGAGCCAGGCAACGTTACTTGGACGACCACCCTCCTGCTAGAAATTCTAGATTTGCAACTTGCAACAAAATATAACCCGACTATCACCTTTGCAGCTCACATGTGTAACCTGTATCACACGGAAACAAAGGAGCGACAAGTAAGACTGTTGGTAGAAACCCTACTCGACCTACTCGTCGAATCCTACCCAGAAATATTCGATGACATACATACATGCCAACAACGCATAACTACCAAACAAGAGCCAGACATCGAAGTTAATCAGCTGTGGGGCCTGCTTACCAAATACGTTCAAGACTCCGGAACGAAAAAGCTCATAATCATCATCAATCAGATCCATTGTTTGTTTCCAAAACGCTGCAACGAGATCCAGTACCCTTTTATCAAAATGCTGGAGACATTTTGCGAAGACCTCAAGAAAGTCGGAATTATCGTGAAGGTGTTGGCCATTAGTTTGGAAGATAATGTAGCTGATTTCTTTGAGCCGATAAAGAATTTACGTGTGATCACGCTGGCGGAGGCACCATCTTGTTATTTCTCTGGAAATGAATGTGACGGGGCTTAGAATCCACCAAAGAACAGAGCTCTCCGAATTTCCCAACCCAAACCTAGTTAGGTACTTGAGCAGATGCTTCGTGTATGTTAGAACTCTTTTCTTATGTTGGATCAGCTACTGATTTCACTCCAAAGATCATTCACATTCTTGTGTTCGCACTAGTAGTAAACTCCATTAACCACCATGTGTATCTATGTAGCCCTGAAGATATTTAACCAGAGAGGTGTACCTAGAGAGTTAGGAATATCGGAGATATCCATATGAAAGAAATCAGCAATACTCCTTTCGTGGTCATGAAACATAACATCCACCAGCAGGCGCAACTAAAAATGTTGCTCCTACGCCTTCAGTTCGCTAACAATCTCTGCGCCAAATCCCCTTGCCTATTCCGCAATGCTCTACCCTTCGGTAATCGACTCAAATAACCCTTGAAGCTTTCTCCCAGATTCAGCATGTTTTGAATATCAAAGGACTTGAGAGTTCCTTGAGGAATTATGTTCATTAATAGTCTGGATACATGATAAGGCCATGAAATGAGCTGGAAATTTACTTACTCTTATTATTATGCGCTACCGCAGTAGCAGCATGTATGCAGTTTCTAATCTCCCTGCCATTCATTTCGGTGTACACGCCTCCGTCCAGCTTCTCTAGGCTGGTCTTCACCCACGACGCGAGTTCTGCTTTGTCGATGTGAGTGGCATTAGGGAGACGATTGATGATGTCTATCCAGATCGCCTTCTGGGCCGAGAAGTCCAGATCAGGAAATTCCAACCCCGTGTCAATCCTGGATAGCAGCGCTGAGTCGAATCCTTTCACCCTGTTAGTGGCCATGAAGACCATGGCGTGCGAACAGTCCAGCCTCCGAAGAAAGCTGGACACAATCGCGCAGTGCTGACTAGAATTTTCGCGGTGTCTAACCAGGGTATCAGCCTCTTCTAGTAACAAGATGGCGCGCCAATTTGTAGCACGGATAAAGGCCTGTTGGAGGCGGTCCTCGAAGTCATCAGTATCATATCCCAGCTCTTTGCATGTCAACGTGTAAAGTGGGACCTTCTTCTTTTCACAAAGGGACTCTATTATATTGTAGGGGGTTGATTAGTTGACTTTGTATGATGATTAGGCAGGAATGGGGGAATAAAACTCACCAACAGCTAGTGTCTTCCCAGTTCCAGTGTTTCCAGACAGAAGGATGTTGAATCCTTGACTAGGCCCTTGAATGCGGCCGGGACTGGCATTTCCTGACCCATTCTGAAGGTAGGTAGATACTAAGTCTTCAAGAACTTTCTTCTTATCTCCATCCATCTGTAACTTTGTCAATGGCTCATCCCGAGTCCCAACGTCCTGTAACTCCGACAGTGAAACCAGGTTCCAGGACTTGTGTGTGAGAGAGAAGGCCCATAACTGGGCCGGGCAAAACATCAGCACCTCTTTATCATCACTGGTAAGGCTCACTGGTCGTTCAGTCCCACATATGTCGCTGTCGTGAGGAACATCAATGGGATATGATTTGAGAGAGACATAGTTCCCCTTACAGATAGAACATGCAATCCCAGTATAATGTGGCTCGTCTAGGTGGCTGGCTTGCTCATGTTTGCTGGATGTGACGTAGTCTACGATGACATTGATTGGGCTCTGGGAGGGTGGTTAGCATAAAGTGTAGAATACGTAACGTCTGTTAGATACCATAATCACCTCTTGAGACGTCCTTGGCCAGGCATAGCCATCGTACTGTTTGTAGGACACTTTCCGACCATAGCTCCAATATGACTGTCCCCGCTCAATGAGCTTATTTTCGATGCTGGGGCAATACCAGCTGGGCAGGACTTCAAGGTTTTCGATCAGACGCTCTGAAGAATACGAATTGACGTGGAACACCTTGACATGCGGCACTAGCCACTGTCCAGTCTTGTCAAAATCAAGGAACCAGCAGTAGATTAGCATCTTTCCCGGGTGAGATTCGGTGTAGGTCTCCACTCTGTCGACCTTATAAGCCCTCCAAGCTCCGTCGCCCCTGTCAAACACTGTCGCCCCTGGTGGGTAGAGGAGCCAAAGGTCGCTGAAGGTTATCTTGTAGCACCGTCTCTGATCTATCTCATCTTGTTTTTCCCAGGTAAGGGGGCTCGTTTCCTTCGCGAACTTGGTTAGGGCTTGTAGGTGTTCTTTGATGTGATTGTCAGCATGTCCAGCCTCTAGTTTCAAGATCTTTGACCTGTTGTAGAAGATCAGTTGATATGGTTCATGAATACTGAGCTTCGGAAGTTGACTCTTCTCCTGAACTATGACTGAAAGAGGGACGTGTCTCCCAAGGAAATTGTTAAAGTCAGGGCAGATAATCTTATAGCTAGGTTTCTTTGTATGCCTGTGGAATGCTAGCTGGCTGTCGTTACATGAGCCTTCAGTAATACTACCCCCAAGAGGAGAGTATGGATCATTGCGAGAGTCATTATCCTATATATCGTTTTCTTTAAGTCAATGAGAGAGGACATATCTTGTTGACTTGAAACTAACAGGATATCTACTGCAAATGTCTCTGACACTAGAGGTCGAGCCACTTGTTTCCACTGCAGTACTAACTGCAGTACATATATCAGAGTCGGCGTTTGGAGGAACTCTGTTTGATGTTGACACTGGCGCTAGTGATAGACGGGGTTGCTGATCGCAGCAAAACTCATTTTGACTCTGTTGAGGATTGTTCCTTTCAGTGACAACTTGAAGTTGAGGATTACAAGTGACTTTTGGATTCGTTAGATTGTGTACCATATTGGACGCTCCTAACCTTTCTCTTTGCTTTGATAAAAGATGCCCCATACTTGATAGCAATTGTATGAGATGGTCGGAAGGCTTTCTTCAAAATATGGGAAAAGGGGTTTAAGGGAGGCAGAATAGCCATGATAGATCTGGGTTCTCCAAAGCTTATACCTAACGGTGAACTTTTTCTCGGTACTGTCATCTCATGTACTAAGAACGTTTGTTAGCCATGCAGTCACTGGTAGATAGGTAGTTATCACCCTCTTCTTCAGTCCTTTTTCTCCTCTTCCTTCCATCTTCCCCTTTCACCCCTTTTCGCCCCACCCTCCTTTTGTTCCTATCACCGCTTCGTCAACATCAGCCACTAATAATAATTACTCAAGATGTTTGCAATTTACTGACTGCATACATGGTCATGTCTAAGCATTGCCTCATCTAATCATTCCACAATGGATCACCAGCATGGTCACATTGGACGCCATCAGTGTCTAGAACATCCTTTTCTCACACCTACAGAATCAGTACCACCATGATACGAATATATTCTCCAATACCAGCATATATTGACGCATCAAAGGACGTACGCGTTCAATTAGATGTAAGTAGTAATATTGTGGCTTCCGTTTTCCTACATCCCTATCCCGGTCTCTGCCTGAATTTCTGCAAGATGAGTTGTCATTGTAGAAAGAAAAGGAATGTTGGGCCGGTATGTATGCAACGTGATATACATATATGCAGCTAATACACTATCACGAGGAAGTATCGATGAGGAATTCATACCCAGCATCGCCGCTTTCAGTAGTTTCTCCGTGCGTGTGCAGTATGCTATATGAGAAAGGACAGCCAACTCTACATATGCAGCTTGATACTTGTAGAGAGTAGGATTCTCATGCTTTTCCGGATGGCACACCTCACGGAGATGCTTCTTTCACCTATCCATCGCTGATGTGGAAGTCCCTGACCGCCCATCCGTGGACAATCCCTTATCTTTGACGCGTACATGATCTTTACTCTAAGAAGCAATGTACAGCTTGGGTGGCACCATGAACATGTACAACTCATGGATGCTTGGATTCTGAAGCTACTTGTTATCGCTACCGGTAACTGAGTCCATTCTGTCGGCCACTCTCTTACCATGCCATCAAGAATATTTCACTCAAGGAGGCTTTACGGCTCGTTCTATTGGTACAGTGATAACGGAGACAAAAGCCATAAGCTGAAAAGGGAGGTACACACGGAGAACAGGAAGTAGTTGTGAATTGTCTACTCGGGGGCTAGCTAAGGTAGAGAAGGCTATATGGGGGGCTGACTAGAATAAGGAGGCCACATGTATACCTAGTACAGACTCCGGGGAGATGCTAGAGATCCCCGTACTACAGCGATGCTTATCTACGTCTTCTAAGCTCTACTGGGTGCTAATACTAAATTTTCTTCACATGATATATGTCTATACACGTCTCTATCATTACCTAGGTACCCAGTACTTAAAAAGGGGTTATAAAAAGGGGTTATAATATTCGGGTGAGATGCTACGTACCTAGTATCAATTACCTACCCGCAACAATAAACATCTCTTAGATCATTTACAGAAATTAAAAGTAAATCACCAGTCAAGTATAACCATGTGGTTCCGGGTCATTGAGTTGTGCAATGTTCTGGTTAGCCTGGGGGAAGGATGTGTGGAGGGAATAGGTTTTAATGAATATGTACCTAGGTTAGCTAATATTTTATGAAGCCTGAAGGTCATAGTAGTTCTACCTCATACATGTAATTAAAAAGTAAATTTAACTCATGGTCACCTCAGCATGTGTAAAAGGACACATTAAACCTTGCAGACTGCCTTGAATCTGATATAAACTGCTCTGGTGGCTGTGCCTCAAGGCTCAACTTCGTCACGTGTCTCACTTCTCCCATACATAATACCATATTAAGTGTTGCAGGTGCCTTAGGCACCCTTAGCCATATGGCCCTTATGGCCATATATTGGCACTCCGCCATCCGTAGTTTGGGAATAAAGCAAGCTTTCTTCCTTTCCTCTTTCTTCTTCTTGGTTGCAGATGTACTGCAACATTAAGGGTCAGCTTACGGTATTCTTACCTAGTACATAGTACATCGCTTGACGGAAAGACGCACTCGAGGTGTTCGATTAATTTTATCCACTATGGTAAGTAGTGTCGTGCCTTTCTCTACTCTTCGAGTGTGCGTCCTTCGAGTAATAGATGAGATGCTTACCCAACATTAGGAAGCGATCGGTTCAATTGCTGCTGTATTACAGTTAATGTCACAAGCTATTTCCCTGTCGCAGCAGGTTGATAAGGCTCTTGAGAACATGAAGTCGACCACCAAAGTTTTTCAAGATATCAAAGCACAAGCAGACAGCCTATCCGAAATCATCGAAACAGTCAAAAGCAGGCCCGAACTGCACGTATCAGATATCAACAGTCAAGTTGGACGAATCAATGCGATCGCGGTCGAGCTTCGTGATATCCTACAAGTCATGACTATGCGACAACACAAGAGCATGCTACGACAAGGCCTATACGCCTTGATTAGAGCAGACCGGGATGATGCTAAGCTGAGAGATGTGTTAGAACGACTAGCTTTGGCAAAGGGCCACCTAACATTACAAATTGGCATCATTAACAATGACATACTAGGCGAACTGAGGGACAGCAAGATGAACCACGAACCAGGAATGAACACTATTTATTTATTTTTACGGAGAAATGAATCCTTGGATAATGCAAAACAGATCAATGGAGCCATTGGGTTGGAATCTTCGAAGGCACCGATCACAGCTAGAGTGATTGATAACAGAGCTCATGGATGCAGTCAACAGAAAAATATCATTATAGGGGGACAATGCTTCGCGTCTCTACTCGAAGTCTAGACTGTATAGATACTGTAGAGTCTTGATTCTCATGTATCTACTCTGGTTAGGTACATACATACATACATATCGTGGCAATGCTCGGCGTTTGTAAAGGGGGGTGGGGGCCGCTTCGGGGTTTAACATGTCCTATCTTTACTAGGTATGCATACCTGGGTACCTATAGATACACACCTCCCCTAAGACTGCAGTACTACGTGAGTCCTTATGTGGATGGTAGAATGTTTCTATTGTCCTAAGTCTCAACCAATGCCTACATATTCAGCCTTCCATTAGGACATAGCAAATTGTCTGCCGACTTAGAGGCAGTGCAATTTCACCTTGCATACCCCCAGGGCTATCTACATACCTACCTACCTAGGTAGGTACCTAGGCATGTAGGTAGACCATATGCCGACGACATCATACGGTAGTTGTGAGTTTTGGCATTCACCCCTCACCCGTCACAATATTAAAGGTGCATTTTCCTTCTCGCAAGGCTTTTCCAGTTGCTGAAGTGTGCGTGCATATGTATCAATGGACCGGCTTATTTCTGCAAAGCCATATCACACGCATCTAGCAAGTAGCGTAGCAATAGGATATAATGGAGAGATACTAGACTATATCATGGATACTGGACAGTAATACTTGCATGCAGGCAATATTTGAAGGTTGCCCGGACAAAGGCGACCGGTTTCCTTACACGTTATCTGCCTGCAGGTGAGGCTCTGTCGTAGGTAGGCCGCGAACTAACTCCAGAGCATTAAATTCGAGGCTGTGTTCTCCTTCCAAGGTTTTTGTAATTCAACGCCCTCCTCTGCTTTTCTCTCGCATTCTCTAATATAACACCATACCTACCTAGGTAGAGATAACCATGCCTCCTCCTCTGACCGTCGAGTACTTGATAGCATTTATTACTCACCGTCGTGACATCCTTGATTTACGAAAGCAAAACACCAATAATACTCTCGAAGTAATCCCCGCTGCCGAGCGAGGTGTAATCACTGGCACTCGGAAAAAAAGGTTTACATCAAACCTACGTTCTTATATTTCAACTCATCGCTCCACCATGGATAAGGAAGTCCATGGAGCGAAAAGAAGCCAACAAGCGAGCACGAACGGACGGGATGGACGCCCATTGACGGATGACCTGAGAATCGGTAAGTTGCTGCGGATCTAAACAAGTACCGAACGATTCAGTGCGGTATTACTAACACGAGGACGCCCTACACAGGTAAAAACAAAGCCGCATCGGGTGCCAAGCAGAACAATTTCATTGTTACAGAGGGACTTTCTTCAGAGAAAGACTCAAAAGCCACCATTGAGGAGAATGAAGCTACCGAGCAAGCTGAGCAGAGAAGTGTTATCGGCGCCGTTCCGAAAGATTTCTGAAATCTTGAGTGTTTCTGGGACAATACTTATGTTTCTTCCAGATGACGTGATAGGGTATACTACTTTGAAATGTTTGTCTAGCAACTCATTAAGCACCTAGGAGGAACTGGAGCAGCTATGGTAGCAATATTCATTCGTTTATGCCACTGAAAAAAAGATTGATACGAAGCCGTGCCAAGCGTAAAGTAAAGGAGGGCGTGCCTAAGGTATTGAAACCACCATCCCACTAAAACATCAAAAAGAAACGATTGCATACGGCAGCATACCTACCTAGGTAAGCATATGGTATGTACAAGGCTAAGGTTGCCATATAAATTTACACAGTAACATATATACCTTTACAAGGGATTAACACCATAACCGCGACGTAAACCGCCATATAAACCGCCATTACAGATCCATAGGTAATATATACGGAGGACGCTATCAGAAGTTCTTTCCATAGGCAAACTTAGCTGCCAGCTAAGTTTGCCTACATATACGGAAAGAGTTCAACAACGGCTCGACAACGGCTGAATAACTGATAGCTTACATATGTACCTAATTGGGTGGCTAGGGACTTAGGTACCTACGTACCTATGCTATGAGCCTCTAAGATGCCCCCTAAAGGTTAAAATAGGAGTATTTATAGACGAGAATGCTAGCTGTAGATTACAATAATAGCAGCCGCTGGCGGACCTGTCTGCTTCAAGTTACTACCTGTTGTGCAGCCGTTGTTGAGCTACCGTTGAGCTGTTGTTTACTTATTTCACTAATTGTGGGTATATATTAGCCATTTACTTCGTAGAATAAGTTTCATCAAACACATTGATATGTATCTCTAATAGTGGTACATATGGTGGTTTGGTTGATTTGGCTCACATTTTGAAGCCACCTCCAAAAGCTATTGATATGTGGCAGTGTAGCAGTCTCCTATCCGATGAAAGGTCTCACTGTGACTCTCACATGTACGGATAGGGTTCAAATACCATCCCCGCACCGTTAAGCCTACATACTTATATGTAAGCAGTTTTCATTAGCTATCTACATAGACCAATACTTGTACAGTCGTGCATTTTATGACGAAGTGGCGGAAGTGTCAGCCTGCTCACGTGATAGCCCAGCACCCATACCACTAACTATAGTTGCTGTAAGTGAGGCTAACCCGAGATAATTCTGGCAAAACCTAACAACGGCAAAGTGCAATGAGTCAGCAGCACGACTCTCTAGCTAGGAGTATCTCGCGATAACAATAACTAACAGCGTTGCGGTAGCAACAGCTTAGCGGAAATTCAGTTCAATTGCAAGAGGGTGTAGCTATTTGACTCAACAAGCAGCCTCCTTGAGATAATGCTCCTTGTATCCATGAGAGACCTAGCGATCGATGCAATATCAAGATCTTATTCGTAGATCACGTGAACAACCACACCTAGATTATGATCTATGATAGATAGGTACAGTATACTCTTTTCGGTAAACTGTACATTATCATACTGTCAATAGCTTGGCGTGTTGGCGGATCTACACCTAGGTACCTAAGTTAGGTACTTTACTGATTGCACAAGTGCCACAACACAAACGCCATCCGAGCCATCAATGCCTTCATTACCTACCTCCTAGGCTAGCTACATTATATGAGCACGACCAAGAAGACATAACTCCATCGGATCATATTGGAATTTATTCTCAAAAGGCCTCCATGATATGAGAGGCGATGTCGTATCGTCTCATCCACTAGGCTGCACATCTAACTACTACAACGACCTGATCTTCATACTATCGTAGAAAACCCAAAATTCGATCATGGATCCAACCTGGTATATTTCCAATTGCCCTATAGGAGAATACACCTAGCACGGCATATCCATTCGCAGATTCAGTCGTGCCTATCAATCTCGAACGTGGCTGGATGCAAGCGGGTGTTCCGTCATGCAGGACCGCTCGCACGCAATCCCTCCGATCGAAAAGGGGAAAAGAGAGGGGGGGGGGAACGGTTACCCAATAGTTCGGAACGAACCATACGTTGCGCACTACCGCTTTTCAATGTTTCAATTTTCTATCTCCCGTAGTGCGACCCGTAGGGCTACATGTGTTTATCTATAACGCAATTCTCCACATCTACGGCGTGACACGCGACATGGGCCATTACTGCAGCGATATTCTTCCATCGGAGCAGTTTGAATTTGTCGGGGGTGTCCCGGGGACGATAAACGAACCGGGGGCATGGATAGTGGCATGCATAGTATTGGAAGAAGAAGACGAAGAAAATGGGTTGATAAAATGACAGGCCTGTTCGCAATATTGCACTCGAGGATTCGAGGAAAATTTCCTTCCTTTCTCAGCTACCGCATCCTACCTTTCTTTACCCCTCCCCCCCCTATATATCGTAAATCCTAGGTAGCAGTCATAATACACACCTTAAACCCAATCACGGGGACTCAGCGTCCAACCGACACGCCCTCACCATGTCGCAACTCGAGATGGGCGTCCACGGGCTAACCCTAGTCCCACAATCGACGGGCTACGGCCTGCTGATTGGGCTAGGCGTCGCCTTCTGCGCCGTGATCCTGGCCGCCGTCAAGATCCAGAAGGCGTACCTCTCCGAGGACTCGGGGACCTCCGAGATGTTCATGGTGGCCAACCGTTCCGTCGGCATCGGACTCACGGCGTCCGCGGTCTTCTCTAGTTGGATGTGGATCAACGAGACGGTCTTTTCGGCGGCTATGTGTTACCGCTTCGGGCTGGCGGTGCCTTTGGTGAGTTTTGCCCACAAAGAACCCTCACCCCCTCCAAAAAAAAAAAAAAAAAAAAAAAAAAAAAAAAAAAAGATCCCAACGCATCGGATAGGGGACAGAGGAAGGTGATGGTGGCTGACAAGTGCAACACGATTCAGTGGTGGGGATCCGGCCTCTGCTTCCAGATTGCCCTGATGGCAGCTCTCGGCGTGCTAGCGAAGATCCGCGTCCCGTACGCGCACACGTCTCTTGAAATCATCAAGATGCGGTACGGCAAGATCGGCCACGTGGTCTTCATCGTGCTAAACCTCTCTAACAACGTATTCGGGTGCGCGTCTATGATCCTCACCGGCTCGCAGCTCATCTACGGCATTTCTGGCATGCATTTCGTAGCTGCCACGGTTCTGATTCCCATTGGCGGTAAGCTATCTCTGACATCGAGAAACCTGACCGCTTGTTTTGGTTTTTTGGTTTTTTTTGAAGATGGAAGAAGCTGACTAGCAACTGGGCAGTGGTGCTGTACACGGCGGTGGGAGGCTTGAAGGCGACCTTCCTCACAGACTACCTCCACACGACGATCGCCCTCGTGCTGATCATGTACTTCACCCTGAGCATCCTCACGCACGAGGCCGTCGGCGGGCTCGGGGGCCTCTACGACAAGGTCGTGGCGACGGCGAGCGAGAACTACATCGAGGGCAACTTCGAAGGGTCCCTGCTCACCATGAAGTCGAAAGAGGCCATCATCTGGGGGCTGATCCTGAAATTCGGCAACCTGGCGCTCGTCGTCATGGACACGGCCTTCTGGCAGAAGTCGTTCGCCAGCGAGGTGTCCGCCACCGTGCCGGGCTACAACCTCGCGGCGGTCGCCATCTTCGGCATCCCGTGGGGGCTGGGCACCGTCATCGGGCTGGTGGCGCGGGCCATCCACAACACGCCCATCTTCCCGACGTACCCGGGCCCCTTTTCGTCCGCCGAGGTCAACGCCGGTCTCGTGATGCCGTATACGGTGAAAGCGCTGATCGGCGACCACGGAATCGTGGCGTTCTTCGTGCTGCTGTTCATGGCGCTGACCAGCACCATCAGCTCGAGCATGATCGCCGTGAGCTCCATCCTGTCGTTCGACGTGTACAAGACCTACATCAACACCAAAGCGAACGATAAGCTGCTCCTGAAGGCCAGCCACATCGCGGTGGTAGCCCACGCCGTCTTCATCACGGGCGTTTCCATCGCGCTCAACTACGGCGGCGCGGACATGACGTGGATAGGGTACTTCCGCCCCGTCCTCAGCTGTCCGGGCATCATACCGCTGGCGCTGACGCTCACCTGGTCCGGGCAGACACGGCTCGCCGCCATCCTGTCGCCAATCCTGGGTTTTCTCACGGGTCTCGCCATATGGCTTGGCACGGCGAAGGCGCTATACGGCACCATCACTCTAGCGACAACCGGGGAAGGGCTGCCGGCGCTATACGGCGCCTGCGGATCCTTCTTCTCGCCAGCTATCTATTCGGTGCTGATTTCGCTGTACAAGCCTTACAAGTTCGACTGGCGCGAGTTCCTGCGCATCGAGCTCGCGGACGAGTACCAGATAAATCCCGCGGCCTCGTCTTCGGAGGAGTCGTCGCTCAGAGACGAGAAGCGGGATCCCAGCCACGTTAACAATGCCCCCGCTCCCCCTGACGACGTTCACCTCTCCATCGACGAACAGCCATCCTCGCCCGCTTCAGATCCCAACACCTCCATTTCCGTCTCCGCCGACGAAAAGAACGCCGCGCCCAAGGCTTCCAAGCCCAAGCCCACAGCCATCTCCATCGACGACATCCAGCACCCCTTCAGCGAAGCGACGCTGCAGGAGCTGCGGCGGTGGTACAAGATCGCGTGGTGGTTCTTCGTCTTCGTCGTGCTGATAACGTTCGTCGCGTGGCCGATGCCGCTGTACCGCGACTACATATTCACGAAGGCGTTTTTCAGCGGGTGGACGTCTGTCGCGATCGCGTGGCAGTTCTTCTCCTTCGCGGCGGTCTCTGTGTACCCATTGTACGATGGGCGCAAGGAGATTGCTATAGGGTTTAGGGGCGTGTGGAAGGCTGTGAGGGAGCGGACGAGGTCGGCGAAGAAGTAGATTGGGATTGGTTAGATGGGTACGTAGGTTGGGGGAAGATGGGGAGAAGAGTGGAAAAGGAGGGGGGGGATACGGAATACGCTATATAAACATATAGGGGTATCACCATCCATGCACCCCGCTAGATCACCCAATTCATCACTTAGATACCTAAAGACATACCCGAGTTATAGTTAGTTCATACCCTCTTACATTGGATTAGAATGATTAGAATGCAATCGTTAGGTAGCACCTACATAATACTACTCCTGGCAACTTCACATCTCGTAATTGGGCGCGTGCAATTGGAAATCGTGACTTAAATGTTTGTTCTCAGATTAATTAAAATACCTGAGTAGCCAGGATTTTTGACACAACGTGCATAGTAGCTTTTATCAACCTTTCTACAGCCCTAACTCGGTAATCTATCTCCCCCGGCGCGCGGGACGTGACTTGAAGCTCCTCTTCATCAAGACCGACTGCTGCTGCCACGGGCCACCCGGCATATTCGTCTCGACATCGTACGTAGTGTTAGCCGGAAGCACCTCCCAGACCATTGTCGAGTTGCCTTGGCGGTATGTGCTCTGCTTCGGGCCACTGGTGATATACCCCTTCTCCACGGGCTTTGTGCCAGTCTGAATATCGAAGCCCTTGATGGCTCTCTCAAAGTACTCCAGAGACGCCAGAGGCTGGTAGAAAGGCACTTCGTGCCCGCTCTCGTAGACCCTCAGGAAAGAAAACTTGCCCGCTTGCTTCACCTGGCCGTGGGTGATGTTGTCGCTTGTCACGAGGTCCACGAAGCCGGCTTGCGAGAAGCCCGGCGCGTTGATTTCTTCTGCCACGGCCTGGCCGCCGAGCCAGTTGCAGTTGTAGTCCGCATCGCCGGCATAGATCGCCACTGTGATGCCCTTGGAGAGCAGGTAGCGGATATCTTCGATGGTGCCCATCTCCCGGCTGTCGTCGCCGGTGTTGTCGAATGCCTCACCTACAGCTCCATTGCTCGAGAAATTGGTGAATGCACCGATCGCGGCTTGAAATTCTGGCGTGTTAAGGTAGTCGGTATAGAATCCGTAGGGAAACGGGTCAGGTACGAGCTCCCGCATATCGTACTCGTCTCGGCCAAGCACATCGTCATACACGGACTCGACCATGTATGCACAGAAGTTATCGGCGTTCTTGCATATCTCATTCCTCCCCGTAGCCTTGCAGTCGTTCAACCGATCAAGACAATTCCCGGGCCCATACAAATTGTTGTAGAACATGGCTTCCGAGGACGCATTGAAGGGGGCGTAGTCGTATGTGTTGCCAGGATAGACGGTGAAGTTGTAGTAAGCCTGGTACTGCAGAACAGGGTCAAACCATCCATTCCCTATCAACACCGTCTCCAACAGGATTTTTTTTGCGCCCGGGATATTCTTTTCATTTTGCTTCTCGATATACGCGTTGAATACGGGTCCGTAATGCCCGCCGTAACTCTCCGTCGCGAAATGAAACCCGCTGCGTGAGTAGTCCGGGAAAGCTCCCATAAACCCTTGCAGGGTTTTCCAAAAGTTGGGCGCAGCATTAGTAGTCGAATTGGCAGTCAAGGTGATGTTAGGATAAGAATAGGTGGCGCACGAGCCAGCTGCATAGTCCGGGCATGTGTCATCCGGCAGCGTTACGATGTTGCCCTGGGACTGCCATGCATTTACCGGCTTGGAGTAGGAAAAGCCAACTTGAGTCGGTTGGTCAATGAAGAGCATGTTGCTCACATTCGACCAGGAGTACGGGTTGTTGTACACGTTGCCGTAGTAATCAACACCACACGGGCCGAGCTCCTCAAACAAGCCAATCATGGAACTTGAGCCGGGCCCGCCATTAATCCAAACCGTCAGCGGCGCCTCTGTTGGGTCTTGGTTACGGGCCTCGAAGAACCACCAGAAAATGTGCTCGTTCTCTCCGACGTCGGCATAACCCGAATAACTCTTCACATTAGGATCCAGCTCGCAAGTGCCGACAGGAACTTCCTTGTACCGAACGGGAATCCCAGCATGGCCGACGACTTCTTTAAGCGTGGTTGGCGGCGCAACGAACTGACCTAACCCGTGACAAGCCGCGGTCACGAGCAGCAATGGTCGCGTAAAAGAAAACATGGCGTAGGGGAGAGGCGTGCTCGGATTATCGCGAAGCAAAGGCACTACGAGGAAAGGGACAAGAAATGTGCAAACGAAGGAGGTTTATAATAGGAGATCGCCTACTATCCACTAACCTAGGTATGTAAAGCAATTATCTATGGCAGGGGTTGTTTCTCCAACGGACGATAACTACAATAGGAAATCAGCTCATCGATTATGGCCTAGTAATACAACCTCCCTTAAGAGCCAATCTCCTAATCAGGTAGGTAGGTAGATAATGCTGTGTGTCATTATCCTGTTCTCAGTGACCATTAGGATAAGCTTCTAGATACTACTTACTCGGTAATACGGCATACGAAATAATACTCAGTATGTATGAACGTCTTGGTCTGACAATACCAGCGCATCTTGCCGCAATTTAGCGTTGTAACATCTCTCAGCTCCGTGGCAGAGATGCTAGACCGTCACGACGAGCTCCATTCGTTCCGATAAGTGAAGACCTTGGCAGATGCGGCTGAGCTTAGGTTCTGATTTCTGCTATGGAACTCATCAGTCGGCATAAGCAGATTTAGCAAGCTTAAGAGCCTGGGCACATTCACCCCGGCGGAATGTGTGCGCAGTGGGGCGATAGGGCGATAATCTGCAATGTGAAGCCACGCGATCTGTCTGAGCCGAGCCACCGCTCTGGATTGCACACAGCATACACATGTCGCTTTACTGCGGGCTTATGTTTACTAACATATCGGACATCAAGTAATAAGCGGCCATGTAAATCGTGTCAGAGCCTCGCACTATCTCGGCTCAGTTTGCCGTTACTGTATTATTTCGCAACTGATTTGGTGAGTCATGTATTAGTTAATATATATCTTCAAAGCTTTATTAACAACATTCATACATTTCTAGTGTATTACATACGTAGGCTGATATGCATCTCCAAGTTGGTCAGCCCGAGTGTAGGCTAACACTTCAGTGGATCTGTAACTATTGTGAAGTACCCTAGGTAAAGAAAACCCGCTGGCGGCGAAGATGATTCAGCAAACTTTGCATTCGCGGTGTTGCACAACATCACTGAGGGCGTGCACGCTTATATATTACGCAAACGTTGTATCTATCCGTGTAATGTGCACATAATCCTTCATCGTCTCATATCATCTCGAGGGGATGGTTTGCTGACGAATGTGGAGAAGATGTGAAGAAAGATGGAGAGAGAGTGTCTGCATGTACATCATGTGTACAACCCCAGACCCATAAAATCGTAAAATCGTAAAACCAGGGCTGAAGGGCCCCTTCTACACACTGAGCCATGGCTGCCATACATGTTGGGTCAAGTTGGAGGACAGATCAACCGGGCGCAGCGTATTCAAACTTTGTGATGTCAGCAGATCAAACAGCCTTTTTCTTTTCTTATTATTAATATTAGCACCATACCTCTTTCCTTCGCCTGGGTTACATGATCATTTCCTACTAACTATCTACGCTAGTAGTGGAGAGCAAGGGTACAGATACCGTGGAAAGGGGTAGGTGCCGTAGGGTATGGATCGCCCGACAAGGATAAACGAAGATGTCGCGAATGATGATGACATATTTTGCTAGACCACTACGTCACAAAATTGAATCAACCATTCTCATCAATTCCTTGCCCTTGCCTGTCGTTCTTCTGGACACACTATTAGTTAGTGCCTCCAAACAATTGATCAAGGGAAAGTTAGCTGAACTTGACATGAACGGTACCACCTTTTTTCTTGACCGTTGTCTGTCATTAATTAAGTTTGTGCCTGAATTAACTATCGAGTCTCCTGTTCGTCCAATGTATTGTGTCCATTGTACTTGTACATGTAATACTTCAAACGTTGAATGAGCATCTGGGTCTTATGATCAAAAAACACTGGAGATCATCAGCGTTTCCTTTGCCGCCACTGCTATTGTCAATCCCATTGTAAATCGCCCGAATCCGTTTAGGTACGTTACGAGAAGATATCAACGGTATCTGCAGTGTTCCTATATTCGGATCAGATACCCTTAATTTTTCATTGTGCTTCGTAATACTAACTAACAATAGCATCATATCGACATTACGAACTGGCAAACGTGAACTAAAATACTCCACGTTACTAGGTTAACGGTCTAAATACCTGGTCAAGCAGCTCAAGCTAAGCCAAGCTGGCTCCGAGACCCTTGGACCCTCGATGGCTTTTTAATTTATTTTTCTTCTATAACACCAGTTTTGACCTAGCAACCGTGCCATCATCACCGACATCCCACTTCCCTCATCATCCCAGATCTTGGTCTCTTAAATCCACACATAATTCTCCACGACGTACAAGTTCAACATCAAAAAAAAATTTTTTTTTTAAAAAAGTTACGACGAAAGCAGTTATTTATTATTACCACTTGATATAAAACGGACCCTGTTCCGGAAACCTATTAGTGTTACCATTTATCACGATTAGCGAATGACAACCAGCAACAAGCCAAGTAGCGGATCGGCAGGTGGGGGTGCTGCTGCCTCGCGCATCTCATCCGTAGATGTTGAGCAGGTAGATGCATTCGCACGAAGGTTGTATAAGCGGGCGCGAGCCGCCGGTCCCGACTTGGAGGAGATTGCGACTGCAGTGCGCAACCTGCACACTGTACTAAAGCACCTGAAATTCGAAGCCGAGGACCCTGAGTCGCTGCTCAATGCCGACGACAGGGCCGTATATATACGTCAACTTACGCCCATCCTCGAGGATTCGGAATTTGCACTTCAGCAGCTAGACACCATACTCGAAAAATACGGAAACGGCAGCGATGGTGGTGATGGTGGCGTGGCGCGGATGGATGGGGAGAAGGGTTGGATGATGCTAGAAAGTCGAGAACGTGAAATGATCAAACTGATACGTAAGAAGCTCACGACTCAGAAATTAAACGTCGATATATTCCTGGATACCATTCAACTGCATAATCCATCCAAATCTCGGCGCATTGTTGATACAAATAACGCTAGCTTCGACTCCATCAAAGACAAAGTAGATGAAATCGCATCGCGAATATGCCAACGAAAGAATTCCAATTTAGGCGGCGATGGAGATGAAGAGCAGCTTTGGGCACAATTCAGAGACGAGTTAGAACGCAAAGGCTTTTCTAGAAATGTGCTGCGTAAGAATCAGGTTAGCTAACACCCTCATTTATTCCATCCTCCAATCCAATATCACCATGTTGACATGGGTATGCACTAGGACGTCATTCGAGCATACATTCGCCAGTTAGACGAACAGCTCAGCGCCAACGGCGGCAGCACGCCTTCAGTGCGGGGACTCCTTGAGCACTACCACCATCGGCCTGACGAAGGACTCCAAATTACTCCGTACCCAACATACCCTGATCCGGCTGACTTGAGCCCAGAGGATATGAACCTTGACATCGACGAGGAGAAATTATTTCCGTCGATGAGGATGAGACGTCTACAGGCAGACGACAGGAATGGGGAATCACCACCAAAGATGCCGAATCAACCTACCTACCTCTCTTACGAGAGACGCTCGTCAGGTGATGACGATGATGAGTCCATGGCACTCATGTCTACGCAGGAGCTGATGGCTCTTGATAGACGGTCTGCTGACCTCGCTCTCTCCATGGGAGGCATGCATCTGCAGCCGCCAGTGCCACCATCCAACCCAACTAGTGCAAATTATCATACGTCTACCTCCCAAGCGCTGCACTCTCTGCCTCCTTCGATCTCTCAGCCTGCACTCCCTTCTTCCTCATCTCAATCCGACCCACGATATGTTCCACAGTTGCCTCAACTTACCGGCACTTCGCCACCTACCCAACGCTCATATTCGGTCTCCGTGCCCGTACTAAACCAGCAGCAGCAGGCACTGATCTCACCACAACAAAACACACGTCTTGCACCTGACAGCAAAGGTCGCGATATCCCACTGGATGCGAAGTGGACACGTATTTCCCGACGGTTGGTGTCACCTGAAGTACTCGCTGGGGCCGGAGTGCGGTATGAAGCACGACCTGACTTCGTGGCAATACTTGGCGAGTTGACCCGTCAGAATGTGATCGATTTTGCTCGGCGGACCGCCGAAGTAAGGAAAGCGAGACGTCGGTGGTCTACCCCTGCTACTGCTACCGTAGCAACCGGTCCCGGTATAAAGGAAAGGAGAGCCGAAGACAGATATCACCCGGATAAGTACAGGAACTGGGACGTTATCCAAGAAGAAGAGCGGCGATCAGAGCGGCGGGACAAGAGAAGGGATGGGAGAAACGACGATAACTCCGAGGGAGAGGGTGTAACGTACATCGTTAACAACAGCACTCGGCGGCGGAAGGGTAGCACGGCTAGCACCGTTACTGAACTCTATGACTCTAGCAGCGATGAAGAAACATCAGGATCGGAGAGCGATTCTGACGATCGAGATCGAGACTCATACGGGTCTTCGTATTCGCAATCGTACCCTCGTTCCAACTCTCGCCTTGACGATTTCCAAAACTCCCGGTCGCAACAAACTCGTCGCAGCTCTACCATGCCCTCGACCTCGACCTCTTCTAAGCACAACGAGAAATCGCGACCACGACCAAAAGCTAGAGTGGACAGTGACGATGATGAGACTGAAGATGATAAAAAGAAGAAGAGCACTAAATCATACCCGTTCATTGTACCGCCGCCATCAAAAAGCGATGGTAGCAAGGACAAAAGCAAGAGCAAAGATGGCAGCAATCCTAGTCCTGCCGCCACGGTGATGCCGAAGCCCATTCTCAAGAACAAGAATGACGACCCTCACGTACGAATCGATCCCACCCCGCAGATAATGAACGAGGGATCCAGTTCGATGGCGCGGAGCTTACCCTCTTCATATCGCCGGAGTGAGCGGGAGCGTCGAGATCGGGATAGAGATAGGACCAGAGAAAAGTCCAGAGATAGGTCTAGGGACCGATCTAGAGATAGAGATCATGACCGAGAAAAGAAATACCGTTCAGACCAGTACACAGACAGAGAGCGGGGAGATCGCCATCGGGAGAGAGACCGCTCATCGCACCGCGGCCATGATGACGGCAGGGAGGATTACCCACAACGACATCGCCACCGAAGCCAAAGTCGCCGGTATCACAGCGGAAGTGGCGGCGGCGTTACCAGTTCGTCGAGCACCACGAGGAGAGGAGACCGTGACCGCGAATACCACGACGACCACTACGCCGCTAGTAGCAATGGGAGGGGCCGGGATGACCGTAGCTCGAAACGGAAGGCCCGCGATGAGACGCTGCGGGCTGTCGGCCTCGGCGGGACTGCTGCCGCTTTGTTGAGCATGTTGAGTGAGGCGGCGCTATAGAAATTATACCCACTAAGGTTCAGCCGGCCGGCCGGCTTGCGGATGCGATATATACTTTTGGGCAATATGGAAAAGTGAATGGGGCTTGGATAAACTGAGACGAACGAATGAAACGATAACGATATAGATACAAAAGGGAGCTAGGGACTGATTAACGAATTCTTATGCTATTTTTTCTTGTCTTTTCTAGCTGAAGCGATCGTTCGGCGGCACATTACCTAGGTACCTAGTGTGTACGGCGCAAAACATAGCGGTGATGAGTAAATGGGCGGAAAAGAAGGAGAGAAAAAAAGGGGGGGAGGGCCAGACGAGAAAGAAATGGCTTGGTTAGGTTAGGTCAGGTACTGGGTTAGATAAAGTTTGGATAAATATACCTAAGGAAGATTGGCTTATTGAAAATATTGACATCAAGTACATGGGATAATACCTTCAACGTTGAGATACAAAGAAACGAATGAATGAGATGAAATAAATATTACCTTGCATTCTCACTCCGGGTACATACATACCTACTGTTGCTCCGAACCCTTCAACATCTGGCATATGCACGTCTTACCGCACGTCTTACCTTAGGTAGGTATGTACCTCTAGCTTAGGTAGGTACCCAAGTTCATACACACACGTTGTTGTTACCCATGGCTCATACGATCCACATCCAAGCAACCCCCATCCATCATGGTGTTTGCAATCGAGTCAAGGTAGGTACCTACCTAACCTTGGGTCTTCTCAAGAGATATCCCATATGAATACCTTTATATAGGTATACCTAGGTATGCATGCTTCGTATATCATAAAAAGGTGATCATCCACACGAACTGCCGAAGCAGCGTTTTTTTTTCTCGCGCATGTTATTCCCGCTCGACGTCCGTCAGTCCTATGCATTGCCACCACCCCTTACATAGATGGATAGGTAAGTAAGTAGGCACCGACCCCAATGCGATTGAGGTTGGTCTCCTCCGCTCCACGTAGGTATGTATGTAAGGGGATGGACACTTCACTTCACTTCACTTCACTTCACGGGTCCGATGCCAGCGTGTAGGTAGTGCGTAAGTAGTCAGGTAGGTATGGAAGTCAATATTACTACCTACCTACCTACCTACCTACCCTAGGTAGGTAAGCATGCACAATTATGTCTAGGTACGCTAAATCTTCCAAGGTTGAGATGTAATACTAGGGAACCTGGCTTGGGCATTATTCATAAGGTATCTATCTACCTACAGCTTACTTCTTCATGAACCCTAGAAGTCCTAGGTAGAGAGATAGATGTGTGACTCGTTTGTTTGGATATTCAAATCTTCTTTGTGATGTTTTCAGTCATTAGCCTAGGTTACATCCAAGGTACGTACAAAATCATCATCGTCGTCTCGACGCCCTTGTAGTAGGGCCAGTTGTAGTGGGACCAGCCGAGACTATTTTCTCCTGTGGTTGCCTGCTTTCACCTGCCGCAGCATCCTGCTTGCTACTTCCAGCCATCATGCGATTAAGCAGGGTAGCCCTATGTTTCCGCGCCTCCGGGTTATCATATTCCAGCTGTGTGCCTCTTGGCGGACTATCTCCACCATTATTGTCCACCGTATGATTACTCTCTCCGCTATGCTGCATCATCATCTTATCCAGAAGCCCAAAAGCGCCGGCCGTAGTCTGGTTATTCGAGGAGGGGCGAGATGCCGCAGACTCGGTTCTTCGAAGGTTGGATAGAGAGCTGCTGCTTGGGTGGGGCAAAGACTCGATGCTAGCGCTCGATGCTGCCGAGACATTGCTCACTGCGCGACCGAGCACCTCGCGTTTACGACGTTGTCTGGGCGCCGATTGCGGTCTCGCTCCATCACCCTCGTGAGATATTCCATCAGTGGGCATGAGAGAGGTCAGCTTCTTGGACATCTCTTGCCGTTCTGCTGCGCGAAGCTGCTCGGCTTGTCGCTTTCGTTCTTCCTCCTCACGCTTTGAAGCGTCTTCCTCCTCTTTTGCTTCGCCCAGAGAAGCATCCAACTCATCGTCACTTTGAGAGTCACCTACTTCCCCTCCAGTTGGGAATCGTCTCAACTTCCGTGGTGATCGGCTTGTCTTTTGTGGCGAGGGTGACTTGTTAAGTGCATTGGAGGTCTTTTCTGATAAAGGCGTCGAGTTGGTAGGTGGCTCCACACCCTGATCATTTTCTTGGTTGGTGGGTGCGGTTTCGTAGGTTGACTTCGCAGTATCCTTTGGTTCCACGACAGCATTCCGAGGCATCGGGGTATCGTTATCAAATGCGGTCATGTCAATGCCATGCTTCATCCCCGATGTGGCATGGGCTGACTTCGTTATTTGTTTTGGCACAGGTTCTGGTTCAGATCTGACCGTTTTATCCATCTCTTTAGACCCGACGGCGGCCCGCTCTGTGTCTACCTCCTGAGGGAAACCTCGGAGCAAGTAATTCTTCCATGGCACGAGGCAGCCCGTTGTGACACATTGCCAGAGCCACTCTGCGTCCACCACTGGCACTTTGGATTTCACGGCAAAAGCTAATTTCTGTTTTCTTGCACTCTCAATAGAAGGGCAGATTAGCAATGAACATTGCGCGTTGAGTCGTTCGGAAAACTTGGCACCAAGCTGCAAGACGGCTTTCTCTACTTGATTCAGTGTCTCATTCCTAAATCCAGCGGTGCAAATAATCAGACTATTAAACCCCTTGATAGGAAACTGTGGAAATGGTCGGCCCAGAACATGTTCATTTGGGTTATAAAGAACCTTGTTGTGGACACAACGTTCGATATAAAACTCAGTGACGACATGTATCCCCTCGGGAAATGCGGGATGAGAGGCAGGTTGAGATGATTGTGGAACAATAATATAACGTCGATCAGATAGCTCATTATGGATCGACAACCCGACATCCTTTATGGATGATGATATCTGTCCGCCGTGAGACGTGATGTGTCCATGTATGATTTCCTGTTTATTTCGAGAGAAACCGTGAACATAAAAACGGCAGGAAGAGAAAACGCCAGCTTCAGCATGTTGGCCACGGTCGTAGGGTATCGGTTGCGCACTATCAGACGTCGACGTGGTTGGGCAGGCCTGGGCAGGCATAGAAATTACGCTGATGGATTGATCGTCAAGCATGCTGGAATCAGCACTAGCAAGATTGGAGAGGTCCATGGACGATTGCTTCACTAGTATATCACCCCAAAGATTATCCCTCTGACTTGTAAGTTTCATACTTGCAGTCTTTCTCAACTTACGTCTACCATCGTCGCCTGGGGGGGCGCTAACACCATCGCGCGGTCGTTTGCGCAAAGGAGCTCGTTTGATGTCCCTCCTTATCCAAGCTCCCTTTCCCCGTTCTTCGGCCGGTAGCGTCGGGTCGTAGCATTCTTCGTTAAGGATCATTCCTCGCTCGACACTGTCGTGTAGCCATTCGATAGAGACGGTTCTTATCCCCCAATTTCGAGCAGCAACGAACTTCTTCCCCTCAGGTTTGGCAACGATGAGGTGAGTAACACGTCTAGAAAGATCGCCAACGTAATTACCACCACCCCCGCGAACCATTTCCTCGATCTTGCGGCGCGTCTCATCTTTGCTTTGTTAGTTTTCCTTACTAGCTAAGGCGATTGGGTGATGAACCTACGATCCTCAAACCCGGTCAAACAGCAGGTGAGTCTTGTCCGCTCTCTTTGTTCCTCGATTAGACTGTTGGGAATGCCACCGCCGGTCTCAAATGTCTTAAACTTCCAGGTCTCCTCTAGGAGGGCGAAATCGAATTCCTTGTCTTCCAACCATAAATTTCGCACGGCATCAACCCAGCCGGCGGCCATAGGTTTAATGTCAGGTCTTTCTCTTGCAACATGGCGATACTTGGGAGTGTCGTAGTCTCCGACGATTAGATGTGTGGCGTCGGGCGTAAGATCGTATTTGTGGATGCCGCCTAGATCGACTGTTCTTTGGGCAATTACTGTCTATGGATTACACTTTTAGCGTTAGTAGCCTTGAAGTTTTCATGTATGGCTTATTGCTTATGCAAAGTAGAAGAGGTATATTTGCTGCTTACACGTAGATCTGCCTCGATACTGGTACAACAAAGCACCAGACCGTCAAAAGGTTTGGAGTGATCGAATGGCGGCGGGGAAGATTCCATTTCCATTGTATATGTAGATTCAACCAGTCTCGTCAATGTATCGTCAATGGAAGCAAAGCATTGTCATTGTAGCGATGAGGTAGTTTGTATATGATTCTTATTTGTTCATGGTTTGTGATTTGTGGTTTGTTATAACATTTGTGCATGCATTGGATCTTGGAGGATGTGTACGGTGTAGGTACTGCTACTTGATATCTGTAGGTATAAAACAAAGTATAAACCAAAGTATTAAATTGAACTTTCTTCGTGACCTTAGGTAAGGGTAGTCTATAGTTACTTCGTAGTTACTTAAGAAACGCGTCGAGAATCGAGATAAAAAGAAAAACGGGCCGGTAGAGTCGCGTCAAACGGCGGTTCCCACCACGATTACGAAAGATAAAAGAGGCACTAGTCCCGATTAAAGTGCTGTAGCCTGTAGGTACCTATTGTGCTTCCTTTGTGCATACACCCCGCTTAGATGCTATTCACCCCACATGGCTCATACCTTACCAGCTTACCGGGATCAATAGATAATACCATGTTACACTGTTACATACGCTGTTACACTTACAGACCTCGGGATGTACATAGCAAACATTGAAGGTTCATAGTTCATGTTGATTTCTCGACGTCATATGGAACATGGAACTTAGCTATGTATCTACTATGCCGCCGTAGTTATTTGGTCAAAGCCTCTTACTACATAGCAATACCGCACGTATTAATTAGAGTGAGATCACAGCCCTATTCGAAAAGCAAAAAATGATGCCTAACCCAAAGTAAGGGCAAGGTGCCTAGGTAACCTCAAAATGGCCAACTGTTTTGTACAATGATCTGATTCTGCGACATACCAAGGCTAGATATATACACAACATCATCCCCTCAAACCAATCACACATCTCCTTACCGGTGGTGTGGTTGATGGCGATCCGAGAACAGCCAAGACGGTCCCGAAAGCTTATCTTGACCGTCGCACCGCATCTAGATCTAGGTTACCGCCCAACCAGTAAGATAAATTGGCCTCATATTCAACCATCGTATCGCATGATAGCATACGTACTTCTGCTTTAGGGGCCATGGACCAGGGACATAGCCGCTTAAACCCCGAATATCATGGTCGGTGATCTACAGACACTATCCTTCGTTTGGCATATCTTTTGTGCTAATTTTCCTGTGTTCTTGCTTGTCATCCTCGAGACTTAGCCGAGCCCAACTGGAAGTAGGTGTAAGGTGGCCTCCTACATCATCATGCAGAACACTCACAGTTCGCTTTTCCCAGTAGCTCTGTAGTTAGTAGGGCGTAAGCTCGCCCATTTAGTCTATGAATACCCTCTCCTTTTCTGTTCTCGACCTTCCTTCCTCGGTATAAAGAAAATCTCATAAACTTGTCCCTTTACATTGTCAATCTAAATTCGTAGGCAAAATGCCTCGTTATAGATCTCAGTCTCGGTCACCGTCCTCGTCGTTTTCCTCAGACTCTTATGCCCGCTCACCATCCCGTTCCCACCACAGGAGTCTGTCAATGGACTCACCATCCCATCATCATCATCGCCATCGCGGTTCAACATCATCGTCTCATACTCACAGCACGAAAGACAAGCTCAAGACCTCCCTGGTCATTCTCGGTGCTATAGGGGCTGCATCATTAGCTGCATCCAAGCTTTGGCCGAAAGGCATCTTATACGGCGAGAAGGAATCTTGGGCCCATGAGGCCAAAGAAGAAGTCAAGCACGCTCTACACAGAGGTGGATCAGACGATAGCGAACGACGGAGAAGGACACGGAGTACTGGACACGCCGACCATGACACTAGACGACGACGATCCCAGCGAGTCGAGATACGAGATGAGGTAGTTGCTATCAAGCCCGACGGTCGCCAAAGATACGTGGATACTGGCTGGGTCCGGTCCCCGGACGGAAGCAGAGATTATCATAGCAGGAGGCCGATAGTGGAATCTCGAGACGATGGGAAGCATGATGTTGATAACGATTCCTATGAACAGCAGGAGTCTGGAGGTTCATCAAACACGACCTCAACTTGATGGATTTTGGGGTGGTTTATGATTGATACGTACTTATTTTTCAACGATAATGATCCGAATTATTATGACTATGGAGTCTGAGACTTGTATGGTAATATGACTATGTATTTTCAAAGTTGGCATTTTTGATGTGGACTTATAAGCGGAGTTACTCAATCCGGAGCCCTGGAGTTATAGGTACATACCTCCTACAGCTAAACTGGACTCCGTTACTGGAGAATAAAAGATGGGCTACATGTAACTACCTAATGCAATTCTTCAAATGGGATAACTTTTATGGTCTCATGGCGCAAAAAAAAACCCCCCAAAAACACAGCAGGGGCTATGCATTCACGAGAAATGAAGTATGTTTTTTATGGCTCTGAAAAGAAAGAAAGCATTGAACTGGTTCAGGGTACGAAGATCCATCCACGGATGTCCATTTGGTGGATATCAGTGATTGGGTTTCGGGAAGATAGTGGTCCCTACAGCCCTGTAAGCTACCTAGGTGCATGAAGTTCCACATTATCGGGCTTATTTACTTGCATAGTAGATCCTTGTAGCAACAGCTTCTTCACCTCCTTTAAGTCGTGTCTTAATCCCATTCATCAACTCAAGTAGCTATGCCTACAAAACCAACATTGAAGCACTTTAGCATTCATATTATAGAACCGAAGGGTTTTCGGACGTTGGTGCATTTGAAGTACTAGCTTTAGAGACCAAGTATCTGGTAACTGGTTACATAGTAGTACATATACATCAATGATATCTTCAAGGTTGTACCTTGATACTATGTAGAATGTGGAGAAACAGCATACCTAGTATGTAGTTACTCGTATGTACGCAGTACTACTAGTAGTTAGTACCTACCAGGCTACATGTAAGCTTCCTTGGCCGTTGAGCTTGTTTTGATTAAGGCTGGTTAGCTATTGGACCCTTGTTCGATGACGCCGATATCAAGCCTCCAGTAATACCCGTTACCGTTCTTTCTCACTCCTCGTCATTTTGCATGACGGATTAATTATATGATTACAAAGGAAACAAATATATTAAAACTAAACCTCCGTCTTTCCAAAACTAGACACAATGTCACTAGTCTCTGCCATCTTCGTAGTATCATACTACGTTCCACCATAATGGCACCGTCCTTCGCTAAAGAGCTGCTACGACTCACTGCATTCGTTCCGATCATTCAATCGTGCTACGCTACATCACTCTATTCCACATACAGCTTTAATCCTCTCGAGCATCTTGGCGGTGTAGCCCCATACTTCGAGCCTCAAGATCCCCCAACATCTCCAGCGCCTCCCCAAGGATGTACAGCATCACGAGCAGTTTATCTCTCCCGTCATGCGGCAATCTATGCCAATGATTACGATCTGGAGGATTACATAGATCCCTTCGTTTCCAAGTTGGAAAATAACACAGCCATCGACTGGTCCAAGGTCCCGGCACTGAGCTTCCTTGCCGACTGGACGGCCCCTTTGACCGATGCCGAATCAGAGCTGTTGACCCGCGTCGGTAGGCTGGAAGCAGCGCAACTGGGTGTCACGCTCTCGTTTAGGTACCCCAATCTTAGGCTACCCTCTCGTGTCTGGGCCTCGTCTGCCGAACGAACCTTCAGGTCAGCAAAATCGTTAGCAAGATCATTGGAGCTAGATGACAATGAAATCAACGTCGTCAGCATCTACGAATCCAGAGAATCTGGCGCGAACAGTCTCACTCCGTACCACAGTTGCCCAGCCTACTCTGGTTCATTTGGAAGCGATCAGTCTGCAGTGTATCTTGATATCTTCACCAAACCGATAATGGCGAGGTTGAATGCGTTGGCCCCCGGGTTCAACTTCACGGCTGACGACATCTACGGTATGATGGAGATATGCGGCTATGAATCAGTCATCCGTGGAAGCTCACCGTTTTGTGACACGGACCTGTTTTCGCCTGATGATTGGCTGGGATGGGAATACACGGCCGACGTCATGTACCACTACAATGTCGGGTACGGCAACAGGATCTCTGGAGTGGTGGGATTACCTTGGTTCAACGCCTCAGCCAATCTACTGCTAGCAGATTCGTCTGACCAAGACATATTTGTGAGCTATACCCACCGCGAACTACCGCCTATGGTCTTGGTTGCCATGGGTTTATTCAACAACTCGGCCTTTGGTGGGAGTGAGTCCGCAATAAACGACACCATGCCACTAGACAGAATCAATCATCGCCGCGCTTGGAAGAGTTCGCACGTACTACCATTTGCGAGCAACATAGCACTCGAAAGACTGAATTGCTCGGGAAGTTATGGATATGACGATGGAGATTACTACCGCATACTGCTCAACAACGCGCCTCAGCCGTTACCGAGCTGCGCTGACGGACCGGCAACCAGTTGCTCCAGGTCTGGGTTTCAGCAGTACGTTCAAGAGCGTGTTGAGATGTTCCAAGGGTTTTCAGAGAAATGTGGTGTCGGATACGACAATTCCACAGATACCCTGTCAATTTATACAGATCCAAGCGTAGGGAACGGGACAGTTGTTGGGAAGAGATACGAGGCGTTCAAAGGTCGCCTAGACGTCTAAAGTATTATTAATGTATAATGTCGATTTATAGTGAACGTGTAACAGACACGCGAAAAAGACCGAACATAACTGTTTCCGGGCTTCAACGAAAAAATATCAATAGCATCGCTGAAGAGTTGTTTGGTGTTAATGAGATCCCAAGTGTGCTTCAGGCAAACGAGATTGTCAAAGATTATGGCGCGATACTTACCCTCACCCTAACCCCAACCCTACCCCTACCCCTACCCATAGGCATGGAGAGTACCCCCTTTACAATCTAATTGACTAATATGTGCATCGCGTGTATGAAAATATATCCAATGCAACCCAATAGTATATTAAATTTTAAACGTATTGTAGAATATGGCAATAAAGGACTTCTGAAAATGAGGTGATATTATGACAGGTAATGGGCAAGTCAGCCAGGGTAACATGCGAAGGGCGCGGCCAAAAGTCTGCGCCGCGCCCTTCGCACAACCAAATACCTCGTCAGCACCAATATAAACACCAGTACCAAGCCCAAAAGAAGAGACAGCTCACATCATAAACAGTAGATATTAGCTACCTACGCAACACTACCTAGGTACAGTGTCATCATACAAACAGCAAACTCACACAAAGAGCACCATGGACCATCCCACTCCCCCCCTCAGCACGGACTTCCTGTACAGCACCCGCGGCGGCATCGTCGAAAACCGGCACCTCGTCCACGCCGCCGTCGTCTCCTCCTCCACCCCCAGCACCAGCCCACCCCTCTTCTCCCTCGGCGACCCCACCCGCCTAACCTTCCTCCGCTCCGCCGCAAAGCCGGTGCAGGCCCTCCCCTTCGTCGAAGCGAACGGGCTGTCGCGCTTCGGCCTCGACGCCGCGGACCTCGCGCTCATGTGCGGCACGCACAACAGCGAGCCTGCGCAGGTCGCGCGCGCGAGAGCGATGCTAGTCAAGGTCGGGGTCGAGGAGAGCCAGCTCGAGTGCGGGGCCCACCCTGCGATATCGCCGCGCGTGAACAAAGAGTGGGTGGAGAGCGGGTTCGCGCCGACGCCGGTGTGCGCCGCGTGCTCGGCGAACCACGTGGGGGTCATGGCGGGCGCGAGGGCGGTCGGGGCGGGCGTTGCGGGTTACCACCTCGCGGGGCATCCGGTCCAGGACCGGATCGGAGAGGCAGTGCAGGAGCTGACGGGCCTGGCGGCCGCGGAGATCGGCTGGGCGCTGGACGGGTGCAACATGGTTTCGCCCGCGACGCCGCTGCAGGCTGTGGCGAGGATATTCGCTGCTTTTGCGCAGGCGGCTGATGATGGTGAGAAGGAGGACGAGGACAAGGACAAGGACAAGGACGAGGACAAGGACAAGTCGGTGCCGTTGTCCTCCCCGCGCACGCAGGCCATGGCCCGCATCTACCGCGCCATCGCCGCTCACCCGGAGAACATCGGCGGGTCGAACCGGTTCTGCACCGAGCTGATCGCCGCGCACGGCGGCGCGCTGATAGGAAAAGCGGGCGGCGACGGGTGCTACGCCATCGGCGTCCGAGCGTCGGAGGACACGCGGCGGCTTGGGGCCCAGGGCGCCATCGGCATCGCGCTCAAGATCGAGGACGGGAATTTTGGGGCCATGGAGGCGACGGCGGCGGAGCTGCTCGAGCAGTTGGGGATCGGGACGCCGGAAGCGAGGGGAAGGTTGGAGGGGTTTCGCAGGGGGGAGATCAAGAATTCGAGGGGGGTGGTGACGGGGGGGTTGACGTTTGCGTTTAAGCTGAGGGCGGCTTGAGAAGGGAGTAAGGTAGGTAGGTTAGGTTAGTTATTTCTACGAATAACGCACGTTGAGTAGTTTTTGTTTTTTTTGTTTTTTTTTCAATTCAGGATTATCACATTCGCGGCCCTGATTCACTGATACATGCTTGCCTAGCATTCCAATCCTCCTTTTCTAGACTCTACCTACGTTACCTCCTTGGAAGAGAGGTTGATTTTACACAGTACCCATGTATGTAGGGATGTAAGTAGGTTAGATGGATACACCAAACGCACACTTAACACCAATTGGAAATATAGTAGGTATCTATGAATGCCAATGCTGCTGATTTCTTTCCAGTAAAACCACGCTTCCCCTACCTAGGTACCTACCTACTACTTCCACGAACACCAATCATTAACAAAAAAAAAAAAAAAAAAAAAAAAAAAAGATGCACCATATCATAGAGCCGCAGGACCCTCACAGTCAACCCATACCTACCCATACATTTCTTTCCCCACGGGCGAGATAGCCAATACCAAAAGATCGCCAGCGGAACCCTCCGAAACCGACGCTTCCCGCCCCGCTGGAATAGCCACGAACCCTACTAGATCGTCTCTCGTCCAACTGTCCTGTTCGATGGGTTTTCATTTTCCCTCAGCGCTCGAACTACCATCAGCGAGAAACTTGGGGGTCACGATGTCGGAGAGGTTTGACACGTGGTCCGTGGTCCGTGGAGGGGCCCGGAAGATCCGACGGGGGTTGCCTGCCCGAACACGGGCTGCAAGGGAGTGGTTCGAAAATTGAGTTCCTCGACAAGATGGTTATTTACACCGGTGGTATAGGGCCAAGGATTCGCCACCGCCCTCGCTGTCTCCAAGGTTTCTTTCCCGGCGGCCAAGACTTCGCTGGGCTAGGTGGGCTCGGCAGCTACTAGGTAGTAGTAGATGCCCTTCAACGGCATTACGAACAGCTTGGTCGCATTGGAAAAGGATGATACCTAGGTAGTTAGGCATATGACGCTTTTTGGTGCATCGAGATTGTGCTACCCAGGTCGTGGGGGGTGTTTCTTCATGGTTTGAATATTACTACCTAGGTACCTACCTGCCATTGTTGAGTTTCACGAGTATTGGGATGGGAGACATTGGGCTGGCTTAATGTATTATCAGAGGGAGCCGACGACATTATGAAAATTTTCACTAAGATATACGAAGAGCAGTTATTGGCTTAATTCGTCTTAGTCGTATGCATGTACTTATATAGTCAGGTCAGGACCATCCATGCAAGTCTCTTGTCGTTGAAAGGGCGTGAATTCCAAATGCCGACTACTAGGGTACTGCCATTATGCAGGTCCAGACTAATATATTCTCACGTACTTCTTCCATATTTTCACTTCTCATCGCCTCCACAACCTTGGGAGTACTTACTTACTAGTTAGGTATTCACGGCCATGGAGATAACACCGGTCCCTCTGCCAATTCACGGCACCACGACACCGCTAAACGGCAAGGCAAGCATCAGGCAAGGCAAAGACGATGGCTGGAAGCCAACGAAACGCTTTCTCCTGGCATTCATGTCACTGCTCACCATCGTGTCCGCCGTGGCAATTGAAGCCACCAGTCTGCCCACCGCGCTCCCTATAATGAGTGCCGAGTTAGGTGGTACGGCTCTACAGGCGTTCTGGTCCGGAACCAGTTTCCTTCTGGCTTCGACGGTGATCCAGCCGACCATCGCGTCGATGTCGCATATTGTGGGACGAAGAATGGTTAGTTTCCCTGCTTGGTGATGGTGAAGGCACACACACACACATATATGCTAAGCTAAGTCATCTAGATGCTGTATGTAAGTAGTGCGGGGTTTGTGGGCGGCTCGCTCATTGCTGCGCTTGCGCAGAACTTCAACGTCGTGCTGGTTGGGCGGACTATTCAGGTAAGCCAGTCTTGGATACGATTGTTGCCTACAATCACACATACGATCATATTGTCTAACATTACCTAGGGAGCAGGAGGTAGGCAGTCGAAGCACTTCCATAATCTACAGTGGAATTATGTACCTAACTTATCGTATCATCAGGGGGAGGGCTCATCGTGCTTCTGGAGGTAAAACCCCGCTCTCACCACATCCAACGTATCTACGTATCGGATGCTGCGGAAAACGCGAAGCTGACATCGCTACTAGATTCTCATATCTGACCTCGTGCCTCTGGCACACCGCGGTACTTGGTTCAGCATCAACTCGGCTATGTGGGGTGTCGGTAATGCTACCGGACCCCTGATCGGAGCTGGATTTGCCCAAAATGTCGTACGTATGACAATTTCAGTGACTACTGCAGACATAGCAACCTAATGAAGAAACTAACGCTGTGAAAGTCTTGGAGATGGATATTCTGGATCAACTTGCCCATCGTAGGCGTCGGAATGCTCTTTGTCACGTTATTCTTGAAACAGGCCCATATCCCTGGGAATATCATCGAGAAGCTCAAGAAGTTTGACTGGCTTGGCTCCGTCCTCTTCTCAGTCAGTTCCGCCGGCTTCTTGTTTGGAGTCACCACTGGAGGTGTTTTATTTCCATGGTACGTATCCAGACATGTCGATCTATCCATTATATGACCCTAATACCCAGACCACAGGGCCTCTTATCAAACCCTCATACCGTTGATCGTCGGATTCATAGGTATTGTATGTTTCTTCCGATGGGAATTTTACTTTGCCTCGGAACCCATTATCGACAAGCGCATATTCCAGAACTGGACGGCAATCTCTGCTTATATACAGTCGATGATACATGGCCTTGTCTTATCGGCGGCGATATACTTCCTTAGTAAGACAATGCTACTCTCAACAGAGATCTAAGAAACTTTCCTGGGCATCGAACTGATCGATCTTTATAGCACTGTACTATCAAGCCGTGAAACTGTACTCGCCAGTGGGCTCTGCTGTCGCTCTCCTTCCAGAGACAGTGTGTCTGGCTCTCGCGAGCGTTGCGGTCGGGGCGTTGACAGGCATCCTGAAGAAATATCGCTGGGCTCTGTGGATAGGGTGGGTGTTGACGACGTTGGGTTGTGGTCTCCTCTACAAGCTTAACATAGAGACCACCGTTGTCCAATGGATCTTCCTTAACATCCCATTCGGAATTGGAACTGGAATGCTTTTCACGGCAGAAATCTTAGCAATCCAAGCTGCTGTTGAGTACGTACCTGCCTACTGCTTCATCAATGTCTTGAGTGTGTCTAACATCTTTTACAGGCCCGAGCTCAACGGCGCAGCCGCAGGTTTCTTCTCCTTCATCCGCGTCTTTGGTCAAGCTCTCGGCATTGCTGTCTCCGGAGTGATCTTCCAGAACTCGTTGAAGCAGCAACTTCTTCGAATCCCGGGTTTCGCATCGCTTGCCGACGAATACTCGCGCGATGCCACTGCAATAAGCATCTTGATCCAAGGAATGGCTGATGGAGAGACTAAGATGCGAATTATGCAGGCATTCTCAGATGCTTTGAGTTCAATATGGCTCACTCTCACGGTATTGTCGGCTGTTGGCCTGCTTTTGAGCTTGACGGTAAAGGGGTACTCGATGACGCAGGAGCATGTCACTGCGCAACATTTGGTCCAAGAAAAGGACACAGTTGGAAATGAGGAGGCCGGTGTGTTAGGCAATGTTGAAGATGAGAAGTGTTGATTAGAGTAAAAGTGGCAGGATTGATCGCACGAGAAGCGCTTTCAATAAGACATGAGCTTAAAGGCTTGAGAATAGATTCTTCTGTATTCCTTACCTAGTAATTGAGCATTAGATGTGTGGCGTATAATGCTTTGCTGATAGAAACATTAGATTTTCAATGAATACCTAGTAATTCGTGGCGTGTATAAGAGTTAGTTACCACGAGACAAATTACGAAGAGCAGTCAAGCTCTTCACCTCCTGCGTGACTATCTTCGGCTCGTTGGTCTTCACGTCACGACGTATACGTACGGTAAAGGGGGCGGCCTTCGTCTCCAAGATCCGCATGGTGAAATTATTAAAGATAGACTAGGAACGAACAAATAGTATTTCCTTCCGCGAAGAATGCCTGTAGGAGGTCGTACGACGGGCGGCGCAGTACGATCTGGCACCGCACTTAAATAGGGATATCGACGTTCCTCAATAGTAATTAATTTTCAAAAGTTCTAGCATAAAAATATCGACTTCATGCTGCCGTTCGCGCGGGAGCGGATGGACGCCGCGCTCGCGCATCTCGAGCAGCTTTTCCCCTCCACTCCCCCCACCTCTGCCACCGCCATAGTCGTCTTCCTCCAAGAATGCCTGGAAGAAGACCTCGCGACGGTCCGTGAGAAGGCGTGGGTGCGGGACCGGTTCCACATCACGGATATCGACGGCGCCAACTGGGCGAGCCACTACGGGACGACGACGCTGGTGGATCGGCGCTTGGATTTCGCGGAGTGCTTTCGGGTGCACTGTGAGCAGACGAAGTTTGGGCGCGATGCGCTGTGTGCTGGTGTGCGGATGGAGGAGCTGCCCTGATCGATTCTCGGACAGTCGTAACCTCAGCTTATATACCTAGGTATGTTTATCCAAAGCCGAGTGCCTCACAGAGACCATCCCATACATAGGTGAGGGCGGGCTGGCAAATCTTGTGTGCAACACAAAGATTCTCACCGCCCACCTTTTCCTACTAAGTATACCTATACAACCCACATGCATGATGTACTAAGGGTAGCATTGCACTTTGTCGTGGTTCGGCGGGAATTTTGGCATGCATACAAGTCGGGCGGCCGGCCAAAACTTTGGGATGTACAATACCTACCAGCGTACCCGCGTTATCAGAGTTGATCGGATGGCGCAAATTTTGGGATGACGTACTACACACCCTCGGTAGATTGGTTGTCGTGGAATGTAGTAATAGGTCAGGTACGGGCTGTGAAGCGGTGCATGTGTTTCATTCATGTTATAATCCCAAGAGCAGGGCTCACTTCCTCCCCGTCCCTAAAATCTGACTTCCAAGGGCATATACCTACCTGTGATCCCCTAGGTGGCCTATGCAACAAATTCGATAGGTACCTACCTATGTATACATCATGGCTATGGCTACAGCACGCAGCATTCCCCCAGAAGAATGGGAAGCCAACAAGTCAGCGATATCATCTCGCTACTTGAACGATGACCTAACTTTAGATGAAGTCATACGGCAAATGGAGGACGAACTTAGGTTCTATGCTAGGTAGGTAACTGAGAGCATTCTCTAACCCATTTTATTAGAGTCTGACCTGTTTATAGCAAGGCTCAATATGTCCGGCAACTGAAGCGATGGAAACTAGAGAAGAACGATACCGGAGACACGTGGAAGTACATTGCCACGCAAACGCAAAAGAGGAAACTAGAAGGAAAAGATTTCGAGGTCTATATAAACGGAATTCAAATCCCGGCCAAGAAACTGAGAAAGGAGATTTCTAGGTATGGGGGCACTCGATTCCCAGCTGATATAGAATCAGGCAAGTAGCTTTAGTTCTTACGAGTGAATGGCAATCGTTATAGAAGCTGACCCTATCTTTGCATCATCACAGCTTATGTCCCAGGTGGGGTCGTTGTCTGTACTCCTGCGCAACAGACCTATGGGGATATCGATCATACGCAGATTCTGTGGTTTGAGGTTCGAGATCTGATTGCGTCAATAATTTCGAGGCATGCTGCGACTAAGACTACTCTGCCTACTCTGCCTACTCCATCAGGAAGCAAAGACACAGTCGAGTTTTTACTCAAGGCAGGTGCTGATGTCAACGCTTCTCCCAATGATAATGGCGGCCTCACAACGATCCAGGCTGCTTCAAAAGCCGGAAGGATGGATATAGTCAAGTTGTTGATCAGCGCTGACGCGGACGTGAATGCGCCCCCAGCTTTTGATGGTGGGCGAACATGCCTCCAAGCAGCGGCTGGAATGGGGCACTATGAACTTGTCAAAATTTCCCTAGACTTATGTGCCAATGTTAACGAGCCGGCAGCATTGAAGAGCGGAAGGACTGCCCTCCAAGCTGCTGTAGAATCTAGGACTAACCATAAGATATTCGAAAAACTACTCGACGAGGGCGCCGACGTTAACGGGGAACCAAGCCTTGGTGGCAAGACTGCCCTCAGCGCGGCAATTTATAATCGCGATTATGAGCAGACTCTGTATTTGCTAAGAAAGGGAGCTGAGCCTAGCGGATACGGTGCCGACGGGGAGCCTCTTAGAATTTCCATCAAATCCGGGATGATCGACATGGTGCTTTGCCTTTTAAATGCCGGTGCTGATACACTTACCCTAGGTATACTAACTATTACAATCATACGAGGCAAACCATTGTTGGAAACTGCAATCGATACCGGTAACCTAGATATTGTGCGTATTCTTATAGATGCTAACGCGGACCTAGTTACCACCTCTGCCATAAAACAAGCGGTTTATGGAGGTCATACCGACGTCACGAAACTACTGATCGAAAAATTACGCCCAGACCCAGTGAAAATTGGCAGAAACGTGTTAGCGAAGGCAATTAAGAATGGAAATTTCGATGTAATCCATAGACTGCTAGACCTGGGAGCTGATGTGGATGTGAGCTGTGGCCGTCCGTTACGCGCAGCTGCCAGGAAGGGATACCTCCAGATCCTACTAGAAGCTAGAGTGAATGCGAATGCTTCTGATGAGTGTCCGATATACGGCAGCACAGCTCTCCCGGCAGCAGTGTCCGAGGGACACATGGACATTGTTGAAGCATTGAGGGCAGCTGGCGCGGACATCAACGCGGTGCCAAGCAACGGAAACACAGCTCTACAGGCCGCTGTGAGCAGCGGTTCCGCCCACATGGTTGAGTATCTTCTGTTGCAGGGTGCCGACGTCAACGGCCCGGCAAGTGGCAGGCACGGCGAGACTGCGCTGCAGATCGCGGCCAAGCAAGGCTTCCTAGGCATTGCGTTGATACTGCTTAAAGCCGGGGCCGATATAAACGCGGCGCCGTCGAACTTCGGCAAACCGCGCTCGATGCTGCTGCGGAGAACGGGCACCTCGACATGGTATATCTCTTGCTTCAGAACGATGACGACGAGGAAGACAAGGAAGAAAAATGCAGGGACGCGGCCGAGCTGGCGTTTGAGGCTGGACACCTCGTTCTGGCTAGCCTGCTTCGCACATGGAAGAATTGACCCGCAGAACAAGATCAAAGCTTGTATTGAAAGGTTCAAAGGGCCTGGCGAAGGATATAAAAGGTACATAGTGTGAGATACTTATGTATGTACTACGCTAATTAAGGCAGCAGTTGTATTGAATAAGAGAGAGAAGAGCACTACATATAGGTAGTATGAACAAATGGAGAAATTGTCAAATACATAACTATGGTTGCGCAGTTGGATCAACTTGGATGAGAATGCAAACGCGCTACATGGTGGGATGTCACGTGGACTAAAGCTCTACGGCTTATTCCCCACTATCATATTGTTAAGATAATCTAAAATCCACATTTAATATGCCTAGGTAACCTACCTACATATACACGTGACGTGGCTTTGGAGTAGGCGGAAATCATTGATCCCCTTCGACACCTACGATATACTTTAAAATACCCTATCCCTTTACCTGCTGGGCCAACCCCAGTGGGTCTAAATTGGAGAAAATATCACGTGAAGCTCCAATTCAATCCTTAGATACATCGAGACACATATAATAAGATCTTATTAACAATCTTCTCTTCTTAACAAATAGCTTTATATCAATTCTCTTCCATTTAAAAATAAATAAATCAATTATATAATTACATAAAAGTATGTGCATATTTTTTTCAAAGGAAAATAAGCCTTAAAGGCTTAATAAGACCTATTTTAAACCATTTTTTAATGACGAATCTAAATTAAAATAAGGCTAGCTTATAATAACTAACGCATAGCCTCCCACGTGATACCCTTTAATAACATTAATTAACATTTTATATTTTTAACTTTAAATAAAATAAGCGTATATATACGTTTATATAATATAACTTTTTTAATTATAATTATATATTTAATATTTATATATTTACTTTTTTTACTTAATTATATATTTTTTTAAAAAAGTTATTTAATTTTAAAAATATTAACTTTTTAATAAATTAAGCGTCGATAAGCTTTATTATTAACTAAAAATAAATTAACGTTATAAAATAATTATAAAAAATGCATTATATCCTTATATAATTTTAAAAATTATATATACATATATTACATTATAAATTAAGTGGGAAAATAAGTACTTTTTAACGGATTTATTTAATTAAATATATACTTTTTTTTTTCTTTAATTTAAACCCATTAAGGTTAACTTAATAAGTAAAGGGATTACTTATAAAAGTATAATATTACATATATTTATAAGAAATATATATATATATACGAAGTTAAATATATATCATTGTAAATAAATACCTAATAATAAAACAAGGTAAAACTTATAACTTAAAAAAATGGTTTAAGGTTATTTTAATAAGCTTAAACTTGAAATTTTTACGCCATACACGTATAGCCATCATAAACATGAACCGTGTTAATGTATTTATAAGGTTATACGTGTCGTGTTAAAATTTTAAATCTAAAACACGAGTGTGATTTTTTAAAATTACCTCTTTAAAACGCCATATAAAAAAAAAATTCCTTTCCAATAAAATAATTAATAATTAAATAATAAAAATAAATATCCTTAATTTTTAAACGCTTAAAGGTAAATAAATTCCATATTAAGCCTTATATATATTTTTTATATATTATAATAAAAAAATTTAAAAAATATAAATAAAAACTTAAATTTAAGTTATTTTTTTAAACCATTAATTACCACCCTTATTAAGCGATAACAAAATAATAAAAAGCCTTATTTATTTTAAATAAGTTTTTAAGGTTAATAATAAATATTTTAAAGCTTATTAACATTTTTTTTAATTTTTTTATCGTAATATTAATATATTATTTAATTTAAGGGGTGAAAATCACGAATTTTTACCATAATAATATTAACACTTATTAATAATATAATTAATAATATTTTAATTAATTTAAAACTTTATTAATAACTTAAAAGTTATTTTTTTTTTATCTTAATAAATTTAAATTATAAGTTTATACTTATATACTTTTTCAACCATATTAAATTTTAATTAATTATAATAATTAAATAAGTTAAAAAGATGAATATAAACTTATAATTTAAACGTATTATATTAAATTTTTATAAAAATAACAATAATTTAATTAATTAATTAATTAATTAATTAAATAAAAATATTTAACCATATTTATCTTATTTATTTAAATATTAAGTTTTTAATTAATTTAAATATAAGATTTAAAAATATTTATAAGGTAAGTTATAAACCGTTTTAAAGGGTTAGGTTAAATTAAATTATTATTAACGCGGCGTTAACGCGATTATAATAAACGTTACGCTTTTTAAAAACCTTTTAAACGTCGCGTTTTTAAAGGCCTTTTAAACGTCGTAATTAAATAAAAATAATTTTTAAGGTTAAATATTATAATTACCTTTATTAATAACTTATTTTAAAACGATTTAATTTAATTATTATAGCGTTATTATTAACAAGCATAATAATATTTTAATATATTTCATATAATTTTAATTAAAATAAGTTATAAAACGTCGTATTTTTAAAAGCCTTATAAATATTATAACCAAATAAAAAAAGTCTTTAAAGCTAAATATTATAATTATTTTTATTAATAACTTAATTTAAAATTATTTAATTAAATTTTTATAATGTAATTATTAATAAATATAATGGTATTTTAATAATTTTAATTAAAATAATTTAAAGTGTTATTTCGATTAACGTTTTATAATTTATACTTAAACTAAAAATTAAAAAACATTATTTTTTTAGCCCTATATATATATAAGCACGGGTTAGAAAATAATATACTTATAATATAAACGGGCGTAACTCGATTATTTTTTAATTTCTAATTTAAGCTTATTAAAATAAAAATCTTAATTATAAAACGTTTAAAAAAATATAAAAAAAAAGTGTTATTATTTATACTTTTATTTTTTATTATTAAGGTTTTATCCGTATTTTTATATATTTTATATATTTTTTAAACCTTAAACTTAAGCTTAATTTAACGCTTTTAACGTTTTTAACTATTTATATTAATTAAATTTAAATAATTCTTTAAAACATATAATTATAAACGTGTAATTAAATTTAATTAAAAAAGCATTTAAATATCGATTAATTAATATAAGTTTTAAATTAAAGCGATATTTAATTATAAAGTTATTTAAAAAAATAAATGATAACTTAAAAAGTATATAATAACTTTTAAAGCTATATTAAAAGCCTTTAACGCCTTTAAAGTTTTTAAACTTAAACCTTATTTAATAATTTTAACCTTAAATAATTTTTTAATTATATATCGTATTAAGATATATCCGGATTTAATTAAAAGGGAATTTAATTACCGATTAATTAATATTAATTATAAATTAAGGTAATATATAATCAAAAAGTTATATTAATATTTATTTCGATAATAATTATATAACATTCCTTAATATAACTTAAGCGGTTTTAAGGCTTTTAAGCGGCTTTAAAGGCTTTTAACATAATATTAAAAGCTTTTAATATAACTTTAAAGTTAATTACGTGCCGTTTAACTTACCACTTATTTTTTTAAATAACTTTATAACTAAATATCGCCTTAATTTAAAACTTATATCAATTAATTAATATTTAAATACTTTTTTAATTAAATTTAATTACACGTTTATAACTATATATTTTAAAGAGTTATTTAAATTTAATTAATATAAGTAATTAAAGGCGCTAAAAGCATTAAATTAAGCTTAAATTTAAAGTTTTAAGAAATATATTTTTTTAAAACTTAATATTAAACTTTTTAACGCCTCTTATTAAAACCTCACATAAGTTAAGCTTATTACCAGCTTTTTATTATTAATTATATATTAATTTAAATAATAAACGCGTTTTTACGTATAATAATAACGTATAATACTTAATTTTTTACTTTCGTTTATATTAATCTTTTAACGTTTAAAAAATTTAATATAAAAAAATTAAAACTAAATTTTATTAACAATAATATTAACGATAATAAATTTAATAATAATAATATAACATATAAATTAACGATATATAAATTATTAATTTATTTAAAATATTAAATAATTTTTTATATAAAAAGTAATTATTAATAAAAATAACATATATATATATATATTTTATATTAAAAAAAAACACGTATAAATATTAAAAGTTTAATTAATTTTTCTTAAAAATAATATATAAAATGTTTAAAATAAACTTAAATAAATATATAAAAAATAGGTTTAAGCTCTTATATTTTATTTATTAATAAGGCTTAAAATATAAGAAGCGTTAAAAAGCTTAATATTAAATCTTAAAAGGATAAAAATGCGAATAAGGCTTTAATAGTAAAAAATAAAAGTATAAATAATAACACTTTAAAAAAAAAGTAATTTTAAATCCATTAAAAGTGGGGCGAACAGGTGCGTGGATAACGATAACGTTTAAAACCTCTTATTTTAACTTATATAAATATATAAATTAAAAAGCAAAACCTTTATTAAACCGCGCACTTTTATTGGCTTTTAATAAAAAACGCTACCCTATAAGGCGTAAAAGGACTTGGAGTGCCCGGGGTATTTAATAAGATCTGTGTTAAAAGCACCTAGTAATATTTATTATGAGTGGGATATTAAGTATAAATACAATTAGGAGCTATAAAATAACAAGTCTTTTAACAAATTCTTTGACACAAGTATTTACCGTCCATACAATCACTAATAACTTTTTAAACAAATTTTCTTTGACATAAGTATTTACCGTCCATATAATCACTAATGACTTTGTCTCCCGAAGCGATTATCTCCATTGTTGGGGTATTAATAAACATACCTCCAATCCTCCTTATTATTTGGACTATGTGGGTTAGAAGAAGGCGGGCGGGAAGGTCTACTTCATCGTCAGGTGTATTACTAGGTAAGTATGAATAAGCTATTATGATCCTGTTTGGCTAGGTATTTCTAATTGTATGTGGTATATACCTATGTAGGGGAAGATATCGAGTTGAGACGAGTCGAGCAAACAAGAGATCCTCACCCACCGATCGTCAACGTCGTCTTCCACTAGATGATTTCGCAGCACAACTTACCTACCGTTTAAGATGATGGCGCTGCTCTATGGAAGGGTACCTGGTTTACGTCGTAGATCAGATTTGGATTTCGGATTGGTTTAATTGGGCGGAATTGGGGTTAGGTGTTGGAGTTAGGAGCAGTGGGGTTACGTGGAACTAACTAGGTTAAACTAGTTACTAACATGTTCAGCCCTATGTAGCTAAGTTAGTACATACATAGTAGTAGAGTATGCTATGAAAGACATAAAGTTTGGCATGTCTAGTGATGATTCCAGGTTCCCGAGTCTTTAATCACGTTTCAATGTTGCTCTTAATAGTTACGTCGTACATAGTAGTAGCATAGGTATTATGTAAGCACATGACAACTACATAGTACATACATAGTACTACTAAGGTGGCCAGTGCTCGGAGCGGTGAATATTCCTAGATTAGGGAATTTCTAGAACCTCAACCCGAACCCGGTAAGGCTACATTGCCCGACTTTGCCAAGCGGGTTGCAGTGTCATCGGATCCATATCCATGTCATCCATGTCACCAACTAACAAAAAACATTCGGGATAATGGCACCGAATAAAATGTTGGTCTCCGCTTTCTATGAAGTCGTTGGGCTTCGACGTCTTGAAACATTGCAAAGCCTCCCACCATTCATTCTTTACTTGAACCTCTTTCATGCCCTCTTTTCATGTCCTAAGCAGTCATGTTGTTCTCGCTGACAGCGCTCCTTTTTGCGCCGTCGTTTGTCGCATCTACCACTTCGGGTTACGCGCAGTCATCTCCAGTGTTCCCGTCCCGTAAGTATGAACAAGATCAACAAGTGTCTTGACCAAGGTACTAACTTCAAGTTTCACAAATAAAAAAGCACCCGGAAAAGGTGCGGGCATATGGGCCGACGCGTATGAAAATGCACAGGATTTCGTACGGCAGATGACTCTGGAAGAGAAAGTCAACATTACTCGTGGTTTCACCGTTACCGACAATGTCTGTGCTGGCAATACCGGGACTGTGCCTCGACTAGCCTGGCCCGGCATGTGCCTACACGACGCAGGCAACGGTGTCAGAGCCGCGGACCTCGTCAACTCGTACCCGTCTGCTCTCCACGTCGGCGCCAGTTGGGATAGGAACTTGACTTACGATAGAGCCTATTACATGGGGCAGGAGTTCAAGGCGAAAGGAAGTAGGTTGAATCGAGCCCCATGGCCTCCTTTTTGAAATGGTAAACTTATACCTCTCAGTCAATGTCTTACTCGGTCCCAACGCCGGCCCGTTAGGGAGAACCCCTTTAGGTGGTAGAAACTGGGAAGGCTTCTCTGTTGACCCATACCTATCCGGCCAACTGAACGCCGACACAATCGTTGGCCACCAGGATGCTGGCGTAATCGCGACCTTAAAGGTATCAACCATGAAGTAGCTAGTCCCTGGCTGAGGTGCTAATCTATGTGACATACCTAGCACTTCATAGCCAACGAACAGGAAACGTACAGAAGGCCATACTTTGGCGTCGAAGCAGTTTCGGCTAATGTTGATGACAAAACGCTTCATGAGCTGTACCTCTGGCCCTTCATGGATGGTGTGAGGGCGGGTGTCGCCTCAGTCATGTGCTCTTATAATCGCATTAACAATACCTATGGCTGCGAGAATAGCAAGCTTATGAACGGTGTCCTTAAGACCGAACTCGCATTTGACGGGTTTGTGCTTCTTGACTGGAACGCCCAACACAACCTCGAGAGTGCCAATGCTGGACTAGATATGCTTATGCCTGGGGGCGGCTTCTGGGGCAACAACCTAACTCAGGCAGTTCAGAACGGATCTGTCAACGAAGACAGGGTAACCGATATGGCCACAAGGTAAGCAAGATACCGTGAGTTAGACACCAGTTCATTCGCTCAAACCATGTAGGATCCTCGCAGCCTGGTTCCTGGTGGGCCAAAATGGCACCAATTTCCCCGTGCCGGGAATTGGATTGAAGAATCTTACGCAACCACACGAGCAGGTTGACGCGCGTATTCCCGAGTCCAAACCTGTGATATTAGAAGGAGCAATAGCTGGACACGTTCTAGTAAAGAACAACGATGCCTTACCGTTCAAGAAGAACCCCACTATGCTATCAATCTACGGCTACGACGCCACTATTCCAGGCACCAAAAATACGGATAATCTTTTCCAACTTGGCTACACGTCCTCGGCGGAGATGGGGCAAGCAGTATTGGGCACGGAGCAACACTTTAACCAAGCCGCTAAAGGCGGTACCATCGTCACTGGCGGAAGAGCTGGCGCTAACGGGCCAGCTTATATCGACGACGTAAGGATCTTCATACCACTATTTATTTTCATACCTAACTTTTATGTAGCCGTTGAGTGCCTTTCAGCAGCGGGCAAAAGTTGACGGCACTTGGATCAACTGGGATTTGACATCATCTAACCCCGACGTCAACGCGGCCTCGGATGCGTGCTTGGTCTTCATCAACGCAATCGCTACTGAGGGATGGGACAGAGAGGGACTTCACGATGACTTCAGCGATGGCCTTATCCTAAATGTCGCCTCCAAGTGTGCAAACACCATCGTCATCATTCATGCTGCTGGGATTCGCCTCGTTGACCAATGGATTGACCATCCTAATGTCACCGCAACAGTAATCGCTCATTTACCTGGCCAGGACAGTGGGGAAGCTCTTGTAAAACTTCTATACGGCGAGGCTGTATTCTCAGGAAAGCTCCCGTACACATTGGCCAAGAATGAAAGTGATTACGGGGTCTACGCGGCATGCGGTCGCGGTCCTACCAATACCACAGACCCTCAGTGTGACTTTACGGAAGGGGTCTATGTCGATTATCGCCATTTTGACGAAAAGGACATTCTCCCACGCTTCGAGTTTGGTTACGGGTTGTCGTACACTACATTCAATTATTCTTCACTCGCAATCGAACCATTAGGTATCAAACCGGATGCACAAGGATCGTCCACCCCAAGTAGCGACGAAGCTTTGTGGGAGGTAATCGCTACGGTCAACGCCACAGTTACCAACACCGGGCCTGTAGCTGGTGCTGAAGTAGCGCAGCTCTACCTTGGCATCCCGAATAGTCCTCCAAAGCAGCTTCGCGGCTTTAAGAAGATTAATCCGTCGCCTGAAAATTCGACCGAGGTCGTTTTCGAGCTGACGAGGCGCGACTTTAGCGTGTGGGATGTCATTACTCAAGGATGGGTGGTACAGAGTGGTGAGTACGCAGTGTATGTCGGCGCGAGTAGCCGGGATATTAGATTAGATGGCTCTATCACAGTTTAGGAGGCTGAGATACACCACAAATTTGATATTCTAGTGAATCAGGTAGCGATTCAATCCTAAAATCCATACTAAGTCTTTCACGTAATGATTTCTACAAATACTAGTTGACTACGAAATTCATTCTAGTTAAAGAGTGAAGAACTGTTCTCACCCATCCAATCCCAAGTGAATTAGACAGATACCTATCTAGAGAATGCTTACAACTGATTAAGTCCTCCAACATAAATTCTACAAGACAGACCTTCGTGTTAAACACCATGACTATTGTTAACGAACAAAGGAGCTGAACATCAGTTATATAAAGCCTTGTCTATCGCTCAAAGAAAAACATAACAAGCGGTGTTGTGTGATATCCCTGAAAGGCATTGAAGGAGTTGTCGATCCCTGAATACCTAGGCACCTAACCATCAGAATATCGAAAGAGAAAACAGAGCATCATGGCTCCGTACATTCAGTTTGACAATATCCAACACATCAGCCAGAAACTGTGTGGATTGGACGGATATCTACGTTCGTCCGTGTGCGGAGGAGGACACATCTTAAGAAGGGACGCGTCTCAGCATGCATCCCTAGCCTGGCCGCCCAGTGGGGGGAGTCTGGCCCCTTGGATTGCAATCTTCGTCTGCGCGCCAAGTGTCATTGTCCTTCTGCTGTGGGCGGTATGGGAATGTTGTAAACGGCGGAGATAATTGTGTTGGGAGAATTTTTTTTTTTTTCAATTCGCAATGCTGTACGAAGTCATGAGCTTGAGCTTCATGAGGTCCCAAGGTGGTGCGTTTGTTTCGACTCATGGCTGAGATGCCTCGAAGGCATCTGTTATTCTTACTCGTTAAAGCAATTGATTTTAACTAACATTTTACGTACCTAGGTAGTGTGTTTGTGGAAAAGTTGTGTACCTACCTAGAGTCGCAAAGTGATGACGCGGTTTTGTCAACTTCATGCCAACCCCTAGATGGCATGAGCTACTAGGTAGCATTGCCCCTATTGTGCCAACTGGGAGAACAGCACGAGGGAGAGCGAAATTGTCGGCATGGCGCCAATAATGAAATGAATTAACGTTCCATAGATTCATAGATCAGTCCTTTGTATTCCAAGAGAATTCCACATCGTGACTTTAGTGCCTTGTTGCCATCCCTAAAATGTTGATCATCGTAGCCCTCTGCATATGTGACCTGAGACATCCTCCCTAAATGCTGAATCAACGAAATCCAACTCTCGAGAATTCAGGGATGGTAGGCATGGAGCGAAGGTAGTTCAATTTCCTCGACAGCCATCCCTCCCAGGTTTCCCTACTCGTCATCCAGATACAAATACACCCGAGCCTGTCCAGTTTATCGCCATCGTTCTTCACCCAGCAAACCACCAAGCTTTCCCACAGTCACTCATTTTAGCTACTCACTCAAGTCACTCTTTGACATCAAACACCTATCCTCATCACTCAATAAAAACTCAACCCAAGTCTTCTCTCACCCCCAAACCGCCAAAATGCAGCAACGCTCCATCCTCGCCGCCATCTCCCTGCTCGCCGCAGCAGCCACCACAACCCCCATCGGGACCCTCGGCAACGTCGCCTCGGTCGCCGGCCCCGTGACCGGCATCGTCGGGCACGCGCTCCTCAGCTCGCGGGCCGACCCCCCCGCCGGCGCCTTCGTCGCGGGCTCCAGCGGGTCCGAGCACTCCAACGAAGCGAGCGAGGGCTCCGAGAAGCAGGCGCAGGAGGCCGCGGCCGCGGAGCAAAGCGCGCACGCGAACGAGCAGCACGCGGAGGAAGGCAGCCAGGGCGCGCAGAAGCAGGCGCAGGCCGCGGGGTTCGAGGAGCAGCACGCGGGCGAGGTGGCGGGGGCCCAGGGCCAGAAGGCGGGCGAGGAGGGCCACCACGCCACGGAGCACGGCACGCAGGGCAGCAACCAGGGCAGCTACGGCGCCGACCGCAGCGCCAGCAAGAACGGCGTCGCGCACAACAACAAGAGCGGTGCCAAGAGCGGCGACCGCTACTCGACCGACCGCACTGATGGCTTCCACGCCGGGCAGGAAGGGTCGTACTCCGCCTTCGAGGGAGCCGACGAGGGAAGTCTAGCTGCCGGAGAGGCGTCCAAGAGTGGGTCTTCAAAGAGCCAGGCGGCGGCGGAGGGGTCGAAGAATGCGGGCGAGCAGAGCAAGGCGGGGAGTGAGAGGACTGCGCAGGCTGCGCAGGCGGCGCAGAGCCAGAACCAGGGGAAGAAGGGGCAGAGTGGGATTGCTGGAATTTTGGGTGGCCTTGGTGGTCTTGCTTAGAGGCAAAGCTCGGCCTGCCACACCAACCTACTGGGTCCCCTTCCTTGGCCCCTTATCATCGATGGTACACGAGTCTGTTTTTGAATTATTTTGGAGTTAGTCTCTTTGCTGCACGTGGAAGCCAAAGTCTTGGACCTGATGGCAATGATCCCTCTTCCCGCCTTGTTTTAGTCGTTTAGCTATTAATTGTTATTGAGTTCATTTCCTTTCATAACACACTTTCCCCTCTAATGCCTGATAAGATTTAAATGTGAAGTATTCTCACCCATCATGTTCCCTTTAGTCTCCCGCCCCCTACTTATAATAATCAAATTACCACCCCTTTTATGTGTAGTATTAAATTCACCCGTTCTATGCCTTAAGATATAGATTATTCCAAATTGAGTAGGTTCCCTCACCCCCTATTACTTCGTCGTAAGTCCTTGGCCAGAGATGTTTGCAACCAATGCTTGGAATTGAGAACCCAGAGCCTCTACCACCACCGAGACGTCGGGCGGTTCAGGCTGCGTAATTGGCTCCCGCCCAGCAATCTCCTCTGGATTCCAAGTTTCTGAACTGGCTACGGCCTCCGTCTTACCCAAAGCTTTCAAACCCTTGACGTCCTTCCCTTTCCTAGGCGGGCCTCTTGGTGTCCTGGGCGTGACGGCTGTCGCGTCCAATAGGCAGTGCCAACGTGTTATGTAAACACCGGGCCCGCTCATGTTCCCGCTGCTCTTTTTCTCTTGGTTGTGCATTTTATCGAGAATCTTTTGCATTCGCTCGTTCGATATCTCCTCCAAAGTAGCAAGATACTTGGCGTGCTCATCAATGACGGACTGGGCAGCAGTACGCCGCTCTTCTGGGAGCGTATCAAAGAGATCTTGTAGATGCTTGTCCATTGCCCCAGCACCAGCCGAACTACTTGCCCCCATTTCCGTAGGTACAGTTTTGCTGTTGCTGTCTGGGGTCTGTCCAAAGAATCTGAGACTGCTCTTGACCCAGCCAAGCCAGGTTACCCGTAGATCCGGACACCCCTTGGCAAAGTCATATAGGTAATCGTAGGCTAAGAGGCGGTTGCGTTTCAACAGAGCAACGTAGTCTTCCACAGATGGAGGAACGGTGCGTTTCTTGGCCAGGCCCTGGCCCTGTCCGTCATCCTGTTTCTTCGGCTTACTTGTCTCTATCAAGTCCGTTAAGAATCTTTCGATCGAGCCAATGTGTTTCCGCAGATCTACATTTTTATGAATGGCGCGAATCATGGGCTCGAAAACGGCAACTGCATCTCGCACGAGTGAAGTTGTTAGGTCTGGGTTCTGGCGGCACAGAGCGTCTATGATCTTCTGTCTATCGCGTATTGCGAGCTGGGCAGAGTAGTACTCTAAACACTGAGTATGCTGTGACTCCGAAAGAGATCGGATTAAGTCTGGGTTTTTGTCCTCCAGGATGGCAATGACGATTGACTTTTCGACCTGCTTACTAGACTCGCGGATCGATTCGTGCTTTTCTCTAGGAGCTTGTAGATGCTCGTCGATCGCGGCCAATTGTGAATCAGTAGGTCCATTTTTACTTCGCTTAATAGCTTCGGTGGCCTTACGGAAGTCACTGGTATCCCACTCTAGAACCAAAGATATGATTCTGAACACAGTCAGTTTATATCATTCATAGGAGGCAGGTCAGTACGCACCTCTGCATCAAGTTCATGCCGTCAGCAGCGTTCTGTGTCAACCCGAGCCAATTCGACAATGCCCCAACACTCACCTTTGCTAGGAACAGCCTGATCATCGCGTTAATCATGGTTCCTGCGTTTCCAACACGTAGTGTCTGTCCTACCACGGTATAGGGAATTAGGCTGTGGACATTGTCAAGGAGCTTCAGTAAGTAAGGACCTTCAGCTGATATGACAAAGAGATGGTGGAGGAACGTGGCTACATAGAGGATTGCCAGTTCCACAGAAGCCTCGACTGCTACTGAATGGTCTTCAATATTTGCTGTCTTGGTGAATTGGTCAAAAAGCTGATCAATCAAGTTCCCATGGACCAGATGTCGGGTCACATCATCCCAGGCCCTGACAAGATCCTTTGCAACACGCAAATCATAGCTTCCTTGGAGATCCGGCAGCCCGTCATTAGGCACGCCGCTTAAGAGACCCCTAGTTACGCATTCATGGACAACTGACGCGACTGAGGCTAGCCGCTTTCTACTTCCTAGCGTCCCTTTATCGTAGCTTTCTGAAAATTCTGCTTCTCCAAGCCGCCTCATCATAAGGCGGAATTTAGTGGACCAGAATTCACGTGGTAGATCTCTGATAGCGGGTATCGGTAACACAAGCCTTGTGAGGAGGAGCTGGAGTAAGGGTGACGATGACCTTTTAGCCCCATTATTCTTCTTTTTGGAGGCAACCTTGTCAAAGGGATATCCGTAATGGTCAATGGCCCCAGGGTCTTTGAATCCCTCGACTTCCGAATAGGTCTCATAGTGGACAAGTATGTCTAGTAACGCTTCTAAGTGCTGGGGAGACAGCGGTGCTGCAGAGGACATAATGAGTGTCCAAAGGGGGGATAATACTTAGTAGATAAGGACATACGAAGTACGGAGTAGGTAAATAAAGTAAGGATAGAAAGTCATATGTGTGGTTTAATATGAACGTGATGCATCAATCCAAAATCAACGACACGTTGATAAAAAAAAAAGGGGGGGAGGGAGAAGTTACTTTGTACTTTGAATGCTTTAATCATTGATGTTGCACATGTGGTTCCTGCATGCAGTGTGAGTGTGGGTTAATACGGTATGGTATGTAAGGTTCTGGAAAAAAAACACCTAAAAATCAACCTTAAAATCCTTGATGAATTATGAATGAATTATTCAAGACCCTGAGCAGCAAACGGTGACGTCATCTAACTATAGTAGGTCTTGGGCGTTTCCTTTTTTTGGGTCCGATGTACGAAGTAAAGCTGAGTGAGTACCTACCTATGTGACTAAGCAGATATACTATAAAAGGAATAGTCATGTAAGAGGCTATGCATTAAGTGAGCCACCCAAGACTCTGGCGACAAATTCAATTCCAAACATTGAACAAATCAATTCCGAACTTGGAACTTGTAACATCATCCATCCTACACTCAAGCTCTTAATGCTCTACACCAACCTACAACAACACCAAAATGATTCGTAAGAATGACTCCAGGCCGCGATGACATTGACGGCTCCCCCAAGGATATATATAGGGGTGCTCTTCCCGTCATACCCCCTGATGGGAACTTAGACAACCCGGCGCGCAATAATGCCGCCACTGCCGCATCAGCTGCCGGCGTTCGGGCTTTGAGCGCACAAGCAATAGCTTTTTACTTTCGAGCACCTGTCAAAGCCTTCTTCCGGACCCGTGTAGATTATCTCGCATATGCCCGGAGTGTGCATCAGGCCCAGACGGCAATGCTCATGCGCGCTGCCGTCCAGAATCAATCAGCCACCAGGCTAGGCCTTACCTTCAAGCATGCATGGATGTGGGCAAGGGGCACTACTCCGGGGTTGCTCGCCTCCGTTATTCAACAACATGGATGGAGCGTAATACCGCAGCAGATTCTTCCACCGCTTTTAGCAAACGTCGGAGTCGGTGCGGTTCTGTACACCAGCTACCTGCACATTCTAGCCCAGCTGCATGAAGAAACCGGAAGAGCACACAAGCGGGTGTTTCCTCCGCCGGATCCGATCCACACTTTTGCTGCCGGCTTCATTGCTGGAAGTATACAGAGTGTTATGGCTGCACCACTCGATGCAATTCAGGCGCGGTACGACCATCGAGACCTTATTTCTGGGAATGGAGGTGGGAAACCAAGAAGCATGTGGTCTTTCTCGGCAGAGAAGCTTAGAGAGATTGGCCTACGAGGTGTTTTTGCAGGATGGGGATTGTCGTTTCTAAAAGACAGTTTTGGATGCGCCATTTTCTTTAGTACTTTCGAGTACGTTAAAGCACAGAGCTATTATCAGTTCATCATGTGGTATTACGGTGGGCTAAAGCCTGACGTCGTCGACGAACTGGCTCAAAAACGACCATCCACCCAGTTGAACTCGACGAGTGATGCTAAAAAGGACACCAGCCGTCCCGTGGTTATACGACCGCATTACGCGATCGAGCCAATGTTCCTGCTTTTCGCCGGCATCACCGCTTCATTCACTCAACAGGTTATCCTTCACCCCTTGACCCACATCCAGGTTGAGCATTGGGACCACCTCGAGGACCTGGATGCCAAAGCAGCTAAAATGAGAAGCGCCATTGCCGCGAATCCCGATAAGCCACGACATAAATGGCGCATGCTTCGAGCTTATTATCACGCCTATCAAGAAACCTGGTCACAATGCGTCGCAGAGGCTACTTCAGAAGGAAGAGGCATAACGCGATGGTTATATAGAGGGTTTTGGTGGAATACAAGTAAGTGGCCTCTCATCTATATGAGCTATGATCTTGAATTATACCAGATCGTGTACTCTGGTATTATGATGATTGACAATTTACTGCTTTAGTTCGCCAAGTCCCGAGCACCAGTGCCGGCTTAATTATCTTCGAGCTGGTTCGGCGTAAATACGGAACTGGGACCGAGCCGGTGCGCGTGAAAAAGGACGACTACGAGATTCTTCTAGATTAAATATGGTGATAGGTTCCCGGCTTTTTTAGGCGTTAAGGTTTAGCAACAAGATTTCCCCACTCACGCGAGAGATATCCTTTCCAGCATCAGCAACAATATATCATTCATTTGTATCTTTAGACCATTCCGAATTCCTAGGTACCTAATGCCTTTGGGAGCTTAACAAAGATCTTTTTTCGTGAAGAGAACAGAGGCTACTTCTTACTATCTACCCTTGTTTCCTGCACTACGGATAAACGGTTCCAGGGGAAACACCTGTCCTTCCGGCGTGACATCCCCGTATAGCTGCGCCCAGCGATATCCCAAGACCTCAGGGGTCTCCCACGCATTCTCTGGGTCGCGTAGCCAAAGTCGTAGAAGATGGCGGCTAAACCGGCAATGTCAGCCTCTCAGCTAAGGGAGGTTACCTAGGTAGTCACAACTCACCGCTTCTCCGGCGTATCCGTAAACCCGTCCCGGGCGTGGAAGATGGCGAGGTTGTTGATGTACTGCATATCGCCCTTCTGGAAGTCCGTGTTCACGCAGTACTTCTCGCCGAGGAAGTGGATCGTGTCCAGCGCCTCGGCCTGCGCCTCGCTGATGGGCGGGATATCGGGACTTCGTGGCAGCGCGCCGAACCCGACGAAGTACCGCCGCCCGTATTGCAGGGCTACCCGCTCGGGTGTGGAGGAGGTCGCGGGGAAGTGGAAGAGGAGTGGGCGTTCGACGTATTGTTTGGAGGCTTTTTCGAAACTACAGGGGCGCATAGAGGTCAGCCACTAAGGTGCCGGGGCAGAACGACGTACACGCATACGTCAACCTCTCCAATGGTTTCGTATAGCGATGATGGAGAAAGGGGGCATTGCGAAAAACAACCTACACTTCCATATCCCAGCCCTGCGAAAGCGTATGTATAAGATCCGGCCTCGTAGCCGCTATTTCATTGTACACCCTCCACGTGCTCGCCAGCTTGCTCGCGCCCCCCGCCGCCGACGTCTCCAGCGCAAACAGCGACACGATGTCCCCCGAATCCGTGTGGAACACCTGCTTGTCGGTCGTGTATGCCGGGCTGCCGATGTCGCCCGTGCCCGCCGACCACGTTAGGTCCTTGATGTGGCTTAGGACCACGTCGGCCTTCTGGCCATTGTATTTGTGGTCCTGGCGCCCCCGCTGCTCGGCGATGTGCGACGACACGCCGGCGTAGATGATGATGTTCTCCTCGCGTGTATGTTCGTCTACGCGCAGGCCCCGGAGAACGAAGAATCCGTGGCCGGTGTGTAATTCCTCGGACAGACGGCGCAGCTCCCCGTGTAGAGTTGGGAGGGGGAATGTTTCTTGGGAGAGATGGCCCAGGGATAAGCCCGTGTCTGGATGTGTATTGTGAATTCCTTTTTCCCCAAAGACATATCTACAGATTAAAATGCCGGATCATCGATGAACCTAGGTACATACGCTTGAAGTGCTCCACAGCTCGATCTATCTCATCCAGTTGCGCATCATTGAGCACATACGTCCAGTTATACTTGTCCGCGATCGTTTTGCCCTCCCAGACTAGGTCGCCGCTCAGCTGCGCCGGAAAGCCTTCGGGAAGATCGGTGGGGAGGTTCCCCTCCGCGAGCCGGCGCGCCGCGCGGGCTTGCCATTTGGTGCGGTCCGGGGTATACGCGATATCGGGCTGGCGGGGGATGATGGCGGGAGACATGGTTTGTGAGAGATATCTATTCGGTTCGTTAAGAAAGTGCTACATGTACTTACCTAGTACTAATTCTTGGGTAGCTGCGTATCGAAATCCTTCTCCCTTTATAGTTCTTGGGTTCTATCGATGGTCACGGGTTTGCTCTGTAGCTAGTATCACCGGTGTTGGTCCGGCCGGCCAATGAACAACGCCGCCCGGGTATGGCGTCATATGCTACCCTCTAGCACGCCTTTGGAGATAGATGGGTGGTCTTTGTTTTATTTCTCTTTTTGCGTTACCTACACTGGTTGATACCACCTCCTCTATCTCATACTCCCATCTACCTTCATAGGTTATGGTAACTCGAGTGAGTCTCTAGGTTTTTTTTTCTTGCTGTTCTGATGATGTTGATAGTGTTATTATTCATATAAACAAGTACCTTTAACACATAAATGCTCAAAATGCTATACGTCAGCCTATCGCATACTCTACAGGATCAAGAATTCCAGTTTTTCTCATTTCGAACAGATGAGATGATTAGACTACCTATGATAACCGGGTATACAAGATCCTATTAGTGTTTTCTAAGACTTAAACCATCGACTCATTAACCTTCCTTGCCTCCCTTATCCCGCCTGATGCTGACTTTGACCTTGGACGCTTCCATATATACCCCATAAAACGGATGGATGAAGAAGCCTACCGTGGCCTAGGGAGGTAGGTAGCATGGTTAGTATGACAGCCAATTACAACACCATCACCTGTAGACCGAGAGAAAGAGAAAGAGAACGGGAGACTCACCAGCAGTCGGCTTACACATTTACGTTACCGACCCCCCCCCCCCCCCCCCCCCTTCGCGAAGAACCTCTTGAAGAAGCCCCGCAGCACACCGTCCTTCTTGGAGTTCCTTGTACGGCAGCACGACCCAGTCTGTCAGGCCATCCCTCCCCACCAGCCGAACCAGAAGCCCTGTTGTGTGTGTATGATAGACATTAGATCTCGTGTTCAATAACCCTTTTTTTCTTAAGCGGAAAAGGGGGGGAGAGTTACTCACCCAAACACCAGCGTTACACGCCGACGGGAAACCCCCGTGATCTGGGGCCACCCACTCCCGCACCGTGGAGTCGCCGCACAGCGTCGGGGTGTGGTGGAATGGCTTGGCGACGCCGTGGGCCGGAGACCGCAGAAGCGGGATCTTTGAACAGGCTGCCGATTTTACCAGCCAGCCCGACACCCCGCAGCAGATCCAGCCATCCGGCCCAGAAAGGGGTGGCGGGTCTTCGTTGTTGCTCCCTTTGTTGCCTTGAGAGCTGCTCTTCTTTTTTGTTGTGGCTGTTGTTGTTGTGGCTGTTGTTGTTGTGGTGGTGGTGGTGGGTTTGCCGTGGTGGTCTCGGGATGATCTGCTGTTCGTTGTTTCGGTGTCGATGTATTCTTGCTGGTGACGAGGATCGTACGGCGGAGTTCTGCTGGTGGTAGGTAGTGGTGAGGATCGTAGTGAATCTTCTGCTCGTGTGTGCCTCGTGGGACAGAGCCACGACCTCTCTCTGCGCATTGTCGGATGCCTGGGTGTCGCTGTTGACGGGCGTGGGGCAGCGCGCCATGTCGTCCAATGTTGGCCATGAACTTTACTCCGTAGGTAGTCGCGGGTGCCGTTGATAGACACATCTGCGAGGTGGTTACGGAGGGTGTGCGGTTCATCTTGACGGCTGTTTCGCTGAGCAGCGTTTATATATACATAGGCATATACCTAGATAGATATGTAGGTTGGAAGGTAGGTAGACAGGCAAGTAACGACACTCCCCCCGGCCTGCGTAGTGTTGTTTTCACACTCTGATTGTATGGTTTCGAGTGCGCAAGTGGGTACGGGCGCAAGGGAGGTGGGCGATCATCTCGATTCTTACACGGTGCTTACCTATTCTACGACATTTACTCGAACTTCGATGGACTCTGACCCCTGTTACTGTTTAAGAAACATCAAGTCACCGGCGTGTAGTCACGTCACAGAAATTTGTAATTCAACACCAACCTTCCACCTTATGCACATTCCATTAATTCATTATCAACGAGTCCTACAATTGTAGATCATCCGTGCCAATCCATCGTCGTGTAGGCACCTACATATGTAGATAATAGATATACTTATTATCGGGCATGTGCGTCTCAGCCACCTAGATAACATCTCCGGTCGCAGGGAGGTAGACTTAATTCTTTCTATCCGGCCAAGCTTCGTATAGCCCCTCATGAACTGTAACATTACCAAACGTCACCTCACCACTACCCTCGTGGAAAAAGCGAATTTCTCTCGAGTCGGCATACCACGACCTGTTTTAGTTTTAGTCAGCATCACCGCTTAAAAGGGGGCATAAAGGGGGGGTGCCGGGTGGTGGCTTACCGGGCCCAAGTACTAATCGCGAACCTGCCATTCGCGTGCACCTCGACAATCGAATTATCAACAACAATAGTCAGCTCAAGCGTCTCAATCCGCTGCTCCCCATGTCCTCCCACCACGTCGAACAACCTTAGCCGGCCCGCTTCGTTGCGCACGTCGATGTCAGACGTCGTTGCCGCGGCGGCGCTCGAGTTGCTGCGGTCGATGACAATGGACTCGTTCGAGAACTGGTAGTAGATCGTCGTGCTCTCGTGCTCCGACGACAGGATCTGGAAGCCGGCGCGCAGATCCCCGTTGCCGCGAGATGAGCGCGGGAAGGAGAGAGATGCGCTGATCACGTGGAACTTGCTCTCGGGAAGCCGCTGGAACGGCACGCTGCCCGCCGCGGTCAAGGTGCGCCCTGGCTCGGTGAACGAGTCGCCGCTGGTCAGCGCAGCGAGGGCCTCGCGCGCGATCTCCTGCTTCAGGGTAGCGAGCTCCACGACGCCTCTGCGGGAGTCGTTGCGAGAGACTCTCCAAGACCCGGTCTCGCGCGATAGCTTATTGTCGACGACATTGCTGATCGTGCCCACGCTTAGCTCGCGCGGGAGCAGCAGCGCGCCGGTCCAGTTCTGCTGCGCCGTCGGGAAGTTCAGCAGGGTGCCGTAGAAGTCGCCGGTAAGCCACACGTAGCTGATGAAGCGGTCCGGCGCGCCGCTCTTCTTTGACGCGAGCGAGGTCGCCGGTAGCTCTTTGCCGGCCGCCGCGTAGGCGGAGGTGCCCCAGTCGAGCTTCCCGGCCATCGTGGGGACGAACTTGACGTTGCCCTTTTTGTCGCTGCACACGGTGCCCGCGGCCCACAGCATCTCCCGGAAACCCGACACCTGCGGCACGATGGGGTCGAGGGACCACTCGGCGCCGAGCGTGGTGAAGACCTCGCCGCCGGCGTTGTAGCCGTGCGCGTCGAGGCTGAAAATGTTGGCGACTTCGAAGTTGTACCCCCAGCGGCCCGCCCAGTCGCCGTTGCCCCAGGTCGTGTTGGCCGGCTCGTGCCACCACTGGCCCAGCTCCTCCCAGTACTGGAAGTCTGGGTCGTGCTGGCGGTAGAGGAACTGGCTCGGCCCGTCTTGGTGCACGCCTCCGGAAATGACGGCGTACCAGGTTCCGGGTGCGCTTTTGAGTTGGCTGTCGAGACGGCTGTTCTGGAACACGAACGGGTCCCGGAACCCGGTCACGTTGACGGCGAAGGGGGGCGAGGGGATCACGGGGCCGTGGTCGAGCTTGGTGAAGTTTCGGCCGCCGTCTGTTGATACGGCGAGAGATTGCGTTTCGCTTCCTCGGGTATATGGGATGGTCCATTGGATGGGCAGATAGGAGACGGATGTATACAGGAGAGTGGGCTTGCCATCGATGCCGCTGGGGATGACCGAGCCATCGAAGACGGCAATGGGGTCGTTTTTCCCGCCGGACACGATGAATGGCGCTCCATCTGCGTTAAGGTCATGGTAGGTCACGAGATCGTCTGTGGTGGCACCGGCAGCACCCAGGTGTAGCCAGCCTACGTGGAAGAGACCGGTTTCAGGGTCGGTGTAGTGCATACACGGGTCACCTATTTGTCCAAAGGGTGGGAGTATGTGTGCCCTGGGACGCCATGTGTCGAAGAGGCTTGAATTTGCAAGAGTCGACAGGTTCGGCGGTGCCGAGTTGTAGTCGATTCCTTCTTGCCTCACGGCGAGGGAACTGGCGTAGATAGCAGGTGTAAGCTTCATTTTGTCTTGAGAGCTACCTATTTGCAGGTGGAGATCTGCGTACCTAGTGCCTACCTGATACCCAATACTTCTGGTAAGACAACAAAACTCTGGGGCCTGGAAGTCATGATTCATATATACCTTACCTCTATTTATACACGAGTTCCTCTCCGGGTAGTGTTGAGTCTTTGACATCAAGATCCCTTGTCAGTTGGAGAGTACGAAGTATGCGGGGTTTCGCGGAGAACTGGAAAGTTGGGGTCAGGGGAAGAAGGGGAAGATGGAGACATTGTGGAGTTGTCGTACCTAGCCTAGTACCTACTTAGGTAGTGAAAGCCTATAGTTTCGGCCCTTTCAGGCCTTGAAGAGCTATTAGCTACCCTTGTAGGTGGCATTAGTTTAACTCTAGTCCTGTAAATCCTTGATTTCCTATGTGCTATATGTCTAGGCAGTGGAAAAGAAGACGTTGATGTTCCACCCTGATCTTGGCGTCTTTTATTATGAAGTAAGTGTACTATACTACTATATGCGTACTTATCTTCGTACAAAATTCAATATTCTATATCTATAATCAAGGTGCGATCATGACGTTTGTGACCTTCAACCAGTATATAAACTCAGGTCCTTCATAAATGCTAGGGCGAGGGGGTATCACGATAAAAACAAGAGTTTTCCCATCTGTGGCTTATGAACACACACACACACATATAAAACCCAACAAATCAACCATCCTTTTCGAAGGCGTCGTTCAGATAACCCACAAATGTCTCTCGTATCCTCCCCGGCCCCATATTCCCCACCCCTTCGAGGCCAATCCCGCCTCTGTGCAAGTTCATGTAAGCTCTCCGTAGACGCTGTAGCTGAGGCAGGCCGACTTTCTTGCCAGCGGGCAGCTCCACGACCAACTCATCTCCCTCCTCGCCGCTAGCTTTCGAGATACTTATCTCATCCCCGCCGTCGTCGCTTTGCTGGTCTAGTATCTTTTTGACGATCTCCTGTGTCTCCCGGTCCAGCACGTACAAGTAATCGCCTCCTGAATCTCGGCTCCGCTGCACGGTTGCCTGGTTGGGCCGCACCAACTTCCGAGCCTCGCCTGCAATCGCATCCCACATGCTATCGAACACCTGCTTGGCCTGCGGCTCGTCGTCTTCCCAGATGAGGGTGAAGAGCGGGCTGTCCCACCTCGTCATCGCATTCGGTTCTTCGTAGCGGAAGACCAGGTTCTCCCAGTTCGCCGGCTCGTACGGGCCCTCCTCGTCGTTCTCTTTTTCCTCCTCAATTTTCTCTCCACCTTTTGCAGTATCGGTTTCATCATCGTTGGCACCTTCCCGCTGTTGCTGTTGCTGCTGCTTCCGCCGCTGCAGCCTCTCCTCATTCACGCCCCTCGCCCTATCCCTCATACAACCTATCTGCAAAACGCAGCTCGGCGTGCGCACGGCCTTGGACTCGCAGAAGAGCTGGTACCGCCAGCCCTTGATGTAGTTGAGGCCGTCGAGGATGACGATGTCGCGGTCGCTGAGCACGCGCTTGACGGCGCCGTAGATGGCCGCGCGCGCGTCTTTCTCCGAGGCATTGGCCGATCGCGTGTGCTGCGCTGGCGCGGCGGAGAGGTCGTACACGGAGCGCGAGATCGAAAGCGTCTGGTCTGAGATCAGGTGGAGGCGATACTTTGCGGCGGGGGTGGGAGGGGTGGAGGAGGAGGCTTGCTGTATGCGCTCGAATAGGTAGGTGTGTAGCTGTTTTGCGCGAGTCGACTTGCCGGACGTGGGGAGTCCGGTGAGGATGATTAACTATGGTTTGTTTTGGTTAATATCTAGTAAATGCAAGCGTGTGCAGAATGAGGTACGTAGGTACTCTAATAACTCACTGGCATGTTTTCTGTTCTATAGATAGGTAGATTTGAGGTTTATCAAAATCTTTGCAGTCGCTAAAGAAAGGAAGAAAGGAAGAAATGGAGAAATGAAGAAATGCCCCGCGCAAAAGAGCCCTGGAGTATATTCCCCGCCAACCCCACCACGGATACCTACATATAGCATTTTAAGCTTTAAGACATTCAATGATATCACTACCTAGTACTAAAATACGTTACGTTATTGATTTAATTCCTCAACTCAACTCCAACTTCGTTAAACTCCAACTTCGTTATAATCTTCAAAAGTTTAACTTCATTGTCATCCTCACCCACGCTTCTCTAACAACATCAACGCTGAAGTTCAAATCTTTACCTGTAAGCACCCATTTCATGATCATCTTCCGACTGCAGCCTACGGCTTTGGCTATCCCTCGACGCCGTGGCAACTTGCACCCTCTGCATCCTCTGCAGCGTCATCCCAATACTCTCCACAATAATAACCACGATCATCTCCATGATGACCGCCATGCCCAGCTGAACGTTGATATCACCCGTGAGCTGGTTGAACGCCGGATTGTGCGCGAACACCGATATAGCCGAGTAGATCAGCCTCACCAGGATGAACGGCAGCGAGAGGCCGACGGCGAGAACAAGCCGCTTTTCGCCCATCTCGACCTGGGACAACTGCGACACGACCAACAAGGTCGAGAAGACCAGCAGCACGTACGCGGCGATCACGAGGCCGATCCCCGCCTGCGACGTGCCCGAGACCGTGTACACGCCCGTGCCCGCGTAGCTCTGGCTCGAATCGCTGCCGCCCACCGCACTGAGTACCATTCCCACTAACGCGACTAGGTGTACGACACGCAGCCGCTGCTCGGTGACGAACGGGACCGCCGTCTTGCGGATGCTGCCGAGCGCGCGCCCGACCAGCGACACCTGCACCATGATCAGCGGCGTCAGGCCGACGTTCTGCAGCGTCGCGGCGCCGATGTGCAGGCTGAGGTTCGTCGGGTCCGCGATTGTCGCGAGCTGCAGGGACGCGCCGATGATGCGCGCGAGCGAGAAAACGATCAGGAAGAACCACCCGGCGTTGCGCCCGAAGCCGTGGCGGAGGGCGAGCCAGATGGCGATGAGGAGTGAGGGGGCGTAGATGACGATTTGCGCGATCGAGATGTTGTTTCGTTCGGATAGCGTCATTGCGTGTTGGGGAGATGTGTGTGGCGAGGATGCAGATGTTATAGGTAAGGAAGTAAGTTGGGTAGGTATCTTGAACGGTGGCGGGGAGGCTTTCTATTGGTAAATCACGAGTAATATCTCATAGGGAGTAATATCTCATAGGAAGTCGCCTTTTATTTCTTGGCAGTATTCGCGACTTTATATATATTCTATCATGAGCTACGCTACGTAAACAATTCTTACATATGGGGGTATAGGTAAGTCAGAGAGGGCTCCTCATGTTTGAGGGTATTATGAGGCGTTCCCGCAAAAGTCTCTAGGCTTGATAGGCGAGTGCGAGTGCGAAGTATCCATTGGCTTTTGCACTGCTACCTGTGTAGGTAAGCTGCCTATCCGATTCTAACCTAGTAGGTGCTCGTCAGGGCTGAAAACACCAATTACGGCCCCCTGTTTCGGGACTCCGCCCCAGGTTCGAGATTTGGACCAGCACAGTACCTACTCTAGGTCAGGTATTTACCTAAGTATGCATCTCGGTAGGTAAGTAAGCAGGCTACCTTTGAACAAGCTTTGCCAAGTTGAACTCCCCTATGTGGACATTCGAGGTGATCATGATGCTACATGAATATGATAATGTAGCTGCCTAAGCGCTAATTAGTGTAGGTTAGAGGCTGAGGAGATCGCACGCACTTCACCGCTTACCCCTGGATAGGTAAACCGATGAGAACTTAACTTGCGATTATTTTGGGAGGGGGGTTGCTAAGCCACACCGATTGAGAGGCCGGTCCCTTTTGAATATTTTCTTATTATTATTTCTTATTATTAGGTGGTAATACCGGTATGCTATGTATATACTACACGGCATGTAAAGAGGATTAGCTGGATCCTATTGCTTAATAGCCCCTGAGTCTGAAGTAGATGCGTACTACCTATGTAGGCAGGCAACAGTGAATCCTAGCTTCTGAAACAGGTCCCCTTTTTTACCTATTCGTTACCGTTATTAAACCCTTCAGTCATAATATCTCTCCTAGGTTAGGCTGTATGTATGAGTATATAAATCATGGCTACCTATTCAAGGTCTACCTACTCAACCACGTGACATCTCTCATCGCAAGTCCTAGTATTCCCTTTCCAGTCTCCTCTCACTTCTCTCATAGTTCCCTTCCGTAATCGCACTAGTAACTAACTACCTGCCTTACAAGTGACTACCTGCTGAAATCATCATTAAACGTAAGTCGACCAATCGAAGTGCCCTATCCTGTATCTTACCTACTTACATACCCACCTCCAGGTAATCATCATCCCTTCATCCCTTTCTTGAATTACGCGGCGACAACGCCCGCATAGCAAAGCCACCGCCGAACGGGCACACGGCACATGGCACATGGCCATAGACATACATCATCTCCGCCATGCATTAGCGAACATCACGTTTTTCTCTGAAGCAAGCACACGCAGCTACCTATCAGTTTCGACGTGTCCCGAAAAGGAGGAGTACATAGGTTACGCGGTTGGAAATCTTTTCGGAATGGGTAGGTAAGTGTGCAAGCTTGCGTTAGGGGAGTGTCTGTTGGGGATTGAAGGTGAAGGTTCACACGTTGACGCCACACGTACTAATCTGTGGATTCGTTGATGCTGGAGTTTGGGAGAGGCCTTCTGAGGTTGACTATGATGATATGGCCTCATAAGTAGGTAGATAGGCACTTGGAAACTATATGTCTTCCCTCCCTCCCTCCCTCGGTGTTGATTTTGGTGTGTTCTTGCTAGGTAGGTACCTAGGTAGTGGAATGATATGGGTGACGAATGGCAATCCTGAGATAGGACTCCCAATGCCATTAGGGTGATGTGACGGATGGGTGAGTGAGTGAGTGAGTAAAAGAGATATTGAATCTGTCGAGACGAGCGCATGATCTTTACTTGATTAATTAGTTGAGTAGGTACATAGATAGGTATCGATCTGACATGAACCACGTGAAGTCAACCAGAGAAAAAGGCTATAGGATAGAATATCGAGGGTATAAACTCCCACCTCCACTCACCCACTCATCCAAGCACATCCCAAAAACCACCACATTTCAGGCCCTCTATGCACATCTGCCTACCTAGCACCTATCTCCCCCATCCCCATCCCCTCCCCTCCCCTCACGCCTTCACATTCCCCACCGCACTCTGCACCAGCATACGCACATACCACGTATGCAGAAACTCAATCTTCGGCGGAATCGGGTGCTTCTCCCCCTCCCCCTTCCCCTTCCCCTTCCCCTCCGCCGCGCTATTAAACAACGCCGACTTAAGCCTGAACTCCGCGACCTCGCTCTCGCGATCGACGCGCGCGCTGATGAAGACCAAGCCGTCCGAGTTCCGCAAGCCGGGCTCGAGCGGGGACCCGCCGCAGCGCACGACGATCTCGGCGCCCTCGTTGCCGACGACCTCGAAGTGGTTTGAGAATTTCAGGCCGGGGGGGTAGGTGGCGACGGCGAGGTCGGAGGTCGACCAGAGCGTGTCTGTGAGGCCGGGGGGGTGGTCGTAGCGCGCGTGGAATTTGCTTTGGGGCCAGAAGCCTGGGAGGGTTAGTTTGCTAAGCATTGAATGATGTGATATCTAGGTAGGTAGGTAGGTAGGTAGGTCATGTGATCAGGCAGTAATGCAGGTACAGTAGGTAGGTATATAAAGAAAAGCCATCCCACATACCCCAGCGGCTCCACACGCCACGGCAGAACTCGAGCGTGAGCGCCTCCTCGCTGTCGCGCAGCTCGGGGCGGATCTTGGACAGCGGGACACGCTTGATGACGACGTCCTGGAGGGCGGGGTTGTCCTTGGGGTTGTACCTGGCGTAGGTCTTGGTCTTGAACATGGGGTCGCTCTTGGTGAGGTCGACGAGGGTGGTGGAGGCGGCGAGGTAGGCCATCCCCGCGCCGACGCTGGCGACGCCGCCGGTCACGCCGTACAGGCTTGTGAGGAGCGCGGTCCTGATGATGCCCATTGTGCTCCTGGGTTAGGAAGTACGCGGTCGTTAATATAGGGAGGTTAAAGGAAGGTGTATTGAAGTGAGGTAGGTAGTGAAATGCAGTGCGCCGCGAATCGGAATCCTATCAAAGTTGCCGGTCGGGACTTCAAATACCGAGTCCCACTCCTGCAGGGTCTAGTGTTAGGATCTTTGGTTTAGTAGGCCAGGTAGTTTTTTTGAGGGTCTGTTGGCTGCCTACTTATGAGGCTGCGAGACTCTACGGGAGTTTATTGCCTGAGTATAGTACTATAATAGGTAGGTATTAGTAGGTATATTTAAGTTCTACGAATTGATACTATCTTATATATTCTCAAGGCTAAAAGCGCCAGATCGGGGCGCCATCGGTACATTATGTCCACTTAAATGACCTTACTTAATGCAGGCTACCTACTACTAGGTAGGCTAGGTAGGTATTTGCAGGCACGACATTTTGTGAAGATAATTCCTCGCTCGGGCAATATGTCAATTGCAAACTTGCCTACCTACATAGGTATCTATAATCACCAATAGGGCTACCATTCGTCGACATCAATATAACCAGAGGTGGTGTAGTAATATACTACATAAAAAAAGAAATATACGTGTGCCACCAAAGCGCGATACGTCAAAGGATCAGTACCACATTTTAGAAATTTGGCAGCAAGCACAAAGTTACTCTAGCACGCAAATATGACCGATAGCAAGTAAGCGAATGGAAATCGGTTGATTAATCGTGCGATGTTTTAAAAAGTGTAAGGAAAAAAAGAGAAGAAAAGAAGAAGTAGAAAGGAGAATTTGGGAAGTTATGTAAACTGTAAAGCGATAGTTAGTGTGAGTCACGTGATATGTAGCTAGAGGGAAATAGGCAAATAGAGAAATAACTAGAGAAATAATGGGGCTCGCCAACCATTAAAATCTCTTCAAATTTTCTTGGAAATTTTACATTTTACATGTTAAACATTCTCAACTTTATTTTCATTCATCCCAAAAAATGGGAATAATCATCTCGACATCTCGACATCTCAATGCAGCTGAATAAGGATGGCACCATTGAATACCTCATTCGTATGAGCTTTATTCTCATGCCTAATCCTATTTTCTTTCTTCGCATGTTTGGTCTGAACAGACTGACAGACAAGTGTCTTATCTCTCTATTCAACCTATCCAGCACTCGAGTATCATACTCGCTTGCAACCCACAAATTGCCTACCTCTTGCGCTTTCAATGCGCAAGAGCGTCAACTTATTTATTATCGTTCGTGTGGGAGAAAGAACCGAAGGCCTAGACAGCCGGTCCAATCCACCCTGCTGCCTTAGACAAAGTGCGGTAGCAGGACTAACAAGGACAAACACTTATATCTCATTATATAATTATTCATGTACTATATTATTAGATAATACACTATTTACGGATTCCCAGGTGACCCATCATCTACACTGCTGTCGAATCCAGGCACCAGGTCGCTGCGTGCTAATTCTAGCTGTCTTACGAAATTGCCATCCTTGATAGCAATGGAAGCGTCGCCGAAATCGTACGCGAACAACTTGTCTCGGAGCCCAGTGTTAGGGAACCCGTTGTACGAGACCAGAGCCCCGTAGAACCACTTGCCCGTGTCGTTTTCGATGGCCTCGTCGCCCTCGTTGGCAAATCGGAAATTGTGGGTGCTGATTCCATCCTTGTTGTAAATAGTCTTGGGGTGGTTGCCATCCCAGCGCACATCACTCGCCTGCTTGGTCTGGTACTTGCCGTGCTGAGATACCGCGACCGCTTTAGCCACGTCGTTCTGTACGAAGACGACGATGTGTTCCCAGTCGTTGCGGTGCCCGGGGTCGAACGGAACGTTGGGCAGCGCAACGTCCTTCTCGAAGTAGTAGTCGTACATATACGCGCACCACCCGTTATTGCACCGCGCTCGCGAGTACACATTGTTGTTGGTGAGGTCCGAAAGATCGTGGCAGTTGGAGGACGTGCCAGTACTTTGGTGATCCAGACCTGGGTTTATGTTCCCGTTGGCGTCGATTGCCGGTGTGTTGTAGCACCCATCAGTGTCGAAGTCCATTGCCGGCTGCCACCTATATATAGTTGAGCGTCCATGTTCATTCATTACTTTATTATAAAAAAGGAATTTGGTATCTCACTTCTTATCACCAGCTGTGGCTTTCTCGGGGAGCGCTTGCGGCGGGTCCCTAGCTACGAGTTTGGAAAGATGCTCGATAGGCTTGCCACTCACGACGGAGGTGGTAGTCGCCATCAGTAAAGCCAGCCCAGTGGCGGCGAGGCTCTTTCGGATAGCCATCTTGAAGAGCAAGCTTTCGACTTTGGTGGCCTAGGCTAGATCGTCCGTCGTGCTAGTCGCAGGCTGCTGCTCTAAGCATGGCTTTTTGAAGAAGGGGGATCTTCAATCCCACCTATATATATTCTTTAGCATATTAGTGATTTGCATGATATTACCTACTCCCATACATACCTACCCCATTCCATCTCCTCTACTATGTAAGCATGTGATGTGAGATGACTGCTAATGTTAATAGTAAGTTGGAGTCAAGTCGGCTTAGACAGGGATCCTGTCAAGAACCAAATTCGGCTCGCCTTCCTACTTTGGAATCGCATGAAGGACTTATGGGCGTCGCTGAAACCTGGCGCGGAGTCGCCAAGTTTGATGGATAGCTACCCGTTCCCTATCGATTTCGCAACGTGCTCTTGAAGACTTGAAGTTACCTAGGTACAGTGGGTACTATGCCTAATACCTATGAGTTCCGAGTTACATGAGCCCAATTTCTATATCCATGGATAGCTCATATATAATTACCTAGTTTCATTCCATATTCCATATTCCATATTCCATACTGCCTTCTGCTAATACCTACTAATTACTAAGAAATTTTAAGAAGCAGGGGACTTCACCGTCGCGAATTGATTTCTACATTCGTGATGGCGTCAACCATGCCATGGTAGCATTGGCCGATCTTGAGGCTGAGCCAGCGAAAGCCCTACCCCTGAATTTTAACTCAGATGACCCGATCGATCTTTAGATTTATTCCTTTATGCGCTGTCGTCACGTATGTAGATATATAAATGGGTTTTAGGACCTGGGGTAGATAGGTGGTTTGATTATTGGTACCTACCTGCTGTAGGCTGTAGCTGGCCTCATCCCCCTTCAATCAGCCCTAGGTAGATTATGCGTGTATTGCGATACGAACGAACCCAATGGTCTTCAGTGCCTGGTTTACAGTAAGTAGCATTAATATTAGGTATCATTATTTTAACAGATCTCATATCATGGACATTGCGTAGATTTTTTTTAAAAAAAAAAGAAATTTACCAAAGCAACTAGGTAACTAATCTCCTACTCCGCGTCCCCACGCGGGACTTTCCGGCCAAGTCATGGCTTCATTGGCTCTTCCGTTCCACGTGCAACGACCGCCCCTGACCGACCGATCTATGTTAGGTACCTAGGTAGTTACCCTCTAAGCTAAAGATTTAGATCGGGGGGGCTTGCTATTGGGTCAGTTGGCGCACGTGTATTGATGTAGCAAAATACCTATCAATACCTACTACATAGGTAGGTATAGGTAGGTACCTACCTAGGTTGTACGTGGGCTTCTTCCAAGTGCTCAGCTATAGACATACACCTGGGATACGAAGTAAGTAAGTCTTAACTGATATATGATCACTTCGAGGCTAGCAATCATGGTAGATGAAAGGTGCCTCTGTAGGTAGTACATAGTAGGTAGGCTATAGGATAATTGGAAGGCTGTGTCATACATGGCGCTGTATCTATATCTAGGTAGGTATATATTCATATTTCCAATGATAGACGGGTACGTGGCCTGCCTACCTGCCTACCTGCCTACCCAGTAGACAGCCATTAATCATAGCCCAACATAATACACCATCATCGCGCCTTTAGATAACTCTCATCCCGCAAACATAGTAAAGCGCGCCTCCTATCCCCATCCCCATCACCACCACTCCAGGGTATTTGTTACAGGTTCATTGTCCTCACACTCCATCCTCATTCGTTGCTTCTTAGATTTCGTCTCGTTTCGATGCCATCCCGTATCGTACACGCATACACACACAAAGACCTACACCACCTTGTCCAAACCATACTCTAGATATATCGGTACCTATACAAGATGCGTGCAAAAGAAAATGCCTCTCCTCCCTTTCCCCCCTCCTTGAGATAATATAGAAGATAGATGTCTACTATAAGATACCTAAAAAATAAAACCTCGGTAGGTATATAGAATATATGAATCAGATAGAAAATCAGTACTGCCCATCAAACAGATACCTCTCGTCCGTGAACGAGAGCAAAAACCTGGCGACGAGACGGCCCGTGTAGTTCAGCGACACGTCGCGGGGGAAGGGGTGGCCCTCGAGGTTCGGCAGGATGGGGTCTGCGACGAGGAAGTCGAGTTCGTGCCCTTGAAGGTTTCTTGTTAGTATAGACTTCTTAAAAGACTGATAGAACGAGAGAGAAATGAAGAAAAAGAAGAAGAAAAAAAAAACAAAAAAAACTCACAGCTATCCCCCTCGAGCAGCTCCTTCAACTCCCGCACCATCTCCGCCGCCGACTCGTCCATCTCCCCCATCTGCGCCACATTCGCATCCACCAGCGGATTGAAAGCCTTCGCCCCCGTGTCCCGCGTGTGCGTCTGGTAGATCTGGTGGAACTGGTACGCGAACTGCTTGAACGGGAGGTTGTCGATCTCCCTGCACAGCGCGAGCGCGAAGTCCCTCCTGAACTCCGGCTTCGAGCGGTTGCGCAGCGCGATCTCGTTCTGCGAGATGACGAACGTGTCCGCCGCCGTCTCGACCGTCTCCATGAACAGGCACAGGACCAGGAACGCGGCCAGGCACGGGGCCCACTCGCGCCGCAGCTTGGGCTTCAGGGACTTGGAGAAGCCGTCGAAGAGGGCCTGCATCTCCCGCAGCAGGAGCTCGTCCAGCACCGCCTTCACCTGGCGGTTGAGCACCCGCGTCGTCACCCACGGGTTGTTCTGCGGCACCATGTTGGTGTCGCGGAGGCCGACGATCGTCGCGTTCGTGAGGCACAGCTGCCGCGTCAGCACGTAGTGCGTCACGTAGATGGACAGCGCGCGCTTGACCATTGACGACTGCGAGCGCTTCGCGAAGCGCTGCACGATCGCGAGCACCTTGCGCGGAAGCTGCGTGGTGCGGATGGAGTCGGTGACCTGCTCGGCGTAGAGGGGCTCCGAGGTGAGGTTCTGGACGTACTCGCGGACGCGCTTCTTGAGCTCCTCGCGCTGGGGGGCGCTGTCGGGGTCGATGCCGATGGGCGCCGCGCCGCGCGACTGCAGGTCCATCTGGTTCATGCCCATGCTCATGTGCCAGTGCTGGAGGATCTCGGCGGACTTGGGCGTGAAGAAGCACGCCGGGATCGTGAGCGTGGACCCGAACCGGGTCCCCGAGAACAGCTCGACCGAGCACGCGAGCTCCGCCCCGTTCGGCCGGAAGTTCTCCACGTGCTCGCTGATGAAGCTCGACATCTGGTCTTTTTTGAAGTGGCCCCGGATGAAGTCCGGGAACAGCACCGGCAGGAAGTCGCCGAACTGCCAGCATAGAATCTGCGGGACCTGAGCGGAGAGCTTCTTGCAGTTCTTGCAGGGGCGTTCTTTGTCGCACTTGACTTTGCGGCTGTAGGTGTGATGAGGTTAGCTTTCCGTATAATACATAGCATAGTACCTAATAGGATAGGATAGGATGGAATAGGGAAAGATAGATTAGCTAAAACTCACCTGTGGCAACAAAAGCACGCTCCCAATCTCCGGACTTGTAACGCACTTTCCTTAGTCTCGTGCGCAAGCGGTCCCTTCCTACCCCTCTGCGTAGTTCGCAAAGCCTCGAAGCACTCGAATGGATTTGGCTTCCCGGAGTGTTGGTTGATGAGGTTCGGCGTCATAATGACGAACTTGCTGGACGACTCCGCCTTCTTCTTCTCGATCTTGTAGCCATCTCTCACTTTGCGTATCGGGCTCGCGCTCTTTCGGTGCTCGATCTTGACGTAGGGCGACCCCGGGCTCGAGTGAAAAGAGCTGTGGCTATGTGAGGGAGATTGTTGTCTGGGCGACGGGGTGGTGAAGCTGTTGGTCTCGTCTACTAGTACGGGAGGGAAGTCTTCATTCTTTAAATTCATCGGCGCCCACGGTGAGACGTCATTGCCGTTCCGGAATTGTTGGGGAATACCCAAATCGACAGGTTGAGGTGCCATCTCGAACCCTTCTAACGTCGTCATGTCGCCCATGTTACCCTGGAAGGTAGAATAATATTGCGTCATATTCATGTCTACAGCGCCCAGGTTAAAATCAACACTGTCTTTCTCCTTGGTGCCAATCAAGTTCTCGCGCTGGAACTCACCAGTAAGCTGTTCGTTGAAGAATATATCTTGGCTAGCCATGAAAGACTGTTCGTCAAAGGCGGGCATCAATTGACTGTCGGCACCGCTCGACGTCATCACGGAGTTGGTCGTCGTTTGATTTGGATAGGAGGTAGGTGGTGCCCCGTGAGAATGATCGTGATCTAGCTGCAAGGGAGACATGGCAGCAGGAGATGCCTGAACCTGATTGGGATACCCGACTATCCCCCAGCTGTTCATACTCGAGCTGGCCGGGCTAGGCATGAAACCAACGGATGCCGGATTTGACTCTACATACTGCCAGGAGTCGGATTCATCGCCGGACTCCATGTGAGTGAAGCTGTGGGGGGAGGCAGATGAGACAGAAGCCATGGCTAGGATACGTCTGGAGCTGGATAGATGATATGAATGGGCATATAAAAAAAGTCTAATAAACCGCTCCAACTATTTATTATTAGAGACTCGGTTCCTTATTTTTGTCAATCGTACTGAAACAAGACTATAGAATCACGATGGGCTGGGGAGGGCTGTTTGTCGTGGGGTCGTGGTACGAGCCTGCTAAGCGAGCAAACAGCGACTACTACAGAGAGAGCCAGAAAAAAGATTCAGATCTCATAAGTCGCCGGTAGAAATTCTGGGATGAGCCGATTATGCAGAGTTTCCAAAGGAAGCCTCTCGGTGACAGATTGGCGGCACGAACAGGTAGATTTGGTTTTTTAGGAACCCCAAATTGCAGAATTCCGTCATAAATATGGTCGCGAAAAAAAGGCTGAGGGACCTACTGTACACTGGTTTAAAGGCATTCCGAGGAGGACGGCTCCGCCACAGAGGTGAGCTAGGCTGAATTAGACGACCGACAGTGACTGGCCTACGACGAGAATACCTTGCGCTAAGCCCGCTTTGGACTTCGGTGTCGATCCTACAGGTTTGGATCCTACACAATCGCCGTAAAGATAGATGTGTAACATCGAGTCACAATGTCAATGGCTGAAATGGCTGAGAGGGGGTATCCGAGCTGCTGAATCGTGCCCTCGAACTCTAGATAAAAAGAGATCAGACCGCTCTCCAATCTATTTCCCTGGGGACACCTTACCTACCTACTACCTACTCACCACCAGTGACCACCTACATACCCAAGTCAGTAGTGACTGTACTGCAGGTATTGTATGTACCGAATGTTATGTCGGCCATCGTCATTAAATCCTTGTCATATACATGGGGAAATGTACAAAAAAATGATATAATTACCATACACTGTACAATACATGCTTAGGTATGTAGGTACTGTACATACATACATATATGAACTGCGGGGGATCTCGTCCAGGTTGTGTTGTACTTAATGCACATTGGAATAGTTGGGCGGAAGCTGACGCATGAGAAGTGCAATTCATCAATACAAATTCTCGTTGTTTCGTGCCCAACAATGTCCATTCGTCCAATCCCGCTGGGAAGATTCTGACTTGGCCGCCCAAGGCCACCCATCCGACATCATTGGAAATAGTGGATCGTTGAATCGAATGTCTAGAAATCCCATCTTTGCTCAGTACCTAGTAGTATCAGAAGAATGTGGAAAGTATCAAATACATCAGCAGGCTTGTTCGCTCACAAAAAAAAATTAACAAGATAAACAGTAAAAATAAAACGAGACATGTCTATCCCTTCTCCCTTCTCTGATCTCTTCAGCTCGCCTGATCCAAAATTGAGGACCAGTCTTTACCGTATTGCGCCCTGAAATACGACAAAAACTTCACCCTCCTATTCATTTTGCTGTCCAAGTTGACACAATATGAACAATATGAAAGGAATTCATGACTCGTTACATCTCGTTGCATCCCGTATATATAAGTCGGTCCCGTACATGTTTCGTTAAACGTATTATTGGGGGCGAACCCGGCGCAGCCCAATTGCCCCTTGGGCGAGTCTCGTTTGCTGAAAAGCTCCGAGAGGAAAAAACGTGGTTATCATTGGCAATATTCCAATGATGGTTCCGGTGGTGTTCCCGATCCTATCGTTCAGCGAAACCGTGCCGACGCCGCAGCACTTCGTTCCTGAATCTGTTGTTCGGTTGAAACGTATAGTCTGTCCAGGTAGTCCATTGCGGCTGCATCCTTGAGGATTTTGGCAACCTGGATACCAGCACTGATCAATTGTAGGATGTTCCGGTCATCCTTCAGCGGGCGCGACTGATGCTTAGCAGCATGTCGCATTTCCAACGAATTTTCCAAAATTGTTACGAACTGCTTGATCTGTCCATTGTATAGAACCCGGGCGGGTATTCGCCTCTTGGTGGCTAGGCGCTTCAGTAAGTAAACCCATTCGGTCCATTCTCGGTCCTGCGGTCTCTCCACCGGTCTCATGTCCTGTGTCAATGGGATGGGAAACTGGTATTTTGCAACAAAGTCGAACGCGCACTGCGAGAGTCGATCGTTGACCTGCGTCAGGACACTATCCTGCTCTTGTACCAAGAGATTTGTTGGGAGGTGCGGCAGCTCCCTTTCCTGCATTGCAACATAATCCGGTGGGGGTCTTGCTAGAAACTGATGCGGTCCGTCGAATTCATCTCTATTCGAAGGCCGCCTCTGGGGACGGCTCTTCCCACTGTTCTTGGATTTTCCTGCTGGCGCGGTGCTTCCGCCAGAATTATCCAAGGCATAATCCGATAGACTAGGAGATGCAATAATATCATCCACGGAATCCGTCGGCGAGTACCTGCCTGGGAGGTCCCAACCTTGTGAGCTCGTGCTATTATATGAGCCATACCCTACTCCAGAAGAAGTTCCATATGGCCCAGACTGCGCTCTCGAGATGTAAACTGGCGATGGAGAATATGCGGACTGGTGCCGTCCGACTGGACCACTGGTCCCCACAGCCGACACATTGGCCGATGAACCGTACGCTGGACCGGACCCGGACGAGTATATCACACTTCGGAAAAGCCAGTGTTATTATTCCATGGTCTACAAAAACGAAGGGTGCTTCTCATTCGCCCTTACCTTGAGCTTGAGTATCCGCCCTCACGCGCGTTACCTGGATATGAACTGTCATTGTAGATGACACTTGAGATAAAGTCAGCTTGACCGCAACAATAGAGACCGACAGCTTGGTTCAATGATCGCACCTGCGCGGGGAATTCCAGGTTCCGTTCGACATGGCGGAGGTTCGGTAGGCTATTTCCTGCTGGGCCATGTTCTTACAGGTCTTTGGAGAAATAGAAAAAAAGAATCGTGACCGACGGGACGGGGACGGGGAGAGGGTATCAGAAGAAATAAGAGGTGCGCTAGTTCCGGTAGTGGTTAAGTTTCCGGCGATGTGCATCTGGATTTCCAGAAGTGAGGGCCCAGGAAATATCCCTTTTTTTAAACACGGATTTCCAAAAGTCTGGGTCCCTGGGATCCACGGTCGACGTTCTCTGCAAGCGTAGACTGGCTCGGTTTAGGAGCGGTGAATCACGACTGCGCTGTTGACCGGGGAAAGTAAATGGAAGTCAAGTGGCTCGGCGGATTCGGTAGGAACCTCGGGAGGACAACATAAGCCTGACTGCGAGGATGCGAAGGCAATATCGCATGCCCCAGAATAGATGAAACCTTGAGGCAGTTGTGCAGTATCTTTCCTTTTCACCTTTTTCTCTTGAGAAGACAGATCGTGGAATCAATTGCCTTTTCTTTTCTTTTAAGCCTTGCGGTCCGAGACGAGGACACTTTATGCGATGATAATCTTAGTCCCAAATTTGCCACCGCGGACGGACCAGTACTGCGTATGTGATTATGGAATGACGAGCGGCGCCGAGTAAGGCACTTGGTAGACCAATATCAGGGGCTCGCCCCAGCTCTAATTCAAACTTTGGGACTGTAACGTAGTCCTAAGGCGGACAGTAAACGTCGCGAATTTAGTTAGAAATGGGGGGGGTATTGAGTGCCGTCTTGGGCGTCTACCACCGAATCGAGACTGGAACGGACGAGCTGCCAAGCTCAAACTAGTCAAGATCGTCCAACCAAGTAGTTTTGATAGAGGCGTAAAGCGATATACTATGCCGTAGTAAAGGGCAGCGCAGGAGAGCTACGGCATAGCTACCGCATATGTCCAGGAACACCCTGCCTATAGCGCATGTAAAGAACAAAGACTACTCCCTTCAGAGCCATGGCAACAATACATGGCACATTGCTCGCTAGAGGTACGGGATAGACCCCTTGATGTGATTGGTGGTTGCGGCCCAATCATCGTTAAGGCAGTTAGGGCACTTTAGGGCACCATTGGGCAGCTGAGAACCAAAAGAGGCTTTTTTCGCTTCCTCGCCTTTTCTCGTTCCTGCTTGCCCGTCTTGTTGCCCAAAGATTGCAGCCCTGGAGGGATTGGAAGGGGTCAAGAGTGTAAGTGATTGCAGGGAAAGTCCTGGAGGACGAATGGCGGTGACCCTCCAAGGCGGAGAAGCTGACTAGATTGGGCAGGAAAGCGTTGCACGAGGGCATTGCCCAACCTATGGCCTATGGCCTATGGTTTATGGTGCGTGGTGCGTGGTGCATAGTGCGTGGTGCGTGTGCGTTGCTGCCCGGAACATTCTGATCCAGTGTTCATCTATAGTTCGTCCCCAAGATGGAGAGATCCGGAGGTCGAGAAGGAAAGTATTCAAGCATCAAGACGAAAAAAAACAAGCGGCGTGGGTAGGAGTGTCGACGTGGGCAAGACGACATCGCAGTTTTAACATGTGAGCTGGCTTCTCGACCACTCACCACGTAGTCGGATCCCACATCTTCGGTACTATCATTGGGGACTTATGCGCCATTGCTAGCCATTGCTAGCCATTGCTAGCCACTGTGAATGCGCTATGAATAGTATACTTATCTGCTAGGTAGGTGGCTAGTAACTAAAGCAATTCCTACAAGCCTAGTACAAGGTCAAGGTCGATTAATTGATCAATTGAATCTCAGAACTGCCATGGCAGCTATGCGGCACATAGCTAGCGGTACATACTGCGTAGTAGATAAAAGTTGTGATTCTTGTGAATTTGCTTTTGAATCGAACGAGAATATTAAAAGAATGGCTCCATTCTTGTAAGCCCAACGCTTTGACCTCCTGTGGGGACTTTTTTTTACTTTTTTACTTTTCTGTGTCCATGACTCCACTGTAGTTTCCACTGTACCTACAGTAGGTACTAGGCAGTTTTCTATGTTGGTACTTGTGCAGTTACCCATTGTATGTGCTACTAGGTATGCTGAACATAGAGGTATGGATGTACCTGGGGGTACCTGGGGTAAGGCAGGTACAGTTTCTAGTAAGTTTCTAGGCTAATTATGGCAGATGCCTTTTTTAAATCGCTCTGGGGGCTGGTTGCGACCCGATTACCAAAACATCCCAGTCCACGCCGCGAAGCTAGAGAAAGCAACTTGAACCTCTACATACCTTACCTTACTACCTACCTACCTACCTACCTACCTACCTACCTACACTACCTACCTACACTACCTACCTTACTATGTGGCCCTGGAGGTATCACCTTGCCTGTATCATCCTGGGGTAGGACTACATACATACATGAGATCAGATCACACCTCTCCTTCTCCGACCAAGTAAGACCTATCTATGACTTGCATAATTCCTCACATACGATTTCTATCTGGTGAATAATTCCCCATACAAGTATAGCTTCATTACCCCAATTGCCACCCTACGTCGTATTCAACATGATTCCGTGGTGTAAACATGAACAGGTACACTGAAGGCAAACAATACCATTCCGGTTGTTTCCCCTACGTAGTATGGGAGACACCACAACAAGGCGACGTTTAACACCTGACATTGTAAGATGCCACCATCAACTTCAAACATCAACACTGAGCATCAATATCTCGATGCCGATTGGATCCTTCACGAACACTCAAAGACAATATTGTAACGTCAGCCCTACGAATAGATAGTCCATACAGATAATTGTCATTTGCCGAGCTTATATCTTGAGAAATCAACTTCATACGCCGGCGGAAATTACGGGCTCATCCTAATGTCCTTATCTGTTGCCTCTTCATGCGCGGTGATATCTACATATGTCAGTTTAAGACGAACTATCTCTCAAACGACGGTGAGTGAGTGATATTTTGGCAATCCTTGGCCAAGGTATACGCACACCTCACAAGGAGTGTATCCGCTTACCACGCATACATATCCACCGATACAATCGATCATTGCAACCCCTTTTCTCCGAGTGGGACTTGACCTATTCTTGGAAGCAACTCAAGGCCTGGCTGGTGGAGGTATCCGCGATGGGGCAGGCAAAACATGTGTAGTACTTTTCCCGAGCTCCTATCAAAGATATCCTGACACCTATAAACACTGGATATCACGGACAATACATGGTGGTCGTTGCCATGTCAAGTGGGTACTCGTCTCTGCGAACCGTCGGTCCGGCATACCTGTCTCGGTCGCCCGGATCGATCAAGTTAGCAGCCTAAATCAGAATTCATCTCGTACCTAGGCAGGCCATGTTTACCTAGGTAGATACTCGGAGACACTGGGCTGCTTCCCCAGGCCCGGTATGCCCCGTCGACTGTCTCGCTGTGGATACTTACCTGCCTGCCCAGGTACTATTACTAACATATTGCGGAGCCTCAGTACTGAGGAAGAAGCCCAGAAGTACGACTAGTCGTGCCAAGGAGGTTTCTGGTGTAGAAGCTCCTGCTGTTGATAGGGAGTCGCCAGTATCTTGATTGGAATGATGTACTCTCTTATGAGAAGGCGTTCTCGAAGTGTTGGGTATGAGTATCCAACCACATACCTACTCCCCTCCTATCCCCTTAGGTACCAAGATGGTAGAAACTTAGATTGACCGCAGCCACGGGCCAATACTTACCTCTTAGATAGCCGTAAACGACTTGAGTTCCTGCCCACTCTACCCGCCCACTCCAAATATATATCTTTGGCGCTGGCAACTCCCTCCAAATCCCTTAAAAGGCTCGGCATAGACATAGACAACACGCCAGCGATGAAACTTCTTCCAGAGGTGTTGGAAACCCACGTCGAATCCTGTTTAAGAGGGGCCGCCCGAGTTCCCCTAATACTCAATGGCGTTGGGGTCACCATTATGTTCGTTGGCATTCGTATTTACGTGAAAGCTATGTTGAATACTTTCAAGTACGAAGATTGTAAATGCGTGTTATGGCCACATGGAATTCCTAATTTCGAGCTAACTATCTTCGAGGGTTCTGGTATTCTCAACTCGTGACTGAAAAGGTGTCTATCTTATGTCTTCCAACTTCATAGACAATGTTGTCCTTACTTTCCATCCGTTTTCTTCGAGGCCAGAAATTCTAGCACTAAGAAGCTGTCGATCTCAGCACATCAACCGTTCCTCACTTGAGCAAGCAGTTCCGACGCGAACGACGACGAGCGATGTAATATCACGCTGGCCAATTGCTCCAAAAGAAACCCTCTACTCAGGCATGCCGATATATTCTACGCAGATGCGAGTTGGTATTTACGGTTACGGAGAATGTTAGATTCAGGTACAGCATGAGAGCATCGCCGAAATCATATATTGCGTTCCGATATCCCCCCATCGAATCCGATCCCCCTCTCTAAATCGGGTCGATCTTTCTTCAAAATAATCGCAAAATGCACAAGTACCTTCGGTCGAGCCATCATGATCCCGATTTAGGCCCCGCCTCCAGCTTCTGTCTGTTGCTCTCAGCCTGGCCTTGCCTTACATTAATTTTTTCTTGGGCGCTCCTTCGGAGTAAGTCTAGCTCCTGTACGTTGAGGGTCACTGCATATATATAAAGGGCTGAATTATCGCGGGTGTTGCGTTTAGTGCCTCATCCGATCTCTCTATTCTGCATATACCCGTCTTCGGATATGGATCCATTCGACTTATATCACTTGCAACAATCTAGATGGAGAGTAAGACTAACTCCGATTCTAGTGTCACGGCTTCTGTCGTCTCTCGGGTCTATTATATTACAACGTTACCACCTACCTAGGTTGGTATATACCTACTAAATACCACATTTGGGGACTCATACTTCTGGGTAACTGGATGATCTAGTTGTCTGGTGCCCATCCTACGAGATACCATCCCGTAGATCGAAGAAGCCGCCAAGATATCCCATACGCCTCATGCTGACTGACCAGCCCTTGGAGAGTGGCGCAAGACGAGGCAACAGAGGTGAAGCCTACGGCCAACACCCCTGGGCACAAAAAACGACTCTTTTCCTTTTACATAGATGTCTATCTGGGTACCCCTATATCTCTCGACCATTTCAGGGATAGATATAATATCCAGTAGATGACAGAGATGGGGAAGGAAGGAACGATGACCTTCGATTCGCGAAATCTGACATGATCATGGCTCCGGCAGCTGAAAGATAGCCTAAACTGTAGGAATCGTAGGGCGACGTGGGAAGAAGCCGATAGCACGGACGTTCCCAAGCGAATACACCACCTCTATTCGTGATCCATGTAATAGATCCAGATCCAGAATGCTGATAATCAGCACGAATACCTACGAAACCAAGTAGATCTGATATTAACTGCCTAGTCTAAACGATATGACTTAAGCATAACTAGGTAGGCATGTAAACCTTGAAGGCATAAGCATTGCTGCTCGCACTGCCGACACCAGTAGTTGCGTAAGCCCTACATACAACAGGGATGGATTGTTGTCAGAAATAAGAGCCATTTGGCATTGTGGCTAAGATGTGTGTGTGCGTGTGTCCCGGCGCGCCCTTTCTCTGTCAGATTTATCTGGATGCCTATGTAATACCAGCTATACTATTACTAACCTAGTATTGGTGGTGAGCAGCGCCAATGCTAGGTTAGTAATATGTAGAATATGACTGCCTGCTCCTTCATGTCACTTTGGAACGTGTGAAGTCTGGAAGTCCTAGGTACAGAAGGTCTATGTGTACTTCCTTAGATAGAAGAACTCTTTGGATGAAGACGTATTGGCAAGGAATTGACTTGCTTTTCCCATTCTAAAAAAAAGGAAGCAAAAAAAAAAAACCTCCCCGTCCTCCCGGCTGATGGACATCATTTACTAATCAATGGATAATATACCTACAGTACATATACATATGCACCTACCTAGAAAACCTGCAGAAAGAAGCCTTCTCGAACGACATTGACGTTTTCAACTTTCGTTCACATGGCACCAATGTAACCTGTAATACGACACAACGCATACATAACTAATCCAAACGTTCTAACTAGGCGGAGCAAAGCACCGACCACGAGCGGGAACTAAAAGAAAAAAAGGGTACTAAGCCTGGTAGGGCGTTAGTTAGTGTTTATTAAGCTTATCGAAGGCTATCGAATCTCATCAATCTTCCAAATCGTAAGCGTTTTTTGAGTGGGGGATCGAAACCCAAATGCGTGAGGTGATGAGTGGGGAATATCTCCCCCCAAGCCCTTTTAAGATGGGGACTCTCACAACTCAACTGTGCCAAATTAAAATCAATCGTCATCCCAAAAAAAGAAAAAAAAAATGAAAGGTGCCAGGGCCCAGGGGGTAGGGGGATGGGGATGTACTATGTACAGTATCTGCTCGCTCGCTCGCTATCGGGATGATGGGAATTCGTCTGCCTGAACGAGGTTCTTCAAATCATATTACAATGTGATAGCTAGCTAACCTACATAGAAAGATAATAGATAGATAGATAGATGAAGGGGGGGGTTTGACGACTCGTATGTTTCGTTTCCCTTCTTTTTTTTCTCGTGATAGTCAAGTTTACTGCTCATTAATTGTTGAAATTCGAAAATCGAAAATATCACATACATATAATATATCCTATCTCACTGGCCATGCAACAACAACAACAACAACATCCCCCCGCGGATAATAATACAACAATAATGGCCGAAACAGTTATCCCGATGGTCCAAAGTCAGCGTCAACGCAAATTCCACCGCAGGTCGCGAAACGGCTGTTCCACATGCAAGACTAAGCATATTCGGTGTGACGAAAGAAAACCACTCTGGTACGTTTCCGAGGGAATGCAACTACCGGCCCGCGTCTTTTATGTATTTATGATCTATACGGTATCATACATAGTTACATGTATGCTCTACCTTTGCGAATCATGCAGAGGAAGATTTAGTGTCTAAAACGCCAGCCAACAATTGCTGTCCATTTGCGCCTCTTGTCCCATGCAAATATGATCGCTTTCTTTTGCCATGAGATCAGTTCAACAAAACCCGAGACTAATTGTATCATAATAGCACATACTGTCTTCGTCATGGCGGAGAGTGTGGCTACCCGGATGAAGAGAATGCCGCGGAGGCTAGGCATAGGCTCAAATCTCGAATGGGGTCTGGGGAGCCTCACGAATCTACCGAACCCTGCCAGCGCTTGGTTGGCACTAGCCTGAATGACCAATTCCTTGGAACTTCGTACGACGTACCCTACAGATCACGATCGCTCTTCCAACTCTGTAAGTAATTACCTACTCCTTGATTTCTGTTAGGCAGTAAGATCCAGGGAGTGGTAATTGACTGGTGGATCATCATCAAGTCACAAATACGAGAGTGTTATATACAACTCGCGTTAAAAGGAACTCCAATTCGTTCATGTAAGTGGGATCGACCATAGATTGTGGCAATAAGGGGGCCTCGATCGTTACAAGAGCTCATAGCCTGACCTACCTATTTACATTTAGCGTGCACAAAGCCTTGTCGCATCCGGGGTTCCTCCATGCGGCGCTGCTAATGACAGCCCTGCACTGGGCGTGGTCGACTGGCGATGTCGAGCATTCTCGAGTCCCCTACCTCTATCACAAGCTGCAAGCAATACGATTCGTCACGGATCAGTTAATCAACCCGGACGCAGCTATCCACGATGGCACCATCGCAGCTGTATCAAGCCTCGCTTTGGTTGAAGTATGTCTCGCTCGTCTTTGACTGGGGAATGACTACCGCATAGACCTGCTAACGACCACCAGAATGCCTTGGGATCTGTAGATGCTGTGTCATCTCATTTACGCGGTCTAGCGAAAATCAAGGAATTGCAGGACAAGGAGAGACGTCCTAAGAAGATGGGGCTACTTCAGCGTATGATTTTGATGTGCGTTGCATCCCTGCTAGAGGTGCCCCTGGCATTAATGAGGCTAACTTCTTGACGTAGGGCAGCAAGAAGCGTATCTAGTCGTCCCGTTTGGGACATCTTGGATATTAGTCGGACAGACTTTGTACACCAGTCCATGATCATATCGCTGCTTCGAGTTGCACTTCGGCCAATTTACAGCCTGTACATACTAGGAGGTTCCTATGATTCCGGGGAACTGCTTTCCGAAGTCTTAGCAAAAAAGGCACCCCAGGCAAGAGATAGCAACGCCCTGGCGCCGCCGAGATCGTTGGATTGTAGCAGGTCGGGTTTTATGGCCTGCTACTTTTACCTCTACATAATCATGCGCGAAGGCACAGTCGATTCATTTATTCTCAATTGGTTCATTGAGCAATTGCTAACAGATGTCTGCCGGACCGAGACACCCATGCAAAAGGGGCAATACAGTCAGTCGCTTTGGTTTTGGTCCGCCATGTTTGGCGCGTGCGCCACGATGGCCGCCAAGACCACCGACGACCTGGAGAGGAACCAAATGAACGTAGTGCGAGATATATACCTAGATAAGATTAACCTCGGAAGTCAGGTGCTGAGGATAAAGAATTGGGAAACTGCCAAGTCAATACTGAGGCTATTCGCCTGGGAGGACGACTTCGACGGAGAGTTGGAGATGAAGGCTGTTTGGGAAGAAGCTGTGTGGGAAGATGACAGAAGACGCTTCAGACGGCGAAGTCCAGAGAATACCGAATATCAGGACACTTGGTGTTGCTGGTAAGCAGTGAACACGACCGACTTGTATAATTGCATACCTACATCTTTTGGCACCCTAGTTGGCCATGAGTACTGTAAAGAGTAGTCGTCCTTGAATTGGATATATGCTGATATCCACCAAACCTGAGAGCCAAATTCGATGTCATCGCTGTCTATAATCAAACTATACCGAGGTATGATTGAAGCCGTCACGGTCGCAGCGGTTAGAAGGCGAGGGCTGGCTACGCTGTCCACTGAGACAGGATGAGCTGTGCCGTGCTACGTTCTACACAGCCATTGTTGAATGACACCATTTCCGACCGCTTCTGCCGCTGATTATCATCATTATCATCTGCTGTGGGTGGGAATAAGAGATCCCGAAAGTCCGTCATAAGTACAATTGATTGCCGTATTGCCTGATTATCTGGTTGTTTGGTTGCCTGGTTGCCTTGCTGGCTGAGTACCTAGGTATCTGCCTCCATGAATATGTAGCTAGGGAGAAGCATCACATCTTTGATCAGGCGATGCGGACAGCCATTTGTCAGTACAGAGGCGGCCAGCGACCAGCGAAGCAGACAGCAGGCCAGACAGCAGACCAATTATTGAGGGATTGGCTTGAGGGGAAATCAATTGTCAAACATGACAAGTCAGGAACAGCACTTTTGGCGCGACTTTGGCGCCAATTATTGATTTTCCCCCTCACTTTTGAATTCTCTTTCTCTGTCCCTCACCGATCATGGACCATCGTTGGCCTACAACATCAATTTTAAGGGGCTCAATTTTCACCGACCAGCAAGATCAAAGGTCTAGAAAATTAAATGAAAATTTTTCAATCGAAACAGCTGCCGAAGTTGCCGTACTAGAACGAGGGTTTTAAGAAAAATGGAAGGAAATGGCACTTCTTCGCGCGGCTCGCGCACAGGCTCACAGTTTAGAGCGGTTCTGTGATGAGTTGGCCACTTACATAGCCGTCGACCCCTCGTTAGAGTCGTCACTGTGCATAAGCCAGAGTCAATAGGCTGTCGACAACTCTCAGGGTGCCCACATGGATACGGACCGAGCCCTAGGAGCCTATTGCGAGTGCAGAACATAAAGAGCCAGCACAGTTTTTGGTGGATAAGAAGGATAGAGGAGGGTAGGAGTAGGTAGGAGAGGGGAAATTATTTGTTGGCGGTGATGGCATCAATCGTCCAGTAACAAGGCAAGAACAGGCCAAGACCCATGGGTCGACCATGTGCTAACCCAGCACTAGTTGTTCCAGCTTGTGCTTAGGTCCAATCAATCTCATATTTATGGGTCATATTACATAGCGGGGTTGATATCATGCTGCAAATGCTGCAAAACCTTGGAATCTTCCCTGCTGCTGGCCCTGCTCTTACCCTGCTCTTACCCTGCTCTTACCCTGCTCTTACCCTGCACCTGCTTCCTTCTAACACCCAACTTGGTAGGACAAGACGACCAACTGCATCAGCGAAGCACGACACCCTGGCCCATCGTGTCATCCTTTTTCCATCAGTTTTTTCATTTTTCTACCATGTGTGTTGGCCAACCCCGTCCCTTCTTGACGCCTATGGCACACAATAAAACCCGAATGTCCCCTCTCTCTGCCCAACATCCATTCTTCACTCCTATTTTCCAGCCCAAAGACCCTGACATTTCTGCCCAACCGAGACCCATCCTCGACTCTCTCAAACCATCCGAACGGCTTATTTTTATATTACTATACCCAAGACATTTTCCACTGCTCCGCAGCTTTCACTCTCCCCACTGAGGATTCTCGTCAAATAAACCCATCAGGCCGTATTTTGATCTTGCCGGTTGTTTATCATCCAAGGATCGCCCTCTGTACAACATTCTTGTCGACAGAAGAGACTGTACAATTACGCAGTTGAGTTGAGAACCAGTCTCGCTTCTGCTCCGCAAGGATTTCAACCCGCCTTTTCCAGTGTTTGCCACAGGATTCAAAGGGATCATCCGGAGAGCCAGTTACACGCTCCGTTCCACAAGGAAATCAAATGACAGCCATGGTTGCTCCCCGCCCGGACAACATGTCTGGCTTCAACTCATCTCTAGATATGGACGATGTCCACACTCCTGCGAGGTATATTGCATTGTTTTTTTCATTTTTATTTCCTATTACCGGAGTCTGGGGGTGTTGATTTTGGTGTGGTTTAAAATCATGTTGCGCTTAAGTCATGTAATGCATTTTTTGGTGTTCTTTTTCTTTTTCTGTTCGATTCTACTGCAAGTGCTTCGCTTTTTGTGATCCGTCTGGATATAACGTGCTCGAGGAAATTCCGTTACCGGGAAAGGATTTAGGACAGGACAGGACTCCCGGACAGGATAATCCGGAAACAGGACCTTCAAGGAAATGGAACCAGATGGACACCAGGTCAAACTTCTCTCAGGACTCCCAACCGCGGAATTTTTTTTCTGAGGCTTCACAACGTCTCCGTTGTGTAGCGGCACGGGTTTTTACGGCCTGTGCTCGACCACCGCCACGTCGCTCGGATGGACTACACAATCATTAGAGATCAGATATCTCCAAAATCAATCATCCATACAGTAAGTATCGCCCGCGAAGACAGTGACAACAGCGACACCCAGGATGAACTTCCAGGATTCCAGTGATATTTCGTATTGCATTTTTCAGACGAGGAGAACCCTTTCCCTTGGACCCGTGTTGAAATTGATCATCGACTTTTTACGGATTTGCCCTAGCCAGGATTTCATATCGCGGATCTATGGATTTTCTTGTTATGTACTACGCCCCAGGACTGCAGCGACATTCACGGCCACCCCACAAGTAGTGATTCCCTCGTTTCTGCTGTTTTGCTTCGCATATTCAGTAGTGGTTAGGGCGACACTATGACTGGTTTTCTTTACCTAGGATTCTGACTGTTTGCATCCGCACGTGATATACGACAAACTCGACTGGTTGAACATCAACATTTTTCTTACTGGACCCCCTTCAACAACAAGACTATAGATGCCTATACCCTTTTCCCCTGGTTCTCCGAGGTACATTTTCTAGCCCGTGTCCCTCAGGAACTGTCATGGCAATCCCGGGTTCGCGCGTCTTGTTGCGTTCTCGACTGCAGTACGTATGCCATTTGTGCTGACTCGATCGGCTCGATACCTGAGTGCCCGCGTGTTCGTCGACTAACATACCAACTTTTTGTGCTATGATAGGCACCTCGATCTGGAGCATCCTGGTTTCTGTTTAGCCGGATTTTATTTCTTTTTTTTTGTCTTATTTTTTGCTTGCTTTTTTTCTTGCATCTTATCTATGGCCGACCCAATCATTCTGCAATCTGGATCATCCGATTTATGGGATTATGTGCTCAATGGTGTCTTCTCTGGATCTTTCGTCATTGAACTTTCTAGTTCAAATAACACTTCAGTCTGGTTTGTATATGATGCCCCTCCCGTATAGCATCGCCGTGCCTTGAGACTAACCAACGTTGTGAAAACAGATACAAAGTTGTGCCATGCTGAAGTCATTTCATCTTATACTTGATTTTGGCGCATCTTGGTGATTTTATTGCCGGACAGTGGAAAACAGAACACTAACCTCAACCCCAGTGACTACAGCTCTTATTCCCAAGGAAACATGCTTGCCAATTCCAGCGGTTCTTTTCTTTACTCTCAAACGGGACATGCAGACCTCCATGGTTCAGTGTGGGACACAACAGCAGAAGGAACACAGAACTTCAATGGTGATGAGGATTTCCATTTTTCATATGGCCAAGTTACTCCCAGAGGACAGGACCAAAATGAGGCCGTTGATGACATGACCAGCAAGTGGATTGCTGCAGAGCAGGCCCACGCTTCCGCCGCAGAGCCCATGCGACGGATCAGCTCGAGAGGCTCTTCTGGAAGCCACAAGAACAGAACTATCAAAGCCTCTGCACACAAGAGCCGACCGAGGTTGCTCTCAACTGTGTCTCAAGGCTCTTCTTCGCACATGTCCAATTTTGACATTACAGGTAATCCACAAATGGATGCATATCTCCTCCAGGACTCAGATGCCCATTCAGTCTCCTCTCAAATGTTTTACCCTACCCTACCCATGAGCGTAGGCTTGACCGCGGATGGATTGCCTTATTCTCCTGCCGGTTTTACGTCTGGCATGACGCAGCAACATATCGATCCTACCCAAATGCAATTGAACTTCGATGCCAACATCACCGGAAACTCACCTGCTGCTACCACATGGAGCTCTCTGAGCCCCGTCGAATCACGACTTTCTACCCCCGGACTCCCTGAGGATGCGTGGTCTGTTCCTATGGACGCATCTCCCACACGGACAAATGATTCCTCGCCAATTATGGATGGCATTTCGCCAAGGTATGTTCAATTAAATGCTATGATATTCGGACACACTCTGACGTAGAGAACGTCATCAGCCTCGATCGCCAGATGGGTTTGATGACCACAGAGGATCCCAATGGAGTTGTTTTGGCAGATGACATGTTTGCTTTACCTCCTTCCTTTACTCGCCGCTCCAGCGGCGATGGTGAGTCTTCTGCTCGGGATCATCCTTTGTACAAGACCGCCATCCCCCATGCCGATGGATTATTCCACTGCCCGTGGGAGGGCCAATCCAGCTGCAACCACAAGCCCGAGAAGCTGAAGTGCAACTACGAGTAAGTTCCAACGCTCCAAATCAAATCACGTTTACTTATCTAATCGACGGAGTAGCAAATTCGTCGACTCGCACCTGAAGCCATACCGGTGCAAGATCGATTCGTGCGAGAATGCCCGTTTCTCCTCGACTGCCTGCCTCCTCCGACATGAGCGAGAAGCTCATGCTATGCATGGTCATGGCGACAAGCCTTATCTCTGCACATATGAAGGATGTGATCGTGCTGTTCTCGGAAACGGATTTCCACGCCAGTGGAACTTGAAAGACCACATGAGGCGTGTTCACAATGACAATGGCAATTCGCTAAACGCCGTCAGTGGATCTCCCCCATCCGGACAGGGATCTGCCGCACAATCGGCCAAGGGCCGAAAGCGCAAGAACAAGGACTCGGTAGACAGCGCTCCCAGCCGCAAGCATGCTTCCAGATATGCCCAGGCAGAGGCCGCTAACCGAGCTGCTGAGCAGCCGATGGTGGATGAATGGCACCAGCACCACAAGGCCCTCCAAACCTACCTACAGGAGTACAGCGTCCCTGATGCGTTTGACTACCTGCAGCACATCACTGAGGCCAGGGACCACCTGGCGGCCATGGGGAAAATCTCCCAGAAGCTTCTTCATTCAAACAAAGCATTGGGCTCTCAGGATTCTTATAGACGATCCCACGGACACCACTCTCGCTAAATGAAAAATGGTATGTCCTAAGAGAATATTCCCGTCATCTATTACTCCAGCTAACTTGGATGATTTCAGCATAGAGCGGGACATGTGGCCCAAGGATGATATTTACGAACCAAGGAAAGTGCAAGTGCACATTATATTCCACTTTTATTCCACCCCCATCGGTCAGGAGACCGTGACGGAGCCTGGCCAGGCTCCGTGAGGACTATGTAGAGAATCAGCATGCTCCGAGCCGAGCCAGGCATTGGACCCAGGGATACCCGGCGCTACGTCTCGTTGATTGTAGATTTTCCCGGATTGAAACCTGAAACCAACCAAGGACATGCCAAAGGGGACGAGGGGGAGATTATATCCAGGATTTATACGCCTGAGAGGAAGAGGATATGCCATAGAGGAAGGGCATGACGACCATTGTGGTCGTATAGATGTGGAAAGTCAGAGTCTCAATAGACCAGGAGGGGGATAATTCTTGACTTATGATGACAAGATTTATAGAAGAGAGGGGGGGTTGGTGATGATGATCTGATTAACATAGACACTTGCTATTTTATTTGTTTTGGATATCCATGGAATCTACTAGGTATTTAGACTACCTACGTAGTTAGCTTACATTAGCTACATTTTAGAATTTTGAAAATCAGAATATACCAGATGCATTCAAGACTTTGATACGCCTTTTGTGATTTGGTGTTAGAAGCTAGGAGGGGAAGGTGGACGTACTGTAAGATCTTGGGTCCCAAGATGTCGGTAAAAGGTTTCGATTGACAGATCAAGCGCATCATCCTTTACATTCCACGAAGGGTTCCAGGGGTTCGCGTCTCGGCAAGTCATACATGCCGAACCTCATGGATGCTGCAGCTTCTGGAAAGTCCTGGCTCATTAATGGGTCTCGTGGTACCAGGGGGACGGGACACACTACCTAGACACACACAAAGGTGATGGATGATGCATGAGTGGGTTTGGTTTGGTTTGGTTTGGATCGGTTCCTGCATTGCTCCCTCCCACGTGTGGTTAATTTGCTGCGGCCCGCTTTCGTTGACGAATTGGTGCGGGAGCCTTTTTTTTTTTTTTTTTTTTTTTTTCGAGGTTAAAGGAGATTTGGTTCCCTGGATGTGGAGAGGATGTGTATTGTTGTATCAGGTTAGGTAGGTACCTACAGTAGGTATGTTGTAAGGTTAAGTAACTCATCGACAATGAAGGCCTTTGGCGTAAGTAGCTAACCTACCTACATGGAGATGAGCAACCCGTTTAGGTTAAATGGTTACCTACCTAGGTAGTAGGTAAGAGGTAGCGAGGAGGATGTGGGAAATAAACCTCTAGATATGTAGTTATGGCATACCCACCACCATCTTAGCTGTTACACGGCAGATGTTCTCACAAGACTCACCTCACACGGCTAGGTACCTACTAGAAACCATCCCCCCCCCCCCACCACGACCCCCTGACACTCGGCCCGTTCCAGCTGCTTACATAGGTAGGTTAGAATGTTGTTGTTGGAGCCGTATGTATGTATGTACGACAGACTCACAAAACCCCTAACTAGGTACCTTACCTAGGCATCCAAGTTCCGGAGGCACGGGAGGGTCGCGATGATGGGCCGGTGAACTCAGATGAAATCGATCCTTTTTACCTGAACGTCAAATTTGATAATGTGTACCTATGTAGGCTAGGTAGGTACTAAGCAAGGCAAGCCCGTCTGAGAATTAAAAAATCCTGAACGTGGGGTTGGTGTTGGTGATGGTGTTGGTTTGAGGTTAAGTTCTTCTTTTTCGACCATTCCACCCCTGACTCCAACGATATGTATGTACTATGCCGTAGGTGCTACTTAGACCCAGGACATTGATGGTAGGCATGGAAGAGCAGACGTGGGGGTTCGGGAAGTACGTTTACTACCTAGGTATCTGGGTAGGTAGGTAGGTAGGTAAGGTGTATTAAAGTGTAAATGGCGCCGGCACGACCGACAATTACCTAACTTCGTTGCATCAAACGGTTGATTTAGCATCAGGAAATCAACCAAGATTGTTCTCATTGAATGATGCATGCCCAGGTGGGTGGATAGTGAAGTCAGCGACGCGCCGTAGGTATACATATCGAGGTGTAGACTTACCTAACCTAGGTATCTACCTACCTAGTAGCTTACCCGTACCTAGGTTATCTTCTCTTCTCATGTTTCGGATGCGGGAGTTGGAGAACTTTCGGAGGTAGGAAGGAAGGAAGGTGAGAATCTTGACTCTCATCGGAAAAAGCTCTTGAAACTCGGGCTGGAGCTGGAGCTGGAGCTGGAGCTCGCACACACACACACACACACACACATACATACATACATACACATATGCCTAGATACGCATGTATATCATCTACCTAACCTACCTGATACTTATCCCCGATGCACCTTTTCATACGAACCTACCTTGCCGATGTATGTATCTACATGTAGGCAGGTACTCATCGTTACCTCTTTTACGCCTTTACGCCACTATAGTGTTACATACCTACCTACCTACCTACCTACCTACCTACCTACCTACCTACCTGCCTGCCCTACCTCAGTATGCCGAAAGACAAAAGTGCTTGCTTACCCAGCCAAACCCGAGAGCTTCATCCCAGCCAGAAACAGTTGACACCGGCAGTCAAAAGGACATACACCTACCCGGAGCACACTTGAGTACCCATATCCCGTTCCGCTCCGTTTCATGTGGTAGAAAACCGAATCCTTCCAACCTACCCTAGGTAGTAATGTATGTATGTATGCACATAAGTAGAGCGGGGGGAGGAGAAAAAAAAGACGTTGTTTAACGTGAGCTTAGGTTGTTCGAACGTAACCATCCCTCTGCGTATGTACCATTCCCCTGTGTTATATGGATATGTTCCGATTACTACGCCAAAAGAGAATCCAAAATCATGCAGGTACGTCACAGGCGTACGAATGTGGGTGCAATGGTGCATATGCACATAATATAGGTACGATATAAACTACGCCTTTAGGTAGTACCAAACGGAAATAAACAGGGTACAGTTATGTAGGTAGGTAGGTAGACTATTATTAGCATTTTGATTGCCATTGCATTTATTGCCATAGTTGCATATAGTAAGTAGATCAACGTGCGCCGACGACGATCGAAGCGTGCTTATTGCCTGGTAGCTATCTAGGTATCTAGGTAAGTGCTTCTGTAGATCGAATCTCCCCCATCTCCTTTCCTCCATATCTAGTATCCATTAGAATGGACAGCCGTGACGGTCTGCCAGGAGAAGTGATTGCGAATTAACACCCTCTTGCATGAAGACAAATCCGGAACCTAGAATCCTTCTTATCACACCCCTTTATTCCCATGATTCCCAACACCCAATGGCTAAAGGCGCAAAGGGAATGAAAAGAACGGCCTGCGCTGATCCAAAAATGGCCTCAAGCCTGCCGTAAACCTCTATAAACGAAAGTGGGTATCTCTGTAGTAGCCGCCTGTCTATGCAGCCGATTAAGTATAATATGTCCCAGGGCTCGCACCTATAACCTATCCCAATCTCTAGCTTCCAAAAAAAAAAAAAAAAAAAAAAAAAAAAAAAAGCTACCCTGAAGCCCATCTAACGAATGACGATGGTTTATGGCCTGCCTGCGGGTAGCAAGTAACTCATACTCGATACTTATTAGGTTAGTCCCTGGGTAGGTAATTAGAAAGCCTCCTATAAAACAATGCCTACCAGGACACCGCTATGCACTACATTAACGAGGTATTACACCGACCAGGGCGAGTTGAAATGCGTATAGAAATGTGCTGCTTTCGTGAGGTTATGCTAGCCGGGCTCCAGTTGGTATCTGATACGTTGGCCTCGGAGCTTCGTCACCTCGATACATGATAATGATCGTCGTTCGGTCTTGTGTCTGCGGACTGTGTAGAACTAGATCTCTTTGCTTGTTACTAAGACCCATGCTAAGCTGCTGCCCCGGTATCTTTGGTGAACGGGGGTGGGGGTTAAAGTGGCCAGGGGAAATTATTCGCATCTCAAGACCGACGTGGCTGTTGACTGTATCTATAATAGGGGGCAACGGTTTATTAAGATTGGCCGGATAATGTGTGGGAGAAGGCCTTGTCGGATGCCGTGGTAGGGAAGTCGATGATGAGTGGTCAATAAAGGTTGTGAAAGCCGGTGAAATTGTCAATGGTTTTCTATCCCAAGGGGAATCCATCGAATCCCGTCGTCTGAAGATAGACTCGAAAGTATTTGGGAGGAAGCTGGAAAAGAACGGCTTCGTTGCCGGAACAGAAGCGCATATCTTGCTACTAAGTCAGCAAGAACCCATGGATAAAGCCTGTAGCTAGGTGGATTCACATACTATACCAAGGTTAAGTTCAATGGTGCTACTAAACCAAACCTCCCAATAAACCCACATGTAATCATCAGCAACAGTCAGCTTCCAAGAATAGTAGCTTCTCACGGCCCCTGCAATACTGGCGGTGATGCCGATACCAAAGAGAAAAATAATGACCTTCACATGCCTGGGAGCCAGATTCAAACTGAGCGCTGTCTTTATGGGTAGTAGTACAACAAGCCAGTCAGTAGCAGTATTGATTATACTGACCGCCATCAGATGGGCTCCTTGGTTGATACAGTTCTGAGATTTGTGTGGACCTTTCCAATAATCTGATAGAGGTCTACTTGCTTATCAGCCTTGCTCTTTAGTCTTGCTCACTGGTGCTTCCCATGTTCTTACTAACGTACCTGCATTGGGTTACGCTAACTATGATGAATATAACATAGATGACGCAGATAAATGCTATCGATATCATCACAGCATTGGTCATCTTCCGGTCTCGTGAAGCTGTCGTGAATCGATATACAAGTGTGAGTATTGATAACTTAGTCAAACTAGTTGCTATATCAAACAGCATCTGGTTGGCAAATCTGGCACATTATAAGCGTGAAGTTTGGTTAGAGTGGTGGGAGGACCCTACACCAATTGGTGCCCTTGGACGAAGACCTTGTCTTCCACGTCCAAGTTGCGGCGGTTCCACTGAAAGTAGCTTTCCCCAATGATACCAACGATCGTGAATGCGGTGGCAGGGAACTATGAAGAGTTAGTGGATACGACATAATAAGTAAAAGGTAGAGCTTGACATGCGTATGCGAGTAATATGAATATGTCGTCGAGCCCGAACCCCCGCGTCAGCCATTTTCGTGCATACAAACGGATGGCTAAAGTTATCGTGACCAAAACAGAGAGCAGTGAGCCAACAATCATCCCAGTATGACCTCTAGTTCTCGGGTGAGGAAAGTTAGGTATTGGCTGGCCATCGTGGGTTGGATAACTTAGATGCATTCTGCGTTCGATGGATGCGGTTTGAGTTGAAGTCGCTCAGCGTCTTGGAAGATATAGTTGACTTGATTTCTAACAGTAACGTAAGCGAGGGCTGCCGTATTCTTGATCAAGCCAAGCTTAGGCCACATTCAAGTTAACTGATGTCGACTCTAGATTGGGATTTGTTTATGATATCGAAGTCATCGATGTGATGGACCCAAGCATAATGCACAGCATTCTGCGAGGATGTGTCTTTCAACCAAGCCCTTCTACCAAGGAGTATTGAGTAGGGGTGAGTTGGGCTTTTCTCCAGATACCCACGGCAAGACAAGATGTTGAAGTACAACTGTAGGCAGACTCACTGAGGATAGGCATGGATTATCGCCATCGAGTTTTGGTTTCATCGTACACCTGAGTATGAACTTGTCGGTCACGATAGCCGGGGTTGCAGGCATACCCCGGACAGATTCGCAGACAGATTCACAGACTCGGAAACAGCTCGACGCAGCCATGAGTGCTGCTACGTTTCTCGTATTGTTGGTAGCCCTATTGCCCCCGCCCCCACCATCAAGGGGCGGCGAGAAGTGCCATCTGGGGAAGGGGGCACATCCTAGCATGGTAAGCTGCATGCAACTAAGCAGAGAGGTGCTGCAAGTCACCTGCATCCTGCATAGGAACTCATGTGAGTTGAGGGCGGGTGAAGAGGGCGGCGCTTATCAACTCGTCTAGATGCGAGTAGCCGCGGGCATTACTGTGACGAATATCTCTAGCGACTGACCACTACTGTAAGTAACATATTATAACACCTCCATATTCGCATCATAGTGTTAACATCTAATGTCAGCCATGGAGCTCTTGAGGTGCTAAACGGTCGCAGGATAGACATATTGGTGGAATGAGAAATGAAGAACCCGTCTATCAATGACCGAAGGAAGTCGTATATACTGACTGGAGAGCCAAAATATCAACCGTACCCGAAAATAATCGTCTTCGGCAAGACCGCGCATATGGACCATTGGTCGCACAACAGGAGGCGCTGGAGATTTTGGCCCCATAAAGATATCTGCTTCCTCGCGGGCCAGCCATGGCTAGTCCGTAAGCGATCCTTGGCGATTGGGAATTCCTATAATGGTCATACTTAGGTAAAATTTACCTGCTAAAGGGACACCTACATGCTCGTCAATTGAAGAGATAACGTCCGGAGACATCCAAAGGACAGGCAGAGAGCAGAGCTCTGGCATTCAGATAAGACTAGCTCAGGGTGAAGTTTGCAGCCCGGGCACTTTCATACATGGCTGTGGTTGAGTTTCCTAGGAGTGGTGATATCAAATTAACCCCTATAAGTCTATGTTTCGGCTAAATTGGCCAGTCGTGCGAATTCGTAAGCTCCCTCTTTGCTACTTTGGGCAGATAATCATATGGCGATAGGCTTCCTAGGGCCACAGGCCTTTTGATGAATGGCCATTCTGGTAGATCGAACTGATTGTTTCTGATGATTTGGGAAGTACGAATCGGCACAGGACGCCACCAGTCTTTAGCAGTACCAACAAGAGGCCGCATCTATAGCACTCGCAGAGATGGTGCGAAATACCGTTTCAGGGCTGATTTTAGGAGGCAACAACGAAACACGCCTAGCTGGTTTTCGAGGCATGTTCTCACAATCGTAGAATCAAAGCTGAATATTCACTTGGGGATTAGAATCCTGAACCCCATTGGGTGCTTTGTGTGGTATCTCGCGGTTGCAGAATCTGCGGTTAGGACCAGGAGAGGACTACAAGTTGTATCCGGATGTAGAGGAAGCAAGCATGTAATCGATAGTAAATCCCGGGGCCTATGGATTCATCCGTCTAGGTAGCGAAGGCTGCGATGTAGGGTTGCAATATTACTTACTGTATGCAGCTGCGGCGTCAACTCCGTGTTCTTGGGACGTAAGGTTGAACAGAAGAGTTTAGAATCTTGAAAATCGCCTTGCATTGAAAAGTGCCAACAGACGGGAACTACTATAGCCGAAGTTCAGCCAGAGAGAATTGGTTACATAACATGACGGAGCTCGGACCAGCGAGTAATAGCTACCTACATGTAGTACTAACTTGAAGTGGCTAAGCCGTGTCTCCACTTACTTTGATCCCACAAATGCCAAAATTTATCGAGTGCGTCTCAAAAATCACGAAATATTTTTTATTTCTTTATTTCTTTACAACAAGTCGCCCACCTCTAAAACAATCCCTTCCTTCACCAACCACAAACGCAATAATCCTCACCATTAGAGTATCTCTACTGGAAGACTGTCATCATGTCTAAAATCACAGTCGGTATGTTTTTCGAAATCAATAACTCTGAATAGCCACCTTCAAATCAATCGTACTAATAATTCTACCCCGCCACAGCCGGAGTGCGTAACAACGTTGGCGAGTTGCTCGACTACTCCCAGAACACCAAAAAGAGAAACTTTCTCGAGACCGTCGAACTCCAAATCGGCCTCAAGAACTATGACCCTCAGCGTGACAAGCGTTTCTCTGGCACCATTAAGCTTCCTGCCATCCCCCGCCCCAACATGAGCATCTGGTACGAAACCCACGCCACGCCCTTTCTAGTCGCTGGTGATTATGGTCGGATCAGTAGAGGCTAATAATCGTGATATAGCATCTTGGGTGACCAGCATGATCTCGATCGTGCCAAGCACGGTGGAATTGATGCCATGTCCGCTGATGACCTGAAGAAGCTTAACAAGAACAAGAAGCTGATCAAGAAGCTCGCTCGCAAGTACGATGCTTTTGTCGCTTCCGAGGCTCTGATCAAGCAGATTCCTCGTCTCTTAGGTCCTGGTCTGTCCAAGGGTAAGGCCCCATTTCTCACAATGGCAACAACGGTACAATAAAGCTAATTATGATTCTTCAGCCGGTAAATTCCCTACCCCGGTCTCGCACGCTGATGATCTTACTGGCAAGATCAACGAGGTCAAGTCTACTATCAAGTTCCAGCTGAAGAAGGTGCTCTGCATGGGTGTCGCCGTCGGAAACGTCGGTATGACCCAGGATGAACTGGTCGGCAACATCATGTTGGCTATCAACTACCTCGTCTCGTTGCTCAAGAAGGGTTGGCAAAACGTTGGTAGCTTGACCGTCAAGGCTACCATGTCTCCCCCTAAGCGCCTCTACTAGACGACAGGATATTGAAAAGACACTGGAGGATGTACTACTGGCAATACTAGGATTTAGGTTCTAGTCGTAAAATTCAGATAGCAAATAAGATCAGTGTGAACCTCCCAGGCAAACTCATCGCGCACTCTTCGAGACGTTGTACATCGGGCTGTTCAATGGCCCGTAGGATGCACCTAGGTGACTAGCCATCACACACAATTGAACTGCAAACATTAAGCCAATGCAGTAAGCAGTCATTCTTCACATGATGTACTAGAGAACCTTTGCCACGATATTGCATGTCTGTTTCTACAATTTACAAAGAGGCCGACTGGAACACTTCTAGTACAGCTTCAATTGTTCACAATTCACTGCACCACATCGGTTATTGCCAAATTGGCGCAAGCAAACACACACAAAATAGCAGCAACTACTTCTAATAATGACAAAAACCAACAACAACAAATGGTTGTTGAAATGTAGGAAACACCCCACAGTCACGAACCAGGAGGAGCTGGCGTCGGCGGCTGATTAGGAAGAGCATTTTCAATCGATAAAGGAGGCCGGGAACGGAAGGAAACCCATAGGAGATTTGAATGATAACCCTCAGCAAGCCGCCGTAGCGGAGCCTCCATTTTTGTTATAAATTAAATAAACATTTGACGATGTAGATTTAACCCAAACTGATGATGAAGAAGAAAGGAAAAGAAAAAAAAGATTGGGAAGGGATTGGAGGCTTGGGGGGGTATTTATGGGCGAGGGGTGTGTGGGGCGGTTGATTTTTTTTTTTTTTTTCTTTTGGCGCGGTGCTGGTCTGAGCGCTAAAGGTACACTACCTACTAGGTACCTAGTAGTACCTAGTAGGTAGTTGGGTGGGTTACGTAATGTTTGTTGCGAAAAGGCTTGATGTACTCAGGTACCTGTTTGCTTCAAGGTTCTTTTCAATGTTCTTTTTCTTCGCGCCGGATTTCAAATGTCGCGATCCAAGTATTGTGCTGAGAATATACATAAGTACCTACATATAGTAAGACGATACCGTATCATGGGATAAACTCGAATGAAATTTCAGAATACTTACCCAGCAGCAATATACCTGTCAAGGTTCCATCGCCATCAAACCCTCAATCCATATGAAAAACCCAGCCAGTTTTCTTACTTCGAGACCCGAGCGTGATCTGTTTGATAATTCTTCTAGTTAGACATATGAAAAGAATAGGGCTTCTACTAGGTATTCATAGGTATTTATGCTTAGACGACAGCAGGGTATATTTTCAATGTTAGGTACTATGTACTTATTGATATATAATTCCACAGCTTTCGGCTATCGAGGCATGAAAGCTTGATGTGAACAGTGTCTAGGTAGGTAAGTACATATATATCGCCAGTAAAGCTTGTAGATCAATAGTTTATGACCCTAGATGTCTAATCCCTTAGGTTAGGCTACTCTTCTCTATATGCGTAATGCTGTCCAGTGTACTATATTCTTGACTCATCGCTCTTCGTAATCAATAAGGCAAAATCCTTCAAAACCACACTACTTATGGAACTTTATATCTTCGGTACCGCGTCAAGATATCCCTTAATAACGGCTTGTATCAACTGGTTGGCGATAGCCGTCTGCGGTGGCAGTCTCAAGCCACCCTCCTTGTATGCCGGCGGCGCAGCTTCCCCAAGACCGCTCGTCCCATTCAACAGTGCCTCTTTCACCTCATCAAAAGAGTACCATTTCGCATCCGTCAACTCTTCATCGTGACCTAGATGTATCGTCTCGCCGGTCAGGGTAGCTTGACCTATGGCGCCGATCATCAAGTTGGCAGGATACGGCCAAGGCTGCGAGCTATGTATCACGACACGACCTACCGTCACGCCGCTCTCCTCCCACGTTTCGCGCCTAACGGCTTCTTCGATGGATTCGCCGGGTTCGAGGAATCCAGCAAGTGTACTGTACCAGTTCGGCGGGAAACGTTTGTTTCGGCCGAGGAGAAGTTTCGTGCCGTCAGCTGAGACTATCGCCATGATAACAGTGGGGTCTGTTCGCGGGAAACTGAGGTTGCTGACGCCGTGCCGAGTTATGCAGTCTGCTTTTTCCTTGGGAGCATCACCTTCCTGAACACCTGCCCAATCGGCAGACGGACAGGCCCGTTTCCATCCGGCATTGATGGACATGGTAGGTTGGCCACAGCCACCGCAGAATGGATTCCGACTGTTCCAGTCTAACAATGCACGGGCTTCTGCAAATATTGCGGCTGCTTTGTGGTGAGTATGACTTTGTGATGCAAAACTCAAACAGGGTACCTAGTGCTTACCTTCAGGGGCGTTCAAAGTCATAAGTCTCCTCCCATCAATGAAAGAGACGCCAGTGGCTTTGACAATCTCTATGATGCTCTTGGCCTTGTCTGCGAAGGTACCCTTTGGAGTGACATCGACAGCAAAATACGGTAGACCCGTATAGTCGCGATACCTGAAACTCGTATTCTTCTCGTCGATGCCAAGGAACAAGACTACCGGCTGCGTAACAGATGAGTTGAACCCTTTGACTTGCTCCGCTTCCGACGTCTTAAACGGCTCTTCCCCTGTCAGCGGCACGACTACATCCCTAGAGACATAGGATAAGTTGGCAGCGTCTTTGGCAAGAGGCGATAGGTTATCCATCAACAAAAACGCTGACGAGGGGTGAGCGAAGGCGGCGCGGAGAAACTCATAATCAGTCCTGAGAAATGAGATCCGGTTCAATGGACTACCGCTAAAGTAGTTGGCGACCTCACGGCCGAACCTTCTCGACAGCATGGAGTCGTCTTCCGCGAGGACCGGGAGATCCGGAACTGGCTGCCCCATTACGCTTTATATGAAATGCGTATAGTTGCTTATCCGTGCTGGCGTTGCGTGGTGCTTGGGCAGGTAACGATACCGCAAGAGGAGATGTGCTCTTTGCTTAGGTACCAGGTAGTTATACACAAAGAATCTTCAGAATAATACTAATTTGACCCAACACTGAAAAAAAGCACACAAAAAGAATGGTAAAGCAACTGACTACTATGTTACTATGTATAAAGACAGGTAGTCAGACCGGGGTTTGAATATATGTTCTCTACTAATCGATAATTAGTAATTGGTGTTTTACGATATGATGTCCTCAGTGGGGGGAGGGATGGTGATATGTTGATGAGTAATTCATTGGTAAATTGGTAAATTTGTTGATACCCGACCCCGACGAACGGCGTTTGCGGTAGTAAGACACTACCTCTTTCAACATTAGCTCCAACATTAGTACATTGATATGATACTAATTGAACCTACATACCTGCAGGAACATGGGTTCCTGAATGCTGCATGTAAGTTAGTAAATTGTGCCTACATACAGATCTGAGGTAAGAGGCTAAAGTTAATGATCAAAGCGAAGTTGCATTGCGTCAGATATATTACAGATATATTACAGATATATGGATTGGTGAAATGTAATTATTTTATGCAAGTCTTTAAGCAATGACAGAATAAAAAGTGAAAAGTCTTCTTATCCAATGGCTTCTTGTTAAGATCTCTGAAGTTCATGTGTTCAGAGCTGGCCACGTTTTCCCCCGCAAAACACATGGATGTGGGGTGACCTAAAAGCGTCATCGGGTTATTTCACAGCAACATATTTAACCTAGACTACATATAACTATGTAACCTTGGAAACCTTTTTTTTTTTTTTTTTTGCCTAGGTACAAGTACATTGGGTACACTAGGCACATATTTTATGTTTCAAGGCGGCGCCAGACCAAAACATCTTTCCGTGTTACATCATCTCTTTAAATTTTCCTTTTCCTTTCGCGATCATTTCATTTTTTCTTAACACGGGTTGTATATGTTAAGGACAAAGATATCGTCTACTATTTTCCATTTGAGATCGGGTCTTTACTAAATAACTAAATATACAAGTCTTTTATTTTACATATCTATTTCATATACTTTCATATACTCGAGGTACCTACCTACCTAGGTAACCACCATCTTGAGACACAGTGAACAATCCAAGTTACGAGGTTTCTTGGCAGCGATCCGGTTACACCATCACCATTTCTCTTTGTCCACCACGTACGGGATGGCGCCTCCCACGGGGCCTCTGAACCTCGATGTTGAAGCCATATCGGGTATCTGCGGGTTAGAACACTTACTTGATCTCACCACTTCATGTTTCAACCGCTAACATTGTCAATTGTCTAACCTAGCTCCATCTCCATCGCAGCTTGGGTCGTAGTCTTTTCTCCCCAGATCGTGGAGAATTTTCGACGAGGCTCCGCCAATGGTCTATCGGTTCCCTTTATCATCCTCTGGCTCCTTGGTGATGTCTTCAACATACTCGGCGCCGTTCTCCAGGGGGTCCTACCGACAATGCTTATCCTAGCCATCTACTACACCATAGCCGACTTCGTATTGTTAGCTCAATGCTTCTACTATAAGGGCTTCACCTGGAAGGACGAAATCCCACAAACCAAGCCAAAACCGCAGAATGGCCTCGCTGTCGGCGAGCCCACTGAGAGAACTGGGCTGTTGAACGGTCATCTGGAAGAAAGGGAAAGGAGGGGTAGTGGATGGTCTCACTTGAGTCCCGCCGTGCCATTAGTGTCCGAGCCACCCGCTACACCTCCACCCACGCCAACAAGGTTGCAAGCGGTAGTCTGGAATTCAGTAGCTGTCTTCATGGTATGCGCGGCTGGTATAATTGGCTGGTTCCTTAGTCGACAGTACTCAGACGGCCATTCCACCTCGCCTGCCGACGAAGGTATTCCTTCATTCGACGTCTGGGGTCAAATATTCGGCTGGTTTTGCGCTGCTCTTTACCTAGGATCACGCCTTCCTCAACTGCTGCTTAATTGGCGTCGCAAGTCGACCGAAGGCGTTAGCATACTATTTTTCCTATTCGCCTGCTTAGGAAATCTCACATACGTGCTTTCCATATTTGCCTATGAGCCTCACTGTGTGGGAGACCGATGTGAGCCCGGCGAGGCAGCGAAAATCTATGGAAGGTACATACTTGTCAACGCATCGTGGTTGGCTGGTAGTCTAGGGACCTTGTTCCTGGACCTGGGCATATTCGCCCAGTTCTTCATCTACAGCGGGGACGAGTCAACGGTTGTAGATGTTGAAGCCATCGAAGAGGGGTACTCTAGTGACGAAGAACAGCGACTTGACGACCGACCACTCCTACAACGGTCTAGCTCAGGTCTTCCTTAGAAGAAGGACATGGCTGTCCTCGACTCCTCGTACTAACTAACACCTGCATACCTTGGAGATTTCAAAAGGAGTTTGGATCGGAAAGGAAAAGGCTATGGGAGTTAGAACTCGAGCATACAAACTACATTTCCTCTGTAAGCATGATTCATAATTCTGTATGGGTTGGTTGGCGGCAAAATGGGTGCATTGAATAGAACAAACCACTCCTGTCTTAAGCGATTAAAAGGGGAGCTTGATATGTAATACATTACTTTACAAATATACGTGATAATCTAGCTCAATACTTATTCGCTGTTTACTAGTAAAACATCTTAGTTAAAATGCTGAAATGATAGGGAAGAGGCGTGGGACAGTATTATAAAGCCCTTCCATGTTGAGATGATAGTAAAACGTGTAAAAGTCAAATTCATCTTTTGGTATTTGGGGTGAAATATGCTAGGTATCCCAAGCTTCTCTCACATGGAAATAACCATGTAATCACCTTGTACTCCTTTGATATTCACTTCACACGATACCTAGTACTTATCACACAAGTCGTGGGAGAAAGACCCACGTCGAACAAAACATTTTCTACGTTCTACGAGCTGCATTGGCATTGACCAGGTGGACTATTCGCTCTCAGATTAGACACTACATACACTACATTTGTACATCCCATGCGGTGCCTGAAGATAGTGGCCGGGGAAGATTGTATATGCGTTTCGATGCTCTTATCTCCAGAGCTATGTACCCCAGGCCCAAGCACAAGTAAGACGGGAAGGAAAGGTTTATGCGACAGTGCCGTTGGACATGCACATGTGCGCTGCTATACAGAATGCATCTAACTCTGGTTTCTATCTTGGATGCATGGCACGCCACAACAAAGCAACACAAGCCCAGCATTGAAGTGCATAGACACCTGAACCATTGAGGGAAGACTTGAACCATTAGAGACAACAGCGTGGCTAGCCTCATTACCTACCGTCCATAGTATAGCACATAGATAATTGGATGGTCGAATGTCCCAGAGTAGTAATCCGAAGGCTTTCAAGCCTTACGACTGGTTTCGCTTCACTTTTAATAACTGTCTGTCATGTCTGTCACCACGGATACTTTTGATATGGTTTTGAATAGGTATTTGGAGCGATCGGAATCCACCGAGAGACCTCTTACACTTGTCTTAGTTATCGATGTTACATACATACATGATGTAGGTAGTTACCTAGTATTGTAATTTTCCGAGGTAGGTACGTAGGTACTACTTGAGACCGCTAACCTAAGTGGGTACCTATTGTTGATCTGATCGACATTCTAGAAGTGCCAATCTGCTACCCTCCACCGCGCCTACCGTAACTACCTAACTAGTAACTAGTGTTGCGACGCGGGTTCGGCATCTCCTTCCAAACCACTCACTCCTTTTCCCACCTGCTTTCTTTCCTTATCGCCTCTGTCTCCCGAGGAAATTTCTTTTCTTATTCTATTCATTATGTATTTTTATAGGTATTTTAGAAGATTGTCGTTATCACGCCACACGTTGTTATTATTAGTACATACCTACCTATCACCTACCTATCACCTCCCTATCACCTCCCTATCTATTTTAGCAATTCTAGCCAACCATCGACCACCGAGGCCGATCACCGTCAATCGCTAGCTACTGAAACCGCCTAGAACGTCTAAACGGAGAGACTACTACAACTTTGTTGATGCGAGACGATGCGATACGATACGGCATCCTCCGATGTTGTAGTCATTGATAGTGCCCAGACCAGACAGCTGGGTAGTAACTAGACGTGAGGATAATGCTTGACGAATCTCGTATCCATTTGGAAAGTGAAGCAACACAGCTCGCCTTACTTACTTGAAGCACGTCACTATTTCAATGCCCGTTAGTTATGCATGCAATGCTGGGTTCAATCAGCTATTAAACCGATAGTTTTTTTTGTATTACGGTAGCAGCAGCAGCAGCAGAAGTCTATGCAGTATTCGCGATTATGATATGATATTTGAGGCCAAGATTCATACTAACCTAACCCTGAGTATCTAAGGTAAAAACCCTTGCTCCCGACAGGCCGGAGGCTCCGCCTTGTCGTTCCAGGACCTAATCACCAAAAAGTCTGGGGATGGACCCCCTTTTTTTTTTTAAAAAAAAAAAAAAAAAAACTGGCGGCGTCCCGGCGCTTGAGTCGGGGGCCACTGGGAACTGAATCGAAGCGCGGAGGAGGGCTGTTACTGGAATTTAGTGGAACCAGCGTACCAGCGACCTTGGCCCGCCGTTGCACCGCATACACATAATCATCGATAACGAATCGAGAACCGGGAGGGGCTTTCTATCTGCATACATAGCAGAGTGGTTCAAATGTAACTCCTTGGTCGTGATGCTATACATGCACAACGCTCTAGGTTCACCAACACACTTACATGGCCCGAGCTGATTGGTATGCCATGCCTTCTATAGGTATTTTATACGAATGCTTGCTCTTGTGAGTTTCTTGATGATGATGATGATAGGCCAACGGGTGTAGTCACCGTGAGAGAAGAGGGATGAGCAAGTAGGCTGGTATGTAAGCTCAGCTGCGTGCGACCCAGGTGCCTAGCAATGCTTGGGGGTAGGCTGGGGGTGAGTAGTAGTCACCACCTTACCTATGCAACATTAAATTGATTTTCTTATATTTCTGACGCGGCAGCCTACCTGCGCCTTTTTCTTCCCACTACTACTTTGTTTGGTGTTTTGTTGCGGCTCACCAACATATGCATGGTTAGGTGAGGTGATTGTATGTAGGTATGTAGATGCGTAGGCCGGTTTCGTAATGGTGACAGGGTCAGCCGACTTTCGAGCTGACGAATAACGATAGTTTGATGGGGGCCAAATACTGATCTTGGAGTTCTTGAGCCCTGACTTGCTTGTCGATTTTTCTCGACGTGCCGCTAGTTAAACACGCACACACTCACGCACACACTGACATTTGCCAATGAGGAAAACCCGAGAAGCAAGTGCATTTTAGAGACCTTGTTGGACAGACTCGGATTTGACACAAGTAGGTAGGTATCTATGCATATTATTTGCCGTTTGCTGGGTACAGTACATCAATCACGACATGACACATGTAGGTGTTCTTCTGTATTGTACCTACCTAAGTAGGCATTTACATATTAGCCAACCTACATATATTTACATGCATACATACATGCACACATATCGGATCTGCATTTCCAGGCCTTTGGGATAACAGAAATTGGTACAGTAATTTTTGACGCATGTGGCGTGAGTTAGTAGCCAGCTTAAAAAACCCCCTTTTCGGACGAGCTAACGGGGTGGCGTAACTAGCACTGTGGTGTTCTGCGAGCCTCGAAAGTCCCCGGCTATTTGGAGGGGGGGGGGTTACCCTTGAAAAATAGACCCTGGAGATCCCGGATCTGTTTGTTGCCTGTCTTGTCTGCCCTTTCTTTAGTTTTAGTTGGAAAACTTGGCGGTCTATTCCCCGCCCGCCGCTGATCGACTCCGTCTTTTTTTGGGGTTTCCCACCTGGCCAGGAGGGCTGGACTTAACTACGTTGTAATTCCCCCCCAACGTCAACGGGAGGCAGCCGTTTCTTGCAGGGCGGGCCCCATCTGCCTAGTGTAGGTAGTAGTGTAGGTTAGTAAAAATGCCCGCTAAAGTAACAATAGGTAATTACCGTCTATCCGTCGCCTTATTTCGAGTACGGTGTGCCCGTCACTCGGCACGCCGGATGCTGGACCCTTGTTTAGCTCCTCGTGGACCCCTGTGTACCTACTATGTAGGCCGGTAGGTCATAAGTTCGTAACACAGTCACAACAGTTCTACGGTAGAGCCTCGCCTTGGATATTTGTTTTTTTTTTTGCTCATAGGGCCAGAGTACAAACATTTACCTACCACCCGGTAGTAGGCGATTCAACACTGTACCGTGACACATGCTGCTACCGTGCAAGTCTGTACCTCGTAGACAGACACCCCTGACACCAACCGACTAGGTGATCATCGGGGGATGGTTAGCTCTTTTTCTCCACGTCTCAAGAGAATTGCGCCAGATGCGCCTTGTCAATCTCGTGCAGCGCAGCGCAAACAGGGGGACTGTTGCCATCCAATCATGGCAAACAGAGGCGACTCCGGAGACTGGGTCTTTGCTTATTTGAGCCTCTCTCTCGAGTGTAGGGTCACTAACTAAACTACCTAGTAACTCTCTCTGCCTTGTTGTCGGTGAGTAATTCACATATATTCCTTCCTCCGCATATTCATGCTTACTCCCTCCCCGTCGGATTTTTTTTTTAAAAATTCATGACTGAGAGGTGACCGACACAGCCCTACCTATTTAAACCTGTAGCCTTGTTCCATGCGTAGTAGAAAGTCGGCTTAATTTCCTCCTACTCATCCTCACTCTACTCGGAATACCTAGTTGGCGTTGGGTGTTCTTACATTCATTGCTGCCTGCACTCGACCTTTTTAGATCTGTCGTAAATTATTGTAAGTTACCTACCTTAGTTATCTATCTCTCAAACGGCTTTTTATTTTTATTTTGTTTCAATCATGTCGTTCACCCAAGTATATTAGAGGATGTTTTCCTCTGTTTCTCCTTTTCCTACGTTGTGTTGCCATTGCATCTGCACATTAGAATCAACAATCTCTTAACCACTCAAAACTGGAGCTAATTGGCAGCAAAAGAGATCGTAAGGCATTGCGTAAATATAAAAATTTACTGGGTTGCAGATATATCCGAAACAAAAAAAAACCTATCACATATCATATCCATAGGTTAAAGCTGGTGGTAGTACAAAGCACAAGAGACAACTCACCACCGCCATGTCTCTCCCGTCCCGTCAGCAGCGGGACCTCACCAGATTCGGATATAGCTCTTCGAGCGAATCCGACGAACCGCCACAGAAGGCGAAGAAAGCCAGGACCAGCAACCCAAACCAGAAGAAGAAAAAGAAGCACAAGCCACCGCCCCAGCAGACCATCAACAAAATATGGAGGCACTTTACCACCAAGCAGTTTACCAAGGCCTTGGCCGTGCTGCCGTTCGATCCGGTGCCGCTCCCCAGCACCCCCGAACGGCCCAACGAGCTCTTGGTCTCCGGATATGAGCGTGCGCGGGATGAGTGTTCGCGCAAGGTGAAGAAGATTATTGCCGAGTGCAAGCGAGTCAATACTCGTTACCGAGACCCGGGATTCGATTTGGTATGCTCTTAACTGATAACCTACCCCCTTACCCCGCCCCTTTCTTTCTCACCGTAGCATGATCTATAACTAACCCATCGCAGGACTGGGATCTCAAATGTCTCAAGGGAGACTGCCTTAACCACCTAGGATCAGACGAGTTTAACATCTGGGCCAACAAGAAAAACAGCACCAACACCTCGGTGCCCAAGGCCGTGAAGCGCGTGCACGAGATCTTTGAGAAGCCGACCTTCCTAAAGAATGTCGACGCCGCGGAGCCGAAGCAGGGCGCGCTCGGCGATTGCTGGTTCGTTGCCGGGCTGAGCGCACTCGCTAACGTCGAGGATGGCATCAAGCGCATTTGCGTCGAATACGATACCCGTGAGTAATCCCCCCTTTTTTTTAGTACTTACTTACCTATAGAAAACTTTTTGTTGCTTACACATATCCACAGGCATCGGAATCTACGGCTTCGTCTTCCACCGCGACGGCGAGTGGATCTACTCCATCATCGACGACAAGCTGTACCTGACGTCCCCCTGCTGGGACTCGCCGAGCATGCAGCGCGAGATGCTGCAGCAGATCGACCGCGAGGACCCGGACAAGGTGTATCGCCGGACGTATCAGACGGGGTCCAAGGCCTTATTCTTCAGCCAGTGCCGCGACCAGCGCGAGACCTGGGTCGCGCTGCTCGAGAAGGCGTACGCCAAGGCCCACGGCGACTACGGCTCGCTCTCCGGCGGCTGGATCGGCGAGGCGCTCGAGGATCTGTCCGGAGGTGTTACGACGGAGTTGCTTGGGTCTGACATTCTTGATCTCGATGCGTTCTGGGACGATGAGCTGAGCAAGGTCAACCAGGAGTTCCTCTTCGGCTGCGCTACGGGCTTGCTTGACGGGGGCTATGGTGAGAGGAATGGGATTCGTGAGGGGCATGCGTATGTTGTGATGGATGCGCGGACGTTGAAGAGTGGACAGCGGCTCGTGAAACTTAGGTAAGCTTCCCCCCCCCCCCCCCCCTACCCCATATCTCCTAAGAAACCTCCGCCCCCTTCACCCCTTTTCTTCTTCGGGATACTAACAAAGAACCCAGAAACCCTTGGGGTAGACTGCGAAAAGGTGTCTGGGAAGGCGCCTGGTCCGACGGGTCCAAGGAGTGGAACAACGAGGTGAAAGAAGAGCTCGGCCACCAATTCGGCAACGACTCCGTCTTCTGGATCACCTACGAGGACCTGCTGGAGAAGTACCAGCACTTCGACCGGACGCGTCTGTTCCGGGACCCCTCGTGGCGGTGCTGCCAGCGGTGGATCGGCGTGGAAGTGCCGTGGAAAGCGCAGTGGAACGAGAAGTTCCACCTCAAGCTGACCAAGGAATCCCCCCTGGTGCTGGTGCTCCAGCAGCTCGACAACCGGTATTACAAGGGCCTGCACGGGCAGTACCGGTTCCGGATGCACTTCCGGGTGCACGAGCAGGGGCGGCCGGACAGCGAGGACTACATCGTGCGCTCGCACGGCAACTACCTGATGAACCGGTCGGTGTCGGTCGAGATCCCGCGCATGGAGGCCGGCGACTACTCGATCTTCATCAGCGTGACGGCGGTCCGTAACAAGGAGCGCCCCTCCGTCGAGGACGTCGTCAAGCGCGAGTGCCGCACGCGCGAGGAGAACGCGAAGCTCGCGCAGGTGGGGTACGCGTACGACCTCGCGCACAGCAAGGGGATCGCGCATCTGGAGCAGGTTGCCAAGCTGAGGAAGAAGTCCGACCAGAAGAAGGCGAGCAGCTCGCGTGTGCAGGAGAGGCGGAAGCAGTGGGAGAAGAGGCACGCGAAGAGAGATGTTACGCGGAAGCAGGAGAAGAAGAACCAGGCGAAGAAGGATCACCGGAAGGAGGCGGCGGAGGCGAAGAAGGAGGCGAAAGCTGCGGAGGCGAGAAGACTGAAAGAGGCTGAGGAGGCTGAGGAGAAGAAACGAGAAGAAGCTGAAGCGGCCGAGAGGAAGAAGAAGGAGGATGCTGAGGCTGCCGAGAAGAAGAAGAAGAAAGAGGAGGCCGAAGAGGCCGAGCGCAAGGAGAAGGAGAAAAACGCCCCGAAGGACGTGGCGGACCAGACGGAAGAGCCGAAGGAGGGCGAGAAAAAGAGTGGCGAAGGTGAAGAAGCTGCTGCTGCCGAGACAAAGCCTAAAGAAGATGTGGAAAAAAAGACCATTGATGATACCACAGAGAAGCAAACCACTGGAGATGCCGAGGAAAAGAAGGAGGCCAATGATGAGGCTGCGGAGACGAAACCTAAAGAAGACTCCGTTAAACAGCAGACCGACACTGCAGAGCCGAAGCCTGAAGATACCGCCGAAGAGAAGCCCACGACCGACGATTCTGCAGCAGAGCCCAAAGCCGAAGAATCCACCTCAGAAGCAAAAGCCACAGCCACTCCTCCCACATCTTCAACCCCCTCAACTTCCACCTCCAAGAACCCCCCTCCAAAACAGGGTAAGCACTCGCCAAAGAAACTCCGGACCTCACCCAAGCTAACCAAGCCCCCCTTAGCCAAAAAACCCCAACCACCCCCCACCTCCACCTCCACCTCCACCTCCTCCGACTCCGACTCCGGCGGCGACAGCTCCGACAGCCCCGTGTCCGACTGGGAGCTCCTCTACTCCTCGGACGACATGTCACGCAAGCCCCGCCCCAACCCCGCGCCTCCCGCGCCGGCCCCCAGCTCCGGCGCCGACAACGCGGCCGAGACCGACGGGGAGAGCGGGCTGCCGGACCCGTGGAACGCGGTGTGCATCGTCGGGTTCCGGGCGTACTCGCAGGACGAGGACCTGGTGCTGAGGGTGGTGATGGAGGGCGGGGACATGGCGGAGAATGGGATGGGGGAGAAGGGGGCGGCGGATATCGACGACGCGCAGATGAATGCGGGGGGGGAGAGGGAGAAGATTGGGAAGGGGAAGAAGGACAACGCGGAGGAGGTGACAGATGAGGTGGAGATTGTGGATGGGGAGATCGTGAGGAAGAAGAAGATTGTTGTGGAGGATGATGATGGTGGTGGTGGTGGTGCTGATGCTGATGATGAGGAGAAGGGGGAGGAGAAAGAAGAAGACAAGAAAGAGAATGTCAAAGAGGAAGAGGAGAAGAAGAAGAAGGAAGAGAAGCAAGAAGAGAAAGAAGAAGAAGAGAAGCAAGAAAACAACAAGGCAGAGGACAAAGACGAAGTAGAAGCGGAGCCTGCAGAAGAAACCAAAGACGACGAGAACAAGGAGGAAGAAACCAAAGACGACAAAAACGAAGAAGACGAAAGTACCCCCAAGCCCGACGAAAAAGACGACTGCGGCAAGTCAGTCGCGTCCGACTCCACGGACGACTCGACGACCCCGATCCTAACGCCGGACTCCGACACCGTGGAGTGCACGCCGCAGTATCCGCATGAGAAGCCGTCTACCTAAACTCCTCTCTCTTCATCATCATCATCATCATCATCATCATCGTCATCGTCATCGTCATCGTCATTACTTACCCATTAAATTGCCAAAGCGAAATGAAACTTTGAATGAAAGCCCTGGCCAGCATTGAATTATGATTGCAGTTGTGTGTTCTTATATTAGGTACATCGGTTGAGGTATATAGTGTTTTTTTTAAGGGGCGCATAGGTAGGGAGGGATACCAATTTTCTTTTTCGATCGTTTCCGTTATAACATATCATATTATCATAGCTATTAGGTATTTTCCCTGGGTTTACGATTGCGATTTGCGTTCACGTTACGGCCTGATTTCCTTAGACGTGATGCAATACATATTTCATTATCATTCGATGTAACGATTTACTCCTCTTCTTCTTGTTCTTCTTGACTATGCTGTGATGAATTATCATGGGGGATAGGAGGGATGAGTGATACAAGGATAGGGGGTTAGCGGCGAACCAAAGCCGTGGAGAATCCGGCAGGAAAGGGGGTAGTGGAATGTATCTGTGTATTTATTACAGAGTTACGAAGAATGCTGCGCTTCTCTCTCCTTGCGTGTGGTTGCGATGATGGCCTGACTCGGAAGAGAAACGACGAGTGATCATCTCAAGATGCCTATTTTGATGTAACTGCTTGTAGGACTTTTAAACATGCTAACTCTGGTTCCTAGCTTCACCCCTACCTATCCTAATGCCAAGCTGGGTACCTAGTATCTATCAACTTCCTATAAATACACCTCGTCGTCCTATTTCACCTATCAGAAATAAGATACCTACCTCGCTGATATTTTCTAAGCCCTAATTGACAGGTTGCGAGATAGCTTATAACTCGTATTGTATGCCCATATATAGATGCTTCTGGCCTTACTTAGATACGCAAGTAGATCCATTGTGGGTAGGCACCCAAACAGAAAGGTTAGTAGCAAGGGGGTAATATATGTGCTTAAATCAAATATACCACCTTACCTCAACTCTCCGCATCACGAAAGCCATCCTCAACATGATCATCACTGTCCAGCCTCTGCGGGGTAGCCGCCGCATCAACCACACCACGCCGTCTCCTCTCCGCCCTCCTCCTCCACGGCCTATACACAACCACCGAGCCCAGCCCCACCACCAAAAACAGCGCACATATACAGCCACCCACAACATCAAAATTATCACCGAGAGCAGTGAGACCATCCCAGAAGGGGCCCTCCGGCTCGGCGACGTTCTGGACGAGGGAGAGCAGCTGGACGACGCCGATGAAGGCGGAGACGAGGACGGTGATGGCGGTCAGGACGATGGAGTAGTAGAGGATGGCGACGGCGTCGCGCGCGAAGGCCTTGTTGGAGTACAGGGCCATCATCAGGGCGCCGTCGGTCGTGTCGAGCATGCACATGCCGGCTAAGGGGGGTTGGCTGTTAGAAAAGGGGGAGGAGGAGACGGTGAAAAGGTAAAGGAAAAGGAAAAGGGTGAAGCTTACCAGTGAACAGCAGCGGAAAAATAAGAATAACCCAAAGACTCGTCCCCTGCGCCCCCTGCACACTCGCAATACCCAATATCGCGATCTCCGAGCTCGTGTCGAAGCCCAGCCCGAAAAGCACGCCGAGAGGGTACATCTTCCACGGGCGATCCACAATGCGAAACAGCTTCCGGAACACGTGCGCAAGAAACCCCGCACCCTCGAGCTGCAGGTTAGCAGCGGCACGGCCCTCGTGATCGTCTTCATCATCTTCATCGCTGCCGCCCCCCTCCTCGGGACGATGCGGGTCCGGCTCGCGCAGCAGCACGCGCAAGCGACCCACAAGACGATACAAAACCCATCCGTTACCCAGACATAGCAGGATCAAAAAAGCCGCGCTAACACTCGTGCCAATAATACCACCGACATACTGGAAATTATCGAAGCGGTCGCGCAGGGCGCCGCTCGTAGCCGCCACCACAATACAGGTAACAATAACGATGGTCGAGTGGCCCAGACTAAAAAAGGTACCAACGGTGACGGGGCGCTGGCCGGAGGCGAGCAGGCGGCGGGTCATGAGGTCGATGGCGCTGATGTGGTCGGCGTCGAGGGCGTGGCGCAGGCCGAGCGTGTAGGAGAGCACGGCGGGGGTGATCATGGCCGGGTAGAAGTGCAGGACGACGCCGACGGCGGCCCAGACGACCATGTTCGCGAGCACGAGGAGGCCGATGATCCGGATCACGGGGAGCGGGAGGGCCTTCAGCCGCCCGGCGAACGGGAGAGGTAGGCCCCGCATTGTTCGTACTTTGACCCTTGATGTGAGGATATAAATTTTATTACCTTTTTCGTTTTTAAATTTTTCTTATATGTATAGTCCCCAAAGAAACTTGAAGTTATATTCCCCCCCAGAAAAAAAAAAAAAAGTGACGGGGATGACCAGGAAAAAAAGGGGGAGGGGTAAGAAGGAAAGGTCGGAAAGGAGGGAAACGATAGAAATAACTAGTATAAAGTTTGTAGGATAAGCCCCGTCCTGCAGTCCCCGCATCATGCTCCTCCCTTCGTACCTACCGCATGGATGGATACATATAAGCAAAATAGAAAAAAAAAAAAAAAAAAAAAAAAAGGGTTCATACAATTGATGGAGCTGGAAAATTCATTGCAGGTACTGTACTATTGTACTCAACCCCACGTTAGATGATTTAGATAAGGGATAGGAAGGCGGCTCGGTAGCGCTAGTCTAAGCCTAGTGTGTCCCGATAAGATAGTGAAAAGCAAAAGTTTAAATCGATTACTTATACTCTTGTATTACCATTATTCATCACTACCTAGTACTATAAAAGCTTGGCTTTCTCCCTTTTCTTCTTCTTTGTTTTCCTTTATCATTGTTAGTCTTTAAAAGGATGAGATGAAGATTTACTTCTCGAAGCCAGCGTCGCCTTTAAACTAATAAATCTCAACTCATTGTCTTGTATTACATAACACTCCAGTAAAGCAATCTCACAATCCCCTCACCTCACTTATGTATACATACTCAAGGGTTGGGGATTAGGTAAACAGCTTATTGCTTAACCTGTTAGGTTAGCGTTGCTAATTACTATATGATTTTATTAAATGCTGGCCGTATCCGATTATATATTTTGGTATCGGTGTTTCTACTATGTAACATGAAAGGGTGAAGGTGACATGTCTACAAGAACTAGGATCTTGCAGTTTCGGGACCACGAACTTCGTATTATACACTTCCACACACACACACACACACACACACACACACACACACACACAGATACACTCACCCCCTCTCCCACGAACGCATTACATATATCGGCGTTTATCTTGTCACAGCCTTCACCGCTGCTCGGGCAGCTTAACTAAAGTTATTAGGCGTTGTATAGCGAACACTACGCGTAGAATATTCACGAGTGCGCATCTCCTTGAGATATGATCGATGGGTGGTGATCCCGCTTCCTAACCCTTCATATTAGAGAATTTGGTATCTTCATGGGGGCTAAGTCTTCTTGCTCTCTCTCCAAGGTTTCGAGCTCTTGCTTACCTGAGCTCGCCAGTTGTAAACTCCCGAAAGATCGCGAGTTCATGAAAAGCATTTGCCAGTGTTTGTACCTGCGCCTCCCTCGGATTTGTCATCGCCAGCTCGAGATCAACCATGAAGCTCGCTTGAACCGTAAATTTTGAGTCATACCGTTGTCCTATCCTTCTCATGTCGCTAAGCACCGTATTTGCTTCGGGAGCAGATAAAAACCCGTTCCGTAACGACATGCTCAAGAGCCCAAGCATTGTTACTTCAACCACTTGGAAGGAGCCATCTATTGCCGAATTAGTATCTTACACTACCGACCATAAAGAAAATGAAAGAAAAGAAAAGCTAAACGGATCCATCCAAACCTCTCCGGTTACCACCGGGAGCTTTGCATTAGCCCAATGGATGTACGTTCGCAAATGCGCGGTAGTGAATTTGGGGAGTAGGCACAGTAGACACTAAAAATAAAACAAAGGGGGAAGTCACATACTATAATATAGTTAGCATTTACATGGAAGCCAGTTGATAGCCGCAGGCTTTACGAAAGACTCCAAGATCCCGAGACACGAAAGATGATGGTGTCAGTACGTACCACATATTTTCATAACAGGTCATGCAGAGCATAAAATAGAACCAGCACTCGGTGTCTCGCAAATGTCCGGAACGCATGGTTTCACAGAGCATTGCATTCGCTAGGTATAGGAGAGCGATATGCCATGGAGTTGACGAGCATGCCTTGTTGAAGTTGAGGCTATAAATAAGTGCCAGTCGTTTAAGCTGGTTTACCGAGGCTTTGTGAATGTCTTTCGGCATAGCTGTGCCGGGGGTGAGGTGGGTAACCTTGATCATCTGGTTGCCGGATTGCTGCAAGAATGGCCAGAATAACTCCATGACCGTACAGTGGTAGTAGAGACTAATAATGAAGATATTTGACGTTAGGATGACATGAAGAAATACAAAGGAGAAAGGGGAAGGTAGAAAGCAGAAAAGCAATAAGTAGAAAGTGTCATGTCATGTTATTTAAAATGTAGGTGGCAACGGAGAGACCTGGATGGGATAGAACAAGGGGGTCTTACTGGAGCATCAGAATTGAATGACGGTTACGTCTTCCCCGCGCCAGTTCCAGAGGAAGTGATTTTGCCCACTCCAATATCTTTTCATACGTATTTTCTGCAAATTCCATCGTGGCTCGGGCAGCGGGAACATCATCGCTTTTTCCAAAATATGTCCAGATAATCCCATGGACAATCAGATTGAATTTACACATTGCCTTGAAGGCCCCGCCAACTCTGGTTGGTATGTGTGTCCTCGTGTGCGAATAACTGTAATCGGCGTATCCGTGGGTCTCGAAGTACTCGCCTGGCATAGGAAGAAGGGGAGGTATGTCAATCTCCGCCCTGTGAAGATGCAGGGACCGCATGCTGTCAACCATAACTGTAAGCAGCTTCTAGATAGAAGAATGAGACGGACCAGAGATGAGTTCGACGTTTTTTTTTTCTTTCTTTTTTTTTCTTTTTTGTTTTGGATTTTATTAACGACTCACCAGACGCATGTAAAGATACCCCACGAGGTGTGGCATGCAGCCCTTAGCCAATCTTGGTGATGATCCAACCAGATCAAGGCCGATGCGTCCTCGGAACCCACCCCGAAGACTACGGCGCGCTTAGGTTAGCCAATTACTCGATTCAAGTGTCATATGTTGCATGAGGCGGCCGCAAGGACGTTGACATCGTTGTGACATCGCCGCTACTCGGAGTATGTTCCGTGAGATAACTTACGACCCATACGCCTTCCCATCTCGATCCCTTCTTCCAAACATTGGCTCGCAAAATCATCACGACCTCGGGATGCTGATGTATTATTTAATAACTGGGCCGCCGCCGCCGCAGTAAGGGTATTATTAAATTTCTCCACCGCCCACATTCTCTCAGCTGCCGACTCGAAGGCAACGACAAAACCTGCGGCTTCTGGTTGTAAGCTCGAGTAGGATTGCTAGGATACGTCAACAGCCTTTCTTGGCAATGCGAGGTCTTTACCATGCATCTTGAGTGTTCTGTAGAGATTGTGGCTTACGCAGGCCCAGCTTAATAGGGAATTGACCAGTAGGGCAGAGCAGAAATGAGTTTTCCCTTGCATACAGTCGTTCAAAAATAAATCAGCATCGAATAAGGGGCACCAAGGATAGTCGATTTCCAGATATAGTGATACCAGAGTCGCTGCCAGCTCGTTCGAAATAGGCACCTCGGTCCATCTCTGGAAATCCACCTCCTTCAGTCGTTCGTCAATGACCGAGTGCATCGATTGCAGAGGCTCGAGGTTTCCTATCTCGGGATCACTCGCTTCTAAAGAGGTTGGCATTAATCCACTCCTGGATGAACCTTCCTCCATCCCCCCGAGGACAGTCGAAGATGATGGCGTATCTCCCGCCCCGGCACTGTGGCCGTATGTTAGTGGAAATGTTTATAAAATAAAAATGAAAAAAGGGGGCGATTTAGACGTGATATTGGGAGTTAGTATAGATAGCGGGAGGTCAGGAAATCGTGAGGTATCTATCATACAGGCTATGTACTTTCTGACGTTCTAGAATAGCAGGTCGCAAAAGATCGGCTAAGTTGATGAATGCGATTTCAATAGGAATCAGCATGGGATAGGTAGTTGGGCATCGCATTATGAGTTCGTATTCGGTGGTCTCTTGGGTCTCGGGGATGAGGTTAGCCATTAACTGCCGATTAGAAAGCTTCACGGGCAAAAGGGGTTCGCCCTCGAGGTCCTTTTTGACAGATGCCAAAATATCGGCAGGATCGCTCGCCCCCTCGGCATGGTTCCTGGTGGATTTTAATCGTCTTAATATGTCGAGAGAAATTTCGTCAGGGGCGGATTCCAGGAGGTCGAATATCTCCAAAATGTCTTCGGTAGATCTTCTGAGGGATTCAACTTCTCGCTTCAGGGCCATAAACGGAGTCTCATCGCTACTGGCGGTAACAAAATTACACTCTACGCCGGCCTTGCTGCAGGCCGTGCAGGAAGGTCTAATGCCATCACACTAGAACAAAGTCAGTCAGTTCGTATGAGGACTTTCCACCGAAGCAAAGTACCAGAAGAAGGGGGGTCTATGGAGGCCATGGGTTAAAAGGTGGATGGGCTCGAAGACTACTACTACATACCCGTATCTTCTTATGACGGCAGTTGTTGCAGGCGGCCTTGGAAACAGTACGCTTCTTGATGGGCGGACCGCTATCCTTTTGAAAAGGAGATTCCGATAGATTTGCCTGGGCAGAGCCGAGAGGCACAGGCGCCGGAAGGATGCGTTTGTAGTTTTCGGACATTGGATTCCCATAAGTCTCTTTTGACTCAGAGACTCCATAACAGACCTCATGTTTCCCTGGCATATAAATCGGACATTTTGGTCCGGGCAATCTGAGACGTTAAAAGTTGGTTCGGGTAGGAGAAGAGTTCTAGTAGCAGCCCTCGACATCGGGAATCAAGCTTCGTGTGTGGCCAATCATACCTGTGGAATTATTCGGGCCTCACTCCGTGAAGGGGTTTAGGGATCTAATCTGTTTTAGCAGACCATTTGTACCAGGCGTGGCCCAGTCTCAGTTAAGCGTGGCCGATAACTCGAAGGGGGGGTAAGTTATGAGCAGTTCTTTAAGAATAGGATTTGTAACCAGTAGGTTTATTTGCCTGTTACATGCTACTGTTAGTAGTGATAGTAGTGATAGTAGTGATAGTACCTAGTTAGTTACTGGGGAAGCAGTGTATATGGTAGGTAGACAGCAAGTATGTCGTGGTCCGACCGAGGCTCTAAAACTGGAACACAACTTAGAACCGTTTATACCACGTAACACGCAACGCAGTTTGCTGTACTGTAGGTATTAGTGTGTGGTCAAAGTACCAAATTAAGTCGATATGAGGGCAAGGATTCCAAGGAAGCCTTGCAAGATACTTCGACCCCGATACAGTGTTTTTTCTCAGGTCTACGTACGTACTAGCACGATATATCGTTAGTCATTTCGAAGAGAGACTGAGAGTCCACCGAAGGAGAACGGAGATCGGGACTCCCCTGTTAAACTGACCCGCCAAGACGTTGTACAAGCTCTCCTAATGGTCAAAATCGTCAGGCGATGCAAGTAAAGTTAGCCAATCAGATACATCTGGAGCGCGCTCCGAGCCAGTTAGAGGCAATTATGAAGATCTACTTCTTAATAGGAAAACCTTCTTACAACTTTTTTTAGGGTGTTCAAATCAATGATCTTGTAGGAACATGGAAAATGCTGCTCGCTAAACCATGATAAAGTTTGCCATTGCTGCTGCTGATGGGGGGTTTGAAAAGTTAATAAATATTAGGTAGGTGTAGCAATCCATACATGTATGTAGGGTAGTAGGTGGTGATATCAATGATATATACCTAGAGTACCTATATATATATAGGTGGTATATCCATAGCACAGGGAGAGAGGATGACATATAACGAACTTTTCATGTTAGAGGTTCGCGAAGTACCCGAGAGCTATTCGCCACATATACTAATATAGGCGATATCTGCATAGGAATGTAGGCGTGCTTACTTACCTAGACTAACTTAATCCTCCATATTCTCCCACCGGGAGCTTCTGATATCTCCGTGTAAGGTGATGCGATTCGACTCCATTCACTTGTATACCTAGGTAGGTGAGGTAATCAATGTTTGTCTGCTGATTAATATACGCATGTTCAACACTTACGATATCCCTCATGTTATTCTTATCAGATGTTACGTAGGTATAGGTACCTAGGTTAGGTAGACACTACGTACATATGTAGCAACCATTTTTGTATACTATGTATGTAACGAACCGCTTATTTACCTCAGTGCCGGTAGTATTTAGCTAGGTACTTAGGTGCCTACCAGCTATGAGAATAGGTATTTGATATACTAGTATTAGGTCCTCCGCTTGTGAATGATCCAGAATGTGTGTTGTACGACTGCCTGCGGCAGGCTGATGGAGCTGATGGAATTGATGTATTTGGTGTCGTATAAGCTAGGACGAGACTTCACGTGTGTATGAAATAATAGGTGAGTGGATTCCATAGGGGGATACCATCGATAATAGCAAATATATATATGAGACTTGCATATAACGGTATATGCAGTTTATAGTTTAACTGATAACATTGAATTCGATGTACATACATGTACCTGCCTCGTAAGACCACATGATGTTGAGCGGATGGGCAGTGGCAAACTCTTCAAATTTCAAACAAACCATCGCATGATATGTAGTCAACGAACCAAATATAAATCACACAATCGAATAGGTCATGCGCAACAAAGCAAAGTGGTAGCCGAGTTCGTCATAGATATGTATGTACATGTACGTAAGTATTTATATCTAAAATCCCGGGAGCCCATCGAGTCTAATATACCTAACCTAGTATACATCAATGTTTTGTAATGCTGAAGCTAAATTTTCAGTCACATATAACTAACTTGAACGTTGAGCTTCTGGAGAGTCGAGACTGGTACTATCCAGGTACGTAACTCAATCACATATACATGTAATAGTAGTACTAATATGTATGGGTACATAGTAGTAACATCCTTCAATGTTCAATGTTGCGAAGTACATAACTATAAGGGTTTGACCATTATGTACTAGTGTGTATTATAAAGGTAGTACCTGCCTGGTAAGTTGAAACTTGAGGTATGTGAGTTAATAGGCAAGGTATTAGTATGTAGGGTCTTGGGGCTTCCTGCCCCGGGCGCGGATACCTCCTATCCTAAACTAAAAAAAACGAGACCCATCTGTCATCTCCCTTTACTTACATAGTTACTTCAATCTTATTTTTACCTTTCTCCTCCCTTTCATATCTCGATTCCACGTTTTTTTGGGAATATTTCGTCATGCCCTAACCTCAGGCTCGATCTTGATAGAGCCCACTGTCACCCAGCCTTCAACAATCCCCGTACCGTCAAAATACCGTCAAAGTACATAAGATATGCTTACCACACTGTGCCATTGATATCTTGACGAAAGCCCACTCGATCCCACGCCAAGTCGTCGTCCGAGTCTACCGCGCTCCATAATTTCCTTCGAAATAGAAGAAGCCGTAAAGCGGTCAAAATCCCCTTTGCCTACTCCCCATCGAATCCCATGTGCAGATATCGAAAACTCCAAAATTAGCATGACATGAGCGTAGCCAAAGTAAGATGACCAATAAACCGTTTTCTTGAAATGATGCCGATCTAATAGTATCTTGGAATTTGATAGAAAGATCCAACACTATGGCCTATTGCCGACCTACTACTAAGTGTCACCTCCTTCTTATAGCCCCAAGCCCCGGCGAGCCTGTTTCGATCGAGATCTCAAGCACCTTAACACCTCAACACCTTAACACATAACCCTTCATCCTTCATGCCCGATCGAAAGATATCGCCACCCAACCCTAGCTTTTCGGTAGTATAGCAAAAAAGCAAAGGATACCGCCAACCAGATCACCAGGCTTCTCTCATCCTCATAACTCTGAAGCTTACATAGACGATACCATCGAATGACAGGAATCATTTTGGTGACAATGGTGACATCCACGTCTTCTACACGTTGTGGCCAAGAAACTTTAGGCAAAACAGAACATGGTGTAGTGTGCCTTGTGCTGGAATAACACCATGGAGAAGCAACTAATCCGAATCGTCCACGGAATAAACACCTCAAGCTATATGATTCGTGGAGCCCGCAGGAGAATTCGGCCGGCACGTCAAGCCAAGTGTACTACCGCCCATGTCCGATCCCGCGGCTTACGAGTCCATACAGCCTCAACAAGATAAATCTTCCTTCAAAATTAAGTCCCCCAACGTTCTACATACCACGTCGGCATAGGACAGGCATAAATCAAAACGAGGAGACTTTGTCGAGGCTCACAAGTTCTGGTTCAACAGGTACTTCTCAGTCATGCCGAGATATCTGAATTGGGATGGCAACCACAAAACTTTTCAGGGTGCCGAGCAGCAAGTCTGGAAACACCCTTGGAAATGCCTCTCCCCTATCCGCCCTATCTCATCGGTAGTCTTCAATCTACCGGATTTCCTTTCTGGGGAACTTGCACCTTATCATAAGAAGGTAAGTATTGTGGACGTTGCCTAAATTCGTTTCATCCTAAGGATTCGTGGTGCCATTTCTCCTAGTCGAACTCTAAGCGGCTCATAATGATTCGAAGTGAAACCGGAACGTGTCTAAAATTCGCCCGTACACGTATCATGAAGCGAGAACTAGATACCTAGGCTTATGGTGCAGGTATATTATGGCACAAGCTATTCTAGTTCCCGCCGCAGCCGCTATCAAACCACACACTAACCACGGTAGGGCAACAAAACAAGATCCAGTCAAGACATCGTCACTCCGAAAATTGTGAGGTTCGTACTTGAGGTTTTATGTTGGCGTCCGCCCCCATTCTACGTATTATGCATATTCGGCAACGGTCTTGTGCTCGCTAGAAAACTGAGCGAACTCCTCTCTCCGCTTCTTCTCGTGCTTGGTAGTTGTGTACGACAATGCCGCAGTCCATATGGCTAACAAAATGGAGACGGCGATCATGGCCCACATTCCTCTCTAACCAGTCATTAATAAGCATGGTACTTTTGCGATAGGTAAAGCGGATCTTGTGAGCTGTTTAGGAGCATGATGACTTACAATAAACCACGGCGCCATAGATGCTCCGTAGAAGACGATACTCCACCAAGCATTTATGGCATTGCTTCCCAAATTCATACCGGCCAGCACGACAGCCCTGAACATTTGTTCCTCGTATCGAAGAGCATCATTAGCCCAGGCGAAGAAGGTAGCCTGACAGGCATAGACGGCGCCCGCCCAGTAATAAGCGCCGAACACCACAGCTGTCGATGCCGGGTTCGTGGGGTCCTTAGAGGCAGCTAGGATCATAGCAGAAGTGGCTATGCCCGTAATAGCAATGAAATATGCGGCAAGATATCGCTTGCCGTTAAGGAAATCGGTAAGGGTCGCCCAAAAAATCGTGGATATGATGCCGACGGCGGGTACTCCAGTAGGATAATTATTCAGCTGAGGGATGGAGTATTTGATGGTAGGATGACTTTTCATATACAAAGCCAGCAGCGCATTGCTACTGAAGGACTCGGTCTCGCCGGCGATAATCCAGAGCACCACAAACCCCCAAAAGAACCAAGATGTGAAGGATTTCTTGAAGAAGCTCCAGGAGACGGGCGATTTGTCCTCTACGGGCGGCACCCGGGATACGGCTAAGGCCCTCTCGGCCTCGCTCAGATAGAATGCCTTGGTTGTCGAAGGTGTATCTGGGAAGAAGCAGAAGCCGTAAAGCGCGATGGGTAGTGTGATCTAGACATGAATGATTAACATAAGTACAAAAGATAAGGGTCGAAACTTACAATGCCATCCATGATGAACAACCACCGCCAACCACGAAGGCCATGGACACCATTGAGACTGGAGTTAATGCCAGTCTGGATGAAACCTCCGATCATGGTTCCAGCCAGGCCGGACGCGGTAAATATACCGGATCGCTTGCCGAGCTCGCGCTCGGTGTACCAAGAGCCGAGGATATAGTGGGTGCCGACAAAGGTGGTGGCCTCGGCGATACCCTGGAAGAAGCGGATGGCCATGATGCTCTGGGGATTATGGACGGAGGCGGTTACCATGGTCAGGCCGGCCCAGACGATCATGCAAGCGGGGAAGAAGTATCGCGGCTTGATGTAGTGCAGCGACAAGTTCGCCGGGATCTGGCCAATCACGTAGCCGATGGTGAAGCACGTGTTGATCTGGTTCAGCTGGTCCCCCACGAAGCCGAGGTCCTCTTTCATCCCGGATACGTACGCATTGTTGAGGTTGGAACGGTCCAACTTTTTAATGCGTTGACTTATTAGCTAACAGAGACAGAGACAGAGACAGAGACAGAGAAAGGCATAAAGAAAGAAAGGGAAGGGGAGAGTTTACGACATACGTAATTGGTAAAGTAACTAAGACAGCAGAAGGTCAAGATGAAGAAATCGATCTTTCGCACCAACTTCCGCTCACCGGGTTGATACTCGGTATGGAAGTATTCCCTTAATCTTGACCTTGGTGTCGTCGTCGTCGGCGGCGGCGGCGGCTGCGTTGTTGTCACCGTCGCCATCGTTATGGTGTTGTGGGTTCCCCCACTCTTCGCAATCTACTGTAGGAAGACTGAAAGGGGGGAAAAAGATGAATCACCTAATCTTTTTTTTTTTTTTTTTCGCTTTCCAAGGTGATTCCAAGGTGAGGTGAATGGCGTCGGTCAATATGATATAGGTAATATTTATACGTACCTAGTACCTAGTATGCAGGTAGGTAGGGAGGTAGGGAGGTAGGTGCTTAGATAGATAAATATAACCCTACCAGTTGACATGCTTAACAGGACCTAAATATATACTTACTTATGTTCAAGGTTTACCTAGCCTAGTAGGTTGAGATAGGTAAGTTACCTAAGTAAGGCCTAGCTTGAGAAGAAGCTATCTACATAGTTAGATAAGATAGACGTTTGTATGTTAAAGGTATGTACTACGCAGTAAGTCCGCTTTGCGCCAAGAAAGCTGAAGTGACGAACACACATACATAAGTACATTATTAGTTGTAAGGACCTGCAGGTTCAAGGACCAAGATCCATGATGCTGGTATTTTGCGGGGGAAGGGTTTTTTGGAGATAAGAAAGGCGATTAATAAATGATTGAAACCAAACATCCAGGTTAGGTACATACATAGGGTACCTAATGCTTACGGCGTAGTATAAATAAAGATGAGTATTAGGTTTACTAATTTACTAATTAGGTTAGACAGGTTAGATTAGCATGTGGTGCTTCAAGGTTCGGGTCGATTCGAAATGCCACTTTCTCCTGCAAGATAAGAAAGTTGTTCCGATGCGATAGCTGATATAATATCATATCTAGTATCATATCTAGGTTAAAGTAACTTCCTTACATACTAAACCCTTTGTCTTCGTTTCTACCTCCGTAGATACCTAGATTAGAGATAATGATCCTTGGCTGTTATGTTAAAAGCGGGTGATGCTATCTACATATTCTATCTCGGTATCTCTCTATCTAATATGAAGAAAGATGAAGAAGACGAAAAAGAAAAATCTAAGCAGCTGTCACTCGGGTTCTATTGGCGCGGTGCGATGAGATGGGACAGTTACAAGGCCGGCACACACGACACACTACACGACGATATCGGATGTATAAGGGAGACAAGCCTCTATCCAACCCCCCTCCAAAACTTCCTATTACCTAGTAAAATTACCCAAGTAAGATAGAGAATACCTATTAACTATAAATTCTTTTTTGGTTTGCTATTCTATACTTTTCCCCAAAGTGTTAGCTGGCTGATTTATAATAATACCGTCGTCAATAACGGAATAAAGACTCCGGAAATACTATTCCCATCAGCGCTGCCTATGCATACCTAACACTGCTATTCTAATATCCATTTAGCTGTTCTTCACTTTTAAAGCGTAGCGTTTACGTGTATATACTTGCCCACTTCAATCATATCATATATACATAAAGGATCGGATATACACAAACACAAACAAACAGAAAATGTCCAAGGGAAACTGGGAGGAGATCGGAGCTAAGAAGCGGCAGCAGCTCGCGAGCTCGATCCCAGCGGAGTGGCGGATCCCGCCGCACCTGCAGCCGGCCGACGACGAGGACGACGTGACCGGCTTCCCCGAACGCTCCGGCGGCTTCTTCACCCCCTCCGAGCTCGCCATCACGAGCCAGACCGCCTCGGAGCTTCTCCCCAAACTCGCCTCGGGCGAGCTGACCTCCGAGGCCGTCACCCGCGCCTTCTGCAAGCGCGCCGCCGTCGCCCACCAGCTCGTCAACTGCCTCTCCGAAACCTGCTTCGACCGCGCTCTCGCCACCGCCAAGCGCCTGGACCTGCACCTCGCGCACACGGGCAAGACCGTCGGCCCCCTCCACGGCCTCCCCATCTCCCTAAAGGATAACTTCCACCTCGTGGGCCTCGACTCCACCGTCGGCATGTCCGCGCACGTCGACGACCCGGCCCCCCACGATGCCGTGCTCGCGGACCTCCTCCAAGCCGCCGGCGCCGTCTTCTACGTGAAGACGAACGTGCCGACCGCCATGATGATCGCCGAGAGCGTGAACCACGTCTTCGGGCGCACCGTCAACCCTCGAAACCGGAAACTCACCAGCGGCGGCAGCTCCGGCGGCGAGAGCGCGCTGATTCTATTCAAGGGAAGCCCATTGGGCGTCGGCACCGACATCGGCGGCTCCCTGCGCATCCCCGCCGCGTGCACGGGGATCTTCACGCTGAAGCCCAGCTTCGGGCGCTTCCCCACCCTGCGCTGCCGCAGCGGGATGCCGGGCCAGGAGGCCGTGCAGTCGATCAACGGCCCGCTGACGCGCACGCTGGAGGACCTGGAGCTGTACAGCCGCACGGTCGTGGGCGCCGAGCCCTGGAAGCTCGACCCCCGGTGCCTGCCGATCCCGTGGCGCCCCGTCGGCCCCCAGCTGCAGGGCAGGAAGCTGAAGATCGCAGTCATGTGGGACGACGGCATGGCGCTGCCCACGCCCCCCGTGACGCGGGCCCTGCGCCTCGCCGCCGAGAAACTCGCATCCGCGGGCCACGAGATCACAGCCTGGTCGTCGGAGGACCAGACCGCGGGCTACGACCTGCTGAACCAGATGTTCCTCGCGGACGGCGGGCGCGCGATCGCGCGCGAGCTGGAGCGCACGGGCGAGCCCTGGAGGCCCGAGATGCAGATGTACGCCGACGCCGCGGAGCTGACCACCCTGCAGTGCTGGCACATGCACCTCGAGCGCCAGGCCTACCAGAAGCGGTACCTGGATCGCTGGCTAGGCGCCGGGATCGACGCCGTGCTGTGCCCCACGACGCCGTATAGCAGTGTGGAGAACGGGAAGTTCAGGCATGGTGAGTTTTTCCCTTCCACACCCTTCCGCCAAAGGCTGGGTTCCCATGAATGAATGAATGAACGAATGCTAACACATGCGCACCCCCCCACCCCCTGGTACATAGTTGGCTACACAGGCGTCTGGAACGTCCTAGACTACGCGTGCATATCTTTCCCTAGCGGCGTCAGCGTTGACAAGGCCGTCGATGTCGCGCTGGGCGACACCTATAAGCCGCTTTCGGAGACGGATCGCATTATACAGACGGAATGTGAGCTCCCCCACCCCCTCCCCCACCCCCTTTTTCCCACGCAAACGCAACAACAAGTCCCAATATGCTTAACAATATCCTTATTTGAACTTTAGATGATCCCGAGGCGGTGCACGGAATGCCCGTCAACTTACAACTAGTAGCCCAGAGACTTGAGGAGGAGAAGTGCGTGGAGATGTGCAAGGTCGTGCTCGATGCGATATCATAGATAACCTGCTTATTCGAAATCAAAATTTACATACCCAGCATATCTAGGTAGACACAGGAGGACAAGATGGTGCCTAGAGACAAGACATCCATAGAGTTATACTGGCATTACTAACAAGTCTGAGGCCAGGTCCTGATTATAAATGTAACATAGGTACCTAAGATAGGCACCAAGTAGATAATATACCTAGGTAAATAACAGATGTATGGATATCCGACATGATACAAGTACCAACTACAATTTCATCAATGAAAGAAAAGCCGTGACTGTCATCGACTTTAGTCGTATCGACGTGGCAAACCCCAATATACATACACCCTTGCAATGTTGACGCCTATTCGAAATCATTCAGAGATAAACTTTTGATGTGATAGCATTCGAGCTAAAGACTTCCGTCTTCGATGTGTTTTTAAGGAGGATAGACAATCAGGATTGGGGTGGCCACCTAGTTCAGAGATCATGTGCTAGACAATCCCGTCCTAAAAGTAAAATTGTTGTTGAGATTGTCCCGGAGGAGCTTGTGGGAGGAAGTCGAAATTCATATCAGCGCCTGCGTAGAAAGGGTCTGGTGATTCTAGCGATATCAATTAGCTTCCATACGAAGGCACGTGATGTATTTACTGACCCCAGAAGATAGAATCGTAAAGGTCCATTGGAGCTAAGGCATTGGGATCTAGTTGGCCCAAGTCTGATAGCCCAACGGACGGTTGCATCGGCGGTTGGTATGGCATCGATCTGTATCCACCTGTTAGCACCTCCCCCTCTATTGTCATCATAACTGACTTACGTTGCGTAATCCGCAATATTGTTTCCATTCTGTAGCTCTGCCATGGCAAGAGCTGCATCCTGATGTCTGTCATATCCAGGCTGTAAGCGGAATTGTTGGTTTAAATTTGGGATATTTTGTTGAATGGCAGCTCCAGTTGGTGTGCGAGTTCCAGATGCGCTCTCGCTCTTAACACCAGATGCTCCATGAAGAGATCCATAATCGTATATGTTTTTAAGTGCTTCTAATGCTCTCGAAAGAGGCCCCGACAACTCGATATCTCTATCAATTTTAGGAATATATTCAGGGGTGGGGCTTGTTTGCTCCTTAGCCGCCGCCGCCGATAGAGCCGAAATCAAATCTCCCTGGAGCTGACGGACTTCAGGGTCCAGCTTCGTCTCGCACAAAATGCCGAGAAGAACAGCAGAAGAAAGGCCGTGATAAGTAAAAGCCCAACTTCTGGTCGGTATGAATGATAACTGGTGCATTGACAGAAACATTCGCACTGTCTCAGTCAGATTTGTCTTGCATTTATCGGCCAGTGCCTTCTTTTCATTTGGTCCTAGGCTAGTGCAGTCTCGGCGAAGGGCTGGGCGACAGCATACAGATACTACAAATGCGGTATGTAAACGTACGGCGTAGTGCTGGAGTTTATCGACTACGCTTTTGCAGGCTTCTTTGCTGCGCAGCTGAGGATAAACTTTCTCGCGAATGGACTCGATGGCGTCGCAATTCTCGAGAATAGTTTCGTAAGAGTAATCAGCAGTGGCATCTGGGTTGAGTTTCTGCGATATGATTTGGCAAAGAGTGTACATCGCTTCAAGATACGACAATCCTTCCACTGCAGAGCCTGGTGATAATGGAAGTGGACAGCACTGGATATTGGTCATGTTGGGGCTGTACAGATGTCAGTGAAGGTTGCATTCAATGTAGGGAGAGACCTTACCGATCGAAAGATAACGACGTCAACGTATCGTGCCATAGACAAGTCCACCTGAGGTGTGTAAGTGGAACAGCTTGAGAGAAAGTTCAAAGTAGGTATGCTCACCATAGTTTTCTTCTCACATATGTCTTGAGCGATATTTCAGTCGAGCCAGATTCGTCTGATGTCACAGCACGATGAAGGCCCAGCGACTGTGCTAACCTACAAGTCATACCTATTAATGCCCAAGAAGCCTCGGCTTTCATGTCATTGAGAAGACAGAAACCTGTCAATAGGAGTGCCTGAATTGAATCTAGGTTCGGTCTAATGGAGAGTATTAGAATCCAGGGATTTACGAAGTAGGCTCAGTAACATACCGCAATAGAAAGTTTCCCAGGCGGAGGAAATGGAAAGAAATCTGAACATATCTCTGCGCATCTCGTGTCCGAATATGGTATGGTGAGTCACGATACTGTGAGCCAACTGCCATTACAGAGAAGAGGATGGCCAACCACGGTGCAGACACGCGCCGATTCGACTTGCTGTGTTCCCTAGCATTTTTCGCCCGCTCCTCGAGATAGATCATTATCCGAGACTCCAAGTCATCAATATCAATGACAAAGCCCCAAAATGGGTGCGCGATCTCTTTATAGGCCCTGAACAAACTATTGAAGCGTAAATTGGTATATCGCCCTTGTAGTAAGATGGTTACGGGTTGTATCGACTTACATCATTACTTCTCGATCAGAAGGAAGTTCCGAGAAGATGTCCTGTGTCAGCTGACTGAGGTGTTTTGACGACATGAGGGGGAAAGGTGCAGAATTATCGAGCCCAAGTATTGGACGCATATCACGGCGTATGTCAACACCATCTTTGGTTTCTATGGGAGATGGTTGATCCCGCAATAGCGCAGGAATACTATTTTGACCGACGTAGCGTGAGATATCTATAGTCTCGGGCTCGTCTTTATCATCGATACTAGTTAGCGATATACTGAGACATGTCTTAGATCTCTGGTTAAGCACACCTATTGCCTGAGTCCAACCCTCGGGTTGATTATCGCTGCCTTGGTCATTGTTGATACTATCGGGAGAATGAGCCCTTTTCTTCCCCTGATTTCCTTCAGCTGATATGGAGGCCTGCTTGGAGGCACTTGAACGATTAGGTTTGTAAGAGCATAGTTGTGGATGTTCTCTTTTGACGCAATTTTCACAGGGTTGCTTGTTGTCGCATTTCACCTTACGCTGTCTGAGAAGGAAAGTATAGTTAGCACGGACATGAATCTACCTGCGGATCATGCCTAGAGAAATATGAATTAATATCTGCGCACCTGCATGGCCAGCATGCCGTACCTAGAGAGAGTCCTTGTAAGTTTATGGACCTTGTGGAGTTTAGGGAGCATGCCAAGTTTCTGAATGTAATCGGCTTCAAGTTGCCAGTGAATAAAACATATCAACTTACCATATCGTACTTTGCGGTGAGAGTGAATAATATGACTAGCTTGTTCAGGGGTCAGGTCCTGAATAGGAACCTGATTGATGTCTTGTTCCGATGACATGAGCGCCGATTTGCTATGTCGAGCTAAACTCACACCCGTTGGACTTGGGCTTAGAGTTTCCACCTCAACCACAAAGCCCGAGGATTCCAATAAACGAATAGAACCTAGGATCAGGCTACAAAAGCCGATCAAGGGTGTGGACCTTAGCGCAGAATCAGTGCAGAAATCAGTGCAGAAATCAGTGAAGGGCAGTACTGTATAAAGGGTTATCAGGGCATTCAGGGCATTCAGGGCATTCAGGGCAGTCAAGGGCAGTATTCCAACGAGATTAGTTAGCAAGCTTCTTTAGCTGTTGGAAGATGGCAACTTGAAGTGAGCAATGGGTAAAGAGGAATGCCGAAGACCGAAGATCGAAGATCCTCTGGACCGTTGTTTGAATAGGAGCGGGGCAAAGAAGTCGATTAAGCAATGAATGCCGCAGGTCTTAGGTAGATGCCAAGCCTCACTTTTCCTAAAGGACTCCAACACGCCGAACTTTCCGAACTTTTTACGCCACTACATGTTGTAGTTAACGCCACATCTTGTCTGATCACATGATTTAGGTAGGGCTTGGCCTTTGGGAGCCCATTTACTAGGTACTAGTTACTAGTATGACATTTGTAGCACGTGATGCAGCACGCGCTTGGTTCAAGTTGGTTGAACCCAGCCGCGTTTAATAACTAGTTACTAGGTACGGTACTTCATAGGTATTACCCCCTACAGTGTGCGTCACACATGTGCAGTACCCCGCCATTAATACAGCAACTGCCAACAGCAGTGGTCAAGTCCAATGCTACCTAAGTACCTACACTACACCATCAGGGTCGTTCGTACAACAAAAACTTGATCCCGCTTGTTAATTAACTTAATTTACCCTCAACAACTCCAACTCCCAACTCCCGGTATCATTCTGGACAGTACTAAAAAAAATAAGCGCTACGGTATTGTTCCCGACTACGCTTTTCACTTGATAGAAACCTGCCTAGGGTACCTACATTTGAAGCTTCTTCATCCTCAGGGGCTTTTCTACCCACATCTGTAACTTTCTATACTAGAATCAAATCCAGGCTAAAAGACTACAGCCCTGGAGGGAACCCGGAGGTATTACTGATGTGCTAGGTGTTCAATATTATATCCGTGGTCGGCTGTATATATACATATATAAAGTCGCTGGGAATATATAATTACTACGATTCTCTAGGTGCCGCTGATGAGAGTCTGTTTTCGTCATTCTGCGTTGTTTACAACTCCACGGATCTCGCTCTCATCCATAACCTCAAGACCCAAACTCGGATCCCGATCTTGGAACCTACAAGTCTCGCCGGCATTTATATTACGTCCGATTTCCCTATCACGGAACGCGGTTGCTATCGAAATGGATAAGGTCGACACAACTGCTCGCCTTGCCGAGCTCCGCAAACTTATGAGCGAGAACAAAGTCGATGTGTACAGTAGGCTAGCCAATTTGAATCTGCATTGAACACCTGGGATCTTGACAGCTGACTATTATCCTGTCAAGTCGTCCCGTCCGAGGATAGCCATTCTTCTGAATATATCGCGCCTTGCCATGCTCGTCGTGCCTTCATCTCTGGCTTTACGGGCTCTGCTGGTTGTGCGGTCATCACCCATGAGAAGGCTGCTCTGGCTACCGATGGACGGTATTTCAACCAGGCCTCCCATCAGCTTGACGAGAATTGGTTATTATTGAAGCAAGGCCTGCAAGATGTCCCTACGTGGCAAGACTGGTCTGCGGACCAGGCTACTGGTGGCAAAACCGTGGCTGTAGACCCAACCTTATTAACGAGCGGCACAGCCAAGAAGCTCTCCGAAAAGATCAAGAAGCTTGGCGGCAAGGACTTGGCTCCTGTTGATGAAAACTTGGTCGATAAAGTTTGGGGAGACGACCGCCCGGCTGAGCCCAGTGAGCCTGTCATTATTCAAGACACAAAGTTCTCTGGCAAGGATGTCAAGACAAAGCTTGCAGAACTTCGGAAGGAGTTTGAGAAGAAGAAATCTCTCGGATTCGTTGTTTCACTACTCGATGAAATCGCCTGGCTCTTCAATCTTCGTGGCAATGATATCCCCTATAACCCCGTCTTCTTCTCGTATGCTATTATCACCGCTACTGAAGCTACATTATACATAGATTCTTCAAAGTTAAGTGCGGAATGCCAAGCGCACCTCACAGAAAACGAAGTCACTGTCAAGCCGTACAAGGACATATTCGGCGACGCTGCTGCGCTGGGAGAATCAGCAAAAACGAAGGTTGACGAAGGTGGCGAGAAAAAGAAGTTCCTTCTTTCAAATCGCGCCTCCTGGGCTCTTAAGCGGGCGCTGGGTGGTGACGAGATGGTTGAGGATATTAGAAGTCCCATTGGTGATTCCAAATCTGTCAAAAATGAGACAGAGTTAGAAGGGATGAGGCAATGCCATATCCGAGATGGCGCGGCTCTCACTGAATATTTTGCCTGGCTTGAAGATCAACTAATAGCAAAGAAAGCAAAACTCGATGAGGTTGAAGCTGCTGATAAACTCGAGGAGTTGAGAGCGAAGCAAAAAGATTTTGTGGGGCTCTCCTTTCCCACAATATCATCAACAGGGCCAAAGTGAGTGTTAGAGATTGTCGTCTTACTAATCCCATTCAACGCTAACATATCTCATCAGCGCCGCGGTGATCCACTACAAGCCAGAGCGTGGAAACTGTTCGGTTATCGACCCTAATGCAGTCTATCTATGCGATTCTGGTGCACAGTATCGTGATGGAACCACAGATACAACGAGAACATTACATTTTGGCCAACCTACGGAAGCCGAAATAGAGGCCTTCACTCTCGTGCTGAAGGGACACATCGCTCTAGACAGAGCCGTATTCCCTAAAGGAACAACAGGGTTTGCACTGGATGGCCTTGCCCGACAGCATTTATGGGTATGGATTCATGGATAATAGAACCCCGGAGTCTGAGCACCTGCTGACAAAATTTTTAGGCACATGGACTTGATTACCGCCATGGCACCGGCCATGGTGTTGGTTCGTACTTGAATGTCCACGAAGGCCCCATTGGTATTGGTACTAGGTCACAATACTCTGAGGTTTCGCTCTCGCCGGGTAATGTCATTTCTAATGAGCCTGGCTATTACGAAGATGGTTCCTTTGGCATTCGCTGCGAGAATATAGTCATGGTTAAAGAGGTGCAAACTAAGCACAAGTTTGGCGAAAAGCCATATCTTGGGTTTGAGCACGTCACCATGACACCATACTGCCGCAAGCTCATCGATGCTAGCCTGTTGACGGAGGAAGAGAAGAAGTGGCTCAATGACTACCATACCGACGTCTGGAATAAGACAAAGGGGTACTTTGAGGGTGATGAGATCACAACAGCATGGCTGAAGAGAGAGACACAGCCGTTTTAGATTCATAGCTGGCTTCATTCTCGCTTTTCATATATTACATGCATGGTTATGTAAACTCCTAGGTAACTAGAATTGCATGAAAGCAGACATAGCAAAGAACAATCCGAATGACAGCTTGAACGCAGGATTCTTTTCCAACGCTGCCAAGACACGTGAATTCCCGAGTCGTTGCTTTAACTTGAGTTGTTGTACTAGATCAAGACCGTATCTCGAAGCCACCTGGAGATGAGATTAGGGTTAAGAAGCTTTTTTGAGAGAGGGATTCAGGTCTACGCACTTGGATAATAACAACGGATAGGCCCAGGAGCAGTACTAAGGTCTTGGAAAAGATGCTAATAATTACACCAGAAACGAAACCTTTTTTTTCTCACAAAAGTTAAGTAGTAAATTAGTCACCATTTTTAGTAGTCAACCGCCAAACATAGCTCCAAGGCTATACTAAACGCACCTGTGACACTCCCACCGGAGAGCTGCTTCAAGAGCTCGGGGTCTAGCTTCTCTTGTCTAGGGGGAGCAGAACGACTAGTCATCGGCCGTGGTGTGTCTCGGGCATCGAGTCGTAGCCTGGGCTGTTTGAAGGCTGCTATGCTTGTGCCGAGGGATAGGCCGACGATGCTGGCGCCGAGGGCATGGCGTGGGAGGAAGGTTCGTGTGAGGAGTCTTGCTGACATTTTTTTTTTGTCTTGGGTAGGTATGTGTAGTTGGTGTTTATAGACGATTAATGTGAAGACACTAGGTTAAGTACCTAGGTGTAAAAGACTATTGATTGGAGAATTGCTACAGCAATTATCTACCCTCCCAGGTAAGCAAGTGGTTAGGTTACCTTTTCAAAATACGACGTTGAATTAAGAGGGATTGGCTAAAAAAAAAAAAAAGGATGGCGAGACGTTTGGTTTATCGTGTAGTTTGTGTTGTGTGTGTGTGTGGAGGTAAAAAGGAAAAAAGGAATGTTCGGAACAGCAAATCCTAGCAGCTAATTGACGTCAGAGGATCACAGCTGCGCAAATCAGATACGGCATCCTGTCGTGATACAAGTCAAAATCCCTGGATCAAGCTCCACACAGCTTTGGACGGAGCTAGCTAGACGGAGCCCACGGGATTTATTTAGCTCCCGTGTCTTGGTGTTAAGCTTACTTACATAGTGCTGTGCATAGTTATTAGTAGTACCATTCTTTTCTTCTTCTTTCTTCCTCCTCCTTTTACCCTCAAGTGTCAGTTTACTCTCAAGTGTCAGTATAAATCTCCCAGGTCACCTAGTCTCCGAGACAAGCCTTGATGTTGCAAATTGAGGATTATATTTTATATCAATAATGCAAGAATGCATCGCAATTGCATGCAATTAATTCATCGGCGTCAAAAACCGAGCACATAACTTTGACCTTCTTTTCTTGGGATAGGTCTTCCTTTGAGACTCCTGAACGCCCGGCTCGCCCTTGCCTTCCTACCGACCCTGTGAAATGCCTTGGTATCTCATGCCTCTCCTCGTCACCGGTTCTCTCTCTTTTGTACAGGTTCCCCCTTACACTCCACATAGGCAAGTGTAGCTTTGTATAAGCTCGAGGAAATGTTTCCACAATGCTCCTCAACTATAATACTAAGCGTAGAAAAAGGGCGAAGAATGGTAATAGTGGATAGTGTGATCTTGCTTATCCAAGACCACCCCATACGCCGCGTATCCGTCGGGCGAGTTGGATGTCCTTCTGCATGATGGTAACTCGTTTCGCGTGGATGGCGCATAGGTTCGAATCCTCGAAAAGATGAACGAGGAAAGCTTCAGAAGCTTCTTGGAGTGCTAGTATGGCTTGCGACTGCCATCGCATTCCTTCGTCTGCCGGGCGCATTGTTAAGGCGATTTCGCGAACCTATGGTTTCAGTTAGCATTGCGCCGTCCATTGGGTTTGTGTTGCGAGGGAAAAAAAACATACGACTCGAGCAAATGGCAGCTTTCGTAAAAGTAGGTCGGTACTGTTCTGCAATCGTCGGATCTCTTTCAATGCGAGAGTTCCGGGTCTATACCGTCTTCTTCGAGGAGGAGGGTAGGGAATAGGGTCGCCAGCTGCCAATACGTTAGTATTTTCGTTTCGACAAAAGGGTTCTATGGTTTCTCTTCATAGACTTACGCTGTACATTCCCGGCGCCTCCTGCTCCTCCTCCTGCGCCAGTAGCAGCACCACCTCTACCACCCCCTCGACCTCCTCGGCCTCGTCCTGCTCCACGGCCGCGCCCGCCTCCGCCGCCTCGACCAGTCATTTTTATGGGATTGCGACAGGCAGGTTTAATAGAATGTGCAAAAGCCGAAGCGATGTTTCAAGTCGTCTCAATGCGAAAGTTATGCGACAGTGTGTACTTCAGCTCAGTATGCAGCTTAGGGTTATAGGGAAATAGCAGTATGTAGATAGAAGAAGTGATTGTGATTGTGTGTCGAACAATGGGTAGCGTCATTCAAAGCTGGGTCGTGAAAGAAAAAGACACTGTAAGCAGTGGTCCATTCCTATGAATTAAAGAAAGAACAAGAAGAAAGAATCCGAACCCGGTGAATGCGAAAATAAAATATTGTATGGGAAAAGTAGGAAAATGGGAAACGGGGATCGTGCAACGTTGGAACATGCAAAAAACCATGTGGCTGGGAATTATAATTGGCCAATATCCCTTCACCCTGCCAAATTCACTATAGAAACGCGAAAAAAACGAAGTAACACGTCCCCGCGACGCGCTACCCAGCCATTTCAATTAAAACCCCTGTTGTGGCGCCAGGATGTTGGAAAATAAGTACCTAGGTACCACTAGTTAGTTGTATCTCCACATGTGCACTAGTGACTAAAGAACCCTCTAGTCTACTATTTAGGGGTTTAATGAATAAACACCTCATTGAAATGCAAAAACTAAGATAGTATTCATTTATCAGAGAGTTTGTGGTTAAAGGGACCAAGGAATTAGTTTCCATTTGAATGTTGTGTCGGCCCGTAATAAATTAATGACAAGTCATAGGTCAATCAATGCTCCGATAAGGCCAGATTAGCAGGTGCAAGTGGGCTGACCAAACATAACTTGCCATCGCCGTCATTTACCCAGGGTCTGTACATGTTAAACCTCCATCTTACCTTCAATCTTCAATCTTCACCCACCCAACAGCATTTGAACCTGAAAAACCTTGAGCTTCCTTCTTCTCCTGAAATCCTAAGTAACCTAGCTGTACCTCTTGTTGATGCGCGCTGTCCTAAACGTACCTTTTTTCGGAAATATAATCTCAACCGTATACATCTTCACAATACTTACGTAGCTTTCTATCCCCCGCAAACGAGCCGGCCAGGATGGATCAAATGGTGATGGGCGATGGCGGTCGAAACCCGTTAGAAGCCTGGTTTTGGGAGATGCCCATATGCACTCGATGGTGGACAACAGCGACGGTTCTTACTAGTGCTCTGGTCCAGTGCCAGATGGTCACGCCGTTTCAACTGTTTTATAGTGTCCGAACAGTATTCCAGAAGGGAGAGGTAAGAGAAGAACTTATACCATTATTTCGTGCCCTCCTAAGTGATGGACAACCAACATTTCTGGCTTTGCTATCGAACTTGCTGACTCGACAATGTGTGTAGTATTGGCGATTATTGACCACGTTTTTATACTTCGGCCCGTTCTCTCTCGATCTCCTTTTCCACGTCTACTTCCTTCAACGCTACGCTCGCCTCCTTGAGGAGTCGTCGGGCCGATCACCGGCCTACTTTTCTTGGCTCCTCATGTATTCGATGGCGTTCTTGATTGTACTCTCGCCGTTGGTGTCTATGCCATTCCTCGGCCACCCACTGTCATCGACGCTTGTCTACATCTGGTCGCGACGCAACCCAGACACTCGCCTGAGCTTTTTGGGTCTATTAGTCTTCACAGCGCCGTACCTACCCTGGGTTCTGATGGGCTTTAGCCTTGTGATGCATAGTACGATTCCCAAGGATGAGATTATGGGTGTTGTCGTCGGGCACATCTGGTATTTCTTCACTGATGTGTATCCTCCGATGCATAATGGCTCCCGGCCACTTGACCCACCCAGGTGGTGGCGTCGTCTGTTCGAAGGTCGACAACAAAGAGAGGATACGGCCAATGCGATTAATAATGAGTTCGCAGTGGCAGGGGGCCCCGAGCTAGCCGCAGCCGACATGCGGTAAGCTATTGCATCGGATAAACTTGACGATGGTGTCTGTTTCCTTTATGGGTTATCATATCAATATCATTTTAAGGGCGTTATGGGACGGTGTCAGATTGTGCGACGACTCCGGTTATGATAGGCGTTGCAAAGGACACGAACAAGACGGGTAGCGTTTCATACTCTCGATCCAAGAAAAGTGTGGTAGGAAACACCGATGAGCACTTGTACATACGATTCTAAAAAAATGATGAGCTTATCAATATGCGTTTGATCGCGACCTAGAGCAATGCTATTGCTTCATATAGGTAATCACTTAGATACCTTACTTGGCAAGCAAGTACTGAGTAGCTATGAGTGTGTAGACATACATGTTCATAGGAATGGAAGCAATGCTAGTCCATCTTGTATTCCACTGCTTACGCCATCCCATGTTGTATTTACCGCAAACTTCGTATTCATATCATATGTTTACATGGATACCTAGTAGTTACTGTAGACCAAACTATGAGCTTAGGTATTTATCTACGAAGTAGTCTACTATTCAAGGGGCAAATCTCAACTTTAACTACATATACTACATCGCTTCTATACCTCGTACATACTACACGCCCATGTTAACTATATCTACCTAATGCAGGGCACTTACGCACCAAGCTGACTAAGTCCAGACTGTCCAGTCCATCCCGCCTTTAAGTTATGTCACTAGCCCCACCAAAGAGAAAAAAAAGCCAAATGCTGATTGCCCGACGTCACAATCTTGGAATCGCTGGCGCCATCTATGTTACTAGCCAACCTATAGGGAATTACGAATTAGCGGCACTTATACAAAGGAAGGAAGCGCAACTTTCAATATATTTATACAATATATTTATATAACCAGCTAACCTACCTAGCTTCCGTTCTTCCATCCATACCTACTTTGGCTTCTTACTACCATACCATATTCATCTATCTATCTGTTGAATCTAAATAAATCGCTTTTGAATTTCATCGTTGCCGATACAAGTTTCATCATTTGTCAGACATTTCCAAAATGCGAGCATACTGGTACGATAACGCTCCTGTAAGTAAATGAAAGAAAAAAATCCGAGGCGCAAAAAAATGCCCCTCATCACACCATCCCGGGCAACTCTCGCGAAAGCGCTCATGCGTAACACACACAGCCTTGCGATATCTACATCCTTCACCAAAACATAATCCATATATCTAACAATTAACACAGGGCGACCAGCGCCTACCCCATGACTCAGGCAAGGACATAGACGCCGCGGCGCTGGAGAAGCTGGGCGTGCTGTACTACAAGTACCCCGAAGTGTCGGCGGTGGACGCGCTGGCGCAGGACCGGGGCTACAAGAACCGCGACGAGATCACGGTGTCGCCCGAGAAGATGGGCGCCGTGTACGAGGACAAGGTCAAGTCCTTCTTCCACGAGCACCTGCACGAGGACGAGGAGATTCGCTACATCCGCGACGGCCAGGGGTACTTCGACGTCCGCAGCAAGGGCGACGAGTGGGTGCGCATCCAGCTCGAGAAGGACGATCTGATTATCCTGCCCCCAGGCATCTACCACCGGTTTACTACGGATGAGAGCAATGTAAGCCTGTGCTTCCTTTATAAATGAATGTTTACGCGATGACGTTGGGGGATGAGAAGAGCTAATCCGTTGCTGTTGCAGTATATCCAGGCGATGCGCCTTTTCAAGGACGAGCCCAAGTGGACGCCCCTGAACAGGTCTAGTGAGCTGGACTCGAACAAGTTCCGCAAGGAGTACGTCGAACACTACCTGGAAGAATGAAGGTTGGAGGATATTAGAAGGGATGGAGGGGATCGTGAAAATGGGTTTCTGTAGGTTTCTTCAAGCTAGCGAATGAATGAGACAGTAGCAAATAGTTTTGTGAATAAAAGCCTCTTGATGATGTTACGCATGAAATGGATATTTACCATCTAGAAGTTATACCCAAGAATACATGGTCAGTGGTCACTACATGTACTACTACTATGTACGTATGTAGAGCCAGTGAGCCACAAGTTCGGGAAACGATATTGCGGGGATTAGTAAACTGCATACCCCAGTTCGATAGGTGCACAGGGAACCCCAAATTCGGTACTAAACTACCGATTTTTACCACCTGGACACCTTGGACAGATCCACTACTAGGTAAATACCTACTTGATCTCCAAATCATCATCACCTCCAACATGTACCTACTTCCCTACAAACCATGCTGTATCATTGGGTAAAGGTAGCAAGACGAATTGTATCTGCGAAAAATGATGAGCTGCTCATTGACTCGTAATCAGCAAGAACATGGATTCTAGATCTGTGTCTGAGGCTGCTCAGCCCTCGCCCGCGGGGAGCATCAGTAACGTTCCCAAGGGCAAACTGCTTCTGCCTGCCAGCTGCGAACCTCCGCTGCCGAATGCGCCTAGGAAGCAGCTTGTATGGATCGTGAGTATTCATCCATCCCCCGTTACTTTCTTATTTGTTTTTTACTTTTGCATGTCTGTGTGTGATCAATGGCTAAAATACATCATCTGCGCAAAAGGTTTTTGGAGGTACTGGCCACATGGGCCGTTCGCTCGTGAAATGTGCTCTAGCCCGCGGCGACCTAGTAGCGGACGTGGGCCGCACATTCGAAAGCACGCCTGAGGAGATGGCGGCAGCGAACCCGCACGAAAACTGTCTGGGCCTGCTGTGCGACGTACGCGCGCGGCAGAGCGTAGCGCAGGTCGTGGAACGCACGCTCGACCACTTCGGCCGCGTCGACGTCGTTGCCAACTGCTCTGGCTACGGCGTGATTGGCGCCTGCGAGGACCAGGACGACCACGAGGTCCGCAACCAGTTCGAGACCAACTTCATGGGCACCCTGCACATCATCCAGGCCACGCTCCCTTACTTCCGGCAGCAGAGTGCCGGCCGGTACTTGATCTTCAGCTCGACGGGCGGCGCTTTGGGTGTCCCCGGGTTGGGACCGTACTGCGCGACCAAGTACGCGGTCGAGGGCTTGATCGAGGCTATGCTGTACGAGATCGACTCGTTCAACGTGAAGGCGACGCTGGTGGAGCCGGGGCTCGTGCGCCGCGATGAGCCGGACGCCCAGGCGAACCCGCTCCCGACGTGGGGCCACTTCCTCATCAAGCCGGCCAGCGAGGCCTACGGGCACGCGACGTCCCCCGCCCTGCACGCGAAGCGCATGGTGCAGTGGCTCGGTGATCGCCAGCCGACCAGCGCGGTAAAGTGCGCGGAGCTCGTGTGGCAGCTCGCGCACTGCTCGTACCCGCCCTTGCGTCTTGTGCTGGGGAGCTATGCTATCGAGAGTATACGGGACAGGCTTAGGTCCGTCACGGAGGAGCTCGAAGATTGGAAGCATTTGAATTACCCCGCAGCTCCGGAGACGGAGGGGGGTAGTGGGAGTGGTGCTGGTGGTAGTACTGGTGGCGGCAATGCATCGGCTTCGGTGTCGGGGCAGGAGGGTAGCAAAGATAGGGAGAGGGATGACGATACGGGGGATTCAGCGGCGGAGATGCCGGAGCTTATGGATCTTACTTAGGGATTCACGGGGAAGTCTTACGATTAAGGGTGTTTTACTACGCACAGCAGAGTTTATTGAATGTCATTACACGATACGATGGAGCATATGGCACGGGCATTGGTGAGGAGTCTGGACTAAACAGACTCACTCATCTAGGTAACCAAAAATATTTGTCACTAATAAAGCTCAGATAGTCTTCTTTATGATCCCATCCCCCCTATTAGTAAAAGAAAGGGAAGTTGATCACTCATGAAGCGGTCAGTCTACTAGGCACCTGTGTACCATCTATGTAGTATATTAGTATATTAGGTATGCAAATGAAATTGTAACATAAGGGAACTTGAAATAATCCAGCGATATGCAAATAATGGTGTATTTGATCTGAACCCGCTGATAGGCCACAACTGTGGCGGATTTTACAGCGATCAATGATTGGGATTTCTAATTTTACCATGCCAAGCCTCAACTAAGATTGCACTATCGCTGAGAAGCCTCGTACAGGTTGATGCAACGCCACATCAAGTACCTTTACTTATCAGCATAAGTCACTCTTGTTATCTCCATACTTGTGCACTTTGACACGCGTCTATGAAGAAGAAAAAGGTTTTATTTTTATTTTTTATTTCCCATTAGGTATCTGGCTCTTTATTAAGTTCTTGCTCTCAATTAAAGAGTTAGAAATACTATGGGAAGAAAGTGAGGTTTATTACATGAAGATAACCACATAAACGATACATCATTCTTGCAGCCTGCAATCTCGTCGCAACCTACGCGTTAGGCGGCTCCACATCCCCGTGCGCAGCGCCGTTCTAGGCTTGACAGATAGTTATGTAACTACCTAGCCCTATCCATCTTTTTTCTCTTCCCCTGATTTTCCAAGTTAAGCACTTGCATTTTGTTTAGTCCTTCAACATTTCCCATTCGCACCCATAACCCTTGATTCGATATCGCCAAACCACCACCCGCCTTTTCTCTTCTCTTCTGTCCTGTCCTCTCCTGTCTTCTCCCCCTCCTATTCCGTTCCATCCCAAGGACTTTTCATTCGAGGTGTCATATCATTCGCAATTCACACACCGCAATCATGTCGGACAAGAAGAATGAGGACTACACCATTCGCATGCCCGAGTCGGGTATGCGAAGTCCTTTCGGCGCTGAGAAGGACCCCTTCATCCCCCCTCGGCCAGCGCGAGTCGCAGCGCATCCGGGTCTGAACTCCAAGATAGCCATGATTGAGAACAACCCTGGTATCTCTATTATGGCCTATTGCTTTTCCTCCATCAGTATGACCGTTGTCAACAAATACGTGGTATCCGGTTCAGAGTGGAACATGAACTTCTTCTATCTTGCGATTCAGGTAATTTTTTTTTTCTTTTCCCTTTTTTTTTCCCTCGCCATAATCACAAAGAGAACTTGGGATCACTAACGTCCGTGTAATAGGCTATCGTGTGTATCTCTGCGATTGAGATATGCCGGCAATTGGGCCTAATCACGAACCTCGCAGCCTTTGATTTCAACAAGGGAAAACGATGTACGTGCCTTTGCTTATCTCTTCAAATTCAGAGCGTTCTAATTTGCTGACACCGCTCCAGGGTTCCCCATCTCCTTCCTCCTAGTCGGTATGATCTACACGAGTACGAAGTCGCTACAATACTTGTCGGTTCCTGTCTACACCATCTTCAAGAACTTGACCATCATTGCCATCGCCTATGGTGAGGTTCTATGGTTCGGAGGAAGCGTTACGCCGCTGGCGCTGCTATCTTTCGGTCTCATGGTTCTCAGCTCGGTCATTGCGGCCTGGGCGGATACCCGCAGTGCTAGCCAAACCGCCGAAGCTGCTGCTGCCCTTGCTACCTTGAACGCCGGATACGCCTGGATGGGTTTGAATGTATTCTGTACCGCTTCTTACCTTTTGAGTATGCGTAAGGTTATCAAGAGCATGAACTTCAAGGATTGGGATAGTAAGTCATTGCTTCACTTGAGAATGTGGCTCTCAATTTACTAACTGTACCTAGCTATGTTCTACAACAACCTTCTCACTATCCCTATTCTTGTCGTCTGCTCCCTTCTCGCCGAGGATTGGTCTAGCGCGAACTTGGCCAAGAATTTCCCTGAAGAGACTCGAAATGCTCTCTTGATTGGGATGATCTACTCCGGTGTAGCCACCATCTTCATCTCATACTGCTCAGCATGGTGCATTCGTGTTACCTCGTCTACCACATACTCCATGGTCGGAGCTCTTAACAAGCTTCCTATCGCCATCAGCGGTCTCGTCTTCTTCTCTGCGCCTGTTACTCTTGGCAGTGTCTCCGCCATTATTATCGGTTTCATCAGTGGTATCATCTACACTTGGGCCAAGGTACGACAGTCGCAACTTGCCAAGAACTCGCTGCCCACCACACAACCAACGATGAGCGCAAGCTCGCAGAGCAACCGCGATGCGGCCAACTCTTAGAAGAAGGGAAATGCATGGATGCTTTCTTTCATCTACGACCCAAGCCGGCACTCCCTTAGGGTGGCAAAGGCACCTGGCTAATTCGAACTTTATGGAATTTCAAACGGGCATCGGACACTGCGAGACAGTCAAGAACCCACGCAACGGCCCTATCACGTCTACGTTTACTGTATAATATTTAAAAAACAAGCCATTCCATTCGAGTTGGTGTCAGATGAAAAGGGGGGGCCGTTGATTTCTGGTATAGACTTTTTAACTTAATGAGAAAACGGAGCTTCACGGATATGGGGACAAGTCATTCATCATATTATTTTGGACGGCGTAAAGAACAGGAACGCAAAGACCTCGATGCTTTTCTATTTTCGAGTGTTTTTATTTTTCCTTTTTGGCAGGTAGTTAAGTTTGAGGCATGGATTGATCAATCAATCAATCAATCAATCATCATCAACGTCAACGTCAACGTCAAGAAAGATATGTAGTCAGACTCGGAAGGGGGAGTCTCTCGGATGTTGGCTTACTTGAATGCATATGTGAAAGCGAATATGGAATTGCATGGTGAATTTGGTAGTGTATTGGGGGAAAGTGGAGGACAGAAATCAAAGGGTTTAAAGCATGTGATAGTGATTGTTTTAATGGATTGTTGTTGGGGATATCTATGTTTGGGCAGGGCAGTCGTAATACTAATTGATGACTATAATTGTGATTGTGGTTGTGAAGCTTTTATGTATGTCATGATAGTTGAGATATGTACAGGTACATGTAGGTATAACAATCGTTGATGTGTACCTAGTATGCAGGTGCAACGCATTGATCATGGACAAAATAAAAATATTTTGTTTTCTAGTTGCAGCGAGTGAAACCAGCACATGCTAAGTACAATACAACACGGTCCAACACGGTCCATGCTACTACTAACTACCTAGTAGTAGGTAGCTCAGGTAGGTTAGTTGAAATATTCAACTAAACACATGGCCTAAGAGGATCCACTTTGGCGGGTGACATCACGGCTTCCCACCTTTCAACTTTCCAACCTTGGCTCTTTCACTTCGGAACCTACAAATTCCCTAACAATACATACCCTACTAAGCTTCAAGAGGCTCAACACTTTTATCCCCCCAAGTCTTTTTAGTTAATGGTTTACGGCGCGGGACCCTTAACTTTATCTCGTTTACCACATAAACCGACCGAGCTCTTGAGCTAAACTTATGTATCATGCATAACATTTTTCTGGCAATAGACTCTCACAACATTATTCTTCCTTTACCCGAATTTTGAATTTGTACATTTTCCCTCCAAGCTCATAAATAAAAATAAAAATAAAGGACGACTCGTCCGTCCAGCTTCGACTTTCTAGAGTTATGATAATTCCAAAGGACAACCGAATCCAACGAATACAGGATGCTTCCTTATATCAATAAACGTGGGACTACCTACCTACCTATCTACCCGAATAGTAACATACATCAAAATGGACTTGGAATATCTTTGCGCTGACTTTCTTTTTTTTTTAAAATAGCCTTCGAGTTGCTCTCTGGGGCAGTCGGTGCCTCTCCTGACGAGCGTAGGTCCTACTATCCCTATTACATTTCCATATATTTGATCTACCATCTGTCTTGTGACGATCCCTTAACTAAAGTTTTGCCGAACACATAGTGAAGCTCATCTTCTCCTTCCTAATATCCTATCCTCTCGCCGGCCTCTTAAAACGTGTGCCGGATGCTCGTCCTCAATACAAGAACCTATTCATCATCAGGTACGACGAAAACAAACATAATCCTAACGCCAACGTCCTTGTCGACGTAGCATTACCTAGATTTTTATATCGTGAGGCTGATCATCAAATTTTGGTTTATAGTGTCGGTCTATTCTACTTGGTAGGCCTGTATTCGTTATGGGGCGGCGTCCGAACCCTCATCATCTCCTCGGCGGGCACGTACGCCCTCACCTACTACCTACGAACGTCCGCCTACATGCCATGGATCGCCTTCGTCTTCCTCATGGGCCACATGGCCACCAACCAACTCTCCCGCCAGTTCGCCGATAACCCTTCCTCGGTCGACATTACCGGTGCGCAGATGGTGCTGGTCATGAAGCTTTCCGCCTTTGCCTGGAACGTGGCAGACGGCACGTTACCCGACGATCAACTCAGCGACTTTCAGAAAAACAGCAGGATCATTCATTTGCCAGGGCTGTTAGACTATATGGCTTACGTGCTGTTCTTCCCGTCCCTCTTTGCAGGACCGGCCTTCGACTACAACGAGTACCGCGGTTGGATCGACTGCACCATGTTCGACGTCCCGGCCACTATTGACCCTGCCAAGAAACCCCCAACCAGGAAAAAGCGCAAGATTCCACGAAGCGGCACGCCGGCTATGTGGAAGATGGCGAGCGGGCTGGTCTGGATCGGGGTTTTCCTAAACCTAAGCAAGTGGTATAGCCCCGAAGCTCTCTTGGTCGATCGTTCCCCGCCAGTAGGTTTCCTACGCCGGATCCTCATCATGCATATGGTTGGCTTCACCACGCGGACGAAGTACTACGGCGTATGGTGTCTTACGGAGGGTTCGTGTATTCTCGCTGGCCTCGGTTACAACGGCGTGGACCCTGTTACTGGCAAGGTCTCGTGGAACCGACTGCAAAACATTAACCCCTGGGGTGTCGAGAGTGCGCAGAACAGCCGCGCCTACCTGGGCAACTGGAACATGAACACAAACAAGTGGCTCCGCTACTATATCTACCTGCGTGTGACGCCGCGGAATAGAAAACCTGGCTTCCGTGCCAGCTTGGCCACCTTTGTCACAAGCGCCTTCTGGCATGGATTCTACCCCGGGTACTACCTGTCTTTCGGCCTCGCTAGTTTTGTCCAGACAGCTGCAAAGAGTACGTTCCTCGACGCTACACATATGCTTATACCCCCTTTTCTTGACTTAGATAGCTAACACCACCACCCTTAGATTGTCGTCGGCACCTCCGCCCTTTTTTCGTAGACCCGGTAACGCAGAAACCGCTCCCGAACAAAAAGTACTACGACATCGCGTCCTGGCTCGCCACCCAAGCCACCTTCTCCTTCGTCGTCGCCCCCTTCGTCATCCTCCGCCTCGACCAGTCCCTCCTCGCCTGGCGCCGCGTCTACTTCTACGCCATCTTCAGCACCCTCGGCTGCATCGCCTTCTTCGCCTCGCCCGCCAAGAAGTCCCTCAAAGCCGCGCTCGAGAAGAAGACCCGCGAGGCCGGCGGCAGCGGTAAAATGATAAGGACGACGAGCTCCGAGAGTCTGAGCGGTGGTGTACCCGGTGCTGGTGGGAGGTCCAGACAGGAGCCTGTCTTGGGTCTCAGTGCGGATCCCGGTAGGGATATCGATGAGGCGATACAGGAGTTACGTGAGGAGGTTGAGAGGGCGCAGGGGAGGCTGCGGGAGCATGATAGTAATGCGAGCGCGAAGGCGAAGGCGAAGAGGGATGTGGATGGGGATGAGGGGTTGGCGATGAAGGAGGGGAAGAAGGGGATTTGAGCGAGCGAAGGAAGCGAGTTTAGTGAGTGAGTGATAAGCCTTTGCAAACTTACCTCTGAAGGCTAGGTGGCATGGCTGGTTCTTTATTTATAACATCCTCACTAACCTGCTTGCTTACTTACCTTACCTTACCTTCCTACCTACCTATCTACTTTAAACTACCCAAGCGAAGCATGTAGAATAGACGGAGCTGATGATGATGATGTGGCGCTTTGAAGACAGAAATAAAGAAAGGAGAGGAGGTACATTAATCATAATTTGGTGTAGTTGAAGAACTGTATGTATGTATGTATGTATGTATGTATGTGTGCATGTGTATATGTATGTGTATGCGTTGTCTTTATATGTGTGCAGTAAATGAGTGAAGTAACCTAGTAAAGAGTGGCTGGGAATCGGATGCCTTGCCTATGCATCTTTGTACGAGGAGGAAAGTAGGCACAGATCAGATCACAGAAATAACTAAAGACAAGACAAGACAAGACAAGAAAGAGAAAAGATAAAGACGCCACCCAACCTAACCTATATATGAGCTTACGGGCTTATATAAGTCCGTGTACAGTACTACCTACGTATGTATGTATGTATGTATGTCCCAAGGATGACATTAACGCCTTCGCTTATACCTAACTATTTCCGAAGAGAGACGGGTGGGTGGGTGGGTGGCTTGAGGATAATAATAGTTAGATCAAGTACGGTACAGTAGGTGCCTATGTAAGATGAAGCATGTGGTATTCCCATTCCAACACCTGCCTGTGTACACTTATGTATAAACATATCTAGTTATCACTCAACATATCACATATCACTTTCAGCACAGTCAAAGCACGGAGTTTATCACTCATAAGAATTATGTTTTGTGTTCTTTTTTTTTTTTGAATCATCATCAAGCGCAATTCAGTTCCGTTCAATTCATAAAGAACGTCATCGCAGGCGTCATGTCGTCCGTCCGTTCATTTCCTTCATGTATCTTTTTTTTCTTTTTCAGAAAACCCCCATCTTCATCCGTATTTCGTTCCGTCCGTGAGACAGACATGTCAGGCGTTCGAAACCTCATCCCTTCCTTGAGAGAGAATGTGTGTGTCGCGTGCAATCCTGCATGTCCCTCCCTCCTCCCTCGCCCCTTTCCCTTTCGTGGTCCGCTAGGATATATCTCATACATCCCCCTCTCAACTCCTCGCTCCTCGGCCCACCGCTTCGTACCTACTCAAATAAGTACGTAAAAGGTATATTCTCAAATAACCGCCCCCTCCCTAACTAAACCTGAGCCTCTCTCCCCTTTCCAGGGGAGGGGCTTCGTTCGTAACAAGCGAAGAAAAATAAAGGATACGCTGAATCCAGGTGTGCGTCATAAGACTTCTGTTGTTGTTATTGTTGTTCCTCCGTTTTATTTTTCCTTACGCCGAAGAAAAAAAAAAGAACGCAGGCAATTTGATTTTTGTGGGTATCATGGTCCCGTTACTCCCATCTAAACTGTTTATACAAAAAATACAATCGCTTAAGGGTGATCGATCGGAAAGAAGTGAAAGTAGAAAAGTTGGCCGTAAAAATATCAAGTCGTAAATTATACAGGGTCTCCGCAAAGTCGAAATCGCGAAAGAAAAAAGAAAAAATCCTCGTGGAAAGGTGGTAAATATAGTGAAGTGGATGTGTAGGTGATGTTGTGAAAAAGTCAAAAGATGTCGCATCGTTAGTGATAACGTCGCTATTCGTAAAGTCGGAAAGGAATGTGGGATCGGGTGTCGTCCCAGAGTGATCTATGTTCTGTCGGAAACAGTCGCATAGCTCATGAGATAATTACATATTAACTTTAAGATTCATGGATCGTCATGTAGAAGGGAATAGATGGAAAATATATCGGTCGTAACTTCGAGTTGTGCGTGTAAATGCGTATAAATGTGTGCAAATAGATGTAAATAGATGTAGATGTCGTAAATCGCCATTTTCGTCATCATCGTTGAGCCCAATTTTGTCGAACGCCAATGACAACGAGGGCAGCAACTGCGCCGAGGATCAGGAGTCCGGCAACGGACATGAAACGATTGACGTTTCTCCACCATCGTGCACTCTGGTATCGTGATTCATCGACAAGAATGTGGCGCCGCCGTGGGGGATGTGAGTATTCTTGATCTGAGTCATGAAACTCTCTCGTGCTTTGATCTCGTTCGTCCATGGCAAGGGTCGGCCTTGGGGGTAGTGGTAGGAAGGCCGCAATCATCCAGGCTTTTGTTCTAGTTAGTAGTTGCATATACATATGTGTTCATATGACTATGGGAATTATACTTACAAAAGGGAATAAAAAATCCCACTAGAAATAGGATTACTTGAATGTTGCGCTTCCCAAACACGCCACTGTCAGCAGACCATGTGACAGACGGTGCATTCCATACACTGAACCGGCTTGCTCGTGTATCCAGGCGTAGATGAGGAGACCAGATGCTGGAAGTCATTTTCCTCGGGGCTAGTCGAATTTCGCCCGACTCAAGGGCTGGCCCAATCTCCATGGAATCAGGACGTTCAGCTTGTGGATCCGTATCTTTCGGCCGCCGACGTGGGTTGTAGATCGGATTAGTGAACTGATCTTGTGATGGAGATCTACGACGTCCAACCCAGGGGCTTGCAGGGCGGCTATCACCAGCTTCGGATACAGATCGAATAGATCCAGATGTCGCTAGCCATCGTCTCTCCCCGCTACCATAATAAAGTCTAAAATAACCATTAGCTAAAACACTTTTCCCAATATGATAATTAGCACGCCTACCTTGCCCAACTCGGGATGGAAGCTGATGTTAAACTCCGGGAGCTTGCGGAAGAGCGGAGGCTGCGGTCTGATGCTTGTCTAGAAAAGCCTAGACGAGTTCGAGACGGCCTGTGTTGCAGATCTGCTAATCCGTCGCCATGTTCGTCGTGGTCTCGAATGGCACGTGGCGAGGGAAGAGGGAATTCTCTCCCACCTCTCACAAATGCGGGCGATGGACGGCTCAGAGAATCGCTGCGGGAATTCGATCTTGAGTGTGAACCTCGTGTCTCCAACGCCTCTAATCCTAGAGATGACGAAATACTTCGCATTTGCCTGCTGTCCCTGCTTCCGAAAGCACTGCTTACTCGATGCTCCGGATTCGAAATGGCAGAGGCCAGACGTGAGCCAGGATCACTACCCTCGTATTCAGACATCACTGTTGAAAGCTGTGAGCTCCACTGGTGAATATCCATCCTGGTCCTTGGCTGTGTGGCACTCGGTAGTCCTGCCCATGTAGACCTGGGGATAGACGAAATGGAAGGCGTATGTGCAAGAAGAACCACGTTCGGTGTGGAGCCGCCGAAGATCGAGGGAGCGTCTTGACTCACCAAGCTCGAAAGGGATGAGAATGAATTGGCTCGACCTCGAAGGCTATCCCCTGACTGCTTCTTGTTGTAACCTAAGTTCTCCGATGATGATCTCTTGTGTGGCCTAAGCGGAGGCACAACAAGGCTTTCCTGAGAGTACTTTGTCCGTAATCGTGGCACTGAGCTTTCGTCGGAGGAATGGTACTGGTGCCCTCGGAAATGAGCATCTGCCGAGGAAATCGTAGAGGTGTCGCCGTAAACGATGTAATTCTTGCTTCCTGGCGTATCAGCGAACCCCGGAGCGGTGGAAGAGGCAAGCGTGTGGACTGGTGACGATCGTCCCAGGACTTTGTAATTGGGGCTGCTTGACGAAGTAGGTACGTCAATGCTTTGCGAATCCGGCAGCGGCGGAGAACTGCGACCTATTATTTTGTAATTCGTTGTCTCTTCGATGGTTGAGTTGGAGTTGGTAGAGTTGGTAGATTTGGATAAGTCACTTTGTTGAGAATTAAATGATTGTTTCGTCGCGAGAGGAGAAGATGGCTCTGGTGGTGTAACCACCGCCTCTGGTAAAGGCGGAAGAGGAGACTCGGCAAGCTGCTTTTCCTTTCCTTTGCCCTTTAAATCGGGGACCTTGCGTAAACCACCGACCATGCGGTAATTCCAAGGTGAAGGCGAAGGTGAAGGCGATTCGATCTGTTCTTCGGGTAAACCTGTGACCGTCGCGGGGGAATAAGAAGTTGAGTAGGATGAAGTACTACGCTCGGCTACCGAACTTAATGGAGACCCGTGTCGATCATCCGTCGATGCGTCAAATGAGCTTTCTTCATGCGAAGTAACGGTAGACGTATTGGAGAAGGGTGCGGAAATGGACCCCGACGTGTCGGAATTGTGAGTGCGCGTAGGCTTCAACACAATTGAGAAAGTCTTGTCGGAATGGACACTGATAAAAGTGCCTCTTCGGGATCTAGGACGCTTACACGTTGGCGAAATTGCTTCGTCATCGTTATGTGCTGGCGATGGCTGTTGAGCATTAGTTCGTCCGATATTGCTCCCATAATTCGGCCTTTTAAGGACAGGGGGCTGTGGGGCATCAGCCGGCTGAGGTACGGGTTTCGTCCCTGAAACGCCTTTTCCCTTAACCCTCGACAAAGGTGATCCAGGTGTCGTAAACGATGGTGAGGGCGAGTAATCAGCGCCATAGTTTCCTGTATTGTAACTCCTAGCTCTAGCTCTGGTTGCTTTAGGTGTCGTGGGATCTTTTGCCGCGGTCTGCGCATCATCTTCCCGAGCATCTGGTTCCGGCGCATGTGACGTGCTCGCCGTGCCTTGGCTCTCACTCGGCCTCGGAGGGGAGTAAGGGACGATGCGAATTTGCAGTTTATTGTTTTCCGACTCAGACCTTTCTTGTAATGGCGTCCTTTGCGGTGGGGGTGACGATGAAGACTCCGAAGATGACATCCTCTGCCTCCGGCTTGGCCCTCAACCCTGGGGATAATCTCACGAAAAATTCCGATGATTTTTCAAATTTTCTTTTTACCTAAATCCAGCGACTATAAATATGTATCGACATAGGCCATAACGATCATGCAAATGATGAGATTAGATGAGACTAGATGCGAACTTCGAATTGAAGACGTAGATTTCCGATAAATTCGTTCCTGGTAGTGTATACCTGAGTGTATGATGGTGATAGTACGATGGTATCGTAATATGATAGCGAGTGTGGAGTCCGAACGATTCGGAAATGGGAATGGTCACGAATGAGCCAATGCGAGATATTAGTAGCAAAGATATGAAAAGAATACCAAAGACTGAAAGAAGAAAACTAAAGATAGCCAAAGAGAGAGACGTGAAATTCGAGAAAGGTATTATGAGCTTAGAGCGCAACAAAGAGGTCCGACATGGAGGCGTGGTCCCAGCGTGGCATAGACGACTACCCGATCTCTAGGAATAGTAATAGGCGGTAGAAAGGAGTGGGACAGGTCAACAACGAGAGACCAAAAGCGACAATAGCTTCTATGCTACAGACCACACAACCGCGGGGGAAAACGAGATCGGAAAAGAGAAGAAACAGCGAAGCTGTCAGGAGGCAGACGGTAGAGTATTATTTTCCTACCCCAGAGCGCCGAGTCATGATCGATTGGCCAGCATTTTCTGGTCTGCTATCTAATGGTGGCCACTTATTGCTTTGTCTACCTACCTTGGTCCCTATGCAATGCAGCCGAAATGGAGTGGTAGCGTTCCATTCTTTCAAGTTTGTGGGCATGGAGACTACAAACGAGTTGGTGTTAACAAACAGGGACTTAGGGAGAAGCTTCACGGATCTCTGGTACCCAATTCGGACTAGGAAAAGGCTGACTTGACCAAGGATCACTCATGTACCCCGAGCCATCTTACCTCGTACCTTTTTTTTTTTTTTCGATCTTCGCACTTGCGATGGCACGATAGGTAACTCAAATAATAACAAAGCAGCAAAGACATCGGGTCACAATAGTGATATGCGGAATAGGCCCACTAAGGACTTTGTTATGTCTCGTTGTCCAGTACATTTCTGTCATTCCTGAGATAAATGCCAGTGAGCGGAGTCGGATCCATATGCAAGCTGCAGCTCTACTGCAAGCTGCAAGTCCGTGTACAAGTTGAAATGAGGTTGAAAAATAGTGGGCTGGCGGTCGAGCAAGCCTACCAGAGATGCAGCCCGGAGGCTACAGCAGTAGCACCTAACGGCTGTCAAGTTTTTACACGAGCCCATTCGATATGATTGAACGTTCTAATAAGCCAGTGTCGTCTCAAAAGGCGCCGTGTATTCTTCAGCCAAACGGCATTTTGATTTCTTTCCTTTCTTTCGAATATTCCGACAGACATTGATGGTATGCAACTCTACTGACCTAACCTAGTAGGCTGTTAGTCAGGTACGAAAAGATACTGTAGTTCAAACTGTACACAGTATAGCAAGGGTGAAAGATCGGTGAGCGTTGTGTAAATTACAGATTGGCCATAGTGAGGTTCAATTGGGTGAGATCTGGGGATGAGCAGAATGGAGTTCCAGAAAGCTAAGAAGATCGTGGGCCCAACCGAGAACTACCCTAGCCTAGGTCCCTAGGTCATCCTAGGTCATACTAGGGTATGGGTCCTGGTCTAAAAAGATCGAGTGGAGAATTATGTGACAAGGCTAGTACATAAAAGGTAAGGAAAGTTTGAAAGCCTGGGCCAAATTAAGAACGTGGCTCAGCAAAATGGATCCACATCATACTCAGGTACATACTATGCTCGGTAACCTGTCGTACACGTACAACTTTCTTTGTATTAATACTAGTAACCTACATATGTAGGTAACTATGTACATGCAGACTGATGCAGTGGATGTGTATAAAAAGAAAACTTGAAATTAATTAGTACATGAATTAGTAGTCGCGTTCATTTCGCGTTCATCCTTTAATTGTCCATTTGTCGCCAAAAAGAGAAGAGTATGCCGTTTCTTTAACCATTTTCAATGCGCTGAATTCATGCTAAGTGAATACTCAAAGATACGTGTATTCATGACCCTTGGAACAGTTCCTGGATGACGTTCAATTCGTAATCCCAGTTCCAACCTCCCTTAGGGTCAGTCAACCCTCGTACCTTGAGCTTGTAGCTCATGGGTAGCTCTTTTGACTCCACTACATAGAGTCGGGGGTGACCATCGTGATAGCCCGTGCTTTACAGTGCATGGTACCAATTAACACTAGTTTAACTGTATGGGCTAATCTAATTAGGTTAGACAGCCTACGAAGGTTGTGGCCAAAAGTTTAGACCGGAATATACCTCAGCCCCACAGTGCGCCACTCTTTTTTAGGCCTCTACCAATAATAGGTACACATTTAACGTCAAATCCCCCACAACCCTTAAAAGTATAGCACCTTATAGCACACTTAGAGGCTATAATGTACTATAAACTCGAAGCCTTTAAGCCTTCAAAGCTTAAAAGTCCCAATAACCTTAGTATATTTTATGTATTTATTATACAAATACTTACACCAATTTAATAAAGAAAAAATTACAAAAATTTCTATTGTTAAATAAATTAATGAAATAACGTAATAGTTTATTTTGTATTTATTAAATAAACTTATAAGGCTTTATAAGTAGGTAAGTATGTTGGCGATGTTGGAGAGAATATTTCCTACAGTGGTAGGAAAGTGGGGGAACTGTGGGGCTAAGGTATATTCTGGTCTAAACTTTTGGCCACAACCTTCGTACATAATGACATGATAATGTAGCTACTAGCGCCAAGGCCCCTAGTAAAGAAAATATGTGAGAAAAAAGATGAAAATTTAAATAAAATTGAAATTCTTCTCCCTTGCTTAAGTGACACAAACGATTGTCTCACGACCTACAAAAATGATTCAACATCCTTTTAACTTTTACATCTCGGGTCTTCTTTTCTTTGTTCATTTCTTCTTAACTAGCCCTATGCAGCCAGGCTTCATACAGCTCAGACAAGCGCCTGTCTTGTGTTGAAACTTGAAACTGTGAGAACCCCAGGCTTGAGCCGCTCGCGCTTATACTGCATTCCTGTAGGTAGACCAGGCGCCTTAGGTATGTACATTGTACCACGTTTGAAGCGCCAACAGGAGTCCCAAAAGGCACATCGAATCTTGGAAGATGCAACAGCCCCTTATTCTTAGCCTGGATCTTGCTCGTACGACATGAGATGAACTACGTCTGAGCTTGCCTTGGTTTCCAACTGTACCGCAAGTCGAATCCTACTTGAAGTTTTATGTTGCCATTCAGTTCCAAGGTTATTCCTATTATTCCAGTTATTTCAACCGACAACCGAGCTTAGCAGAGAGAGCTGTGCCTTGAAGTCAAGAAACCCCAGCCTCGTCTATCATTAGTTGAAAAATCGGAACTCGGAAGTCGGAGCATTTTGACTGGGCCAGCAAGGGGCCAAGGTAATCCCCACGCTCGCCCACTTCTTAAGGCATAATCCGATCGAGTTTGATATTCTCTTTTTCCGCGCACCCACGATTCACTTATCCTAGTGACTTCAATGTTCTAGAGAGTTCATCTCTATGCATCGGAGATAGCTATCCAAGAAAGGAAGGCTAGATACCTAACTTAGGTAGAGAACCAAGCCGACGGGATTTCCTCAATCTCTCCAGTTTTTGTTTCGTCGAGGCCTAAAAAATACGCAATTTGGGTCTAGGTCTCAAGGACGGTCATTCTAGACCATCTAAGTAGAATCAACAGATAAGGAAAATACGCCAGGAGAATCAGACTTGGATTCACAATGCCTTCCATACCTGCTTTCATAACTCGGTATTTTGCCAAGGATGAACGTGAGTACTACCTAACCCCCATCCTATAAGAAAAGACCTTGTTCTAACTTAGCCGCGCCAGCTAAACCACCTCCAATAAACACCAGAACCGCCGTCTTCTTGCTCGTGAGTTTTTCTCGGCTCTGCGGATAGATGCGGGGTCTGCTTAAGATGCTAGGCGCTGAAAATCATAGGTGATTTACACGCTGTTCTACGTAGTGCCATTCTACATTTCCCGCACGACCAGGCCATCACGAACCCTGTCGCGGGACGCGCCATCTGTAATCCGCGCGCGCATCGCGTCTGTGTCACTAACCTGTGTCGTCTGTTCTCTCATCACCTTGGTGATCTTGACGTCAGAAGGCCGGGCCACGACCGCCGAGGCCCTACATGCGCTAGGGTATTGGCCATTTGGCCTCGTGGAGACTGTGAAGTGTTTCCTTCTCACCGCCGTCTTGTTTGCTGGACCTCTTTATGAGTATCTGGTCATCGATGAGGGGTGGAGAGACTGGTTGGCCCTACAACCGGTCACAACACTCTGCAGCGAGTGGATGACATGGCGTAACATCGTAGCGGTAAGTCTTCTTTTCTATCTAGCACTTGTTACCTTCAATTTCCTTTACCATTTTATCATGATGAGAAATCTGGTCCGTGTTTCTGAGCAGATTAAGACCCTGTCAGATGAGGATACACACTATAGCACTTTGTGCAACTCTGATCTGTTCCCCTAATTATTATTGCAACCTATCTATTCCCACTAGTCCCAGACTTGAGATTATCTGCACTATAAGCGAGTAAATACTGATATCGCAACAGGGTCCTTTCACAGAAGAAGTGCTCTTCCGCTCAGCCTCGGTGCCGCTGATGCTCGCAGCCCGCGCTTCCGTAACAACCACCATCTTCCTCTCGCCTCTCGTCTTCGGCCTGGCACATCTCCACCACGCCTACGAGTTCCGTGTCACACATCCCCAAGTAGCGTACAGTGTGGTCCTAATGCGCTCCCTGCTACAGCTAAGCTACACCACGCTCTTCGGCTCCTACGCCACCTTCCTCTTTATACGTTCCGGTAGTGTGCTTGCCGTTTTCGTGGTCCACGCCTTTTGCAACTGCATGGGCCTCCCGCGAGTGTGGGGCAGCGTATATCCTCCCCTCGTCGCCGATTCCAAAGGCCAGTTGGTCCGCCCGTCCGTCCTGTGGACCGTGGCGTACTACGTGCTGCTGGTCGCGGGCGCCGTGGGCTGGTATAAGAATCTAGCCGTGCTGACGGAGAGCTCCAATGCGTTGGTCGCTATTGATATGTGATGCGATGTGATCATGCACGCTATTTATATAAACCTAGCTTAATTATCTAAGTACCGAATAGTGTACTTGATTAATATATGAGACATTAATGCGAGACGAAATATTTATCACGTCTTATATCTGCCCCTTGACTTGGATCATTATACACCAATAGTGCCGTACCTGCGTGGTAGGTAGTACCTAGTAGTATACATCCATCTATTTAGTAGTACTACATAATAGTATACAGCTAGGTAGGTAGCTACATGATTATGTGTGTGTGTGTAAATGGTACAATGCAGGGTATATCGTAAATGTCATCCTACCTACTTCGCAAACCACATATCATCGAATACTTTACATCTTTACATCTTTACATATATATATATCGTACCACTCGCCCTTAACCCCAGCCTAGAACTCTAATCGTGGGGGTTTATTCCTTGCAGACAAGCCATGTCTGGTCTTGATAGGTACCTAGATACCCCATTTTAGGCCACGAGGGGACGAGGATAGACACGCAATCCTCGGCATATAGAGGTAGGTAGGTAGGTAGGTAGGTACCCAGATTGCGGTATTTCCCATTCTCTAGCCACCCCTCCCACAAGCAGCCCCCTCGTCTCAGGGCGCGACGAAGTCGTCTTTGTGTTGAGTGGGGAAGTGCAGTTACAGTGAGCTCCCATTAGTTTAGGTTGAATAACTTACATTCTCTCATCAGCCATAATATCCATCGTCGTCGATTCTCGTGAGCGTGTGTAGTACCAAAAATCCCTTGTCATTTCAACTCGGTAGGTCGATCGCCATGCCCGGCAGACTCCCCGGCATACTGTACTCGCTTGTGCCAATATCTGATCCATCACCCCGGCTCCTCATGCGTCTATACCGTAAGCTATCCGGCGGGCTCAACTCGCGTCTTACACCCGCGGCAACTTCGGCCTGGACCTCTTTCCGCGCCTCCTCTCGCATCTCCCTCGCTATCTCACGGCCCTTTCCCTTCCCGGCACTACCGGATGCGGACGAATTGGAGGCACCGTCGAAGAGGGGATCCTCCCCGCCACGCGTGTTCCTCTTACGGGGCCACAGGCTCGGCAAAGCGATCTCTTGGAATCGAGGCTCGACGGCACGTTCGTCAAACCAGCGGTGCAAGCGTGACTCGACGAGCTGCGCAATCTTTGGCACGTCTTGTAATCTAGACCGACTGCCAACGAGGCTACGGACGGAAAAGTCTAGGCGGTAGTCATCGAGGAAGCTAAACGTCATCATAGTAGGTGTTGATTGCGATGGATTCGACGGAATGAAGGATATGCTTAGGGTACCGCTAAATCGCACAACGCTCACAGCGAGAGCGACGGGCAGAACAGCTGTCAACCTCTTCGGGTAATTGAGAAGAATCCTAGTTTCGAGTGCCAGTGTGATCATATCACTCAAGTCGACATCCATGCGCGCTTGTAGTCTTGACCCTTCCTGTTTCGCGCGCGAGCTATTAGCATCGAAGCGCTTCTCGCCTCCGGGTCCTGTGTTTAGGCTTAGTCCATCCTCGTCTACGGGTATGATACGACAATTGCTGAAAATGGGAAAATCTTCGCCAAGTGTCAATTCGGTAACTTTAATTTCGTCGAGGAAGTCTGGGCGCGAGGTTCCGTTTAAAGCTTTAGTAAGGGAGGAAAGGATGGCGTCATCCTGCTGGGCATCGCTGCGAAACTGGGCAATGGTCTGGGCGATGAGAACATTGAACCAGTCAAGGGATTCAGGTTGGTGGCTATCAACATTGTAATACGTTTTGTTTAGGATTGATCCTATCGTAAGCGTAGGTGGACTTCGTAATATACTCGATTTCTTCTTTTTTAATGTTGGTTGCTGTTGTTGTCTCGTAGTGATGATGGGTGTTGAGTTCCGTAAGGTGAGGAGGGATTCTCTGTGAGCGAGGGTACGGGACCGACGTTCGGCAGCTCGGACGGTAGCTGTAATTTCGGGATTGGGAGCTTCGCCGAAAATGAAGAATTTGATGAAAGCCGCAAGAAGTAGGACAACGGAGATTTGACCGACGATGAGCCCTTGGGTGAATGACAAACTATTGGCTATGAGGTTAGCAATGCATACTGCGGGATACTGCGGGATACTGCGGATATAGACAATGGCTTGTCAATGAGTAGAGACAAAAGAGTAGGTATTCCTACGTCGGTTCAGGCTTCATCGGACACATTTCCGAAGCCATCTTGGCATCTGGCTTTCTAGTTCGGAAACAACCCTAGGAGCCTGGGGGTTTTTATCATATATTTGGACATGTAAGAAACGAATCCATGAATGAATTGAGGAGTGTAAGTGGAACATTTAAAGAAAAGCTTCCGACTTTTTTGGACTTTCTAGCTTAAATGTTTCCTTTAGAGTTGGACCCACGTCAGCTACCCAGTCCTTTATCTTATCGACAAAGTAGTGGTAACCTTTTTCTTCTTATTGGTGGTTAAGGGAATGAGGTATTGGGTACTTTAACGTCATGTAGCATTTACCGTCATATGTAGATCCCTGTCTTACTGACGACCCAGCATCTCTAGGTGCATTAATTGAGCTCGAACTTGCATTGTCAATGTTCATGTAGTGGCAGCTGCGTAGTACATACATTTATGTAGGTACATACATATTACATATTACATGTACTAATAAATGCCTGTACCGTAGCACCGCAGTACCTAACTACATACTATAGCATTCTCATCCGATTTCACCAACAACTTCAAACTCATCAACTCATTGACTCCTTAACTCATTCAACACATTCCCGACAAATAAACAATTATTTGTTCTCACTTGAAATTTGAGGTGAAGCTTGGTCATATCAAATCGAATTAATCGTAATCATACCTTTACCATCTAGGTATCTGTCTGTGTTTGAAGCCCAATCCTACCAACATGGATGTCGTCCAAGCCGTCTCGGGCTACATCTCCAAGATAGTGGCGGCTGGAGACAGCGCATCAGGGACCCCATCTGCTAAGATGAAGATACTCCTACTAGACAAAGACACTGTACCCATAGTCTCCACAGCCATTACGCAGTCATCTTTACTCAACCATGAGGTCTACCTCACAGATCGGTTGGATAATCCGAATCGTGAAAAGATGCGCCACCTCCGATGTTTATCCTTCATCCGGCCATCCCCAGATTCCATTCAACTTCTGATCGATGAACTACGGGACCCAAAGTACGGTGAATACTACTTGTACTTTAGTAATGTGGTAAAGAAGTCGTCTCTCGAAAGATTAGCTGAAGCAGATGACCACGAGGTAGTCAAGCAAGTCCAAGAGCATTTCGCCGACTATATCGTCATCAATCCAGACCTCTTCTCATTCAATTTCACGTTACCACACCAAAGAATATGGAGTGGAAACCCAGATTTATGGAACCCAGACTCGTTACAGCGTACGACAGAGGGGTTAATAGCTATTCTGCTGTCGCTCAAGAAAAAGCCTCTCATCCGGTATGAGAGGAATAGCCTATTAGCCAAGAAACTGGCCACCGAAGTACGATATCACATAACCCAGGAGGAACAGTTATTCGACTTCCGGAAAGTTGACACGCCTCCGATACTTCTCATCTTGGACCGAAGGGAAGATCCTGCTACGCCACTTCTCAATCAATGGACCTATCAAGCCATGGTGCATCAGCTAATGGGAATTCACAATGGGCGAGTGAATCTAGATGATGTCCCAGACATCCGGCCAGAACTCAAAGAGATTGTCCTATCACAGGACCAGGATCCATTTTTCAAGAAGAACATGTACCTGAACTTTGGTGATTTGGGTGGAAACATCAAGGATTACGTAGAGCAATACCAATCCAAGACGAAGAACAATGCCAACATCGAGTCCATCACGGATATGAAACGATTCATTGAGGAATACCCCGAATTCAGGAAGCTATCAGGAAATGTCAGCAAGCACGTTACTTTGGTTTCGGAGCTTAGTCGAAGAGTAGGCGCAGAAAACTTATTGGAGGTTAGCGAGGTTGAGCAGAGCTTGGCCTGTAATGATAACCATGTCACGGATCTAAGGGTATGTTATTTGGACTCTGGCGAACACATTGAAAGAGGCTAATTCAGTATAGAATGTGCAAAGGCTGATACAGTCTCCGGCGGTGGCCCCCGAAAACAAGGTCGGGCTAGTGGCGCTATATGCTTTACGATATGAAAAGCACCCATCTAATTCCTTGGCTATGCTTGTGGATTTACTATCTGCTGCCGGTGGTGTATCCCCACGACAAGCAGATTCGGTGGCTAAGTTGTTGATTTACCACCACTCACTCCAGCAGTCCCAGACTGCAGGCGGCATCGCCGATATCTTCGAGTCCGGAGGCCTATTCTCAGGTGCTAGGGCCATAAAGGGACTCAAGGGTGTTGAGAATGTATACACACAGCACTCTCCCCATCTAGAAACGACCCTTCAGAACCTAATCAAGGGTCGGCTGAGAGAGCAGCAGTACCCATTTGTAGAAGGCGGCGGCACCACACGAGACAAGCCGCAGGATATTATTGTCTTCATGGTCGGAGGTGCGACATACGAGGAAGCCAAGACTATTGCGACCATCAACGCCTCGTCGCCGGGTGTTAGGGTCGTGCTAGGCGGCACCAACATTCATAATTCAGCAACTTTCCTCGAGGAGGTGGATGAAGCTGTATCTTCATGGCCAGAGCCGCCACCGACTACGACGGCCGGGCGGTTAAGAAAGGAGCTTGGAAGACGGTAGTTGGATAATACCTAGGTAGTTAAGGCATCTTACCTAGTACTGAATCAACAAGATTATTCTTTGAATTGACAATTATACATAGTTAACTACTATCGTATCAAATTCAAGTGAGCCGCCAAAGAGATGTACATGATTGTTGTAGGTTAGACGGGTTGATGCTACTACAAAGGCATGCATGATACTAGGTACTCGGGTGTGACTAGCCAATAAGGATAAGCACTACTCACTGCAGGTACTAGTCACCAAGGACTAAGAGTTCACGCTACTATCACGTGAAGATATCAATGAGTTAGAAATATAAAGCATAAAGTACGAACTAAATTTCACCACCAATGAGCTACAGTGTTCAATAGGATCGATAACTCAGTGGTAGAGTGTGGGATTGCAGATCCTAAAGTCGCGTGTTCGATCCACGCTCGGTCCTCAGAAATAATTTTTTGTATCTTTTTTTTAGCGATTGCGCATTTGCAACGTCTTCGGTTCCGTCGCTTTACTTTTTTATTTTGACCTCAATTCAAACCATACGATTTTTCTAACGACCTCGAATGCTATAATTTCCAGGGGAATTTTCCTACAAGACAACGAGGTGAAGCATAATCTCCATAGATGTATCCTACATCACTCACATAACTGTACTTCTCATGTCATTGATGTTAACGTAGGTACTAGACAGGTAGATGCATATACCGTGCGAGACCGGCACCATGCCTTTCTGGCCATGTGATTGATGTGAAATGTCGTCAAAAGCCAGGTGTCCGCAGCCCCGGCGACTGCATGCTTTGCAATCAACAGCTTCGGGTTACTTGCAAGCATTGAGACCACCGCTCTGGCTTCCCGAGCTAGTTACTTGCATCAAGGGATAACTAACTACCTTACTCTATTCCTCTGCTTCGGTATGACCGCGCGCGCGATACATCCCATCACGGGCGGTAGGCATGGACTGCCACTTCAAGGTCTGCTTTGAGGACGAAACTAAGCGGATAGCGTGTGTGAGTATTTTCAATGCTACGCCCCCTACGCTAGCATTGCGAGGTTGCTGCCCTCAAGGTCCATGAACAAGCCAGCGTGCCTGGTCAAAAAGTGCTGGGGTTTGCGCTAGGGCAGCAGGCAGGTAATGCAATTAGCGTAGGCCATATTCTGACAGAAAAGTTAGGCACCCGGGAAGTCGTTGAGATGGTCCCGTGCGAATAATCTGGGGTAGCGGGGGAGGATATAGATTACCTACAGCTTGTCGAGACATTGATCGAGCTTTTCAACTATCTGTTTGATGTTATGAGTTGCTTTTATAACCCGGGTGACTCCTATGCTGACACTTACTTGCGAGTTACATACACACCGATATGACACAGTTCAGAATAGGGGCCCTGGTTAGGCCCATTTATTTCGCTAACCTAGAAGAATACCTACCACTGCTCTCGATTGAGTTCATCCTAGACTACAATGCATGTGTTACTAAAGAATGGGAAGTCAATGAGAAACATCAGAAAATCAAGCTAGGTTTAGTACGTTTGCCAATGCTTGGGGGTACAGTCACAGTTTGGGTCAATTGCTTGCCGGTTCAAAGTTCCCAATATATTCATCAACGAGGTTGTGTCGATTCCCTAACTTAAACTCCATAGGTAATGCTTATGCCATGCCCAGCCCATAAACTCCAAAATCATCTGCACAAGGAAAGGTTCAAGCCATTGGCTGAACAAATGTGCCATACCCGTAACGCCATGCCATGTGATATCCTTGGCTCGCAAATCCAGTAGTCCTCGGCGCTCCGTCCCCCCCTCCTCCGAGCCCGACCCCGGCCTCTCCTGGCGACGCCAGGGAAGTCGGAGTACAATGTCCAAAGAATCGTCGGCGTCCGCCAAGTTTTTTCCCAGTGAGTGAGAGCAGTTGCCAAGCCCTGACTCGCTGGAATGAAAAGTGGCTGTTTCTCGTCCGTGATAATTCGATCCACCGCTCCGAGCCCCCCCTCCTCCGAGCCCGACCCCGGCCTCTCCTGGCGGCGCCAGGGAAGTCGGAGTACAATGTCCAAAGAATCGTCGGCGGCCGCCAAGTTCTTTCCCAGTGAGTGAGAGCAGTTGCCAAGCTCTGACTCGCTGGAATGAAAAGTGGCTGTTTCTCGTCCGTGATAGTTCGATCCATCGCTCCGAGCCCCCCCTCCTCCAAACCCGACCCCGGCCTCTCCTGGCGACGCCAGGGAAGTCGGAGTGCAATATCCAGAGAGTATCGTCGACTTCCCCCCCAAATGCCCCAAGTGAGCAGTCGTCAAGCTCAAAGTCGTTGAAATGAAATGTGATTTTTTTTTTTCGTTTTCCGTTTTTGTTGCTGTTGTGATTGCCTCACTATTACCTTGCTGTTGTTTTGATGTTGTTTTGTTGTTTGTCGTTTTGGTGTTGTTGTTTTCCCCAGTGTCTTCTTGGTGTCTTCTTGGTGTTTTTCTGGTATCTTATTGTTGCCTTTTGGGGTGTCGGTTTTTTTTTTTAGTTGAAATTCGTTTTGAAATTTTTTTGAAGTATTTTGTGATTTTCTTTGTCCATAATTCGGAAAGGATTAATGACCCCGTCGACAGTGATTAGTTAAACGTTATATTCGAAACCAAGAAAACAATAGTACTGTTCAGTTAGGAAAGGGATTAAAGGGAAAGGGTCTTTTGCAAGGCAGCAAAGTTTAGCTTGATGATTTCGGTAAGCCTGGTATGGCAAGTGGCCATACGTCGAGTGTCCCGGAAGAAGGGATCCATGATGGTGTCTTGTAGGTCCTTGCAGATACCACACTTCTCCATGCATTGGATCCAGTCATCATCGTCGTCGGTCTTCGTGTCTTCGAACTGAATTAAGTGGTCAACGATGAATTTGATGAAAAAACTCAGCATTAGCTTCTGGTATTCGGTGGGGTTTGCTGTTAGGCCCTCTGTTTTGTACATTGTTATGAACGTCCAAGTGTCCCATAGTTCGACTGCCGTTGGGTGGGTGAACCCTAGATATTCTATAGTCTCGAGTGAGACAAGAGTGCTGGGGATGCGTGGAGACATCTTTCTGTTAATGGTGTTTGTGAGTAGATTGGAGTGAATTGATCGGTGTGGTGAGATGCCAAGTTGAGTCTTGGATAATCGGATTGCTCAGCAATGATTTGACACAGCGTTGACAAGGTGTTGACAAGGTGTTGACAAGGTGTTGACAAGGTGTTGACAAGGTGTTGACAAGGTGTTGACAAGTTGTTAACAAAGGATTGCCAGGAATTGTAAGATGTTATGGATGAAAATAAAAGGGAAAGGGAGAAGAAAGGTCCCACGGCCAGTTTATATAGTCGGCCAAGAAGCGTGATTATTCATATTTGAGTCAACACATGTCAGCGATTGCAGATTTCTCCAATAATTTACGTTTGACTATAAGTACTTGGCTGATGACTTCAGAAATTGGCGTGATAGACAACCCTAATGCCACCTATCTATTTGGTTGAGTTGAGTTTATTGATATTGCTATAACTAGAGGCTATACACTTCTAAGCTAGTAAGCTGATATTAAGGGGTTAAACTCCGCCCTAGAGCAATGTAAGAACCTACGTTGATGGCTATTAGGTTGAAACTAAGGCTGAAAAGTAGAAGAATAAGGGGCGGCTCAAAAAATGAAGACGCCACTCAGGGCTGGAATAATTAGTCCGGCAGAAAATAGACCACCTTCCACATTAGACAAAAGCTTAGTTCCACCGCCTGCCTGATCAAGGTATGATCTCTTATCGGTGTTATCGCCTAGCTCTTATCGCTAAATTTTAGATTTGTGAGCGACCAAGTGCGAACTGTAAAATCCTAAACCTTTCACCTTTTAAATTCATCGCAAAGATGAGAAAAGTATGGCGACCTAGAGGACTAAGCCGGCCAAGTGGCTTAATAGACAGACGCCCATATCTCCCATTATCTTGTCTTCATCATCGAAATACCTTTGCTACTGTCGCACAAGACACAAGGTAAGTAAGGGCTACCTACAACTTACACTAATAATCTGCCAATTGGGTATTGTGTAAATCTAATAAACATAAAGTGGTAGAGCGTTCGATGTTGTCGTCGTAGGTGGCGGCCATGCTGGTACTGAAGCATGCGCAGCCGCTGCGCGATCCGGGGCGCGAACCGCCCTGGTCACCCCTAAGCTCGACAACCTTGGTGTTTGCTCATGTAATCCGAGTTTCGGCGGTATCGGAAAGGGAACAATCATTCGTGAAATTGATGCGTTAGATGGTGTCGCCGGTCGTATCATCGACAAGGCTGGTGTTCAATTTAGGGTCCTGAATCGCCGAAAGGGCCCTGCCGTCTGGGGACCCCGCGCCCAAATCGATCGCGCCTTATATAAAAAGCATATGCGCGAGGAGTTGGAGTCCTATCCAAACCTTTCCATTATAACAGGTAGTGTGTCCGATATCGTTTTGGGCGAAACAGCCGAGTCAAATAGTAGTGGTGGCTCTGCCAAGAGCAAGATTACCGGCGTGCGCCTCGAGTCTGGAGAAGTAATATCTACTAGCGCTGTGATCATCACAACTGGCACATTCCTTAGCGGTGAGATACATATTGGGTTGGATGTTTACCCATCTGGGCGCATAGGCGAGAAGGCCTCGTTCGGTCTAAGCAAGTCTTTAAAGGATGCTGGGTTTAAACTTGGTAGGCTGAAAACCGGTACACCCCCACGGTTGCATAAGAATAGCATCGATTTCAAGGTACTCGACGAGCAGCATGGCGATGACCCCCCGGAGCCCTTCAGCTACCTTAACGACAATGTTTCTGTCCAACATCAGCTCTTGTGCTGGGCTACTTATACCAACCACGAATCCCACGAAATCGTCCGCGACAATCTCGACAAGACCGTTCACATCCGCGAGACCGTCCAAGGCCCGCGCTATTGCCCCTCTTTAGAATCTAAAATCATCAAGTTTGGCCACAAGGAACGCCATATTATCTGGCTTGAGCCCGAGGGCTTCGACAACGACACCATCTATCCTAATGGCTTGTCCATGACCATCCCCGCTGAGGCTCAGGAACAAGTTCTTCGCACCATCCGCGGCCTTGAGAATGTCCAGATGACCCAAGCCGGCTATGGTGTTGAGTATGACTATGTAGATCCACGTAGTCTGCGATCTACCCTCGAAACCAAAGCCATAAAGGGGCTCTTCCTCGCTGGCCAGATCAATGGCACTACGGGATACGAAGAAGCAGCTGGCCAGGGTATTATTTCCGGCATCAACGCGGGACGCACGGCCCAGGGCAAAGAGCCCGTATCTATTACACGCGCCGACGGGTATATCGGTATCATGATCGATGACCTCATTACCAAAGGGGTTTCGGAGCCGTACCGCATGTTCACATCCCGCAGCGAGTACCGCATGAGCACGCGTGCCGACAACGCAGACCACAGGCTCACAGCCCTCGGCCGAGAATGGGGCGTCGTGACCGATAGGCGATGGTCAAAGTTCACAGACGATAATATACAACTCAAGGACCTGATGCGCTTTCTTTCCTCTTACACCCTTAGCGCGCCATCCTGGATCGCCGCTGGCTTCAGCAACCGCAACGACACCAAGTATCGCAGTGGCTTCGACATGCTCCGACTCCCCGGCATCGAGATCTCACACCTCGCCCCCCTCATCCCCGAGGTCGACCAGTTCAGCGACCGCGTGCGCCACCGCGCCGTCATCGAGGCCCGCTACGCCCCCTACGTCACCATGCAGGAGAACGAGCGCGCCCTCTTCCTCCGCGACGAAGGCCTACGCTTACCCACCGACCTCGACTACGACACCGTGTTCGGTCTCAGCACCCACGAAAAAGTAGCTCTTAACAACGCGAAGCCCGAGAGCCTGGGCCAGGCGCGCCGCGTAGAGGGCGTGACGCCCGCGGGGTGTGTGCGGTTACTTGCGTTTGTGCAGCGGCAGAGCGGTGACCTCGACGTCTTCAAGGCGCTCGCCGGCGATAACAGTGAGGCGATGGCGGCCCTGGGCGAGGATATAGCGCCGCTGGGCAGCGAGGTGGATGGCTTGGATGCGGAGGCTAGGAGGAGGGATTTATGAGGTAGGTAGGTACTGTACCTACTGACCACCTACCTACCTATCCAGTATACTTACCTAGAACCATCCCTGAGCAACTGATAGTGGAAGGTGAGGGGGGAGGGAAAAAGGGGGCCATTGTATGTATGCAACACGCAACACAAAACATGTATTTATACCTGGGTTGGTATGTACATTTAAGGTATGAACGAGGCAGACGAATGCATGGTGATGGGGCGTTTATGGGTTACTCAAAGTACCTAGGTACCTAGATTCTGATACTACATAGCTGAAGGTATTGGCATTATATGAGAACTAAAGAACTAAAAAAGTCAAAAATGAAAAGAAAAGAAATTATTTGATAGGTACCTATCCATATCCCAGACCTCCTACAACAACAGTACCTACCTACCTACCAACCTGTTCACTAGATACCCTTCATAGTCCCCTCCTTGGGTCAGATGATCAAGGTGATCAGAAGAAAAGGGGGTTGTTTGATAGAACCTAGAAACCTTTAGGCTTCTAGGTAGTTAGTAGGTAACCAAATCTACCAATCTACCTTAGGTAGGCTACCTAGCACATACCTAGGTACATAGATTCAAACGACAGATGGCAGAAAACCTAGGTACCTAACCTAGGTAGCTAAGTGCTTAGGTACGCATGATAAGCTTAGTACTCATTTACATACGGTGAACGAGCGAGGCGTCTACATGGAATAGTCTACGTGAACAAATAAAGAACACATGGTCCAGGAAACTCCAAAAAAAGGGGGGGAGGGGGGGGGGATTGGATTTCCCATTCCGAGTTCAGAGTTCAAAGCTTAGACAGGATGTAAGATACCCAGGGTATGTAGTAAGCACTTAGGTAAGGTACCCGGAGATGCTATGCATACACCGGTGTGCCCACGTGTTTCTTCCCGACTCATGGAGCCGTGCATGTAAGTATGTATGTAAGCACTTAGGTAGTGTATTGTAGTGTCAATAGTCAATAGTGTACATCAGGAGGTCTGGTAAGATGAGGAGATAAAGTCTAACATAGACTTCCGCATCCGCATTATTTCTATATAGCGCCCTCATAGCTTCTAGATCACTCGGTGCTAGACATTCCCATCATACTTACTTGACCAAATAAGCACCTAGCTAGGAACCTAGGTAGGTAGGTGGCCACGTGTATATCGTGGATGGCACGCGCAGTAGCCATAGCCGTAGTTGTGGTGGTATGTGAGCAATGCTGACACAACACTACCGACCCTTAGGCTTCGTCTTACTCTCGGATAAGATTCTGACTGCGTCCTTGCTAAATACGTAGCTTAGACCACTCCATACCGTCGTGGCTGCGACCAGGTACCTATTATTTCCCATTGATATTAGCATATGTGTGTGATAGAAAAGGTGAGATCTGTACGCGCTAGAACGCGGAAAGGGGGGAGGGAAGAAGGAAGGGCAAGGCAAGTTCACGTACTGAAAAGCAGTCATAGCGACCGCGACATCCGCGCTTAAAAACGGCGTTACCATCGTAGCGCCCATGAGCCCCAGCTGCAAGAACGTGTTGTACTTGCTGATGGTCGTAGGCCGTACCTCCGCCGACGGCAAGGAAAAGTCCCAGTAGCGCGTGAAGGTCTTAGGCGGCGGTAGAGATATCCACCGGTAGTAGATGGCAGCAATGCCTAGGCCAATGTCACGGCCGAGGATGATGACAGCTAGCCAAACTTTGTTGGACAGGTAATGTTAGCGTAGGTATGGACAATTTCCCATTGCAATGGGACGCTAAGAGATAGAGAACTTTAAAATATCCTTCGCTAGTAGATACATGAGAGAATAGGGGTTCATTCTAATGACGTGTCGTGTGCTTGATTTACCACCGTATAAATAGAGGGAGAAAAAGAGAGAAACATCTCACCAGGTAGCGCGCCTTTACACGCTAGACAAACAGTCAAGACTGTCATAAGCGTCTTGTCAGCCATCGGATCGACTATGCTGCCAACCACCGTCTGCAGCTTCCACTGACGAGCGATCCAGCCATCGAGCAGATCTGACACGCCAGCGTAGACGTATAGACCAAGCGCCCAGGCGTGGGCATCGTGGAGGATAGCGTAGCCTACGAAAGGGGCAGCAATGAGGCGTGAGAATGTGAGTATGTTTGGCACTGTATAGATATTCTCATGCTGCGTCAAGGCCGGCAAAACCTTAGGGATTACTTTCCGTATCCCTCTTAGCTCTGGAGCCGGTGGTTGTGCTGATGGTGGGTGAGATGATGATTTTCTACAACTCCAGTTAGTGAACCTACACAGAAGAAACCTCACGGTATTTATTCGAATGTTTTTAGCTTTCGATGGAGGGAGAAGCTATCGTAGGAAGGTGAGAGCTAAAGAGCGCCAACTCGATCCAACCCAGCAGGAAGATGACATGCTTAGGACGACGTACTCATCCTTACTCTTAGTCTCATCCTGCTCCCTAAGAAATCTGTTGGTCTGCGAGAAGCATCTCGTATCGCCCGGCCTAAGCCAGACGGTAGCTCTAGAAGCGCATCTTAAAGTTGCGCTTGGCTGTGAAGAGCAGGTCCGTTCACTCACACGGTCCCCGGGCCAAGTCCGAGCTAGCACGTAATGCTTCGCCTTATTCGAAGTCACATGTTGACTATTCGACGGCGAATTTCTGAGAAAATGCGATGATCTCCCCCAAATAGACGGGAAGCTTTTTGGTAGTAGTAGTAGTAGTGGTGCCTTTGTTGTGGTTACGAGGCCAGCGCTGCTAAGCAAGCTTGCGCTGAGGTGCAGCCTCGGACCTAGACTTGGACAATTGCGAAAAGCGTAAGTGCCACCACATACTGCCCGTGAATTCATAATGTGTGTTTCATATTATGGCTCTGTCGTGCTGGGCTGAGCGTAGATAGAATCGGGATTGGTGCTCAAGTTCGGAGGAGAAGATGAGAATAGAATCAGATGAATCAAGAAATCACAAGAAATCGTGCATGTGCTTCGCTTTTCGCTTTTCGCTTTTCACAGTTGGAAAAACTTTGTTAGGCACCGTGTTCGAGCCGCCTCCTACCATTTACGTCACTTAAACCCCTGCTAGCTTACATAACCTAGACATCCTTATGTTTCAAGGTGGCCCAAGCGTATCTCGCCCCTATTTCTTACCCCTATTCTATTTGACATATGTATACTATGGATTCTTCCTTCCCAAGATTCTGATAGGTTACGCACTTAGATACAAGACAGCACAAGGTCGCATGAAAGTAATTAATATATGTGTATGATCGATCAATTTCTGCAATCTAAATCTACCATAGTAGTATAGGCGTTAGCCTTCGCATTCTGCCCATCCCTCCCAGACACATTCATGCTCTTATTAAAACCACCTGAAAATGAAAGTCCTGACTCGATCTTAACCATGACCACCGCACCGTATGCAGCTGCTTGGTCAATGGGCCCAGAGACAATCGAAAAACGCACTCTAAGCCACCAACACGGCCTGTAAAACCCAAAGTTGAATGGCAGGCTCAGCTCCCATCCACGACCCAACTCGGTCGGTCATATCCGACAGGTTATGCCACATGTAATAGAAGACCATCTTCAACTGTTGTCGATCGATGGTGAAGAGGAAAAGAAAAAAGAGAAAAGAGAAGAGAGAAAAAAGGAAAGAGAAAAGAGAAAAGAGAAACCAGAAATCCCTCCTATGAAAAAGCAACTCCATCACCAGGGTATCATCAGCGGGAAGGATCCGAGGTCCACATAATCTGCGTCCAGATTCATCCGTCTCCCGTGTGCTTGGCTGACAGAGTGAGTCAACCCTTAAACCCAAAAGGAACAATAAAGGGCTCATGTAAAGTCGTGGCAATCCCATAACGCCTTGCTCATGCTCTGCCATGTTCCTGAATGCCATAAAAAGAGAGATTTAATAAAAGAAAAAAGGTATGGCCACTTTTCTCATGCAAGTTGGGAGATGCAGCGTCAGATCTTTTCGCCCATTGTCAACTGTCGGAGAGCTGTACTAAGGTTGGCAGACCGTGTTTGGGAGACCCTTCCTAACATTAGCCTAGCCGGTGGTGAGTTTTAATGGTGGTAAGACTAACTGTGGTGCAAAATCATCATGGCCGCCGAAGTCGCCCGTCCAATCTCCATCCGTCATTCCAACGGATCCCGGCTCTGGGTTTTCAAGACCAAGACTCATGGGGGGTGTGGTGTCATGGCTAGAGTTAGTGAACGCATGACCCGGTTGTTCCGGTAGAGTGGTGATAAAGCTCGTCGATCCCTGGTGAGCGCCTGTGGTGACAGGGTTGTGCAAACTAGAGACATCCATGTTATTCTGGTGATGAACCCCGGGGTTGTATAAGTCATTGTATTGGTTAGGGGTAGCATGCTCGAATAAATCACGCGAATGGCTGGTGTCCTGGCTAGAACCAGTGGCAGCAGCGACGGAAGCGGCAGACGCTTCGAAAGCAGTCCCAGGAGAGTATGGTGAGTGGCTTGCCATACTATGACCGTTGAGGCCGTTGCCGTTTGGAAGAAGCTGAGTTGAGCCCATGGAGATTCTTTCTAGGCCATCGGGAGCTGGATATTCAACTTGGCCCACGCCATCTACTCCGTTCATGTTTTGATACCGTCTTTGTGGTTGAGGCACATGTGGTGGGTACACTGTCGAAGGTCGTGGGTCCATGCCAAATGTCTGCATGTTAGTCGGCTCATAGCTATAGTTCGTCTGATGTGGCGTAAAGTTAGGAGGAATCGGTGGCAACGCTTGGCCCATAGTATATCCGGGAGCATAGTTTCCGGGAGCAGCTCCCCAAGTAGGCTGACCATAGGCATTTGCGTGCATGCTAGGCATCGACATCGACCGTGGTGCAGCTCCGTTCATGGTGTACTCGTTGTAACCCTGGGGAACGCCAACAAACGCTCCGTAGCGGTCTGGCACCACAAGTTCTTGGTCATCGATTGGAGCTCGGAAGTTTCCTGACGAGATCAAAGACGATCTAGGGTTCACCCGTTGAAGGCCTGAAGCGTCGGCTGGTCTTCTCAGCTTGTTGTTGACAACATCGTTAATGCTATAATACGAGACCATATGGTGCTGTACACCACGGTATGTGACACTGATGGTCTTTTTTACCAACCCATCTTGCTTGAACTGGTAGGAATCAACAAGAGATCCTACAAGAGCTCGTTCGGTTTCGTTTCGAGCGTTAGTTGAGCTGTCGAAGTGAGACGCAGAGCCTCCAGAAGTTAATGCAGCTGCGCCGTAACTGCCGATCGAGTTGGCTCTCGAATTGCTGGGAGGCTTAGAAATACCCCCATCGGGTTTCTGACGCTTCATGGCTCGCTTCTTTTCGCCAGGCTGGAAAGGCTTGTCAAGTTCGCGGTAGAGGAGGAAGTTGCCCAATATGCGACTAGGGCTCCATGGCACACCATCTGTCCAGCGCTTTATGCCAGATGATGATTCTTCGTAGATAAAGACGTTACCGCTAACAATGAGATTTGCGCGTTCTCGATCGTGGGGTCGCCTTGGCACATGGTGGAGGACGCCAGAAAGGCATGCTTCGAATAATATGAGGGCGTCCATCGTACTTCCAATGTAGCCATGGAAGGTTGGGGTAAGAGGACTTCCCGGCACCGGGGCTGCTGTGGGTCGGTCCGTTGCCGACATGATGCCTCCGGAAGACATAACAACCGTGGTAAATAGACGTTCCTCGGCGATATGATTGACTCTGAGTAGTAGGAATGTATAGCACAGGTCAATAGATGAAAAGCTTTCCGAGAAATAGTCAAAACAGTGGTGACAGTCAAAAATAAACTATAACCTCAGGAGGTTTCTCAACACGTGGTTGGTGAGTTCACAGCGTGCCTATGTGTAAATAGATGCCTTTGGTAGAGGAAGGAGGGCAACTATCGAGTACACATAAGAGGCCTGGGTGCTTGTGAAAGAGTTAAGGTGTTGTCCCGAAGAACTAAATATCCCTGGCGTGAAAGGTAAGCTTGATTGTAGGCATGAAAAGGCAGGAACACAATCGTGAATTTGAAAGCTTACCTCAAGTTGGGGTTTTTACAGTTCAATCGGAGGGTGGACAAGCTTCGGTCGAATGAAGAAAACGGAACTCTGGGGGGTGGAGGAAGAACTTATATAGAGTGATAGAATTCTTTTTCCGAGAACAGATGAATATAAATCAGTTCTTTTCCTCTTCTCTGGAGTAGGTAGAGAAGGTCAGCTTGCGCCTGACAAATATTCCGGAGAGAACAAGAGGATAGGACCCTTGGTCGCGCTCGACAGAATAGAAGAAGAGCTGGTTCTTTGGCCTAGCGGTAGATGCTAGGCGTAGCTAGACCGAACGAACCTTAATCGGGTGGGAAGGGCTTTAGTTCACTTTGTGGTAGTGGATGTGTCGATAAGTACCTTTTGACTTTCTGATGTGGCAGGCAATAGATCTCCGAAGGGGTGTATCAAAGACTAGTGGGCACGAGCCCACGATTGAGTTCGTGACTACCGCGCCAAAAGCTTTTAACGCCCCTATTTATGCTGAGGTATTATACTTGGAGGCGGTAGCTCAAGTGCCACCACCGACACCTTTAAACTTTCAGACGCTCAGGGGAATTGAGGACGGACTCCGAACTGGTGTGCCTGAAGCACAGGTCCCCTCGGTGCTGTTCTTAAACCGGGGAATGACCCAGGTTCCAAACAAGCGAGGTGTGTGGTCTGGGTGGTGAGGCGTCTTTGGGCAATCAGTGATAGCAATCACACGGGAGCATCGATCCTATTGCTGGATTGCGGGGGTATTGTGTCGACGACTGTCTAAACTTGTAATTGTTAGAGAACAAGACATCTAGATATGATGAGGTGGGGCAGGTATACTGAGTTGAGGCTGTGAACTTTCTTCAAGCAGCTGGGAATTGGTTTGGTAATATGATTTGAAGATTGAAAGGTGAAGGATTGATTTGAGGTTAAAGACGATAAAGGTCTGCCTTGCAGTATGCAGGTCGTAGGAAATAAAATAAAGATGTGATGGCCACGAACTTATATGGAAGCGATATACGTACCGGAAGCTCTTGCAGCTGGTTGTTTACCTTTCTAGAGCTGTGTTGACCCAGAACTACCATAAGCCGAGGTAGGTGCTTAAGAGTATGAAGGCGTGGAAATGGGGAGAATAAGAAAATAGGTTAACGAGTTGCTGGGTTGTGGGCTGACTGTTTGTTTCTTGGACCTCGAAAAGAAGCAAGAGGTAGTAAGAAGTAAGCAAGAAGCAGTAAGACGTAGCAGGAGCTAAACAGATTAGATCCTGGTAGAGAACCTAACAGAGGAAAGAATGGACACGAGAGTGCACTTGGAATCAACAAGATTGGGAAGTGGTCATCGCCTTGGTGGTAGGTATTACTTGCAGTAAGTAGTACGAGAGAATTTAGTTGACTGGTGGGTAGATATGGCTCTTTCCATACCACACACCTTCCTCTCTACAGAATACCTACCCTGCCTAAGGAATCTACTTAGGGATTTACCCAGTATCTGAGTAGTTACGGGGTAGGTGCTTAAATTTTCTAGGTGTTGTAGCAGGTACTACGTATGAAATGGCACGATATCAACTATGGAGGAAGCCACGAGTGGATCTTGCTGCATTCTACCTGCTAGTTTTCACTGTGCAGCTTAGCAAGATCATCTCACTATTTTTTCTTCAATATTACTCAGAAACCTACTATGTAAGTCCACCCGGTAACCGTGTTGCCATCACTTGGGTTTGAAAAAAACAAAACAAAACCTCTGTGCTGTCATCTCTTTTCTCTAGTTCCTCTTGTTCCAAACTCCAAACTATTCCTCCCGCTTATCTATCGCCACAACCCCAATCACCCCGTCCCTTTCCACCTGTTGTGTTAGACTACACGTAGAAAGACAGCCTAACCACTAACCTATGTCCTTACCTTCCCCAGGTTGACTATCTCCACATATAGGGCGAGTGACTCTAAGTGTGTAGTCCTCTATAGGGGCCAGTAGTAGGTAATTATACACTGTGCGTAGAACCACTCACTATTGCCTGTGAAGTTGATGGTTGGAGACTGGACTAGATTATTGAACTATATCCAAACCCCATTCTACATCGCGACCACTCGTGGCCTTTCAGTCTGTCCAATTCAGCCATTATTGATCTATTTGGGAGAACATGAGGAGAGTAGGTGCTTCACATGGGTTACCTCCCGGCGCCATCGGAGACCTAGTCACGGCCTACATAGCTTAGGGCATCTATTAGCATCATGGATACATTGCCGCGAACATACACCGGACTAGTTCTAGATGACGGCGGGCCGGGAGTGACGCGCCCGAGCTAGGGAGAATACGGCAAGCCGGACACAAGAAGAGAACTTGATCGCCACATTCCCCTACCCTTGAATTTCTTGAAGACGGTCCGGGGTAAAGTAGTTTGGGACAATCACATGTAGTATGTTCAACAAGTTATCAGATACCAGAGCCGTGTTGGTATTCATAAGGAGTAGTACATAATAGTACACATTTTTGACATGAAATTTAACATTACTATCTTTCGGCTCACCAATTTATGCATAATTCTTTATTTAATAAAATTTCCTAGTGTCGTGTACCAAAGGCGGGTAATGATATTGATAAAGTAAAAGTAACTCTGATTTTTGTAAGGGTATCTACCTACCTAGGTAGATGGTCGACTGTTCCACAGCGATAGATAGTTCATGAAACGAGCCAGGAGGATATTGCTCCCGTCACCTTATCATCCAACATAGTTGCTCGTAAAAAGCCCGGGGACTCGAATTGAATTGTCCGCCCCTGGCTATTTGGTCCTCTGCCAGTCCCCTATTATTCAATGTGACGCGAGGATGACCTTGGAGAAAAGAGCTACATACAGAAATAGAATAGTATGATCACAACATACACAGTACCAATGGGACTAAGAGAGGGGAAGGTGACAAAGTTCCTTGGGCAAGTTACAGCTATCAAAGCCTAGGTTTACCTTGAAACTTAATATTTTCCGCACCTAGCCCAGCACATTGAATCGAGGCACATTATGTCAACGATGGATAGGCACCAAGACTAATGCCAAGGACTGACATGAAGCTCAACCTCGAGTATGGGTATCCTAGCTCAAAAAGGGCCCTCTCTAAACCCGCTTAGGGCTGACAAGTCCATATTCTAGTCGATCTAAGAAGCAGCGCCATATAAGAAAACAGGGATATAGCTACAGAGCTATTATGAGGAGGGACCAGCTGAGCGAAGCTTATGTGTAATAGCACATTGACAATGTGTTAGCGAGAGCACAGGACTAGCTCCGGTCGGCTGGATGGGCAACGATTAGACGTGTATCCTACTGCATGTTTCCGACGTGAAGCCCTAACGAAAGCTATGGAATTAGTAAAATAAGCACCTTTGATTCAGGTGCGCACTGCTGCGTATTACACATATTCGAAACCCCTAATAGTCGACCAAGACTAAGACGTATGGTATGGCATGAATGGCATGTCTTGATAGACTGTTTTTGCAATTGGTGTCTTTGGGATTCTAACGGAATCATCGGATAATTCATCGAGAGACGCTACTGTATTATTGCTAGATGCAATAGCTCATATGCTAGGACCTTGATTGCTCACCTCCAAACTATTCCAGCCAAGCGAGCAACGGAATATCTGAAGTAGGCGATAGCCGAAATTCTGCTCAGTATGCAGGTGCCTATTAGGTAGTCTAAATCGAAAAGTGGTCGTCGTCATTTTAAGCTGCATCTCACTGTTGTCTATTGTCGCTAATTATAACTGAAAAGGTCAATTCGTCTGAAAAAAGTGCTCGTTTATGCTGTGGAGGTAGTTGGGAAAAAAGGGGGCGACATGGGGTTCTTGTATGCCTCAATTTAGTGGCAGTGATAATTGTCTGGACTAGGATAAGAACTGCAAAGTAATAGGAAGATGAGCTAGTATTACTCGGGATATATGTAGCATCAATGTCTATTAGCTACTAGTAAGCATCTAACCTGGGTGAATGTTGCTGTTGATGACCCACACATCCGATAGCGCCAGATCGGAGGTCGGGCCCCTTTTCTAGAATCAGACCCTTTGCTGGGTAGGCAGGCGTTATGTAGTGAGGACCGAGAAAACTCTCAAATTTGTTACCAATAGTATAGTCAAGGTACCTTAGAAGACTCGCAGCGTCTAAGTGTTTCTTCTAAATATGTTAGAGGTAGAAGATATTACTCATTGTGGTCAATACCCCTCTGCTTGAGGTCCGCATAGGTCCGCATAGGCCCTCCCTGAGGTGTCTGTCTCCTTTTCAACCGCCTCACACATGTATAGGAGAGGTCGCTAAAGTAGCATGAGGGGTACGTGCAAGCAAAAAATTTGGGGATTACTACCCAGGTCCGTTCTCATCCATGGAGTGAATACGATATCATCATTTCGCCCAATTGCCTTTAAAATGCAGGTACTGGATCAGTAAGTTGAATGGTTGCTTACCTAGTTGAAACTCCAACCATCAGCTCGGTAAACTTGCCGAGAATGAAGCAGAATGCCATCATGGCATATGCTATCCCCGAAAAGTAACTGAAAGGGGAATAGTCGATCACCGATTCGGGAGCGGTCGTGAAATGTCTGGTCTACTGAATCGAACAACCGACCTAGGACACCGATGATATACTGTAAACCTTAATGATAGCATGGAAATACCCTGCGTTTTGCTCTACGAACCACCTGGAGAAGTCTTTCATGTGAACATAGGTGGCGTGATAATTCTGCCCTCAGCTTCAGAAAATTTTGTAGGCTCATAAGCAAATTCAGGTGGTTATGGTGTGTATACTTGATTATCTGTGACATGATTATGAATTTGTGTATAGAATCCTGTCCTTTGTATCACCAAAGCCATACCGGGGGTAGGCGTACGAGTGGTTGGGTAATAGGATCGGTGACGAGACAATAATAGCTTGTCAAATGACCACCAGAGGCAGGCCGCTTGATGGTTTGCATACTCGACGGCGTGGACCCATAGCTAAGGCGCATACTACTGTCGCGGGGATCGTGGGACACTTGCTGTAGATCACCCGTGGTGCCTTATGACCTCGGCTGAATGATAATGTTCCGCATTGCCACTAATCACTAGACGTTGATCTAGTAGCTGTCCATGCCTTACCAGTAGGTATAGTACGACAAGGTAGGAGCCTCTAAAATGGTGCGATTGATTACAAGTCAATTCTCGAGAAACAGCCAGGGACGCTTGGATTTCGAAGCACCGTACGCCTCGCCAGGAATTTTCATCGGTACCGGGATGCTGTTGCTGAAGTCAGATACATCGGATTGCGGCAGATTGTTGCTCGAATCCTGAAGTGGAATGGGAACTGTGATATCTGGAGTTAATAACCACGAATCAAGATGACGAAGACCTATGAAACGCCCCCATCTATACTTACCTATCACACCGCATTCCCAATTGCGACAGGTAAGTTTTGGGTTACCAGTTCCCCTCTCCTTCGTTAGGCGGCCCCTGGATTTCGAGATAACATATTAGTATCAAGGATAAAAAGCGAGCTTTACTGGATATTTGCTTACCATGCACTTTCGGAGAGATTTGCGCTTCCAACATAGGCATATGCAGCTGAAGGTTTGCTTTTCTTGGAATGACGGACCATCATGAGCTTACTGTGCATGAGAAGGCCAGATCTGACACTTTGGGCATCGCGAATTAACGCGCGAGGAAAGGTTGCCGAATCCCACCATTTGGATTGGACACATATGGTACCCGCAGCCTAGAAGACGGTCAGTCATGTCTGTTCAGATCTTTTATGCTTGATAAGTAGAACTGACATTAATGCCACCACGACTTCGAGCTACCGTGTCGTGAGATGGGAAGTAGATTCGAAACTTGTCCTCCAAATGTGGTCTTACGTTTGTCGGCGTCTTATTCTTGCTACCCTTCGTGGTTCTCGTTTCGTACTCTTTCATACCGTTGTCCCCTACCATCATTAATTGAAGTATAGATTGGCGGTACGATCAAGCTCACCTTGCGCGGCATAGTATATTGCTGATACCAGGTCCATATTTACTGACCCTAGCGACGATGCCATGAAGTCAATCTCAATATCTTCCGTAGTCTGGAGACCAAGGGATGCTACAGCACGACCGAGACCACAATAGCCTACATTATCTAGTCAATAAATTGCGAAATGAACAAGAATATATGAAGACTTACCTGTTCGCTGCCACTTGTCACCCACATGCGACGATCCGCTACTCAACAGTTAGCATGGAAGGAAAACCCAAGAGGGCATCTTTATGAGTTTGGGTGAGACTAAGCGCACATTGTATGGACGAATCTATAACGGTTTGCTTCCGTAAAGTCATAGTTGGCTAGACTGCGTAGTAGGCTCTCTTCTAATCCTTGGGCCTCAAGGAAATAACGGAGCTCTTCGCCGAATGGGCCAAGCTGGTTAGACGACTGCGATTTCTGATCTCTGATTCGGGGAAGGTCTATAAGGAAGACCATATTCTCGATGACTCCTGTTTCGCCCCACTGCAAAATTCGGTAAGTAAAATTAACTACTACTATTAGAGGGAGGGCATGTTGACCTACGTCGTAAGGAACAAAATTGCCCGTAGGGATGACTACTCGTAAGTATTGAGGGTATTTCAGTAATTGCAACTTTGAATGCATGTTTCCTGTTTGCATCATGGGTGGAAAGCAGAACCTAATGGCCATGCCTTTGGGCACGTTTGCTTTCATCTCTTCTTGCTGTACTTATTATTAGTTTTATTGTAGATGATAGCTGTAGGAAGCTGTGCAAACCATACCTGCGCCTTACTTGAAGCGAAAGCAACGCAGACTATCTTAGTTTTGGCGCAGTTGATCTTGGAGAACATCCATTCCTCATCCCACTGAAAGGAGCTGATTACGGCTAGTTCAAGTTCGTCTTTCTGCAATACCTCCTCAATCTTGATGTCATCCTTACGAGGGAAACCAGTAGCCCATGTTTTCTTGACGATGCCTTTCGGGTAGGGAAGATTGTGAGGCTTGCCTTTGGTAGCTACCATGACCGAGGACTCAACATCAAGCTTGGGTCTTTGGCGAGGTCCCTGTCCTTCCAATTCGGGCTCTGGGGCCTTTCGTTTACCTAATCTCGCCAGCCGCTCTTCCTCCATTTTCTTCCTATCAAGCCCCAGGGCCGCGAAGCTATCCGGTACTGTAGGGGCAGGCTGCTGCGAAGCTAGTGGTGCATCCTTGGGCGGCTGCTTGATGGACATATTTTTGGAATCCTTAGTAATTGGAGGATATTTGGGTCCATTGTCCAAGTCCTCATTATCCTCATCGGAGCTAAGTTCAATGGGTTTCTCGGATGAGGCATTGTTAGAGTCTTGCAAAGACAGGGCTATAGCGTAGCGTAGGGCAGCGTCCTCATCGCCGTCGAAAGATGTAAGATCATCCATCTCGAGTATGCTGTCTAAATTAGAATTAAACTAGCAATAAGATTTGCAAGATGGCGGGACAATGTTCCAAGAAAAGTAAACGAAGGACGGGGTTTCCAAATTTGATCTTGGATGCATGTTCGTAAAAGGAACATTGTGATGAAAGCGCGTTGGGAAGTTGACCAGAGCACGGCTTAGACACGGGATCACGTGAGCTTCAAGGTATCTATTCTTTCTACCAATCAAAGTGACGTCACTCGCACATGGACACCAATATTTACCAGGTACCAAAACCAACATTGAAACCTCCAGGGCTATAATCTAGGTACATAGTGCATAGTACCTAGTTACATGGATCCATTTGGATATGATATCATACATACACGTATCTAGCAACCTTCACAATCATATATAGCAACATAAATGGAGTTGATGATATACTACGACCTAGAAGGCCTCTTATATTGTTTGCTGAAGGTCTGGGTTAGTACTTAGGTACGTTACTGGACCTATGGCTTGGATATATCACCAGAAAAAGTTTATGAGTTTTCCTTATGTCCTCTCCTTTCCCTCCCCTCCTTCTCTCCCTCTTCGTCTCCTCTTCCTCCCCTCCCCCTCCCCCTCTCCCTCTTCCTCTTTACCTTGTGGTCGACGCATCGTTTTGATGTATGAACACCATGCCCCTTCTATCTCCCCACGCTACCCACGCTAACCCTTCGAACCATCTCGAAACAGATTACGAAACGATGATGTCGTCCGAGGTTGAAGCCGTCCCTTCATGCCGATCCTTTTTTGAATGTTGCCTTCAACATCAAATGTGATCCTGTTCCGTCTAGAATCCTACCCCTGGATTCGAACCCAAAGATAAGTAGCCGTATATCCGAGACTCCAATTGACGAGTAGCCCTCTCGTATCAAGGACACAGTCCAAAAAAGCCCAAGACTCGAATATCGCCGCCACCCAACTAATGTACCGCAGTCAACCGGGTGAAGCCCAAGCCTCCCTTGTACCGTAAGACATTATCAAATGAAAGTGGGCAAAAGGATGCATTTCCGTAGAGTATTTCCCCTGTATGATGCTTAGATGCCCGATATACCGCAACTATGACTATCCCTAAGTTTCATAGTGTCATCGGACTCCGTCCCACCAGAAAAGAAAAAAAAAGTGATCCTAATGGGAAGTAGAAACACAGAAACGAAAAATAGTAAGATAATGAAATAGATGAAGTGAGGATTAGCCGCAGCCAAAGCCTATGTCGACAATGAACCGTACATCCGCGTATCAACGCCCGTAACACCGTGCCGAAGCCTTAATTCAAAGGAAATTAGACGTAATTAATGTAACGGCAGAGAATGATTCGGAGAGTCAAGTTTGAGCATACGGCGTAGCCCATCTTCCATCGCGGTTAGCTGTTCCGATCGGTAGGAAGTAAGCTCGCCATCTACGGGTGGAGCTGATGACTGCCCACTCTGCGCATTGGCGGTTAGAATAGATGCCGGGAACATGCCGCGAGGTAGGCGATGCGGTGGGGTTTTATGAGCCGGGTTCTCCTGCCTCGGGGATCGCGGGTGAGCTTGCTGCCAATTGTGAACGGAATTCTGCTTGCTCGGCGTTTGTTGCTGTAATCGATCTTCACTAGGACTCAGTTGTCCGGTGAAGAGGTAACGCTTGAGAGCGTGCGACGAAGAATTCAAATCTTGGCTCCGAAGAGCCGTGGGCGTAGATTGGGCAGAGCTTTGATTAGATCGAGCAGCTCGCATGCGTTCATTGTACGGAGTGGAGAAAGCGGGGCCGACTGGCCAGCCAGGGTTGCCGTCGAGCTCATCTGCGGATATGCCCAAAGTCATAAGGCGTTTAGACAAGGTGGTTTTAGACGAGGTGGTACGTCGTGCTTGTAGAGAGCCGTTGGATTTTGGGAAGGTAGAGAACTCCTTAGGCGACTCGTGGGAGGGGGGTGGCGAATATGGACCAAGAATGGCCGCATTGGGCTGATCAGAACTGGCTCGACGTGTTTGGGCCTTCTCCTTTTCAGCTCGGTCGGCACGGAAGAAGAATTCCAAGGGAGACTCTTCTGCTCGTGGGATAGAGGGGGGGCTAATGGGACTTCCATCAGACGAATTGTTGCTGGTTGAGTAAAGGCCCTGTTCTGGGCTGGAGGCGGCCTTCGTGCTGGGGGAGTCGACGTCGGCTTTACTGAAGAAGCTTGGGATCGGTAACGCAGATGGAGCAGGTGATGCATGAAAAGTTGAGCCTGCGAAGATGGCAACATTATCGTCCTTACGTTCGGCAGAGGGGCTCAGGCTCTCTGGAATATTTGGCCCTGGCGTCTTATGACCATTTTTGTTACGGGGCTTGTTATTCTTGGTACGCTGCTTCTGGTTCGTCGAACTGGAGCGCAGCGACTGCGGACCGCCCGTGGTGGGGGTGCTAGGGCTAGCATCATAGAAGGACTTCTGCTGAGGAGCGTCGTTCTCTGAAGCGTAGATTTTCTGTGGAGTTGTACGAGCCCGACCGCCTTGACGGCGACGGTTAGGTGTCTGCTTCTGTGATTGTGTGGGTTGCATAATGACACGGCATGTATATGAAAGAAATTAAACAAGGGAATGGTTGTGCGAAGCCCGATGCTAAAGAGATAGAAAAGCTATGCGAGTTCGTTGTGGTGGTGTGGTGTAGTTTGATTTGGTTTGGTTTGGTTGGATTGGATTAATTGGTGATGTCCTGCGACAAGGCAATGCGGGGGAAGGGAATCGGAGATGAAGTTAAGTAGAGTGAAAGAGAAAGGAAGGTAAGAGTTTTCAAAGCGCAGTTGTTCGTGACGTGTAAAGGTGACTAGATCAAATAGGTGGTCGTCGTATGATGGAAGAGAAGAGGTTTTTAGATGATGTGGGATAAGGTATTCGTTGGGTGCGAGTTGATTTCGGGTCAGACATATTTGTGTTGTTTGTTGTTGATGGAAGGAAGCCATGGAATTGAATGATCGCAGGAATCAACGGGGGAAAACCTGGTGGGCTGTGATTGCTTGCTCTCAATGGTAATTATGGGTCAATGTTTTATAAGCACTGTGATCGTGGCTATGTGTGCCGTTGAACTGAGTGGTTTTGAGTGGAACTAGGTAGCGAACTTTAAATTATGACTGGGAATTTGATTATGGAAGTTACAGTACTAATAACTCTTCAAACTGTTCATTAGTGCGGCTCTAGCTTCCTATCATTGGTCAAGATCAATTTTGGTGGAGAAACGTTGGATAGATTATGTACCTAAGGCTACTTACTAGGTGCCTAACGATCGATAAAAAGTACATTTAAGATACAATGTTATATATACGTACTACCATACAACTGTACAGTATTATAGAAGTACCTTCCTAGTACCTTACAGCTTACTATATACCAGTACATCAATGATATAGCCTGGAGGGGCAACCTGCAGATGTCACTGATGAATGCCTCCAGTCTTATCCGCCTACCTTCAATGTTCTTACCTCAGGTTTATGCTGCCAGGCTGCTTGCTAACTTTACAGCAACTACATACTAGAAGATACCTAACAACCTTGAAGGCTAGAACATTGAACAAAGTGCTTCCTCCTTACCTCTTCATTGTTTCTGATTGATCATAGCACAAACTTGCTCACCTCAGGTATAAACAGTTGCCTTAGTCTTCCATACTTTGTCTATTTGTCTATAAAACAGAAACGGAAACAGAATCAGAAATCAACAGACCCGATACATACCCCTCCAAACCTCCCGCTCCACACTCCCGCAGGCGAAACCAGCGCAAGACAAGCAGATCCGGTCTATTACCTATCGAAAAGACAATATAATAACGACCCCTCTCCTAAAACATACTACTACTACAATGGCGGACGTCGATATGACTGATGCGCCAAACACCTCCACCTCCGTGGCCAAGAAAGAGCGCAAGGGCGGTGACGTTGACAGCAAGGGTGATGCGAAGAAGCGTTTCGAGGTGAAGAAGGTAGGAAATATATATATGGATCCATATCTTCAATGCTATTATACTAATACGTGAGCTCTAGTGGAATGCTGTCGCCTTATGGGCCTGGGATATCGTCGTCGACAACTGCGCTATCTGCCGAAACCACATTATGGATTTATGCATTGAATGCCAGGCAAACCAAGCTTCGGCCGCCAGTGAAGAGTGCACCGTTGCTTGGGGGATTTGCAATGTGAGTCGCATTCACTCTTGATATGATACATTTATCGACTAACAATCTATAGCACGCATTCCATTTTCATTGCATATCTAGATGGCTTAAGGCTCGACAAGTTTGCCCATTAGACAACCGTGACTGGGAATTCCAGAAGTATGGTCGTTAAGGTCGTAGGACGTCTATATCTGAGTAAGACCGCGAAGGACTTCTCTAGGCAACACCGGCCCCATATCATATCATGTTCTTATAGTGCCATAACACGCTTCCGGGACACTTTATTGCAGGGTAGAATCATGCTAGCATAGCAGAATCGATTTCATTAGGATCAAATGCTATCCTCAAACCCTATAGCTGCCTGCCTGTTCCCAAGAGACCCGTAGCTAGACGGTTAGGTACGAATAAATGACATTTCATTTCGCAAGAAACTTCTCATCGATGACTATATTTTGTTGTGTACTCGTGATTGCTGGTAGGCCTCCAACGGGGAGCCATTTGACGGGATGCTTATTGTAGAAAGGCCAGGGAGGGACGACGACAAGAAAGGTGAGGGCGGTACCGCCGAGGCCGATCTTTAGGGCCAAAGCAATGTCTTGGAGGAGGAAGCCGACGAGGAAGGAGATTCCCTATGTCATGCAAGTTAGTAAATTGGTAAAACGTCCAGTGGCGAATATGATCGTGGAAAAAGAGAATAGGTCATACTCCGACGATTAAAAGAACAGCAGTCGCTAGGATCTCAGATAGTTTCTGGCCTTCAAAATCCTATAAAATAAGGGCCCGTTAGCATTGCCGATTGGCGCAAGTAAGGTACAGGATATTAACGAACAATTTGACCCTCTGCTAAGTCTCTCACTTGTTCCAAAAGCTGTTCTGCCATCTTCTGTATGCTGGGTGTTATGATACTGCGGAATGGGTGTAGGTCGTGGTCGTGGTCGCGATAAAGCCTAGATAGATGATGGACAATTAAGCTACTTGGCCAGAGCATTGAACTTAGAAATATCTAGATGCGGCTACTGAGGCGACGTGGTAGTAAGCGGTACATACTACCTACAGGAACCGTCCAATAGGAAATATTGAATGGGGAAACATGCTTTATGCTAGCGTTGCTAGTACTTCGGTACCTTTGCCTTATTAAATCATACATGTACAATACATAATAGTTAGCCGCTTTCCCCAAATCGGCAAGTCGTAACAATATCGACCTACTGTGTAAGTAGCATCTCCGACCTATCTGACAGATTCTGACTCAAATATTGAGTAAAAGCGAGTATTTTACTAGGTATTGATAGATATCATTGATGTACAGTGTAGGTCCCTTCTACTATAATCAGATATATACCTAGTTATTTGATACTGTTGTAATATATTCAATTGTGATACAATAAAGGAGCATCCGCCCAATAAACCGCATTTGATGAATATGATGTATTAGACTATCTCAAGCGAGCACAAACCCTTCAACCATACAAGTGCTTTTCTTATTTAAGCGTTACTTAAATCATTACATCTAGGTCTATGATATATTTATCATCGCAAATATAATTCGCACGTCTATAGTCCATGATATTTAACTATTTTAACAGTGAATGTAAGTGAACTACGTACATGTGGGTCTACAGTTCAAGATTTCAATGTTCCTCCCGGAATATTCGCCCCTAGAGGTCAATTAGCGACAATTAGCGACAATTATCCCCCTGTGTGACTGGTCCAAATGTTAGTTTGCACCGTCGATAGCCTAATATTTTTTTTAGCGGGTCCTCACTCAAACAAGCAGAGACAAAAAAAAATCAGCTGCTTTAACGCTTTAAACCCGACTAATACATCTCACCACTCTTTCATTTCACAACACTCTTCCAACGACAACTTCATACTTTTCATACAATTTCAGTCTTTACCCAAGACTTTTCTATTCATTTTTTCTTATAGACAGACTCCATTCAATCATCTAGTGCTTGTTGCGGTGCGCAAGCCTTTTGACTAACTTCATTCGAGAATCTTACTATTCATTCTCGTACATCATCCATCCATCACGACTATTTTCCGATCAACGTCGATCCCCGAGACAATTCTAGTCATCGGACTGAACGACCTTACTTGATAATCGCTGTTCTCAATTCTTACCAAAACCCTCATCCCACAAATTTAAATCAGCAGCATCAACCAATCACCATTCTATGTAACCAACGCCTTTCGACGAACTTCACGACTTGCGCCATTTCTAACCACGTCCGATTTCTCTTGCGGTAAATACCGCCATCTTTCTTACAACCACCAAATTGGCGGGCCTCAACTGCGACAAGTTTTCTTTCTCCCGACCGCTTCTCGGCCCTCTTTGCTGGGTCTACAGCGGCGTTAACAAGAAGCCACCATAACTTGATTGTCGCAATATTTGTTTTGACTCAAGTCATATCTACTTCTTCACCTGTCTATCTAGGTATATAGCCTACTTGTTTCGGAAATCCGAATCAGGCGCTCATCTTTGGTATTGGTCTGAACATCACACCAAACTCACCTTTGCAGTCGGCGTGCTGCCACGCCTGCTGCAAACTGCTGATGCGGCTAGATTGAGAGCATCACCCACACTATGTATGCCTTCCCATAGCCAGCACGTGGAAGGCTTCCCTCGACCGGAGCATAGCATCCGATCACCTCACATCAAGTCGAGTCAATAAGCTGTAAAGGAGTTTCTTGGGGTTTTTTGGCACCTAGACATATTCAGCCGTGTATAAACGGATGACGATCATTACCAAAATGTCAGAACACGAAGGAACAGGCTCGGGTTCGGGTTACAACACCCCGGTTCCGGAACTTGACGATCACCGGAACCAAATTGGTTCTACACAAAGGCCCGAACGCGCTCGTCGCGGTACTGTCGATACCTTGTATGGTTCCCGCCAGCACTTACAGCCCACCGCCCCCTATTCGCCATCCGATGTAAGAGTCCGCGACTTCGAGGAAGCTGTCCTTGACGAGGACGACGGGAGCGTGTCTCCCATGGCATCCCACAGCCGCCGGCCAACCTTCAACTCTACAAATGAACAGCCACGTGGTGTATCTCCCCCGAACTCGGTGAAGGCCTTTGCCGAAGCTCGACGCCGAGAGCGTGGCTTCTCTATAGACGATCGGGCCCAGAAGCAAGAGGAAGACGATGCACTTCGCCGAACTTATTCTTCTGTTAGCCGCAGTAGCCATGCGAGCCAACGCTCTAGACGTAGCAGGCCTGGCACCTTCGTTGCTGATGATGCGGCTAGCTTAGCGACGAATAAGACCGCGGAGGAAGATGTATGCTTCCCTGTACAAGACGAACACCGCCGAGACCAATTGCATATTGATTTCGACTACCTCGAGAACTTTGTCGCATCTGAGAGTGCAGCTCGCAGGGAGAGTCTTGTAGCTCAGGGGGCGATTCGGGTATTCCCTAATCTGAGACCAAGTTCAGCGACCCCCCCACCTTTACCGATGGTTACCGTTGACGGTGATTACATCAATCTTCCATCCGGGTCCTCTGATACCGATCCGGAGAAGACAGCCGACGCTCCAGGACCAGCATCGAAGCCAGCCGATAAAGAACATCTCGATCCCAATCGGTTCAGTTTCTTCTCTTCTGCCTGGGAATCAACTATCCATGCTGCCGAATTTGGTGACCTCGTCTTACCGGGCGAGGATCTACGGGGTCTGTTCTCGTTTCCTCGTGATGAACCAGATGGTGTTTGGTGGTTAAATGTCAATCAGCCGACCGAAGAAGAAGCTCGGACCTTATGCAAGGCCTTCGGGGTGCATCCATTGACCATTGAAGATATCACGACCCAAGAAGCACGCGAAAAGATTGAGATCTTCCCCTCGTATTACTTTGCTTCTTTCCGGTCCTTCAATGTCGTCGAGGACGATGATGGCCCTGATTATGAGCCTTATAACATTTATGTTGTTGTTTTCCGCCAGGGCACACTGAGCTTCAGCTTCTCTCCGAATAGCCACGCCTCCCATGTCCGCAAGAGGATCTCGAGCCTAAAAGAATATGTTTCTTTGAGCAGCGATTGGATTTGCTATGCCCTAATGTAAGTCCTATTGCATTTAAGAGTTAATATGAGAACTGAGATACTGACAAAGCGTATAGCGATAATATTGTCGATTCGTTTGCTCCTGCAATCCACCGAATTGAATTGCTCACAGAATCTATTGAGGACTCGGTTTTTGTTGCTCGCCCCGATGATCAGCACATGTTTCTACGCAAAATTGGTGGTGTCCGCAAGAATACCCTTGCTCTCATGCGAGTCCTCGGGGGCAAAGCCGACATCCTCAAGGGCTTCACGAAGCGTTGCAATGAGGATTACAAGGTCACTCCGCGCATGGACATAGCTATGTACCTCGGTGACATCCAGGACCACGTCGTCACCATGATGACAAATCTGACCCATTTTGAGAAGATCTTGTCCCGGGCTCATAGCAATTACCTGGCCCAGCTCACCATCGACAGCATCACGCAAGGAACCAGAACCAACGAAGGTCTCAGTAAGATTACCTTCCTAGCCTCCATCATCGTTCCTCTCAACGTGGTCACGGGGTTATTCGGGATGAACGTCAAGGTCCCCTTCATGGATGATAACAATACGAATGCGTTCTTTGTCATCCTAGGAAGTCTGATCTGCTTCTGCGCAGCCTGCATGATGGTGGCGCGTAGGATGCGGCTTATCTAGTTGATCAGACGTATCTGTCTCCCCTGGTATAAGCGATGATGGAGAGTGCCGGTGTAAATATAGAGATATCCTTTTGAGCATCCCACACAATGCGCTTAGCCATAGGAGGATTTTATTACTGCTGCAGCTCGGGTACATAGAGTGGTATGAAGCTGGATTACTTATCACTTAGATCTTTCACACAAGATACCTCCACCCTTACGTGGTCTTACCTAGGTTCCTAGTAGGCCATTAATACAAAGATTTTCTAGTTTAACCACTGGTTCCATTTGAGTCTTTAGTAGAAAGATGTCTACATAGTGAGCCGATATCCTTGTTTTCCTTCTTTGTAAGATAAACCACGCATCAACCAGTATGTAACGATTAACCTACATAGTACATCGTGGAGTACACTCAACTTCATGGTAGGTACCTAGGTACCTAACCTAGGCATTTGTCTTACCCCTTTGTTCTATCACTCTCTCCAATGGGTTTGGACACGTCTATGTAGTTAGTACCTATCCAAACGCCCCCCCAACACACTTATAGGGTGGGTCACTGGGATACACACAGTAAGTTAGCAGCTGATCTCGTGTGTGTGTGTGTGTGTGTGTGTGTGTGTGTGTAGGTTAGGTAGTTGGCTCGGACAGGAACCGTGTGCCCCGAGGGTTGAGAAGACACATGCGGGATGATGAGCTGGGCGGCCTGGGGGGCCTAGTTAGTCGATATGATGGATAGGTATTAGGTACTAGGTAGGCAGTTGTTTGCTATGTAGGTTAGACGGAAGAGGGAGGGATGGTCGCCGCGTGGCTCGTGCCGGTAAGGCCCTGGTGAAGAATGGAACTTGCTGTACATACTTGTTGGTGTAGGGACCTAACTAAGTACCTAGTAGAATAGGGGCTACTATAGTACCTAGTGCCTACAATCATTTCAGCCTTCGCTACCTACCTACTCCTAGAGCGGGATATTCAATGCTCGATGAGCCTACAGAATCTAATATACGCGGTGAAGCCTTGACACTAGTACCTGCAGCGAGATTGTAGCTAAGCTTCCCCTTTCCACGCCTCGGAGTTACGCCTGATATACACGAGGGTATCACTACCCCTAGGCGCCTAGGACATTACACACAAGTGTGGGCACATTCACAAGACCACAGTAACAAGCACGAGAGATTCATCAAAAGTTGCGCCGCATGTTCATGCTCAAATAATGCCAATGCATCTAGCTAACTATGTCAAGGCAGGCGTGGGATATCAATGCAAATGTATACCAGATACCAAGTAAATGCCACAGCAATGCTAGGGATATATGACACCAACCTAGGTTAAGCAGGTAAATCAGCAGTTCAGCGTGACCTTGCAGTCCAGCACAGCACTCTGTCCTCCCTCAACAGCCTTGATGGCCTCCTTGATGGTGCGTTCCAGATCCTCTGCCTTGTCTACTTTGGCAGCGAACAAGTCACCACCGGCGGACGCCTTTGCGATACCTGCGTAATCTGGTACGGGGTCGAAGGAGATGTTGATCTCTTCGTTGGTTGCCGTGGATCCTAGTCCTTCGGGGTGGACGAGAAGCATCGATTTTCGGGGGGCGTTCCAGCCTGTTATCTCGTTAACTTAGATCCTTAGGTATTTCATAACGTTTCTCAAAGAGAAAAAAGAAAGAAAAAGACTTACCCTTGTTGTTCAACACTATAGTTAATACCGGAATATTGTATCGTCTCGCAATCCAGTAGACGCTACCGGGAACGGAGAACAAGAACGTGCCGTCACCAACAATCTGCACCACAAACTTCCCCTTACCACCACTCTCGACGTCCGACGCTAATTTGATGCCCAGCGCACCACCACCAGACCATCCTAGGCCACCTCCACCACAGTTGATCCAAGAGCCCGGCAGCTCCGGTTGCAGGTTGTCATGCACGAAGCCCGTGTTGGTGACTGCCTCGATGGCCCAAATCGTATCTTGAGGGCATAAGGATCGAAGCGTCTTGCAGAGGTGTCCTGTACCAAACGTCCCATCTTCGGCTGGCGTCGCTTTTGATGCGATGGTGTCCAGACGTTCCTTGTGCGCAGCTTGAAGAGCTTCCCATTTCTTGGCTACAACCGCATTATCTAGACTCGAAACTTGGCTCTTGGCGTCGGCTGTGATCTGCTCGACGGAAACAAGCGCATCGGCACGGTATCGGTGCTGCGCTGGTAGGTAGAACAGCGGCATGAGCTGCTTCAGCGGATCGACATCGATATGGAATATCTTGGTGCCCTCCTTCGGCTTGTTGTGGGTCGGAATCCAGGGGACGTCGCAGTCCAGTACCACAATCACGTCCGACTTCTCTATCACAGACTCGACGCCGAATCGAAGGCCGAGCCAGCCAGGATGGGACGCGGGGAAGCACATGTCACTTCCGCCGGTGTCCAAAACGCGCAGTCCCTTTACGGTGTTTGCCAGTTCTACGAGAGCGCCGGGTATTTTCTGGTTTCGACCGGAGTAGCCTGTGATGAGCAACGGGTGTTCAGCTTTGAGCAGCGCATCGGCAATCTCCTTTGAGGCCTTCGGTGTTAGTCCCCCTAGTTCGACGGAATCCCAAACGCCTTGTTCGAGGGAGTACGGGTTGATCTCCTCCTCCATCACCTCTCTCGCGCCCACCAGATACACGGGACCCTGGGGATCACTCGTTGCGAACTGCAGGGCGCGGTTGACCATCTGCTTAATGTTCTTGCCCGTTTTGATCTCGCCGGCATACCGGCAGTACTGGCCGACGATCTGTGTCTGGTCCGGGACATTCTGGATCCAGTGGATATACTCGGTCCGCGAGCCGCGCATCTCCCCCTCGAGCGTGAAGGGGCTCAATCCTGCAAAGACCAAAACGGGAGCACGTCCGGTGCTCGCGTTGTGGACGGCGGCTCCCAAGCCCTGGGTGCCAACATCGACGTGCACGATGACGCACTGGGGCTTACCTGTGAGACGTGCGTAGCCATCCGCCATAGACATGGCTACCATCTATTGGTGGGGCGTCAGTCCAGATCATTCTTTGGTTTGTGGGGTTGTGTGGGTTAGTGGCTGGGGATGCAAAGCCAAATCTTATGTGTTCTTACCTCATTTGGGCAGGTGATGATACGTGGGAAATTCCCCTTACTTTCCCTCTGTCCCTTTACCATAGCTTCGATGATACTGGGGTGATCTGAGCCCAGATTCACGAAGCAATGTGTGACTCCAGCTTCCCATATTGCCTCGAAAAAGGCGAACGACGCCGTGTACATGCTGGGCTTGGTAGTAGTAGTAGTAGCAGTAGTAGTAGCAGCAGTAGCAGTAGAAATTGCGCGATGTTGTTGTTTAGGTTTGATTATGTCAAGTGTATGTAACTGTTGTCGGGTATCTGTTTTTACAAGAGATCCGAGTTTAGAGTGGGGTGTTGATGGTGATGGTGATGGTAATGGTGTTGAGGACGATGAAGATAGGGAGGATGGGAGAGTTTGGGAGGTATAAGGCCTAAGTTTAACAAGTGCAGGGAAGGTTGCCTTATACAAGTTGAATGTGTTGCCGAGAGATAACCGTCGGTCCCCTCTATACCTTCTGTACCCTCTGTACCACATTGCGCCACTGTTGTATGTACTGGAAGTACCACTGTTGTATGTACTGGAAGTACGTATAATAGGTGCGGCCTCGGTCCGTGTGTATCTTTTGTACCGCGTGTACGGGGTAATTAGTGACTGTGACAGGGGGTACTCAACCACCCGGAACTCCCGCTGCGGGGAACTATCCCTTTGACCGTTGTAAGGCAGCAGAGGCAGCAGATTACTATTATTAGAAAAGGGTATAACTAAGCTAATTTCCCTACCGCTCCATAATTCTAATGTCCAATAAAATTTAATTATTTGATAGGTATATGTTTTCCCACCTAATTTTACACATACCACTTATATTAATAATACTTAAAATTATATAATGTTATATTATAAATGTTATATTAAGATTATATTTTTTTTACTTTAATATTTAATATATTTTTTAGTAATAGCTTTAAATTTTAATAAGAACGTTTTTAAATATTATTTCTTTTATAAGTTTAACATTAAAATACATTTTTATTTTTAACTTATATATGGTTAATAAGGTTACCACGTAAATTACCTTTTTTAAAAATTATTTTAAAACTTCGTTAATATATATTTACATATAAATTATAAAAAGGAATAACTTTATTTAAAATAAAATTTATTTATTACTTTAAAGCCGGGGTAATATTTTAATAAACGATATTTTTTTTTTATAAATAAAAGGTATTAATTAAGATTAATTAAAATAAAAAACATAACTTTAATACCTTTAAAACTTACCGGCGATATTTATAATTAAATTTATAAAATAATTATATTTAATTATTAATATTTACATCGTTTATATAATAATTATATTTATTTATAATAAAAGATATATCTAATTTTTTTTTTCATATATTTTAAAATACAACTTTAATAAATTTAAAAACATTCTTTAATTATATACGTAATTATATAATTTTATTATCCATATTATATATCGTTAAAAAAAAATTACTAAGTTATTATCGTATTAAATAATTTAATTAATTAAATTATTAAGTATAAGCCATTATTATATTTTATTAAATTTTAAATTTTTATAACTTTTAAAAATAACTTTTATAATATTATAATTTTTATAATAAATCCCACTCGCACTTGCTTATTTAAATTTTAATTATTTAAATAATTATAAGCTTAAAAAAAGGTTATTAATAAAAACGTAAATAAGAAAGTTAACGCCTTAATTACATAATTTATTAATTAAAATAATAACTATTTTTTAAGTTAAATTAAAGATATCGTTATTTATAATATTAGCAACTTTTAAATTATTAAGTCTTTTAAATACGCTTTAAGGTTTAAAGTTAAATATTACATTTAAAATATGCCATAAAAAAAGATAAAATATACCCATTTTTTATAAAAACTTATATTTTAAAACTTATAAAATCCAGCTTTATAAATATTATTATTATTTTAAAATTTTTATTAATAAATTATATAATAATCTCGTTTATTAATAATTTTTCTTTAAAAACTTAAAATTAATTAAATATATATTATATTTAAATAACTTATTCGTTAACTCGTTACTATATATATAAATACTTTTATTAAAAATTAAATATATAAAAATAACATTTAAAAACTTTAAATTAATAATATAAAATATATCGTATAAATAAATAATAAAAGCTTTTATTAATATTTAATTATTAATAATTTATAATATATTGCATAAAATATCAACATATAAATATAATAATAAATAAGAAAAAATAAACCTCATTTATTATTATTTTATATTATTTAATAAAATAAATTTTCACATAAAACCAAACCTTTTTATTTAATTCCCACACATTAATATATTTAACCTATTTTTCCATTAAATATAATAACATAAAAAACTAAAATAACTTTAATAAAAAAGATAAAAAATCGCATATTTTGAAATCTTAGGATAAAATTTCCATTAAAACAAAACGCGTATTAACTTTAAAATTAAAAAAAGCTTTTAAATAACGTATAATTAAATTAATATTATTAACTTAAATAATAACCAGGCATAATTATGCTAACATATTAAACCCATTTAAAAAACTACTTATTAAAATCATTTTTAAATATAATTATAATATATAATTATAATAAATATTAAATTAAAAAGCTTATTTAAATTAAAACCGTTAATTTAATAACACTAGCTAACTTTATAACATATTTATATTTAAATAAAATATAGATTAATATATAAGGTTATAAGTATTTATAGATATAATAAGTTGAAAAAGATATATCTATTATTATTAATAGTAATCTGCTGCCTTTGCTGCCTTGCGACGGTCAAGGGGATAGGTCACTGCTGGAGAGGACAGAGAAGGTGGGGGAGCTACCTATCGGGACGTGTTCGGGGTAAGGAACAGGGGTGGGGGGGTGCATTTGCCCACCATTCCAGTTCCTTTTCGCTTAAGCATCCTTTCGGAGATTTCTTTTAATGGTCGATTTAAATCTTTTTATTCTATTATTCTGCTATTCTTATTGGTTGCGTGGAGATTTGAATGAACTGAAGAGAACTAAATAAATAACTTGGACGGAAAAAGGAGGAAACCGACGGCTGTAAAGGGCAACCCGTGATCTAGGTAAATAGGTACGTACTTAATTGACAATAGGGCTGAATTGACAATTGACAATTGACAATTGGCAATCGACAATTACATGTACATGAACCTGCAAGTGTACGGTGAGGTAGACACCTAGGTAAGTGATCCACTCTGCTTCGTGTTTGTCGATGGTACGCTCGATTTATGGAGTGATGCAGAAGAAGCAGATCCCCTTAGGTAATTCGACAATGGAAGGGAAACTTTCAAGTTTACTGGAACAGTAAATACACAGGTAGTAAGGCACGAAGTCTAAGCGGAAGGGTCCCGACTACATGGATTCATGAGTTTATTTAAAAGCGTCTATAGTGTTCCTTGCTTTAAGGTAGGCATCTATGGTTGTACCCAAGGTTACCAATTCTCAGCTGAGAGGCTGCTTACTTCTGGAACATGTTCATCATCAGCTTGTTGAAGTTGAGGGCTAAGGACATCTCCTCCTGGGTAATAGGTCTATACACGATGTAAAAAGCGACTTCTCATCACATAGTAGCGGGAATTTGAACCTACGGGCCGTGACTCGGGTAGCCTGTCTTCGGAATAAATGACGTCACTAGGTACATCGCTTACCGTCGGCAACCGAAAAAGGGGTTGGCCTACCGAGATAAACAAGCCGTCAACCTTCGACATCCCTCATTTTATCCAGAAAAGCTAAGTCCGGAAATATACAAATCAATCAGACTCTTGGCATGTTATTACGATCCGAGACATAAAATTATTCCATCAGATACGGCATATACCTACCCAGGTAGGTAGCGAAGGATGCCGATCACATCGACCACAGACCAAGATACCTACTAGGTAAGCAAAGGGGTTAGAAATTGGACGCCATTAATCCTAACAGTACATTCTGTACCACAATCATCAACTCACGCGCATCCTCAGATGGAACTTCGGTAATAACCTGCGAAGGGTTTCCCTGAATATCACAAGCTCGAGAGGTAGGTATTTCCGATACCTACTGATAACATCACCCTCTTCTGCACCAGTCATGATAACTCCCAGGGCACGACCGACTCGACTGGCAATGGATGACGTGGGATTCGTCGAGGTGTAGTACAGGTGCAGTACCTATCCCATCTAGGCCTCGCGGGTTGGTGTAGGTAGGCATCCCAGTCCGAAACCCCAGCTTATGAACTGTTGGGAGCGCACAGTTTAGCGGGAAACACCTCCGGAATAATCTTAGAAGCATGGATTCCTTGTATGGTCAATGAGTACGTCTAGTTACTCAACAACTTTCGAGGCTTCTGAGAGGCAATGGTGTTCTCAGGCTTGATCCGTCAAGGGTCTGCCCGAGACTACATAGGGGGCTACATAGAACAGAGACGGCTTACATATATATGTAGCTTTAATAGCCTCCAAAATCTTCAGGGAGATGTTAGAGATCCCCGTGCAATAACGATGTTGTTCTGCGTTTTTTATGTTCTGCCCCGTGACAATCTGAGTCTAACTGCCTATTCTAGCAGAACAACTTACAATGTCGCCAAGATATTAAGTTGATAGCATTTGTCGAATACTATGGCTAACCGAAGCAAAGATTGGTGTGTACCCAAAGACCTTGTGGTACAAACGACAAATTCTTTATTAATATCACGTAACTCGTGAAGTCAGGTGACTAAATCACATAAATCACAGTGATCACATGACTATACAGCACTTAGGTAGTTAGCTCTGCATAGATGCTTCAGTACGTATTCACGTGATCTCATTGACCTCCTATGTGAGTCTCCTCCTCCACCCCCTTTTGCCCTCCTCCTACTATACTTGGGAAGTTCCAATCTGTTGGGCGATCACCGGCAAATCTCATAGTCAGAAGCAGCAAATCACGAGGGTCCAGAGGCATTTTGCTCGTACCTATGACATCTTTAGTCTAGGTTGCCTGTATGAACTTCAAAATACCTGCTCAGTCCATAACGATACATCACGTTATTCTATTCTTCTCTCCTTTCCAAACCCAACAAATGCGTCCTCACATTTACCTAGGTTAGATCATTCAATTTTCACCGTGTGCATCTAGTAGCTCAACTTGCCCTGTATTATGTTGCGCGTCCGTAGTCGAAGAGTAAAGTACTTCCTCTTATTTGTCTGCAAACTTGGTCTGTAAATAACCGACTTCAATAAGCACCCCCTCTTGTACATCAGAAAATCCTCCTGCATAGCGACATGGACGAACATTAAGTACTGCATTTTCCCTCTCGCTGACTTGTGAGCAATTATCTCTTGTAGAGTGTGATATTAGACCGAATTGGCCCAGCTGGGGGCAACTGGCGACTGTAGGGGTCGAAGGCCGTTAACTTAAAGTGGTTGGTCGTTCTGTTGTGGAGAACTGGGGGCTCGTGACTTGAATCCCATTCCTGGGCCATCTTGATTTCGTCGAGTGTGAGCTTATGTGCCTTATCGAACTCCTCGACTAGCTGAGCGGCGTTCTGCATCTGAGGCTTCACACTTGAATCCACAGCGACTGGGAGCCGGGGTGTGGAATGGCGATAGATGCTAGGTCGTTCGGAGATTTCCCAAATCTTGAATTGGAACGACGGCATGCTCTCCTCCCAGTTTGACGAAAGTTACTACAGCGCGCTCGACAGGTACCGCATCAGTCCCCCGTGTGGCAAGTAGGCTGTCAAGGGTGTACCCGAGGGCTAGCTAAGGCAGGTGAAGCTATATGGAGGCATCGAAAGTACATACCAAACCCGAACATAGGTGCTACCAGATGTGAGGACACAATGTCAGAGAATGTGGCCGCGTGCCGCCGAGCAAAGTGTTAGCTCGGTAGGTGGGTATCGTGCCAAACTAGGAAAGCACGTATTGGGAAAGGTAGCCAGCCACCAAGAATAATCCGTCGGAAATCCAGCTATATGGTCAGGGGATAAGTTAAGTCGGAAGGAGCTGTACACTGGAGGGAGAGCAGTCGACAGACTTGACCCATCACTACCCCTTTGACTAGAGAAAGAGAGGGAACTGCCTTCAGAAACGAGATTCTTGGAGGCATAGACTAAGGGGGACATCAGCTTGGTGCGCTCTTGACACTGGAAGTCTTCCGCATCCATTTCCCTGTCCACAAGAGATGGTGGCAGTAATTGATATAGGTTATGCCGATGTGTATCCCGTGGAGCAGCCGGAACGGACCAGGTTTCAGCGGTGCTATTACCGAGGATTGACAGGACTGAAAAGGACGTGGCCTGTCATCACCCCTAGTCGGGGAAAATGTAAGACCCGCATTGTCACCACTCAGCCAGCAGCTCTTGTATCGAGCTTGAAGCCGACGCGAGCTCCAGACCTAGAGAGTGTGGAGATGTAGGTGCTGGAGGGGAGGGGAGCGATTTAACTGAGAACTAACACGTGAATGCTTGTTCTCGGGATGCTATGTATGTGCTTCCATTCTTGTTCAAATGCCTGTTGGTTTGCTATTGTGACAAGAAGACTGGACTGCGAAGGCATGTAATTATATTGCTATTATTGAGTAGAGTTGTAAGTACTCAGGCTAGATTGTCATTGTGAGGTGAAGAGAAGGCAACCTTGGAATGTTGGCAGATAATACGATTCAGCTCGATACTTGGAGTCTCTTGACGCACAGAAGTAAGAGTGCCTGCCCTAGGTTAGGTAGGTACACGCCTGCCTAGTTGGCCATCAACTCTTTCACTTATCGGCCGTAGCCTCCATATATTACTGAAAGTTTATTATCATAGTCAGGTACATGCCTGAGTTAGTACTAAGCACCTACCCGTGTAGGCATCTAGCGATGACTAACCGGGCAACGAGCAAGTTCCTGAAACGTGTCTTTGTGATAATTTGTAGGAAAGGAGAGTTCGTACCTCCCCCAAGTAAACATACATAATGTGCACATGGCATCTTTAGGCGTAGACATGTAGATTATCTAGATACCTTAACCTACCTAGGGTAGTACTTACTAGGTTAAGTAGGCAGGTACTCAATCCACGCCTTTCACTCTTAGCATCGCATACCACCTTCCAAGGCCTATCACACACTCTACATCTCAAACCTCCCAAGCATATTATGTTGAGTTCTGCCGCTGTCACGAAACGAAACTAGAAGGGGTAAAAATAACTTTGTGGTGTTTAGGGGAGAGCCTTCCATAATTGCAATAGGCTATGAGGAGGTAATTCGATATCGTCGAGCATGTCACATGAAATCGTTACCTATCAGTTTAACACTGCCTGGTCTTGATTGCGGTTAGAACTTCTGCGTGTTGATCATTACCCTTAACGAAGTCACGTAACACGTTAGCAGTTACGAGATGGGGCCTGCTCTTGGGTTGCTTGAGCAGAATCTAAACTACTATTGGAAGAACTCAGATTCTAGCATGGGAGGCTGAGACTTCGCTAACATTTCTGTAGAGGTGCAACCTCCGTGTGTAATACCAAAGTCTGATAGGTGTCTCTTGTTAGCTTGGTTCTTTGCCTTCGTCGGTGGAATACATAGTACACTTCTAATGTTTTCCATCGAAGACTGACAAGCCTTCTAATCTACACGTCATCTTTTCTTTGGCAAATGAAAGTTAGACGCTTAGACACAGTTGTTCTGGAAATTGTTGTTCTTCAGCAAGCTATTTCGGATCCGGCGGCGTGGGGCATTCTCCTCGTTAAGGGGTTATGTACCCCATGAGGCTTGCTTTCCTAACGTTTCTAAGATACTTGGGAAGACGGTTCATCTAGATGACCCAAATCTCAATTATACACCCTGGCCTGGGAGGGGATAACGAGATCTCTGCCAAGTTAAGAACGCAGATATTCGAAGATGTAATTCAACTCAATCATGCACCTATGTAGTAGCGCCCGTTCTCTGGTGACGAGTTTGAGCCAAGGGCCAATGTGTATTCAATGTTCTTCTAGCAACTAGATAGTAACTAGATACCTACCAAAGGTATCAATACCTACATAACTATAGTGAAGGGGTACGCATTAAGTACCATGGATACTTCATTCCCATGTCAAAGGACCCGTGATATCCTTGAGCAATTGCCCCAGGGTATCCGGTAGTGCTGCTACGTAGTTCGTTACATGGCTCGCATCGGCCCTTCCGGGCTGCTGGCCGTAATGAATACATACAGTACAAAGAAGCTTAGTATTAGTAGGTAATTACCTCTTACAGAACAATATTCGGAACATGTGACCCGGACATGAAGTTCATTTACAGAAGGTATAAGAATGTATTAAGCGCGAAGACTACCTCATACCTGTTTGTGTTTGATGACTTACTTGAAGTTACTTCACAATAGGTAGGCAGCAACTTGACGTAGATAGGTGTGATGGTGTACGAAATGGCAACAGGCTCTAAATTAACGTACCAAGTCTTGTGCTATTTAGCTATTGAGCTATTGATGCCCGACCCTCTTTACAGTGTTTACACAGCCCTGTCGCTAAATTACTCATTTCTGTATAGTGCTAGGCATAATTATACTTGTGTAGGCATTTTTCTTTCATTTTTATAATATCTGCAAACTCAACTGTTAACTACCCATTATCAATTGTTGAGATACATACCTACATAGGCCAAGAGACTGTGGTCGCAGAGAACCAAGTTGTCGGGATATGCGACGTTGGCGCGGAAAAGGAATGAAACAACAATTGCAAAAAATAGTCAATTGCTAACTACTCTTCTAGAGAGATTCAAAGAGAGATTCCAAAGCTAATCTCCGAAATCTATTTTTACCCTAGATGTTGAAAGAAGCGTTTTGTCGGCGAAACTGGTTGGAACTTGGCATGCCAGATTTGATTGATCTTACCAAGGAAGAGTGTTTGTCTTGGGACTCTTGGACTCTTGGACTCTTGGCTGTATTTTTGTAGCCCCCTTTTACCTTGTATGGGCTATCCGCGCTTGTGTTTCGGCAGAGAGAAGCTATATCTATACCCTTGCAATACGTTTTGTGTCTTGACTCTTGAGAAGTTCGGAAACGCTCCGGGAGGTGGACCCTCTGCAGGGGGAGGGGGGGCGTTTATCTATGCTGACAAACTTGAGTGACTTTCGTTTTGTTTTGTTAGTTAAAAAAAGAAATAAAAATAAAAATAATCGTGAACTTCAACTAGAGGTTTCACTTTGAGTGAGACCGAGTGAAAGGATTTGACGATAGGATTTCACGACAACTATCTTACTAACTTCTTTATTTTTATTTTTATTTTTATTCTTATTCTTATTCTTAGTATAGTAGCATAAGTAATACCGACCGCATTCATCAATATAGATTAAGCCAAGAATTGATAAGTCACTAGTCACTCTCCCGGTTGGTTCGTTATCGATCTGTGCAACCTGTCAGCATCTACAAGTCACGACTTCCAAGACTTGGATTCGTAAGCTAGAAAAGGAATTGGACAAGTTGTTTCGTACGAAACCAAAAACTCTTCGGAGATACAGGCAGCTTAATGCTAAGAATGGCAGTTGTAGTAATGGATGATTCCGAATACTTCCGACATCAGCAGTGATACACTGATATCAACGTGAACGAAAATGAGACGACTTTGCCAAGATATATGCATTCGCACTTTATCAAAGACAGCCAAGACCTGAACCCCTCCGAAATTTATGCCACGCAAGTGAGCTAGGTCGGTGAGGTCAACCGTATTTGTGGGTGCCGTTACTGTTGATCACAAAGGTTTCAGCAGCAGCAGCAGCGACAGCTACTGCTACCGTCCACGTAATTTGGAAGCCACCTGGGCAGCGAGGGGAAAATACGGGTGCCAAGATATACAAGATATATCATCGAATTGGTTCGATCGTGGCGCAACCCATCAATTGGCTCGTGGCGAGGCATACTTGAGTTTTCTAAGACGGTGACGGTGGCAGATCATGACGAAACATTCACCGCCAGCCACAACAACGCCGAAGGAGATAGATAGGCAGACTTACATGCGCACCCGACTGTCATCAGCCAGCCAACCTCATTCTTCGGCCGAGCACTACGATACTGCGGAATCGAAGACGGCCCCTGAGTTTGCGAATTAGAGGGTTGCGTTACAAGGCGTGTTCCCGCTGTAAGGTACCAACGCGCAAACGCTGGAGGTTGGATTTCATCACCCGCAGGTAGTAGTGGTGTGGGCCCCACAACACCAAGACACTGACGACAGTCGTCTACCGACTCTAGCTACGGGAGGCGCCCGCAGCAACGATTCCCCGACATCACGTTCGGTATCCACACGGTTCGTGGCGGATGAGGAGGCACAGGGGAATCGCCGCGCGGTTGGGGATTGATGATGATGATGATGATGATGATCTGGGACGCCCACGGGGAAAAGAGACGGTCGTGCTGGCACGTAGTCCAATTCTTTTTTGCGGACACGTCACTCACCTACCAAGCTTACCTACCCAGTATCTAACATACTGTTTCGCAGATGAGCAAAGCAGCTTAGTTAGATCGCAAGAGTCTGGAGTATTGTGGACTGGCCCATTCCCGTAGCGCCCGCACACAAAGTATCAGATATTCCGAGAACGTAGAAGCCATTTCTATCCGTAAGTGGGGGAGGGGGGGTGTGGACGGTAGAGGAACCTGTCATATCGCGATATCTAAGGTATGCCCGATGGATATAGCCGCCCTTCCTTCGAATTGATAAAGAGAAGTAGGTTAGAAGGGCATGAAGGTGTGTTTGGGAAAAATAGAAGATAAAAATAAATATCCTACTTCGTGTGTCGCCAAGCACCGTGAGATCCATTATATCTGTTTCGTCTGTGACGCTTTTATTTTTTTGGGCTATCAACCCCTGTTTCTGGAAACAGTATCATAGGTACATGCCTACAGTAGTTCGGTAGGTATGTACATACCTACGGTAATAGCTGTAGTATGGACAAGGGTTTTTTTTCGGTGACGACGATGGCGCCGGCTTTTGATGGCTCGGCAGGCCCACATACCACTCTCCTTGCATCTGGCACAGCATTCTTTTTTGTCCTGGAAGCCCTGGAATAATCACGGTACATATCCAATATTGTACAAGGTAGTTTAGCTACCCGATAGGTATTTGTGCAAAGCCCATCAGGTAGTTAGTGGAAGGTGTAGAATATTGGTTGATAGCCACTGTATTTTACATTGTGCCATGGGACGACAAGACGTCTTGGCTATGATCAGCATCACGCATTACGCGTCTATGATAGGGATACGCAAAATTATCTCTACAATAAATTCAATTTGCCACCACTGTAGGTACATAGCTATGCATATTTCATCGCCCTACTTGGCTTTTTCAGGCACAATGTCTTTGGCTTGTTGTGGTAGGCCAAAATAAATAAATGAAAAGAAAAAGGAACAGAAACAATTCGCGGGATGTGAAACGATAAGTAGGCTACACTTGTCACTTGGGCTATGCAAAGAATAGTGCAAGTCTTAGTCTCTTCTGCATTTGATATAGCTTCTTCCCGGGGGGTTTTACGGGCCCTCGAGGAACTAAACTCTTAGTTGACATCCCACCCCTTTTTCTCTTTTCTTCGTCCGCCCCCCACTCCGCCCACCCGCCAAGAGCCAAGATCCAGAATGCCAAGGACGTCTATCTATGAGGCTCATGGTGTGTGCAAGATCTCTCTTTTATTTGGGTCCCCCCCCCCCCCCCCTCCATCCTGTCTCCCGACCCACCAGCCTCAATCAGCTTTACGTTTGACGTTTTGGGTTCTGCAGGAAACAATTAGACCAGGATGGTAGTGATACATAACTAACCTAGTAGTTTATTAGGAAACCGTCCAATAACTTTGGGTTGTCTATTGTATCATCCGTAAGCGTGAGGCTCCCATTGACGATCTCCCATATGCCAAGTCGCCGCCATGTCTTCACTTCATACCCGATTCGAACACTGCATCAAATTTTTTTATTAGATTCTTTTTTTAAATATATATTTTCGAATTTTCTTTTCTTCGCCTTCAATGCTTATTTGCCTTGTTGTCTTGCTTTGCTGTTTCTTTTTCGTTTTCGTTCTTACAATAATACCCTCCCGTATCCTTAACTTATCGCAGATTCTATACAGTAGTTCACCGGCGACTCATGATACATAGCGTCCCGCTTCTATTTTTGAACTTGTAGGTTGTTTGATACTGCGTGGGGGGGAGGACAGGTATAGCTGTTTAAGCTCGTTTCCCATAGGTTTCTACATAGAATATACGGAGTAGTATACCCAGCAATCTAGTACCGAGCGCAGGGTTCGAGAGCCTATGCAATAAGCACCCGCGTGGGTCAGATAGAATCACAACCCATGAATTTCGAAGGTGTAGTGTAGAGAATGTAGCTAAGTATACCATGTACCTTACCTGCCTACCTAGGCATGCACTCGGGAGCCGTCTGAACTTGTACTGTAGGCAGTGTACATACTACATAGTAGTTGAGATTTCTGTGGGACCCCCTACATCCCGATACACCCCGTTGGGCAGCACTGAAGATCGCAATGGAAGCTTGGTCGTATGCGCGCAAGCTTGATTCGGCAGTAGGCCTTATCGAGGACCCTCTTCTCTGATTCAGGTGCTGTGAGAGCCCTGACTCTTCCGTCGCTGGTTGTTTCTTATTTCCAGATGTTTCCTCATTTCTTGGCTCGACCCAACCGGGGGTGGCTTATGGTGCCAATCTATCATAAAGGCTTCGTAATTGCCCAGTCCCTTCAAGAGCCCACACCAAGAATTTTGTTTTCGGGTTCGATATTTTTGGTATTTCATTTCATCTTGGGAGGCCGGTTCTCTAGTTTTTTCTTCGTTGTATTACCTTTATTTTCCTTTTATTTCCTTGGATTTTCTCCATTTCATCTAGTTCGTCTAGAACTATCTTCACCTTCATCAACTGTCTTTAGTTTATCTGTCTATTCTCATTATCTCATATTTTCACTTCGCAACGTATTGTAGTATTGGAATAGTTTTAAGGGTTTTTTATTACTTTTTATTTTTTTCAGAGTCACAATGGAGCGGAATCTCACAGATAGCCATAACCCCTTTTCAAGGGAGAGCAGGGCTTTTGCTAGAAACTCATCAACACCATCCTTTACATATCATAACGCAGACCAAACACCAGATCAATTTCCCGTAGACGAGAAGAGACCTGAGAGAGCGTTATTGGGATCACAAGGCAACTCGGCGGCCAGCTCGATAGCAGGAGGTAAAGAGGGCCATGGAGATGTGGAGAACGGTCATGGGCACGGCGACGACCTAGATATTTTCGATCCTAGCCGACCAAAGTTTGGACTCCGCAAGCGTTTACACCATTTCACATGGGCTTGGTTTACGCTGCCCATGAGTACGGGCGGGTTATCCTTACTTATTTTTGCTCAGCCTCACCAGTTCCCGGGTTTACGGCAGATCGGTTTATTCGTTTATATCGTCAACCTCATTCTCTTCACCGTGTTAACATGCACCATGTTGGCACGATTCTTCCTCCACCATGGCGACTTCTACAGATCTCTATCACATCCTCGTGAGGGTTTCTTCTTCCCGACGTACTTCCTGTCCGTGGCCACCATCATAACCAGCACTCAGCGTTACGCCATTCCCGCAAACGATACCGCCTTAATATGGGCGATTCAGACAGCTTTCTGGGGATATGTGGTCGTCACGCTTATTTTGGCTGTCGGACAGTACAGTTTTGTGTTTGCCAAGCACAGCTTTGGCCTACAGACCATGATGCCGACCTGGATTCTACCCATCTTCCCCATCATGCTTTCAGGAACGATCGCTGCGGTTATCTCAGATACGCAACCGGATATCGCGGCTATCCCTATTGTAGTCGCTGGTATGAGCTGCCAAGGTCTAGGTCTTTTCGTCGCCATCATGATGTATGCTCACATGGTTGGTCGTCTGATGTCAGCCGGTATGTATCCATATTTTTGAAGCAAATTCATCATTCCCATCCTGTATTGCTGTGTAAGTCACTAACACCTCACAGGCCTTCCCCACCGTGAACACAGACCTGGTCTATTCATGAACGTGGGCCCACCTGCCTTTACTGCGCTTGCGTTTATCGGCATGGCGAACGGTCTACCCGACAACTTCGACCGGGACATGGATGGATTCATCGACGTCAACCTAATCCGAACCTTCGCCATCATCGGTGCCATCTTCCTCTGGGCGCTATCCCTCTGGTGGTTCTTCATCGCCGTCATCGCCGTCGTCAGCTCGCCTCCGAAATACTTCCACTTGGGTTGGTGGGCAATGGTTTTCCCCAACACGGGGTTCATCCTTGCCACTATTTCGATTGCGAACGAGTTCGGGAACGACGCGGTAAAATGGGTAACGACGGGGATGTCCATCTGCTTATTCGCCATGTACTGCTTCGTCCTCTTCCACCACATAAGGGCCGTCATTGTCCAGGATATCATGTATCCTGGACGGGACGAGGATGTCGAGGACCATTAGAAAAAAATTGTTTCAATCCCTAAACTTTCTTAAATTCCTTCTACAACAAGGCAACGAGAGAAGAGGCTACACAGATAACGTGTTGATGTTCTTTTTTTTTTATATCATTCATACTTTTACGCTTCATTCACTCGTTTCGAACACTTACTACTCTACACGAACAATCAATCGTCTTCACACAACCGCATACACACCACACTTCATCACTCTCTCACACACACACACCACTACATCCAGGCGGCGCTAGGATTTGGTGGGAACCACCCTAATATTATTGGCTGGTTTTTCGTTTTGGTTTTTTTCTCGAGATATCCCAGGCATTTTATAGACGAGCGCGGACGTTTCTCTTTAGGTCACCGCCGGAAATATTCATTAGTTAGGCGGGAATTAGAAACCGGGTTGCGTCGCTTTGCATTAAACATACATAGAGTGGCTTTAGGGAAAATCAAAATGTAATATTAGCCAAAAAACTTTGATTTTTTTGGATCTTCGTAGCGATGAAAACCCGAATAGCTGATATCGTTGCTTACGTTTTGCCGTCTTGACCCGAATTAGGTGAATGAATCTGCTATAGTTGCCAGTAAACGCGCTCGAGGCTCATCGTACCCCACCTTTGTAATCAAGATTTCTCCATCCATGATGAATACCTATAAAAAGATCAATTATTATGTCGATTATGAAGCAAATTGAGAACGGTGAACATCCGGGGTAGCTATGTACAAGGAATAAAGATGTCGCGCGCTTTTGGTTGTTGCGACCGCTCCTTCCTTCCTCCTCCGAAGCGGCGCCCGGTATCACCGATCGGAGGTTGTTACCCGGAGCCGAACTGCGCCCTCTTTCGGAGTCAGCTCCGCGACGTCACGGCGCAGTTCGTTTAAAGCCTAAAACACAGCTTCTTCCTTTCACTGCATTCACATCGCCCTAATTCATGTTGTCAAACAGTATCAAATAGAGTAACCTCGCGGCGTTCTTTAATTCCTTTCTATTCCTTTTTATCCCGACAACTGTAGCACGTGAGAGTTCATGCAACGAATTTACAAATGCTCGGTAGTGCTACATACATTGCATTTCCAACCACGATTGTCAAAACGGTGCGGCTTGCCGAACTCTGAGCGCCCTGCTCATGTGCAAGACGAAAACGCGCTCCTAAGAAATTCATCCCACAACATATGTAATGCATCTATGCTTTACTATAAAGGGGGTTTGTAACAGCATGCTGGCTTGTGCCATGCTAAATACAAAGGATGTCTTCACAACAACCTTCTTGGAGACTGCCCCGGAAATTGCCAATTACCAAGATAGGTAGGTACCTGTTATGGAGGGATCCAAAGGAACCCCCCCAAGCATCCATGATTTTAATGTTCGTAAAAATGGACGCCGAGACTTCTACCTACTTACTAAGAAACTAGCACGGATTGGCGCAAGGGGGAAAGCGAAGGCTTCTGGGCTCTAGCCATCCGCTAAATTACATGCTGGCTGTTAGGTACCGATAGGCCTGAACAGGGGGTTGAGCGGCAAAGCTTCCAAGGTTTTGCTTAGGCCAATTGGTTATTTAGACAGGGAGCCCTGAGAGATCTACTCGCTTTCTTCACCAACACAGATAGCGCACGCGGTTATTTCAATGTTCTTCCTTGCGTAGGTCAACCTTAATACCTAGTAAGTAGTTAGTAGTTAACTAGTTTCTTCATCGCAAATCTTGAAAACCTTCCAGAGCCGCATAAGACAAGTCGCAGCGAAACTCGAGTCTCCCCCTCCCCCGCACTGGACGTCCTGAGACGGCCAAAGGACAAGGACAGCAATGCATTGACTGGAATAAATTAATCCAGCTACGTTGTGTGGTAACATCGTGAAAATAAAAAAAAAGGGTTTAGAATCATACCTAGGGAGGCAGATATAGTACCTATGTTGTATGTAGTAGGCAGCTTCCCCCACTCACTCACCCATACATACAACCTCATCCCCACGAAGCATGACATCCATCGTATTTTACTGTGTTAGGTGACATTCGCATCCCGACTTCTCCAGGAATATCTTGTTATTGACTTGGAACCATGTGCCCATGTGCCATGTGCAATACATGCCCATATCATCCACCAATACATACGCCCTTTGCAAATCCGGCACGCTTTGCCGATACCGCCCCCTTCTCTCCAAGATTGCAATTGCTGTGGAAGCCTCCCGCCCAGGTACTAGTAACTAACCTAGATTACCGACATCAATTAGCCTTACTATACCATTCACGGAACCAACCGTGTCTTTAAATATTCTTATTCTACGTGCCTGCATCAACATCCTCAAGTTAAGAAACTATATAATTCTGCGCTTAAGTCTTCTGGGTTCGGAGCCTCGTTGTGTCTCATTTGGTTGAGTTACACCACTGAACTGAACTGCTGGCAGCATTCATGGGAGCACTACCCCGAATAGGCCGTGCCTCCGCCTTCCCTCGCCTTTGGAGTTGATTGTGCCATACAACCCCAGACCAACACAACATCCGTGGTATCTTGCCCCAAGATACCTAAGAACAGACAAACAAAGTCGTCGTAATTATGAACTATCTCGTTAGTAGATATAGCCCTTGCGTCTTCTTATCAAGATCCATGATATTTAGCAAACAGTCTCTACAATTGCTGTTGTGACGTGTATCTCTGTCCATACATAATAATTATTAAGACAACGTAGAATTCCATCATGAGTGATAAAGCATCACGCCTAACCTGGAATGTCAGTATGCTCTCCCCTGCCAAGCCTCGCCAGGTCAAGGAATCCTGTACCTAACCACCTCCCTCCCCTGCCCACCTTGCATCTCCAATACTACAACGGAAGCTGGCGTTGATAAAGGCAAGCCGGCCAATTCAGGGAGCTCATTCATCTTCACTATCACAATGCAACACGAGTGCACGGCGCAATGGCACGTTCAATCTTGCATGCACCGAGCCGGGACTTGGCAACTTATGAACGGTCGCCCTTTTCCCAGTAATTTATCATCTACAAATATTCATGGGGGCTCCCCCTCCAGGAGAGAAGGTTAGTTTCCTACCGACTTCTGGTCTCTCCTGAGTCGTTTGGCGAACCTACCCTCTCTTTTGGCTTTCTACTTCTGAATACTCGCTTGTCCGATTGCACAACCCACCAAACGTCTTGCCGAATATGGTTCGTGGGGGCATTGTTTTGTCGCTGCTCGCCAGCGCGGCGAGCATCTTCTCGGCCGAAGCGAAGGTCGAGGGCAAGACAAGACACCTTGCTGGATCATACATTGTGGAGTTTGAAGATGCCCAGGTACTTCATTTAGCCTGAACATATGCCAAGTGGTCGAAGAAGAGGCCTGTACTAACTCTGCGTGAAATTAGGACTCGGCAGAATTCTTCAATCAGATTGGCTCCAAAGCGGAGATGCGCATGAACTTGGATTATAAACTGTTCAGGGGAGCGTCAATTCAATTCCATGATCTCGAGACAGCCGAGCAAGAAGTAGCCAAGATCAGCTCTCTGCCCAGCATCAAGCAGGTGTGGCCAAATAGGATATACTCCTTGCCGAAAGATGAAGTCGTCTGGACCGGACGGAGTGGCGGCGAAGATTATATCAAGAACGTCAAGAGACAGTTAGGAAATGACACTTTCGCACCGCACGTAATGACTCAAGTGGATCAGCTTCATGAAAAGGGAATCACCGGGAAGGGAGTCAAGATCGGCATTATCGACTCAGGGGTAGGTACCTAGTATTTGCCCTTGGTGTGATGGGTATCCATGACTTACCATTCTTAGGTTGACTACACACACCCCGCATTAGGCGGTTGCTTCGGACAGCCGGATTGTTTGTTTACGTACGGTACTGACATTGTTGGCGACGACTATAATGGCGATAACCTGCCGGTTCCGGATGACGACCCATACGATGGCTGCGGGGGTCACGGTACCCACGTCTCGGGAATTATCGCGGCACAAGCAAACGAACTAGGCTTCACAGGTGCTGCCCCTGGAGTCACTCTGGGCATGTTCAGAGTGTTTGGCTGTGAAGGTGGTGCCGCAAACGATGTCTTGATTGACGCCTACATGAAAGCGTTCGAGGCCGGATCTAATATTATCACGGCATCGATCGGTGGCTCTTCCGGATGGAGTGAGGATCCTTGGTCCGTCGCCGTATCTCGCATTGTAGAAGCCGGTGTTCCTTGTACTGTATCGGCGGGGAACGACGGCGCAGTTGGGTTGTTCTACGCCAGCACGGCCTCCAATGGTAAGAAGGTCACGTCTATCGCTTCCATCGATAGCACCGTTACGCCTTTGCTTCTCACCGAATCGAACTTCGCCGTCGATGACGGTGAACAACAGACTTTCGGATATGCCTTAGGCGAGCCAGGAGAATGGGCTAACGTCACTCTTCCACTCTGGGCCCCCTCGTTCGATATCACAGAGGCGGCTCAGGGCTGTACCGCGTACCCCGACGACACCCCCGACCTCTCTGGATACATTGTGTTGATCCGTCGGGGTACCTGTACTTTTGTACAGAAAGCAACCAATGCTGCCCAGTTTGGGGCCAAATATGTTCTCTTCTATAATAACGTCATGGTTGGTGTAACTGCACCTGCTGTTGACGGGGTCCCAAATATTCTGGGGACCGGCATGGTATGTGACTAGAGATGATCGTTGCCAGGTTTAGGAAAAATAGCAGCTGACAGTTGATAGGTAATTGCATCGCAAGGTGAATCGTGGGTCAAGTCGTTAGAGGCCGGATCTAACATCAGCTTGAACATGCTTGACCCTTTAACTGCACCTGTTAGGTAAGTACATATCTAACACATCATCTTGGGATTGCTTTCTGACATCCGACAGCTTGACTTACCAGGACAATACCCTAACCGGAGGGTTTGCTAGCTCTTTTACGACCTGGAACCCAACTTTTGAGATGGATATTAAGCCCCAGCTCGCCTCGCCGGGTGGTAATATTCTATCGACTTTCCCGATTCCTCTCGGTACTTATGCTGTCTTATCTGGAACTTCCATGGCGTGCCCGTTGGTGGCAGCGATATATGCTCTTATCTCCAACGTACGTGGCACTTTAGACCCAGCCACCATCGAAAATCTACTTTCTGCGACCGCAAACCCGCAATTATTAAATGACGGAAATCAAACCTTTCCAACGTTGGCGCCTATCTCTCAACTCGGGGCCGGACTAGTTCAAGCGCATGATGCTGCTTTCGCCACCACGTTGCTGAGCAAGTCGAGTCTTGCTTTTAACGACACGGACAACTTTGTCGACACACTCGAATTCAAAATAAAAAATACCGGCTTAGAAGAGGTCATTTACGAGCTCGGAAGCGTGGGCGCCGCCACCGGCTACACCTTCTCCGATTCCATCTACCCCGACCCATTTCCCGGCCTAGAGCTAACGGACCAATATGCCACCATCGCACTGAGCGAGTCTAAAGTCGTCGTTCCACCCGGCGGTGAAGCGGTCATTTCTGTGACTGTTACCCCACCAGACGTCGACCCTGCCCGCTTGCCGGTTTATTCTGGATACATTACTTTGAATGGCACCAACGGCGACAGCCTTTCTTTGCCATACAACGGCGCGGTCGGGAGCTTGCACAATACACGAGTGCTTGACGTTGGCTACCTCTCGATTTCATCCGACGAGGAGTTGAATCCCATCGCAAGCAATGTATCATTCGTACTACCCAGTACCAACGGCACCAGCAATGCCACGTACCCGGTAATCGTAGTTCTCTTAGCATTTGGCTCGCCGCAGGTCAATATTCGCGTGGTGCCACTCAATGGTACATCAGGTGATGCAGGTGCGGGTAGCCACATCTTTGGATCCCCATTCTACTACGCATCCCGTGATCCAGTCGCATTGACATGGGATGGTAGACTCGCAGATGGTACTCTAGCACGGGAGGGTGCATACAAGCTAAGCATCGATGCATTGCATATCTTTGGTGATGCTTCCAACGCAGCTGAGTATGATACTGATGAGTCGGTGTCGTTTTCGATCAGCTACTCCTAGGTTGCTAAGCAAGCCTGATTTGTGTATAGAAAAAGATCCATGAATGTAAGCGCTGAAGTCGAGGTACCCAAACATATCAAATTATACTATAATTATAGCCAAATAGAATACGACTGTTTTTCTACAAGCTCTAACTTGGGTTTTTATGCTTGCAATGACAAAAGAAAAAGAGCACACTGAAGCTCACATGCAAGTCCAAGATGTTGAAGTGAAAGATGTCAAAGTAGAGATTTCAAAGTTTCACTGCAATTGATGATATATGTGATTCGGTTTAATGCAAATCACTTCTCAATGGATTTTAACCACGTTAGTCGCATTTTTATTACAGAAGTGCCTGACAACTAACTAACCTGAGGTAAGAATCTAGGTTATCTACTACCGTAAGATAGCTACCCTAGTAGTAGTTAGTAGCATGAACCAATCAGGAGTGCCGGGATAGCGATTACTAGGTACAAGGTACTAACTTAACTAGATCATCACCGTTATCGCACTTTTCAAGCTTTATCGCTCTAGCACAATTTCTAATCATAAGATGCGCCATGAACATTCAACCAGAAAAACAAACACAACTTTACAATAATCCAACAATATTTATTTTCCTAATACAAGGTTGGAGAACTAATTCCAATTCCAACCCCAATCCCATCATCAACTTGTAAACCAAGGTCGTCAGGATGATTCGTCATAATCGTTGTCGCCTTCTCGCGACAATTGCTCGTCAAAGTCGAAGCCATCCCACATTCCCACGACCCATTACCGCATTCACATCCACACGTCAAGAAAGTACCATGTCAAGACCAATACACAAGGACTCGCACAAAGCCCGAGTCTGGACCCGATACTACTCGGCGTCCGACCCAAACACAGCAGCGCCACCACGAAAAGCGCCGTCCACAAAATCGCCCCGCCCCGAAAAGCCCGACTATCTCAACGACGCCGAAACAGCCATATGGGAGAAGCTTATGGCCGAATTCTCCCCCACCGAGCTCGTAGTGCAAGATATATCAGGCGGCTGTGGCTCTATGTACGGAATTGAGATCTCTTCGGAGAAGTTCCGCGGCGTCAACATGCTTAAGCAACAGCGAATGGTTAATGCCGTGCTAGGCGATCAGATGAAGACCTGGCACGGTGTCCAACTGCGCACCAAGATCCCTTGATCCAATAATTGAGCTACGAAATACGAGATACGAATCAAGAGAATAAGCATCGACGGATGAGGACAAAAACAAAAAAAACTGGAGTGGAATGGCTATATACCTACCTACCCAATCAGAGGGAAAACATGGGGTTGGGAAGACTTGTGACTTCCAATTAATGACTACTTGTATGAGCATTGGAGTCTTCATGGATACGCAAAGCATTGGCAGGTTTTCTATTATACTGTATTGTACATGTGTACCTAATAGTATATTCGCTGAACGTTGTACAATACATACCTACCTACCTACCTTATGCATGTACCTACTTTCGAGGCACTCCACTACACCAAAATGAAGATTGACCCATCACGGGCAGTAATTCTAAGACCGAAAAGTTTCAATAACGAAATAAGCAGTGGCTGTGAAACAAGTCGCACCTGCATGAGGCTAAGAATGGATCTAAGGCAGGATCTAGATTATGTAGATCCAGTGATGTGTGTGTACTACATGGTTATGTGTGTGGACTATTTAGCTTGACATCTGTCTGTTTTGATTCAAGAAGCATTCGTCGAAGCCCCAAATGCGTTGCCGATCTTTTTCCAGACGGTAACTCAAGAAGGGCGGTGGCGCCAAGTCCCGTGTAAAACTGTTACCGGCTTTATGTAGCTCTAGTGTATCCCAAGCCGTCGGAACTGGAATCATTCTAGAATGCTTCACCTATGTAGGTTAGGCCTGCTTATGCCGATCATCAAGCCCGCTTCCCAACTTGGCGTTCGAGTGACATGCCTATTGCTGTGTAGTATTGCTACCCTAAACAAAAGCCTACCTACCTAAGGTACGTAAGCAAATCTCCAAATGAGATCGAAGGAAGAAAGAAAAGAAAGAAGAGTAAATAAATAAAAATCATCTTCCGATTCGGATCTGCAAGTTCCCGGTGTCGTACCGCAGCAACACGATATGGGAATTTATTCTCACCAATTACCCGAGACCTCGGCAGGTTCCTGTGCATATGGATTGCATGGTTGAAAAAAGTTCCCATTAGTCCCGTAGCGTAGCGTAATAGACATTAATTAGGTAACTAGGTAGCTTTAAATGCCAATTGCCCTTGGGGGCCGACGATCAGGTGGCTAGCGGTAGAGGCGTACCCCGAAGCCAATAGTTCAGTCTGTAGAGAGACAGGGCAGGATCTCTTACGGACTAGCTTGCATCTGCATCTGCATCTGCATCCGCATCCCGCGAATGCTAGCTCGCATGCATGTGACTATTACAACTACCTAGTTGGCTACGTCGTGGCAATGAGGCTCCGTACGAGGGTCTTTGACTATGATGACCATCGTTTGATTACCGTTCGATATTCAGGCCACAACACCAGCAAAACATTGCATCTACAGATTCATTGATGAAAATATCGGCTGTGGCATTGCGTAATGGGTACTCAGGGTAATTCATGAGCCTAACCTTCAAAAGAGCAAGGAATATATTTGGCATTTCGACCCAACCAGTGCATGTTGAATCACCTCAAGATATAAGCAACAAGCGAGGAATAGTACCCAGAAACAGATTCTACCAGTGATCACATCTCAGCTAAGCACCTATTCAGATCTCACTTGATATGTCAAAACCCAATCTCGTACTATTTTCAACCTTGCTCGTGTGAATAGAATAATCTCAATTTGACGTTTGACATACAATTTAGATGAAGATACCCCTGAAAATAATGACTAAAAGAAACCCCTAAACCCCTCCTTAACCCCCCCCCCCTCCATTGAACTTTTGCGCCAGCGTCTTGATAAATCACACAAATCCCAATCTTTGCCTTTCAATCCCAATCCCCCAACCATCTCCATAAGCGCCATTCCCAGAATCCCGTTACAGCTACCTAGTTAAAGAGAAAGAAACTTTTTACGATCATCTAGGCGATCGAGGGATGCCGAATCCACCGTTTCGGCGTAGTCTTCGCAGGAGAGACTGTTCGTCGGAGGCTATAAATTTGGTAAAAACAAAAGTCATCAGTGTCTAGTTAGGTATGTATGTACCGGTTGCCATAGTTCAAAAACCGCGGTGAAAAGCTTACATGGAACCTCCGTGGCGACGCTTTCTTCATACACCATGATCTGGGCCGAGGTGGTGGAGCCAGCAATGACTGCGGCGGGGCCGTCGGGGGAGCTGTAGTCCATGCGCACGGCGGTGACCTGGATGTAGTAGGTGCCGGGGTAGCCCACGATGAGGTCGGGGAAGGCAAAGTACTCGGTGGACCGGCTGCTTCGCGACGCGTGTCGATCGTCGAGGCTCTTGCCGGACATGGAGAGGGTGCCGTACAGCTGGTCCTCGAGGACGCGGCCGTACGAGTCGATGAGGGCGATCTGGACGAAGTCGCAGGCGTTGCTGTCAGAGCTGATCACCAGGGGCGGGTACATGACCGCCCCGGCTTGGGCTTGCGCCGGCGGTTGGACTTCGATCGTGACCATGGCTACGGTAGTTGAGGTAGGTGTTGTGCTACTTGTGAGGAAACTTGGAACTTGGAAACACTTGGACAATCCTTACTCGTCTAGCTGGTATACCCTTTTCCGGACAAGAGACGGCATCCATCTTTTGCGGTGGTGACTTCTTTCTAAGGCTATTTAAGTCCCTCCGAGTGATACCAAGAAGAAACGTCAAGAGCCTCAATGCCAGTCCTAAAGCATTGATGATGATACTATTATTCCTTTTCATTTTTTCTTTTCCCTTTCATTTTTTCCTTTTCATTTCTTTTTTAACCATTATACAATAATATGATACACGTAAGTTACAATAATTCGAAAAAGTGTACTGAGTATTTCCGCGGAGAGTGCTCCGCGCTCGTGTGATTTGTTATATTTCAGAGAATCCGAGTCACCTTGGTGATGATAGATCATAGACTTCGAGGTGAGGCTTTAGAGGCCCGGGCTTTAGAGACAACGATTCAGATGGTTGCAGTAGCAAAGAAACACTGGCCTCTCATCTGAGGAATCCATACGAAGTCCTCCATTTCACGAAGCCCCCCCCTTTATTCGCAACTAGGACTTCTCATAGGCTTGGTCATGGTCCAATGGCTGGGCGGGCTGTATATTGTCCAGAGCTATGACGCGAAGCTAACGCCTCAGCCGCCTTGTTTCTTCCTTCTTTGGAATTCGAGCTGGACGAACTGAGAATGATGCTGCCCCATCAGAATGTATAATATAAGATATTAAAGATTGATCACCTACTAGGTAATGGATAGACTGGACCCGAGGCTGTGGGCCATGGGTAGACTAGTGTCTGCCTCATGCAACGGTGTAAGGCTAGCAAAAAAATATGATCAGTAATCAGTAAGAAAAATAGAATAGAGGGATTGCGTATGAAGTAAAACAAAACAAGAGCAGCTAACCTATTACGATGATATTTTTATGAAGTATGTAATATGTATAGTTAAACATATAGGTATGGTAATGGTACTGTGGGATGTATGTAGTATGTAGGATAGGTTAGGTTAGGTTAGGTATGTAGACAGACAAGAGGTTCAAGTTTAGTTGGGTCTTAGGGTCCACGGGTAAGTAGGCACTAACCTGGTAGTACTATGTAATTGTAGGTACTACATAGCCTGGAGTAGGCCTGGAGGGCAGTGGAGGCAGTATGTATGGAGTTATGGAGAGGTAGGTCACATTTACAGGCCTACTAGACAGGGGTGTCAAAAGCTAAAAGCGGGTTGCAAGGGGTACCACCCTCTTGGATTCTCCATGCAACCCATGTTTAGGCCTGACTAGTGTAAGTGCGGTCTAGTTAGGTTCGATACCTAAGGTACGATAGGTATTAGTAGGTTACTGTAGGTACCTACGTCAAGGGTCTTTTTCACCCCCTTTCCACCCCCCCTAGTCCGATACCGCGATTCCAAACATTCGACTCGATCTCACATTCGATCACTACGACGTAATTATTAACACGATGCTCAAATTGCAGGCTCCTTCCAAACAAAAAAACTCATCTCATCTTTCAGCTGCCTACCTAGCCTAGTACCAGGTACGTAATCTATAATCTATATTTCAAATTTGGTAGCGAATCGAATTAAAATATGGAGCTGGATGGTACCAGAGCCGTGTTTATATTGATGGCCTCGGACGCATTTGATATCCTCTGCCAATCGATGGATCGGCTATGGTATGCAACATACTATGTATGTTGTGCGTAGTATGTTGAGTCACAGTAAGTAGTTCATGTGTGGATTATGAATCTGCGGACACTTCCGTCGTCTGTGGTGTCCCATAGTATTTCAAGACGGATGTCGGATGGTTTTGTGCTCAATGCCTCACAGCCATTCATTTAGGTATAAGTTTTTTAAGTCTTGATTGAGAATGGGTCGTTGGAAAATGTATCAACGTAATTAGGTAGGGTTATGGAAAACAAAAATGAAAAGAAATAAAAATAAAAATAAAAAGGAATATGGTCCTATACAACTTGTAATCAAACCTTTAAACATAAACAGTTACGAGTATGAGACGATAAACAATATATTGGGCGCAGCATGACTCTGCTATAAAAAAATTTAGAATCAAACGCCAATCGCAGAAACTATTATCTTGAAAGATTTATTAATAGAACCGCCCCCCCCCAGAGCTAGACTCACATCGAATTTGGGCGGCTCTTCTTCCTTCTTCATGACACCTTTTGCGGCCGATTGCGCATTAGCGTAATTTTGCTTCTGAAACGGAATAAGCAAGCTGCCGGAAGATTTCTAGCCAATCAAATAGATCCCGGGAATGTGTTGAGGCTGTCGATATCCGATCGATCTGCAACGATGTATGCATAGTGGCGACGATCGGTCACAAGGTTATCTTGTACCAGGTAGATAGGGCTGTCGCTGCGATGGCAAAAGATGCAACACGCATATGAGCACTGCTAGGCATGCAGGCAGGTAGTAATAAGAATCTCTTGACAACAGCTGGGGTATTAATCTATCTACAATAAGTATCCACTCCTTGCATCCTACACCACTTCTCATCTCACCACAATGGACCCTGAAAATGACCTGTCTCGTGGCTGGGGTATACGGCGCAGGTCTGTGCGTACCAGATGGTGTTGAAGTTCCTTTTATTTCGCATCGAGGGCAGGTCACTGGACACCGAGGCCGAATGCTCGTGATGTTCTTGTGAGATGCCTCGCGGAAGCTTTTACCCCTGGCTTCCGGTGACTTCTCCTAACTTTATGCCAAGGATGTCTTCAGTTTGTGGGTGTTACAATTATACTAACTTAGGGATACGATGGCCTGTATTTCCTGTGACGCTTGTATCAACGGCTTGTCTTGGTCGAGGGCGTCGCCTCATTTACCTACAAGACCCTCTTCCCATCGTAAGCTTTACATGTGCGGCTATCCCTAGTAATCATGCCGTGCCATATAAACGTGAGAGAGGTTAGTACCTACCTAGGTACATGGTAGGCATGCTTTTGGATTCTGCAACGCCGTCGGGGCCAACTATAGTAGTGCCCAGGCAATGCCCTCTATTTCATCAACCCCGGCGAAGCAGCCTGGCTATTTCAGATTCCTGGTAATAGCTTCAAAGTTGTGATGAATTATCTGTATTAAACCCTGGTATTCAAGTTAGAGATATATCACTCAGTTTATAGCAGGCTACAACGACTTTCCAAGGTTACCTAGTATTAAGAGGCGCTGCAAATCTCTGATGCGTTTGAAGTCTAGAGATAATACTATGTTATGCCAATTGAATACTTCAACGTCCCCCTTATCACCTAGCCTAGGGATCTGGAATCTAGGCAATGCTTTTCACCGAGTAATAGTCCTACTTCATACCTACTAGGTAGTAGCTTACCCTGGGTACTTAGGGTACTTATATTAGAAATTTAACACTGAGAGCCCCTTGAAACTGCGCGTTGAAAACACTCCGACGGCATAATACTGACTGACTCCAGCCTTGAATACTCCGGGGAAGTTAGGGAGAGTAGAACTATGTTAGAGGCATGTTGAGATTAAAGTGGGTTGTTCAATGAAGTCGACGGAACTTTCCTCGGTCGCTATGAGAACCATTCTGATTGTTTCATCTGATGTAAAACATCCCCTTGGTATGCCAGTTTCCTAGAAAGTCTACATTACAGCATTGAATCATGTGCAGAAGGGTATGCTGGATGAGCCCATAGGGTTCAGTTAACGGCAGTCTTCAGCTTCCCCCTGATGAGTGTTGTAAGGGCTGCTCATACTTATATCTATCTGGGGAGAGCCTTGTTCACGTGCTATAACCCCGAATCTGACCCCAAACATGTAGAGAAGTGTCTCTACCAGCAGTTATAAGTTATTAGGCGCAATATAAAGAGTGTATTATTCCTAATGAACAGGAATGAGCTAGTTATGTGAACCCTAATTGATATCAAGTAGAGACCGTGCCCCTTCATTACTCATCCAAACTGGCAAGCTAAAATCTGCGACTACTAGGTCTCAAAGATAGAAAAGCCCCTATTGAAAAGTGTCCAGTCATGTTTGATTGAGAATTTAGAAGTGTCAAACGTCTTACCTACTATATAGACAGGAGCCATGTCTGGACGTATGACTTGTCATAGCCCCTGACCTATGGGTTTGTGGACCTTCGTACTATGATTGAAAACCTCTTAAATCTCTTGAAGAACCTCTTCAAGCGGGCGGGGTTTTGTACAAGAAGCATTTCTTTGCCCAGTCTGCGCATAGAGAACTTTGGTTTCGGGTCCAAGAGGCGAGGTGGGCTTGTCGCATTGTCATTTTCTGGTGGCTCCAGCATATGGTTTTTCTCCGAGTTTCCAGGCCTTGGTATTCCATGACTTGCTGTCTGGCGTCTTTCCTCGGTGTTTAGGTATGTACCATCCGTGCTTGTGCTTTGAGGGACATAGGTAGTGACATTTTGAATGACCTCAGTTGATTTGCCCTCGGCCAACCTATCTGATGAACCTCGAGTTTCTGGCTCGGCCATGGGCTTCTCCTGCGAAATTTTGGGGTATGAAGTACTGGAGTCTATGGCTTCATAAGCCTTGGTTTGAGGATTTTTCGCTTCTCTCTTCAATCTTGTCTGTTTAAGTATAGCGTTCTGGATACGGTCTATTTGCGTATCCCGAGTTTCGTCCAGGGGTTTCTACCGTTGTAAGCATCTTCCAGTACATATATATGGTTTAGGGCTCAACATACGTGTAGCAATCCAGTGACACGGCATTTCACTATAGCCATTTCACTTGATGAGTTGACTTCGAGGTCCTCAGAGAAGTCTAACATTTTCGTGTAGTCGTCACGTATTTCGAATAATTTGACGCAGACCCGGTCAATGTTGTACCTCTCCTCCTGGATCGGAGTAAGAAGACCATCCTCAATGAGGCCCAAGAACTCTTTGATGCAGTCAGGAGACGTCGTCCGAAGTTTTGATATCCACTAATAAATCAAAATGTATTCGTAAATAAGTATTTTTGTATATTCAAGAAGAGTTATAAACTCACATTCTTCACACATGTCTTCAGAACTGGGATCTCTTTATTTATATTGAAGAACTTGTCTTCTGTATAGACGTTACCGATATTCCAACAAAGGATGTCTTCGTTCTTCCGTTCTTCACTGAATTTTCCCCGTGTATCATTATGCCCAACAAGGAACCAGGAGATGAACTCTAGGAAAACGCAGCCCAGGCTCCACACATCGTATGCCCGATATGTAGGTATTTGCATATCAACTTCAGGGGAACGATACGTACGTGTTAGGCCAGTGACCTTTTCGGGTGCAACCGAGACGGAATGAGAGGAGTGAAAGTCAGTCAAACCGAAGTCGGAGATGACGAGACGATGGTAGCCTTTTGGTGCTTGAAAACAGAGAATATTTTCTGTCTTTATATCACCGTGTCTCCCTTTGTTTACGGCGCCATCAGAAGGCTCACCGGAACCGTTGTGAATCAATCTGAGTCCGTCAGCAACTCCACAACATTGTGCAAGTATCCAGGCTACATCTGTTGGCTTTTTGGGTGACATCGTGTCCTGCTTCCAGAGATCAAGTAAGTTTCCCTCTGCAAGCGGAAATACCAGATGATATTTGTTTCCATGTTGAATAGCCATAAGTAGCCTTATTATGTGCTCATGGCCCTTGTTACGACCACTAAACCGTTCTAGGGCCTGAAGTTCGTGGTATCCTTGCTTGTTCTTCAAGATACTTTTGATAGCGAAATACGGTTGGCCATGAGCTAGCTCCTAACCCCTAACAATTAGCCCAGACATATTTTACACGGTCATTCACCTATCCCTAAATCGAAGCCCGAACTAGAAAAGGGGGGCATAATGGAGCTTACATAATTATGATGAGCTGGGTGGATTTTAGCCTTTTGGACCGATCCATATCCACCATTCCTATACTCATGCCATTCAATGAAGGGAAGCCTGATACTGCTATCCTCAATCTTATAAAAATGGACAGCATTGGGAGGCATATTAAAGAATGGGACGAGGATTTTGTATTGATATACGCGAAATAACTCGTAGCTGACCCATTTCTTAAAGGGGGAAGCTAGTGTTGGCTTGTCATTAGCATCGTATCTTTCTATGGCATAGGATTATCTTACTATGGGGTTGACCTTCGATTTCATACAAAGGAAGATTGCCATCATAGATCCCATTGTCGATGAAGAGTTTGATCGATTCAACCTGATTGATGAGTATCAATATAGCTAGGATCATGCGTCGGCTATGCTCCGGTCGTTCCTGGTAGATCTTCTCTATCAAAGTGTCGTCTCCCGGAAACGTCTTACGTAGTACAAGCACAATGTTTGGTTTTTGAAGTAATGATAGTACTTCATTCAAAGGAAAGAAGTCATATTTTTGGCGATTCTCAGGCGCCCGCCGTACTAGCTTCTGGCCCAGCTCGCCCTTGATGAGTTGAATGATACTGGATTCGTTGTCGATGCAAGGTTTGTTCTGGGCCTTCGCGTAGGCTTCCCATCCATGCTGGAACCCAAGGTCGCGGACAGTCACTATGCCTCCGGTATAAATACTCCTTGGAGGGTGGGAGTTGTTTGACAATGGGTGGTTCCCTTGGTAATCGCGTTGATACATGCCTGGAGAGAATCCTAAATCCCTATAGTTGGACTTAAGAGTACATGTCGCAGATATACTCTGGGCTTTCTAGGTAGTATAAGGCTCAGATATAATACAGGTATGATTACGAAGGTCAAAACTCAACAGATAGATGGGAGAAATCATAGTATAACTACGTGGCGATTCTAAGCGTAAGGCTCGAAAGGTAGCGTAAGGGTATGTATGGCTGTGAGCTACTTAAACTGTCAAGTACCTACCTAGGTAAGCAATACTATCTCGGGTCTTTAGAAAGAGCGAAAAGGCAAAACACACCGAGGATCGATACCTCATCGATCCCCTTTCCATTCGCTGTTATGATTAATATTATCACCTTGATCCTGATGGTGTGTATACGAACGAGCCGCTCTTACATAGGGTGTAATGCTGTTTAATAACTCATAAGCAAACCTCTTTTGGTTAAGCAAGGTACCTACCTATGTATGGATAGTCTTGAGCGTGTTTACCCCTATCTCGGACTTCCCGGTTATCCCCAAAATATGTACACGTTTAGCAGAGCCCCAAGTTTGAATATTGAGTAGGAAGACCATACACTTTGAGCATTTCTTAGCGAGTAAGATATCTGATCATCTGGCAAGACGAACCACCTCTATCAAGGAGGCTAGACTTATGGATGTCACATTGCGCAGCTGCCCGCCAGTCACATCTATAAAGGTCTAGCCAGAGACACTCTGATGCTACAGGGTATGATATCTAAATACAAATGCGTGCACAAGCTGAATATCTAGGAGAACTACCCCGACACCACCCTTGCCGACTTTATCTATCCAAGTCCAGCCAAGGCAATAGCATACCTGGTGATCATACTTAGGTGTCAGCCAACTTTGTCTTAGTTTTGCCGATAAACATGCCTGTCTCCATACTTACCTAGCCGAAATATTTATCTAGTAGGTAAGTGGTGAGGTGAATAGGTCTCAATAATTTCGGCGGCTGATTAGACGTTCGCGGCGCTGGTATTACTCTTACACCACCCTTTCCATCAAGATTGACTTCTATTATTGGCATTGGATACGAGTAGAAAGTCTTACGTATGCCCCAGAGGTTGCTTATTACATGATGTTGCAAGATTGAAAAAGAATTGGCCGGTAGTATGCATTGTCTACTAACCTAGGTAGTTACATTGTAATTGTAGTATCTCGTAGCTCGCTTGATACCTACCTACATAAGGCTTAAACCTTCGCAATTTCAACTTAATAACGTAAAAGGAAATAGCTTGAGCAAATCTCGGGCATACGAAGCTGCATGAAAAGGAAGCTATTTACCAAGCTGAAGAGTTGCACATTCGGATATGCTGTTTTAATGCCTAGGTATGTCGTATTCGAATAAGCTCATTCAAATAGCGCCGAATTCTCCCGGTGAGCCTACGTAGGTACCTAAGGAGGTATTTCCTCACCGAAATGAACGAGGTATTACCTAGGTATGTATAAGGCAGACACCTTAACCTCTCCAAGTGATGGCATAAGGCCAGAGCCACGCATTCCAAGTGTTTACCCTCAATAGTTTACTTTCATTTCTTCGCCATGACTTCTTCAACTCAACAAGACTCCCAGCATCGAGCCACTTCTGATTCTACGGAGCAGGCGGAAGGAACAGTCATTCAATTACATTCTAATAACTTCGAAACCCCTGTCGAGCTATCTAACGTGCTTAAACCCATTTTTGGCGATGGATTTAGCTTTGAGTTGCAGAATGATATGTACAATGTTCGGATCATCGGCCATACTCTACAGGAGATCGAAAGAAAATTTAAGGAAATCAAGAAGTAAGTGCCAGTGACAAGAAGTTGGACATAAAGTGCTAATAGATGTAGCAGTCACAAAAGGCATGATGTCGTAATAGGCGGAAGGAAACAGGAGACTGAGGATAACAACTCTTTGCCAACCACAGCGGAGTAGAGTATGATTAGGAGTGTCATGGGTGGCTAGGCTACCTAGGTAGATACCTAGGTTCCAAGGTTGCCTATAGTTTAACGTTCTTCAATACCTAAGAAAGGAACATAAGTATGAATGGAAAATGAGTAATGCTTGGTACATATTGATTTCTCTCTTTCGTAGTTGGCAACGGTTCTTCTCTATGTACTCACCTTCACCTGTTAGGTTAAGCTCCCAGGTTAGAGGTGTGCTCTAAATGCAAAAAAAACATCTTATGAACTAACTGAGGAATGTTTGCAAGACGTTTTGAACTCAACTTGAAGGCTCGAAGTTGCAAAGGGGGGAAGCCTTGAGGTTTTCCAAGACTTACAAGCCACATGTTGAGCCATATATACAGCCACACGTAGGGAGGACTTGGATGTATATTAGCGAGGCGGCTCATCTCCTAAAACGGCGATACAATCCTTTATACCTACCTAGGTAAGCGTAGCCTCGAGCTGTTTAGCTGTAGGAGATAAACCATTAAAGACATCAGGAGAGTTCTAAATCACGGCTCTGCAAGGTGAGGCTCAGCTATGGTATCTAGAAAAGGGGGAAGGTGGTGGAACAGATTGGAATGAGATGTAATAAACAGTCTAAAAACATAAAGGGGGCGGAGCGTTGCCAGCTGTTTTGGAACCAATCTACACGGATGGGAGGCAATCTACACCTAGCATCACTTATCAGGAATGATGTCAGCCATGTAAATATCACAGAATTCTCGCTATTTATTGGTACACTTCGCTGCAGCAGTTGTCACCCACCTCCAACTTATGCATACGTCGAATAAATCTCGGGCACTTGACATATCTTGCGAGACGAATGCCCGAATTAGCCTCGCAGTACACCTTACCTACCCACACCGACCCAAATCCCGAGGCGATAGCCTGCTTACTCGCTTCCATTAATTGGATACTTACCTATAACTATCTATCCCAGTTAATATGAATAGCGACAGCCTGCTTCAAGCCGCATATCCAGAAAGCCATCTATCCATTGGGAGTGTGTCCAGATTCTCCACCAAAATCTAGACTTGACAGCCTGCTGAAGATTTCGGGGTTTGTCTACGATGAGCTGGATAACTACCTTGTACACTACTCGGCTTCAATAATCGTACTATGTTATGAGTTCGATCGATCGATCACCTTAGCGGAAATACATGAATCAAATATGCCTAGAGGAATTTCAAATATATTTACCTATTGCCTATCTGCCTAGGTTAGGTACTAGTCACGTACGCTTCCTCTGTCTTCGACAGCAACGTAATCACATTCATCCACAATCTATCCTACTTTATTTACACTAGAAGCACTGAATCTCATATATTTCGTTTCGTCATATCTGTCTTCGTCCAACTTCTCAATAAACTTAGATATTCAATTATAGGATTCATCGGCACCTTTCATCAAAGAAGTACCAACAATGTCTGAAACTGCTATGTTGAGAAGATCTGTAATCAACAAGAAATTCGAGAGAAGTAACTTTGGGGAAATATCTCGTCCTTACTTGCCAGAGGATGCCATCCAACGCTTGGTGGCCAAAGAGGAGATTGAAACCACCCTGGCTGCCAACTTCAATGCCGCGAAAGCGGACACCCTCTTGGAATTCATACAGAACAAAGCGAGGAAGGTATTCCTGATTCTGGAGTGTCTGCTAAACCCAGAAGCTATAGAGCTTTTCTACAACGATGATTTCTGCGACGAGCATCTCCCCGTTATGATACAGATAGATGATGCGCAACCGCAGAAAAGTATCGTCAAGTCTTTAGACGAGAGTACTGGCGATTGTGACTCCAAGTGCTGGGAACAAGTCAGCTCCCTCAATCCTCTGTTTCTTGAAAATTTCGAAAGCACTCAATGGAAGCTTCTTGCTCCTGTTTTCCAAAAGGGCGTTCTATCCAAACGCTTCGATCCGAGCCGCCCTCTACCTCTCACTACAGACAATAGTCGCGCCCCCCCACGAGGTCAGTTCGGTACCGTGAACCGCGCCTACATCCACAAAGCTCATATTGCCGATGGAGCCTTTGGGGACGTGGTTGCCATAAAGTCTTTTCAAATGTTAGAAAAGAAATTCTTCGAAAAGGAGTTGAAAATATTGGAGCAGATAAAGCGTCTAGAGCATGATTATCTCATCACACCACTTGTGGGGTTCAATGCTGGTGTACACTACTGCTTGTTGTTTCCATGGTGCAATGGAGGTATGTAGTATGTCCTCCCCAGGCTAAAAGGAGGTAATTTAGCTAACTTAACCCGATTCCTGATAAAGGTGACCTTCGAGATTACTGGAAAACCCCTCCATCTCTCGACAAAAAGCTGATATCATGGACACTCTCCCAGATGGCAGGACTTTGTGGCTGTCTGAAATCGCTCTGGAACATCAATCTTACACACGGAGACCTCAAACCCGAGAACATCTTACACGAGGGTGGAGAAGGGAAATTTCTGATTGCCGATGTTGGGATCTCTAGAATTCATACCCAAGCGACACAGATGCGTGGGCCAAGCACAACTGTAAGATTTGGGACACGTATCTACGCAGCCCCAGAACTCTATGTAAATGGAGCTTCCAACAACGCCATGTCGCGAGACTTCGATACTTGGTCAATGGGAGCTGTTTTGATGGAGTGGCTATTGTGGCTTCTTTATGGTTCTCAGGGGCATGAAAGATTTACCCTCCGGGATCAATTCTGGGAGGAACACGATGGAAAGCACGAGGTGGCTCGATCCGTCAATTCATGGATGAATGAGGTGCGAGCAATCGTCACGGGCCCCGAACCCTCCACAAATGCGCTCAAGGACCTTCTGGACCTGATTGAAAAAAGGCTCCTTGTTGTTGAATTAGTAACAGGGGACGAGCCGTTAAATTCTGGCCGTGCAAAAGCCACCGAACTATCCAACTGCATGGAGAAAATAGCGACACGAGCAAAGTGCGACGAATCCTATTGCTTCGACCCAGCGATCTGGGCCAGAGCAAGACGTGATGAAAGTGGCAACAACTTTAACAATAGTGGTCAGGTCGGTGGTCCGGTCGACAAAGATGAATATGTTCAGGTACGTGCCAGCTAACCGGATCGTTCTGGTTCCCTGTTAGGGGCGTCGTTCCCTTCTCATAAGCACCTACCTACCTAGACCTCGCTACGGCGCGGCTGATTAAGAGCGCTTGGCCACGGTCAAGATTTCATATTCCAAACCTCAGGTTGGTCATGTTTCAATACCTACGCGTACTGTCGGGCTAGTTCTTTCGGATAGATGCTGACATCTCGTGAAGTAGCAAGGAAAACGACTGGATGACATTTGGATGCCACAACCGGATAAAGAATTTGGACGACAAGCGCTCAAGAATCTTTCCTGGAAATTCCCAAACGGTAGCTCCAGGGCACAGTGTGATTCTTGCAAGTTAATAAACATTTCGTTGCCTGACCTCCAAGTCTCCTACAATATATCGAACTTGGTAACTTACTCAAATATTTGCAGTCTTTGTTCGTTGTTCTACCAGTGCTTTCTAGATCTTCCAGATAATGATAGAGAAATTCTCCAAAGTGGGAAGCTTGTGCGTGAAGAAACCACACTCGGGGTGTACAAGACCAACAACACTTTCGTGCCCCTTATTTCCATATATCAAGAATCAGGTTCAGGCTTACCGCATTCCGTCTTCAATAATCGATACTAATCAGCTACAGCACCCACATCCACTTTAGCCACATTCCATCCCGCCCAATTAGGATTTCCACAATTGCCCAAACCAGGCAGCTTTGAACAGATGAAACTTTTATTGATGTGGCTATCAGACTGCGATGAAACACACGGGTGTAGTCGCCTGATTCCTTCGTCGCCTATTGACATGCCTACGAGACTTCTGGATGTTGAGGGGAATTCGACATCTAATATATGCCTAGTTGACGCAAAGGGTCATTTTATCGACCGATATACTGCCCTTAGCTATCGATGGGGCAACGTTGCCAAAGAGGAACAGTTCTGCACGTACAGAAGCAGTATCGAGAAGCATAAGAACGGTATTGATTTTCAAATGCTCCCAAAGACGTTCCAAGATGCCGTAACAGTGACGCGAGGCCTAAAGATTCGGTACCTATGGATAGATTCGCTTTGCATAATACAAGAAGATGCGGATGATTGGGGAACTGAAGCAGGAAAGATGGAATATGTGTTTAGCTCGGCATACTGTACGATTGCAGCTAGTTCCGCCACTTCGAGCTCACAAGGCTTTCTGTCCGATCGACATGATAGGCCATACGTGACGGTGAAGGAGCGCGAGCGCACGTTTTACCTTTGCAAGTACATCGACAATTTTCATCGCGATGTTGAGAAATCCGTGCTAAACGAGCGCGGTTGGGTACTACAAGAACGAGCACTGTCGCGACGGACAATACATTTCACATCCAACCAGGTCTACTGGGAGTGTGGAGAAGGAGTTCGCTGCGAGACCTTAGCCAAGATATACAAGTAAGCATTGTAAATGCTTCATATCAGCGATGATCACTAATATGCCTTCCATGCATTTAGCTCTAAAGCCGAGTTTCTTGGAGACTCCAATTTTCCCAGCTCTGCTTTACATTACTCCCGCAAGGGCAGGATTATACTGTTCCAAGGCCTTTATACGATGTACTCAAGGCTCGCCTTCACCAAACCAACGGATAGATCCATGGGAATCATTGGTATAGAGCAACGACTAGCCCGGACGTTCAAAACGGAGGGCGATTATGGGATCTTCGCGCTTTACCTTCACCGAAGTTTAATGTGGAAACGAGAGGGTAGCGATAAGTTGGTACCCATAGAATACCCAAGCGACCGCACTGTTCCGTCGTGGTCGTGGATGGCCTACAGCGGCCCAATATCTTACGTAGAAGCACCTTTCGACAGAGTTCTCTGGAACAAAAATGACCTCGTACTTCCTTTCGAAGGTGGCCGGCTCCGCAATTCTACACAGACACGGACAGGCAAGCCGGAGCCCGAGATTGAAGCCCCTGCTAAGGATATCAACATGAGAGAATATCGTGACGAGATATTAGAGCGACTAACCCTTGACAATGTCGACGTTGATGACCCATCTGTCTTACGCTGCGTCGTCCTCGGAAGCGACAAGGAGGGCGACGAGGACACGCGGAGATATTACATCATAGTGATCGTGTCAGCACCCAGAGGCAACACTGGTAATACCTACCGGCGGGTTGGTGCCGGATCCCTTCTCGAGAAACACATTTCTACTAGCATGCCACAACCTGTGCTAATTCGATGAGGACATGCTCTCGAGTATGGGGAATAGACTTATGATAACGAAGCTGAAAAGCAATCTCCACTTACTGTAAGGCTGGCCGGGTTTCCCATGGGCACGATGCAGTTCATCAAGGCACTTGCTATATTCCAACAATAACTAGATGAGCGACAGTGCCGATTTCGGGGTTGGATCAAGACGACTCTATTTCATGGTAAGCTATTTCATTGATTTTTTTTTTCATATGTACTTACATAGAATCGGTAGAGACGCATCCGAATACTTTGATTTTCGTGTGTTGACGAATGTCAATATACTAAAGAGACAGTTGTGAATATTGAGCATCTGGAGAAAGCAAGCAGATTAGTTCACAGAGCAATCTCTCGAAGCTTATTATGTATGGATAATACTCGCTCCTCACCGAACAATCAATTGTCCTTGTTGTCCTTTGGCACGGGGATCGCTCCATGATTAGGCTCAATCAATCCCATGGTGCCCACCTAACAAAACGTCGAGGATAGGTAGGTTAGAGTAAATACTTTCTTCCATCGTGGACTGAGACAATTTGGCCCCGGATGGGGCTGCGAATCGGGAGCACGAGCCAGGACATCGTCACGCATCACATCATTTTGACTACATACATCATATACCCTGTAACTCCATCAGCCCTATGTACTCACTTAATCTTGCTTAATGTTTGACGGACATGTCGAAAATAGGGGATATACCCGTTGAAATCGATTTTGAATTTTTGGGGCCTCCTGAGTCCTGAGTCTCCCAGGCACCTCTACTCAACGGATATCAAGTTGAGAAATCGCGTTGGCATCCCCGAAGCGTTATATACTATGTAGTGGCGAGGTTTCCATCGTATGCTCTACTAGCGCATCTTATAGAGTAGTCGGATAAACTAGTGTTTGATGTTGTGTTGGCGGCGGCTCCAAAGTCGCATTTGGATAGGGTTATATGCCTATTTGGGGTTGAAACTATCTACCTAGGGAGGTAGTAGCCTTTGAGCTTTCAGCCTAAGACATCATTATCATTAATACTTCAAGCCAATTTGTCTTTGAATTCAGTTGAAGCTAAAAGGGCTTGAGAGCATACCTCGGTATCTACCTGGGTAGATAGGCAATCTTCATTCCCTTGTCAGGTTGTGAGAATCCCCCCTATTTTATACCATCTGATCGCTTGATTACCATGTGCGCCCCTTCGAGAATTTTCGGATCAGGACATAATATAATGATTTGATCCATACCCAAATATGGAACCTCGATGCCCAAGAGTACAGTAGTGTATATGGAAATCCTTGCTAATTCTGACGCTAGCAACGGTAGATGCTAGACTTGGCATTCATCCGATCTCTAGGTAGTCATAGTCAAAGGATTCTAAACCCCGTGATGTTGGGTACGATCTTGAAACACTAGAAGAACAGCATGACACACCGCTCTATCCAATGCAAAATTGTCTCATGGTGCAGCGGTTGGGCGCATGAACGGTGGGTTACTACACTACATACCTAGGTAGAATCTGGTAGATAACGATGAATGTCTGCAACATAGAGAACATACATACATTAGGCATGTATGTCCATGGCACCCATACCTAGTGTAGATAAGTGTAGCTCGAAATACATGTTGCCGAGCGCATGGGCTTTCACGGACGTGGAGTCGACAAGGGACTACATATGGATTAATATACCAACTATTACACCTAAATATGTACCCTAGTAGTCATACTATGTATGTATGTAGTTACTACTAGTAGTATGTATGTAGGAATTAGTTAGCAGGAGTTGGCAGGTTAGGTGGCATGAAGGTGGTAAGGTTTGTTGCGTTTTTCCCCTCCCGGCGTGCAGATGCACGATGAAGTTCGAAGTGGATTCAATGTTGATGAATTAATGTAATGCAGCTTGTTAAGAGATCCGATGTTCTTTCAATCAATCAATGCTCTTATCCATTCAAGATCTAAGAATAACCGTCCGATGTACTAGACTGCACATGTGTACATAAACTCCAATCAAAATAACGGGGAGGTACTTGTCACACACGGTATAAAGACATGCAATGCAAAGTACTTTCTCGAACACAACAACACATTTATTTGTACTTTCTACGTACCTACATACTTACATAAAGTACCTAGTAGTACCTGTATTCTACAGTACAGTGGAGAAAGTCTGGTGAGCCATGGAAAGTGCATGTTGTAGCAAGACCAAATAGGTAACGGGTTGTCATGGTAGCGGGCAGGAACACATGTCCCGCGCTAAACCTATCTAATATTAGCGTGACGTGGATTGAAGGGGGGAGCACCTGGCACTTGGAGAATGTTGACAGTGAAAGGAAAGCGCTGCTACAACTCGCTCGTATCTTGATTTCCTTCATTTTTTATCCGTCGACAACATCGAGTCCATCTTCGCCGGACACCACGACAAAAATAAGCAGGACGACTACGGTAAGTGGAACGACCAACTCGAAATACCTACGCCGACGACGACTGCGATTGCGACAACGATCCCCCTTCTTTTCTTTTTTCTTCCCTTCCCTTTTATTATTTTCCCCAACGGTTATTCGACTAGGTCTTGACCTGTTTTTGCGACCCGGCAATAGTAAATTCACACCGACGAAGCAAAACAGACGTCAATGATGTAAGTTTCCTGCGTGTTTCTACCCATCTCTTGTCCATTTTGACATAGAATGGACGCGACAAATAAAGAGAGCCAAGAAATACTAACGTCAGACTGAAAGAACAGAGGAATATACCATCTTTAGTCCTAGCCAAACATTACAATCACACTTATATTCACATTCACATTCACATTCACATTCACCTTTACATTCACGTTCACTTCGCCTTTTACGACAAACTTAACTTTCAACTTGACGACTTATTCTCCGCTTCCGATCGTCAACCTTCTTCTTCTCTTAACACCACGACACTCGACCTCTTTTTACTCTCCAAAGCCAACAATATTTCAACTAGCGTCGCATACTAGGATCGATAATCGCATCAAGCCACTTCGTATACCCCAAGCCCCTAGGGAATATTCCCCCACACCGCCAATGCGACGACAACATACCTAGGCGGGATTGACTACGCGTACCGCATACTATCAACACTGATAATACACAAACATGACCGAGCCACCATCTTCACCACCGAACGAGTCTGCTACCCCGGAGGAGTCACTAGCTTGGTACAAGAGACAGTATGAATTATTGGCCGACGAACTAGCCGAATTCCGTGAATCTAGTCACGAACTTGAAGCCGAACTCGAGAAGGATTTGGACACCGCCGACAAGCGACAACGCGACCTGCAACGAAAAGCCGAAGAACTGCAATTTGAAGTCGACGAATGGAAAGTGAGTAAATATTATTTTACTCTCTGCTCTTTTTTTTTTGTCTGCTTCGATATAATACTGATATTTTGCTCTAGGAAAAATGCAGGAAAGCAAAGACCGAGGCGAACACAGCGCAGAATGCGTTGGAGAAGGAGATTACGAATCTTCGTGATGCCAACCGTACTATGCAGCTGAAGTTGCGCGACATAGAGGTGGCCAATGATGACTTCGAGCGACAGGCGCGAAACACCACTTCCTCTCTTGAGGATATGGAATCCAAGTACAATGTTGCTATTGAGAGAGCGGTCATGATGGAGGAGGAGGTCAAGATAGGCGAACAAGAGCGAGAGGCACTGCGAATCGAAGCCCAAAGATTGCGCGAGGAGCTTTCCGACCTCAAGGTAGAGGCCGAGATCATGCAGGACAAGATCAAGAAGGCAGAGAATCGTCATTTGTCTACGATTTCTACGGATATGTCTATACCCGAATCGCCCACATTCGGAGACTCGCCCCGCTCCATGGCTAGTTCCCCTCTTATCACTACACCTCCCGACGAAATTTCCTTGCCCCCTTCCAGCAAGGGAGCACCTACGATCAACGAACCTCCGTCGCCACCAATGTCCGATGCCTCAGCACCTCTTCCCAAATTATCTTCAAAGATAAAGACCCCAGCAAACTCACAGAAGAGATCCCGCATCCCCTCAGCAGACCGCAGCATTACACCAAAGCCAAAGGGTGCGGTCTCCAGTGGTATGAAAGCACCAGGCATGCGTTCTGTTACTAGCACACGCACGCCGGCGCCGTCGCGCACCACTACAAGCCGCGCAACTTCACACAAAATTCCACCGTCAACGTCCCTTACTCATATCCGTACTCTCACTGCCCAGATGCAACGACTGGAAGCCCGTGTTCAGTCTGCGCGGTCTAAGCTGCCCGCTCCTGTGATTACGCCGCCTCGCGCATCTCCGAGACCATCGGTCAACGGCGTAGGTCAGGTACCACCTACGGTTACGATGCGTTCGCGAAAGCGCACTATCGGTTCTTCTACTTCTTCTATACCAGATGAAACCCCGACACAGTCTACAAGCAGACACGTATCAAGACTCAGTACCTCGGGCATCTCAAGGCTATCCTTCGGTCCGCTACCGAATCGAACTAGCAACTACGACCCAGACAGTTCCTCTGTTAGCATCTCACGACCAAGCAGCCGTGCTAGTAACACGAGCTATGCGAGACCTGAGAGACCAGCTAGTCGTAGTGAGATTGCTCGGCCCATGTCTCGAACAAGCTTTTCAGGTGCGAGAACGCCCATGGGATTGCGGTCAAGAAGTTCTATGAGTGGTAGCTTGCATAGTCACTCCCAAAGCATGAACCGCATCGACCACGACGAATTTGACGAACGTTTCGAAGAGCGTACCCCAAGTCGCCGGGGAACATACAGCAAGTACGATGCCGATGGCTCGGCTAGTGCCATACCAGTGCCTAGTTCGCTCCCGATGCCGCGGCGGCAAAGCGGTGGAATGCATTCGGCTCGGAGAACTAGTGCTAGCCAACCGAACGATCCCGCCACTGGAAGGCCAAGAAAATTGAGCGACCTTGGGGAGACTTACTAAAGGCCCTTTAATCTTTCCTTTACTCTTTTCTTGTACCTGTTTCCAGTTCTACATGTATTGGACGGCACCGTACAGGCACCAGTATTTATACCCCCCGTCGCGGCATTGAGCCGAGGCGTCACGAGTTAACGGACGGATTTGCATATCAACACTTCTCTACTAGCATGCCTGTCTGCATTCATCATAATAGGCTAGGGATTTTCGGCCGGATGGTGTCAATGGGCTTTCAGGCATATTTCTTTTCCCCTCGATTGATGAATGATGGTGTTTTCGAGGCAGGCGGGGCGTTTTACGGATCACGGAAGGGTCAGTGCTTTATTTTCGGGGCCTACCTAGACTGATGTTGAACCTCTTTTATTCTTCAATGCCCAAATCCCCCCCTTTGCTCTGCATACTAAGTGAGCAGGAGGAGGAGGTGGCGGCAGCGACCAACAATTACTTTAGTTGATGACGACTCTCCCTTTTTAGTGTGGCGTGGGAGAAAAAGGGGGGGACAAACTGTGTGTAATGGAAACATATTCCTGTTGTACATAAAACCAGCCTCCTCCTTCCCCTTCCCCACTACTACAGTTTGTTAAAAACAAGACAAACATTTGATACAGGGAAGGAGACAAACAGAGAGAGAGAGAGAGAGAAAGAGGGAGAAGCTCGAATTGTCGAAGGTTCGAATAGGCGAGGAAAGAGAATGAAAGAGAGGAGGAGAGGAGGAGGGCACAAAGAAACAGAGAGAGACCTGCCCTGGATACATAGTCGCTGGACTTGTCTCAGGAGGTCGGCATTTTGTTTGCCCCGTGTAGCAGTACGTAATACAAGCCCGAACGGCAGAAATACTTTCCCTTTGTTAAAAACTATTTTGTTGCAATTACTGTTTGGTTTTTGTGGTTGTGGTAGTTCGATGCTTGATGTGTGAGGCTGTGATGCTGTAAATGTGTGAATTATGAAGTGATGTGGAAATGTTGTAGAGGTGATGGCTGGAGAGTATGGTAAGTATATAGGCACCCCAAGCCTACGTTGTATACGTGTGTAAAGGTGCCTTGCGTAGGTATATAAAAGTCATGTGTGCCGTGAGGAGACGTGCGTGATCGAGGGGTAGGTGCTTGCGATGGCATGTAGGGTTGGTAATGCCTAGAGCTATGCTGTAGAACGTGAATGCCTACCTAGTTAATAATCATTGATCTACCTATCTGTCTGGCAAGAGTGAGATAGACGAACGCACAGTCGAAAAGCAGGAGGTAATAAGTACTATGTAGGGGAATCGGTGTGTGTGTGTGTGTGACACTTGTGTGATTGTTGGTGGTTTTGTTTCACTTCTCTCCCTTGTGTTGAGGGTCTTGTCTTACATAGAAAGTATGCATGTAGTCCTGAGACTGACACATTTATGACTTTGTGCGGCGTTTTGTGTTTATGGGATGGGCGGAGATGGAGTGCTTATTTTGATATCACTTCTTTGCTTCGAAAACATAAACATTGTGCGGAGGAAGGGAGATAGGAGCAGAGGGGGCACTTGTTACCTGAACACCATACGTATAGCAGTAGGTATGAAGCCTACTGCAAAATAACTGAAGGATTTAATCATGCTCGTTGGATTTAGAAATCCCTCACCCAGTTCTGCTCTTCAAGGAGACTTTGGGGACCTTGCTACATATCTGCCTGGCTATATCTGCAAAGCAAAGAAAGTATGTATGTAGGCATGACTGAGTTACCTACCTACCTCGATTTGTAGATCAAGCGTACTATGTAGCTAGCACGTGTAATAAACGAGGGCAAAAGCTTATCCGGCCATGCTCTCAATTCGCGAGTGAGTTACATGTGACGTTCTAGAAGATACCTAACCTAGCCCACGTAGGTGTGCATGGCAACAGGGCTTCATCAATGCTACCTACTGGGTTACCTAGATACAAATCCCCGAACTGGGTGTTCGGATAAGGCTGGCTATTACTGTAGCTTATCGCAATTACTATAACGAGACGGCGTATACTCGGTCGGTTACGCACGTTTCCGTTCGATGCTCGGTTGCATCCGAGCCTTTTACTCGAGTGGATCTTATATCTGCATTGCATCCGCTGTGGGTTTGCTAGGAGGTGAAGTGTGTGTTGTAGCAGAACGTTTAATCATTAATTACGGGCCGGATGCTGTTGTAGATGGAGCATGACAAATAAATGGCAATTCGGAGCTCGACGTTGTATGACAGACAGCTTTGGAAGTTGACCGTCGACGGCTGCTCCGGATATCGTGGACCTGTGATCTTGGACTATCTATAATATCATCGGCAATTCAGATATGCGGCTTTCGGGAACCGATTCCACAGGGTTTCATGCCTTTCCCCGAGGTAAGACTTGGTTAGGTAGGTTGATAGGTAGGCAGACAGGTAAGCGGGTTTGTTTCTAAGACATTACAAGCGTTTACGATGGCCCGAAGAACTACAAAAACCATCTTCCAGCTTCTTACATAACTTCTCTGCACCAATAGATGTTTGGTAAAAAGATTGTGTACCGTCTGGTGGTGGCTGCTACTAAGTAGTTGCCTACCCTCTCACGGCGATGGGAATATGAGACTATAAGCTAAGTGGCCGAAGACGCGTCGGACACCGGGGTAGAATAGAGCACGCTGACATGGATGACTATGAGGATCCTTCAAGGATTTTTCTTAGTCAACCAAGATCCCACGGGAATGATCCCCAAGAGGCAGGCGGACCATGCTGGATCGGGGAATTAGTTTCCCAAATAATGATAAAAAATGATGATGAAATACCGAGATAAGGAGGAAATATTTGATAAAAATGCCATGCTGGGCTTCATGCAGCTTACGCTGGAGACAGTGACAGTCTCCGTATTTGGCCGGACATGACGTTGGGGACCTGCGTCGCGATGGTGTACATGAATGTACAGGAGAAGAAAAACACCGTTGATATTTTTAGCTGATTGGCTTGTTGCACTAGACCTTAGATTCGCTTAATTGACTAGCACTCCGATAACTCGCTAATAAGTTGATACTTAAATTCGTTAAATGCGTATTTAGAAACTGCACCTGAACCGGTTGGCTGGGCTCTTGAAGATGTGGGCTTACCCCAACAATTGAGTTCGCTCGTTGATCCTAGCTCGCCGCAAACTTAATCTGAAATAAGAATAGTTACCTTGAAAGAGGTATCTACGGTTATATTCATGAATGTGGCGAAAGAGCATTGATGCTATATTGTATAGTGTAAGACTATAACAAGGTATCGATGATGGCACCTATGTTGAAGAGGGTGGGATGATCGCATCTAGATTAGCATGAGACGGATTTTCGTCTAGTTTCGAGAACGTATCTCGAACATCATAAGAGAAATCTTGAAGAAGTAAGCAATGCCTTATCAAGATGACCAAGATGACCAAGATGATGAAGATGCCGGGGCGCTAACGGCTGGGATAGATGATGCACAGTAAGCATTGGCCGTATGGTGGTACCAAGGTTAGGCCGTTAGGTAAACTAGTACGGCAAGGAAAGAACCACATCCGAGGGCATCAAGAATGAGAAATGAAGGGGGAAGAGATGAAGAAGAAAAAATTATTATTGAAAACACAAAGAGAAAATCTAGTGATGGGGCTCACTTAATCTCTAGTTCTATTGCTTTTCCCAAAGTCCGAAATCTTACCGAATCGGGATCATTTGTTGAGAGCCGGGTAATAAGTGGAGAGGCAATCCGGGAACAAGGAGTGATGTGACGGCATCGATGAGAATATCCACCTGTGTCGTTCGTGACTTCGACGGCGCTATAAGAAAGATGAAACATAATTGCTTCGGGATAGATCGACGAAGGAGTAAAATGAGATGAGTCGAAGAGGATATGTATTGGATCAGGCACATTACATATGTAATTTGAGGCTAAGAAAGATTGAATTAGCTTGGTAATAAATAGAAATATAGGAATCGGAACCCGATCTAGATTGATAATTCTGTATAGATAGGTACTTACATAGGCAGCTAGGTACTACTAGTCTACTACATAATAGTCTACTATGTATGTAGGTAATAGCCCTGTATTCAAGAATCCACCTGGGCAGTCTAAGAAACCGGTGGATCAAAAGAATAATAAGTCCGAGAGCCACCAACATCAAGGTCACCACCACCATTCGGGCAGCATAATGATTCCTGAATTGCCAGATCTAACATTATAGTTGCGTTGCCTTACTTAAATACATTTCTTCTCTATTTCTGTTAATTTGATTGAATTACTGATTTGAATGTTATGTTGCTTTGAGTCTGAGTGTGCATTTTCACCAATGTGTGGGGTTAGAAGACAGACGTCATAGGCTCTATGTACCTGATGAATTACACTGGTACCTAACGCCGGACTTATAGGGAATTGGAAATAAACCGCTCTGGATTGAATTTGATAAAGATCTCATCCACATTAGCCATGTATGCCTAAAACTGATGTTATTCGCTTATACATAGTACTATCATTGTAAGCTGTAGTTATGTATTATACTTGGGCTTGCACTGGAGATATTATTATATAAAAGTAGGTTAGGTACCCGAGGTATCTTAGTAGTTAGTACCCGCACACCCGCAACATTAAACACCCCGTTATACAGTAGACCCGACCCGAGACGTAGACTCCAACTTAGGAAGGGGCTAGGATGTCCCCAACGCCCTGGGGAAGTTGGCGATTGGTCAGGATCTGACTTAGAATGTCGATCTCCACCGTGCTATTAGGTTCATTTTAGCCATATCAGCCTCGTTGGTCCCTAGCTAGTAGCTTGGATTTTTTATTAGCGTTCTTTTTTCTTTTTTTTCCTTCCCACCCTCTAATAAGACATTAGAGGGACGGCATCAAAATGCATATGTACATTATGATATCCCTCCCTTCCGTCCCAAGACGCTGCGAGTTTGTCCTTCCCCTTCGACTTTCGACTTTCTGCTCTTCATAGAAATCTTCGATTGCAATTCTTCTTTTACCACCCATCTTGATTGCTTTTCGATGCCTCAGTATTTCTCTCCATAATCTCTCCCACTCGTTTAACTAAAGTCAATGCGTGGACGTTAGAAAAAAAAGCTTAACCTGACTTTCTGATCTGTTACATTGTGTAAGTCGCAAAGCCCCGATTTGTGCATATATGACTACCTTGCAAACTACCTAGTACCTTGTACTAGTAGTAGTACACTACTTAAAAGTTAACTCCCAACTTGTGTTGCCGGTTGTACCCAAATAAACTGCAGCTCAACAACGACAGTGTACCTGATTCGATCCCTACTTTGTCTAGCAGTGGACCAGCACTCACCAAAATTTCTTGAATGATAGAATGATAGAAATTGAACAACTGGCTAACTAGAACACTCTTTTTCTGCAATCACTAGAATCACTAGAATCTTGCCTCTTCTAACGAATAACTATTCGGTCTTTTTCTCGATTCCCCTCTTTCTCCGTTTTCAACGCCAGATTTACGGGAAGTAAGCCGAACTCTTACATCCGCATATTATTTTCCCCGATTTATATCGAAACAAGTCAGCAGCAAAAGTGGCTGAAGCGGAACACTCCCCAGTCATTCCTCCGCTTGAAATCCTTTCCTAAGCACCATTGCGTATCTTTGGCGCTCTGCAGGAGCTCGGTTCGGGCATCCGTTATACTTTGATGACCCTCTAAACATATTATTTCGCTTTACCAACCCAACTCCCTTTACTTACGCCCTCCCAATATCCTCCTCCGCCCCTACCACCGACACGATGACCCAGACAAACGGCAGCGGCCCTGCTGTTAATGGCAGCAGGACGGTGCCTGTTGTTAATGGCAAGGCCAGCTACACCGAGAAGCACAAAGTGCCCGAACACTTTATTGGTGGGAACAGACTGGAAAATGCCCCTCCTTCGAAAATGAAGGACTTTGTCACTAAACATGATGGACATACCGTAATCACAAACGTGAGATATTGCAATCTCCCTTCAAAGTAGAAGCATAATAGTTCCTGACATTATTTTACTTTGTAGATTCTAATCGCCAATAATGGTATTGCTGCCGTTAAAGAGATTCGGTCAGTACGAAAATGGGCGTACGAGACGTTTGGCGACGAGAGAGCTATCCAGTTCACGGTGATGGCGACACCGGAAGATCTTGCTGCAAATGCCGATTACATTCGAATGGCCGACCACTATGTAGAAGTGCCTGGTGGTACGAACAACCACAACTATGCCAACGTTGAGTTGATTGTGGATATTGCAGAACGGATGAACGTTCATGCTGTATGGGCCGGATGGTAAGTCATGAAAACGGTGTATTATACATCTCTACAGAGATCGGTCGCTGATGATCATGTATAGGGGACACGCATCAGAAAACCCCAAACTGCCAGAGTCGTTAGCAGCGTCGCCCAAAAAGATCGTCTTCATTGGCCCTCCAGGGTCTGCCATGCGTTCGCTCGGTGACAAAATCTCCTCCACTATCGTCGCACAACATGCCAAGGTACCATGTATCCCCTGGTCAGGAACGGGTGTCGATCAAGTCGAGGTCGACAGCTCGGGCATTGTCACAGTCGCCGAGGACATATACATGAAGGGGTGCGTTGGCTCGTGGGAAGAGGGCCTGGAAAAGGCCAAGGAAATCGGCTTTCCTGTCATGATCAAGGCCTCTGAAGGTGGCGGCGGTAAGGGTATCCGAAAAGCCATGTCCGAAGAAGGTTTCGAACAGTTATACAAGGCCGCCGCAAACGAAATTCCAGGCTCGCCAATATTCATCATGAAATTGGCCGGTAATGCCCGACATTTAGAGGTACAGTTACTTGCGGATCAGTATGGCAACAATATCTCGCTCTTTGGCAGAGATTGCTCTGTGCAGCGAAGACATCAAAAGATTATCGAGGAGGCTCCTGTCACAATAGCCAAGCCCCCAACATTCAAGGGCATGGAGGATGCTGCTGTTCGTCTGGGCCGTCTTGTTGGCTACGTTTCCGCCGGCACGGTTGAATATCTCTACTCCCACGAAGACGATCGATTCTATTTCTTAGAGTTGAACCCCCGTCTTCAAGTAGAGCATCCTACTACGGAAATGGTTAGTGGTGTCAACTTGCCTGTCGCCCAGCTACAAGTTGCCATGGGTATTCCTCTGCACCGAATTAGCGATATTCGACTTCTCTACGGCGTCGATCCTAAATTAGCTACCGAAATCGACTTCGAATTCAAAAACCCGGAAAGCGATAAGACTCAACGACGGCCGCAGCCCCGTGGCCACTGCACAGCTTGCCGAATCACATCCGAAGACCCTGGCGAGGGCTTCAAACCTTCCAATGGTGTCATGCACGATTTGAACTTTCGAAGTAGCGCCAACGTCTGGGGTTATTTCTCCGTCAGTACCGCCTCAAGCATTCATAGCTTTTCCGATAGTCAGTTTGGCCACATCTTCGCTTACGGAGAGAGCCGAGCTGCTTCCCGAAAGAACATGGTGGTTGCATTGAAGGAACTGAGCATTCGTGGTGACTTCAGGACAACCGTTGAATATCTTATCAAGCTACTTGAGACAGAGGCTTTCGAAGACAACACTATCACTACTGGCTGGCTTGATGAGCTTATTTCCAACAAGCTGACTGCCGAACGCCCAGATCCTATGCTTGCTGTAGTCTGCGGCGCTACAACCAAGGCACATATTTCTAGTGAAGCTTGCATAGCAGAGTACCGCTCTGGGCTGGAGAGGGGTCAGGTTCCGTCCAAGGATATCCTCAAGACGGTCTTCCCCATTGACTTCATCTATGAAGGCTTCCGATACAAATTCACTGCGACCCGCGCGGCTGTGGATAGTTACCATCTCTTCATCAACGGCTCCAAATGCTCAGTCGGTGTTCGTGCTCTCAGCGATGGTGGCTTGCTCATCCTTCTGGATGGGCGAAGTCACAGTGTTTACTGGAAGGAAGAGGTTGGTGCCACTCGTATCTCTGTGGATAGCAAAACGTGCTTGCTTGAGCAGGAGAATGACCCCACCCAACTGCGCACGCCCAGTCCTGGTAAGCTTGTCAAGTACACCGTGGAGAACGGCGAACATGTCAATGCTGGCCAAACTTTCGCCGAAGTTGAGGTCATGAAGATGTTCATGCCTTTACTAGCTCAAGAAGACGGCATTGTACAATTGATCAAGCAGCCTGGTGTCACAATCGAGGCTGGTGATATCCTTGGTATCCTTGCCCTCGACGACCCTACCCGTGTCAAGCAAGCACAACCGTTCCTTGGACAGCTCCCTGAATTTGGACCGCCCCAAGTCGTGGGCAACAAGCCTGCGCAGAGATTCAACTTGGCATACAACATCCTCAACAACATTCTCTGTGGCTATGACAACTCTGTCATCATGCAACAGACACTGAAAGAGATGATTGACGTGCTAAGGAGCCCCGAACTTCCTTACAGCGAATGGGCGACTCATCATGCTGCTCTCCATTCTAGGATGCCTCAAAAGCTTGATGCTCAATTTACCCAGGTAGTTGACAAAGCCAAATCTCGAGGAACTGAGTTTCCCACGAAAACGTTGGCGAGGACACTCACCAAATTCTTAGACGACAACGCATCACGCAACGAAGCTGATACTCTTCGAGACACCATTGCGCCCCTTATCGAAGTCCTCGATAGCTATTCCGACGGCCAGAAGGTCCGCGAACTCAATGCCATTGCCAGCTTACTCCATATGTACGCCGATATCGAGGGACGTTTCTCTGGGCGTCGCAGTCAGGACGAGGAAGTGATTTTGAAACTTCGTGAAGAGAACAAGGAAGACTACATGAAGGTCATCACAACTGTCTTGTCCCACAGCCGTGTAGGCTCTAAGAATCATCTCATCCTAGCTCTCCTTGAGGAATATCGACCAAACAAACCCAATGTCGGCAACATCGGGAAGTATATGAGACCAGTTTTACGGAAGTTGACAGAACTCGAGTCACGCCAAACAGCTAAGGTTTCTTTGAAAGCTCGGGAGATTCTTATCCAGTGCGCACTGCCATCCCTCGAGGAGCGAACCGCGCAGATGGAACATATTCTGCGTTCTTCTGTAGTCGAGAACAAGTACGGCGAGACTGGCTGGGAACACAGAGAACCTAACCTGGATGTTATTAAAGAAGTTGTCGACTCTAAGTACACCGTTTTCGATGTTTTGGCATCGTTCTTCGCGCATGAGGATCCTTGGGTTAACGCTGCCGCTCTCGAGGTTTACGTCCGCCGAGCGTACCGAGCATACGTCTTCAAGAACTTGGAATATCATGAGGATGAAACGGATTCAGTTCCGCAATTTTTGTCCTGGGATTTCTCTTTCCGAAAGATCGGTCAAACTGAATTTTCGGTTCCTCTACAGTCGGCCAACCCTTCTGTCCCTGGTACCCCAACTACAGAGATCGGCGGCTTCAGCCGGATAAGTTCTGTCAGTGACATGACTTATTTGAACCGTCGCACCGACGAGGAACCCACTCGCCGAGGTGTCATTGTTCCTTGCAAATACCTCGACGATGCCGACGAAATGCTCCTCAAGGCTCTGGAAGTGATGCCGAAGAAGAAGCGTGGTTCCGTCATGCCTGACCTCAGTGGCAAGCGTAAATCGTTTACTCAGAAGCCCATTGTGGAAGAATTGACTAACGTCATCAACGTCGCTGTTCGCGACGTGGAATCTTATGATGACGAAGATATCCTGGCGCGTATTCGCACACTGGTTGATTCCATCAAGCTCGAACTCCTCGCTCACAAAGTTCGCCGCGTTACATTCGTCTGCGGTCACAATGATGGCTCCTATCCGGGCTACTATACTTTCCGCTCCCCTGAATTTGTCGAAGATAATAGCATTCGCCACGTCGAGCCCGCTTTAGCATTCCAGCTTGAACTTGCCCGTCTTTCGAAATTCAAAATATCCCCCGTTTTCACGGAGAATAAGAATATTCATGTGTACGAGGCCATTGGTAAAGGTGTTGACACTGATAAGCGGTATTTCACGCGTGCCGTCATCCGACCTGGTCGACTTCGGGATGATATTCCTACTGCTGAATACCTTGTCTCCGAGGCTGACCGAGTGATCAACGATATTTTCGATGCACTAGAAATCATCGGAAACAACAACTCCGATTTGAACCACATGTTCCTAAACTTCACGCCTGTGTTCCAGCTGAAGCCCGAGGAGGTTGAACAGTCTCTGCAAGGTTTCCTCGATAGGTTTGGCCCTCGTGCCTGGCGCCTACGTGTATCTCAAGTCGAGATCCGCATCATCTGCACGGATGCGACTACGGGAATGCCCTACCCCCTCCGTGTCATCATCACCAACACATCTGGATATATCATACAAATAGAAATCTACGCAGAGAGAAAGTCAGAGAAGGGCGAAATGGTTTTCTACTCTATCGGAGGCACCACCAGGATTGGGTCTATGCACTTACTCCCCGTCTGCTCGCCGTACCCTACCAAGAACTGGCTCCAGCCCAAGCGATACAAAGCGCATCTTATGGGTACCCAATATGTGTACGATTTCCCCGAACTCTTCCGACAGGCCGTTGAAAACACATGGACCAAGACTGTCAAGGCTATGCCATTCTTAGCCGACCAGAAGCCCGCACAAGGTGAATGCATCGAATATAGCGAGCTCGTGCTTGATGACCGTGATAGGTTGATCGAAGTTTCTCGCGAACCTGGTACTAACACTTGTGGTATGGTTGGTTGGGTCATCAATGCTCGCACCCCTGAGTACCCCAAGGGTCGTAAGTTTGTCATTGTCGCCAATGATATTACTTACAAGATTGGATCATTCGGTCCCAAGGAGGACCACTTCTTCAACAAGTGCACCGAACTGGCTCGTAGCTTAGGTATCCCTCGCATCTACCTATCAGCTAACTCTGGCGCACGGCTTGGCCTTGCCGAGGAGTTGATGCCACACTTCAAAGTCGCCTGGAATGATCCAGAGAGACACGAGTCAGGATTCAAGTACCTTTACCTAGACGCAGCGGCCAAGAAGCGATTTGAGGACGGCGACAAGCGTGATGTTATTACTGAAGCCGTCACCGAAAATGGTGAGACACGCCACAAAATTGTTGCTATCGTCGGTGCCGAGGATGGTCTTGGTGTCGAATGTCTAAGAGGCTCTGGTCTCATTGCCGGTGCCACAAGCCGCGCATACAACGATATCTTCACTGTAACACTTATTACCTGCAGATCTATTGGTAAGTCTAGCTATTACTTATTTCGTTCCGTAATCAGTACTAATCTTTGTGATAGGTATTGGTGCCTACCTAGTGCGCCTGGGTCAACGTGCCGTTCAGATTGAAGGCCAGCCCATTATCCTCACTGGTGCTCAGGCTCTCAACAACTTGCTTGGTCGTGAAGTGTATACCTCGAACCTCCAGCTTGGTGGCACCCAGATCATGTACCGCAATGGAGTGTCCCACTTGACTGCTAACGATGACTTTGCTGGTGTGTCTAAGATTGTTAACTGGTTGTCTTTCGTTCCTGCCCAGCGTGGCCTCCCAGTGCCCATCTCACCTAGCCTCGACACTTGGGACCGAGAGGTCATCTACACCCCACTAAAACAGCAGGCGCACGATGTAAGGTGGCTTATTGGTGGCAAGGAAGACGAGGATGGTTTCCAGCCAGGCCTATTCGACAAGGACTCTTTTGTCGAGACCCTAGGCGGTTGGGCCCGTACTGTTGTCGTCGGCCGTGCTCGCCTTGGTGGTATTCCCATGGGTGTTATTGCCGTGGAAACCCGAACTGTAGAGAATATTACCCCTGCTGACCCCGCCAACCCTGATTCTGTTGAGCAAGTCTCTAACGAAGCTGGCGGTGTCTGGTACCCCAATTCCGCTTTTAAGACTGCCCAGGCCATCAACGACTTCAACTATGGTGAGCAGCTTCCTCTAATGATTCTTGCCAACTGGCGAGGATTCTCTGGCGGTCAGCGAGATATGTACAACGAGGTCCTGAAATATGGATCATACATTGTCGACGCTCTGGTCAAATTCGAGCAGCCTATCTTCGTGTACATCCCGCCTTTTGGCGAGCTACGTGGTGGCTCTTGGGTCGTCGTAGACCCCACCATCAACCCTGTCGCCATGGAAATGTACGCCGATGTTGAAGCGCGCGCCGGTGTTCTTGAGCCTGAAGGTATCATTGGTATCAAGTATAAGAAGGAAAAGCAACTTGAGACCATGTCTCGCTTAGATCCAACCTACGCCCTGCTTAAGAAGCAAGCTGCCGACAACACCTTATCTAAGGACGAGCTGGATGAAGTTAAGCATAGGATGACGCAACGTGAGAAGCAACTATTGCCGATCTATGCTCAGATCAGCCTGCAGTTCGCTGACTTGCACGACCGAGCTGGCCGCATGAAGGCCAAGGGTACTATTCGGGAAATCCTAGAGTGGAAGAACACTCGTCGCTTCTTCTATTGGCGCGTGCGCAGACGTCTCAACGAGGAACACATCATCAAGCGCATTGTCGCTGTCTCGGCTCCGGCCAATACCGTTGTCGACTCAAATAGCCCAGCCGCCACAGAGAATCGTAAACATCACCTCCGCCTATTAGCTGCCTGGTCTGGCATCGCCGACTTCGACCGCGATGACAAGGGCGTGGTGAACTGGTACGAAGAAAATGCGGACACTATCACAGCCAAGATCAACCAGATCAAGGCGGATGCTATCTCACGAGGGGTTGCAGATCTCCTTACAACGGACAGGCAATCTGCCCTCAAGGGCTTCAAGGATATGTTACATATGATGCCTGTTGTTGAACGGGAAGAGATCATGAATTTTCTTAAATAGAAGCGTGGGGGTTTCATGAGTAACGTTCGCGGGGAAAAGGGGAGTGGGGGGAGATATTTGGCTCTCTTATCATGGCAGTTTTCCATCTTAAAGAAGGTTATAGATTATGATGATCAAAAAAGGAAGACTTGCGATTGTATATTAGCTCTCGACTAGGATTATTGGTTTGGCTCGTGGTGGTGGTGGCGGTGGCGCGCTGGTGCGTTTTCTTTTTTCAGAGTACCGTTGGCCTGGCCTTGCTTATCTGGGTGTTTTTATCTTTATTTACCTACATCCATAGCTATACCTACCTATATCCAATGGTTTGAAATTATAGTAACTAGCCCACTTGCGTGACTGGTATTACTACCTACATAGTATCGGTGATGGTAGTAGTACATTTCCTTAATTTGGGTATATTGATCATGAGTGCGAATGGATCTACGCGTTGCCAAGTACATATCCGGCCGTCCAGGTTGCTCAAGCTTCAGTTTAGGGGTAGAGGCAAGAATAGGGGGGGATAGGGGGTATGGGTACTTCGTACATACCTAGGTAGGTAATAAACTTGGAAAGTTCCATCCGCGCAAGTTCTTACGAAACAAACCACCACTACCATCATCACCAAGAAATCAAGCGGGTGAGTAAGCAAGCAAGCAAGCAAGCATACACGATCTAGAAAGCCAAGGACTGAACTGAACTGAACTGAACTGAACTCCACCGGAGCGAGTCGTGATACCTAGTAGTAACCTCTATAAAAGTTCGATTCAAAAAAGACTTCTAGCCATCATCATCCCCATAGGTAAGCCTGTCTGTAATTTACAAGTTGCCTCTATCAGACTCGGCATCCTCTCCCGTTTTCTAATTTAACCTATCCGTCCCCCCCCCACCCACCCCTTTTCCTTTAGAGAGAAGCTTCAACCCCGATGTAAACCGTGACCGTGACCGTGACCGTGACCCGACTCAGACACCTGCCTACTTATGTAACCAGAACCCCCCTGATACCTAAGCTATGGCAGGTACCTATGTAGGTGTGTATGAACATTCCATCCCAACCATCGTCTATTCCTTATACCAAGCCCGAACCCCCCCCCCCGAAGAAAGAAAAAGTATTAAAGAAAGTTTGTGGGGGGGAGAGTTTCATTCCTACCCCTCCCACCTTCGCAACTTCCATCACGCCTTCTCGGCCGCCTTGTTTTCTACAAAAAAATTGAAGCGAGGATACGCGCGGGACGCCGTTCTCCTGACTTGAAGGTCAACCTGTCTGGCGTCGAGCATAAGAGGGGTCAGTGCGTTCCCTGCCCTCGTACAGTGGTGCTGGAAATCGCCCACGAGATTCCCGAGGCACGCCACGTCGAAGCGTTTATAGTTGTGGAAGGTCGTGCAGTGGTCGAACATGTTGCTCACATTGATATGCTCGCCACCAACGGCTAAGGAGGCTTCGCGGGGACCGTTGGCGACCATGTTCCGGCTCCAAACCCCGTGGTTATACAAGACCCATAAGGGCCTTTCGACTTTGCCGAAGTCCATGACCAGGTAGTAGTTCGTGGAGAAGGTATGGCGTGGGTACTAGCTCGTCCTTTCCTTCTCCACATACACCTCACCAATGAGCATCACGTCGAGGGGTAGTACGTCCATGCGCGCAGGTCTGCCGTACGAAATTTTGAAGCAGTACTGGAAAGGAATCACCTTGGGATCCACCGTGCGAATACCGGTGCGAATACCGGTGCCAATATCACTGGGTTCTGGAGGCCTGCATGCAAAAGGCCGTTCCGGCAGGTCCGGAGGGTGCAAGAGTCGCACGTGATAATTTGTCCCGTTCTCCAGAGCGCACAGTTGATAGTCCCGCAAGGTATTGGTGCGGAAGTACCATGCGTTTTGAAGGCTATCCGGATCGCGAAAATCGATATTCTGGAGATGCTCTATAAAGTTGGCGTGCGTAATGGCAGCGGGTCTGAGTTGCCCCGGGAGCGTCAGCGAGTTTAGCCTTCTGTGTATTTCGTCGATCTGCTGGCTGTAGGTTTGCACGGCGGCTTCTATCCTGTTGGTGTCTTGCGCCTCCCAATAGTGAGGTTGTTGGTAAGGTTGTGTGGCCACTAACTGCATTAGTTGTTCGTGACGATTCGGCTCAAATCTTCTCGGAACTTCGATAATTTGGTTGTAAGGATGTGGAAAAGCGACTTGGGGGTGGTTGTGCAAATTTCGAAATGAGGGTAACGATAGACTGTGATGGAGTTGACCTTGCTGTGGAACTGGTATTATGTGCTGAGGTGGTCCCTGCTGCTGAAATTGACCTTGTTGTTGAGGCTGTCCTAGCTGCTGAAGTACTCCCTGATGTGGAAGTGGCATCATGCGTTGAGGTGGTCCCCGCTGCTGAAATTGACCTTGCTGCTGAGATTGTTCTTGCTGTTGAGGCGGTCCTTTCGGCCGAGCTGGTGTCGGCGCAGTCATAGAATTGTCCCGGGCCTGTAAATCGGTCTGGCTCGTGGCAGAAGAATGACTCCGTCCGGTAGGGTGGACATTGCCCTTGGTAGCGTTGATGGGTGTAAAGGGTATGGGGCTTTTCCAGCTGGGGAGCTGTTCGGGAGAGTTCTGTCGCTGAGGGGAGGCCGGGGATTTCACACTCTTGGGTGACATAGTTGAGGGAGTGGGCGCAGGCGGAGGTGTGGGTGGCCTAGATTTTACTCTCTTTGGCGAGTCGCCGTTCCCTTGGACATCAGAAGGGGGGATGGGGCGCTTGTTGCCTTGACCATCCATGTTGGACTTCGCAAGAAGGAGGGGTTGTAATATATGTTGTTGAGTCTAGAGTATAACCACTAATGATTTCTTATGTAGACAACAACTGTAAGACTGAAACAAGCTGCAACAGGGTGATATATTGAAAATTACAAAAAGGTGGTGAGGTAAAGTAGTAATTAGAGTGTTCGAGTTGATGAAGCTTGAAAAGGGAGTGTTTAACAACTCTATCTTCGCTGCAGGTGGTGATTGCTGAAAAGACACAGCGAGCTTGATGTTCATACGGAAAGGGGGTTCCACCCAATTATCTACCGACATACCTCCTACATATGTAGATAGTACCTAGTACAATGTAGCAACTACCAGAAGTGCATATGTACATTCGTAGACCCAGGAATCATGAGAGGAATGGGGGTGACAACACAAGAGTCTGAAATTGCCTATGTATCGTCCATGGACGAACCCCTATTTTAGCTATATGGTCCCACGGCCTTCACCGCATAAGCACTTCCAGCGACTCTGACTTGTTAGCCCACATCTGCCCATTACATTCAACTCATAATTACCCCTTTTCGACACCAACTTAATAAATGCCGGGTACAATCTTGTACTTGACAATACGCTTGTACTTCTCCCAATCCTCACCATATTTCTTAGCACACTTCTCGTCGTCTCGCCCGTCACGGTGAATCAACAGGACAGCAAAATAGACGACGTAGAAGTAAGTGACAAGCATACCCCAGTACTTTGCAGGACCCTGCACTACTTCTCTCCCATCCAGCATCTTGATCGCGTCTTCGGCATTGGTGCCGGCTGACAAGATCGCATAGCCAGCAAAACCAGTCGGAAGTGCGTATGGCCATGATTGTAACCAGTCACCGAGGTAGTTGATATGTCTTGCAATACCCCACCAGCCCGATGTCATTAGTCGCGATCCTGTCTTAGTCTCGATATAGCTGATATGAGCAACACGCGGGTCATTTGGATTGGTACGGAAAACATTCTTCTGGTAGTTGCTCAGGCGGAAGATGGAAAACCCGGTGATAAGGAGAACGGATACTACCGAAAGGCCTACCCATCCAAGAGTAACTGGGTGAGTAGATAGGTATCGTGTCTGCTGCGAATAGACGAACGGGACCCACACGAGATCACCGAAGGACAGCATGAATCCGAAGCCGTCGTTGGTAATATCGATAGTGGTTAGAATAGCGGGCTCCATAACCACAGAATCTAGGCAATATAGAAGCTGCACTGCCGTGATAAATACGATGCTATCACTGACGAAGCCAAAATTGCGATACTGCTTGGCGATAAAAGAACAGTTGAGGATAATCCAACCAAGCATACCAGGTCGCAGTTCCATCCACTCTTTGATGTCTATCTCGCCAATGATGGGAAGAGTCACACGAGGGTTAAGTTCTCGCCCCATATAAAAGTCATAGATGAGATTGCCAGAGCAGCCGCCCTGAGCGAGCAAACGATGCTGGGGGTCCCCAGGCTTCACCGAGAAACTTCGAACGTAGACAAAAGTGGCGAGACCATAGGCGATGAGAATGTTGGCAGTTAGGATCTGTATATAGTTGTCGGAAATAAAGGTCCACAACGGAAACTCGGCACCTTGCGAAACAGTGCCAGCGAGACAAATTACCAGCGTGAACATGGCCGAGGAAAAGGCTTGGAAGACATATTAGCGGTGGTTGACTAATAAAGTCGGGTTATATGGTATCAAATAAAGCACTCACCATTGAATCTATACTTTAGTCTCCCGCCAGTGGATAATACTGTACCCTCAACCTCGGTCGCGGGCAGAATACGATATAGAAGAGCGCTGAAAAGATAGTAGGCTAGGGTTCCCCCAGTCGCTTTCCAACTAGCTAAGCCCCAAATGCCGTCCTTTGGCCATCCTACTTCGGTCTTTAGTTGGTCGAGGGACAGGGTTTTCGGACTCAGTAGCGAGGGCGCGGGGCAGCCGGAGACGTCATTGCAGGCAAAGGTGAAGATGTAGCATAGGAGGGGGAGACCGAATGTGATGGCAGCGGCGCCGAATCTAAAGCATGCGTCGCATTCAGTCAGCTTTATTCACTTATGGTTTAATGAATATATCTATATCTTGTATACTCACGGGCCACCGAATTCATAACCATGAAAGCCATGCTGTGTAGACTTTGCTTCTTTGGACTTGGGAGCCATGTTTGGAAACAATTGATGTCGGAAACAACAAATGTTTGTAGATGTCGTTCTTGGATAGAGAGATAGGGATAGGGGCCTGGCTGGTTATATACTGCCTACCTACTGCTTGGTAGGTAGGTGATGTTTTCTGTCCGGGAAGGCTAACATCCGGATGACACCACAAAATTTGAGAAGAAGTTGTTAAGTATTAGGAAAAGTTGACAGTTCCTATTAAAATGATATATGCAACGTAGTTACATAGTAGAAAAGCTCATGTGGAGACATTCAATTCCCCAAAGGTGGAGATTATACTACTAGTACGTACTTGCGTTAGTTGGAAATGGCCAATTAAATGTAGCAAAGTTAGGTAAAGCTAGTACCAAATCAGTATACTACTATTAGTATCAAGTGTTCAGGGGTCCAGGCCTATCCTTGCGATGGCTACATGTGTAGAAATACATCTACGGCGTAAATACTACTACATGTAGGTACTGCGTACTACTGCGTACATACTACATACAGTAGTACATGTACCTACATACTTTGCCATATGCAACTGTGGTAATCACGGCTCCGACGGCAAACAGAAAAATACCAACATTGAACTCACTTGAATCATTCTAACATTTTAACATTCTAATATTCTAACATTCTAACATTCTAACATTCTACCCCTCTGGATTTTTGGATTTGCATTGTACATTTGTACTTGTGTATTCCATCACACATTCTGGAACTTCAACTTCCAAAGAGAGAAGTTAATTCCAAAGAAATATTATATCCTACATCGTAACAGTATCCTTCATCCTTCTTCCTGTCCATGATACAGATTCCCTCCATAGCAGCGTAGCGCAACGAGCGCATTTCCCTCAACCGTTACATTGCCATCCACTCGACGCAACCACCCATACCTACGTAACCATGCGCTTCTCCATAGAGTCACGACCGGCAGGTACGGCCATATTCACCATATTGTCCCTCGCCTCCATATCTCTCGCTTCCGATGCCGACAAAACCACTACATCGACAGCATGTACGGCCTCATCAACGTCCGGTGCCTTCTTCGATCTTCGACCTGACATGGCCCTCAAGCCAACAGTAGAAGGTAAAAAACTCGCTCGCAGCATCGGAGCGCCCATGCTAGACTACCACGCCAGGGGCTACGACTACGGCTCCAACTTCACCATAAACATATGCGGCGCCGTCGTCGAGCCCATCGAGAACGTTGTCGGCGTCGAGGAGAGCAAGTGGCAGAACATCAGCGCGTACTACACCTCTAAGGGAGATGCGTACAGTCTGGGTCTGCAGTCTGGTACGCTGGTTACGCGGGGTAAAGAGCTCGTTCTCCAGTATACTGGCGGTTCGCCGTGTGGGAAGAGCAAAAAGCGGCACGCCCGCGATCTACAACGTAGAAGTGCCATACACGGTGGTGCAGCATACCGAGGTTCCGACTATGAGCGCGAAGGGAGCGACGATGACGATGACGACGATGACAAGCCGTCGGCTACAAAAATTACTAGTGCGAAGAAAACTCAGGAAACAGACGAACCGAAGAGGAGGAAATCCGCTACGATTTTCTTCAGCTGCGATAGAGACCCGGGGGCTGGCGCGGCGCAGGTTTCGTTCATAGCGACGGACCCGGACGAGTGTTCCTACGTGTTCAAGGTCAAGTCGCAGCACGCGTGCGCGGGCGTCGAGCCGCATAAGCCGGGGAGCGTGGGGCCTGGGTCCGTGTTCCTCATTATCTTCGCTATCGCCGTGCTAGTCTACTTGCTAGGCGGTATCTTCTATCAGCGCACGGTAGCGCACGCAAGGGGTTGGAAGCAGTTGCCCAACTACTCGCTCTGGGCTAGTGTATGGAGTTTTATCTGTGTAAGTTGATATATTAATATCCGTTTACCCTTATCCTTCCCCCTCCCCCAAATCCCTAACACTACTTAGTATTTAGAGCTTTAGGAAACGTATAACATGTTTTTTATGATACGAATGAATGAATGCAAAGCTAACCCCCAACGCATAGGATTTCTTCGTCATGGTTACTGCCTCTTGTTCTCGGCTCCTCCCGAGCCGGAGGGGCTACCACTATGTCTCGGGGTCGCCATCTGGAAGGGGTCGAAGTAACCGGGAGGACGAAAACCGGTTGATTGATCAATACGATGAGGAGTGGGAAGACTAAAGAAGAAAAGAAAAAAAGGAGTTCTACTTAATTCCATTATGCTTATTCGTCTTTTATTAGCCTTCCTGCATTCTAAGCTTTATACGTATGTTATGTTATGTATTGTATGTCAAATATACTCCTAGCGAGCTTTCTTCCAGACACCCCCTTTTTTAGGCCTGGCTTGAGTTAGCGGCTTTTTTTTATAGAACACGCGATATAGGTACTAAGGGGCTGGCGTTCGTTGAAATTGGGACGAACAATTCCCATTGGAATGGAAATGGATTGGATTGTATATGTATTGTAATGAAGATTACCACCAATGCTCATGGTGATATAGGTAGGATGGGACTTGGGTATATTAACATGCACAGGTTAACTACTTATCAACATGGATGACTTCTTGACTGCTCTGTGCTTTGGATTCTGTTGTCTTGCACTCTAACACATCTTCTCCGCAGTTTGATCCTCTCGTATATTCGGCTTTCATGGATGTGTTACAGGGCCCGAGTTAGATAACATCTGCCCCCGTAGCAAATGCCTTCGAAGGAGGATGTTATAGTGGTCACGTGCCCCCTTATAGCTACATCCCATATTAAGGGCTATATAGTTATATAGGTACCTAAGTATTGATGGTTCGAAGTGCATAGTGATAAATTGGTTACATTTAACTAAGCAGCAAGCCATCTACATGCCATGATATACGCATAAATAACTTACAAAAGAAGGTATCGCGATGTCCGATGTGTTCGTAGTTATTTCTACTACCTTGTCGGAGAAGCTATTCGCGGCAAAGTGCCGAGTTACATTCTCACCCCCACGCTGAGAGCAAGGGCAAAATAAGCTACACCTTCAATCTCTTAGTAATAAATATCTCCTCACCATTTGGAGGAGGTTCCGTATAGAAAATAAATGAAAAATGGATTGAAAAGGTATTTCTCCCTATACAATTTCGAGACGCCGTTAAATACGGAAGAGTGGTTAAACCCGCCTCCTTCACTAACCAACCACATTACTATACTCCTACCAATATATGTACCATACAAAATCAAGTACCAGGCAGGCACGTCACCGAGTAAAAGCAAGCAAACGCAAACGGGTGCCGCGCCGCCATGGACACCAACCTACAGTCCTACATTCTCAGCGAGGAAGAATCCCAAGCCATCTTCGAGCGAGAAATTCTCCCAACCGAGCTCAGCTTCCTCCTCTCATCTCCTAACCCCAACCCCAGGACCCCCCTCGCCATCCTCCTCATCGGCCAAACCGGCGCAGGAAAATCCCACGCAAGCCCACTGATCAAGGCCGTCCTATCCGCCCTCCGCCACCGGCCCACAACCGCAATCGCCCACTTCATCGCCGACACCTACAAAGCCTACCACCCCTCCTACCACTCCCTCCTCCACTCCCACTCCCACTCCCATTCCCCTTCCCACCAAACCCCCTCCACCTCCCCATCCCTCGCCTCCCCAGCAACCAGCCCCGACGCCCGCCGCTGGCTCCTCAAAGCCGCATCCGCCGCCTCCTCCCACGGCGTCGACGTGCTCCTCGAGAGCGCGGCGCGGCACCCGGCCGACTTCGCGGACCTGGCGCGGCTGTTCAGGGGCGCCGGGTACCGCGTCGAGGTTGGGGTGTTGGCGGTGCCGGCGGGGGTTAGCCGGGTGGGGATTTTGGAGAGGTTTTATTGTATGGATAGGGATAGGGATGGGGGTGGTGATGGTGATGGGAGTGGGAGTGGGAGTGGGAGTGGGAGTGGGAGTGGTGGAAGTGGTGGGAGTGGTAATAGAGGCAGGGAACTACCAAACCGCCTGACGCCCCGAACCGTGCACGACGAGTCGTACGCGGGCTTACTAGAAGCCGCGGCGTTCATAGACGCGGGGGATGATGCGGTGGACCAGGTGGTGGTGATGCGGCGGCACAACATGGTCGCGTATGCGAACGAGCGCGCGAGTGGTGGTAGTGGTGGTGGTGATTGGAAGAAACAGCCGCCCGGTGTTGCTGCAGCATTGCGCGCGGAGAGGGAGCGGCCGTTACCACCTGTTGAGAAAGCGAGCGTGGAGGCAAGTCTACGGAGGCTGAGGGGGGCGGACGTGCATGGTCTCGAGGGCCAGCTGGCGGAAATTGAGGAGTTGTTGAAACCGCTCATGTTCGGCGATTCAGATAGCCCGGCTTATACGCCGTTGAGACCACTTTCACTGCCTCGTTCAGAACACGATGAGGGGTTCGATAGTGAAGCAGGTCTAAGGCTAGGAATGACGCTGTGAGAATGAAGGCATCTATCTAGAGGCACCTAGGCTAGATGATTCACAATGTGTGCCATGCATAGCGGGGAGTTTTAGGTTTGATTATAATTCAAGACTTTGTTGTGAATTGTCGGTGGAGCAGAATAGGGGCTTCCATACATTCATTATATTAACGACATAATATCCCAAAATTTTTACATCAGCGTTATCCAAGCTACTAGCCCTGTCTTTACATGTTCCACATAGGCCAAGATCCTACCGACAATATCCAATTCTCCCACGTACCTGTCTACCTAGTTACTTAAGTAGGTGCCGATTAGTACATGTATCTGAACTCAGGGTTTAGATCTCCCAGTTCCGTCTTCTCATACTCCGACAACCCTCCCCTGACGGCCTTCTTTCTCCTCTGGTTTTCGCGGTAGATCGATACGAGGTACAAGGCCGACGCGAGGCCGCTCAGACAGCTAAATCCAAGACAAATGGAATAGCCGTTCTTGAAGTACGGGGCATCTGTGTTAAGGAAGGCGAAAGTTGAGATTATGCCGCCAATGTTACCGAATCCGATTTGCCACGCGGTTCCTATAGCTCTGCGATGGTGGCCACCGAGATTCATGCTAAACCAGCAGACATTGATAGGAAGGATGGCGTAAGTGCCCATCGTGACGAGATGAAGCATTGCATATTGCACAGGAGTGTTATCGTGCACCACTAGAAGGGTAGCAAAAGCTGCGAGGCCTAGAGCGAGCGGTGCAAGCGCGAAAGCTGCGCGGTGGCGTGTATAATCTGAAAGTGCAGCTACCAGGAGTGAAAACACAAAAGACGCTGCCCAAGGAGGCACGCTGTATAGCTGTGTTTGGATAGCGTTGTAGTGATACGTCCCAATAATCGTTGGGGCAAAGAAGGCGTAACCGTACGCAGGAACGATTAGTCCAAAATACATGAAGCCGCCGAGCCAGACACGGTGGTCCTTCATTACCGATATGACGTCGTGGAAGGTAATCTTTCGCTCCGCGGCATTGCGGCCTTGATCAACTTGTAGACGGGCCTTTATGTAGGCTCGTTCATCTTCATTTAACCACTTGGCATCCTCAGGGCTACCGCCGGGTTAGTGTTATACCAGTTAGAGCTACGATAAAAATAAAACGGTAACTTACAATGAAGGAAATATAAAGAAGAAAATGATGGCGACTACGCATGTGAGAAGCCCCTCTAGTATGAAGATCCATCGCCAACCATTATATCCCCGGATGCCTTGCACTATTCAATGAGTTTAGCCCATGTTCAGTGACCTTACCCTAGCCTTAGTGGGCTGGAATGAAATAAATCACCGGCCTAAGTAAAACAGTGCTAGAATAGATTGACATACTCTTTCCTATAGCAGAGGCCAGAAGACCACCAAAGGCCCCAGCCAAGGAGGTGGACGAGAAGAAGAGTGAGTACCGCTTCTGTGATTCGCTTCGTTTGTACCACATGCCTGATCGAGTGCGAGTATTAGCGGCTGTACACGTTTACACAACCCTTAAAACGAGTTGTGTTGTATCTTAGGTGTTACCTAAATGACTACATACTGATGAGATAGAAACATCCTAGAAGAAGAGTTAGTTACTTAAGCTTAACCTAGGAAGATGTAGGGACCTATATTTACCTGGGAACATGCCGCTTTCAAACAGGCCTAAGATAAGTTTAATAAGTAGGGTGTCCTATTCAAATTCGTATGCGTAGGTGGTTATACCTAAGAAAAACCTGGTCGCGAGAAGACCGGAGTAGTTCTGGACCAGTCCTTGACACACAGATGCAATACCGAAACCCAACATGCAGGTCGGGAGCCAAATGCGAGGAGAGAACCTCTTTAGGAAGATATTACTAGGAATTTCCGCAATAATATACGGTACAAAGAACATGGTTAACGCTAATACCCGTGATGTTAGTAAAGACGATGTCTTCCACCTGCATATGCCACATGCAGATCTTGTTGGCTTACCAGTGTTATACTCATTATCCTTGAGATGGAGGTCATCGGCCAGATGAAAAGACCTTGCATTGGCGATATTCACTCGATCTAGGAAAGCAAGGAGATACAAGATGCACAGGAATGGTATGAGTTGCCAGTCTATACGTGTCATGAGCTTTCGCTCTGTAGTGTGAGGCGGACATTGTACATGAAGCTCATCGTATGCGACGTCGGCAGTACCGGGATGATAAGTATTGTTTCCGACAATCTCATCACCTGCCTTCTCCGAGTCACTCGGAACTGTTGCCGTCGTAGAAGTGAGGTTAGCCATAATTATCCAGCGAGTCTTGCGCTAAAGGCAAGTAGGCAGCACTCCAAGACTCTGCTTATGAATGCGATGTAAAAAGCGATTAAAGCTAGAAGATTGGCGCGTTGCAAAAAAAAAAAAAAAAAAAAAAAGGGAACACACCAGAAGGCTTGCCAATGGGCATCTTCAATTATGTAGATCAAAACCGGCGCAAAACACACCTCGAACGAGTATGTGATAGAAGGACAGTTTCGACGAAAGACAAAGAATCTCAAGAGATATGATGTTAGTTTCGACTATGTACACATAAATGAGATAAAATTTTCGCGATTCGCGACGAGCCGAATCTCGCCGGCTGACCGCTAGACTCTCGGTCTAAAAGCTGACTCTATTGATGATCAAAACTTCGTGAGTGTCGGAGACTCGGAGAGCTCGGCCTTGGTGTTCACTATTAAAGTGTCAATTTGGGCCGATCCGGTGAAGATATAGTTCAAAGGAAGAAGAAAAGAATTAATTGACAAGCCGGAAATAAAATAATCGTCTTAAAGGATGTGATTGAAATTTCTTCAGGTCGGAGCCGAAATCGCTTTATTCAAGCGAGTTCTTTCCTAAGTACTGTAGACTCAGAGTAGTATTTTTCCATCTATTACTACGTAGTAAATATCAGAGGATCAGTTCTAGATCAGCTGAAAATAGAAAAGTTCATACGTCGTATTCCAGCTCCAGCCTTTTCTTTTCGTGGGGGAGATTTATTGAGATATTGCGGAGAAGTAAGGGACCGGGCCCCTGGAAGATTCAACTAACCTACAGTACCTAACCTACCAGGTAGTAAATGGTCATCTGCAGCTGTAGAGTTCTTTTATTTGGGTAGGTTAGGTACATCTCAAATTCCCCCTCCTCTGCATCAGCATCAGCATCAGCAACAGAAACAGAAACAGAAACAGAAACACTCAGTTCACGGATGGAGCACGGGTGCTCAAATGCGAGAAGCCGGTCCAAATCGGCTGGCTAATACCCCACAATCTTCGGCATTCGTAGGTCTTTGGGGGTTTCGTCGATGGTCTCTTGCTAGCACCGTGCCGCATTCGTCCAAGAGTGAACCTCGTCATTGCAACACCTGAGACACAAATGCGAATTTCATCGACATGAGTTCCAACTACGGCGCATAGTATTCACCTTCATACCCATGTGTGAGCTCGGCATCGTACCGTAGAAACGACGCAGCCTTAAATGACACGAGCCATTTACTGCGATCTCCAGACTAGCAGGCATTCTCCAGGCAGTCGTTCTCTTTGGGAATTTAAACCACACTCAGACGATCCAAGAGTGTGTGCCTTTGCCGGATAAGATAGAGCGAGCGAATCCTTTGTCGGTGTCTAGATGTAGAATGCTTATTTCAATAGGTTCTATTGCATCTAGTTGAAAGGTAAAGGGCGTTATAGAGGTATATAAATGATACCTAAATACACAATATCGTCTATTAGTTTTCAGAGCGTCTCACATGTGACCCATTCGTATCACTATCTGGTACTGTAAGTGATTGTTACCCGAAGAATATTATTTGAATTACCTAATAAGCTTATAGTAAATGTGACACACGGGGAGCCCGATGCAGCTGTTAGTTGCGAACCTGGTTTGTGACTCTTTATTCGAACGGGCTTGCAGATGGCGCAAGCCTCCCATCCCCAAATGCCCAGTTCTTGTTGAGAAGTGGGCAAAAAAGCAGAAGCTGAAGTAATGTAGGATCTGATCGCGTGATATAATCTAGATACTTGACGTCGACGATTAATCGGCTACCGAAGTTCTCGACACATTCTGTAAAATACTACATCAGGTACCTACTATGTAGGCATGCAAGTTAGATAGGGGGGTAGGCCATAGGCGAACGGCCCGGCACGTGTGACAAGGCAGGCCCAGCACTGAGAGGTTCATGTTACATAAAGGGCACATCCTGCATCAGGCACCAGCTGCAACAAGCGTCAAGTGCCAGCCGCCGTAGGCGTCATTCTAGATAACGGTTGCGTGATTGATCCACCGCTGCCCTTCTAGGCTTAGCTTAAGAAAAGGTTCCAAGGTTAAGGCAATTGCTAGTAAATTTAAGACGGTTTAACATGTTTATTAGTCTTTTCGGAGGATTAAATTCAGCCAATACATACCTAGATAAAGGATTCTTCTTGGCTACGCGTTGTTACTATTCGGTGTAGGAGCAAGGTAGGAGCCTGTGACATGTGTATATGTAAAGATTCTAAACAAGATTGCAATTGCCTCTGTAGGTAAGTACGGTAAGTACGGTAAGGACTAGGTAGGGATCTTTGGAAGGCGTAAGGCAAATTGCAATGTACTAAGGTTACACAGGTTTACGAAGTAGTTATGTGCTACACTGCTACGTACTTCGTACGTCCTAAGATACACAGGTAGGAACGAATGGCCTGCTCGGTCGGCCCTTTCCAAACTTTTTAGTTTGAATATCACAGCAATTGCAGCTGGCTACATCCATGATGTGTATGTACTAGTAGTACTTACATACATACATATGTAGTACAAAGAACCTGGAAGCTTTCTAGTACTTGACTATAGTAAGGTTCAAGCTGCTTCTAAACTTTTTTCTTGTACTCTTCACAATCTTCCTCCTGGAATCTAATTTTTAGTATTGTCACTACTATTCCAAGCTTCTTCCTATGGGCGAATCCTAACTTATCTCCACTATCACTATCCACTCGCGTTTGTCGTCAGAACACATAGTATATAAGGAGACTTCCGGATGCTTTAGTACTTGGTTGGAATCGAAACGTCAATCCATGTTACGTGCTACCGTTGACATCGACCATTAACCGTCTGCTTCTGATCCGTCTACTTGGCTTCAATCTTACCCGTACTCACTGTCAAAATGAAGACAGACATTTTGGACGAGCCATCGACCTACGATGGGCATGAGGCTACTATACCCCGTGGATGGTCCGCTTGGTTCGGTGGCCCCCGCGTGAGGATAGGGCCTCGCATCGCTCCTCATATAGTTCCGCTCAGCATTGACAGTCACGAATCAGATAGTGGTCTCAGTAGTGATGCCATACTGAACAAGCAACTGGAGGAAGAGGCCAACTGTGCTATTCAATATCGTACCTGTAGTTGGCAGAAGGTGCGTCCCAAGACGACAAGAAACCCTAAGGCGGGAGCCAAGAACCGTTCCTTTGCTTACTTACTAACACCTTGGCTTTTGTCCCTATAGACAGCCGCATTGCTATTTTCTGAATATATCTGCCTCGTAAGTTCATGATTGCGCTCTCCTTCCCTTGGGCATTGGCCAGATTCCAGGTCTTCTGGCCTTTGCTCCTTCGGCTATGTGTCTTCTCGTCAAGAGGAATCCAAACTTGTCGGCATTGATATTAATAAGTTGGTAGGCCATTATGAGCTTTCCATGGTCCTACAGCGTTCTTGGGCTTGTTCCAGGGTAAGCTTTCTTAGCTTCTAGGCACCCGTCTTGGTAAACCCTTTAGTTACTAACATGCAGCTTTAGACTCATTCTCACTGTTGTTCAAGCTCTTTTAGTATTATACACGTAGGTGGTTCCAGGCAATTGAGCATTCCCATTTGCTAATCGATAATAGCTCTATAATACTTTGGGAATTCTGCTTGCGACATCCTGAGGTTCGAGATGTATGTGACATTGGTCAGATGCTATTCTGGGGCCAGAAATGGGCATGGTACTTTACGGCCGTCATGTTCATTTTGAATAATACCTTCATCCAGGCAAGCCAAACTTTGATCCCCCTATCGGGTCTTTTAACTAACTTTATCTCTCAGGGTCTCCACGTTCTCATAGGTGCTAAATACCTGAACACTATGGTCGGCCCGGATGCGAGTATTGCTTGCCAAACTGTGTCTTTTGGTGCCATTGTCACTGTTGTTTGCTGGCTGTCCTCGCTACCTCGTACTTTCAGTATGCTTTCAAAGCTCGGCACCGCATCTGCCGCCTTCACTTTTATCTCGGTCATTCTAGCCACCATTTTCGCCGGTGTACAGGGCCGCCCCGCTGGTTTCCTCGCGGAGCCAAGCACCGACCCGGACACTGGCGCGTCGTTACCTTCCGGTCTCCCCATCGTCACGGCCGTCCCAATCCTAGGGACTACGTTTGTTGCTGGCTTGGGGGCATTTCTTAATATCAGGTATTTCTATCTTTTTACCTGTTGAATATTGTATTGAGACTAATGACCACAGTTATACATTTATCGGACAGATCACCCTTCCCAGTTTCATTGCTGAGATGCGTGAGCCTAGGGACTTCCCCAAAGCTCTCTGGGCATGCACAATTCTTGAGATAATAGTGTTTAGCATCGTTGGTGCTGTCACATATGCATTCGTCGGCAATCAATATATGACTTCACCAGCCTTCGGGTCCTTGATACCACTGTATAAAAAAATCGCCTTTTCGTTCATGATTCCCACCATTATCTTTTTAGGTGTCTTATACGCTTCGGTATCAGCACGATTTATCTTCTTTCGAATTTTCCAAGACTCTCGACACAAGAACGAACATACAGTTGTTGGCTGGGTATCTTGGGCTCTTATCCTGCGTATGACCTTCTAATAACCCTACCAACCTTTATACAGCTGCTAACAAATAGTTCAGTCGCTACTTGGATCGTCGCTTTTATCATTGCTAACTCAATACCCTTCTTCAACTCCCGTGGGTTACGAGCATTCCTACTCCATGAGCACAGCTAACAAGTTCTAGTTCTTGCTCTCATGTCCTCTTTATTCGATTCATTTTTTGGCTTCATCTTCTGGGGTGTTGCTTACTTCCGCTTGCGCAAAGCCGATGGAGCTGTCGCATTGTTAAAAGACCGATCATTCCGCGGGTGGTTTGAGGGCATATTGAATATCATCATCATCTTGACCGGCTTTTTCTTTCTCACGGTCGGAACCTATGCCAGTGTTCAAGGTATCTTGGATGAATTTGCATTGGGTACAGTTGGGACTGCATTCCAGTGTGCGAGTAACGGCATTTAAAAGTATTTTCATGTACACATTTTCAACAGGAGCAGGAGATACCCAATGATGAACATATCGACGAGCATGATGGCAAGAGGCAGGGATATTGATATATGCTTTATACATTTGTAAAACCAGTGGATAGCACGGTTTGCTGATTCGGAGTCTAGAAGACGGTGGTTGACTCGAGACCAAATGGGACCAAGGGGGGTCTGACACTTCTTATCGCAGTATAGTAATGCAGAAGAGGAGAGGCGCATACATTTCAATCGCGCCTTTCCAGAATCTAGCATGAAGACTTGAAAGCATCTAGTAGATGCGAAAAGGACAAAGTCCAAGTCCATTTTCTGACAATTCTTTTTCAATCACGGCCTTACGGTCGATACGAACTCGACGACACACTTAATCTCGTAACAGAGCTAATATGATTACAGATACCCAACATCGCCCTACGCTACAGGCCAGGGGAGGTCAGTGTACCTAGCTAGGCACGGAGAAGATGGCTCAACAAGTTCTATGCTAGGCTTGCCTACACGCATCCCTTTTCTAGTCATCGTGTGTGATAATCGAGGGTTTTGCACGTAGTAGATACACTGTGGGCAAGGAGATCCATGAGCTGTATTCAACGGTTGCCGGCGTTGTAGATGTTCAACGTCCATCGAAGCACGGGCTTTCGATTCTTGTTTACAAGGTAGGTACAACATTGAAGTGATGATATCTCTACTACGTACAATGGCTCTACCGATCAAATTTCTCTTCGTTGTCTACTTCATTGGCGGCTAGCTACATAGCACCTGTCTTCTACGTCAGCATACATGGATGCATTGTTTGCGACTATGGGGTACCTACCTATTCAACTGAGCTTTATCCATTAATGATTATACAAAGTGTAGAGTACACAAGGGCCCATTTACTTGCTCGACGCTGATTGGCATCCCATCCCTACATCGTAAGCAGAAAAGACATGTTTTGAAGTAATGTAGAAGATTGTGAGTAGTGCATTTTATGTAGCTATTGTGAATGTTGAAGAAACTGTTCAGATATTGCATAGTTAAATGAATAAAATGTATAACACAGTAGTTAATGGTATGCATGATGCAAGAGGTCACATGACCGTAGCTAGTGTACTATTATGTGACACAAATACGAAGGCTGTGGCCAAAAGTTTAGACCAAGATATACCTCAGCCCCACAGTTCCTCCACTTTTCTACCACTGTAGGAAATATCATCGCCAACATACCTACCTACCTATAAAGCCTTATAAGTTTATCTAATAAATATTAAATACATCATTACGTTATTTAATTAGTTTATTTAATAATAGAAATTTTTGTAATTTTTTTTTTTATTAAATTAATATAAGTATTTGTATAATAATTTAAGGTTGTTAACAGGCCTGTTTATCAATTGTTTAGGACTGAAAGCTTTAAGTTTATAGCACATTATAGCGTTTAAGTGTGCTATAAGGTGCTATATTTTTAAGGGTTGTGGGGGATTTGACGTTAAATGTATACCTATTATTGGTAGAAGCCCGAAAAAGAGTGGCGCACTGTGGGGCTGAGGTATATCTTGGTCTAAACTTTTGGCCACAACCTTCGTAAAGTGATGACTTATGTAAGCAGCCTACCTAAGGTGGGTATTTCCGGGCCAGGAACAAATTGATAATGGACAAACTCGTCAGCTCCTGTACATAAGATAGATTGGACTGAGGGCACATCTCCATCTATCTCCACATATCCTGCCTTGTCGTGTGGGAACTGGCATGAAGCCGACCGGCAACTCGGTGTGTATGCGAGTGTGCAACATTTGTATGTGCTCAGGTTACTACCACTCTCGAGAATGTGAACACCAACCATAGATACATGTCTGAGGTAGCCAGTCATTTCCAGTCATTTTTCCCAAGAGGAAGAAAGTGTTGCAATCAAGAAGCAAAGAAACAAGACAGGGCTTGGTGCAAGTGTAGCCCGAGTTTATATGTGTGTACAAATATAAATATATGGACACGGCAGAGTTCCACATGCAGTTGAACTGGTTTATCGGTGTTCACCAATGTTGTTATTGATATTGCTCTGGAGCTATATGTATACGTAAACGGTTGGCCCATGCTCCCAAATCTATCTGCAGCAATAGATAATAGGTTAAAGACCCATGTACACACATGCTTAGGAATGGCTTGGCTGTATATTCCGTATTCCGTATTCCGCATTCGAGTCTGTAGGTATTCTGTAGTAAAACAAAGACATTCATCAATGTTCATTGATCGTCATACTCAAAAGATACTAGGTAGTGTACATATAATACTGTAGGTACATACTCGCATCTGTCCAAGGTACATAGTACATACTAGACATTAAACTCATAAACCCAAAACGTAAATCGTAAAACATGTCAACCATGTCAGCTGGTCAATCATCCGAACCTTCCATCCAACTTTAAGACAATAAAAAGACACAAGAAAAGACGATCTCCCGCTTCCTTCCCTGTTCCCAAGTTCCACATCAAGGCTTACAGATCTCGGAAATGGGAACGAGCAAAGCGAAAGTGAGTGAACGAATGATATAATTAGTTAAACCTATGTGACTATACCTAGTATATACATATGTATATTTTAAATGCATATATGCAGGTACATAGCAGTATAGCACTGTGTCTAATGTACAGTATTACATACCGTATCAGGGCGGGAGAGGTGGAAATGATTGGCTATGGAAGTTCGGGGCTTGTCCGTCGAAATCACACATGGCATAATGCACCCTTGCCAACCACTGGATTATGTACCAGGGAATACGTATACCACCCTGGTATGGTACCTAGTAGTTATGTACATCAAGTGATTACATACATACATCAACTAAATATGAAATCCCGGAGCAGCGGGCGACCCACTAGGTTACGTCTTCTTTGTATGTTACTGCGAGTTGCAGGCAAGTGCAGGTGGACTCTGGGCTCTTGAAGAAGTTTAGAGTGTATTATGTATGCAGGTAGACATGTGGCTGTGGATTATACTACATACCTTACTAGCATATTCGTACCGCATGCATACATACTCTAATAATACTAAAATACTAGCCTAGGCATACACAATATTACACATGATCAGATACTAATAAAATACACATTGTTTTTGTTGATTGGCATTGGGCTCTGGCTCTTACACAGACAGCAACATTTGAACTCTGTGGACCAACTTTGATTATCACTCCAATAATCGACATCTTTCTTCTTTTCTTCACTTTCCCTCAATCTTAACAAAACTTTCTAAACAAATAAGTTACATAATAAAGTAATATTCTATAATCATATTTCCTTCATCTATCTCAACATAACTAAATAAGTAGTTATAGCGACGTATACATACGTACTTACGCATGTATGGTATATGCATGCGAGTCATGAAACAATTCTAAAAGGGGATCATCTTTTTTATGCCAAATTCTTAGCGAAAAGAGTCCCCAGTCTTAATCAGGCCAGACTGGGAAAAAGGGTCACTAATACTCACTATTCCCTTCCCCAGTATTCCTTGTGTTCACCCTCCCGAAACAAGCGTCCAAGGTTTATTATATTCAAACAACACTCAGGGGTGCCACTGTTCGCGAGACAAGGGTAGGATCCATTATGGACGGGGGACACGGTGAATCTGGGAGAATGGTCGACAACCGCAAATCACCTAATACTATTCCTACTATTGCTCCTACCACTACCTCCTTCGAACACCATGACTCTCCCGTCACCTCGTTAAATTCATCAAACCGTCTTGAATCACTATCTGATTACGACAACCCATCGCTATCCGATTTGCAGCACCAACGGCAGCCTTCTGCCCCAACTTTCTCACCCTCGAGCGCTGGGACGCTGCCGCAAACACCCAAGAGAAGTCACGTCAGGCAACAGTCCCAAGGAATGCCACTGACCGGCGATGGACGGAAAACACGACGCCGGGAAAACTCTCCCGGAGAATACGGCAGTTGGTTAAATCAGGCAGCCGCATCACCTCCCCTCGACGGACGCTTGTCCCTGGATGCCACACCTAGTACCAAACGAGGCGTCTCGACGGCTGAAAGTACCCCTAAGAGCGCAACCCCCTCTCGCTTCGGGTTCTTATCGTGGAGTTCGCGCCGCACCAGCAACCAGCCAACCCAAATCACCCCAGAGCAGCAGGAGGCCCTCGATGACGAGCTATGCACCATGGACATCGAAGCCGCCCTCTACCCGTCGTCGTCGTCGTCATCACCACCGGATCGCGATACGTTCTCGCCCGCGGCATACAAGAACCTACAGATGAACGCGGCGGGAGTCTTACACCGTATGCAAGAAGCGTTCGAGCGCCGAACGGCTACGCTTCGGGAGATACAGGCAGAGCGGGAGGCGCAGCGCGAAGAGGCGGAGGAGACGGAGCTGCGGATCCGGCACTTCAAGACACAACTAGAAAGTATGGCGGAAAAGGCCGCGAAGCAGGAGACGGACATGCGGCGCCTGGTTGCGGACCTGCAGGCCGAGAAGCAGGCGCGCTTGGAGGAGAAAATCTGCCACGAGAAAATGCTTGCCGCCGCTACTGCCACCGGTACGGCTACCGCTAGTGAAGGGTCGGTGGTGACGGAGGACCTGTGCGTGGGCGAAGACGAGGAAAGGGAAAGAGACGGAAGAAGAAGAAGCGGGGAAGGGGAGAGGAGGCTGACGCAGTGGCGCAAGAGCAGTGGCACGGTGCGCTCGGATGTGAGCGCGGCTACTACGGATAGCACCCGCGCGAGCGTCGAGTCCGAGAGCATATTCTCCCGCAGCCGCAGCCCGACCACAATGACGGCCTGCACGGCCGATTATGGCCCCCCCGAGAACCCGGAAGTCTTGCTATTGTCGCCCCCACCACCACCACCAGCTCGGGCGTCCACGTCCGCCACCCTCCCCTCACAGCAGATCAAGCCGCAGCAGCGACGGCCCGCACCTCAGCTCACCACATTTCAAAAACTAGTCAAGGGCATCTCGGGCGGAGACAACGCGGCGGCGAGGGCTAAGAACAGCGTGGACGGGTGTACGAATTGCCGGGGCCAGGCCGCGAGCGTGGCCTGGGACACGGTGAGCCTCCTCCGCGACGAGAACAAGGGTCTCAAGCAACGCGTCGTCGAGCTAGAGGTCGTAGTCGAGGGCGCGCTGGACGTGGTGAATGGGATTGGGATCAGGTGAATCGAAGAACCCACCTATTACAGAAGACTACTACCGATACTCCTTTTCTTTCCTTTCTTTCTTCTTTTCTTCTTCTTTTTTAAATAAAAAGGAAGAAGGAAAAGAAAAGAAAATCCTTGCCAAAAAAAATTTACAAGACAGGGTTAGAGATGGGGGCGTACGGACAAACATTATTACTTTTCAACAGCTTTTTGGGTACAAAAAAATCAGCGGGACTATTTTTTTTTATTGCTGCGCAGGACGGAAATGAGCATAACTTAGGTAGATATCATGGGGCGAGCATTACGGTTCTCTTGCATATGTGTGCTTATTTTTTATTAAAAAAGAAGGGGGGGAGAGAGAGAAGTAAAGGGGCCTGTTTGCTTGCCTAGGAGATCGTGGCCCTCTTTGTTGCATGGGATAGGATGGTGGGATGAGGCAGGCTAGAGCTGGAAATACCCATTTTGTCCATTGTCCATCGTTCATTGCCCATGCCATGCCATGCCATGTTGTCACTTAGAATAGTATTTATACATATTACTGTAGCGCCGTTTATATGAAACGGACAAGCAGACAGACTGGCAGAGAGACTTGAGTCGAGTCTGACGACAAGACAAGACAAGCCTTTCTTAGCAGACCAGCCAGCTAGCTACATAGTCAATTCCAGATCATAAGCGGCGATTAGATACCTAATCTAATAATTGTCTTGGGCTAGGCCGTGCATTCATTCATTTCTACGTAGCATCTGCTAATTGTCATGAGGCGGAACCTGGAAGAGGCGGAACAACCTACATCGTTGATGCGCGGGGATCTCTGATCTCTCCACGAGGCTTATGGAGGCGATAGGAGCTATGTAGGTACTTATACTTTATGTTAACCCCCTATGTAGTCTCGGCAGATAGACCCTTAATACCAATTGAACTGAGCAGTTGCCAAAAGACGAGAATTCTAAACTCAAGGAGCATTGGGACATCATAGGTATACAGGTATACCCAAGTAGACATTTTACTACGTTGGCTGCTGCTTTCGTTGTCTGTACCGAGTCTTCGTCGTTGAATCGCAATCAACGAACTTCTTGATAGATTTTCTTTATCCCTTATTCATGATGGGACATACAGATAGGTACAGCAATACAAGTACCCTAGGGGGGTAGGTACCTAGTAGCTTGTAGGTAGGTAGTCGGCTGATAGCAATATATACAATGCCCTCCCTCCTTCTTTTTTTGATCTCTCTTTTTTTTTGGTTTTTTGATCTCTCACTCTCTCTCTTGCTTCAGTGATGCCCCTCCCCGTGGCTATCTCCGTGGTGGTGCTCCTCTTCCAGAAACATCTTCTCGTACCCGAGGTATGCGATGAAGGCGACGGTGGCGATGCCGAGGCCCGGGAAGGCGCCCTTGAACCGATTCCAGCGCGAAAAGAGGCCTGTGTAGCGCCATGCTTCACTGTTATGTGTTAGCTTTGAAATGTATCGTGCGATTTGCTGCTGCTGCTGCTGCTTTTTCTGCTTCTTCTTCTAGCTACTTGGTAGGACCGGGCTGATGAGGGAAGGGAAAGGGAGGGAGAAAAAAGAACTGACGCTCGCTCCCATGGATCGTATCTCGGCGGGCCGGCTGCGTGTGCGAATTTCTTGATATCGAAGCCGGTGAGGTTCGGCTTCTCGCCGTGGTGTGCTCGGAATATCCTGTATTGTTGGGTGCGTTCGTTAGCGACAGTAATTAGAGTCTATACATAGGTATGGAATTTGTACCTTGTAGGATGCATTGTGTGATTATACGTCTGCTTGATGTAGGTGAGACGAGAAGAGAGGAGAGGAGAGACTCGGGGAGCTATGTATGGTATCAGTTATCTGATATCAGACATGCCATTCAATTGAAGTGCGGTTCTTAGCGTTACATACTTCAATGTTCGTACTGTACAAAATTACTACAAATTCAATGTACATACGACCAGGTACTTAAAGTGCCCTCCTCTGATTGGTTCGTGATGTCGGCAGATTGATTTTCCCAAACAACTAACTACAAGTACTATGTACCTTGAATGTTACTAGGTAAACTTCAAGGTTCAAAGCCCCAGCTTTAAGGTTTTCGGTACTTAGGTACCTTCAACTTGCTGCTCCGTGTCAATCGTCAATCACATCGAGGGTACGCTAGCAAATGGTAGGCCCTGCCAATTTTTAGTTCTACATAACTACCTAACTAACTAACTATTGTACAATACATACAGTACTACTAGTAGTACCTGCCTCCTACCTAGTAATCTGCCTAACCTTTGAACCTTAGATAGTATTTTCAGATCTATCCAGCAGACAGGTGCAATCTGCCAGCTGCGAACCTTAGGTGTATCAACTTTCTCCTCACTGCGATTTAGTTTTCGATTTTCGATTTTCCATTTTCCATTTCGAAATTCAAAAACAATCCAGCAACGCAACAACACAGTACAGCACAACACAAGAACAACAACGCCACAACGACTCAACCCGAAACCACATCAACTATCAACCTTTGATCCTCTACCTCTACATAATACCTCCCACTTCCCACTTACCAACTACATCCCCACGTCATATAATTCACCTGATCATACATCTCCCCTTTACCTACCCACGAGAAGGCGCAAAGGGTGCCGCGCGACGTGGCTTGAGTTCATCTTAAAACTCATTCCTTTTTTTCCCCACGGACAAATAACCCCACGCCATATTTAACTACTACTGCCACGCCCCATTAAGAGCTACTTTCTGCTTTCTTGCAGCCATTTTTAGCTATCCTTCCTCGAGACCGTCTACCGTCTATCTAGTCATCGAGCTCCCCTAATGCCCTCCGACATTGCTACATCATCCACCCCAACGACGAGAAAAAGAATCTAATATCATCGGCGACACGCGCATCTATCCAATGGCTCCCCCCTCGCGATTTGGGGGTGGCCCGCCATCCATGGCACCATACCAACACCAATATTCTTCACATCCTTCACAAACTCATGCGACTGCTCACCAACCACCCGCACTCTCTAACCCGGCCTACCTAGGCAACGCGCATATGGGCCCCTTCGGCGCGAACGGATTAGGACTCGGTGCCAGCATGAACGCCGCCGCTGGCTTTGGTGTTGGAGATCAGACAGGCTTTGCTAGTCATGCTGCTAGATCCGGCTTCCAGCATGCCGCGCAGTTACAATCTCAACAGCACAATCCTCATCAGGTCCACGCGATCGAGCGACAAGGACGAAGCGGTGCCGCTAAAGGTCGCATACGCGAAGTCTGGAAGCATAACTACCAGGAAGAAATGACGATGCTCATGGACTTGATCGAGGAATTTCCATATGTTGCTATGGTTTGTCTACCTACAAATCCCCTTTTCTACAGTTCCCATGGTGAAGATATCGCCCCTGCTAACCGCGCACATTGTTAGGATACCGAATTCCCAGGTATTGTGGGCCGGCCAATGGGCAACTTCCGAGGCAAGAGCGATTACCATTACCAGTGCCTACGAGTCAACGTCGACCTGCTTCGAGTAATCCAGATTGGACTCAGTCTGTTCAACGAAAAGGGCGAGACACCTGCGGAGCGTCTAAGTACGTCACCGAACGAATGTGGCATAAGAATCAGGAAATATGCCAATCAACAATTACCTCTTGCCTGGCAGTTTAATTTCAAGTTTTCTCTCAAAGAAGACATGTACAATCAGGCATCGATCGAGTCCTTGCAACAAGCTGGCATTGACTTCAACCTCCTCGAACGCGACGGTATCGACCCGAACAAGTTTGCTTCCTTGTTCATCCCCTCCGGCTTCGTATGCTACGACAACATCAAGTGGATCTCGTTCCATGGTGGATATGACTTCGGCTATCTGACTAAGCTACTCGGAGACACAAAGCTAGCCAATGATGAGAGCGAGTTTGACAAGGTCATGAAGAAGTGGTTCCCCACTACTTACGATGTCAAGCATCTGATGAAGTACGCGGTTAAGCTTCATAGCTCTGGTGTGCTCACTCCCACTGATCCTGGTACGGCCGAGATCATGCAGAAGTTTGAGCAAAAGTCCGGACTGGAGAGCATTGCTGAGGCTCTGAAGATAAAGCGACTTGGAGCGGCGCATCAGGCGGGTTCGGATAGTCTTATCACGGGCAAGGTGTTCTTTCAGTTGCGAGAGCGAATATATAATGGAGAGATTACGGACGATCATATTGGTAAGGTCTGGGGACTCGGATTTTCAGGAATGGAGGTACCCACGTCATCACAGGGCCTGGTCAATAATCCGGATGCCACCCCATCCAACACCAACGGCAATGTGAATGGTGGCCCTACTACACCAAGCACGTCGAGTGTGGGACTTGCTAACACTCCAGTTACGCAATCACAGAATGGTAACGCATTAGGCATGGGACCGATGACTCCTGGTGGCGGCGGAGGTGTATTTGGGTCATTCAATTTCCCAACTCATGCAAGATAGAATCCCATAGATTGGGAATGTGATATGAAGCATGATGCTTTGACTGACTTACCTCAAACCACTCATGCTCATCCATATCAGAATGTGCCAAACCATGCTACATCCTCGTGGGACGGTCCCTCCAATGGTAGTGTCGAAGTAAACTGTACCACCCCAATGGCCGCCTCATACGAGGCTCCTCTTTGGAATCCATTCCAGCCACAGCTTTGGCCCAATCCATTCGTCCAGGCCCAGTTTCCTGTCCCACCCGCACCAGCATACCCAATGCAACCGTTCCCCTGGCCCCAGACTCAAATCCCGACGGGTCCAAATGCTCCAGGGGGTTGGGTATCCCACCATCCTCCTACTACTACTACACAACAGGATGGTAATAAGAAGAAAAAGAAGAGCCGAGCACCTCATTGGTTCCGGAATAGAGGAACTCGTCGCGAAGCCCGGCACGGTACTAACAACATCAATAATTATATCAGCCCATGGCTAGTGCCCGGTGTTGGACGCGGCCAGCCAGCCTTGCTTCCCAGTGTACAGGCGAGCCAGGATAATCAGGGAAGCCAGGAGGAGGTTGACCTTGGCGACATCTACGGTGCCTCGCCCCCGAGAGGAAGAGGAACAGGAACAGGAACAGGTGAGTAATCATCGCGGGAGTCCCTAGTTTTTTTTCGTGGTCCGGAACTTGGAGGAGGTGGGTGTTTAGAGGACTGATGAGGACTCGTACACTACTAGAGGGTGAGTAATCTGGTCTGGTCTGGTCTGGTTTGGTTTGGGTTGGGTTTGGTAGAGAGAAAAAGTCGCCCATACTTACCTACGCTTATACACCCGAGATATTGGCACGATGAGGACGATAATACGTGCTGTTTGTTGATGGTAATGTGATGTGACGTGACGTGACGTGACGTGACGTGCCGTGATGCTAGAAAGGAAGGAAGGGGAAATCTCAGTTGATGGGGATCGCAATGATCAATCAGACTTGAAAGGTTTGAAAAATCCTTCTTTCTGTCTTTCCTTTCCTTTTTCTTTTCTAATTTCTAATTTCTAATGTTTCATGTCTACCTCTTTCACATACATGGGCACATTAGTATGTATGTATGTATGTATTTTTCTTTTTCCCCTTTGCCATGTACTGCTATCCCGAGATGGACGAGTGTGAAGGGGGATGGTTGATCAGTGACATGGCAATGTCTAGTCACCAGTGAGGGAAAAGGGGGAGGCATGATATCGATATGATTATTAGGCAATGCCCGGTACCAAGGTTTGAAAGCCCTCATGGCAAAGCAAACAAGGGAAGATAGTATAGGCACAGTTGATAGGTACCTATGATCACATGCTCATTGATCTGGGCATTGAGACGTTAATTGCAGAACAGAACATCTTCTGACTTGTGTTGTCTTGTCTGGACTACCAATGCAATTTCTATGGAAGCAAAATGTTCAGAATAACAGAGTAGGTCTTCAGTTTATCATAAAAAGGTAACTCAAGAGAGAGGACAAGAATGGGGAGAGTGAGTGATCAAAATGATGTTGCTTGAGTAAACTATAGCTAGCTATGTCCACACTTCAAGCTACCGAACCACCGGATCGCCGCCCCCCCAGCTATTATTAAGAAAGTGAAGGCTTCCACAGTGAAACTCCATCCTCCGTCAGTTCTAGTGATAGGTCGGTATATACGTACAAGTAACAAGGTGAAGGGGGTAGAACAGGGAAGGAAAGGACACACTGTGCTCGTATCTCGTCCTTTATAAATAAAGTGAATAATACACTGATGCTAAAGTCATAATCATTATGGTAGATGCCAAAGGAAATGAGGGTAGGCAACGGTTATGTGATGTACACTTTCTTAACCCGCTCCATCATGAATACCTCACCGGTCCTCAAATCTTTGACTTGGCCATCTAGTAAGCCTGCTTTGCGTGCGTACTCCTCGAGGCGAGCTTTGCCATAAGCGCGGCCGTTTGGTAGCAGGACCAGATCTGGTTCAACGTGGCTCTTACTATGAAAAGCATACGGAACATTGCGGGCGAGCTCGTTGAGCTCGGTGCTGCAGATCGGGCAGACGCTCGTCGCCAAAGATAAGCTTGTTGAGTGGGAGGGAGGGCCAGCGGCGGAGGCCGGGTGTGAGGAGTGGCAGGCTGGGGTCTTAAGGGCAGAGAGACCGGATGATAAGGCGACGTGAAGGAGGGGGATAGGAGGAAGTGAGAGGAGAGCGTTATGGGTTGTCGTAAAGAGGTTTGCAAGCATCTCCCATCGTGCTGGCGAGTACAGGTCTGTGTAGGCGGGAATGTCCTGGGCGGACCCAGGAGGCAGGGCCAGCATACCGCATGCTTGTAGGACTTCCCTTTGGTATGTGTCCCGATAGGGGATGAGGAACTTGCGGGCGTGAGCTAAGACGTCGGTAGGTTGCGTAGACCGGTCCCTAACTAGTTCGATGTATTGCTGGAACCTAAGCATGAATTCGAGGTTACTCTGTAAAAAGGCAATCAAGGTTAGTGGCAAGGAAATATGTAGACGAGTTTGGATCTGAAGGATAGCAAGTGTAGGTGCAAGTGTAGCTTACATCCATCTTCCGTAATTCTTTCTTGGTATCACCAGCAGTACACCATGCCAAAGCCTCTGCCACACTTCGATTCAAGATGCATTTTCGAATTCTGTTCATCTGTTCAAATGTATCTAGGTCGACGAGCAGCTCGATTCCTTTCTCTTGGGCATAGGCCCTTGCACTGTCGACATAGCCATGTCGTAATAGATAATCGATTAGGAGCCGGTCTAGTCGGGTCCGGCTCCAGGCCTCGTACTTGACGTCGTCGACGCTGTGTATGCTATAGAGATCGGAGAGATGCTTAACGCGAGCTTCTTCATGGCGATGGAGGCGGCTTTCCTCTTCAGCGAAAGTGGTAAGTTTTCGTTTTACGCCGCGCATACGAGCGATCATGGAGTCGAGGTTCTTGAGGACATCGGCTTGAGAGCTGCGGCCATTGACGCTCCCGGTGGCCGTCTCTTTCAGGGTGCTTTTGATGTAGCTGCCATCCTTCTCTACCTCGAAATGTGCCGACCGGAAGTTCTTGCGCAGGAGCTCAATAGGCAGTCGAAGTAAGGGCTGGTCCTATATTATTAAAGGTAAGCTTATGTTAGCCTGACCAACTGTAACTACTAGATAGCTAAATAGTTACTATGTGTGTGTGGATAGGTGGTAAAACAACTGTGTGCTGGACATAAAGGTGGGATGTACTACTGTGATCAGTATACGGGAAGGAAAGAAAGAGAAATACTTACAAGAAGAAGGTGGTTCTCATGATCTAGTTTGGTGGCTACTATAGCATCCATCTTGAAGAAACACTATAGGTTGTTGAGATGATGTGTGAAATGGTATATGTAGAGTTGAGTTGAGTTGGTTGAAACTTGAAAGTTGACACAAGGATATGCTCCCAGGTATGTTCCTAGCTTGAGGTAACTATGCACATTGCACATGACTCTGGAGCATTTAGTACGTAATTACATGTCAACGGCACTATGGCATGGATGATGTGAGTTTCGGAGCAAAGTCGGTTGTATTATATGGGGCTTGATGGAGCCTGATAGGTCCAATGTAGGCAGGTGGGGGTGGCGTCTTGACTACCACCACGGCCCGGCTTCCCCACGAAAGAGAGTCGCATGGATCTCTTATTACCATGTATGTAGGTAATGTATGTACTTAAACATGATGATTACCTAGGTAAATACATTAATATCAACTGATCACGTCGCGTCTTTCTATTCTTATTAGACCTACAATATTACATGGTATAATTAACATTGAATCACTAGGAAAGTATCTAGTAGTAATTCAATGTTCCTTGAAGATCACATGCACTAACGAAACTAAAGTTGTTATTTGACGGTTCCCTTGGTGGAAAAGTTTGGGTCGGGCATATCAGACGTGCAAGCTACAGAGACATTGAAGCTACATACCTACATATGTTATGTACATCAAATGTGATTAATGCTATTGATGTATGTAGAGCAAGTCATCTGTGTAACTAGGTACGTTGGGCAGCAGGTACATGTATAGGTCACAGATTATTTCAACTTTACTCTTTTGAAGAATGGTCTTTCCACTCATCCTCGTGACTTGGCTTACTACACTCATCGTCCCGACACATTTAGGTAGTCTATAAATATATCAATAAGATCTGAGGGCTGGTATGCATCTAGTTATTCCTTACCGACTAGGTATGTACCTGTAGGATTCCCTGTTGATTTTCATGCTTACCTAGTTACCTAGTATTATAATTTATACCTACCTCTTATGTACATAGCTGTGGCGCCTATTCTCTTCTGTAGTGCTGCGGAGGCGGATACTCCCGAGTGGTGCTGCTCGCAAATTGCCTAACCTAGTGCGACCTATGCAGTCTATGCAGTCACACACATCCGATCCCAGTCACAGGAACAGGTAGCAAGTAGGGTTAGGGGACTCACGGGACTTGTTCAACTAACACCAAAATTAGCATGGTAGCTGTTGGCTAACCGCTCCAAACCAAAATTTAACAGATAGGTCAACCTTGGCAAGGTCACTTGACTACCAGTTGTTGGTTTCAGAGACATCTGGACATCATAAACGTCTAAAACAGTTGAATTGTATAGGTAGGTACTGGGTAGTATTCGCATAGGCATCCAGGTTAACTGTAGACAGAGAGGTATGGGGAAATCTACGTAGTAAACTCACAATGTAGATATGCTAAACCAAGTCATTTGCCGAGCTCGACATCAATCAATCTGCAGATGGAAGAGGAGATCCACGGCTACATTACCAGCAGATTCTTATCCCGTCAACTTCGCAAAGTCTGTTCTATCACTGAATCAGGCAGACCTGATGAAACGGATTTCGCTGAGATCCCATCCTCTCGCTTGTGGCAACTAGAGCATCACCATCAAAGTAAAACGCGAGGGAATCTGATGATTCCTACCCAACTCTCCTCATTGCAGCGCTCTGTAGCCTCCTTCGTTAGCGAGATTGCCGTACCAGATTATTATGCTTTTCGATGCGTTTTGAGCCTTATACATATACATTAGTCTGTCCCGATATTATTTTTGGTCTTTTTTTATTTTATTTTAAGTTTCCTGAGGTGTGAAATATATAGATAAAGTGGATTAATAAAATCGGGTTGAAGGCCTGTAGGTTGTAGATTGAAAGTTGAAAGTTGAAAGTTGAAAGGAGAGTCAAGAAGATTGAAATGAGAAGAGAAGCGACCTAAAACCCTGGCCTGGTCCATGGCTCGCGTGGGTGGCAGTTGTAGCTGTGTGGGGGCATCACCGATGATGATTGGTTGGTAACTAATCAGGACTCCTACCAATGAAGTACATACGATGTAGGTCTTTCTGTTGGTGATTCGAAAAAAAAAAAGACTTCCACCAATGTTGGAGTCAGGGAAAAAAAATAAAAATTTGGGGTACATGGAATTTAGGTGGCCTTAGCAGCTTAAACCTATGTACACTGTTGACCTTCCATGCTAGATAGAGAAACTGGAGGAAAGAGCAACAGTGCCTCATCAATTGTAGCTACCTACCTACCTACCTACATAGTGTATTTTGAACAAACAGGGGAGACACACTAGACACACTGGATACACTGGGACACACTGAGGAGACAAGACTAGGAGGTGGACCGTGCGTCCGGGGGGTCATATGGTCAGAGCATGCCACCTTCAATTCCTCTTACCTCTCTCTCCTCGACCCGTGCATCTATCTCTCTTATTAATTTCTCTATTGATGCGCAAGTTCAACTCTTCTTTTTTTTCCTCTTCTTCCACTTGATCAATAATATTAACCTGCACGACATCGATCCTTTTTACTCCCCGACTCCCCCCCCCCCCCCATTCAAGTTTCGCCTCTCCTCGTCAATATTACAAAAGTTGTTGATTCGGCGATTCTACCTGGTCCGTTCCTTGATATTCCCACAAAATCACGCCCATTCGAGGCTATTATCTCGAAAGCACGTGAAGTCACTTGACGCTGGAAGATCCAAGGGGACTTGCGCCAACTCCAGCATAGTACTGCACGAGACCTGGCACATGATTTCAAGGTATGTCATTCCAACTACGTCCGCGTCTTCTTTTTCCTTGGATTTTGATTTTTGTTTTTCCAATAATTTGATCAAGTCTGAATTGTCATCACCACCATTATTTGCGCATTCTTCATATCCACGATTGTCGCCTCCGCAGATCTAACGCGCGAAAATTTTCGCGTCGTCTTCGCCTGCATCTCTTCTGCATCCTGTACCTTCTACGCAAAGTCTCTCTATCTACATGCAGAACACACTGTTGTATTGCGCGCAGATTCTTTCTCATCCCCTCTCCTCCTACGTCCTCATTTTCCCACAGTCAGGCTATTTTCGGGGCAAGCTCCTCTAGTGCTTTGCCTTGAGAATTGCTGTCTTCATTATTCCCTCGCTCATTATGAGTTTCCACCTAATCCCCTCGTATGGGCGCCCTTAGTAGGCCCCCCGAGTCCCCCCCAGTCGGCAATGATTCCCCTTTATCAGTTACAATGATGTACCTGAGTTCTAAATCCTATTTCATGCGCTCACATTACCAATATTCCTACCACGACCGTTCTTATGTGTATTTACAAATAACGGATCGATTCATTTGGCAACTATATTCAAGGCTTGTAAGTATCTAATGAACTGACGCCAGCAGAATTATTGTAACAGGACGAAAACTCAATACGCACGTATCGTCTGCAGTTTTGACTGGTGCTAGGGCGCACAGTAGTTACCACTGATTGACTACCTCAAAACTGTTCTCAATCTAAGTGACAATGGAGTCCAACGGTTACACCCACACGGAATCGCTCCTTGAGCCTCATGCCCAGCTCAACAGAGAGCACCTAGCCGCCATGGCAGATGCGGCTGTTTCTGATCACAATGACTTTAACACCCCCTCTGCTCCCTCCAGTCCCGGCCAGAAGCGAAAGCGCACTGCGCCAGACTCTTCCCCGGATTTACGACGTGCCAAGCGTGTCGTGCCTACTTCAGCCATATCCGGCACCCCAGATGCTGCCTACGTCGAGTCCGCTGTAGAAGCTGCACAGGCTGCTGCCCAAGCTCAAGCCCAAGCTGCAACAGACGCCGATTTTACGGCTCTACAGCAGGCTGCCGCTGAACATCATGATATTTCTGACCATGCCAGTGCGTCAAGCACTGCCGCCGCCGCTCTCGGCTCAATGTATCCAACTATTCATGTCCCTCAGTCCACAGAAGAGACATTTGCGGCACAAGTCGAGGAGGCAGAGCATCATCATGAGTCATCCTTTGACCACACCAGCATGTTACATCCCGATGGCCTTCCTGATACGTCTGTAAATGGTCTTGGGTCGCAAACGCCACAGAATGGTATGAGGCATGCTCAGGTACCATATTCAGGCTCTTCGTCCAAACCGACCGTGGGTTCAGAAGAGTGGCATAAAATGCGAAAGGATAACCATAAAGAAGGTAAGTTAACATGATCACCACACCACCAATTTAACTATACTAACTTGGTTAAAGTGGAGCGTCGCCGTCGTGAGACTATCAACGAGGGCATCAATGAACTTGCGAAGATTGTGCCTGGGTGTGAGAAGAACAAGGGTTCGATCCTGCAGCGCGCAGTCATTTTCATCACCCAGCTGAAAGAGAATGAGGCGCAAAATATTGAGAAGTGGACATTGGAGAAGCTACTGACTGAGCAAGCTATTCAAGAGCTCAGTGCTTCTAACGACAAACTGAAGCAGGAGTGTGAAAGAGCTTACCGAGAGCTATCGATATGGAAGCAAGTGGCCCAGAACGCTGGACTCCAGCCACCTCAAGCGAAAGACGAATCCTCATCCTCTTCGTGAGATTGGTGACACTGTTAATGGAGTCGATGCTTTTCCTACTTCCTACTCATTCCTTCTATACCCTGAATCTTTTTTTTCTACCGCGGCATCGATCTTTTGGCATCAGCTCCGCGATCACAGTGTTGACTTTCGGCGTCCCAAGTAGGCACAGATACAATCAATGTGCAAATCGGCATTATAAATGTTTCCTATATTGGCCTTGTTCACCAAACCAAGTGGCGAATGAACGTTGGCCTAAGGATTTCTGCAGGAAACGGGTCGAGAAGACTTGGAAGGAATTGGCGTTAATGCTAGGCAGCAGGTTCTTTTTACAATATTGACTTCCATGGAAATCAACCAAAGAGTACTCCCCAAGAATACAAACAAGCCTTGGGCAAAGTGTAAAACATATGAATTTCTCTATTAGTGCAATGGTGACGCTTGAGGCCTTAATGATGCATTACTGTTGCATTGTGCATATGCAGGTTGCCATACGGCCTAATAATATCTCATCCATTTATTAGGCCGTATGATCACACAAATGAATGTACATACTACTAGTGCATACGTAGTAGTAGTTCAATGTTAAACAGGATAAGTAACTTCTGAGGTCATGCCCTTCAAATGCATATGTGTAGGTATGTATCCAGGTAAGTTTCTGACATTGGCTACATATTTGCTACTACATGTAGCATACGTATTATATGTACCTACCTACTAGGTAGTACTATGTATTCTAAAGCACTTTCTAAGTGCTCCGTTCCCTCTCTTCTCTTTCTCTCCTCCTCTCCTCCTCTCTTCCTCTCTTCCTCTCTCTTCCTCTCCCCATTTTTTTTTTTTTTTTTTTGGTTTAGAATACTCGAAGTTTCTAGAGTTAACGGAACAGAAGAAGCGGGAAGCATGCAGCCCAGTCCACTAAGGACCCTCCCAGCTCCTTTAGAAGACCCAGTTGGGCTAATTTAATCAGTCACGGTTTTGCAGGCCACGTTGGGGTCACAGACAGAACGACAACCTATTAAAAGCGTACCTACCTACATATATGTACGTACCTGGGGTAGGTAGGTAGGCGGGAGACTCGGGAGCAAGCTATTTTACATATTCTAAAAGAGGACGTCGGGGATTGGATGCCGACATCCATATGTATGTAGCGCTGATCAGTTTGTGTATGAGAGGTTCAGGTAGACAGGCATATGGCATATATCCATTTTGATACCCGTTGTGGGTTTGTGGGTTTTTGCGGATGCCCAGATGGATGCGATGGATGCGATGGATGGGACAAGTCGAGGCATTTTGTTTGTTCTTTTGTCCCCGTAAAGTTGCATGCCTAGGTACATCTGTAGGCTACTAGGCACCATATATAGGTGCTAACCTACCTAGGCAGTTAGGGTATCCAGGTACATTTGAAGGTACTAACTTCAATGTAAAGGAACATCAAATTGTCATCAATGATTGAATGGAAAATAGTTAACTAACTAGTTATAGGTAAAAAGACTAGACCTACATAAGTATAGGCCAAGGTAGGGCTTGGTACACTAGGGTTCCGCCTGTGGCGTTCTTTAAGTGCACATGTGCTTTTCAGGGCTGGCTACTAGGTTAGCTGGATGGCTGGATGGCTGGCTGTTTGCACGTTTGGATATAAATGGTTGTGAATTGTTACAAATTTCAAATTATTATGTATAATAGTGTAGGTTATTAGTGTAGTTACATACAAATACATGTATGTACTGTATTATGTATTGTAATGTACATTAATAAACCTTAGCATACTACCTGACCTTACAAATTTTAACGGGCGGTGCTTGCACAATTTTTCACTGATCATCCTTTCAAGTCCCCCCCCCCCCCCCCTCTCCGTGACTTCCTTTGAACTTGCCCACTCTTAATATTTGCCCACCTCTTTAAAAGTCTCAATTCTTACTTCCTTTCCTCTTCCTACTAACTTCCCTTCTTCTTCCTCCCAACACCTCGTCATCAAAACTCACCATCATCAACAACCACAATAATAATCACATAAAAACGCTCTACTTTTTCTAGTCGGCGTTTTACTACTAAACTTGTTATCTCAATAACAAGAACATCCTCGCGGCATTCATTGCCTAATTCCTGGAATATCATCATCCGCTCCATTTAGCAATCTACACCTATTTGCTCCTACGGTACGCCGCGGACAGACTGGCAACAGCCTTTAAGCATTCACCGCCTGCTTTCTACTTCGCATCTCCCACCTTGGACCTACTACACCCTACACATAAAAGGGTACAGGATACACTGTTGTTTATGTATCAGCACGTCAAGACCGCTGTGTTTAAACACCTACCCCCTCTGACGCTGCAGTCGTTTCGCATACCGCGAAAACCTTGTAGCCCTAATATCAGCTCCGTCGGCTGAAATAAAAAAAAATTCGCGATTGCATCGCCCGAGTTCATGCCTTCCAACGCCGGCATAAACCATTCAGTCTTCCCTATGTCCACTAGGAACAGTCCTCTCTATTGAGACCCTTGCTCATCCCGATCCTCTCGATCTTCCCCTGCTTCTCTCTACCAATACCTACGAATGACTATCTAGTCTCGTCGTCCCTAAATTCCTCCAGGAACCAACTCCGTCACACCGACCGTGAAAGAGAAAAACCGAGCTTCTTTCTACGATAGCCTAACTATTACAATACCGCAAACATGGCGCTCGTTAACGTTCGTCGTGATGTCACCGATGCCTTCTATCGCTACAAGATGGAAAAGATTCAAACCAAGATTGAAGGCAAAGGCAACGGTATCAAGACTGTCGTCGTCAATCTAAGCAGCGTCGCCGCGTCCCTCGCTCGCCCTGGATCTTACGTCATCAAGTTCTTTGGCTTTGAACTTGGTGCTCAGACCAACATCGATCCTCCCGATGACCGCTGGATCATCAATGGTGCTCATGATGCTAGTAAGCTTCAGGATCAACTTGATGGCTTCATCAACAAGTTTGTTCTCTGCAAAAAATGCAAGAACCCTGAAACCGATGTTGTCATCAAAGATGGCCACATTGTTCTCGATTGCAAAGCCTGCGGTCAGCGCACCGATGTTGATCTTCGCCTGAAGCTGAGCGGCTTCATTTTGAAGAACCAGCCCAAGAAGGGCGCTAAGAAAGACAAGGCCGAACGCAAGGCCGCTCGCAAAGCTAAGCAGCAAGCCCTCCAGAATGGTAACAAGGAGAATGGCCAAGGAAGCGGTGGCGAGAACTCCGAAAACGGTTCCAACAGAAGCAGCGAGAAGAACGACGATTTGGATGACGTTGGTAGCGATGACGAGTTTACTCGGAGGATCAACGCTGACGCCCAGGTCATCGACGCCCCCGCTGTAGTTAAAGACGATGACTGGGCTGTCGACATGTCCGAGAAGGCTGTCAAGGCTCGTCAGAGCCAGCTCCCAAGTGAATTCCGCCAGAAACTTGTTCTCGGTGATGACGATGAGGACGGAGAGGGCGGTGGCCACACTGTCTATGACACCATGGGTGACTGGATTCAGGAAGAAGCCGGCAAGGCTGGTAGTATCAACAAGGTCGATGACATTCAAATCTATGTCAAAGCTAAGGAGCTTGGAATCGAAACCAAGCACAAGACCATTCTGGTCCTCGTGCAGACCCTATTTGATGAGAACATCATCACTCAGATTCCCAGGCGTGCTGCTATGTTGAAGCAGGTATGTCCCACAGACATGTCTTTTTCCCCTTTTGTTTGAAGTCATATTAATTATTCTCAGATGATCACCACCGACCGTCACGAGAAGGCTTTCCTCGGTGGCATTGAACGTCTCCTAGCCACTCAAGGCAAAGAACACCCCGAGTTGATGACTAGTGACAAGATTGTGAAGATTCTTCATCAGGTCTACGACAAGGATCTAGTTAGCGAGGAGACCATCCAGAACTGGGGAACCAAAGCCAGCAAGAAGTATGTCGACCTCGCTACTTCGAAGAAGATTCGTCGTGCGGCCGAGCCCTTCCTCAAGTGGTTGGAAGAGGCCGAGGAAGATTCGGATGATGAGTAAACAATTAATCTCAAGTACACGAGTTTATGCTCGCCATGGTTATGGTTGAGTCTCCTTGAGTAATTCTGGTTTAACTTTGCTTTCAATTCTTCGCGCTTATTTTCACTCCTTTAACGCTTGAGCCTAAACAAAATGAATTGGTATGCTGGTGTCTGTCTTTTCAGCTTTCTTCCCGCACATAGGGGAGACTAAAAAGGAGCAGCCCAACAAGGCAATATCAAGATATGAGGAGGTGGTCAAAACTTATGTTCCGTTCTTTCGAAGCGGTCATTTTTAGTCTACTAGGTAGTAGTTCGTTGGTTGATATACCAATCACGGCATCAATTCCACTCACATTCATTATTGAGAAATCCTATCTCCGAGAACAACACGTACTAAGCAAACAAGGCAGCGTAATATGTGAATTCTTAGTAGAGGCAAAGTAGTCCGTCCCCCTTTACCGAGGTATGTACTGTAACACGTCATGGATGAGAACGACGCCCGTGAAAATGAGTAGGTAGGTAAGTACTGAGCTACCTTTGCAACTCAACTCAACTTGACTCAATCACAATAGTACATACTTACCTAATAATACGCAAGTAGCAGGCAGTTTTTCTATGGAATCTTTCCCAATCCGTGTGAGCACTTACATAGGTGCTAAAAGTTATGTTGGCGCGGAACGTTTGGGGCATGATGGTGTGTATTGGATGACGTTGGCACAAAGGTAGTAACCTAGGTTAGTTAGTTAATGCTTGTGAGGATTCAAGACGAGTGAAGGGTTTTAAGTTTATAGTGAAAAAAGAAATTATAAAATAAAAAAAGACCAGTTTGATGTATAGCGAACAGCCGCATATTATGTATTTTGCGTGTTGCATTTGTTATCAAGTATGTAGGTACCTATGACAGCAAAATACTCTGTCTGGTGTGCTAAAAACAGGCCGTAGACCATTCCTAACTCTCTACCTATGCGTGCTATTTACATAAGTATTTATACCAGGGGGCCAAACTCGTGTTCCTAGTAAATACATATCGCAAACTGTGGCGTTCCTAGCAAAAAAGGGGGGAGAGGGAGACGGGTGTCTGTCTCCTCCATTCAGCTAATTCGTAGGCTCGTTTCTCTAGGCATCTTGTCGAAGATCGTAGAGGAGGAGGACGATAGCGATATCGATGGGTAGCGAAGGTAGGTATGCGTGATGGTTATTATATCTTCAGAAGTCTTTCCTTTTCTTTCTTTGTTTCTTTTTGTTTCTTCTCTTTTTTTTTCTGGATATTTTTTTATTTTTATTTTTTTCGGGGCTCGAGGAAAAGGCCTGAAGCGTTAGGGTTATGATCTAAAGCGGGAGAGTGAATCATACCAGCTCTACCAATAAGATTGGTTTCTCTCTTTCTTTTCACTGCCCTGGGCGCTGCCGTTCTGCTCGTTATCAAAGACGCCACCGGATGTCTGAGCTGCAGCGGGGTCATGCCAACTGGGACCACCACCTTGAGTGTTAGTATCACCTTGACCACTGTTTCCACCATTGTTATCAGTGACAGAGGGTGCTTTCCCTGTGGAGCCATGGTTGGAGCCGATATAGTGGCCTCCGACGTTGTCTGGGCTGGGGCGTGTAGATCCCAGGGGAAAAGAGTGTAGTGACACTGGTGGGCTGACCCAGCCGCCGGGAAGAGAACGTTTCGATGCTGCACTGTCTCGTGGGGAGTCATGTTGAGATCGCTTGTCGTTCTTGTCGTCACTGTCGTTGGCCTTTCCTTTACCCTTCTGGTTGCCCTTCCCATTACCACCGCTGCCATCATTGGTACCGTCATAAACGTTGTTAGCACTGGCAGCACCCCCATTCCGCTCAGAAGTAGCATCATTTTCCCCATCCCAACCTGTACTAGTCATTTGGTTCCAATCAATCTTGTCACCCGCATTCCATTCCGCAAACCCACCTTGATCCCAATCTACAGCGGCATTAACCCAGCCTGTATTTTCGGCACGACCCCCGCTCCCCCCATCCCCATTGCTCCCAGAAAAGGGGTTTTTGTTGTCACCTGTCCAAGTATCCTTGCTGGGGATGTGGCTGTGTGTCCCATGCCCGTTCCAACTGCTAGTTTCGAACTTATCCTGCAGCACGGGGCTGGGCTCCTTGCTTCCATGTTTATTTTTATGTCCTTGGTGAGCCTTTTCATCAGCTGTTTTTTTGTGGTCGGTGGATCCCTGTTTGCTGTCACCACTGCTACCATTTTTAGGTTCATGAGACCGCGAAATCTTTTGTCGTCCACGGGCACTCTGAGTGTCCGAGGGCTCCCTTCCAACCCCATCGTCACTCTGACTCTTCTTAGGACTATCCTCCTCGATGGTGGGAATAACATTGGATTGGCCGCCCCTATCACTGTGATTAGGTCTCGGTTTGGCATGTTTATTCTGGCTAGAGCCTGCCGCAGAGTCTGTAGCAGGTGGCTGCTCTGGTGGATTTCCCACAGTCATCTTTCCGTCTCCTTGATACCATGGGTGTCCTTGGCCTTGGGGCGCATTATGAGCTGTAGTCGGAGGTATATTGGGAGGTGGCCCTTGGAAAGGTGGAGTAGGTTGTCCGTACGGAGGATGTCCGTAAGGAACGTGTCCGTAAGGAGGTTGTCCGTAAGGAGGTTGTACATACGGAGGTTGTACATACGGAGGTTGTATGTAGGGAGGCTGCCCGAACCCAGGTGGAGGATGTACATACGGAGGCTGCCCGTAACCAGGTTGCCCGTAGGAAGGTTGTACATACGGAGGCTGCCCGTAACCAGGTTGTCCATATGGGGTCTGGCTATAAGCAGGGTAAAATCCATTGTGGCACGGATTTTGTGCGGGATGCGTTATGCCGATAGGCAAGTTCTGGGTGCAATGAATGCCAGGAGAGTGTGATGTGCCATGTGGATTGCCGTAGCTAGGGCCGTGATATACGCGCATAACTCCGTTCACGTTGTCGTAGAAAGCGTTAGGACGAGGATGAGGAGGTATCTCAACAGCGTGCTCTACGTGTAGCACACGAGTATCAGCTGGCAAATGCGAGTGTCCTTGGCCATTTGTATGTGGCTTAGTTGCTTGAGCGTGCGGTGATTGCGTCTTAGCTTTGGTCCGTTTTTTCGTTTTTACTTCCTGCTTGGGTTCACTTATGGCTTCTTTATGGTCGGTCGACTCATCACTAGAAGGTGTGCTTTTCTCCGCTGGCTTCGCATCATTGCTGTCCTGCTTCGTATTCTCCTTTGCTGTATCCTGGGGGGACTCGGGCTTCGCCTCATCTTTCTGGTTTTCCTGGTTCTCCTGTTTTCCTTGGCCCCCCTGCTCACTTTTCTTGCCCTGATTATTCTGCTCATTCTCTTGTTTCGACTTCTTGCTATGTGCCTTTTGTTTCTTGGGCTGATGCTGCTTGGACTGGTCGCCTTGCTTATTCTGATTGCTCTTATTATTTGTCCCTTTATTCGAAATTGCCTTTTCGGATTCAGCTTCGGTAGTCTCTGCCTCGGTCGTCTCTACCGCGTCACTTGTCTCGGTAGCTTCACTTGTATCTGTCGCATCACTCGTTTCCACTGCTTCATTTGTATCGGCCTTTCCCGAAGTTTCAACGTCGGTGTCCGTCTCGGTAGCGTTAGTAGTTTCACTCTCAGTATCCGACTTCTCCTTTCCTTTCTTAGACTTGTGCTTGGCATTGTGCTTGGCTACCTTGTGGGCCTTCTTCGCCCCATGCTTGGGATGTGCAATTATAGTTTCGCTGTCTTGACTATCATCTGCAGATGATTCGGATTTCTGCTTTTTACGTTTCTCCTTTAATTGCTTTTCCTTCTTTGATCTCGTTCGTGCTGCAACGCACTTAGTACATTGACAGTTCTGCTCGAGCTCTTCATCAGTAGTGACTTCATCGTCACTGCTTTCCGTTTCTTCGTCCGTGCTGACTTCGGTATCTAATTGGTGTGTATTTCGAATAGGCGTCTTCTTAAGTGCCGATTTAGGAGGATCACCCGAGAATCGAATAGGCGTCTTCTTAAATGCCGGCTGAGGAGTATCATCCGAGAATCGAACCTTCTTGCCTCGATTCTTGACTTGGATTGGCGTAGCTTTCCCAGTTCTCGGATAGGTAACTTTCAAAGCATCAGATCCGGACTCATCGTCGGTCTCAAGCTCTATAGAGAAGACGGGGCGAGGCTTCCTAGGCGGAGGAAGTCTGCGGCGGCTTATGTTTTGGCCTATCATCCACTCGTGGAACGAATGGGGCGGCATAGTGTCGAGCCTATTTGGAATGTCGTACCCAGGTGATCTCAAATACAACCAACAGCGTGCGAGAGGTCGTCTTTGTTTTGTACCCGGAATGGGCAATGATTAGAGGAGAGGTACCTAGTATGATGATGACAGTTACTCGGCGTCATGAATTATGGAGCGAGTTTGCAGTCTGATGATAATAAATGAATGATTTAGGAAATCTTAGGGGCCTATGTGTAGTATAGGGATAAGAAGGGGATTGGATGTTGATGGTAGCTGAAGAAGAAAGTGGTTGCAGAAAAGCAAGATGTTGTAAGACTGGAGCGTTACCAAGCAAGTAGGTACTTAGTAGGAGAGCCTTGTTGATGTTAGGTATTGGGATTGAAAAGAGTAAGTAAGGTACATTGCAAATTAGAATTAAAATAGAAGAAAATGAAAAGGAATACAAGGAGCCTGAGGAACCATAGGAACCTAAGGCATCTAAGGTTCGAATGTGACCAAAACAGACTCCCAGTGACCCATAGCCTGTGACTCCTTCCCTATTGCTACAGTGCAAAATGTGCAATATGCTCAATATGCTCAATATGCGCAATATAATACATATCCACGGCAACCACGAGGGTGAGTTATACAGAATTTACTGTGTACTATGTACCTAGTAGTAACAGCTCGAGTATACCTAGTAGTCCCTAGTAGTCTGGTGCCTATGTATGTAGTAGTAGTCCCTCATGCCTATTCTCATGTTATTAAGTACTAACTACTATTTCATTTGGAAAATACCTTGTATTTTCAACTACAGCTTTGACTTTTCATCTCTTTCCATCTCGTTCCATCTTTTGTTGATGTTGATATTCTGCCAGTATACCCAAGCTCCCGCCGCAACGCCTACCGGGGGAAATAGAAGACATACCCAGTTCCACCACGGAGGGCTACCTTTCCTAATATCTGCGAGCGCAGCCTCGATTTTGGCTTCCAGCTCTTCCTTGGAACCATCGTTCCACACGACCACTCCCTTCCCCTTGCCCCTTGCCTCACATCTCTTCGCCTTCAACCTCACGTCCGTCTGGCTCAGGACGCGATTCTGCGCATCCTCTCGGCTCAAGTGAGAATCGCGCTTCATAAGTCTTTGCATTTGCACTTCGGGGTCTTTGACAGCTACGACCATCACCACGCCGGAGAGCCTATCCCAACCACTTTCGAAGAGTAGTGGGACATCCAGGACGACGGCCCAATGTCCCTTTAGATAGTTCTGCATGATCGTCTTGTAGACCCCCTTTCTCACGCGAGGGTGCACAATGCCATTGAGGACATTTCGGTCTTTCTTGCGTTCTTCGTTGTTGCCGAACACACGTTTGCCTAAGGCTGGTCTGTTCAGTGGTCGGCCTTTACCGTCTGGGCCATCGACTGGCATTGAGTCACTGGCTGGCACAAGCAAGTTTGGCGTGGTAGGGCCGAAGTACTTCAAGATGGCATTGTAACCACTGGTTCCTGGCTCGACGACTTTGCGAGCAAGGATATCGGCATCGATAATTGGTAGAGAGTGGGGGGGTGCGGCAAGCAGGGAAGAGACGGTAGACTTTCCTGTGGCTATGGAACCTGTCAAGCCTATAAGCAGCATGGTTGATGATTGAGTATATGTATACGAGAGAGTTCTTGATAGGTTTTAATAGGTCAGAAAGTTAAAAAGTAAGATATATGTACACTATGTACATAATAGTGGATGTCACTTCAAGGTTCTTCAAACAAGAAGTCACGATTGGAGTCGATTGGAGTCGATTGGAGTCGTTCGATGTTGTCTTAATACAGTTTGGCAGGGGTGACGCAGGATTAGCCGCATTCCGTGTTATCGATGGGCTTATCTACCTGGGAAGTGCCTCAGATATCATGCTTCATTGGTTCTAGCGTGATAGATAGGAGAATATATTAAACGCGTTCAGGTTTAGTTCAGGGAATAATGCAAGGCGCCTGCAAGTACATGTTTAGATTGCGGGGGAGGGGTAATCAAATCAATCTCTTAACAAGTGAGGGGCATTTTGTGCTCTTTTTTTTTTTTTTTTTTTTTTTTCTGCTTCTATTTTGCTCATTTAATTAAGTTTATCATTGAAAAAAAATCCCTAATTGATAGAATTTATTCTTTGTAGCATCACCAATACCAATCTTCACCTGGCTCACCAATTTACTTGATTGATCCCTTGGCCTTTTATACCTTTTCGCCATGGGGATCAAATATCCACTCCGTATTCTTCTCATTGGCAATGGCGGAAGAGAACATGCCATTGCCTGGAAACTAAGCCAGTCGCTCTTGGTAGAGTCGATTATAGCAGTTCCGGGAAATGGAGGCACGGCAACATGCCCCAAAGTCACCAACGATGCCTCAGTATCTGCAGAAGACCTCCCAGCTATGCTTGAATTGGCCAAAAGAAACAATATCAACTATGTCATACCTGGTCCCGAAGCTCCTCTTGTCGCAGGTGCCGTCGATTTCTTTGAAGATGCGGGCATCAAAAGCTTCGGCCCTTCCATGAGAGCAGCCCAGATGGAGGGTAGCAAAACATTCTCCAAAGATTTCATGAAGAAGCACAATATCCCTACAGCCGCTTACGAAAACTTCTCCGACTACGAAAAAGCCAAGGAATACCTCGATCGAGTGCAACACAAGGTAGTCATTAAGGCGAGTGGGCTTGCAGCTGGCAAAGGTGTGATCATACCCACATCTAAAGAGGAAGCGCAAAAGGCTCTCAAAGATATCATGCAAGAAAGGGAATTTGGATCTGCTGGAGACGAGGTTGTGATCGAGGAGTTTCTGACCGGTGACGAATTGAGTATACTGACTTTCAGCGACGGATACACGATAAAGTCGCTACCTCCTGCACAGGACCACAAGAGAATAGGTGAAGGTGACACCGGACTAAACACGGGAGGTATGGGGTGCTATGCGCCGACAAACATTGCTACCCCAGATCTCGTGGCGCAAATCGATCGCGATATTATCCAGCCGACCATCGACGGTATGCGAAAGGATGAAATGCCATTCGTTGGTATTCTTTTTACTGGACTCATGATTACTTTGACTGGCCCTAAGGTCCTTGAGTACAACGTTCGATTTGGCGACCCAGAGACCCAGACAGTCCTGCCCTTATTATCACAGGACACGGATTTGGCCGAAATCATGGTAGCATGTTCACAACATTATCTAGACAGTGTCTTGATGAAGATTGAACCTAAATACAGCGCAACTGTCGTTGTCGCCGCTGGGGGCTATCCCGAGTCCTACGCCAAGGGCGACGTGATGACTGTGCAAACCCCTCCAGAGGGCATTAACATATTTCACGCCGGCACCAAGCTTGCTAACGGCAAACTACAAACGGCAGGCGGCCGAGTCATAGCTGCCAGTGCTACAGCCGGAGAGAGTCTTCGTGCCGCCGTGGACAAGGCTTACGAAGGTGTCAAACTCATCCAATTCAACAAAATGTACTATCGCAGGGATATTGCACACCGTGCCTTCAAACCAACGGCGGATACCAAAGAAGCTCTCACATACGCAGAAGCAGGTGTAAGCATAGACGCTGGAAACCAGCTTGTTGAGCGGATACGAACTGCTGTTCGATCGACGAAGCGAGCCGGCGCCGATGCAGAAATCGGCGGGTTTGGAGGAGAGGTCGACCTGTCTAAAGCTGGCTTTTCGAGTGACGCACCTATCATGGTCGGTGCTATCGATGGCGTCGGTACCAAACTCATGATCGCGCAGGCGACGCGGAACCATACCACTGTAGGAATCGACCTCGTGGCCATGAACGTCAACGACCTTGTAGTCCAAGGCGCGGAGCCCGTCATGTTCCTAGACTATTTCGGATGTAGTAAGCTGGATCCTGAGGTGGCTGCCGTCTTCGTCGAGAGCGTCGCTGCTGGTTGCCGGGACGCTGGATGCGCACTGGTTGGTGGCGAGACTGCTGAGATGCCCGGCATGTACAAGGAAGATGACTACGATGCGGCCGGTGCCGCAATTGGTGTCATGCGCGCAGCGAACCGGCTTCCGCGCCACGACGCCATGGCCGAGGGCGATGTACTGCTAGGCCTTGCTTCCTCCGGTGTACATTCTAATGGATTCTCCCTCGTCCGCCGCATCATCGCGCGAGAAAAACTAAACTACACTGACCTTGCCCCTTGGGACTCTTCCTCCCCGCAAAAGAATGTCGGCGAGGCCCTCCTAACGCCCACCCGCATCTACGTGAAATCCGTCTTAGCCGCCCTGCCGCACCTGAAAGGTCTCGCACATATCACGGGCGGCGGACTAACCGAGAACGTACCCCGCATGCTCCCCAAGCATCTTGGTGCTGAGATCGATGTCAGCGCCTGGACACTACCGCCCGTATTCCGCTGGCTCAAGACCGCTGGCAACGTCGAGGCCTCCGAGATGGCGCGCACCTTCAACACCGGTGTCGGCATGGTCGCCGTCGTGAGCCCCGCGGACGCGGACGCAGTTACGCGACAGCTGCAGGATGCTGGGGAGACGGTGTACACTATCGGCAAGTTGACGGCGAGGAAGGATGGACAAACGGGTTGTGTGTTAAAGAACTTGGAATCATGGAGTTAAAAAAAAAGGGGCGGAGGGGGGTAAAAGGTTATAGGCTAAAAGAAAAAGAAGGGGGGCTGGTGGACTTTTCTATTCAAGCTCAAAAGGCATGTATGCATACATACATATACACACACCTTCATAGAGTAGTAGTATACAGGTAGGTAAGAGGTGAGTAGCTATCTACATGGCCATCTATCTACATTTATCTACATCTACATCTGCCTGACTGCCTAACCTAGGTACTTGGGGCAGGCAAATATCGCACACATTGGGGAGAGAAAAAAAATCCTCACTCGAGATTTTTTGATCTTTGATTTAGTCTCTATATTATCTCACCATAACTTGATATGCATAACTAGGTAGCTAGCGAACTTTGTAATCAACGATACTACATACTATAAACAGTCCATATGGGCAAGAAAGAAGTGAGGAGGTATAAATGTTTGACGCCTCATGTGTTGTAGTTGTTGTTGAAGTTGTTGTTCTTCTTAATGTCGATGTTATGTTGCTGCTGTGTGCTAAGTACAATGCCTGCGCCATAATTGACAAGGTTATGAGCGCGATGCAATCCAGATAAACGCCGTATGAGCTCCGTTGTGTATCCCAATCTAGTCCAATTTCAAAGCAAAAAAAATAAGTGGCCTACGGACAAGGTAGGGCTTCAAGCACATTGCCTATCCAAGTGGCTATATCTCGCCATCTTCCCATGCGGCATCTAGGCCATCTTTATCCTCATCTTTCTCCCATTCTTTACAGACCCCGACCCAGTTTCGCTCAACACAGTGAGACTTGGGCGGCTCTGTTACCGCAGGCCCTGGTTTGGCCGTAGGAGTGGGCATAGGAGGAGGCGAGGTGATCATGTGGGATTTCGTTTGTGGCAATGATGTTGCGGGTCTTGTCACGGTAGCCGTCTGATCTTTACAACCCCACCAACCTGGTGTTTCACACGTAGTCGTAGTAGTTGTGGTAGTAGAGGTAGACGTGGACGAGGTGGTAGTGGTAACCTCGTCCTTGCAGCCAAACCAACCGGGGGTTTTACATGTTGAGGTCGAGCTGCTCGTTGTTGTAGTAGTTATTCCAGTGGTAGTAGTCTCGTCCAAGCAGCCCCACCTATAAGTTCTATGTTAGCTTAACTGATTTTATGATAGGGGTATGAGAGAATGCTTACCATCCAGGAGTCTGGCAAGTAGCTGTTCGAGTACGTGTCTTGGTGGTTGTGGAACTGCTTGAGGTCGTGGTGCTATCTGTATTATTACTCTCGTACATCTTCCAATTCGCGCAATCCCTACAGTCCGGTGTAAATCTGCATGCAGGAACGTCGTCGTACTTTCGAATAACATCATTGATCACGGATCGAATTTTGTGGGTCCCGATACCAACTCGCCAGCCGTAGTCTCCAACCGTGTCATAAACACACTCAAAACCTGTATGACATGCGGTTTCCAAAGCGTAGCCGGCAAAAGAGCACGAGGCTGTTGCACCGTTGCATGTCCCTATGTAAATAGGATCGGCCGTGTGACCGAAGTGGAACGATCCAGTGTATTCGCGGGTTTGGGGAAACTCCGGGTCTGCGTGGGGAGGTACTGGTAAACCCAGCCTCCCGGCTGCCAAAGCCTCCGGGACAGCTTCGAAAGTTACGACGGGGAGTCCATACGTTAAGCCGAGGAGTGAACTAACAGCTCCGCCTAGCGAGTGCCCAGCAACCCAGATATTTGACTCTGGATAAAGCTCCGTAACATTTGCGTAAAGCTCTCTAGCTGCCTGGTAATATCGACTTTCCTCGTGCAGGGCCTTACGCACGCAGGTATTGTTGCAGTTGTAGGTGCTGGTTGCACAGTCGCAGACTTGATGCCAGGACCATTGGCCTTGCTGAGCGCAACAGCAACTAAAGAAGAGGTTGTCATTGATCTTATCATTGGTAGTCGTGCCTTCGCCATCGAAAACAGCCGGAGAAGTTCCCTTGAGCCCAATGATGATGGTCGAGTTGGTTTGGTCCCCCCAAATATGGCCTCTCAGTCCATCAGTTTCCCAGCCAAAATCGGCGGACCGGTTAAAGGGTACTCCTACTTCTTCCCAGTCTGGCATGCCTGGCTTCTCCACGTAGGCATTAGACGCCACCAGAGCCATGGTCAAAACAGTGTTTTTATCAGTCACATCAGGGCCAGGGACATCATCGATAGTCCACGCTGATGGGCTGCTCGCGAAAACAAAACCACTTTGGCGAGCCTCGGCAACTAACGGATCTACGGTACTCGGTCGACGGTCAAGGAGTCGCTCAATCTTCCGAGGCTGGCTCTTTGCCTTCAGGGGCAATATCCGCTCCGCATCGTGCCCATCTTCACTAGCCAGCCATACTTCGGCTTCTGGTTCAAGTATGTCTTTCCTTCGATGAAGGCCAGGGTGTCGATGAGTGCCGTGATGGAAGATATGACGTAAGGTAAAGGTATGGTCGGCTGGTTGGGGTGGTTCGGGGATTAAAGGCGTTAATACCGGAGAGTTTGGGAGGATAGCTCCCGAGTTAGGAAGGATGGCGGCGGCGGGGGGGTAGGATATGGCAAGGAAAGATAACAGGATTCGAGCTGTCACTCTGCCGGCAGAGTTGCAGATTGAGCCCTGCCGTTTCCGTCTGGAAGCCATGGCCACACCTTAAACAGAAAGCTAATTAGGGCGGTAGGGAAAAGAAGGAAAAGGGTTCGGAAGGATAAACAAGATTGCAAAGAGATGAAAATAAGGAGAAAAGCATCGATAGGAGGTAAGGTGCAACGTTGTTGTTGTTATTATTGTTGAGTGATGGGTAAGTAATTAATGGAAAGTATGTAAGGTATGTAAGGTAAGGCAAGGTAATGAATGTATGGATAGATGGATAGATGGATAGATGGTTAGTGGCTATTGGGTGACTGGTCACGCACCTTGAAATCCCCACACGCACTTGGGACTTGGGGAGTTAAGCTTGAGTTATCGCGTGGACGGTGGCGCTGAGCTGCCTTATCTTCTGCCTTCTGCCTTACTACATAATACATAATACAAAGTACTCTAACCTAACCTAGATATGTATGACAACCTTGAACTTTTGGGTTTAAGCTAGTCTGGCTACTGATCCCTGACCCAACCATTGAGGTCGGAAGCGGTAAGTGAATTGGAAATTTGGAATCTAATACTAATTATGTAGGTAGTTATTGTACCTTACATAATAAGGACCCTAATACATAGTATACACCTATACATTTGATGTTCTTCATTCTATCTATCTATCTCGTGGCTATAGTGATTTGCATTGATGTTGACAACGTACTCTTAAGCTATAATTACATACTTACTACAAGGGAAGTTTCATACTTGCATAACGTTGCTATCGATGGATGTATGTAATATCAGTACTTTGCTAGTGGGTATAGACATAAGACAGGGCATGTGAACTATGCATAGTTACATGTGTATAAATATGCAAGTCAGCTGTCAATTTATCAGGTGCTCATAGAGGTATGTATTGTACAACCTAGGTAACTAACTTAAAGTAAAGTAACCATGTACATAGTTATCTCCATGCTCATTGATGTTACGTATTCAACTGTCCATGTCTAATTAATAACTACCTTAAAATATCTATCACGGAGATAATGTATGTATGCATAGTATATACATATAAGATGTAGACATAATACTACTATTGTAATTTGAAAAATTAGCCTCATCTATGGGATGAAATAGATACAACAACATTGAACATTGAAACGTCGCATCTATGATGTAGTACATAGCTAGGTACTATGTGTATATGTAGGTCAATACATATTACATAAGACTCTGGAATTACATACCTATGTAGTTCGCATTCTAGTGCAGTCCTACCCCTGATGCAAGGCTAAAGTCTTGCACATAAGCTACAGGCCCGGCTGCTACACTAGCAGCCTGTAGCAGGTAGGTAACTAATATGTAGGTACCTAGGTTAGAATGGTAACCGTTATCGCGTGTGGAGTCCGACTTTCGTCACCTTAACTTTAATGCTTGACTTAATACTTTACCTTTACTTCTAACACTCTAACACTACAAAGTACTAAACCTAGGTTAGCGTAGTTAAGCCTAACGTCGTAACATTGAAAGCTCCAAGCATTCAATACATTTCACACTCTGTCTACATCGAGTAGTTGTTGACCAATATTCTTTTTACCTTTCCCTACTTAGTATACCAGGAAATATTGCACCTTCATATTGAGAATATTGTCCTGTCTAGCCTTGATGGCATCTGTTTTGTTTAACAGCATCCCATCGTTCCAGAGGAGAGAAATATCATACCATCTCGGTAGCTGGACGTATACCTTGAACCGCCTCGTCTCCTTGCCAAATTGTGGAGGTACTATGTTCTTGTAACAAGTTTCATATCTATGCCTATCACTTCATCTGTCTATTATATTATGCTTCTCTTGCGTTATACTCTTAGCACTTAAATTCCATTCTAAGCTCGACTTTGAATCTCTAAAACTCTTACTCTATATCATAGAGCTACCTGAACTAACATACACCTCCCCGTGTAGCACCTGGCATCTCCCCGCGTCCTCATGGCATCCACGTCTCCTTCTAAGGGCTCCGAGCCTACGCCTGGGTCGCCCACGACTTCTAACACCTCGCCTAACCCCCAAACTCCAGACTCCAACAAACCCGAAGCTCCACTCCACAGCGCAAGCACAGCAGGTAATGGTGCCGCCCCGCAGGTAACCATCATACAGGAAACGCCCCCAGAGAAACAGCAAAAAGAGACACCCGATACGTTCGAGTCGGAGGCTGTCGACGATGTAGTTGAAGCACCAAGAGCGTCGGTGGACATGGATGAGATACCCATCGAGTTGGTTAGCAAAACGGACAAGTTGAGTGGTAACAACCTTACTGTCCGAGGCGAGCACGACTAACACATACACTCCCAGCTTCATCGACTCGCTTTCAGCCAAGGTCCATCCGACACCCCCTAATATCGACAATCTTTCTACCCTATTCCAAGATTTCTACCATGTAGCTGCCTCCCATATCCGGACGCATATAGACAGTCTTGCTACCCGACAGACACGGGAGTCCTTACCAGCTTCCTCGAGTTATTCAAGAGCCTCGGCAGCTAGCCTACTGAGATCCAAGGCGGCTTCTTTTAGTGGCAAGGACAAGGCAAAAGGAACACCAACTAAGGAGGAACAGCAAATGCTCACAGCGCAGGAATTTGCCGAAAGAAAGCGGGCTAGAAAAGCACTGGAGCAAAAGAGAGTACTGCTCGAGGAAGCTATTGAGAGGCGGCTTTGCGAAGGCATTTATAATCGCATATATCGTCATAGGACTACTCAAGACGAAGCACAAGATGATAGACTTCGATCGAAAACGGCTGCCCTATCTCTTGTGGGTATTGGGCCCGGAGACTTGGGGGTAGACCTCGGAGTTCCTTCAGAGGATACTCCCGAGTCTCTGGAGGCGAAGCAGGCAGAGATTTGCCAGTATCTGGAACAAGCCCGGAAAGAGCTTATCCTGATGAATGAGAAGCGGTATCCACTAGGCAAACTCCATCATCTCAAGGCCGCTCACAAGAGCATTGTTGACACGTTATCCCATTTTCACCCTTCCTCGTCAGCTGACGAAATCATGCCGATGCTCATATACACATTGATAACTATGCCGCCCGAGAAGCTCAATGTGATAAGCGACTTGAATTTTATACAGAGATTTCGATGGGAAGAAAAGCTGGAAGGAGAGGCCGCATATTGTTTGACGAACCTCGAAGCAGCAATTACCTTCCTACAAACGGTAGATCTTGCCAGTCTCAGGGCGGATGAAGCAATATCAGGGCCCGTGAAATCTGAGAGCCGGCCGGAAGCAGTGAGATCAGAAACCTTTCCACCTGCATATACCGCAGGCTTATCTGCGGAGGCCTTGAATCCTACCGCCATGGAGACTGAAACTACTCAGAGCACCAAGCATTTGTCATCATCCGCGAGCTTACGAGCTGCTGTTCAGCACCGCAGGCTCAGCGATCTTATTCAAACCCCGGCCCTAGCTCTTGGGAATGCAAGTGACTCGTTGTTTAATACTGCTGACCAAAGTTTTAAAACGATTGGAACTAGTTTAGGTGATAGTTACAAGTTCTTGCTCGGTAAACTTCGAGATAGTTCTGCCAGTGGGCGAGAACTTGTAGTCCCGCGGACACTGGACGAAGCCCGAAAACTGATAGGCACACCACCGCTGGAGGATGATGCCTCTGCTGACGGCAGTAGCTCGGCTCCAAAAACTGAAGATACCGAACGGACTCCAGTAGGAAAGGATGACAGAATACTATCCCTAGTAGGTGGTATGAAGGCATCCAGAGACCGAAGTGTAGACAGCACACAAAGTGCGAGGAGCGCAAGTAGTTTGAAAAGAATAGCCGAAGAGAATAAGGATAGGTCAGCTAACACAGCCACGCCCCCGTTGCCTACATCTTCCAATCCGGCCTTGGTTGAGTCGATGCGGAATCTTGGTAATTCCTTGAACCCTATGAATCGCTTCTCCGGGATGAGCATGATGCGTGGCTTTGGGCGTACGGCCACTCTTCCGACCCCGCCGCCGGCAAAGGATGCTGTACCTAAGGCGGCAGATGGCGGAGACTTGGCTACGGTAAGAACATTATGATACGCGATCATGTCAAGCACACAATCTTGCTAATCCGCGCATGTAGGCATTTCCAGATATTGCAGCGGCGTTGCCACCAAAAGACACCCCTAAGATTGACCCACCCAAAAAGAAATTCATGGAGCTTCAGAACCCCACAGATCTAAGGATCGGTGACGTCTTGGAGCTGCTACGCGACTATCGCCGCCTTGCAGGAGCTCTCAAGGACATGGACGCTTTCAAGGAATGAGCTCCTACTTAGATTCATATTTTTTCATTTTGCTATTTGTTGTGGGCTATCACTAGAAGATTTGCATAACTCCCTCGGCTCATGGGATGTATTAGCGGCGTATCTTGCATGGCTTGGAGTTTATAGCAAGACTCGGTAACCGGCGCGAGAGCTGTCCAGATAGAAGAAACGCAGAGTCTGTGAATTTAGGGGGGGGCATGAAAGAGGCAGTAAATGATTTGTTTTCTTTTTCTTTTTTAAAAAAACATAGAAAACAACCCCTTTAAATTCATTAGCATGGCCTTAAACTGGGATAGATAGATAGGTGTCTGAAACTACCTACCTAAGCAGACACATCATTTTATTTTTATAGATCAAAATAGGGTGGAGGAGGAGAATATTATATGGACAAAGACATCGGATTTGTTAAGAGCCAAATTCTTCTTGGAAACAAGACATATAGGTACCTAGTCTAAGTAGGTAGGTTAGTTACTAGGTAGGTAGATAGCTATGTAGCAAACAAACAAGCAAGCAAGCAGAGCAAGTATGCAAGCAGTCAGTCAGTCAGTCAGTCAGTCAGTCAGTCCATATCTCTCTCCATTCACTCTCTGTCTCTCTCAAACAGGGGGGGGGGAGGGAATAAACCAAACACCCCCCTTTTCCCCACCCTCATACATGATATTACTTATCAATCAGTCCCCTGGGCCTCTCATGCTCACTTTACTCTCCTCTCCAGTCGCCAGCCACAAGCTCTAGGTAGGTAGGTAGAATGCTTGATGGCTTATTTTCTTCCTTTGTTTCAATTTCCTTTCCCCCCCTTATGGGATAGGTTCTCCTTATAAGGTTATATGTGGGTGTGGGTGCAGGCGTAGGTAGGTAGGTATTGTAGCAAGTCAGGATTTTTTTTTTTGGAATTGTTTGGTTTCATCACCTGCAAGAAGGTACGTACATATATACATATATATATTCCTCGTTCTTCAATATTTTTGACTTGGATTGGATTGGCTTGGCTTGGCTTGACTTGACTTGGGAGGGGGGGCTTTTTTTTGTTTTTGTTGTTTTCTTTTTACACCTAGTCCATGCCTGCTATGTACCTACATAGGATAGTATGTAGGGTACCTACTACTACTACCTTGCCTACTACTCCTGCCTGCCTGCCCGACCTAGTACATACCTATTACCTATACCTAAGTAATCCATGCCTGTACACATAACCCTCCCCTTTCACACTCCACGAGCCTGTCTCCAGCATCAGCCTGATTAAAAAAAAAAGGGAAAAAGGAATAGGGCGGGTTTAGAAAAGGTGTAGGTGCAACATTCTCGAGCCCGTGCGTGTTGTCTGCCCCTGACCGCCCGCCTCAAACTTAGGTACTTGAAGGGAGATAAAATAGAAAAAGAGAAAAGAAGAGGAAGCTAAAGTTTCAGCGAATGAGAGACCGAGGGAGAAAAAGGGGGGAAAGAGGTTTGTGCGAGAGGTCAGTGATTTCCGTTAGCCTTCTTGGTAGGGCTTACGCGGCCGTTCGTTATATCTTGAAGCGGGCCCCCTGAAGCACTACTGCTGCCTCTGCTTCCCGGCTTGCTGCTTTGCTGCGGGCCGGAGATCATCTTTTCCATGAAGCTGATGTAATCGAATTGGGGAACGCCGCGGTCCTGGGCCATGTCGGGACCATTGTGAGGGGGCACGATCTCACAGAGCTTTTCGATTACCTCGTCGGGCACAAGTGAGTGACGGAGATCCATCTCGGTGACGTAAGGTTTGCCGTCAGCGACCTCACGGAAGGACTGGAAGACCTGCTCGGCTGTATTTTGATCTTCTGTCACGTCTACCATGAATCGAATGAACTGCTCAAAGGTAACGCGGTCACGGCCATGAGATGTCTCGAGGAAATAGTCGTGCATCTCGTCCTCGCTAAACACCAATCCTAGACTTGCAAGCGCGGCCGAGAATTCGAGCTCCGACAGCGAGTTTGTGTCGTCACGATCGAAATGGCGGAACACGGATTCGAACTCCTCGAGCTGAATAGGCGTCAAGTTCGTCATGCTCCGTGCCACCATTTGATTCTCGAGGAACGCTAGCTTCTTCTGAACGGACGACTTCACAAGACCTAACTCGTATTGTAGCTCGTCGTAGGTGTATGTCGTAAAGTCATTCTCTTCGATGTTGGCCTCCTGGCACTTTTCATCGACGGCCGCGATCTTGTCCAGGTAAGCATCCAGTGGTGGTAGGTTGTCGCTCAGCTTCCGCACGTGCAGCAGCTGGTCTTCTACGTCGCCCTCGAGACCCGAGATAGCGATTTGCATGGTGTTAAGAGCCAGGGCAAAGTCGTTCGCCTTGTCGGCGAATGACTTACGAAGGGCATTCTTGATACTACACTGACCGTCAGTGGAACTTGTTTCTCACGGAGGGCTTGAGGCTACGTCAACTTACTCTCTGATGGTCTCGTTAATCAGCTGGGCACGAATCATCTCAGACTCTGTCAACCTCGCCCATTCTCTATCCGTAGTTTCCAAGGATAGCTCCGGTGGCGGTTCATAGACTCTAAGTCGGTACGTTCCCAACTTAGTCTTGATGTTTCCTAATAACGTGGCTAGATCACTTTTCTCTGCGACCCAGTCTCTTTTCTTGCCCTTCTTGTAAGATGAGAACTCAACTGCTTGCCTCTTTGCGTCGATGTACGTTCCTTCGAAAGTCGCTTGTTGCCATTGTTCCATTTGCTCCCTGATAAGTCTCAACAGCTCAGCCATCCGCCTCTCGTAGGCGCTCTGCATCTCCCATGCGCCTTGCATATTGTTAACAAACTTCTCGACTCGTCGACCAGCGTTCTCGACTTTTTCCATTTGCGAGAAGGCGTGGAACCAGTAGGCGATATAGGTCATCAAACTCCTCTCATCCGGCTTAGCAACGTCGCAAACATCCTCAACATCCAACAGCTCAGGGATCCCAATCTCCTTATGAGCGATCTCGAACGCCAATTGCATGTTTCCGCGATGATCTGATTTGTCTAATGCGTCATAGTCGATGAGATCGGGTCGGTGGATATCTAACAGCGCACAGAAAGCAAGGCCATCATTCCAGCTACTACTGAAATCTCGAACTTCGACTTCGTCATAGCATGCCGTTTTGCGTTGACACCACAGAAGCAGACCTTCTTTGGCTGTCATACCCTCTTCGTTGATGTCGCTGATGGTAAACCTCAGAATAAGGGTCCAAATAAGACCCAGGATAATCTTACGATTGCCGTCTACCACATCTTCGGCGCCGATATTTGTCATCTGGATCCCTCTCGACTTGATGTAGTCGAGAGCCGTGTTGGCATTCTCGAACTTTTGGACTCGTAGTTTCGGTTTCGCCGCATATCGTCCTAAGGATTCGCATGACAGGCATTCGAGCAGGTGTATTAGAAGGACCTTGGAGCAGAAATGGATTAGTCGTCATGAAATATAAATAGGACAGTCAGTTGGTAAGGTAAATAAACGTACAGCATCACTCAAATCAGTCACGAGGTCTTTGACTACCAAACCTCGCTGCGAAATCTTCGTGTTCATCCTAGCATTTCAACCGTGTTAGTCTTAAAGGCTCGCAATGGGGAAAAGAAAGTCTCTCGTCTCGTTATCCATAGACAATAACAGTAAATTTCTAAAGGACTGCTAGCTAACCATTTTGTAAATGTCTTTTGCTGGACGTTGATCCACTGGTGAGCCATCTTGAACAAGGTACAGCTCCCCAGCCGCTCAGGGGCAGCTTGGGTCGAGTAGAGCTAAGCAGATGCGATTGACAATAAGTGCTACTCTTGTGATCTGTTCGCCTTTAACTAGTAGAGACTTGGGTGAAGTCAAAGGCGAGATATTAGGGAAGTGGCGATGATGAACGTCAAATGATTCCAGGTCGCGATCAGTTGTATGGACTGATTATTTGGAAGCTTCCGTGACCTCGGCGTCAATGGTTGTGGTGGGACACGGCGCAGGGTTATATAGCTTGGTAGGTTACCGGGATGAGATTGGATTCGTGTCCGTATAGTTAGATGGATATGGGTTATTATTGTGGATACAAGTCGAGGCGCAATGGCAAGAATCGGAATATTATTGTTGTTGGTCGTCTTTTGTTGCAATGATTAATATTGATGTGTATAATGTAGGTAGGTAGGTAGGTAGGTAGGTAAATAGAGTACCTAACATAGTAATGTAGTATGTAGGTATTGAGTACCTAGTATGTAACATTGAATAACCTGGAAGTAATCCAGTCAAGGTACACACAATTGACACAATTGACCAATTGGTTGCCGAGGGGATCCCCTATTTCCCGCCCCGCTACTATTATACTATCGATAAGCAGATAAGCCCACAGATTACAGGGCCTAACTCCAAGCAGCGTACTACTTACTAGGGACTAGTGCTAGGGACTAGCCTTGGCAGAACCCCTGTGGCGCTGGCAGGGCTTATGGGGCCTAGATTTAGACATTTTACTGGGCAATGTCGAATCTTCCGTCTGGGTCTTCCCAAATGGAAGTTAGCCCGCACAAACCCGCCCGCCACTAGGGTCACTACGGCATAGTAGGAGCTAGCGGTTGACGCCCTCGGCTATATCGATAACGCCGGACATCAGACGGGTAGAAAACTTTGGAGGAAGTTTCAATTTAATAAAATAAAATAAAATAAGAATTTTGCATTCTTGGAACTTGGTAACCCTTTTCATCCTTCCAAAAATGGCCCACAGGGCAATACTCACTCCAATTGCGAGGCGAGTAGCCTTACCCGCCCTAAGGAAATCTTCAACTACAGCCAATGCATCCATAAATCATTTTCGGCGTGTAGTGCCAACTGCAGCTCCGAAAAGCAACCGGGCATCCGCTGCGAAATCCTCTGGCTTCACGGCCGATTCTTACCCTGAGATCATACGAGACCCTCGCTTCGCCAAGTTAACGAAGAAGCATGTCACCTATTTTAAGCAGCTTCTTGGCAAGGAGTCCGCCATCATCGATGGTGTGACTACCGACGATAAAGCAAGTGAGATTGAACCCTACAATCTTGACTGGATGCGGAAGTATAAGGGCCAATGCACCTTGGTATTAAAGCCCGGATCTACCGAAGAAGTCAGCAAGATCCTAAAGTATTGTAATGAAAACCTCTTGGCAGTTGTTCCCCAGGGTGGAAACACTGGTCTGGTTGGGGGTTCTGTACCTGTATTCGACGAGATCGTGATCAGTACTGCCCGAATGAACCAAATTCGATTCTTTGATGAATTGAGTGGTGTCTTAGTTGCGGATTCCGGTGTCATACTAGAGGCAGCCGATCAATACCTTGCTGAGAGGGGTTATATCTTCCCCTTAGATCTGGGCGCAAAAGGCTCCTGTCACATCGGTGGCAACGTCTCCACCAATGCTGGCGGGCTCCGATTACTACGCTATGGAAGTTTACATGGCACTGTCCTAGGCATCGAAGCAGTTCTTCCTGATGGCACAATTCTCGAGGACCTAAGCAGGCTACGAAAGAACAATACCGGTTATGACTTGAAGCAGCTCTTTATCGGCGCTGAAGGTACCGTGGGCATAATCACCGCCGTCTCAATTCACTGCCCACAACGATCAAAGGCTATCAACGTCGCATTTCTCGGTGTTGAGTCGTACGAAAAGCTCCAGCTGGCTTTCAGAGAAGCTAAGACGCAACTTGGCGAAATATTATCCGCTTTTGAATTAATGGATTCTCGAAGTCAGGATATATTCCATAAGGTCAAGGGGAATAAGCGTCCACTTGAGGGGGAATACCCCTTCTACTGTCTTATAGAAACAAGTGGATCAAATTCTGAGCACGACAGCGAGAAACTAGAAAAGTTCCTCGAAGACGTCATGACCAAGGAGCTCGTCACCGATGGTGTCGTGGCGCAGGACGAGACTCAACTTAGATCGCTTTGGGCTCAAAGAGAAGGCATCACAGAAACCATTGGTCATTGGGGAGGGGTATACAAGTACGATGTCTCGATTCCGATAAAGGACATGTACCAACTCGTGGACGATGTTAGAACGAGACTCGATGAGGCCGGATTGATTGGCGAAACCGACGAGTTCCCTGTTGTGGATGTCGTTGGATATGGGCATATGGGTGACTCGAACTTACATCTCAACATTGCAGTCAGGAGATACGAAAAGGTGGTAGAAAATGTGCTCGAGCCATATGTTTACGAATGGATCAGCCACAAGGATGGTAGCATCAGCGCCGAACACGGCCTAGGTCTAGCGAAGAAAAAGTACATTGGCTACAGCCGGGGTGACACTACGATAACAATGATGAAGCAGATAAAGAATCTTTATGATCCGGTATGTATCAGTTCACCTCCTCATACTCCCCTGAACCGCATATTAATCATATACACAGAAAGGAATTATGAACCCGTACAAATACATATAGACATGAATTATATACCCTACTCATATTTGGATCTGCTCCCTCCCTCAACGGAAAGATACAAAGTACATCTACCTAGTCAAGTTATGAAAAAATACCAACTCAACGTTCGATCCCAGTGTCTATCGCCCGAGTCGTAGACTCTTCGTATATTAACACTGTAGCTTTTGTACTTCATACACGACGTTATCACATAACACCTCGAGAAGGGTTGAAGGAAGATTAACTTTTCGGTGATCTCGTTCTTCTCAACATCGCTTTGGCTAGGAATCATCGGCTAAAAGGGGGAAGTAAGCCTCTTGGAATGTGAGCCGCAAGATCCATATCTTGTTATAATTCCTGAATACCCCTTCATTCCAGATTATCGCTCATACGATTTTCGATTTCTATCATGAATAACTGCCTTGAATTGCTCAGGAGGTGAAAAGGGGTCAACGATTATAACTACCTAGGATCGTCTTTGGAAAGATGAAAAAAGTTACTGGTAAAAAATATCGATAAAGCGTGTTAAATATGGATCTATAAAAGCTCTTGGGATTAGTTAGGATAATTATTTGCATGAGTTTCTAATCTTATGCCTACATTGAAGTGCATAGAGCGCTGACTTGTAGAATATCATACGAATATAGTATATACTGTATATGAGCCGCCTATCGATAAGGAAAACGGTGCCGCGGGCTTCGATAAGATAGTTAGGGATTTTCGAACAATGAATTTTATTTTATTTTATTTTTATTCTTCAACTATTTCATTTCGCAGTTAAACACAACATCGTCATCACCACCCCAAGCCGATACCAATCCCAGCACGACTCACTCTGACACGCCGTACCCTCACTCCGCGATCATAGTTATAATCGCCGCCGCATATATATCTATCATCTATACCTACCACACAAGTTTCGGCGCATAAGCACCTTAGCTTGCTTACCGAAATGGCCGACATCAACATCAACGACTTCGACCTCACCAAGCTTAGCGAGAAGGACAAGGCCGAGCTGCGCCAATTCCTGCAGAACGAGAGCCAGAAGGTCCGCGTCCAGTCTAGTGCGTCAATCCCCCCCCTTGCCCTCTTCTCTTCTCCCCTTCCCTCCGTCTAATTCCTACCTACCTACCATGACTGATGTCTTATATCTTATTGCGCTCCCAATCCCCCTCCCCTTCCACTCTCAAAAAAACGAAAGAAAATCTCAGAAGCTCAGCTAACACACTTCTTCTTCTTCTTTTCCCTAAATATAGCCGTCCATTCCTTAACAGACATGTGTTTCCGGAAGTGCGTGACCGGCACGATCCGCAGCGGAAAGCTGGACAAGAGCGAGGAGGGGTGCATGGCGAACTGCGCGGATCGCTTTATAGACGTCAGTCAGTTGACGATGAAGCATTTGCAAAACTTGCGACAAACTTAAGAGTGGGACAATTTATAAAGTACCCCGGACAATTCTATATATACCTGCATAAAATTACGGGCTGTATGATCTAGTAACGAACATTGAAGATAATGCTGGGACGAGGAGTTGTACGAATAGCTACCTGTCTTAAAGAGCTCTCGAATTTAAGGGGCTAGATGGCCATGGATCCCATCATGAAAATTACGAGAATTTAACAGTAAGGCAACAGAATCATCACTCATAGAACCGTGTCCGGGAGGCATATCAAGAAAAAAACACAATCACTTCACTTCAGCCAACTCGATTCATGTGCGTTGGGGAATCATGTCATTTTCCATTTGACCTCATGAGCCTAACCCTAGGCAACGCAACGCCGGCCTGAATGCATATTTCCGTCCTGTTCGGACTGTGCATATAATCAGCACGATCTACCCTATCCTTACTGCCAAGCCATGGCAGTATTATCGCGTAAATCCAGCAACCACAGTCGTGATTGCCCACTTAAACAAGGGCAAGCTTGGTAGCCGCAATGTCTAATGCGTCAACGTCGGCGGTTAGACGGCAGTAAGCCTTCTTGGAGCCGTTAGGTCTACAACAAATGGTCAGTAAAAGCGATTCCATTAAAATGCAACTTCATTCGCTGCAAAGGTAGGTATTTACCGGATGAGGGTGTTAATCTTGACGGTCTCAATGTCGTAAAGCTTCTTTAGCGATTGCTTAATCTGGGCCTTGTTGGACTTGGGGTCCACGATGAAAACAAGGGTGTTGTTCTCCTCAATCTTCTTCATCGCACTCTCGGTGTTGAGCGGGTGGATGATGATCTTGTGCTCATCCAGACGGGGCTCGTGGGGGAACGACTTGCGGTGGTACTTGGGAGAGCGCGAGAGTTGAAGGGTCTTGGGGCGGTGGAAAGTGGTCGAGGTGCGGACCTTGCGCTTTCTGTGCGAGTTGTCCTAGAGCAGCACATGTTAATATTTTCAAAATTCTCGACAATAATACTGAGCTGAGGTTAAAGCAACTTACACCACGGAGAGCCGCCTTAGCCGCAGCATTGGCCTGCTTTACGCCCTTCGGCGCCTTGGAGGCACCGCCTGTAGGAAAAAAACACGCATCAGCAATCGCTCTTAATTAGAACTCGCAAAATCTGCTCTGCTCGATGCGTCGGCCGATGAGGCGCGCGATGGAAGCAGCGCCCATTTCGACGAAGTGAATTATAATGGGATACTGATATGAAAATCAAGAGCTCATGATGTTGTACCTTTCTTTACTGGAGCCTTGGGACCCATTGTGGTGAACTTTTGAGAATACCGGTGTCGTGGTTGTCGTGATAGAATTTCTCAAAATTTGTGGTTGAAGACGGAAATCTGAAAATAAGTTCGACTTGACATAGTTGGAAAAGCGATTTGGTGGGTGGAGCTCGCTTAGGGTACCTGTAGTTAATTAGGCCACTAAAGATTTCTGCTGGGAAATCTTCGGGAGAATGACCTTTTTCGGATATTTGGTTAATCCGCAACTTAGATGTGCTTTATGGCCCGTGCACTTAAACCTTAATACAGTGTATCAAGTCATATTATATCTCTCACACTGTCCTTTCACCTCATCAACTCAACTCAAACGTACTTAGTCACTTGTGAAACCTTTCAAGAATAGCAGGTATTACTACCTATTGCTATCATACATCCAACTCGAGTGTGGTCCCTCATGATGAATTCAAAGAAGAGAGGTCGTGTAAAGAGCCTGACCGCCGGCCGGCCTCCAACAGCCAGAAAACCGAAGTCGATATCAAGGAAGGCCACCAAGACCTTGATCAATGCTCTCCACCTCCTAGAGAAGAAAAAGGCACAGGCTATCGCTAGAGGAGATCAAGTCGCTCAAACTACAATTGATTCTGAGATTGCTGCATTGGGAGGGATCGAAAAGTATCAGCAAGCTAGCCTGCAAGGACAGCGCATCGACCGAGGAGGAGATAGCTCCCGTGTCCTTATGGAATGGCTCAAGTCAACCGGGTTTAATCTACTCCCTTCTAAAGGGAGTGGCTTGAGAATGCTTGAGGTTGGAGCGTTGAGCACTACGAATGAATGTTCAAGTAGCGGGTTCTTTAACGTGGAGAGGATAGACTTGAACAGTCAAAGTGACGGTATTATACAGCAAGACTTCATGAAGAGACCACTACCTAAAGATGACTCTGAACGGTTCGATATCATCAGTCTCTCACTTGTCCTAAATTTCGTGCCTGATTCGGTCGGACGCGGCGCCATGCTTCTCAGGACTCTGGATTTTCTGAAGCAGTCTATCGATCACTACTCGTCTGAACTACGTGGTCTCTTTCCGAGCTTGTTCATGGTCCTCCCTGCGCCAGTAAGTTTGACTTCTGAATCTTCAAGTCCAACGAAACTATTATTGAACTCTCACTTCTCGTGATATGGACTACGATCGTTGCTAACTGATGAATATCACACACAGTGTGTTACCAATTCGAGGTACATGGATGAATCTCATCTAGAGTCCATTATGAAAGCACTAGGATACGTAAAAGCTCAAAACAAGATCACCCAGAAACTTGTATACTACCTCTGGGTGAGAGAGACTGTCATCCAACTGCCCCTTAGGACTTTCAAGAAAGCGGAACTTCGATCTGGCCCTACTAGGAATAACTTTGCTGTCGTGCTTCGTGGCTCATCGGAGTGATAGCAGAGTGACCAACCAGTTTTTAAACACACCGTTCGACATATCGGCGATGTAGTGTGCGAATTCCTCATAAATCCTAACGGATTGGCATCCTTTGTGATGGTGGGTATCATCACTGCACCGAATCAATAATAGTGCCGCCGTTTATTCCATTAATGGGGTTACAGCGTGTGCACACCAACACCAATGGCAAGTTCTACTACCTTTTATCACATATTGGTTTCCTAATTCTCTTAATGCATAACTAGCGAGGCACATTTTCTTGATAGCTCGTTTCGGTATGGAAGCTCTTCACTGCCCATCGAGATCGCCAGTGGGCCAGCTCTACCCCGCAGCCTTTCTTATGTGTATCCGATAGGTCAAGATCGAAAGCCCGCAACCAACGACGTCTCATGTTCATGGTCAGACGACGTATCCCTTCATTGGGCAGAAATTTCGGTGGCTTTTTGGAGGATTCTAGGCCAACCTCTTCAAGACAACCAGTCAGAACGCCTAGGCGATCAGTTACTTGGTAGAATTGACAATGGCGAACACATCATGCTACTACGAGGCTATATCGAAAAGCCACCACGCAAAAGCTCCCTTCGCTTGCGTCCATTAGGCCAGCGTGGCATTGGAGAAGACCGGCAGTCTGGATTTAACCTATTGATTACAGTTTGCTGCACAATCCTCAACATGGTCAACAGATTCATCAGCACTAAGTACTTATGAAGCTATAGCTGCCGACGACACGTGTGAGGATACCTTAAGCACGAGGGACGCGCATTTGTGAGTTAAGCAATTCTACCTCGTGATGGCGTCGCAAACTTGCTGCATGCTCTTTAGACGGATTACTGGGCGAGAGGTAGATTGGCGAGAATGGAATGGGATCAATGCGGTTCGTAGCGAACGTGGACTCGGTATCGTCGAAGAACCATTATTTCCTTATCCCCACTAACACTAGCACTGTTAAGGAGATACCCAATCGGATTCCAAAAAAGCTCTTGATTTTCAAAATCGTTTCCTCAACATGCGTTCTCTAAGCGGGTAGGTCGGCAATTGCTACCCTTTCGAACCTTCGTGTTGGAATTTGGGGATCCAGGGACACGTCGAGGCTAACCGGGACCTCCAACTCCTAGGTTAGGTACTGTACTAGGCAATGTAGGCACTTACCAGAGAGGTTTCGTCACGATGCCACGAGTCGAGCGGGAGATAGCTTCACTTATGAAAATGGGGGGACGGCTTGGCTCCAGTCAATCGCGAGGGAGTGGAACCCCCGCTTTGGTCAGATGACGGTTTGGCCGATCAAAGCAATCAACACAATATCATACCATTAACGTTGGTCCGTTTTATGATTTATCGGGAAAAAACGAGCTCCTCGTGACGAGTCAAGTCTCATATTGTAGGCTAGTACTTACATACCTATGTGTACATAGCATATAGAGTGCATACAGTATGCTACATTACGGTACCTAGCTTACATGCAACTATCACTGGCTTCGTACTTACACTATTACCCCAGATTCTTGTCTGGCCCCCATGGAAACCCTCGGGACGATTCATACATTGTGTAGTTCCGATCACCGGCTTGTTTTCATTAGTGTGAAATTAGTCAGGGGGTCGTTAGTTTGTGAAGCCTTCCAAGTAGCTGGCTATTGCGGGTGATACTGGTGATCGCTGGTACCATAACGAACCACCGCTCTTTGTCAGGGAGCCGATACCGACAGGAGCTCATGCACGATGTATGTGCGTAGGTAGGTTGGGTATGTTATGCAAAAGAAGAAGATGAACGGTCTTTTTTTTTTTAATCAGAGCCGACGGTTAGCTTCCGATATTACTTGCTCCTCCTCCTCCTCAAATGATCCGGGGAATATCGCTGCTATTGAATGATGAACGCATTAACTATTACTAGTAACTAGCTAACTAGCCTAACCTTAGTATGTTATAAGAAAAAAAGGGGGGGCGGCCGCTACACTACACTTCAATAACTACCATAGCTTTCCCTCCCATGGTCCCGAGACACAAGTGTTTTTGTTACGTACCGCCAGTTGAGATTAGACGGTTCCTGGGCAAGTGCACAGGTCCTCCTGGACTGAAGCTTAGACGCTGGCAAGATTACAGATGTTTCGGATTTTTCATTTGGGAGAGCAAGTTAATTACAAACCACCACGCAAAATGAGTCCAGATGTCCGTTCAACGTTACGTAATACCCATTGGGCCAGTGCAAAAGGTAAGGGATGAAAAGCTACGTGCGTGCCGGCGTTTGTGTAGACCAAGAAGTCCTAGCAAACCCGCCAGGACCTTCTTAACTGCCGTTGATCATCACACAACAGAAGGGTCCTATGGTTTCTCTAGATAACGATCGGTCTACATAGTATGATTGATGACTGACTACCGTGCTATGGCTAGGTATTTTGGCTTACGAGTCGTGATCTCCGCCCCCCACACCAAGTCGAGGACCGGCCGATTTGCGAGTGCTCGACACCCTCAGCCGGAAATACCAGCTGAGATTGGTTCGCCGGGCTAGTCCGGTTACACTTGATATCGCCCCCGCCAGCTCCGTTTGCTGGGCCGCTCTCTTTCCCCGGCTACTGTTAGCCATCTCGTGTCCACTTTCGTCTCGAGGGTAGTGGTAGTATTCCCCTTCTACCCCTCAGCCCCTCAGCAGTTCTTATGCTAAACCCGTTTGCTTTCCGCGCATTGAACCAATTAATTGATATGAGCCTCGAGATTATCGTCGAGGGACTCAAAAGTCTCTATGACTCGTAGGCGTTTCGGTATCTCTACCGGTAGGGGCGCATTCCCAGGACGTTGAACAACCACACTTTGCATACCCGCCTGAATAGCAGCATCCACCTCACTGACGTTGTCGCTCAAGAAGAGCCATTCGTTAGGTGAAAACGCCGGGTACTTACTAGAAATTGTCTTGTAACTGTTTGCGTCCGTCTTAAGCCCGGCGTTCACGGTGTCAAACCAGTCCGAGATCCGAGACGTCAGATCGGACGGTGATGCGTTTGTGTACTGGAATAGTAGCTTCTGTGCTGCCACCGACCCCGATGAATAAATCATGATCTTAAGGCCTTTGTGTTGCCATTCTGATAGCTTCGTAGGCACATCTGCGAACAGGGGCGCTTTCAAATTACCCGAGGCATAGCCTTCTTTCCATAGGTAACCCTGGAGACTTTTCAGGTAGGAGACCTTCACATCTTTCTCCACAAGGTCCCTGAAGTGAGCTTCTAGTGCCTCTTTGGACGAAGAATATTCCGAAGGAAATGCATCCCTATATTTTGCAAAGTTTGGGTCGTCCCACTGGGTTCTCAATGTCTCTGGCAATACCCTCAGTGCATATGGGAACTAGAACCACGTGTTAGTTATGGGTGGCCCCTCTCTCCGTGGCTGAAATTCTACGAGGCCAATGAATAATGCTGCCGTCCATATAATCGATCAAGCGACGCAGTTCATGATAGCTAGCTAGTGTAGACAATCCCCAAAAGTGGCTAGACTCCTAGTGGCACGATGCTCTTCTGGGCCCGGAGCATAACAGACGGGTAGCGTACCATGTTCACTATATGAGTAGTCGATCGTTATGCTGTTTATGGTCATGCTGCATGGGGGTGGCGGGCCTTGTGGGATATGGGGTTGGAGAACCAAAGTACGGGTTGTATGTCTTACCAGGACATCTTTGACAAATGAAATAGGGCAAATTGTGCCCTCTAGAGATACCAATACGCATTAGCCAAGTATATCCAGGCTATTGATGCAACCAAAGGACCAAGCTACGAGAAAATGGAAGATATTGAAGCATGACCAAAGTTTAGAGCTGTCCTTACCAATATCTAGTAGCAAGACTTTGACTGAGGTAGACTCGACCATATTGGGAATTAGAACCGTGGGCCTCCCGTCTTTCAGATCTTGAGAGATCTATGTAAAAACTTGGACAAGCTGGAGGGTCCGCGGGGTCAATTGCGAATCTTCCCGGCGATATAGAGCGGTGAAGGTGAATATCACAGGGATGAGATCGTGAAAGAAGATTTCACGGGCAAAATTTTTGCTTTTAATTTTTCCAATTTGAATGTGCTTCCTTTTTCTTCCCGCTGTTGACTCCCGCCCGAGGATATGACCGAATCAGAAATGGTAATTGAGAAAATGCGATGACACACCGCGTCTAGATGCGCGTTGTCAAGAAAGCGGTCAAGAGAATGCGCAGATTCAGCAAATGCAAGAAAGCGAAAAGTTTGAAATTTTTCATTCAAAGTTGTACTATGAATGTAATACAAAGTAAACTTAGTAAAGAACCTATAGCCTTGAAGGCTTGTCCTGTCCCTAGAAGCCACATGTACATGTACACTACTGCATTGTCAAGGTTTCGGCAGAATCGACGCAACAAATTTGGCAGTTTCCAAGACTTTAGGACATGCTGGGGGTGTGCTTACTTGATGGACACGAAAAGAGAATAGAGCAGGTACGACCATTCAGTTATGGAACTCTACGCCGTATGGAGAGATTTGTTGCATAAGCCAGCAACGCTACTGCATCTTTTGCATACACACATGTACGCACATACTGCCTGGTCCCAGTCCTACCATGTACCTACCTACATTTATAGTAGCAGCCAACAATGAACAGCACCTTGATTGAATACAGCCCAGCCCAGCCCAGCCCAGCCCAACCCAACCTCACCTTCCAACCTTGACTTTTCAAAACATTGAAATCTCCAGTCGCCAGTAGTTACTACGATTATGGTGTACTTACCGAACCTGGATATCATCTACAAATAAGATCCTTTATAGGAATCGCGAGGCGTGAATGATATGCGCTACGACGTGTGCCCATCCAACTGGATATAGAGCGTCAATGAGTGGCATAGGTCCCATGGTAATATGTCCCGTCATAGTAATAATAATACGGTTGAATGCTTCGTCTAACAAACACGGCTATCGTTTAGCTTGGGAAAGTCGACTAACCTAAGTTACACCTTTTGACCTACATACTACATAATATTATAGGCAAATTTATAGCACGGTAATGTATCGTATGTATTGTACAATACTATATGCACTATAGTATGCCAGCAACTCAACGCTAGTACTTACTTAGCCAAGATGGCTACGATATCTCCACCAACTTACTATTATCGCCATTTATCTTGCTGCAATCTGATCCTAACTTATGCACAAAGGGCACTCCGAGACGCAATTCAAGACGACGCTTGCATTTTATCCGTCATCTTACATGACCCACCCCCAGAACATCAGCAGCTCTATCGCGACACATGACGCCAAGTGTTTTCTTCCTCGGATACAGGCGTAAAAGGAAAGAAAGAAAACAAAGCAAAACAAAGCAAAACAAACAAAGATGTCAATACCTACATAGCAACTAGACGGTCGCTAGCTTCAGGTTTCTATGGCATCGGCATCACCACGATCACCCTCACCACCAGACTACATCAACATCTGGTAATCCAGAATGAAGTCGCTTTGCGACAGATCAAAGGCGGTTTTGCGCGGCGTGTCGTCAGATACTCATGCGATGCGCCTACGTGGGGTCGTTGAATCCTCTTACAAACTTGCATACTTTGGTTAAAGCAAATTGAATCTTAGCGGGGTTTGTCGTTGAGCTGTTTGCGAAAGCAATTGACTGACCACTGACTCGGTCATACCAAATCTAGTATTTTGTTTTAGGTTGGTACGGACGAAACCCGAATATTTTGGCTTTTGGTTTTGAAACCGTTGAACGCGAATTTGCATTATATCTCAGTCATGCATAAAGACGGCATCTAGTCCGGCTCGGGAACCGAAAGAACGCTACCTACATACATGCTACATCCGTTTCCGGCCTCAAATTGTTATTATACGTATTGTACAAAATATTAGTACCAAATGACTACATGTACATCAACACTGAATGTATGTATTCATTGTATTGGAATGCGATAGACAATATGTATCCTATTCGGACACTGCCGGTTTAGGGTCACACGACAGAAATCTGTCCCTACATACTGAGTAGGTAGCCATGGTCCTACTAACATTGAAGTAGGTAAGCAATTAATCTTCTGGATGCTAGGGAGTACTAGGAGACAAGTTGTTAGACATCACATTAGACATCACACCAACCACTGTGGAATGTCTCCTTCCTGACCTACTGAAATGGGTGAGACGATCAATCATTTTGTCCAAGCTATTGCATCATGTACCAAGGTGTATAGACTTTCTCATCGTGAGATCCGCTCATGTAGGATTTACTCTGGCGTATTGCGTGCAAAGATGATGCAAACCCGCATCAAACATATAACATACCATGGATAGTAGCATTACGATTCTAGGCCGACAAGGACTGCCCCATATCAATCCGGCAATTAAGTAATTAAAAAACCCAACAATTCGGGGTCACAATACGCCGTAGGTTACCATCTAATAATGTCTGATTTTTGTGAATTCGCAATTCTCTGCTATGATACATAAGTAGTAATTTGTTTATGACATGGTGGACCCCCTTTTCATTACAGGAGAAGCCATGACATATGTAGGCCATCGAGGTGCTCAAGTCGGCGCGCAAATCATCAAACCTTGAGGAACAGCGAGGCGCTCTTTATTTTAACTTGAAACCTTTATACCTGATATATTCCTATTAATGTCATTCAAGAATATGGAAGATATCATGTTGGTTGGTATCTAGATACCTGCTTGCTTAAATGCGCGGCCGACTTGAACGGCCATGTCCCGCATCAGATTGAAATTACGCACAAAGGCGGTCAATGAAGGAGCAAAGATGATACATAGATGTGTGTGAATGGTTGTTTTTTGCCGACTTGATAATACATATAATATTGGCATACCTAGATAGGTATGTAGTTATCAGTTACCTAGGCAGCTGGCTAACCTAGAGGACAATAGCTTTACATTTGTACACATTAAAGTAAACAGCGACAATGCAGGTAAAAAGGAGTGCAGGAAGCGCACAGTTACTAGCCAATGAGGACCTTGTCTTTCCTTGTCTTTACCTAGTCGCTTTTAAGTGAAACCGAAGATGCTGGAATAGTCGAGACGCAAATCATTGGCCGTCATCATTCTTTGATAATCGTGGGGTTGCATGTAGTTAGTTATGTACCATAAAGTACGTACATCAATACTATGTACTACAAGATGTACATATGTAGGTATCTAAATGCAGATAGTACATAATACAGATGTAGGTACTTCTGTAGCAGCAACGTGTCCAGACTTTTGATGTCGCTTTGTGCCTGGAAGGCGATGCTTCATACAATGACATACATACATATGTATGTACATTACGTTCAAATGAATGTTGTCCTTCAATATCACGGTGCAGTATTAATATGATGTATTTATTTAATGCACATACGTACCTTATCCAACATTTGAACTTGAAGTCTTGAACATTGAAGTTAGAGTGCACATGTACCTACGTACAATGTATGTATCAAAGTTCAATGTTGCTCGTCGATCTCTCCAATCTCCAACTGGAAGCGATAAAGATACTTATACTCTTGGTAACTTCAGGATGCTCCTTCCTGCTTAGATAGTAGTGAAATTTGTTATCAGGTACTGCCTGGAGAAGTAGATGGCGGTGTGGCGATCCTTGACTAGTGGGAGTAATCGCAGCAAGACTATTGTATACGGTGCAGTTGCTAGTGACATTCCTGCCTGCAGTCCGTGCCAGCCCGCGTGGCCGATGATTCGACAAGCTTCCAGCTCTGTCAAGTTCATCAATGTTCCTTCTCAGCTATTTGCCGTTGTGCTATTAGGTAGATTATATATGTAGCTACTACTATAAATATACATATGCATATACATTACATATACATGTATATATTAGGTATGTATCATCTTACTAATTACCTATTATGTACTAACTTCCCAAGTGCTAACCACCTGGCCAGTCTCAATTTTACTTTGATAATACTGTGGCAAGTTTACGGCCGAGCCAAATCTCAATCATTTTATCCGATGTTATTGATATGGTAGTACTTTGAAGAGCCCGGGAGATCTCGACCTGTTCCACCAATATCCCGCCCCCTGACTAGACTCGGCCCAAGTACTCCATTATCAGATTGCGTGGCCTTGCTGTTAACGCTATCTTGCCGTTCTATCGTCATTGCCCTCCAGATGTCTCCAACTGCTTACTCTTTCTAACGGTATCGACACTGTTCCCTTAGCTTTACCTACCTAGGACATAGGTACACGCCTGCACTAATCATTAGATTCACTAGATTCATTACAACCGTCAACGTATTCAACTTCAATTGAACTTGGAGTTATGCATGGTGGGTCTGGGCCAGGCCTGGAGACCCTAATTGAATCTGGCGCTTCAATGTTAGTTATTCTGGTTCTGGTTCTAGCTCTGGCTCTAGCTTTCAATGGCTCTGGCTCTTGTGCCTTGTGCCTTGTGTTCCCCCTTCATTGAAGTTATTACAACGTGTAGTTAGTTATTATTATGTATTGTACCATTCATTGATTTGATACTGCCATACATATTGTAGTACATCAATGATAGTTAGTATGTACAATACATATTAGTTAGTACGTACAGTATGTAGTTCCCTTGTCCTACCCCCCAGTCGCGAACTACGTACAATCTCCACCCAGGCGCAGCACCCTACTGTCCACCACTGTCCACTCATGGTCCACTCTACTTATTCGTTCACGCCATACCTTGACTGAAGTGCCTGCATCGCTCCATGGTCGTCCCACACAGCCTAGCAACCCGGCAGCCCAGTAGGCCCAGTGAGGTAACAGTCACCAACCCACCTCCACACAATCAAGTTCGTTTCGTCCGTTTCCTTCGATCACTCAATCCTATTCATCTCCCCCTTCAGGCCACCTTAGTACCTACATGTAACCCTTCACCATCATTTCTTCGTCCGTTCACTCTCGTCTATCCGTTTCTTACTGCTTCCAATCCTCTGTCCTCGATCGTCCATCCTCAAGCAAGCCCATTAACCCATCTATCTTAATCTTCATCTCGTCGCTCTCTATTCTCTTCTCAACCAAACTAAGCTGTTGCTTAGTGATTCCGTGCATTCCGTTCTCCATCCAACATTGAAGTGACAAATACGTACCCAACAAGAGAAAGGATCCTGGATCTTAGCTTCCTATCCCCATTGTCCATCCTAATTAATAACAAGCTCGCGCTCTCTCCTTCCCTTTGAGCAATCCTTGATCTCTTGATCTCTTTCACAACTCTACCTTCCACCTGATTCCTCCATCCTGTCACGACGCCGCCTCATACGTGATCGATACCATTCAACGAACCGTCTTTGTCTGCTCAACCACTTCATAACTACTGATACCGACAAAACGACTTGCTACACCCATCCGTATTCAACGAAACTAAGTCCCAGATTACTCGACTTGATCGCGCGTTCACCACGTCACCCGCTCTGACTCTATCAACTGATTGCCTGGATCTGTGCAGAAAGAACCAGGAAGACCTCGGAAAAGGACTGATTGCCAAGATATATCCCGTTGAACAAAGCCAGGAGGAGTCATTGACAAAAGAAAAAACTTACTCGGTAACTACAATACTAGGTATCGAGCTAGGTTACGGGAGTCGACTGCTGTGAGAATCCTATTTGGTACTACCTACATAACCGCCAACATCCCGTCTGCTATCTTCCATCCCGTGGCCGACCAGTCACCCAACGACTAGGTCTCTTAGAGCCACACCCGCAAGGTCAACCGTCCCACCGTGTCCGAGACGAACGTACCGACTCGGATATCATCTTATTTTGGATGCTATCTTAAACTAAGAGGGACTGCCGCCTTCGGACATTGTTACCGTTGACTCACCGCTCCACTTATACCACCGCGGACAGCAACATAAGAGCAGCACGAATAACAGACAGGAACTTGTCTTCTAGCTCCACCAACTTCCCTAAAGCTAGTGACAGCCATACTTAAGTCACATACACTCTTTCAGATTTGATACTATCGTATCCATGTCCTTATAACGACCTTTTCCTTTCACTCTTTCAGGGCCACCGGTCCAACATCTATTCACGATTATTCGCCTGTTTTCATTTGTCTACTAAATTCGACATACCCTGCATGAGCCTCTGAACCATTAACGACCTGGAGTTATTTGTTTTCCTTTTCCCACACCAACAACTTGTATATCGCTTCGCAATTCCTCTCGTCGCTCTTCTAACCTTGGGTTGGCACCATATTTTTTTTTCTTATCAACTGTTGCTTCGCTCGTCGCTCCCGGCACCTTCCAGCTGTCTCTGTACCAGATCTCAAAAAAAGTTTGAATTACTTTTCCTGTCGCATTCGGATACCCCTCAATCTCCATATTCTCTTTTCCAAATAGACATCAGGCCAGGGGGAACACATTTGCGCTTATACGATCTTCCGTGGCTCGTATCAGTCCATCCTCCTCTCATTTTTGATATCCCGTCTCACGTCGAGACAACGTCATGGAATGCTTAAGAAACAACTTTCACAATGGCGTTATACTCGATGGGAGATTTCAAACAATCTCCCCTCTTAATCATGGATCCTTCGGGATGGTCTTCATGGCGAAGGACTTGCAAACTAACGAGCTCGTCGCCATCAAATGCTTAACCAAGAAGGGGGCTAGCAACGATATGGGGATCGAGTTCGCCATCGACGAGAATTCCGAAGAGCTTCTTTGCCACCGTCGTCTTGGAGCGCATCCAAACATTGTCAACCTGGTTCACTCGTTCGAAACCGATGCACACGTGTATCTTGTTCTCGAATACTGCTCGCGAGGAGATCTCTATGAGGCTATTCGCACTGGATATGGTCCATTGGAGACTGAGCACGTTCGTCGTTTCATGCTCGAGTTGGTTGACGCCGTGGCATACATGCACTCGAAGGGTATCTATCATCGAGACATCAAGCCAGAGAACATCTTCCTCGATGAGTCAGGTTCGATGAAGCTCGGTGACTTCGGTCTGGCCACTACGGACAAATGGAGCTACGAGTCTACCGTTGGAAGTGACAGGTACATGTCACCGGAGCAGTACGACTCAGCCGGAGCTGGATACTCGCCAGCCCAGGCTGACATTTGGGCAATTGGCATCTGCCTACTCAATATTCTTTTCTCTCGAAACCCTTTTACTTCTCCCACTGAGGCTGACCCTCTATTTCTTGATTTTTCACGCGACAAGCAATCGCTTTTCGATGTCTTTTCCACTATGTCTCAGGATACGTACGAAGTCATCGTGCATTGTATGAATCTGGACCCCAGCAAACGATCTTTGGTCGGCGTTAGGAATGCCCTTAACCGTGTCGTGAGCTTCACCACCCTTGATGAGGCCCTTGACGACTTCTGCACGGCTGAGCACACTGCGATTGCTACTGCCAATCGTGAGCCGCTCCGTACTCCATCTATCCAGAGCCCTCAGATCGACCAAGGTGCCTTCCCGTGGGCCAAGGCCCTGCATGCGAGCCCGCCGATGGCTATTCGTCAACTCAGCGCTATACCTGACAATGAGAGCTACACCGAAGACCTATTCTCCAAGTCGGCAGAGACTACAGATTGGATGTCGGGTTCGGCTCAGACACCCTCGATTTCATCTGTCCTAACTTCCAACTTAGCTGCATCCATGAACGCTCTTAACATGTCGCGACCCATGGCTGTACCTTCTCGCACTTCCGCTCGGGTCTCCCCAATGTCTGGATCCTTGCCCATCACTATGTCCAAGTCTAGGCCCACCCTCAGCGCTATGTCCATGGTGTTTGGCCGTCGAAAGGATGTCGTGTCCAAGAGTTGGAGCGACATGTGGGACGAGGATGAGGAGGAAGATGAAGAAGAGCGCTTTCGTCAAGTTCAAGCGATTAAGGAGCTAAATTCGAGGACTTGGAGTCAGGAGAGCAAGGAGGCTACCCGTACTCCTCGGCAGGATCAGGCATCCTTGCACCGGACGCCAGCGTCTGATGATGAGAAGCCAGTGGCTTCGCCTGTGAACGATAGTATTTCCAACGATATCGACGGAGATTTGGTCGCGGATGGATTTTTCTTTCATGAGCCCGTTGCTGTTGAACAGCCCCAGCAGTTCCCTGCTCGCTACTCGCCGCCGTCCAAGCGCAGCAATGCGGATAAATGGGCGGCGCTAGGTGAACGGCGCCGGGCTTACACGGGTGCATCGGAGCCCAAGTCGCCGGATTTCAACAAGGCCCGACGACAACTTGGATTCGGATTTAATAATTTGCAAGGAGGAATCACCTCCATTGATCACGCCACTCTGAACCAGCAAAACCACAATCGAAATCGGGACCGTGCCACATCACGCGAGTGTCCGTGGAACAAGGGCCGAGACTGGAATTGGCGTAAGGAGAGACGTCATGATTTCAGCGACGTGGAGTGGGTTGGCCACTGGCAGGAAGCTCACTGAGCTATTTCGTCCCTCGCCAGTGTGGTCACTTGTAGTTGTGCTCATCTTTCCGCAAACTTGGAGGTCTTTCTTTTGTGTTTGGGTTGCTGCTGCTGCTGCTTTTTGGGGGTTGTATTTTGCCACGTCTTGCTGTTACTAACTAATTTGCTTGGGGACAAGAAACAGGATGGTTTAAACAAAAAAAAATCACAGACCATGTTCGACGCATGGAGTTGGCTTTGCAATGGTTCTCTTTGGATTGTAGACAGTTTGGCACTTTGGCAGCAGCAAACACCCCAACACACACAAGCACCTCAGCGGATTGATCTAGCTACAACTCGCTCTCTAGGTATTAGATATCTCCAAATTATTCAATAATACCAGAAGTTACCCACTCAACCTCGAGTCGCTATTTTACAATGTGAATTATCCTGTTATCGTCTCTAGCATTTGCTGTGTGAGACGAGATATTACTACTCAGGAGACCAGTTTGACTGTTCAGTTTGACTGTTCACGCGGATGGTGCATGTTTAGATGCTGACTTTAGCTATCACTTAATAGGGGCAAAGTTCTTTAATTCTACTAATTGTGAAGTCGTCGTCAGTAGTATACTAAGTATCCATTGAAAAGCTAACGTGGTAATAAACAATAGACAATAATTGAAGTATAAACTAACTGTCCGCTTCCGCTCCGCATCTCGCTCTCGCTCAGAGCTTTCTTTATCTTATTACAGTCATCATTTCCGGTGTCTTCCGAAGTTCCCAAAGTTCCCACCTTATTTTCACAGCACAAGACCTCTCCGGGCTCCGCTAAATACATAGCTAGCCGGTTCTAATTAATGAATTGAATGGCCCAGATTCATGTTACAGTAGGTAACCAGACCATTTGATTGGAAACGGAACACTCGGTATTATTACTACCTTCATACAGTACATAGATAGGTACACAACATGTAAGGTACGGGAAGAAGCCAAAAAAAAAAAAGAAAGAAAAAAAACACGTGGAGAAATGACTTTGGCTTGAATTTGCCGTGTTGCCTTGATGGAGGGAGAAGTTGAAGTACCTGGGTAGGTAGGTAGGTAGGTATGTATGTATGTACAGATGTACAAACTTGGAAGACTAATGCGCGTTGACGTGTGGATATATTCGCCCTCGCGTAGGCGTATGTAGGTTGTTCGTGTTCGTGGTTACCTACATATTAACATACCTCGGTAGATTTCTGTATGTTGGCTAATAATACATAGTACGTATGGTCACTCGGGACCAGGCAGGCACTACGTTAGGCAGATGGGTAGATCAAGATGTGTAAGCACTTTAGATACGTTGTGTTTTTTTCCTTTTTTCTAGCCAGGTGTAGTGTAATCAGGACAACAAGGTGTTGTATAAACTCCCCCTCAAAAAAAAGGGCATGCAATGAACAATACTTACGGGACTTTGCAGGTCGGTATCTGCCTAGCTTACCATTAGACTGGGTCCCAGAGGGAGTAGTAGAGTGCATGTGAGTGAGAAGCATTGAAAGTGATCACGATCGAGCTACGACTACGTACTATGTAATTCTAGAACAGTTTATTTGTACTATTGTGCTATCTATGGCGTGCATAGGTAATCGGATGAGATCAAAAGATCAACCCAAAAAACGACATCACGATGATGTTTGTTTTCCGTTAGTTATCGTTTTGTCTACCTACATGGGTAGGTACATGGTACATACCTAACCTAGGTAGTTATGTATGTAGGAAAGGGAGTAGACGGCGCTTATAGGCACTTTAGCTCGAATACTATTTTCAGGACTCAAATAGAATAGTTGGATAATCGAGTCAGGGAGCCTTTTGGCCGCTATACCTTTCCTAGGTTAAGGGAAGCAACTGTACCTACTAGGTATTCAAGGGGGGGAGGACAAGGGCCTACGCGGTAGGCTGAAGGCGTACGTATTGTACATATGAAACATTCGCGATCGATCCAAAAGTCATGCTGCCTCTATTAATAACCACCTGGGCATTTTAAAGCAAATGTACTAAATTAGTATATTTTCTATTTATTTAACCTACAAAGGTCAAGGTCTAGGTCTGGGTCTGGGTCTGGGTATACACACGCATTGCGTTGCTGGCTGTTTGTTCCCTTCTCTGATGCAGGATTTCGGGTGACGTGGCTCAAGCCACCCCGAATCCCTAGGCCGGACACCGAGCCGTTTTTAAATCAAAAAGCTGGGGCCGGGTCGGGCTGTCATGTAGGTATAGGAAGGGAATACCAAGCTGCCCATGTCTTCCTCTTGTTTGTGATATATAAATTGCCTACCTAGGTAGGTAGGTAGGTAGGTATCAATCGCTATCGAGTGAGAGTCACTCCTACCTTAAGAATGTAGTTAGTATCAAGTGTCCAAGGCAGGCCGCACCAGGTAGTCATATTCATAGGAGTTTACTGAACTATGCTTGGTCTTGCCTCCTTTTTCAGAGTAAAGCTAGATATATAGTACTAGGTATATATGAACTACACATGCAAAGAACGGCCAAGTCTTCCTTCAAGCTCGCAGCATGCCTCTCTTGATCGTTCGTTCATTCGTTCATTCGCTCACTCGTCCGCTCGTTTCAACTCTGAATAGACTCATTTAGTTTTATACCGTGCCCGCCAAGCATACTAGCTATCTACATTCTCTAGCAACCCATAGATACTAGAAATAAAGGAGCAGCAGCAGAAACAGCAGGCATTAGAAAACCACAACTATGGATCACGATCACGATCACGACCACATAGTTAACACAGAGCTCCAAAAGGCCGAGTACGACGAGACCAACCGGTCCATCAACAAGCCGCGTCCCTCGCCGCCACCGTCGCCGTCAAAACGTCCCATTTCTGTATCCTCTTGTACCCGCTCCTCCCCTTCTACCGGTCCATGTCTCGTCTGTCGTAAGACGCTCCTGTTGAGCTATTTCAACTGCTGCGCCGTATGTCTCAGCGTGATCGAGTGCGGGCAAAGGCGTAAAGACGACGACGACGACAACGACAACGACGAAGACAGACCTACCCGCAACAACCGCCCGCCCATCCTACCCGTCTCCGAGCGGCATCCCTCCCCCCCGCCTCCCCCACCCCGTCGGCTATCCTCGTCCACGACCCTTGGCCCACGGCAAGCGGACGACGACGACGACGACGACGACAGGCGGGCGCGACACTGCGACAGCGCATACTGCCGGTACACGCACCCGCGGCTGCTGATGTGCCTGTTCGTGGCGTGCGAGCTCGTGCCGTCGCTGGGCGGGCTGGCCCTGCTGAACTTGGCCCTGTACCGGCACAGCTGGGTGCTGCTGCGGTTCGCCGGCATGCTGCTGCTGCAGTGGTGGCAGATCTTTATGCTGCCGCGGCAGGTAAAGGCTTTTCCAGTTTTCTCTTCGTACCTATCTCCCCCCCCCCTCCCCCCTCCCCTTTTCCCCAGGTGCCTGCCGGTTTACATGTCATCAAAATTCAATCATCCCCCCCCCCCACACACTTTGCTTAGTAGGTAGTGATCTTGACTAAAACGAAATAATACTAACCACTCGTCGTCACCATCATTATTATAGTGGCACTGCGGACAGTCCATCGTGACGGGCCAGCTCGCCGCCTGCCTCTTCATGGTCTAGTTCTACATCGAGGGGAGCCGGCAGTGGCGCTGGTGGGAGCCCCTCGCCATCAGCACCGTGCTGCTCAAGATCGTCTTTCCGTGGTAGCTCTGGATCGACCAGAGCCCCCTTCATTCTTCTGTTCTTTGATTTAAAAAGAAGAAGAAGAAGAAGGGATATTGCCATGCTTCTGAGCATATGGCTAGGAAAGGGGGGGGGGAGGGCTTGTGTATGTCTAACCAACGTGTATAGGGGTATGCGCCGGGCGTTGGCGGGTTTGGAGGGGGAAGGGGGGGAAGGGGGGGGAGGGGGCTACGGTGTGTCCGGCCGGTACTGTATCTTTCGAACAAAGACATGGATTAGAGAATAATGATTCTACTCCTAGTGTGTAAGATGCTTTACAATTGTAAACATTTGGTAACGTGCTGCAAGACGATGTCAGCACACCCCGATTATTAGATTTGGCATGACTGAATTATGTGTAAATACGAAGCCGTGAGTGCTTTTGATGCCGAATAACTAGACCCGTAGACACATGCATACGAAATTAAATGCTTCCGTTTTCGTAGATCATTAGTCACAGTCAGCATTAAAGACATCATACTTAGATTTCCAAGTACTTCGTAGGTTAAGTACATGATTACGCATTACCCCCCCTTTCTCACCACCCCCTTTTCCCAGTCCATGCTAAAACAATAACTTTTCAGTGCCCTATTTCAATATCCGCAGAACCCCAAATTTTCCTAACAAGATGCGATGATTTTCTGCTGATCGACGCTATGCTTTTGTGAATGTATATATGGATATCAACCCTTTTCCTGCTAACTATTGAATGTCGTTACAACATCCCCAAAATGCCTATCTACATATCATCAATTTGCCCCTATAAGCTCTTTGGGTAGGAATGCCCACACTGTTCCAATGATAGATAAGGTAAGAGATATGAGCATGACAGTCCAAGTAAAAATTCGCTCCCGCACGCTAATTTCGTGACCGAATAGCTTCAAATAGAAGGCCAAGGGGAGCCTGAAAAGCTGTTAGCCCGTGACTTATATAAGAAAATGCCATCACTTACGTTACACAAATAGTGAAACAAAGAGCGCTACCCATAAATGCCATTATGGTGTCAAATGCTGGGAAGAGAATGGCGATTCCTAGAAAGACTAGAAGCGTCAAAATTCGGACAAGAGCTTTGAGAATTCCTCGTGAGCCACTGGAGAGCCCGACTAGGGGTGTTTCTCCCGCGACAACTTGCTGGCGAAGACCGAATATCACTTCCAACGTGGCGACAATTGGTTGAGAGTTTAATGGGACTTTCGTTAGGGGGATGATCGCGATGAAGATCACAAGAAGAACATTCAAAATATTAGGGTATCCAGAAATTTCGAGAATGTTACTTGTGATCTCCTCACGAACTCCCTCCCCAAACATGATCAGCCCTATGACAGCTACTGCACTGTCTACTATCATCTACATATAGTTAGTATTTATGGAGATTGACGTTGTTTATTACGCCTTAGAACTTACAGTGAAGCTAAATGTGTATGTGACCGCCTGCCGAGTGTCAGTAGGGAATGATACCCACGGATATCAAGATGCTGCCATACCTCTTTGTAGCGATACGGATGTCGCATGTCGCGGTATATCTGTGAGTCAATTAGTCTACCTACTTATATTTCTCGACCGAAACAAGCTTACATTGGGAAACACGCTGTGCCCACCCCAGGGGGACATGAGAAGCCCAAAGGATAGAGGTAAAGTCAACCAGTTTTCAGGAAATAGATACGTCGTTGCAGGCTCGATGAGAGAGCCGGGGGCGTGTGTTTTCAATAAGCCGTCCAGTATAACAATGATGGCAACTAAAATAGCTTATCAATATCGTATATCAGCTAGATGCTTCGCGGGAGACGACTTACTACTTAAGCAGGAGACCACCCCGATGAAACTAGTGAATGACAGAACTGACAGAGGAGCAAATTGAAGAGGTATCATGATCAAAGTACAAACAACTTTCCATTCTGTCACACTCAATGTACCCGGAAATAAGAGTGCCAGCGAGTCGGCGAAAAGCACGATGAGGGCAACGCAAGCTGCAAGCAATTCCAGGGTGAATAACATTGCTGTCATGATGCGAGCTCTCCTGCCGAAGGAGATGAAGGCTATGTCAGAAAAGGTAATCATGGAATGGTCGAGATCCATGCATTTCGCTAATAATCGGGCTGTCCAGCTGGTCACCGCGGCGCAAAGAGCCAGTGCGATGAGCCCACAGATCCAACCAGCATACTTCAACCCCATAGGTAGACTCAGTAAGCCAACACCAATTAATACACTGAACTGAAATTTAGCAATAGCCCACAAGTGCAAAAGGGGGCTCACTCACTTAGTAGAGTTCACAACAGTTTGGGGTAAAGTTGATTGGCCAGACACCGCTAGCACTATTCTCCCTTCCTGTTCAACTTCTTTGACAAATATAGGCGGGCGTTCTCCGTCGGGTGCGTTGGCGCCTGATTCCCGTTGTTGGCGCCACAGGTCCGCAGCGTGAACCATGGAGGAATGAGTAGCCGCTGACTCAACAGTGCCATAACTCCGAATCGAGCCATAGCTACCAACCAGAGGACTCACGGACAAATGTGGTGGCACAGAGAATATGGAGTTGCTACGAACTGAGCCAGATGGGGAAGCTCCTCTATAAATTTCGCTCCCTAAGCGCTTTCGTTCACCTTCTTGACCTTCAGTTCGCGATGGGGATATCCCTTCTGGTCCCGACTCTTCGTGATCGACGGCATCAGGCAAATGACCTTCTACGAGATCTCGCCTTAGAAGCGAAGTTCTAGGACCTGCTTCAATGTCACGCCTATTATACGGACTAGGGTCCACCGTCTGAACCGGCTCTTGGTCGGGAGCAAATACGAAGGGCGGTTGCTGGGGTATGATTTCGGGGAAGACGGCGGCTCGTTGCCAGCTCCTACTAAAAGATCTGATACTGTTGACGCCGCCCATATCAGTCAGCGCAGCGAGGCGGTTCGTTACAGACGATCTATGCGAATCGATAATTAGTCTACGAAGCTAGGCGATTTAGAATATAGGTGCGAACCTTCGTCTTGGGCGCGGGCGATCTTCATCGTATTCATTGTGATAATCGCCCAATAGGGCTTGGTCTTCGGAAGGGTCACTTTGGTTTCCAATAGACGACGGACTGTCACTCCGGCCTGGTGAAGCCCTGTGATGGTACTCATCCCACGATGTGGGCTGCCTCGCAGCCATTACTAGATTCAAGGTGACAGAGCAGGTGGCAGGAGTATGAAAACACGAAGGGAAAAAAGCAATTGGATTGTCGTTAATTAAAATTGTAAACAAGTACTGCAATCTAAAATCATAAGAACTTGACAAGGTGCTGGGAGGAAGGGAGGCAAGGATGCTGCTATTAGTTGGAGGGCTAGCGATATGCAAAACCTACTCGAGTCGTTCAACTATGAGACACGAGATGGAGTAGGAGTAATGGCGGAAAGAAGCGAGGAATATATCACATTAATGTAAAGGAGAAGCCGAAGTAGAAGAAGCCTGGGGAAGACTCGGGATGTAATGGAAAACTACCCAAGTACCTAGGTAGGCGGTTGGAAAAGAGATAAACGGTATCTACCTAGTAGGTAAGTAGTAATGTTGACAGTCATATCTCTTCCAGGTTGTAATCTAGATAGTTACATGTACTAGGCTACCTAGTTAGTATTTATCAATCTATACTTAAAGATAATGGTGGGGCTACCTACTAGGTAGTCAGTTTGTATCTAGTTCTAGGTATCGTACTTTCCTATAGAAAGATGCTTCAAATGGCGTCGAGGTTAACTAATTATTTCCTCTATTACACGACTTGGCTTGCAAGAAAAATACTGTACATACCCTAGGTACCGTACTTACTTACACATACATACTTGCCGGTGTGGAGAATGGGGAGAACAGGGAGAATAATCGCATGATTTGGCTCATCGCACTTGCTTGTCTTCGACTGATTTGGGAACTGGCTTTGTAACTCTCCATCTAGTTCTCTAGCAGTCTGGGAGGTCGCGACGGACATATCACGACGATTCCAATCTTATTATATCATTGGCCAATTGATGCAAAGAATTATGGAGAATGCTAACAATCTATCTTCTTTCTCTGAAAAAAAAAGGACCCGTGAGCAAGGCTGATTGTGTCACACGTATCACACATATTTACTGTCTTGCAAATTTTTCTCATGCTATGTAGTATGTTCTGATAGTGGCCATTGCAGTTGGTTCGCATGCTCAATCTCGGGATGCTTAACAACGGCCTTGGTTTGAGATCGCTTTTTGTCGGCCTAAATTTGACATATCCCTGGATAAGACAAAAGTGTTAACGGAAACTGAAAGCAAATGCTGGAAATTTCCTAGATGCAATGTAACGGATTATTATTTTCATTTTGAGAAGGAAACAGAAGGTTGTAATGGTAAATGATGTCATTGATACTAGGTAGGTACTGTATGGGGTAACACTTCAAGGTTAGATATCGGTAACCCCTCCCCACGTCCAAGCTGCAGGTGAGGTCATGCGACGCGGACCTTTGTGTGAGCCTTCAGCCGCCCATAGCGGTAGAAGTAACGTTTGATTGGCTGATCAGCTACTCGATCTCCGATATGGTTTAACGTGAACAGGTTAAGCAACTTATGGTTGACTGATAGGAACTTATAGAGGTATTGATAAATAACGCCGACGTCGTTCGGTATATTTTGCACGCTGGCTATATAGTGTATAGATACAACCCAGGTATCCATAAGCTACCTACATAGTAGGTATTTATTCGTTCTAGAACACAGGGTAGGCTTAGGGATAATCCCACGTAAGAAGAACTTACACCGTAACAATTGAAGGAAGCTGGAAGCTGATATAGCTGGAGGTTTTATCTAGACTTATATCTCCGAGGGAATGCAACATCTTGACTGTTTATTTGGCATTGTAGGATAATTGGTTGTCATGTAAGATGAACTATCCTAACGTAAGGGTGATTGACGCATTTATTTGAGGCTGACGGGACAAATTGGCACCCAAATATTGAAGGAATAAGGCTCTCTTATCTTTATTAAAGAGGAGAAATCTAAGCCTCATGACTCAAATGGGCCAAACAGGCAGATCAATGAAATGGTGAGAGATACAATAATTACTAGGTAAGTCAGGTAGTGAATGGGTAGTGAATGGGTAACAAGGCCTACAAGGTTGCCCACGTATGCAGGTACGGTGCCTAATTGCGTAGCAACTTGTCTGCCTGTAGATAAATTATCGGGTTAGTAAGCCTCATGGAAGGAACGAAATCTGGCTTGTTTTATTGCTTTTAGGCGCCTACAATGTACTGTAGGCTGCTGTACAATACTAAAGCTGGCTGGCTGGTAAAGCTAGGTACCTAGTAGTTACTGTGTAGGTTAGGTAGCAGGCTATGGAAATAATTGGAAGGTATGGTGTGGCGGGCTCTGGGCACTGTGGTTTGAACCCACCTGGTCCGAGCTCCTCATCCACCTCTCGTCATCAACAGCTCAAAGTGTAAACTCCGAACTTTGATCACTTCTTCCCACTACACACCTCACCCTCTACTCGCACATTTGTGTCATCGCGGAAATCTTTTCAACTTCTTCATAATATTCATCAACAACCTCGCGAAGGATTTAACCTTTCTTTGCGATTTTCCCCCATTTCCCATCTTCGTTTTTGAGCAGTGCTCGCACCTCTTTCCACCCACCTTATCCACCTACATTTTCCACCCACTCTTGAATTACGACAAACACATTCACCCGCCTAGCAATTAATATGGCGCCTGATCCCGATCACAAGAAGAAGGCCAATTTGGCGTGAGTATTACTCAAATATAAAATAATAATCGTGGGCAAATCATTTGGCTAACCTCTCAATTATAGCGATGTCTCCGGCGCTGAGCCCAAAGACGTATGTTGGCGAGCCTCATACCGATGTCGTTTACGACTAACAATGAATTACCTAGGAGAACGATACATCCACGGCTATCCTCAAGAAGAAGAAGAAGCCAAACCAGTTGATGTATGTATCGTCGCTTCACGGGACATCTGACTAGCATTTACTAATCAATCCATGAAGGGTCACCGATGCCGTGAACGATGACAATTCTATCATTGCCCTCTCCAACAACACCATGGAGCAGCTCCAGCTGTTTCGTGGTGATACCGTCCTCGTGCGAGGCAAGAAGAGAAAGGACACCGTATTGATTGTTCTTGCTGATGATGATCTTGACGACGGCAGCGCCCGACTCAACCGAGTCGTCCGTCACAACCTGCGCGTCAAGCATGGTGATATTATTACTATTCACGCATGCCCAGATATCAAATACGTAAGTTTATTTTCTCGTTAGTGAAAGCATTAATATAGACTAATTCGAAAAACAGGCCAAGCGTATCGCGGTGCTCCCTATCGCTGATACCGTTGAGGGTCTCACCGGCTCCCTCTTCGACGTCTTCCTTGCCCCATACTTCCGAGAAGCGTACCGACCTGTCCGCCAGGGTGATTTATTCATCGTTCGAGGCGGCATGAGACAAGTTGAATTCAAGGTTGTGGAGGTTGACCCTCCAGAGTATGGCATCGTTGCCCAAGACACCGTGATCCACTGCGAAGGTGATCCTATCCAACGCGAGGAAGAGGAGAACAACCTCAACGAAGTCGGTTACGACGACATTGGTGGCTGCCGCAAACAAATGGCTCAGATTCGTGAGATGGTCGAACTACCTCTACGCCACCCACAACTTTTCAAGTCGATTGGTATTAAGCCCCCGCGTGGTGTCTTGCTTTACGGACCTCCTGGTACCGGTAAGACTCTCATGGCTCGGGCTGTGGCTAATGAGACTGGCGCTTTCTTCTTCTTGATCAACGGCCCCGAAATTATGTCCAAGATGGCCGGTGAATCCGAATCAAATCTACGAAAGGCGTTCGAGGAGGCCGAGAAGAACTCGCCAGCCATCATCTTCATTGACGAAATTGACTCTATCGCCCCAAAGCGAGAGAAGACAAATGGTGAAGTCGAGCGACGTGTGGTCTCTCAGCTTCTTACCCTGATGGATGGCATGAAGGCTCGATCTAACGTTGTCGTCATGGCTGCCACCAACCGACCTAACTCCATTGACCCAGCGCTGAGACGTTTCGGTCGTTTCGATCGGGAGGTCGATATCGGCATTCCTGATCCCACTGGTCGTCTTGAGATCCTTCAAATTCACACGAAGAACATGAAGCTTGGTGATGACGTCGATCTCGAGCAGATTGCGGCCGAGACTCATGGTTACGTCGGTTCTGATGTCGCCGCTCTCTGCTCGGAAGCTGCCATGCAACAAATCCGAGAGAAGATGGATCTCATTGACCTTGACGAAGATACCATCGACGCTGAAGTACTGGACTCGCTAGGTGTCACTATGGAGAACTTCCGATTTGCCCTTGGTGTTTCGAACCCGTCCGCTCTGCGCGAAGTCGCTGTTGTCGAGGTCCCCAATGTCCGATGGGAAGATATCGGAGGTTTGGAAGAGGTCAAGCAAGATCTCAAGGAGAGCGTCCAGTACCCTGTCGACCATCCCGAGAAGTTTCTCAAGTTTGGTCTTTCTCCATCACGTGGTGTCCTATTCTACGGCCCACCTGGTACTGGTAAAACAATGTTGGCCAAAGCTGTTGCGAATGAGTGCGCAGCAAACTTCATCTCCGTGAAAGGTCCTGAGTTGTTGAGTATGTGGTTTGGTGAGTCTGAGAGCAACATTCGAGACATTTTCGACAAGGCCCGCGCTGCTGCTCCTTGCGTGGTTTTCTTGGATGAGTTGGATTCGATTGCCAAGGCCCGTGGTGGATCTGTTGGTGATGCTGGCGGTGCCTCTGACCGTGTTGTCAACCAGCTTCTGACTGGTAAGTTTCGATAATATACTCTACTTGGAAGTCTCTTACTAACCATATTTAATAGAAATGGACGGCATGACCTCAAAGAAGAACGTCTTCGTTATCGGAGCCACGAACAGACCCGAGCAGCTTGATCCGGCTTTATGCCGTCCGGGTCGTCTCGACTCGCTAATTTACGTGCCATTGCCCGATGAGGCCGGTCGCCTCAGCATTCTCTCGGCCCAACTCCGCAAGACGCCAGTCGCTGGCGATGTCGACCTTAACTACATTGCATCCAAGACTCACGGTTTCTCCGGTGCTGATCTCGGATTCATCACTCAGAGAGCTGTCAAGATTGCGATCAAGGAGTCTATCACTCTTGATATCGAGCGACAACGTGCCCGTGAAGCCGAAGGCGCTGGCGACATGGATGTCGATGAGGATGTTGAGGACCCTGTTCCGGAGTTGACCAAACGCCATTTTGAGGAGGCTATGCAAATGGCCCGAAGATCCGTCAACGACGTAGAGATCCGCAAATACGAGGCTTTCGCTCAGCAGATGAAGAATGCTGGACCCGGTGCGTTCTTCAAGTTCCCTACCGCTGTTGGCAGCGGTGATGGTGCAGCTCCTGGTGGCGATAACAACTTCGGCCAAGCCGGTGATGATGATGGTCTATACGACTAAGCCCAGTCACGCATTGAATTTGGTGGTCAATTAACAACTGCTCCTGTAACCTTATCTCTTAATTGCCGTGCGCCTCTACACGATCCACGAAACCACGTTTTACTTGGAACTACGTGGACATGATGACGACGTCCTACATAGTTGCAGTTCAGAAAAGGGGATTGCATTTCTAATAGACTTGGGGCCGTCAGTTCCGGGAACGGAACAAGGCCGATTTCTTTGCGCGATGAAAGTCATGGCTTTTAATGCTGGGCAAACTTGCCAAAAATGCTGTTAACCCCCAACCACGATGAGATATGGTACCACACACATGCCGCCTTGCGGCAAGCACAGGTAGTCTACGATAGATTCATAAATTGACTTTACTTTGCCCGTATATGCCATGTTTCTGTCTACTGTCTATTATTCATGATTTATTAAGAAGGTGAGCTACGTATTATCTAGGAACCTACATAACCTAGGTTAGGTACTTATCAAGTCGTACGCGGGTATTCGTAAATTAAACGGCTTGGTGAAGGTAAGTAGTCGTTCTAAGGTCATCATGAGGATTATATACCCTACACTACTGGTGCGACTAATGCTCATTGTCCATACGTCCCTAGGTGCATATAAAATTGCCTGCGTGGACAGCGTACCCCGTAAAACCGACTCGCGCAACTATACCTATATATATTTAGATCTAGGTGCCTAGGAAGTTACCTACCTACCTACACAGTCGTTCTGGAGCAAAGTATGGAAAATGGAACAATCACTTGACATTACTGCGGACTGAATCGAAAGGTGAGAGGGAGAGGGAGGAAAGGGGGGTGGGGGGTACCCGGGTGCTCCCCCCCTGGTTATTCTCCTTTGCTAATTACTTCAATCGATCGATCACTTAGTAGGTATACATAAAACTAAAAATAAAGAAAGAGGGAAAAAAAGCAAAAAAGCAAAAAAATCAAATCCTGGGTTGCTTAAACGCCAACGCCCTCTTTCCCCCCTTTCCTTCCTTCCGTCCGTGTGTGTTTCCTCCTCCTCTTTTTACCATGCCGTTTCCGGGTTGAGTTGGGGTGGTTTTGGTTTGAGTTGGGGGTTCGGGAATAGGGGCCTTTTTAAAAAAAAAGGAGGGTGGGAGAAGGAGAGGGAGAGGGAGAGGGGGATGGGGAGGAGAAAGGGGGGAATGATTATGAGTGATGTTTCTGATATGCCGCGACCGCAACCTCCTGCCTGACCACCAAGTCCATATTTCCCCCATATGCGTGCCGCGTGTTTGTTTTCGTGTGTCTATGTGAGTGTGGATGTGTATGTGTGTGTATGTATACAACAGCTCTAACCAGACCATGTGTAAGGAGAAGAGCTCTCGGTCATGGTGTCGCTGTCGCTTTCGCTGTCGCTGTCACCGCTGGTATCTCCATCCTAGTCGACGTCGTTGTCGTTGTCGTCATCAGCGGTCTCGGAGTCAGCAGTGTCGTCATCGGCCAACGCGTCCGCGTTCTTCTAGCCCGCCGTCGAACCGTCGTCAACCTCACACACGGATTCAAGACACTCCCGCACCACCTTTAACACGGCGTCCACGACTGCCTGCGGGATCGCTAGGTTGCCGTCCGAACCGCTGCTGCCGCCCGCGCCCGTGCCGTTGACGCTGCCTGATTTGCTGCCGTTCGCGCTGCCACCGTTCACGGCGTCGCCCCCGCTGCTGCTGTTGCTGCCATTTGCGCTGTCGGAGGAGGAGGAGGAGCCGTTCAGGGCCGAGGTCGTCTCTTGCCGCACGTCCTCGAGGACGCGGCGCACGAGGGCTGGGAAGGTGGCGACGTCGCCGCTGCGCAGGAGGGAGAGGGCGTGGGACTGCACGGCGGAGGGCCAGTTGGAGGGGTGGGAGTTGAGGGAGTGGAGGAGGTGTTCTTGGATTCTAAAAATAATCAAATTAGTTTGCGGAGCCTGCGACCGTGATAAGAGGGGAGAGGAAGAAAGTAGAAAGAAAAAAAGAATTGAAATTTACACATACTTTGTGACATATCCTTCCCGTAATAGGAGCATGTTGATCTGGGATCGAAGATCTGGATCCATTGTTGCGGGCGTATACGTAGCTGCTGACGCTGGGACCTTGACGAGCGTCTGCGGTGGATGCGACATTGTTTGATTATGTGCACCTGGGTAGGTAGGGTAGAGTAGGAAGGGTGGAGGAACTGGTCCTCCTCCTCTTTCCTAGTGTGATCCCTGGTTGTTCTTTTCCAGGCCTACAGTGGGAGCGGACGAAGTTACCCGGAAGTTTATTGTGACGAAGGAAGGAGGGAAGCCTAGAAGCTCAGTGACGGTTTCGGTGGAATGCTGGATATTCCGTGATGATTTGGTGGGATCGTAGTGTTAGAATGGGAAGGAGATGACGAGGCTGACAATTCTCGGGAAACTTTGACAGGACAAGGCTGAAATATTTTAGCTTCGTTCTCAGTGGGTGGAAACAAATCTAAGGTTAACTAGTCAGGTTCCACTCTCTTGTTCCACTCTCTTGCTACATAGGCAGCTACTAGGGTACCTACTATGTGAGACTAGCTTGAGAGGGTTAGTCGCTAGTTAAATGTGGCTGGTGGGGCGCTCTATGATAAGCCACCCGACAGCTTCAACTCTACTGCCGAGCCTATCAAACCTAACCTACCGCACGCTAAAACAAGCCATGGCTGCCATGGAGATGTCTCTATGGACTGACGTTAATTAATACTAACCTAGTTACATCCTATCATTGATGCTTTGTGCGACATACACATTATACACCATCAATACCGTCTTTACAGATTCCAGCTTGATATGTTACCTTTATTTTCGTATTTCTTCTTACTAACAAAGAACGAACAGGTGATAATCCGTCAACTACAGTCGACGAAACAGTAGTTGTTTGGGTTATTCTCAGTTATAACCAATGCCTACTAGGTAGTAGTAGGTACCTACCTATGAGCTACTGATAACCCCTATTGATATACACAATAAGGGCATATTTGCGAAAACTTATGTGCCTGTTTGATTTACAGTTTAAGGGCTAGAAAGATGAGGCTATTACTGGGTACCTAGCTGTCTCATTCGACGGTTGGATCTTGGGTGGCCCATTGCAAATTGTCACGGCATCGTACAGATCCAAGGACTCCCTGGATATTGTTTTTGGGGGGGGGATTTCTTTTTCCCTTAACGCCGTAACCTCGACATTCCAAACCGCGTCCACGTTTCCTGTCATCATCATTTAGATGGATTTCAACGTACCTACTAAATTGGGCCCTAATCAGGATCGAATCCTTGGTGTGAATGGATCAGGTACATACATATGTGATAGCCAAAGTAAGCGATATCTATGAGTTGGCTCCCTTGAAACAGGTCCAGGCGTACCTTTTCAGATTTATTTTCAGGTAACCAGTCTAATATGATATTATATTTAGCTCTTATGACAACACTACCTGACTGGTAGGAAATATAGGTAATGTGGTATGGTTACATTGGAAGAGCTGCTTCAAGTGCTTCTAGAAATGGGGTATAATGAGATGATAAAAAGTATAACAATGCACGTCAGCACAGGTAGGGCAATCACGATACGACCTGGTTGGTTGACGGTATGCATGCTATGCCTAAGGAGCAAATCCGGAAACTTGGAAATACGCGTGGGCTTGACCGTCTCTAGCGATTCTTGGGCTCGACTAGAATGCAACACTGCAGGATGATGTATCGTACCTAAAGTTGACTCTTCTAGATTGCTACTACACTAGAGAATCAGACTTTCTCCAAGGTATGTAGGTAACATGTCATATCTAGCGACTCCCGAACTTGTTGGCAATATAATACACATGTACTGTACTTGTCGAGTCGGTGATTCCCAACGTGAACGAGCATACCGCCATTACTGATTAGTAGCAGGCTCCATCATGTTAATTTTATTAGGTCAAGTGATGTGAATTCGGGTTAGGTATATCGTCGTATAATTTATTTATTCTTTAGCTTCCAAGTTGGGCAGATGAGCACTCCCACCCACACCGACTCTTGCTTTTCTTCGTGCTGTGAGGTAGTAGAAAGATCCTTGCATTCTATTCGGCCTAGGTATCCACGACGAATCAAGCTCGGCCGGATGAGCCGCGATTTCGGAAAACCATTCGCTAATCTTACTTGAGATATGTATGTTACCGCGGCCGCGCTAAAGGGGGGGTCCGTTTTCCCCGGCCAGCTCAACTGATCGATTCTTTGCAGCATTTGGGCTTTTTTTTTTCTCCCCCATAATGCAAAAATGCGACAGGTCATCTAGCTCATCTACACATCCTGGCTGGGGATGACAATTTCGTAGTGCGGGCAGCAATGGGCTGCGTACCTAGTAGGTTGGGAAACCTCGAGAATTTAGAAAAGTCGGTCAAATGAATGGAACTTTTTAGCGATGGCGGCTACAGTTACTTCGGGGATGTCTGTCTGGGGTAGCTGGAAGACGATTGGCTGTCAGATTAGGCTTCTCGCAGCCCTTTCGGTTGCCGTGATCTGCACTAATTCCTCGGTGCATCGTTAGGTATACTGTCGCGACAAGTGTTGGCGAGTTTTTGATGGCCTTGCCCCGTCTAAGACACGCATAAGCTGGGGAACTTGACGACCGTTTATTGTTTATTGCTGACTCCTTTAACGAACTAACGTCGCTTACTCTCGAAAATAAGAGGTCCGTAACATTTTTCTCCCTCGCCGCTGGTCCTGTAACGGGGACTCTTGGATTTCGCGCTGGCGGGCCCAAAGAAGTCTCCAGTATTTTTGATCTAGCTGGCTGACGCCTGTTTTAAAAGGCTACCCACGGCTTGGGGGGCACTGACTAACTGTGTATGGTAACAACATCATCTCTGTCTCATGCCTACGCGGCAGTTCCGGCCGGCCTGATATTGTAGGCTGTGGTCCAAGCCCAAAAGTAAATTCTATGTACCAACTCGGAATATGTTGTTGTCCTGCACCGGGACTGAAAGCCTTGGAAAGTCGTAGCACTTTTTTTTTTCAGTAAGCTTCCACATTATCATGTCTTGCACCTGTGACCTCGAATGTAGTTGCGACTCGGCTACCCGCGTAAACTCGAATCAGGGCCAGACCTAAGTAAAAATAGTCGTCGAGGTGCGAGTGCCTTTTTCGAATAGCCTCTTTCGATGAGGAGCGGTGATCTAATAGGACGAACATGGCGGGATACGTGGTCATATGGTCGATGACCAAGATTCACGTCCAATGGAGCTTAACGCAAGAAATGCGGCATAACTATAGGACTATACCCTTCAGTGGCACAACTAGTATAGCAGGGGGGAGGGGAATCCGATCCATCACGCGCAACTATCCTGGGATTTGACAATGAAGCCGCGATTGGGTAGCTTCATCTGGGCGTAGAACCAGTTATATGTGGAGCGGGCTGGTAAGCAACTGTCGGATAGGGGCATCGTTGCGTGCTCCTCTCACTAGTACGGACGGGAACACTGACTGTACTGGCTGGCACTATAGCAATACACAGGGCATTGGCGCCCCCACGACGATATTATCCGATCTTAACCTGGTAGATAACCCTCCGCGTTTGGCGTATGGCGTTTGTATTCCAGTCTCCTGAGTGGACTGGGCCAGATGCAAAACGCATCTCCCAGGGTCCGTCCTAAGATCCAGATGGTTGCCATATGCAGAGACGGGTGGTGCCGGATGGCTCCGAGTTGCAGGATTATGCCGGGGAAATCGACCACCACCCCCCCAATAAGCACGTATGGTGGCATAGGTAATATGATGAGACGAGGACCGCGCAGGAAAGGCTACCAGGTAGCTGGGAAATCAAAAGCCGGACCAGGTTACATGTAGACGTATCGACCCGCATCTGCAACCCGCTTAATAAGAAAGCAGTGGCACTAGAACCGTTACAGGTGTGGCAAGGAGTCCCGTTAAGTTTGCATCACATGCCTATACCTAGAGGGGAAGGATGACTCCTTACATGTATGTACGTAGTCACCTATGGTTAGTCATAACGGTACATATTTGGCTAGGGGCATCTGAATACCCATCTACTTGGTGGCAAGTTGAAGACCGATATTGTGGCTTACTCGGGAACTATCTAGGCTAGGGGGTTAGTACATGGCAAGGCTAGATAGGGGGTTAAACTGTAAGTATGGCCTGGATTAAACCCCTAAGAGCAGCCACCACCACCATCACCACTTCTGCTGCTCTTAGTTAAAGCTCGATAACTGGGCACCTCCTAGCCTACCTACATGTAAGCAATCTACATTACGCGTTTCTAGCTACCCCTTATATGTTTCAGTGCATCTCCATGTTTTCGATGTGCTGCTAGATACCGAGAGCTGCATAGCCAAGTGGGGAGGTGTCTTCTAGTCTGGGAGTATCGCAACCGCCCTCCAATAAGAGACCTAGCCGGTTGCCACACCGGTTGCCATACCGGCCGGCCGGGTGGTCGGGTGGTCGGACCAAGCCCCCCTATTCGGGGAAGATATGTGTAGATGAACTGGTGAAGGTTCAGCCTCAATACATGTATTTAACTGCATGGTTCCGTATCACGCATCTGGCAGTACTACATATGTAGGTAGTATATACGCATGTCTTTAGTATATTTACCTAGTAGGTATGCTTTTAGGTAAGGTACCTCTGGTGACCTGAAGCTGGAGCTGCGCATATTGGGCCATAGTCACGGTCACGATAAATTGTGCCCAGGTACCTATGTATAACCACCTTGATGTCAACCTGATCCTCGAGAATACGTTGGCACCCACACCTTCGAAGGTATTCAGCCCGAGTCAGACACTGACTCTATGTATGTACTTATGTAGGTAGTAAGTGATGATACCTACCTATAGTGTATGATATACACACCGTTACGTACGTTCTTAGACAACCAGACCCCTGACGGCCACATGACGGCCACATGAAGGCCACATGGAAAAAGCAAGTGTCCAATTCCTTCCACATACATTGATTAGCCCTATGTGTTCTAGTGCTGAACTACTCGGCCGGAACTACTATGTACTATGATGTACATGGCCTTAGGCTGGGGCCTACATATTTATATACATATAGTGCATGCTGCGCATTATACAACTTATACTCTGTATGTACTGAGTTGTACTCTTGGTATTTCGTTCCATCTCATCCAGATTTTG